CCCAACCCCAACCCCAACCCCAACCCCAACCCCAACCCCAACCCCAACCCCAACCCCAACCCCAACCCCAACCCCAACCCCAACCCCAACCCCAACCCCAACCCCAACCCCCAACCCCAACCCCAACCCCAACCCCAACCCCAACCCCAACCCCAACCCCAACCCCAACCCCAACCCCAACCCCAACCCCAACCCCAACCCCAACCCCAACCCCAACCCCAACCCCAACCCCAACCCCAACCCCAACCCCAACCCCAACCCCAACCCCAACCCCAACCCCAACCCCAACCCCAAAATTATTTTTAATATTTGAAAAATGAAAGTATTTTGTTTCAATCATATTTTAAAATATATATTTTATTAATACAAGCATCAATAATTAGCATTTTTTAAATTTATATTTGCCTGTTTAAAGAATTCATCAAACAAACAGATAAATATTTAATAAAATAATGAGTCTTTATATGTAATATATTTAAATTGACAGACACATAACTTTATAAAATATTTTATATCAAATATTCACTTTAAAAACTTACTTATATTATTTAATAATAACTTTTATTTTTATTAAAGCACTTCAAATTTTTTTATAAAATACAGATTTTTTCTCTTCTCATTACTATATTTTATTTACATTACATACTTTAATGGATAAAAAAATTAGTATCAATTTATGAAATTTATAGAGCTAGGAAAAGTTATTTATTTTTAAAAATGAATTAAAAATTTTAAAAAAAGTAATTTGAATCTTTTTAAAAATATTAAATATCAAAAAATAAAACAAATATATTGACAAAATAGTTTAAAACAATAAATTTATATATCAAATTATCATAACTGCTTCTTTTATTTTTATTCTTATTAGTGTATTTGGTTTTTGGAATATTGCCTTCTTTTTTTGCATTTATTATATAATTTTTTTATTATTAAATATTTTAAGATAATAAATATGAAGGAAATTAGGACAAGAGTAACTAAAAGAATACCTAAAAATAGCACTATTGCAGTAATATATGATTAATCACTAAAATAATTATTTTCTTCAGAGATTATTTTAAAGGAATAGCATAGTAAAATAATTATTCCAGATAGACATAATAAAGCTTCTCTATTTGTATGTTCTTTAAACTTAAAAGGTTTAAAGTAAAGCAGCAAAATCAAGTAAACTGATAGAATGATAATAGCCAAAAAACCTATTGAGTTATTATTAGGAAAAATTAATGAAGTATTAACAATCAGCAATAGTTTGACTAATTATCTCACAAATTCCCAATAGTAGTACGATTAATCATACTCATTATATAAACAACCAAATTTATTTATTATTTATCTCTGAGAAAGATTTAATTTATTTTTATTAAGCTATATCAACAAAAAGCCAAACAATAATGGGACATAAATTATCAGTAAAGGTATGACAATATAGTAAACAATTTTTATTCTTTCAGGATCATCACATTTAATAGTCAAATCTAATTTCGAAAAACTTCCCATGTTTTCAAATTCAGCGCAAACTAAGCCATCAATAAGTGCTTAAACAATTTATAGATTAAAGCTATAAATAGAATAAATTACCAATTATAACGTGAAGCTCGAATCACATATGTATTGTTAAAAAATAGATTATTTCTATATTTATTTTTAATCTTTTTCAGCAAAATTATCAAGTGGACTGTTTTCTTTTTAAATATCTTCAATATCAGCATCTATATTTATATTAATTTTTTATTAATGCAATATAGATTCATCGTTTTATTCTAATGTGCTATGCAAAAAGGTTTAAGCATTAATAGAATTTCTCACCACTTCCTAATTTAACTAATTAACAGTAAGCTCTCCCTTTATTTCATTATTATTGCTCTCATTAGCTTATTCTTAGCTCAACAAAAATTTTGCTTAATCCAATTAATTTTCTTTTTTGTTTTTTTTCTATTTTGAAAATATTTAGAATATTTTAGTTATTATCCATTTGATTGAGATGTAAACTAAGATAAAAAATATAGGGATCACAGATTAAATTATCATTATCAAATATGGAACACTAAAGAAATCTAAATTTAATTAGATTAAAAGGCACTCAAAGAAGTTAAAGATGCCATTTGAGACAGGAGCCCACACATATAAAGTAAATGAAAAAAAGTAACTAACTGAAGAAGGAGATGAAAAAAAAGTACAAATTTTTATTATTAGCAATAAGAAAAGCATGTACTTTAAATGAACTCCAGCACTTATTCTGTCTTTCAAGTCTTTGTTTTTTTAAATAGATTTGAAACAAAGAAATAGCAGTAAATCTAAAATCGCTACTAATAATATACCTGAAAATATAGAAATAATTGTTAAAATCAAATTTTATGTAAAATTTTAACATTCCTAGCATGAGAAAGAGTTACTTCTTGTGTACAAAGTATTAGACCTAATTTTTTTCCTGTCACACTCAAGACAAAGAGGACCTAAATGAGATTAATAGCATTAACTGTCATCAAATTTTGTTCCACCATTGCAGTTCTAAGGAAGGAAAGAACATCTTATTGCTTGAATTTAATAATCTTAGTTATTTTTACTAAAATTTAATGAATTATTGGGTAAATAGTATCCTCGTTTAAGTTTTGTTATGTTAGCATAGCAAGCTTCAAATTATTGTGGAGGACATTTTGTGCATCTAGTTTAATCTTTATTTAAACTGACTTATAAATTGTTACAGTATTTAAAGTACTTGATCTGGTTATTTTGAATTTTTATTTATCCATTTTAACTTTCTTGCTACTTTTAGAGGAATAGCTAAACTAAATTTCCATAAAGAATGAATTTATATTATTCGGATTAAGAAAAATATGATTCAACTGAAAATAGGAAATAAAAATTATTAGTGTAGTTAAAGGGTAAATCATTAATTAATTTGAAACTGTTATCTCTTTGATTTTAATATTTGAAATTTAAAAAAATAAAATCTAGCTGCTTATCTTAAATGAACTAAATATAGCTACAAATATTCTGATTAAAGTTATTTTAGATTTATAATCTTTTATTTAAATTTACATTTTTAGTTTGTAAGTCTTCATATCTTAGAATTGTGCCATCTGTAAACACGAATTCCAATTCAAAATAATAAATTTAGTTGATATTTACATCTTTAAGATTAATTTATTACTAATTATAAAAATTTTGTTAACTGAATTCTTTTGGTATATGCTAAAACCCATCACCTAATTATGGGTTAAACTCTCCAAAACCTATTATATTGATAAATGATATTGGGAAAAAGATGTTATTATCATATTTAACTGATTTATTATTTTCAAATGAGACTCCTATTAGTTCTTGAGCATATGTATTAATAATAAAGCCGCCACCAATAAAAGCTTCTGAATTTAAAATTTTAACATTCTAAAAATTAAAGATAGTTTAAATTTCATAATTTTAAAAATAGATAGCTCCGCCTAGTAATTCTGACTAAGAGTTAGCTATAATAACATTTTTCATATCAAGTTAAAAGTAAATAATAAACATTGTTCCACCTGAGCCTTTTGAATAGAAATCTTTGAAATTAGAATTTTTGATATAAATTTTATTAGCTTAAATATATGCAAATCCTCCTTAACCTTCAAATTTTACGCTTCTTGCTTAAACTGAGTCTAAATTTAACTCATATATTCCATTCATCTAAAAGATACCCCCAAATTAACCTTAAATAACTCTTTAACTCTATGATATCACATTTAAGTCAGTAATTTTTAAATTGGTAACATCAAAAATTTATAAAATTCCTCCTAATCCTAAAGATATTTCAGATTATTCATTTATTAAAATGTAGCTGTTCAGCAAATCTAGTTATTACTAATTGCTAAGTTAAATTAGGCCATTTTAAGTTTTTATTTTATTATTTATCTCTAATTAAAGAGTTAAAATTAAAACATTATTTTTGATAAATATTAATGAGTTGATTCCTTCATAGTCAATATTTTCTGATTTCAAATTAATTTTTGCAAACTAATTTGAAATATATTCATTATCAATATATATCAAACTATTCACAATATAACTATCTTTGATAACGAAATTATCAATTATTATCTAAATTTATTTTTCATCATTTGAATAGCTATAAATAAGTACGTATTGCTATCTAAAGTTACAATTTTATACAATTAAATTGTCTATTTTGAAGTTATTATCACTATTAATATAAGTCATTATATAAGGTTGTAAGTAGTTATTATAAACTAGATTTTCCTCAATTAGACTATCTTTCAAATGTAAATTTTGGATATTTATATTGCAATTTTGACCTAAATAGATGACTTAAGCCTATAAATTTTTACTTTAAATTTCTAAATTTTCAATACTTAAATTTAAGTTTTATAATTCAAATAATTTCATTTCTCTTAAATATGGCTACAAGTTAGGAAAAGAACTTAACTCTAAATATATTTAGCCAATTTTTTACTAAAGTTATTCGTTTGTGTTAGATCTATATCTAATAGGTTATATTTCTTCAAATATTAGCTTCTTCGTTTAGAATTATCCAAAACTAATTTTTATTTAGACATTGCTTATAGTACATTAAGTAAAAATTTTTAATCCTATAAAAGTAATAGCATTTTTTAATTCATTTTCTTAACTATACATGAAAAAGTAATTTTATATTAAGCAACTTTTTAAATTGTCAATAGAAATAACTGATTTAGAAGTGCTATTAGGATTTTAAGATAAAAATCCTTTTAAAGTAAATATTTTGATTGAGTTAATTATTATATTTTCATTTTAGTATATTTAAATTAATTCGATATTATCTTCACTCTCTAAATATATTTCTATTTCTTAAATTAATACTTTTAAGTTATAATAGATTTAAAGAAATTTATATTTACTGCTACTTCTAAAAGTAAATTGATCAAAAAATATTTTTTTAATGGTAACTTCATTAAAATTTAAAATAACAATTTGTGTTTTTGTAGAATGATTTTTTATTTCTAAATCTAAATTAATATTTTGCTCTTAATTTCCTTCAATCACTATTTAATTTTACTCTATATCACAATAGAATTAAATTTTTTTTTGCAGAAGAATATCTTCTAAGTATTAATCACATATTATAGGTTCTGCTTCTTAACAATTTATTTTTGTTAAATGAATAATAATGATGATTAAAAATTATTTAATAAACAACTTATTCATTTATATTATTTTCTTAATTTACTTTTTTCCTTTTTACTGATTTATATTTTTCTCTTAACTTTAAATTTTAATTCTCTTCAAATTTGGTATTTTTTTAAAGATTAAAAAATAAAGTTTAAATGAAAAATCACTCAATAAAGTTTCTTAATTTTATATTTTTAAGCACTCCGTGTTATATTTAAATATTTATGATTTCTTAAAATAATTATTTATCTGCTAGCACAAATTAAACTGATTTATTTTTATTATATGGAGTTTAAAGTATTTTTAAAAGTCTGTAATGTGTAATGTATTGCATAGAAAATCTTATTTGCTTATAAAAGTTAATGATACTATCTAATTGAACTCCGATTTTAATCAATAAATTTATAGTTTTTAATCAGAAAGTTTCTAATTAATTAATTATTTTCTTTTCTTTAAATTAGATAAATAAATCTTTTACATTAAATTTATTTAACAGATATAATGAGTGTATTTATTTTATTTTGATTACTTGCCATTACTTATCTAACTTAATTATATTTCTTCATAGAAATAATATAGTATGCATGTATAAAATCACTTTTACCATCAATATATATAGAACTTCCTAACATTAAGTTTAATTTACAAATAATTGCATTATTATTAAATAGAAACATTTGTTTAAATTTCTTATTTTTTAGCTAAAAATAAAAAATTAATGAAGAGAAAATGTTCTAAAAACTTTAATTTTGATCTAATTTTTAATATTAGAAATTTGTATAAAGAGTGATAAGAAATTTTCTAATTATTTTTTTATAAAGAAAAAAGAAATCACTTAAAGTGCTTTTCTTACTTTAATTTTGAAAATTTTTAAAAGTCAAAGAATTATTTAAGTAAATACTTTAAAAAATCTTTTATGAAAGAATAATTCATAGGATAAATTTAAAAGTTTTAAATATAAAAATAAATTTACAAACTAAAATAAAAAATGAGGCCATTCCAAAAACAATATAGAATTTTAATATTTTTATTCTTATTTTTAGGTTTACTTTAATGCTAAGATTGCGATATTTCCATAACTACTTTGTTTACTACTTAAAGTATTAATTTTAGTTGTATTAAAGGTAAAATAATCATAAAAGCATAGAATAATTAAGAAAAAATTTCACTCAACTTAGAAGTAAAAGATGTGAATATGGGTTATAATATCTAATAAGTTATCTTTAAAGACTTTAAGTTTATACACTTTTAACGCCTTTCTTTTGTCAATAATTAATACTTATTAAGCAATTTTGAACCTGGCTCTACCTAGCTGTTAGAAATCAATAATTGTTTGTAAGTTGTTGTTGATTAATTCTTAATACAATAGATTTCTTAATATGATTTTTAGAGCAATCTAATATTAATAAAAGATTCTAGTATAACTATAAATTAAGGAAAAATAGAATACTTTTCTGACAAAAATATGTATTCAAATTTATATTTAGATTTTATAAGTATAATAGATAAAAAAAATGATGCAATTGCTGAGTTTAATAATATAAATACTTATATCAAATAAGACAGCTAGTTTTCTTATCAAATAAGAATAATGGATATTTAAAGTATTAAAAATATTAAGCTTAGCCAAGTAAAAATCACATTAGATTATAGTAATTAGATGTGTTAAACCTAGAGCTTTAAGCCAGCTATTTTATTTCTCACAGCTTAAAAAATTCTAGGAAATGTTTAATTAAATGATGTGTACGTCAATATTAGATCAAACCAAAATTAAATATTGAATTCTTAGTTGTTATTCTATAGTATCTTTTATATAAATTCTGAATCATTAGAAATACTAAATTTTAATTTAAGCATGAAAGATACATTCTAAACAATTTTAAGTATAAATCAAGTTTAAGATGTCAAATTTTAGAATTTTATTATGGCTAATACTTAAATCTCTTAATTATTACAATCTAAATAGGTGAGATCGATAGTGGAGTTTGGTGGATGTGATAAAATTCAAATTTAAAACATTTTTATTACAAAGGTTAATGTTTAAAACTTTTAGCTTTTTATGTTCTTAAAAGTTAACGATATTAAAGTTTAAAATATTTTTTTGGGTATTTTTGATTAGCCAAACGATTAAATGAATTATAGTTACCAAGAAAAAGAATAAACAGAGAATATATGGGAAGGTATATTGTTAGATTTTTAATTTATAAATACAGTTTTGTTAGAAAATTTGAATGTAAATAAAACACAAATCAAAGGAGATCAAAATCTATTATACTTTTAAAATGCTATTTTTGATGAATCGTTTTAAGGTCATGCTAGAATAGAAAACATTAATATAAATCTAAATGGTGATTATAACTATTTACATGGAGGTATTTTATCTTCAGAAGATTTACAAAGCATCACTCTTAATCAAATAAATATTCTAATAGAATCAAATCAGAATGATATTAATTTAAATTAAAAAGCTCTTTTCTCTATCGTTGAAGATAGTGAAGCTGAATTAATGATAAACTAATTTTATATTGAAGTCTTAAATATAGAAAGACATCCCGATTTTTTAATTAATAGTAATTATGGTGCTGTTTTTTCGGTCTACGGTAGCGAATCTAAAGCTTATTTTAATAAAGTTATAGCTAAAAATATAAGAAATCTAAGCTCAGGTGGTTTTGGTAATCTTAACTTATCTTTTCTAGAGATTTAAAATAGCTATTTTGAAAATTTATCATCTAAAATAAATGGTGGAGCACTCGATCTTGTAATTGTACAAAAATTAGCAATAAAAGAATCTTAATTTATCAAATGCCATTCTGATTTATTTGGAGGAGCTATAAATGTCTAAATTTATGATAAAATTTAAATTGATTACAATTTTTATCAAGTAGAAATTAATGGATGCTCTTCTCTAATTGGAGGAGGTATTATTGGACCTGACTTGATGCAAAATATAAATGGTATTTCATATTTCAATAATAGTGCTAGTATTTTTGGAAGTGATTACTGCAACGCAGTAAATTCTTATTAAGTTATCAAAATATTGCAATATAACTAAGAATTTTAAGATGAAAATATTAGAGATACTAATATTCCTTATTAAATATAATAAGATCTTTCCAATCCAAAAAAACAAGCTATTATAGAATAAGCTTAACCTATGCAAACCTACTATTTTGGATTATAGCTTTACATAGATGGTGTGCCAATATAAATACCTTCAAACTTCACAGAAATTGAAAAACTATCTTTAACTAGTTTTTTTAATGGGTAGGGCTATAATTACTTAGATTTATTAAATTTTAGAAGCAAAGATAAAATGTTTTATTTTATGCTTAAGACTCCTTTCTTTTAGTAATAGTTCACACCTATTATTAAGGAATTTAAATAATTTTTGGAGATTATATTCTTACAAAGCAATTAATGCTTGGAAGGCTAAATATTTAAAGATGATTTATGTATTTTCTGCAGTTAAAACACTGTAACAAAGAGAGGTATTAGTAGTAGTATGATTTAAAATGAATGCTTATAATGTTAGGATACTTAAAAAATCAAAGATTGTTATGCCTATAAATCATTTTTGAATCCAGGGTATATTAGATATAAGGACTATACAGTTGATACTGATCTCATACAAAAGTGCTCTTATTCTCCTTAAAACTGCTAAGGCGGTGAATTTTTTGGAAACCAAAGCTGTGCACCATCTTATATAGGCCCAGAATGTCTTGAATGTGAATTTAACTACACAAGAAACAACTCATTTAACTGTTACTAGTGTGGCAACGATTAATTTAACAAGGCATTTTTTGCTTTATAATTCATAATCAGTTTGATCTTTTAATGGTTTGTTTACTTGATTATTGAACACATTAATGAGTAGAAAATATAGTAATCAGAAAATAATTATATAGATTTAGATTAAATATCATAGAAAACAGAATTGTTGAAGAAGTAAAAGTACGAGATTTTTATTTATTTCAAACTTTTAGTGTTTTACTTGAACATACTTTATTTTAGTTCTTTTTATTAGAAGGATAACTAAATTCTATCAATTTTCTTTAAATTTTAAGAAAATATTTACAATCCATTTATTGGTTCTTATTTTAGTTACTTCAAATGTTATCTCATGCAATAATACCCTGAATATTATAGTCCTTCATAGTTATAGATTATACTTCTTTCTTTAACACCTTTTATATTAGTTCTCTAACTCATTTTTTCTAAGCTAGCTTTGAGGTCATTTAAATGGATATTTTATGCAATTAAAAGTTTATACTAAAGAACCTTGTTGTAATACAAATTAATAGACCTACTAGATTATAAATATATGTTAATTCTTTTCTTCTTTAACGTTTTTTATTTCGGTGTTTAATCCTTAGAATATTTAATTTTAGGTATCTTTTGCTATGATTTTAACCTGTATGGAAATGTTGCTATCAGTGATTTATAAGTCGAATGTAATAATGCATAGCGTATTACTTATAGAAATTTTATTTACATTCCATTGATAATATTGTATATAAGTATCCCTTTATCTTTGCTTTCCCTTTTAATATTTCTAAAAAAGAAAAAGGATAAGAAAATTCTAAATAAAACATATTCAAATATTATATTTTTTTGTTAAGAATATAAATCTGATCATTTATAATGGGAATTCATTAGGCTTATAATTAGGATAGCTATTTTATTTTCTGTTTATCTGATTATTCCATAAAACAACATAATTGCTTATCCAGTTATTGGTATAATGCTACTTTACTTTTATTTTATGGTTAAAATTAAGCCTTACGAGAATAGTTCATATTAAAAAACAGAAAAAATTTTAATAGTGAGTGGGTTGTTAATAATTTTTGGCTGCTTAATTAATTTTGCTTCAAAATAATTTATTAGTAGTGAGTTCTTTTCCTTCTTAGTCTTAATTACTAATACTTAAGCTTTTGCTTTAATTCTTTATTTATTATATAAAATGATTTATCCTTTTTTCAAAAAAAATTGATTCTAATTAATTCAAATTGTAAAATCTAAATTTCGTGTTAATTTTTATAAATTTAATTTTAAGCGTTTTCTATTTGAAATTTCTTAAAGAAAATAATAAAAAAAGTAAATTATAAATATTTCATCTTGAGAAGATAGATTTTTATCAAAAACGACAAATTTTGATTTATATTAATTAAATACAGGTATGATTTGTAGTATTAATTATCTATTTATATTCTTCAAATTTATTTTAAAATTTTAGATTTAATTTCAATCGTCTCACGAAGAGCATTTTTAAATAGTCTAAAAATAAAATTTGATGTATTTAAAGAAAAAGAATAACTGATTTAAATATATCCCTGATAATAAATCAATTAATTTTGATCAACTTATTCTTAAAATCCTTTAATTATTTAACAAAAAAATAAACTATTTTAACATAAATTAAATAAATTTACATAATAATTAAATTATAGCTGTTCCTGCATTTAAAATATCACAGATTATGATATCATGATTTGTGATATTTCAAATAATTTAGCTAAATTAAAAATTTTTGATATAAAAATATAATTTATTTTTAAAATTATAATAAATTTAATTATTAATTAATTTTTATTCTATTATAAAATATATAATCAGATTTTTTAATAAATAAATAAAAAATCTATTTCATAATAAGTGACATCCAAACGACTCTTGCTATATTGTTTTTTTGGTCTATGAACTATTATAGAAGATTAGATTTTATATAATATTTTTGACTTACAACTTTCCTTAATGATCTATTATTAATTTTATTTTACAAAATTAAGTTTAAAAAATAAAAATTGATTAACTTTTGATTTAAATATTATTTTAATAAGATTAATTAAAAAATTATAATTAAAATTGAAAGATTTTAAATAAATAAAATTTGATAATAATTTAACTAATAAAAAGATTTATTTATTGATTGATACAAATACTTGTTGAATAAAAAATTAAGTAAACTTAAAATGAAGATAGATAGATATGAATTGTATAATCAATTTTATATAATTTCAAGAGGGTTAGTTTCTTTGATAGCATTTTTACACATATCATCAAATTTATCTAAGATTTTTTAGCTATCAAAATTTTCAGGACTCTTAAGTGCTTCAAAAATAAAGAATTCTGCTAGTTTATTTATCATAATAAGATTCATAGAAACTGTATTTGGAGAGTAGACATCTTTTCTGAGGATCTAGAGTTCTCTTGGTTAAAATAGGGCTGCATCAATGTAATCTACATGATATGTATTTTTCATTCTACTAGCAAGAAGTAGATTTTTAGAGTTAGTATTATGAGAGAGCCACTTTGATAGGCCTTCCTTTTATTTATACCATCCAAAATTCTTATTAAAGTTATCAGAGGTTAAAACCAAAAAGGGTTTATTAACTTGCCTTTCTATTAAAGGCTTGAATGAAGGTAAATCGAAAATGCTCATGACAGGATCAAGTGCAATAGTAGCAAAAATTCTGTCATCATCCAATCCACATAAAACTGCTGTTTAGCCTCCATACGAATGTCCACAAATAATAGCTTTATCATTTAATTTTAAGGAATTAAAAGCTGTAATTTGTTCTTAATTCTTGAATAATGTTGCTAGTTTATTCTTATCAAAGGCAAAATCTAATACTTATTTGACTTATTCTTTTCTACGAATCATTGCTTAATGCATAGCGTTAACAAAATCTAATTCCTTTGGAGGTAATGATATTTTTTCAAGATAATCTTCATCTTTATGCTAGAGTGATATAACTATGCATCCTTTTGAAGCTAGATCTTTGCAAAAACTGGCTGAATAATTTCTGTTTGAACTCAAACCATGAGAGTAAATAACAATAGGCATTTTCGAGCTTAAAATTTTCAGATTTGCATTATTAATTACTCCCATCATTTTTTTAACCATTACCTAACCAGATATTTTTATGAGCCATTTAGGAGGAGCTATTCTAATGCCTAACTGTCTTTTAAATATAAAATTAAGAGTATCAAAGTAGCCTGGGTATGGCATATAACTCACATCATATTTCTTTGCATATTTTTCATCAGTAGGATAAAATACTGAAACTTCTGTGCCAGATATTTCTTTGTAGACAAATCCTATATTTTTAAAAGTTCCAGTTGTTAATAACAATCTCAAAACAGGGAAAGTATAATAGACAATCATAGACAAAAGAACAAAGGTAAGGCCTGCCATCATATTGTAAGATCTATAACCGTAAGAAATAATGTTATACTCCTATAAAATTATACAAATCTCAGCAAGAATAACAGTTATAACATTGATTCTTATTCCATCTATTTTATAATACCCAATAAAACAAATAAGAAAAGCCCAAATTGATAAAAATTAGTAGTCATCCAAAAACTTCAACCATGGGATATCATTTATAACCTTAGGTTCTGACAACTTAAAGATGCTTAGCATCTAATTGGCAATCAAGATGAATTCAAATCCTCTTAATTCTTTATCTTTCATTATTTTTTAGGGAGAAAATAAAATTTTTATATTAATTTAAAAATATTAATTATGAATTTTAATTAAATTAATTTGTAAAATATCCGTATCTATTTTCTTTCTTTTTTTATTTATTTATTTATTCTTTTTTCTTTTAGAAGAATTATTCATCAAAAATTAAATGAATTCACAAATCTGATGCGATATCTATTTATTAAGTAACACAAATATTATATCCATAAATTGAATTCTTTTTATTATCTAAATTAATTAATATTAGGATTTTATTAAGGACTTTAAAAATTGTGTGGACCAATTCTGACTGTTATTTATGCAATAAAATGTATATCCTCAAAATAAAAATTAAATAAAATGTAAGCAATTATAAAAATTCAAGCATCTATTGCTATTATATAACTTTTTGCAATATTTGAGTTAATGGAAGCCATAGATAGGCAAATAGTTATTTATGACCAAAAGACTCCTTAAAAATATAAAATATAATAGAGAATTATCAAAATTATTTCAATAAATTTTTAAAATTATGAATTTATTAAAGTAATTCTAATTATTTAAATAATTTTTTTATCTTATATTAAGTAAAATGTTCAAATTAACTTTAAAATTGGTTACAATCTATTTAAATTTTATACATCAATTTTTACTGCAATATTTTATAAATTAAGCTCAAAATTAGTTTTTTAGATGATATTAACATTTTCTGTATGATGTTCTAAAATATATTTTCAAAAATACTATTCTTTTTGCTAATTAGTAAGTAAGATTTGACAAAAAAACAAAATTCTTAAAAGCTTAAAAATAAATAACCTTAAATTAATTTAATTGAATATTTTTTTTATTTTACTTAAAAAATTAAAATTATTAAATCCATTTCTAAATTTAAAGATTAATAATAGTTAGATTTTTTAAAATATTTCTTGCAAAATTTTTAAATAAATTTAGATAAAGAATTTAGTTTTTAAAATATAAATTATTAACAAAATTATTTTTGTTTTAAAGAAAATTAATTAATATTTAAAAGATAAAAAAATTTTTTGATATTTAAAATAAATAAATGAATATTTTAGGATTGATCAAAACTCATAAATATCATATAAAACTTGACAAGGATTATTTAAGAGTTTTTGTTTTATTATTCTATTAAATGCAATAAGCTAATTTAATGAAGATTGATAAATCTTTTCATTTTCAAAAAAATGATAGAATTAATCTTTGTCAATAAATGTGATTTTACAGTTTGAAAATTGGTAAAATACTTTCAAATAGGTTTAAATAAATTGTTTTCCTAATATTTCTCCTCCTTAGTTTGTAAACTTTATCATATTAACTTATGTGAATATTTTAGCTTCAATCATAGATTTACAAATCGTTTCAAAGAACTAAAATTCCATAAATTATACATCTATCTCAAACTTTTGCTTATTTTATTTTATACCAAATCTGTTTGTTCTTTAAAGATTTTTTACCTCTACTTAGAATATCCTTCTATTGTCTGTAAATATTTTATTGAAAATTTACTCTATAAAATCGTATTAACACTCTTAAATAAAGTAAGTGATATTTGTTTGATGTTTTTAGAAAGTTGTGTATTTATCAACTACTTCCTACTAATTAATGTTTTACACATCTTGAGGAAGGATTAAAATATCTTTTATATGAGTACCATACTTAATGAATTTAATCCAATTTTTAACAATTTAAATAATGCTTGGAATATATAATAAAAAGCAGAAATAAATAGTTTATCTCAGACTTTTCAGCTACTATTAATCATAAATATATAAATCAATAATAAGTATCATTACTATCTAGCAAACTGAAATAAAAGGGAATATTCTTTTATAAGAGATATCTTTGTTGTTGAAAAATCTGCTTACTTTTTTATCTCTAATCTTAACTAAATGATAACCACCTATTTGAGAAACTATTATTTCATCTATATAATTACAACCGAACTTATCACATAAAAAATATGTTTCTATAATTATAAAGAGCACAAATATTAATCCTACTAAATAACTTTTAAAAAAATAAATAACTGAAGTTATGTTTAAAAAGCATCCTATTGCTATTTCAGTAGACTATATTAATATTATTAAATCTCGCTTATATTGAAAATATCTTTTTTAATTAAAGAGACTGATGTCAGCTAAAAATCCAATCAAAATCGTAAACAAAAAGTTCAGCTTATCATTGCTATACATAATAACATAGTAGATTTATAGAATACAAGAAATATGATGGATAAAGAATTCAATTTCTCTAAATACAACAAAACCTTCTGTTATCGTTGCTGGTGTAATTCCAATTAAAGTTAGACAAAAGTCTTATTCACTTGATTAATCAGTTAATCTATGATCAAAAGCTATCATCCACCACTTTTTGAAAACAATTAATGTTCCCATTATTATTGGAAGAATTATTAATCCATGAAAAATAATTAAATAGGCTAAGTTAAATATAATTAAAATTTCTGTAACCTACTAAAGTCCTATAAAAAAAGCCACCCAATCTCTCTTCTCCTTCGTCAAGTCTTCAGAAACATATTAGCGATTCCCCATTTGAAATACAGTTTTAAAGTGTATAAAATTTAAAATATTTATTTTTACAGTGTTTGTTTTTGAAAAACGCCTTGTTTTTAATTGTTACTTTTATGATTGATTAATAATATAAATATTTTTGAATTTTTTAGATTTCAACAAAATAAATTATGATGATGGTTTATCATTAAATTCTAGATTAATTTTTAAATAATTAATCATCATAAATATAATAAATTAGTTAAATAATTTATTAAAAAATAATGTATTTATTGTGTTGTTTGTTAATACAATTAAAAATGTTTAAAATGTAAAACCTAAACAAAAAACATAATTTTTAAAAAATAATATCATTAATTACTTCAAAAATTAAATTTTTTTCTATCTAAATATCTATTTTTAAAAGATAATTTACTACAGTAATTATTGTGTTTGCAACTTATTTTCCATTTTATTCATAAACTTGCTAATCAATTTTCAAATTTTCTTTGTTGTTTACCTTTTCATTTATAAAGTAAACAAATTTGCATTAAACAAAATTTTAATTAATTTTATTAACTTCTAAGATTAAAATATATCAGTTAAAACCTAAAATTTTTTGGAATTTTATTGATGAAAATATTGTAAAAAAATATAAAATTTTAATAAGTAAGATTTGACAAAAAAACTAAAATTCTTAAAAGCTTAAAAATAACAAAATCTATTTAATTGTATATTTAATATATTTATATTTTTTAACTTAAGCAATTAAAATTATTAAATCAAATTCTAAATTTAATGATTAATAATTAGATTTTATAAAATATTTCTTTCAAAATTTTCAAATAAAATTAGATAAAGAATTTAATATTTAAAATATAAATTATTTTTACTCAAAAATAAATTAATTAATATTTAAAAGATAAAAACAATTTTTGAGAATTGAATTAAATAAATAAATATTTTAGAATTGATCAAAATTCATAAATATCATATAAAACTTGACAAGGATTATTTAAGAGTTTTTGTTTTATTATTCTATTAAAAACAATAAGCTAATTTAATAAAGATTGATAAATCTTTTCATTTTCAAAAAAATGATAGAATTTATCTTTGTCAATAAATGTGATTTTACAGTTTGAAAATTGGTAAAATACTTTCAAATAGGTTTAAATAAATTGTTTTCCTAATATTTCTCCTCCTTAGTTTGTAAACTTAATCGTATTAACTTATGTGAATATTTTAGCTTCAATCATAGATTTACAAATCGTTTCAAAGAACTAAAATTCCATAAATGATACTTCTATCTCATAATGTTGTTTATTTTATTTTTTATCAAATTTATTTGTGTTTTAAAGATTTTTTACCTCTATTTAGAATATCCTTCTATTGTCTGTAAATATTTTATTGAAAATTTATTCAATAAAATCGTATTAACACTCTTAAATAAAGTAAGTGATATTTGTTTAATGTTTTTAGAAAGTTGTGTATTTATTAACTACTTCCTACTAATTAATGTTTTACACATCTTGAGGAAGGATTAAAATCTCTTTTATATGAGTACCATACTTAATGAATTTAATCCAATTTTTAACAATTTAAATAATGCTTGGAATATATAATAAAAAGCAGAAATAAATAGTTTATCTCAGACTTTTCAGCTACTATTAATCATAAATAAAGAAATCAATTATAAGTATCATTACTATCTAGCAAACTGAAATAAAAGGGAATATTCTTTTATAAGAGATATCTTTGTTGTTGAAAAATCTGCTCACTTTTTTATCTCTTAGCTTAACTTAATGATAGCCACCTATTTGAGAAACTACTATTTCATCTATACAATTACTACCGTACTTATCATATAAAAAATATGTTTCTATAATTATAAAGAGCACAAATATTAATCCTACTAAATAACTTTTAAAAAAATAAATAACTGAAGCTATGTTTAAAAAGCATCCTATCGCTATTTCAGTAGACTATATTAATATTATTAAATCTCGCTTATACTGAAAATATCTTTTTTAGTTAAAGAGACTGATGTCAGCTAAAAATCCAAGCAAAATCGTAAACAAAAAGTTCAGCTTATCATTGCTATACATAATAACATAGTAGATTTATAGAATACAAGAAATGTGATGGATAAAGAATTCAATTTCTCTAAATAAAACAAAATGTTCTGTTATCATTGCTGGTGTAATTCCAATTAAAGTTAGGCAAAAGTCTTATTCACTTGATTAATCAGTTAATCTATGATCAAATACCATCATCCACCACTTTTTGAAAACAATTAATGTTCCCATTATTATTGGAAGAATTATTAATCCATGAAAAATAATTAAATAGGCTATGTTAAATATTATTAAAATTTCTGTAACCTACTAAAGTCCTATAAAAAAAGCCACCCAATCTCTCTTCTCCTTCGTCAAGTCTTCAGAATCATATTAGCGATTACCCATTTTCAGTTACAGTTTTAAACTGTTTAAAACTTAAAATATTTATTTATACAGTTTATGTTTTTGAAAAACGCCTTGTTTTTAATTGTTACTTTTATGATTGATTATTAATATAAATCTTTTTGAATTTTTTAGATTTCAACAAAATAAATTATGATCATTGTTTTTCATTAATATCTATATTAATTATTAAATAATTAATAATCATCAATACAAACAATTAGTTAAATAATTTATTCAAAAATAATATATGTATCGCATCGTGTTTTATGTACAATTAAAAGTGTTTAAAGTGGAAAACTTTAACAAAAAACAAAACCTCTTACCTTGACTCGATAAAAATAACTATTTCGAGGTTCGAGGTTAGTATTACGGTAATATATATTTCTAATTTTTACATAACTAGAAGCGAAAAAGTGAATTTTGCTATTTGATAAAAAATTAAAAAAGCATTCTTAGATAAAATAATGAATTTAACTTGAAACAAAAGTGATTAATAATTTGATAAAGATATTCAAAATTTCCAAAATTTAATGATACTTTCATAAATATTATACCTTGAATTAGTATTATTTTTATCATTTATTAAATTTAAATGTAATAAAAAATATTTGATTATTTAAAATTTATTAATTATTTGATCTCATTATTAATTATTTTAATTTTAATAATTTATTAAAACTTATTGAATATTTATTATTATTTCTCATTTTAATTAAAAACTTTATTAAAACTTATTGAATATTTATTATTATTTCTCATTTTAATTAAAAACTTTATTAAAACATTGTTATTAATTAAATTTCTTAAATCTAAATTCATTTCTCTCTCTTTTAAGAATATTATTATATCATATATAATTATTGTATTTTTATTTCTTTTTTTTACAAAATGTCAAAACCTTTTTATAAAAATTAAAAACTAAAATAATTTAAATTCAAAATTAATGTTTCAGTAAGTGTTTCATAACATATTTTTTTTAAGTTAATATAATAATATGATATTTATTTCATAAATGTACTTTAAGACGAAGCTTTAAATTTTTTTTTATGAATGGAGTCGTTTAAAAAAGTGTACATTTATTGAACAGAAATTTTTACTTTAACTTGATTTCATTTAAATTGTTATTTTGACCTTATGGCTGAATAGATAGTTTAAATTATTTTTTATTTGAAAAATTCCTTCTTAAAGATTAATAATTCACAATAGGATTTGTTTCCAATTTACTTTATAAACATCATTTTATAAACTTCTAATTAAAATGTTATTTATGTGTAAAACTTTTGAGCAAATAACATTTTATTTTATTTTCAAGGATATTTGAATTTTCTCAGGATTCTGAATACTGTTTGTATTCATTATATAAAAAATGATTTATTTAGAAAAAAAATTATTTTATTAATTACTATTCTAGATTTTATATTAATTTTGTCTATCAATTTATCTTCTAAATTAAATAATTAGATATAAAAATTATAAATAGAATACTATATTATTTTATTATTTATTGGGACGAGCTTTTTTTTAACTGAATTTATCGCGAATCGATTATATACATATATACAGACTACCTAAGAAAATATTAGTTTTCTTAATTTCAAAAAAAATCAAAAAAAAATCGAAAAACTCAAAAAATATGAAAAATAACACAACAAGAAAAAAAAGATATTTTAAAGTTGAATTAAATAAAAATGAACCATTATAACCAAAATACCCCAATTTAGATTCTAAGAATAAAACTAAAGCATAATGTGAGAAAGAGCTTAAGATTTATGATGAGGAGAATAAAGAATATTTAGAAAAAATGACAAAATATAAAACAATCTTGAACACATTTTATAAAGATCTTTTTGATAATTATAATGAGGAAGATTACGATGCCTTAAAAAATTTATCGTAGTTCGATGAAAGTTAGGCAAAATTAAATGTATGTTTTTGGTTTTGTTGCGATGAATTAGCTTGTAGTATTGATTACAGAAACCTATTCTATTAGATGAAATGTTCTACTCCATAATAAAACACTAAATCTTTAGATAATTTCAAATATTAATAAAAAGTATATGATAAATCTAAATAATTATCGCTTAGAATAATAAAATATAATGATTTATTTAGTATCAAATAAAAACAAGGCACTAAGTTAATTTTGTTTCATTTTGTTGCCTTGCAAAAAAAAAAAAAAATTAAAAACATTTAAAGTTCTGATTCAGACTTAGATTAAAGTCATTCAGATTCTTTAAACATAAAAAGGCCAAGATTTTTAAAAAAAAAGAAAGCTAAATTTCAAGATTAATCTGATTATGAAAGTTAAGAAGAGGAGGTATATTAAGATGAGGAATATGAGGAGGATTAAGAATCAAAGGAGGAAGAGACTGAAAAGGAAATATACTAGGAGGAATAAGAAGAAGAGTAATAATATTAAAATTAAGAAGACAAAATTTAATAAGAAGAAGACAAAACTTAATAAGAAGTATAACATGATGAAATTATTCATAAATCGATTGACTTTTAAACTAAATCTCCCTAAAATAAATTTGATAAATAAAATTGTAAATATCTAATTAAAATTTTTCAATATAAATTTAGATATTTGCTCTTAATTTTAATTTTTATCAAATAATAAAAGAAAATACTTAATTAATTTTTATATTTTATAAAAAAATGAGAAAAATAAATAGTAGCTGAATATGCAAAGGATATAAACAAGAAAGAGATCTTTTAAATTTAAGATGATAAGGAAGATGATTTATAAATTTTGTAAAAATAAAATACATGTAAGTAAGCTATTCTTATTGATGAAAAAGAAAGTTAATCCTAAGGTTAATATGAAAATAAAGGTTAAAATTTAGTATAATTTATAAAATAACATGTCGAATTCCTAGAAAAATATTAGAATTAATTTGCAGATTATTTTAATAGTTTTAATAATAATAAAAAAAGTAAGTATAATAATATAGAATTTTAAAATTTGCTAGATAAATAAAAATATTAATTATTAGATTATGTAACTGAAATGCTTGAATATGAAAAAGAAAAACTTTGCAAGAAATACCCAAGTTTAAAAACTAAATGAAAATTAAATAGTTAATAATTGATTTATATTTAGATAAAAAATGATTAGCATGAGGAACTATTTCTTATCGGAAAGTTATTTATGAATGCTTAAATATTAAAAATGAATTTTATTTTTAAAATTTAAGTTAACATAAAAAAAGTTTTTTTTATAGATTTTTTTATATGAATATATTTTCATTTTTTAATATTATCTATATTTACATATGTATGTATCTAAGTGCTATGAATTTGATTCATTTTTTAATTTTAGAACTGCTATTTGGTAAAATATTATAAGGCATACTTTCTTATTGCATGAATGAGTATCTTACTCTATAAAAATAAATTGAAAAAGGTTTGTGAATCAATATGTCTAGCTAATTTTATTGCAAAAATTTCTAGCTAAAATTAATAATTATTTATTTAATATTGTAGATCCTTAGTAATTAACATCTACGAGAAATTTAGTAACTGCTTTCAAAAAATGTATCTAAAGTGTAAGAACTTATTAAAAAAGCTGTTATGTTTAATATCCATAATGAAGCATTCAAAGTAACTATTAAAATAACATTTTGATATCTATATTATTAGTTATTCTATTTTCAATTTGAGATAGTTTACTCTTTAATGTTTATTTTTTGATTTTTAGAAGAAATTATTATGTTATGGACTCTATAAATTATTTATTATTTAAGTAAAATCTATTTTTGTATGCATATAATACATATTTAATTATATTTAAATGACTGATTCTATTCTCTTATAAGCAATGTTTATGAATTACAGTTTAATTAATTAATTATATATTTTTTCTAAATGAATTATTTGTTTTCGAGTATTCTCCTTGAAGCTTTAGTTAAATATTCTATTTTTTAAAATTGCTTTTTTAATATTAAATAAATTTTAAATAGAGAGAATTAAACCTTTTAAATTTTGGAAATATTTAATGTAGTAATATTTTTTATTTATTTTATTGTATGCTTTTTAAAAATGAAATATTAAAATTTGGATAGCTTAATATAAAATGTTTACTACTAATGAATGATGAAGAATATAAATAAATTAAATAATAATAATAATTAATAATAATTTAATTAGTTTTAATTATCTTTTTCTTTTAGTTACTTACTTATTCAATGATTCAATAAGTTAATTAAAATAATTAACATAGATAAAAGATCCTTAGCTTTATCAATAAAAATTAATATTTATAAAATAATAAACAATAATTTATGGGCTTATAATTTGTTTGTTACTTAAATAAAAGAAAAAATTAAATAAATATTAAATATTTATCATAGCCAATTCATGAAAGAAAAGAAATAATCAATCAATAATTTAACAATCTAAATTAATTTATTCTAAATTTAAATACAATATTCACATAGGAAAATATTAAAATTGATAATTTTTTCATTAAATATATGATTATTTATTTTCACATATAAAAAACAATTGATCTTTTGCAAAAAATATTTAAAAAAATAAATCGTACTATATATATATCTTTATTCATTCATTTAGTTTAATAGCTTCTAGTAAGGCCAACTATAATTCATCATTTGAATTAAGTTGTGTTAAGATGCGATTCAATACTATAGATTTATTAGTATATGTATCTTACCCATTTAAGAATAGCTTGTAAGAATTTTTATATTAAATTTATGAATTTTAGAAACTTTCTAAATGGTCAAATTAAAGTTTTTTAAATATTTCTTTGTCGCTCGTATTTGCACAATTCAAGGAAGGTTTAGTATCTGGGATCTATTCATCTTTATCCATATTTTCTTGAGTTTTAATCTTTTTTGTTGGTTATCCTGGTTATTAAAATTTATTTATAATTAAAAAATAAAAAATCAAATTAGATAAATACTAAAAATTAGCAATTAAGAATATATATATATATTAAAATAATTAATTATTTTTTAATTTAACCTTTCTTGTTAAAATCCTCCTCATCTTACAGAGATTCAGAACTCTAGATTTCACCTAAATCTGAAGTGTGTTGATCTTCTAAATCTTATTCCTCATATAAACTTTTAAAATAATTTAGTTTTCATTTATTTTTTAAGTAAAAAAAAAATTAACTATTAAGGAGGTGATTTAGTGTTTTGATCCTTTTTGTTTTTCGTATTTGCCATTATCTTTTTTTTAATTTCCAATTATTAAATTATTAATATTTATTTAAAATTTATTGTTTATTGAAAATCAAAATTTGATTAAGATAAATACGAAAGTTAAGCATATAAAATCTGATATCTAATTTTATATTTTAATTATTTTAAGATTGATTTACTTCTTTCATTTGAATTTCCTCATTCAATCGATTATTATTTTTTTCTTCCTCTTCTTCTTCTTCTTTTTCTTCTTCTTCTTCTTCTTCTTCTTCTATTTACGATTCACAAAAATAGTACTTAAATTCCTCTTATAATTTTTCATTAATTTATTTTGGCTCTACAAAATGACAAAGTACTCTTTTAGTCACTTCATTTTATTTAATTAATCTAATTAATCTTAAATCCAGATTTTCATTATAAGGTATTTGAATGTATTGAAAATTTTAGCTTTAAACAGAACGTTAATTTTTGCCACCACAGTTCAATTCCTCAAATACACTTTCCAATTCTTTTTCATTTTCTTAAAATTGATACCAGAAGAAAGTATTTTTTTCAAGTTCAAGTTCAATTTCATTAAGTTTCTAAACATTTGGAATAGATTCATAGCTTAAATTTTCTTTTCCCTTGAACATTTTTTCATAGAACGAATTTATAGATTTTATAGGATCAGATTTAATATAATCTCCTTGACTTTTATAATCAAATTTTTTTACAAAAAAATAAGATTTTTTATTTTATTTTTAATTCATTTTAAGATTTTTTTCTTTCTTTTGAATTTCCTCATCTAATAGATTATTTTATTTTTTTCCCTCTGCTTTATTTTACGATTCACTTAAAATGTACTTGTTATCCTCATTGATTTTATTGAAATTTACTTTTCGCTCTACAAAATGAAATAGAAATCTTTTAGGAGTATCTTTTTTATTAATAAATCTTAAATCCAGATTATCATTATAACGTGTTTATTTGTATATAATTTTTACATCTTTAAACTAAGAATCATATTAATATATTTACAAATTAAATTTTAAATTTTCAAGTAAACAATTCAATTCTTCATTTTCTTAAAGTTGATACCAGAAGAAAATATTTTTTTTCAGTTTACTTTCCTTAACTTTCTAAACATCTTTAAGAGGTTCTTTTTTATTATTTTTGAACATTTTTACATAGAACAAATTTATAAAGTGTTCAGTATTAGATTCATTATAATCTTTTTCACTTTTATAATCAAATTCTTATTCAAATAAAGGATCTTCTAATTCAGTGTTATCTTCTTTCATGATCTGTTTTTGATTTTATTTGTTATTTTAATTATTTTAGTTTTATAATATAAACAATTACATTTTGCACATTTTTATAAAAAAAATCATTAAGTTAAACTGTCTTTATCAATCTAATTTTTTTCTTTCAAAATAAAAATAAATCCTTTAATGTAGAGAACATTTTATTTGATTTTTCTCTTATGAGGATTAGTAATATTTGTGTATTTCATGCTTTTATAGATCAAAATAAGAAATAAAATTAAATAGCAATAATGTTTCTGATAATTCAAAATAATAATCAGTCAAATACTTATATTATTAAGTATATTTCTCATATTTTAGGAGTGGAAAATTGTGTATATTTTTTTCTTCGAAATAATTTTCTAAAAATTTTATTTCTTGCAGAATTGATTGATTCCTATTAATATTTTTCTTTTAAAAGCATCATAATCTTACATTACTCTCTTTTTAACATATTCTAATTTATTGCTAATAAAATACAACACTTCATAGAGATTTTTAGTAAAGATCTTGATTGAATGTAGAGATATTTTTTTTTTACATAAAACTTTTTGTTTGTATATATTAAGCAAATATATACCTTTAACTCTAATATTCATACAAATATAGAGTAAAGGGTTCTTAATTTTATTTTAGAAAAATTAAGATAAATACTCTGTGTATGTATTGAATTGTACCTAGCCTTGAAAAAGACAATACTCTAGGGTAAATATATATATATATATATATATATATTTACATATGTATATAATAATTAAAAATATTCATTTTTTATGTCTTGTTATTTTAAGGAGTAAGTTGTAAAGACCTAATTTACCTTACCAAATAATTGAGATAGATTAATAAATTCTCTTAATCAAAAAGTGCCACATATTAAAAAAATCAGAATCACACCTTTTAAAGCAAGAGATGTTTATATAGTGTAAACAAACATCTATTAATCAAAAAGTACCACAGATTAAAGAAAAATCTTAATCACAGCTTTTAAAACAAGAGATGTTTACATAATCAATTCCATTAGTAATATGAATAATCATTCAAGCTTTTTTCTATATCTAACATTAATGATGTATCCTTTAAAATTGACGTAATAATTTTTTAATATCGGTTGAAGCAATTGATGATGACTTTTTCTCTATTATGATGCTTAATTAGCTATTTAAAAGGATGAATTATTATTTTGAATAAGTGAGTCAAATAATAAGATATCTATTTTCCACTCATATTAATTTCGACTTTTCATATTTTCTACTCTTAATCTTCATTTCTTAATAATTCACAAATTGTATTACTCTCTTTCATGAAAAATAAGAAGGACCAACTTATTAATAGTAATTATAGATATGAGCTCATTTTTTAGTTTAAATTTATCTATTAAAATAAATAAGGATCTCTATACTTGTTTTCTTATAATTCTAATGATTGCTGTATTTAGCTACTATAATTTTTTTAAATATCGAAACCTAAATTTATACTTGTATTTTTTTAGAGATAAAATTATATTAAAATTAAAATATATACATAATTTTATTTATTCAGCTATGCTAGGAATTTGATCTGAAAAGTCATTTTTGATGTCTTTTAAAATAAGCTGTAATTGTAGGCTTATTATATTTACTCTTTCATCTTCATGTTACGCGTGTAAAGCTATTTTATTTATCTAATTAAATAATTCTTAATAATTTGTTAATTTTTACTGGAGGTATTATTGACTTTGTAGTTAAAATAAATAAAAAACATGCTATTTGAAATATTTTTGCATGTCCTGTATTTTACTTTAATAAAAAATAAAGCATTTAAAGTAAAATGTTTCATAAAATTTTTATTTATTTATAAGTAATCATCATTAATAAATAGATATTTATTTTATAAATTGAAAAGAAAATAAAAACATACAACTCATATTTTATTATTTATTATTATTAGAAATATTAACTAATTTCATATTCATAAAAATCATTTTAAAATTAATAATTGAAAATAAAATTTAAAGAATTATTTCAGTACCATTCCAAATATCGAATTTTATTTTCTAATTTTATTTTTGAGCGGTCTAAAATATTTTATTGAAACTCTGAAAAACCTTCATTTATATATATATATATATATATATATATATATATATTAGTATCTCGTAACATTATTCTAGATTTAGAAATAAAATTAATAAAAATAAATTTATTTTAAAAATTTTAAATATATATTTTATAAGAATGTAATTATTTAAAAAACTAAGTACGCTTTGCTTTGAATAAAATGCTTCAAAGAAATGTGATTTTTTTTAATTTCATTCAACAAGATTTAAAAATTTTATTAATTATTTTTAGTTATAATCTTTATCTTATTTTAATTTTTTAATGTATATTTTATTTAAATCTGAAAACAAAAAAAAAACTAATCAAATGCAAAAACAATATTAGAAAATTTTTGAATCATTTTTGGGCAATAACAATGAGTATTTTCTCAGTAATTGTCCTATAGTTAAACCAAAACAACCTCCTAAATCTAAAGAACTTACCGATTATGAAAAAAGATTATAAAATTAGACTCTAGATTCATATAATCCAAATAAGAAAAAATAGCTTGATGAAAAATATAAGAAATATCTGCAAAAAAATAAAATTTATGAAAAAGATAATGCTAATTTTATTAAAGAAATGAACTCATTCTTGAATTAATTGTTTGAAGTAATATTTTAAAATGAATAAAACTTTTTTGCCTTCGAAGAAATATAATATTAACTTGAAATGATTTAAAAAAATGTTTGTTTTTTAATTGGTTCAAAAATATCTTGGAATTATGAAAATTTATTTAGAGAGATGAATTGCAATATCAGAGCTAAAGAATATAAATTAGATGATTATAGGATATAAGAAAGTCCTTTTAAAGAAAGGGAATTATAATTAAGAATAGTAAAGCCTTTGAGCCAAAGAAATGGAGAGCGCTAGAATAATACACTTGGCGATTTTATATTGCTCCAAATTATAGATATATAAAGTGATTCTAATCCTAATAATTTATATAGTGAAAGAATAGAATAACGTAATTTAATTTATAGATATATTTTAAATAATATTTAATTTTTGTGATATATATAAAAACCATTTCTTAAAAAATCATTTTCTTGAGAAAAAATTTCAGTTAAATTAATTATTATGTGTTTTATTTAATTTATAGCTAAATAATTTTAATATTTTAAAAGATGAGGAATAGGAATAAAATAATCCTATTGATTCATTTTCTTTAAAATAAGAAGACTTTGCAAATTTGGATGGAGATAATAAATAACTTAAAAATGAATATAAAAAAATACCTATCTCATCTATATTACCTGCATCTAAAGCAATTATTAAAAATAAAAGTGAAAGCTATCGAAGTAATCTATCTTAATTTACGATTCTATTTTCTTATGTTTTCTAATTTTTTTATTATAATACTATAGCTTATCATAAAGAAGAAGATGCTGATTCAAATATTATTCCTTAAATATAAACTATAAATTAGGGTCATTAATAAAATAGATAGATTATAAATAATGCTGCTGATAAATATTATTCGTCTCATAACTTTTCAAACCAAGAATCATGTTCTAATTATGATAGTAGCAATAGATATTAAAGCTCTACTAAAAATGCTTTCAATACAAAATAAGAATCAGATGAGGATGATAATGTTTATAAGTCTTTTAATAAAGAAGATTTAGTTGAAATGTTAAAAGAGAGAGATGCTTTAGACAAGTTTAAATGGATATAAGAAGGGATTGAAAAGGTATAAAATTTTAAGAAAGATTTAAGTAATTAAAATCATTTGATTTAAAATAGTAGATTTCCTTCTAATCAATAAAAATGAATAGTATTAAATTGAAACTTTTATATGCGGTAAAGGTTCATATTTTAAGGCCACAATATATTAAGGCAGGTTTAAAAAAAATTTAAATATAATAAAATAAATAGATACACTATTTTGGATTTAGTTTTTTAGATAAATACTATAATTAGGGTATAGAAAATAAAAAAATACAATTAAATTATGTGATATTTTATTATTTAATACATAAAGAAATGAAATTTTAATTCACTTAATAGATATAAAATAAAAATTATAAATGTCCTTTCCGTCTTTTAAATAAATAAAAAAATTAAAAAATGAGAAAAAAATGGTGTAAATAAGATTTAATTTACTATATAAACGGTGCACAATCAAAGATTGGGCTGGAAGCCTAAATTGTGACCACTGGCTTGACGGTGCAATTCAATGCTCTACCTGAGCTAGAATTTGTGGCGATTGTGGAACAGAAGGTGCTGTTAAGTCTTGCATTATTATTCTTGTTAACGTAGACATCCGCCTGAAGACGTACATATAATTATTATTTAAAAGAGGACTTGATAGCTGAAATTGCCTCTAGCAGATCTCTGCGCTGCTTTAATTTATCTGAACGAACTTGTACTTGAAATGTACGATTTTATCAATCTTGATCAAATGTTACATCCTCAAGAGCTTCCTGATTTGTTTTCGTATGTACTTGCGCTCTTGCTTCATCATTTAGCTCAAGAGAGGCAGTAAGGTTGAATTACAGCTTTAGCCTATCTAATCCCACTCTCTGATTCTCAGTGGTTCTCTAATTTCTAGTAACATATCTTAGGACCAGAGCACTTTAAAGAGGTAGAGCTGTTCTTGAGGAGAAAACTCATCAAAAATAATAATCCTCACTTGTCTAACATATCTTTTCTACATTAATGCTTAGCTGCCAGTCATCTCCTTCTTGTATTGTTTCGATAACTTCTCTAGTTAATTCCTACCTTGAACAAATGTACATGATGGTGTAGTTTAGTGTGTGAGTGTGTTTGCTTGCCTTTTTTCTTATCTCTATTATTCTTCTTCTACTAATCGATGAATACAGCTGTAGAGAAGATTACTTTTTTTTTGTTTGTTTTTCACTATTTTTTTTAAATAAATAATTATAATATTTTTGATAGCAAAAGCTATGAACGAGCTGAGTAAAATAAGGCACGTAAAAACTTTATATTATACGGTTGCCTGGTAATATGTTTTTTTTCACCTGAGAGACTCGGTATAATGCAATTTAAGATGTTAAGCTGAGAGAGAGAGCAATTACTTGTCAGATAAGACAGACAAAAAAAAATAACTCAAATAAGAAAAAACAACATTGATAAATTAATTTCTTTTATTATCTTTTTTCTTTCTTTATTTCTTTTTCCTTGTTTTGTTTTTTATTGGTCCTACCCCCTTCACTCATAACTTTTTCTTGAACGAGCACCCTGATACCTTAGTCGTTTATTGGTCCTCAATCCCCAATCACATGTTCACAGTTACATTTCTCTAAGTCTATTTAGCAAAAAAAATGAAAATTGCTTCTAATAAGTTGATTGTAAAATGAAAATGATCTAGAAGAAACAAATTTTTTAATTTTAGGATGAATGAGAAAAGGAACGAAGTACAGATAATCTGGCTTAGCTAAATTTTAGAGGCTTAAAGTAAATAGGTTTGATAAATAAATAGATAAATATCATAAGAGTAATTTAATTAAGTAAATTAGATAGATTTCATTCGTTTTTTAGACTTTTCTTAAAATTTATTTACAATTTGATTTAATATGGTAGCAATTTATTGTGCATTTAGATAATATCTCTCTATATAATAGATATTGGCAATACAAACTGAGAGAAATAAAAAAATTCCGACCTGTTTTACAAATGTTTTTATGTATTTAATACTCACGCGAAAAATATTGCTTCGAACACTAGGGTACGGGTAGTGTTTATATATATATATGTTTATTATTTTTAAGGGGTAAGTTATACAGACCTAATTATTATAATATAGAAACGTCATCAAAATGTAGAATTTTTTTTGTGATTACATAATCAATTATTTCGTAATATAAATAATCATTCTAGCTTTTTTCTACCTCTAACTCTAATTGTATAAATGATGTATGCTCATTTATATCTTTTTTTAAAATTGACGTAATATCGTTTGAAGCATTTGATGAAATTTTCTCTATTATGATACTTAATTAGCTATTTAAAAGGATGAATTATTATAAATTGTATTATAATTTTTCATGAAATATAAGAAAGACCAACTTATTAATAGTAATTATAAATATTAGTTCATTTTTTAGTTTGTAATCTATCTATTAAAATAAATAAGGATCTCTATACTGATTTTCTCTTAATTCTAATGATATGCTGTATTTAGTTACTATAATTTTTTTAAATTTCCAAAATCCAAAAATTCTACTTGTCTTTGTTTAGAGCTATAAAATTAGATTAAAATTAAAAGATATTTATAATTTTTCTTTATTCATCTATGCTAGGAATTTGATCTGAAAAGTTAATTATGTTTTTTAAAATAAGCTGTAATTGTAGACTTATTATATTATACTCTTTCATCTATATGTTGCCCATGTAAAGCCATTTTATTAATCTAATTAAATAATTCTTAATTCATTAATATTGATTGGAGACATTATTGATTTTGTAGTTAAAATTAATAAAAAACATGCTATTTGAAATATTTTTTGCATATCCCTGCATTTTACTTTAATAAAAAATAAAACATTAATATTAAAATGTTTCATAAAATCTTTATTTAAAAGTAATCATCATTAATTAATAAATATTTATTTTATAAATTGAAAAGAAAATAAAAACAACAAGCTTGTAATTTATTATTAGCAATACTAACAAATTTCGTTTAAATAAAAATCATTTTAAAATTAATAATTGAAGGAAAAATTAAAAAATTTATTTTTAGTTCGAAATCCAAATATTAAATTTCATTTTCTAATTTAATTTTTGAACTGTCTAAAATATTTTATTAAAATTCCTAGTAAAGCCTCTATTTTATTATGTATATTATTGTGTCTTGTAACATTATTTTTAAAAAAAAATATATTTATTTTATTTTAAATAAAATAACTTTTTACTTGATTTAGAAATAAAATTGTTAATAAAAATAAATTTATTTTTAAAATTTTAAATATTTTATTAGAAAAAAGTTATAAAAAAAAAATACGCTTTGCATTGGCTAAAATGCTTCAAAAAAGTATGAAAAAAAAGAAATGTTATTTTTTAATTCATTCAAAAGAAGATTTAAAAATTTTATTCATTATATTTATTTATAATCTTTATCTTATTTTAATTTTGTAAAGTATATTTTATTTAAATCTGAAAAAAAAAAACAAAAAATTAATTAAATGCAAAATCAATCTTAGAAAATTTTTAAATGTTTTTTGGACAATAAGAATGAGTATTTTTCCATTAATTGCAATATAGATAAACCTGTTAAATCTAAAGAACTTACTGATTATGAAAAAAAAAAAAAAAATTAGAATACTCTTAATTCAAATAATTCACAAAAGAAGCTTGAAGAAAATTATTAGAGATATCTGCGAGAAAATGAAATTTATTAAAAATAGTATACTGATTTTACTAAATAAATGAACTCATTCTTGAATAAATTGTTTTAAGAAATATTTTAAAATGAATAGTAATTTGTTACCTTGGAAAAAATATAATATTAAGTTAATGTCATTTAAAAAAATGTTTGTTTTTTAATTGGTTCAAATATGTCTTGGGATTATGAAAATTTATTTAGAGATATGAAATGTAATATCAGATCTAAATAGTATAAGTTAGATAATTATAGGATATAAGAAAGTCCTTTTAAATAAGAAAAACTCAAATTAAAATTAAGAATAGTAAAGCCTTTGAGTCAAAGAAATGGAGACCGCAAAAATAATAAACTTGGCGATTTTATATTGCTCCAAATTATAGAAATATAAAATGATTCTAATTCTTAATAATTTAATCCTAATAATTTATAATTTGAAAGAAATTAATATGGTAATTTTATTTATAGATTTCTATTAAAATTTTAAATCATATTTAATTTTTGGGAATTATTTAGAAAAAACCATCATTCTCTTGAGATATAATTTTAACTAAATTAATTATTAGGTGTTTTATTTAATTTTTAGCGCATTAATATTAATATTTTTAAAAGATGAGGAAAAGGAATAAAATTAAATGATAGATTTGGTTTCTGTAAAATAAGAAGAAGTTGTAAATTTGGATGAAGATAAATAGCTTAAAAATGAAGATAAAAAAATATATAACTCATCTATATTAAATACATCTAAAGGAATTACTAAAAATAAAAATGGAAGCTATCCAAGTAATCTATTATCATTTACTATTCTATATTCTAATGTTTTCTCTAATTTTATTATTATAATACTATAAATAATGCTAAAAAAGATGATGTTGATTCACATATTTGTACTTAAACATAAACAATAAATTAGGATCAATAATAAAAAATATAGAAAATATATAATGCTGATGATAAATATAATTCGTCTCATAACTTATCAAACCAAGAATTATGTTCTAATTATGATACTAGCAATATATAATAAAGCTCTACCAAAAATGAATTCAATATAAAATAAGAATCAGACGAGGAATAAAATATTTATGAGTTTTTGAAAAAAGAAGATTTAATTTAATTATTAAAAGAGAAAGATGCTTTAGACAAGCTTAAATGGATATAAGAAGGGATTGAAAAGGCATAAAATTTTAGGAAAGATTTAAGAAATTAAAATAATTGATTTACATATGTAGATTTCCTTCTAATCAATAAAAATGAATAATATTAAATTGCAACTTTTATATGAGGTAGAGGTTCATATTTTAAGGCCACAATATATTAAGGCAGTTTTTAAAAAATTTTTAATGTGATCTGTTTTTTTAAATTTGATTGTCTAAAAATTTTCTATCTTTGTATTTTTTGAGAATATATATGTATATGTTTTTTTATATTTGTATCTATCAGCTTACAATAATTGAAAATATTCTTTTTTTATGTCTTATTATTCTAAGGAGGAATTGATCAAGACCTTACTAATTTATCTTACAGATAATTGATATGCCTTAATTAAATTGTCTTAATCAAAACTAGTTACAGATTTTTATTTTCAGCACAAATTAATCTATGGTCTTAATTTTCCTCTTTTTCTTAATAATTAAAAAATCTTATTATTCTTTTTCATGAAAAATAAGAAAATCATTTTACTGTTAGTAACTAGAAATTTGTTTATTTTTTAGCTTATATCAATCTATCTATTTAATAAGATAAATAAGGATCTCAATTTTTGTTTTTTTTTATAATTCTAATGATATATTGTATTTAGTTACTATAGTATTTTTTAATATCTAAAATCCTTAATTTCTACATTTTTGTTTTTGTTTAGAAAATAAAATTATTTTAAAATGAAAAGATATATTTATAATTTGGTTTATTTTGTTTTTGATGTTTTTCAAATAAGCTGTAATTGTAGACTTATTATATTATACTCTTTCATATACAAACTGCCTTTTTAAACATTTTATTTATCTAATTAAATAATTCTTAATTGGTTTTGATTTTGATTGAAGGCATTATTGATTTGGTAGTTAAAATTAATAATAATTAGTTGCAAAATTTAAAGTATCATTCTAATTAAAATATATTTTGCATATTCTTATATTTTAAAATACTTATAGTAAAGTGTTTCATAAATTGTTTATTTGCCAGTAATCATCTAAATTAATATTTATTTTATAAATTGAAAAAGAAAAAAAATATAAGTTTATTATTAGAAATATGAGCAAATTTAATTTCAATAAAAACCATTTTAAAATTGATAATTGAGTATAAAATTAATAAATTAATTATCAATATTATTCCAAATATGATATTTCATTTTTAAATTTAACTTTTGAGTGGTCTAAAACGTTAGATCGGAACTCGAAGTAAAGCTTCATTTATATAAATATATATATATTATATGTATTTCGTAATGCTATTTTCATTAAAAAAATTATTTTACTTTAATTTTCAGATAATAATAAGTAAAATAACATTTATTTGATTTAGAAAATTATTAATAAAAGTTTAAAATTTAAAATATTTTATTTTATTTTTTTTTAGGGATGTATTGCGGGGGTGGTATTCAAAAGTGAATGGAAAATGCATTATATTTTTTTCAAGATGATATTTCTATTAAAATTTTTTATTTTCCATTCTTTTTTGAATACCACCCCCACTTTTCACCTGTCCAAGAAAATTCTAAAATTCTATTCATCTTTTTTTAATTATTTAGTCATAATTTCTATCAAATTTTAATTAGATATATATCTTCTTTTATAAAATCACAACACATACATATACATAATCAATAAAATGCAAGATCAATCATAGAATATATTTAAAAGTTTTTTAGGCAATAATAATGAGTATTTTTATGTTAATTACAATATAGCTAAACCAAATGAGCCTTATAAATCTAAAGAAATAACTGATTATGAAAAAAGAATGTAAAATTAGAAACCACTTGATTTAAAAAACTAATAATTATAAAGGCAGCATAAAGAAGAGTATTAGAAATTTTAGCGACTCAATGAAATTTTTCAAAAAGATTATGCTATTTTTACTAAATAAATCAACTCATATTTGAATAAATTGTTTAGGGAAATATTTTAAAATGAATAACTATTTTTTGCCTTCAAAAAAATAAAATATTAACCTGAAATTATTAAAAAAGATGTTTGCTTTTTGATTGGTTAAGATGAGTCTTGGAATTATGAATATTTATTTAAAGCAATGAATTGTAATATGAGATCAAGAGAGTATAAATTAGATGATTATAGGATATAAGAAAGTCCTTTTAAATAAGAAGAACGCAAATTACAATTAAGAATAGTAAAGCCTTATAGCCAAAGATATGGAGACCGCTAGAATAATAAACTTGGCGATTTTATATTGCTCCAAATTATAGAAATATAAAGTGATTCTAATCCTTTATAATTTAATCCTAATAATTTATAAAGTGAAAAAAAAGAATAAGGTAATCTTATTTATAGATTTCTTTCTATTTATATTTTAAATCATATTTAATTTTTAAGAAATATAAAGAATGCTTTTCTTAAATAATCATTTTCTTGAGACATAACTTCTACTAAATAAATTAATTATCAGGTGTTTTATTTAATTTTTAGTTAAATAATTTTAATATTTTAAAAGATGAGAAATAAGAATAAAATAAAATGATTGATCGAGTTGTTAAGCCTATAAATACTATTTCAGGTGTAAAAATAGAAGAAGTAGTAAATTCCGATGGAGATGATATATAATTAAATTAGAAAGAATTTAAAAAAATACCGAACTCATCTATATTACCTTAATCTAAAGCTATTATTAAAGATAAAACTGGAAGCTATCAAAGTAATCTATCTTAATTAGCTATTATATTTTTAAATGTTTTCTCTAAATTTTATTTTATAATACTAAAGTTTAAATTAAAGAAGAAAATGTTGATACATTTATATAAGAAAATTTAGGTTATCCTGAGATATAATCTAAATTTTAGAGTCAATAATAATCTAAATATATTATAATTAATGCAACTGATCAATTTTATTCCTCTCATAACTTATCAAGCAAAGAATAAAATTTTCTTTATGATAATAACAAAAGATATTAAAACTCTACCAAAAATGTTTTTAATAAAAAATAAGAATCAGACGATGAAGATAATTTTTATGAGTATTTTTAAAGAGAAGATTTAATATAAATGTTAAAAGAGAGAGATGCTTTAACCAAGCTTAAATGGATATAAGAAGGGATTGAAAAGGCATAAAATTTTAGGAAAGATTTAAGAAATTAAAATCCTTTGATTTACATAAGTAGATTTCATTCTAACGAATAAAAATGAATAATATTAAATTGCAGCTTATATATATAATATTTATCAAATATAGATTTTGATAGTTTATTCTAAAAACTCAATATATTTTTTTATTTTTAAGTAATAAATATTAAAAAGATGTAAAAAAATAAATTATTATTATGCTGATTTATTTAAATAAGAATAACTAACTGGTTTGGTTAGAGTTTAAAACTTGAACACGATTAACCTTAAATGAAAATAAGTACTCTCCTCATCCATTTTTTAAAACATTTATTCCTAAAAAATGAGAGTGGATACCAAAATTTTATTTATTCTTATTACAATTTTAAACTTTTTAATGAAATAAAAGCTTCATATATAAATGTATCAAAAACTGTTAATTTAAAGACATTATTTTTTGATTTTTATGATTTTAATTAAAAAGGCTACTTTCTTCTCAAATAAATTTAGCTGAAAATAACAATTTTTTTGAATTATTTTAAAAGATTATTTAATTATTTAATTTTTTTTTAGTTATTTAAAACCATTTCTATATTTATTATCATTATATTATCTAGATATTTTTTCACAATTATATAGAAAATTACTTTCATCGACATACATAATTTAGAATTTTAGAAAACAAACATAAAAAATATTCTTCATTTATTGTAAATACCAATAAATAATACCTGAGTTTCTTAAGATTTCCTACTTATAAATAATTATTTTTTTTTGCAAAATTAAAATTCATCAAAATCCAATTAAATTCAAATTAAAAAAATATAATTTAGGGTATTTATAAAAAAATAATATAAGGTTATTTTATAAAGCTTTTTAAGCTCTAGGAGTAAGAAAGGTGTACTAAAAAATAGGTTTTTTATTTTCTAATTTTTTCATCTTTATTACATACTTTCTACTATGAATAATATTAGCTTATTTATAATATAAGATTAAGATTTATAAATAGATAAAAGTGATTTGGTATATTACTGAGAAAATAAATTTCTAATGGGATAAAAAATAAAAATAAATTGGTTTTATTTCTTTCTTGTAAATTTCAAAATAAAGAATTATAATTTTATTTTTTGAACATAAAAAACTATTCTCGTTTGCTATTTGACTGACAGCAAAATAATTACTTTTTAAAAGAAAATTCAAAAAAAATTAAAAATAAATTTAAAAAATATAACATATATAAATCAACTCTAAATAAAAATATAATTTAATTAGTATTTGTACTTGTATAATATTATTCAACTAGGAATAATTAATGACAAATTTTCGAACTACTACGAGAGTTATTATTAATCTAAAGTTTTGTAAAACGTAGCATTTAGATTTTAAAGATCACTAACCATCTATAAAAGCACTTTAAATTCATGATTACCATAACCAATGAACATTATTTCTTTTATAAGTTCATGTTTTGTTAATAAAGTTTATATTTATGAATCAGGTTTATTTGCAACTCCGTCTGTCAAGAAAAAGATTACTGTATTTTGAATAAATTCTTTACTTTTTTAATGATTTAGTATTTATAATATGCTATCAAATATTCTAGAGTAATTAGTACCGTCACCGTGATTATTTTAAGGTATTTTTTAAATCAATTATTTGTTTAAGTTTTCAAACATCGAATAAACAAAAGATTTATCATTAAATCCTATTAAAGTGCAAAAATCTTATTCACTTTTATCAAGTCTAAGATTAATAAAATTTTCTAACTCAGCTCTCAGATCCTACCAATTTTTACCATTCATACTACCACTTTCATCAAAGGCAATTATAAAATGCATAGGGCTAATTTATTATTTACATTTCTATATTATTTAAGGATTGCATACCTCTTAAAAATCTATGTTATGTTATATACAAATTTAATAACCAATTAACTGCCAAAGCTTTTACCACTTCTATCTTGATAATTCTTTTTCTTTTTAAGAATTTCCTGCATTCCAATCCCACGCTTCATGAATTTCTTTAAATTTACTCCATTTTAATAATTAACCTTAATATTTAATCGAAGTATTATCTTCATTGTCTAAGCATGTTATAAGTGCAGGCAAATTTTCTTTTTCAATTCTTACTCCGTTAAATGCAGCAAATCTATGCCCACATTAAATAGTGTGTTTATTTTATTCTTTTCCTCTTGCATATTAACTATATTTCCAATGATCTTAATCACATACTTAGGCACAGCAAGGACATTTAAAATCACAAGTTAAGTAGTCATTTATAGTTGAAAATTCTTTTGCTATGTCTTTTGTTTGAAATTTATTTATATTATCAAACAGATTTTCTTTATTAATAATTTCTTTGAGTTAATTAGAAAACTATTCAATAGATTGAATTTGCATTTAATTAAAAAAGTTTTTATTTAAATTAATCAATTTAGTAAGAAATATTTTAGCTTCAGAATCATTTATCTGTAAATAATCTGGTCTTAAGAGATTTACAGTTATTTAATTTCCCTCTACTTCAATTTCTTCTTTTTCATTTAGTAAAATTTAGAAAATGAACTTTTAAAAAGCAATCTATGATTATTAAACACTTGGTAAAGATAATTATTATTTTATTTTTATTTGGTTGGCAATTAAGCCTTTGTTTTTTTATTAAGCAAATAGTTTTTCAGCTTTAATATTTGACAAACTTTATAAAACAATTTAAACTGAATTTATTATTTAATTTTTCAATTCATATATTTTTTATTAAATTTATTAAATTTATTATTAAGATTACAAAGTAGCTTCTTCTAAAATGACTTTGTTTGGGTCTTAAATATATTTAAAAGCTTCTTCTTAAGTGATGTTAATAAATTAAGATTAAATTCCTTTTATTATATTTTATTTACTCAATTAATTTTCATATACTTAAAGTGATTGATCGATAATAGAATCTGAAGCTTATTTAAATTTATCATAACAAAATTATTATATCTTTATTTCAAATTATATTGCTGATTATTTATCTATCACTTAATCTTTTTATGCATACTCTAAAAAGTGATTTTAGTAGCGTTATTTGTCTTATTCAAATTATTAAAGAGGCTAGTTTAAGCTGATTCTTTTATTTTATATATCTTATTAATATAACTACTATATTGCTAGCATATTTAATCTATTTTCTGCTTGAGCTGTTAATTACAATTCAAAAATACTTAAATTTTGATTTGCTTCCTGTATATTTTTTTAAACAAGTGCGGCGATTTTTGATATTAACTCTTTATCGATTTTAGATATTTTAGAATTATTGATATTTTCTTTTATTTAGTTATTTATACTTTGAATATATTATTTAAAATTGAATATTATAGAAAAATAATTTTAATTAGAAAGCTATTACTTTAACCAAGAAATAAAGCAAGTTTAGCATGAACTATGAACTTTAAGTTAATCAGCTTAAGCAAAATTTTATAATTCTTTTTTTTTTTTATCGTAAGTCGTTTATATCCATAAAGAAATTCTTTAATACCATTTTTTATAATTTTCTTCAATATTTTTTTCATGAAGTTTTTTTATTCTATTCAACTCATCTTAAGGAGATGTTTCTTAAATTTTATATAAATCAAAAGTCATTTAACAATAATTTCCTATTTAATAAAAATCTAGATAGTCTGTAAGCTTAGATGAAGTATAACTGTATTGGTTTTTTATAAAAGATTAATCTATAATTATTCCATAAGTTTCAAATAAAGAAGATATTAGATGATTTATTTTCTATTCACAAAATCTAAAACTAAAAGTTTTTGAGTTATTGTAACTAATTAATTATCCAACTTCTGAAAAAGGTATTTTTTCAAATTAGCAAAATGATAGTCTAATGCAAAATATCTAATAAATCTTATATAATGTATCTGATTAAATTAGAGATTAATTTAGATTTTATACCATCTAATCAAATTAATAATTTTTAATTGGGTTTTTTAGAAAGTGAACTAATCCACAGCCTATTTTTACAATACTATCTATATCTCTTTCTTCTGTATAACCTACTTCTGGCTTGATATTTAGGTTCCCTTTCAAATACAGTTTATAATTGCTTTCAATAAACTGAAATGATAATTTCATTTTTTACTCTTAATTTGAGTATTTTTCCTTAATTTATTTTACTTCAAAATCAAATTTATAATTAAAACAAGTAATTTATTCATCTTGATTATTTAAAGCACATTCTTTTGCTTGAGTAAATATTCTATCAATAGCCTCTTTAATTTATTAATCCTATTCTCTTGAGTGCTTATCTTAATAAATGTTGTTAAGATAATTATCTTTTTAAATCAATATCTAATAATTTAAGTAATTATTGTTTGAAGTTAAAATTTCTTGCGATACATCATTTTTAAACTCAATTTCAACATCTTTTTTGATTTATCCTTCTAAAAAATTAAAATGTTCATTTATTTAATATTATTAAGTTGAATTATTATTTTATTCATTAAATAATTCAATAATATTATTCAATTCTTTTTAAAAAGTTTCGTTCATGTACTCATTGATCTTTTTTTTAATAAATTATTTTACTTTTTAATCATTTTCTTTATGCAAAATATCCTTATATGCTGTCAAGTCTGAATTTTAATTAATTGTTTCATAAATATCTTTCATTAATTTTAATAATTCTGGAATAGTTTTGACTAATTTAAAAGTTTTCTATTATTCTTATTAAGAAAGCTAAATGAGTTTTTAAATAATTTTATCTCCTAAATTTTAAACTCCTTCCACAAATGTAATTTGAGTTTCTAAATAATTCCAATTATTTTATTATTACTCGAGATCTATATATTTATATGAAAAAGCGGTAGGTAAATTTGTTGCATTTTCATGGCTTATTTCGATATGGTCAGATAATTTAGAATTTTATTCAAAAGATTTTAAAGCTTTATTTATTGCAACTTTGTTATTTTCATTATTTGGATCCGCTTTTTAATTAAAAACAATTTCTACTACTCTTTTAGGTATTTAATTTGCCTTTAATTCCCTAGAAACATCAACACAGAGTTCTAATATTTTAGTCATTTCAGGTGTTAGTTGATCTTTCACATTGATAATTAAAAACTAGCTCACAGATAAGCAAAACAAAGTAAGCATTCTATCATAATCAGGATCATCTTTTTCTTAAGATAAAAGACCTTCTGAGTCTATTACTAAAATATAATCAAATTCAGGAATCTTTGATTTTACAAGTGTGCCATAGATTCCTCTTGTGCATCTACCATCACTCACATAAAAATCACATCCTAAAAAGTAATTAAGCAAAGTCGATTTACCTGAATTTTAAGGACCTATTATACTGATGATACAAAATTTTTTATTAGTAAAATAACTATGCTAGAAGCACTAATACAGAAACTCAAAAGGATAGTAAAAAGTCTCTCCGTCTATGATTTCAAAAGGAAATCCGTTATATATCATAGTTGCATATGCCTCAATTAATTAACTATTTTTTGAATAGCTAGTATGTTTATACCACAATTGTATAATTTCTCTCCAAAATAGTTCAACAGATATTTGGTTATCTAATATTTATTAATCTAATTTTTACATTTTTTATATATCTTCTTTTTCTTTTGAATAAATAAGATTTCTTTTTTCTTCCTTTAATAAGCCAACCCTTTAATTATTAACCTCTTTTAGTTTCTAAATGAACAAAAGCATATTGTGATAAAGGTTTTTACTATCACAAATTATCTTCTCAAAAAGATTAGCACCATAACTTCTACTTTTGTCATCTTTGACTTTAAGGGTTTTATATTTATGTTCGTATTTTTCAAATTTTTACCTTCTTTATTTTATTTCTAGGTCAGTACTATTCTTAAATTTTCTATCACTACACTCCATTAAAGTTTTTTAGTACTTTGAAAAAATACTATAAAAATAGAACAATTTGCTTGCTGAAATATCATCTATCTATTATAGTTCATCACAAATTACATTTACCTTCTATAATTCTTCATACATCCATTCATTATTTATTTAACTTGATTTTTAGATTTGATTTTACTGACTGTTTTGAGAAAAAAATCTTTCAATGAATAAGTTTAAAGAGCTTTCATTTTCTGATTCTGTATTAACTAAATTATCTAACATTATTCTTGTTTGATTTATGTGATATTTTTTTTTCTCATCATTTATTAATTTAAGATTTGGTAGAGTAATTAATTTTTTTTTTTTTAACCAGGCTAGAGTTTCATTTTTTAAATTACAGTTTGTAATTTAGCTATCACAAAGCTGACTATTTTCATCTGTATCACGAATTAATAAGCAGTATTTTTTATTATTTTTTTCTAATATTTAGATAACTCTTTCAAGTTCATTAAGTTTATTATTTTTTATTAAGCTTATGTTTACCTACAGGATATAATAAACAAAGAAACCTAAAATGTATTATTCATCTAATAAAGAAGCATCTCCATGGAAGTCAGCTACAAAATATTTTCTTTTATTTTGTTAAAATATGTGATTTGATTGGATATCAGCACTCGAGATAAAGCTGTAAGAACCATCACTTATTGCAAAATTAGTTGCAAAAGTTTCATTTAAAAATTAAGATTTTCCTTTTTGAAATCCTATTCCTAAAGAAGCTACTACTTAATCTTATTTTTTTAACAGCCAAAAACTCTAAAATATTAGTTATTACTAAAATTTATAGCTATTATCTTCCATTTTTAATAATTTAGTTCTTAATAGAGGAACTGGGTTTGCAAATCCTAGCAAGAGTATTAACTTAAGCTAAGCTTAGCTGTCAGAATATTCCATCAGATATTCAAAAACAGTTTTTTTGTTTATCAAAAATCTATTTTGTTTAACTTAATTTTTCATTAAACATTCTTAAATTTTTTAAAAAACAATATCTAGATTTTAATTTCTTTTTGATAAGTATATTATTAGATCGTAAAGTCTAGAAGAAAAAAGTGAATCTGAATTAATGTATAAATCTGTAATGTCTTTAATCCATGCTTCAATCTAAGTAATTTTTTATTAAGAATTATGATACTCTAGCAATTAGTTTAAATCTATGCATTTGCCTATTTTGAATAGTTCATCTCGTTTATTTTATATTTAAAGCTAATTTTCAAAATCAAAATAAAATGTCATAGTTTAATCCTATAATTCATAAAGATTTCTACCATAAATCTTCTTTAATATTTAACACTTCGAAAGGTTTTAATCTATATCTTTTACAAATTTTATACTCTATTCATTTAATTAGTAAATAAATGTAAGGCCAGTTCTATCAATTTATTTTGATATGTAATTAAGTTGATCCTCATCTATCTGAAAGTTAGATAATTATTTTCTAAGAATGAATTGAATGAGCTCAATTTTTTTTTCAATTTAAGAGCAAGAGAATTACAAAAGTTAAATATAGTATTAATCAAGGTTCTCAAGGTTGTTTGCATTTAAAATACTTTCATCAATTTTTAGAAGCTTGATTATTAGCTAATATTAATTATCGAGCAGTGCTTTCAAGCCTTAACTCTAGATGTCTAATAAAAATTTGTAAATCTTAGAAAAATAAAGTTCTTAATTATCTTTTGGCTTATTTATATCTACAAGAAGAACAGATTTATAATACAAACTATTTATGTTTAGTTCATTGCTTTAGAATATTTGTTCTAAGATTTAAAAATCTTCATGATTTTTATCTAAGTTGTATTTTTCAACTAGCCTTTACAGCTAATCCTAAGAATCATCTTAATTAATTAGTTTTTTTATAATAAATTTTTCATTAAATTTAGTTTCACTTAAGTTAAACAAGGTTTAAAGTTTTTTCTTTAAGCTTAAAGAGTAAATCTACTCAAGGTATTTTCTTATAGATGTGTTGCGAGAAATCTCTTCCTCTATTAATTTAAATCTTTCTATATTATTTTTAATTTATTCTTGATGTTATTAAATTTTGAAATAATACTAATCTAATATTATTTAACTTTCAATTTCTGAAACTTAAAATTTTATTTATCCAAATTATTATTAACAAAATTTAGATGTTTTTTCATTTAAAAATGGATACTGCTAATGTATGTCAAATATTTTTTTTTCTATTATTTCATTTCCATTTTCTATATATTTTTAGAAAAGGCTAGATTATAACCCTTCCATCTTCATTTATTAAACTAATTATTAAATTTCTTCATCATTAAGAGATTACCTAAACAAAGGTATTTACTATTTTATACTATTTATTATTAAATTATCATTATCGCTATTTTTTTACTCTTCAGTTATTTCATTAACCAATGCCATAACATTATTAACATGACAGTCAAGAATATGTTTATCGATGCACTCATTAATGCTTTTTTAAGGTAGCTTTTTAAGTAGTACTTAAGCTAGCTCATTAATAAAATTGTTGTAATGATCTATATTTTTAGGAACATAAAGACCTATTTTGAATTTTTATTATAAAATTTTCAAAATTTTTTCTTCTTCTTGAAACTGATAAGAATTTCCTTTTTAAGTTTCTTCATCATTTTATTTTGCTTCATTCATTTGATCAGAAATTTAATCTTAAGAATTAGCTTTATTATCATCTAAGATATTTTAATTTTTGATATTTATCTCTAAAACACTAGCTTATTATACTAACAAGGTTTATTATAGATTTTATTGGTTATTTAACTCTTTGTTACTATTAGTTGAAATACTTTTTATATTTCTTTCTGATTTATCATTTTCTTAAGGTATTTCTTGAATCTAAAGTTGTTCATTAGAACTTTGGCATTATTAATTCTAATTTTGTAAAATAGGTTTTTAAATATTTTCTGGATGACGATTTCCTTACAAAATAAATTGAATTTTCTAATAAACGCTAATCATTTCAGATATTTTAGATCTTGAGTATGCTGTTATCATTTATTGTTTGCAATTTTAAGAGAGATCTTGCACTTATTAAATATCTTAAAACTAATTATTAAGAATTAGGTCTTTAAATTGGTCAAATATTTTACTGGAATCGCTTTCATAATCTGTGTCTTCTTCAATCATTTATTAGAATTAATTTTCGTTAGAGAATCTTATAAATTCTGATTTAATTTAGACTTCATCTTAAGCAATATTTTTGGGATCAGACATATACACTTAAATAAGCTTGTTAATATTACTTGCATTAAATGTTTGAACGTATTCTTTTGCTAACTTTTATCCCAATTTGCTAATGTAATTTATATTTTAAGCATTGCAATTTAATATTGTTTCTAAATTTTAAAAGAAAATTTCAAATTCAGAAATTTCAATTCCAGCTTTCTTTTTCAAGAGGTCTAATAAATTTTTTTGTTAATTTATGTTATAAAAGCATTTTTAAATTTTGTATATGCTGATAGGTTAATCATCATTCTATTTTATTTCTTCAAATTATAGAGCTTCTTTAATATTTTCTTAAGATGCCTTTTAGTCTTCTTCCTTTTAGCTTAAGCAACTTTAGGAGTTTAAATCTTGACTGCCTTTATCAGTTTCAGGTGTGTAAGTATTTTAATTATCACATAGATTAGTATTAACTTTACAATCATTTTTTTCAACTTGATCATGTTAAGCATTTTATTTTTTTTAATCTTACTAACTTTCGTTCATTTAGATTAGTTATTATTTTTACTATTTCAAATTTTATGTTTCCTAATTTATTTTTTATTATAGAAATATATTAAATTTTATATCAGTCCATCTACCATTTATAAAAAAATAATTAATTTAATAAAACACTTTTATTATACATGAATCGCTTTTTATTACTTTTTAGAATATTTAAAAATTAGATTATTTTGGAAAACAGTAATAATTTTTAAATTAATATTCCACAATCTTTCTATTTATGTATTCTCATATTGGGTAGATTTTGAATTTTTTAAATTTTTGTATGGAAAAAAAAATTTTTTATTGTATTTTAAAAATCTAATATAAAATAGATGAGTTAAGGTTTGCTGTGAAATAAAAACATTTGTTTTTAAATTTCCTCTTTTAGAAGTTTTATTTTAATAATTAATTTTAAAATGATTATTTGAAATATACAAATTTAGGTAGTTAGTATATTCAAATATATTTTGAAAATAAAAATAGTTTTTACATTAAATTTAAGAGCTATTTTGATTTGATTAGTACTAACTTTATAAAATATGATTATTATTCTGAACTTTTTATCCTGTCTTGAAATTCTGAATATTTGAATTTTTTATAATTCATTAATTTTAAAATATCATAAAGCCTTAATACATAATGTTATTAAGGTTAAAAATTAATAAAAATTAATTAGCTCACCTACAATAATATTTATATTTAAAATTTAAAGAAACTTTATTTAGTTATGCTTTGAAATCAAATTAATAAAATTATAAAAAATTAAAAAGATAATGTTTTTAATTTATAATTTGATTTTTTAAAAACGAATCTACTACTAAATAATCTTGAATGTAAAATTTAAGATAATTAAAATTAAAAATATTTATTTATAATAGTAATAGATCATTTATATTTAAAGATATTTTTAAAGTAAAAAAATTAAACATTTATAATTAAATTATTTTTAAACAAATTTTAAAGGATTCTTCTTGGCTTCATAAAGCTTTTTCAATTGAATAAGTAATTTTAAAAGAGGTACATTATTTCATTTTAATAGTTTTTAATAAGAGTGAAACAATTTTTACTATTTATATGAATTCTAAATTAAAAAATAAATTCTATAAAATAAAATTTATTAAATAATTTAGTGTTAAAAAATATTCATAATCTTTATTGGATTAGTTAGTTTTTTAATAATTTAAATTTTTTTATTTTTAGATATTCTATTATTTAATTTGAAATTTAAATAAAAATAATAAATTATCTTAATATAATTTTTAAAAATTGAGAATAAAAATAAATTAAATTAGTTTTACATTTTAATTCAATTTCCAAAAAATATTTTAGATTTTTACTTATTAATATCCAAATAAAATATCATATCTTTTGAAGATTTTATAAAGATTAATATATGAGGTAACTCATTTATATTAAACTAATATAAAAATTAATTTATTTTATATGAACTGAAGATTCCCAAAGAATATTACTTATACATACAAAAATGAATAGGATGGATAGCAGGATAGATAGTAGATTCCTTTATTAAAATGAAAAAAATACATATTGTTTTTAAGGAATTGTATGCAAATAAATTGGAAGGAAAATAAATAAATTGAAAAATAAAAACTAAAATAAATACAAATATCATATCATCATATAAGTATTAAAGTTAGAAAAGAAAGAAAAGTACAAGAATTACAGCATATATAAGATGATAGGAAAAACTTAGGTATGTGTTTCTATTAAAATTAATAGCAATAAGGAATAAATATTTTATTTTTTGGATTTAAAATTCAAAAATGATTTTAGAAATTATAAATTAGTCTATTTTTTGCATTTCCAATTAAGTGTGAATCAATTTAAAGCTTAATCAACTACAAATTTTCACCATTAAATCATTTATTTATTTTATATTTATTAAAAATAGCAAAGATTAAATAAGTGCTTAATTCAAGTTATACAAAAGTAGTTCTCTCAATAGAGAAGCACTCAACTTAAGTTTTATGATGGTGGTAACAGATAATCTATTTCTGGTATTAGAGCCACTATTTTTGGTGCTACAGGATTTATGGGTCCTTATGTAACTAAAATTGTTTTTAAAAAGAGATTAGCTATCATAAAAATAAATAACTCTGTTGATTGAAATGCTTAAAAAATAAAAATCTTAATACAAATAGCTTCATTTTATTAATAAAAGACATTTATTTATACAATATGTTAGGGATTAAGCATGCGAAATAGGTTTTAAAATCCATAATTAGAAATAATTTGAATCTTTTCAATTAAAATAGGGAAACATAATAAAAATATTAAACATAATTAGTATGCGATTGTTTTGGAAAAAGATAAACAATAAAAAAAGTTTCAATCAATAGGGATTAAAGATAGCTATTCTTTTGTTTGTAAAAGTGAATTAAATAAAATTATTATATAAAAAAGATTGGTGCTGCCTTAGGTTATATTGGTAGTGATGTTATTTTCCCTCACAACCACGTTTATGCTTATGATGATTACGTTAAAGAATTAAAATTATGTGCTGGTAGTGGTCAAAGCTATATAATGAGACACTTCAATTACGACGATGATAATATGTATGATATGGCAATTAAGAACTCCAATGTTGTTATCAACCTTGTTGGTTCCAGATTATAAAACAAGAACTTCTAAAAAGCTGCTTATGCAAATATTCACGTTGCTAAGAAGATTGCAGAAGCTTGTGCTAGAAATCCTAATGTTAGACGTCTTATTCATTTCTCAGCAGCTGGAGGTAATTTCATTATATCAGTTAAAATAAATTCAATTAAAAGATTTTATAAATATAAATAATATCTTTATTGTATCTATTAAAACAATATTTATTTATTTTCATAAAATATTAATTAGCTGATACTAAATCTCCTTCTCCTGATCTCCATGTACATTTTATTGCCTTTTAATTGAAAAAAAAAAAAACAAACAAACAACATGATTTGTTTTATTGTGAAATATGAGATAATTAAATATCATGAAATCTCTGCTCTAAATAAAAAATATTAGAAATAATTAATCAAGATATTTATGCAAACAATTAAATCACAATTGATAATCAAATCAAAAATTAATTTATAATAAAAAATATGATTGAAATGGAATAAAAAAACGCTCATAATTTTATATTATAATTATATAGACTAAGTTCCATGGTGAAGAAGCTGTTTTAAATGCTTTCCCTAATGCTACAATTTTCAGACCTTGCACAGTTTATGGTATGTAAGATTACTTTATTCGTCACTGGATCAAGGAAAGAGATTGGTGGTACCACTTCAACATCGTTACTGATGATTGTACTGCTAAGAGACAACCCATCTTGATTAACGATGTTGCTTAATGCGTTCTTAATGCTCTTAAACTCTAAGAATCTGCTGGTTAAATTTACGAATTAGGTAATTTTTTGATTTCATTTATTCATTCATGCAGACTTATAAACTTAGACAAATTGAAACCCATTAACATTATTATAAACATTAATGAATAGGTGGTCCTCATGTTTATTCTAGATTGGAAGTCTTTGAAATGCTTGCTAACTTAAGTGGCAGACCTCCTAAACTTGCTCACATTCCTCACGATATCGCTTTAAAAATCACATAAAACTTCTACAACTGGGAGTTTTTCAATATGGAAAAAGTAATTAAGGATAAGCTTGATTTAATTGTTACTGGAAAGCATAAAACTATTTCTGATTTATATGTTCAACCAGTTTCCTTCCCATAAGGTGCCGAACAATTCATCGACGATGTCAGATATAGAGGTGTTGAAACTCACGACAACCTCGAAAAGTGAAAACTTAAAAAATATTTTTTTCAATGCCAATCTTTGTCTTCTTCTTTAAAACTAAAGCATAAATAAATTTAATTAAATTAACCTTGGATTAAATAATTCCTTTGTTTATGTTTATAAATATATCTTTACTGTAGAAGAAATGATTGTGTTACTTACTTACTTACATTAATTCCCATTAATCTGTTATTTTATTTATTACTAATGTAAATTAATTAATTCAATAAAGCATACATAATTAATTTTAATTTTCCAAAATTTTAACTGTGACAATTGCAATAATAAATTTAAATCAAAAAATTAACAATATTTTGGTGAAAAAGAATTGAAATATTATATAAATATTTTATCCATTTATATTAATTTAATAAGATTGAATTCATTAATTTTTTCTTCTAATTAAATATTGTAAAAATTTAGCCCTAATATCAGGGACCTTGATTTTAGCATAAATTAATTAACTTAATTTTAATTTTAATTAGTTGAAAAACCTTTATTTTTTGACAAACATTTTTTAAATGTCCCTCACTGTCTATTATATTTGATCCTCTCATATTCAATAAAATTTTATTTTGTTAGCTCTTCTGTCATTATTTTTGAAATATATTAATGTTAACTCAAAGAATGTTTTGACAAGTCTTTTGATTTTCAAAAAATATGTAAATTATATTTTATTGATGGAATAATTAAGAGTTTATTACTCTTTATAGTTATTAAATACTAAAATAATAAATTTGATTGATTTTTTTTAATTTTGTGTTTTGTAAATATTTGCATTATAATCAAAATGAATTTTTTAAATTAAAGAATATTGCAATCAAAATGTTTAAATTTATAATTTAATTCTAATTTTTATATGCAAAATAAAATGATCGAAGTAATATATAATTAGAATTCTAAGTTTATTGCTATTTGTAGATACAAAAATGATAAATTTGATTGATGTTTTTTTCAATTGAATATTTTTGAAACTTTCGCATTTTTATTAGACTACACATTTTATTTATAAAATTAGGATAATTAAAATGTTTAAATTATTATTTTTGAGAAATAAAATCTAAAAATAAAATAATTAGAGCTATAAGCTTTATAATATATACTTAAAATTATTATATACAAAAATCCAATTTATTTTTCATACTTTTGGCAATATCATTTCAAAAATAAAAAAAGTAAGATATTTATTATGCCAAAAGTTTGAATTTTTTATTTGAAATTTAATTTGATATTTTTATATAAAATAGTGAAGCAATTCTGAATATGTAAATTTATATAAATTTAATGTTTGTTAATAAGCTATTTTTATTATTTAATAATTAAATATTATTTTGTGTTTTTTATTTCATTATTTTATTTTTATTTAATTAATTTTTATTTTTTTATTTTTTTATTTTTTTATTTTCATATTTTCTTATTTTCTTATTTTCAAATTTTATATTTTATATTTTTTAATTTATCTTAATTTTTATTTTTATTATTTATTATTTCTTTTTCGTAACTTCCAAAGAATCTTGCTCAAGCTGCATCTCCGTGATCATAATTTGGTGGGTTTTCCTATAAAAAAATACTAATTATATATTTTAGGGAAGAGGCTGTAAATTCTTTTACAAAAGCTATTATTAATCATGCAATAATTCATATTATTTTAAAATTAAGATATTTCTTTTCACTTTTTGCGAATATGATGATGATGATATAATATATTCAAAAGTTTTAAAGAAGCATATTGTTAAAAATAATGAGCAGACAGAGGAGCTCTTCATGCTCACCGAGGTTGATATTTAAAAACTTGCCTCGCCTGAAAAACTTTCTTATAAATTAATGCATGTATAGTTTTGTATTTTTATTTACGGCATTGCGTATTTCTTTTATTTCTTTTTTCTTTTTTGAATTTTCTTTTGTTTTATAAAATTATTAAATATACAATTTTCTTTTAATAGACTCAAACATGATTAATTTTGTAAAATAAAGCATCTTTTTCTTTTATTATTCTTTGAGGGAATTGAAAATATCTAAATAAGAAATTAATTAATTAATAAAATTTAGCTATTTTTACTTGCATCATAAATTTTTATTTGATTTATGCACATCAGAAGCGATTTGTTTGAAATATATCTTTGAATGGATTCTATTAAGAAAATATATTTTTGAAGGCATCAAATATATGAATAAAATTATTTTTAAAATAGATATAAATCTTTTAACTTTTATTTTTAAAATATTATCAAATATTTTTTATTATGTATAATGTTCAGTTAATTATTTTATTTAATAAATTTATATAATTATCATAGAATATAAAATCTTAGAAAAATAATTCATATGTTTTCTTATAAAAATGCTAGATAATATTTCATAATTTGTTTCATTCAATGTTAGTTTATTCTGAATTTATTTAAGATTGTTTTTTTAAATATTTATATTAGTTATTATTTTAGAATTGTAAAACTTTTATACTCTTGCTTTATAAAAATTGAATTCAAATAAAATTATTTATTTTTTAATTATTAAATACTGTAGAAAATAGAGTTTATTTCTTTTATATGAATTAATATTTATTTATATATTCTTTATTTAAGATTTAAGAAATGAATACAATTTTTAAAGATATTTATTAACTTTTTTTGAGAATAAATGTCTTGCTTTTTACTTCTTAAAAACTATTGAATAAAATTAATAGGATTATTAATGAAGATTTAATAATTTACAGACTGTCAATTTTTTATTACCTATGAATAAATTTATCAATTGACAAATTTCATCATTAAGAAATAATATTTAGAAATTTCCCCACTAAATTCAACTACATACCTATAAAATTGATATAAAAAATAAAAAAGCTGTATTTATATTTATATAATAGAATATTAACAATTATTCTTTATTTAGAAAACGAAAAATATTCTAATTTTAAATTTTTTATTATTTAAATCATTTTTTATGCAAAATATAATAGAAAATCATTAATTATTTTATTGTTAATAATAATAAAATTAATTAGATATCAAATATTAAAAGTATATATTGTCTTGAAATATCAAAGAATGTTTTTAGTTTTGGTTATATTTCTTATTTTTGTTTTTATTTATTAGTATCTTTATTGATTATTGTTATTTTTTATATTTATTTTTATCTATCTTTTTTTTATTAATTTGTTTATTTCTTATTTGCTTTCTTCTTAATTTTATTTTTTTATTTATTAAATTAATTTCTTTTTAAAATTTATTTGAATATTTTTCTTTTTCTTTTTAATATGTGCAATTTAATAATCTATCAGCTTTTGTATCTTTTTCTTATTTCTTCTTTTTCTTCATATTTTTATTAAGATTTCCTATTAAAAAAATACTTTTTATATATTTATGCGAGAGACTAAGAGAGATTTGAATTACAAATATTCTTTTTAAAATGATTTTTGTTTTGAAATTACAAGGCGCTACTATTTTATTCTTTTCGAATTAAAATAGAGCTTTTTGATTCTTAGATATAAATTTTAGAGAGGATTCAATGCGCTAAATCTAATCAGCAATTGACGAGGGGATTTAGTTTTTTATAAAAAAGTTATGAAAGAAGTAAAATTTATTATTCAAATATGAATAATACTCCCACAGGTAAGCTTAGTGTGCTTACCATCTTCATTTCATCTTTTTTACAAAATGTGAATTAAAAAACTTAGGGTTTGCTAATACTCTCTTTTTATATCAAAATTTTTTTTTTTGTCTTATTAAATTTTTTGTGATAATTAATTATTATATTTATTATTTATTTTTTACCGGGGATTTCAATTTAAAAGTTTTTCAATTTTTATCAGATTGAAAATTAGAAAATTTATTAAAGTAAATTGTGGGATGTAAATAAACCCACTATTTTACTTAATTAGCTTATCAAATCGATTAGAACTGATTTTCTCACAAGATAATTTCACATTATTGTTAAATATTGATTGATTTATTTATATTTGTACCATCTGCTTAACAAATAATTAATAAAAAAAACAAATAACTAAATTTATTTATTTTGATTATTCTACTAGAAATTTTTTTATAAAATAGGAATAATTGAATTAAAAAAAAGAAAGCTAAACAACTAAATGAATAAATAATTGAATTTCACTAGCAGATTTTTGGCTTAAGTTAAATTAAATTAGCGGTTTGTATACTTTTAGAGTAAACAGTCTTATTTGTTAAATATAAAGTTTTTCATTGCTCTTCTAATTTTAATTAACAAGTTTTAAATGTAATATTTCCCATACTTTTTTTAATTACTTATGAATTTCAAATAAAATATTAAATAGACTTTGTTAATAAATTATTTGTACACATCAATCAATTAAGCATTAAACCAAAAAAGAAATTAATTACAAATATTAAATACCTAAATTTATTACAAGTAGGGCAATAAACATTAATTGAATAGGAGGATTAAAGTTAATAAATTTTACATAGCTAAATTACAAAATTAAAAGAAAAGAGAGAGCCATGTAGGATTATCAGCAAGGTTAAAATAGTGATTATTAGTAGTAAATCATGTACAACAACATGACTAGCAACAAGCCAAATAATAGACTTAATGATGAAATAAATCAAAATCATCAAAAGTTAGACCACAAAGGAGTAATTTAAAATTCAAAAATGCTGAAATTTATTTCATATATTATTTTATTATTTTAGCCTCCTAAAGATTTAAAAATAATTGATGTTGTTGGCAACGGCACTTTTGGAGTCGTTTATAAGGTGAAATATAATTTATTAGTATATTAATAATAAATTCGTCAAATCAATTGGAAAACAAAAGCAGTATTTGTTTATTGTGTTAGCAGTCTTGATGAATTTTTTTCAAAAAGAAGTTAGACGATAATATTAATTTCAATTATTTAAAAATGAAGGCTTTGTTAAACAAAGAATAAGTTGTTGCTGTGAAAAGAGTATTTTAGGATAAGAGATACAAAAATAGAGAAAGGGAAATAATAGAAAGGCTTGATCATCAAAATATTATTAAATGTAAGGATTTCTTTGAAACCAAAGGAGAAAAGGTATTATTTTGTTTATTTAATAGAAAAAAAATGAGTTTTAAATATCAATAATTTATAAAATGCTTTGTAAAAGAAATTTTAGATTACTTTGTATTAAAAAATATAGAAAGATGAGGTCTATTTAAATTTAGTTATGGAGTTTATGAACTTCCCTTTGTCAAAGGTGATTAGAGATAAAAGAAAAGCAAATTAAGTGATGAGAATAGAAGATATTAGATTGTATGCTTATTAAATGTTCAAAGCTCTTTCATATCTTTAGTCTTTAAATATTTGTCATCGTGATATAAAGCCATAAAATATCCTTGTTAACGATAAAGACGATGACAAAAGACTCAAAATCTGTGATTTTGGCTCAGCAAAGTAATTGATTCCAAGTAATAAATAGATGAATAAGTTCATTTTTTCTATATGAAAAATATTTTTTTAATACATAAATCTTATAAAAAATGATCAAATTAATTAGTATAAAAGCAATGATTATCAATAAATTTAATTTAATTTGTAAATGTATAATAAAAATTTTTATTTTTAAATAGATGAAGCAAATATTTCCTACATATGTTCTCGTTATTATAGAGCTCCCGAACTCATATTTAAATCTCAGCATTATACAAATGCAATTGATATGTGGTCAATGGGTAAATTATTATTAAAATAAGAAGCTTTTTTTACTTAAGTTCTTAATCTTTAGGTTGTGTAATAGCTGAAATGGTTTTAGGCGAACCTCTCTTCCCTGGAGAAAACTCTTTAGATTAGTTGGTTGAAATAATTAGAATTTTAGGTACACCTACTAGACAATAGATCCTCATGATGAATCCTACTTCCCAAGAGTTCAGATTTCCTCAAATAAAATCTTATTCATGGTCGAAAGTAATAAAAAATAGCAAAATTATATTTGAATTTTATGTTGATTAAATGAAATATAATGCTGTTTTTTTGCATTTAGAAAATCCTTAAACTTTTTAATTTAGATATAAAATAATAATTTAATTAAAATAGCACAATTTTAATTTTTTTTTAATGTAGGTATTTGAGAAGTCTTTATAGAAAGTATCAGAAGACGAAAAGTAAAAGTTTAATTAATTGATGGATTTAATTTCTAGAGTGCTAGTTTATGCTCCCTCTGAAAGACCTTCTCCTTTATAAGCATTAGCACATCCATTCTTCGATGAATTAAGAATTGAAGAAAAGAAATATAGATAAACATAACTTTATTTATTTGACTTCCCTGAAGGTAAAATTTATTAAATTATTTAATTATAAAAAACAACAAAAAAATATTCTCACAAAAATAGTCAATAATTTGCTATTTTTTAATTTCGCTTAGATAATAGATAGATAGTGAATAAAAATTATAAATTGCTTTAAAATATTTATTTATTATTATTTAAAAATAATATTTTATTTTACAGTTTTTAATTATCAAAATTTTAAAAACAGCTAAAGAATAAGAATATTAAAAATAAATTGAGTAACTTAAATTGATTCCAAATGGATATTCTAAGAAGTCTTATTCTTGATGTTCTTGATAAAATTTGATGATGATAAAAACTACTTTATTTATTAACTAAACTAAACAGTGCTTTAAAAAATGAAACAATTTAAATTAGCTTTTATCCTGTTAGCTTTGGTTTTATACTAAAGAATGATATTTAATAAATTAACTGTAAAATAATTAAGTTATCTAACATAGGAAAACATCAGAACTCATAAATATATAAATACGAGTTGCTATGCTTCCTTCTTCAAATCAATAAATAAATAAATAAAAATAATAAAATATTTATATTATATTCAGCATATATGTAAAATGTATTAACTATTGATTAATCATTCAATAAAAAATAAGTTAATTAATGAATTTAAAATATTTAATGTTTTAATTTTTTATGTATCAATACTAATCTTAAATATATTTTATTCGAATTTTTAAACTATTATATAAAATAATCAAGATTTTATATTGAATATTAAATGTATTCAATTAACTATTTTTGATCATATAAATAAAATTTGATTTTTCATTTCTTTAAGTTTATTTCTGATTTATTTATTAATTTAATAATCTAAATTTATAAAAATTTTAATTTTAATTTTTAATAATAGCAAAAAGTGATATTTACAATTAAAAGAAATAAATGCCATCATTTAATGCAGATTAGAAAGGTATTAATTGTATTTTATGTAACATATAAATAATTAGAATATTGCTTACATTAATTATTATTAATAAGTGTTAAACTAATTATTTTCTTTTTTAAAAATAAAAGGATTGTAATTAAGAAAATTCTATTAAACAGTTTAAGGAATATCTAACCTTTAGTGTTAAAATATTATAATTGATTATATTGATTTACTAGATTATTGAAAAAATCTATATCTATTTATCTATTTATTTATTTCTACTAACTTGTAAATTCATTTCCAGAAATATCGTTTTTATTTGTTGATTTATTTTAAAAAATTATTTGATAACAATAATTGTAATTATAAACTTTTTTATATCAAAAAATTGTAAAAATTAAAATATTACCAAATGAGTTAGCTAAAAAGAATAGTATTAGTTACAGGTTCAAACAAAGGTTTAGGATATGGCTTGGTAGAAGATTTATTATCAAAGCATTCATAAAAGTTTTCAGTAATTATGACAGCTAGAGATGAGCAAAGAGGCTCTTAGTCTTACCAAAAGATTAAAGAAAAATTCCCAAACGAATAGGTAGACTTTCATTTGCTAGATGTTGAAGACCAATCTTCAAGATAAAACATATTGAAGTATGTTTAAAGTAAGTATGGAAAGCTTGATGTTTTAGTTAATAATGCTGCTTATATGCTACCTTAAGATTTGCTCACAAAGACAAAAACATATCAACCAACTGTAGAGACAGCCAAGAAAACTCTAAATATCAACCTCTTTGGAGCAATCGAGTTAACTGAATCTTTATTACCATTGGTAGCAGAAGATGGAAAGGTGGTACAAGTCAGTGCTTAAGTTGGCCAATTCTAATTTTAGCCTTAACAAACTCAATAGAAACTTACTACTTTAGAAACTAAAGCAACTGTTTATGGTTTAGCTTAGGATTTCATATAGCATTGCTAAAATCCTCCAGATGCATAAAATTTAAGATGGTCTAATAGTGCCTACCAAGTGTCTAAGTGTCTTTTAAATGCCTACATTAGAAATGTAGCAAAATCTATATTAAAAAAGAACTAATCTATGTATGCAGTTCATCCAGGTTGGGTAAAAACAGACATGGGTACTTAAAGAGCTCCTCGTACTGTTGAGTAAGGAAATGACACTTCTTTATTTTTAATAAGTTAGGTTCCTTTTGGCTAAGATGATTAATTTAATTTAAAATTAATTACTGATAGAAAAGTAATTCAGTGGTGATTTTATTTACATATAGAATTAATTAAAATATAAGATATTTTAGATATTTATATAAAAATATATTCATTCATTCTTTCATTTTTATTTATATTTATTTATCTGTCTTAAATTTAAAAGTTAATCTATATTCATTTATATTTATATTATTAGTAAGTAGGTCTTATAAATTTTTTATAGTCAAACCTTTAATAATAATCATATTTTTAAAGCATTTTATAAATATGTTGAGTATTAATTTTTTATGTCATTTCTTTATTCTATCAAAAAAATGATAACATATTTTGTTAATAATATTTGATTATCAAATCATTTTTAGATATTTTTTAGTAAATTTTATAAATAAGAGATTAATTTTATTTTAATGAAAAACTATTTTTTTGATAAAATTTATTTTTAAATGATACATTTAAGCTTTCATAGGTTGAACAAAATTTTTGAAATGATGAATGAAAAAGAATTTTTGATGAAAAGACTTTTAATAAATTGATTAAAAAAATTTTTTATTTGAAACATTTTCATGAAAATAATTTAAAAGAAGCTAATTTTGTATAAAGTCTCTCTTTTTTTGTTTTTTGATATTATTGTAAAAATTTTAACTTTTAGATTTTTTACTATAGTATTTGTCTTTCTAATAACCAGAATTAAATCTGATTGCAAGCTCAATATCTTTACAGCAAACTTAAAAGACTTTGTCATCTTAAAATTTAAAAAAAAAAGAAATAATATTTATAGTGGTAGCAAAAAATTTTATGCAATACAATCAAAAGATATAAGTATATTTATATGTGTAGAATTTTGAGTGTTTCATCTTTTATTAGATTATTGATATGAAATTAATAAGATTTTTTTGATGTGTTCTTCTTGGTATATGTAGTTTAATAGAGAAATAAATAGATAAATAAAAATGTGAAAGTCTTTTTTTAATTTTATTAATAAATAGCAAAAATTAAAAAAAATGAAAAATTTTAAATGTAAATTTTAATGTAAAAGTAATTAATTAAATTAAATTGCTTTGAATTAAAAAGGAATAAAATTTATATAAAAATTTATGGTTTAATAATTACTAATGAGAAGTAAGCACATTTTTGACAAATTAATTAATAGTGAGAATTTCAAAAAAAATATATTTTTTCTTTAATTTAATATCTAAAAGTCATATAATTAAATGAATGAGTAACAATATTTTCTTTTTTATATTGATTAATTTTGAGGTAAAATCATTATAATTAACTTAAATTTTATAAAAATAAACTTAATATTCTGATAAAACAAACTTGATAATTAACTGGAAAATTAATTTGTACATTGCTAAAATTTAAAAATAATATTGAATAACATAATTGAGGTTAATAAATGTGTAATAAAATAGCATGTTTAGATATAATTGGTTTATTTTTTAATAGTTTTGTTTAGATAATTAGATTTTAAGTTTTTTTTGAAATTCACCTTAAATTACTTGTAATCGTTTAATTAATATAAAAAGAAGCTAAAGTCATAGAAATCTATATTTTAATAAATAGCTAATAAAATACTTGAACACAAAAGGATTAATTACATTGATACTATTTATTTAGGTAGAAAATATAGCTTTAAAGCAAAATATGAAATGGCGACAATAAACTCTATTAAATCTAATGACAATGTGATGGACTCTATAGCCATATATATAGAAAATAAAAATCAAAAGCCAATGATCATCAAGACATACGATTATAAAACATGTGCAGAGATCAAGCAGTTATTAATTTAAAAATTAAATGAAAAGCAATAAGGATTGATATAATATGAAGAAAGTTAATTTAGCACTAGCTATGCATCTTATAATTTAGTAGTCTAAATAAATACTAAAAAGCATCCAGAACAAGTTCAAAGCCGTAAAGTGAATCCTTTAGAGAGACCATTTGAAATTAAGTATTTTTTGTAGAATTCAAAGTTAGAATTCTATTTCATTTTTGAAGACTCAAGTAATTCAGAAGAATAATATGCGTGTATGGACACAAATTCAAAAACATACAATTTATATGAAAAGTGTAAATACTTATACTTAATTTATTAAACCATTTAATCATCTATTTTTTTAGAGAAATATATTAGGATGGGAAATTTAGGGAAGTTAAAAAAGAATGAAAGTTTTAGTGAATTTTAATTGTATCTGTATCCAGATCATATATTGTACAGCCAAGTCAAGAATAAAAATCAGAGTAATTATTAATTCATTAAATAATTTGAAATAGTTAGCAAAAGTTAAGATGAGATAGTATTTTAAAAAATGTTTTCAAGCACTTACTTACCACCAATTCATTAATTTAATAAAAATAGGTGTAAAAATTATTTCATTAGCAAAAGCACATGTTTAATAGCTGGCAAGTTAGAGATACAAAAACTGTTTCTAAATCATAGAATCTAAAATATTTACATTCAGAGCTAACTCAAAGCTTGATTTACAAGGATGGTAAGTTAAATAATTATTTTGCTTTATAATTATTTGTTTTTTTTAAGTTTTTTTGTAGCATATTTCTTATTATTTAAATAGGTTAATAGAAATATTTAAGTGCATATCAAATCTTTAAGACAAGAAATTACTTGATTAATGCGAGGAAGAAATAGAAACAGCAGAAAGGCAATCATAAAATTATTTAGTTCAGGCGATGGACAAATCCAACATGAGGTGCTATAAATGTATAAAGAAAAAATCTTATAGGGATAAATTCATAGAATTTTTAATGAAGGAATAAGAGAAATATTTTATCAATTAAATTAAAATTAGTGAAAAATATCAAGTTTATTAAAATATAATCAAAATGATAGATTTTATAGCTAAGACTCAATTTAACTTTCCACCTTATGATAATGTATAAAGCAACAGAAACACAAGTTCACATTCTAGTCCAGGAAGTGGCAATAACTTAGAAAATTCATTTTAAGGATCATATACCTAAAGAAAGCATGCATAGTCCCAAGATTGCACAAAACTACTGAAAGATTTTTTTGAAAATTAGATTGCAAATAATCAGTATTTCTAGAATTTTGTATTTAAGATTTTAGGAAAAATGCATAGACTTTAATACAGCAAAATAGCTAGTTAATTGGTAGATAAATAAGATAATATATTTCCATCTTAAACTCAGACAGAACAATTTAAATAAAGGGAATCTACCAACAGTCAGTAGCCAAAATCAACAAGAATTTCTGTTTTGTCTGAACAAGCTGCTTAGAATAATACTTAAAAAGAAAACTCACCTATTTTTTAAATGAATTCTGGTTTTTCTACTCCAGCATCAAATAAATCAAAAACAAATAATCAACAACAAACAGAAAATAATAATAACTATTTTAGTGAAAATATTGCTTTCAAAGAACTTTAAACTAAAAATCCTGCTTTATACGAATACTTAAAAAAGAAATAAATCGAAAATGGTAACTTAAGTCATTCAGATTCTCCAAAAAAAAATATAATATAAAATGAATAAGATCAAACGAATTAGGATAGTTAAAACTAATTAGAAGCTCCGCCTCAATTTTAGCAATGCTAATCTCTAATTTAATTTAGCAGTTAGTAATAATCATTATAACAATAACAATTTCCTAGTTAATCTTTGATATAATTTAGCCACTCTAATCAGCCCTCAATTTCTCAAAAAGATTAAATTTTACCACAAGATATGAATTTCTAACATATTATTTAATCAAGAAAAACAACAAATCAGTCAACCACTTCATCAACATTTTATTCTAACAATAACTAAAATTTAAATGATGAAATCCTTAAATATTTTTAAGAATAAAACTAATAAAAATTTTTATCAGATCCATCAAGATAAACTTTAAATCTCGAAGATATGACGATAGAATCAGAACCCAAGACAATCAGAGAAATATCTGACTCTTAATATTTCCAAAATGCAATGAATAACTCTTCCACCAATTTAATTCAAATAGAATTATCTCAATAAGATTTTAACTAACAAATTCAATAATTTTCTAGCGAGCAAATGCTCAATTTATTACTAGGATTTATAGAAATAGAAGCATTTACAGCATTCGTAAAGAATGGATAGTATTACAAGTAAATAATAAAATCTAGATAATAAATTTATCAATAAATGATGCCTAACTTTGATTTTTTACCAAAGATTTTAAATAGCTAAAGCAATAGATTCCCTCAAGACATATTTACAAACCAATTTAATAGCCCTATGAAAAATAGTTATACGAGTGGAATAGCTAAAGTTGCATCTAAAAAATGAATAAATGAATTCAAATGAAGCTAAATAAGTTTAAAAATGAATAAATAAGCAAACTAATCAATAAATAAATAAATAAATACCGTAATACCTTGAAACTCGAAAGTCTAAAATGAAAAATTTTATGGATTTTCTGATGTTTTTAATTAGACGTACCTTACCTCTTTACTAGAAATTCTCAAAATTAGAAGATCGAGGTATTACAGTATAAAACTAATAAATAATAAATATTTACTAAAAATTATTTACAAAATCTAAACTATTTTAAAATTAAATATATTAATAAAAAATACATATTTAACACAGTATCATAAATATATAATTTATTATAATATCTCAATTTAATATTTTCTTATTAAAAACTAAAATCCTTTTGTAAAATATAAAAAATAATTAATATTAACTTTTCATTTTCAATAAAAAAATAATGGATTACAATTATAATTTTTAGTAAAGAAAGAAAAAAGAATAAATGTTATTTACGATTTTATAAATATAAAATTATATTTTAAATTTTGAGATCATATAAATAGGTTATATAAATATATAAAGAACAAATAGAAAAATGAAAGGAAAATATAAGAATAGCCAAAATTTTAGAAATAGATAATTTTAATTAGCTTATTAGTTAATTATACTGAAAATTAGTGTCTCCTTTTTTAATTTATTTTGCACATCATAAAAAACTTAGTAAGAAATATTTTTATTATTAATTTTATAATGAGTATATGTATGTATGTATTTATTTATTTAGTTATATATGTATCTTGGAAATTTATTAGATATTTTAGTGTTTTCGTGCTTGATAAAAATTAATTTAAACTCTGAGGATTTCGACAAAGAAAAATATAATAAATAATTTCAAAAATAAATCTGTAAAGATAAAACCAATTAGTATTACTACTTTTTAACAGAAATAGCTTTAAGGCATAAACTCATTAAAAGAGATAAATTACAATAAAAGATAAGGTGTAGAAATGAGCAATTTAGATTTAAGAACATTGTGGGTTGGAGATATTGAAAACTGGATGACTGAATAATTTATTGAAAGTGTTTTTAATAAAGTTGGTAATAAATTAATTATTTATCAATAAGTTTAACTAAAAATATGATTTTTATTTTGAAATTTTATGATATGCAGCTTGAAATAAATTCTAATACATTATTTTTTATAACAATAGGTAAGGTTGTTAGCGTTAAGTTAATCAGAACAAAAGAAACAAGTCTCCCTGCTGGTAATGAAAGCTTTATATTATCTGTCTTGAAGACTCTTAACATATTATTTATTTATATTATAAAGGTTATTGCTTCGTTGAATTTTAGACTCATGAACAAGCAGAAAGAATTTTGATGAATTACAACTAGTAGTTAATCCCTGGAACTCAAAATACCTTCAGAATGAATTGGGGAAAGAACCGTAAGATTCATTTATAAGCCAAAAACCTTATTTATCTTTTTTTATAATTAAATAGCTACTAACACTGGTATTATCAAGCAACCTACAACCTAAGCTAATAATGGTTATGGAAATAATTAATATGGCATGATGCAATAGCCAGTGATCTAAATGCCACCTATTTAAGAATTCTCAGTAATTAAAATGATTATTTTAGAAAAACAATTTGCCTATTTTTAGAAACATTGTTAAAAATTGCTCTTAATTATGAATAAATAATTGATTGATTGATCATCCCACTTTAGAAAAAGACTTTTATTCTACAAAGTCAAAAATTATTTTAGCATATTTATCTTCTATGGAATACTAAGAAAAGTGATCTCATACGTAGTGTGCGAGTTAATAGATGAGAAATTGGAATTGATATTTAAAATGATGAAAGTTGAAAAAAAGATATTAAACAAATAAATTTATCTAGACGACAGCTGTTATAAATAAGATTGATTATAAAAAAATTTAAAAGAAGATAAATAGAGAGCGAAAATATCTTATAATCAAATAAATTAAACTTGTATTTTTTGAAAAAGAAGAGCATATATTATAAATAAGGAAATAATTAAATATCTTCGATAGCAAAAAAAAACAAACTTTGTAATAGACTAAATTTTTACTCAAAATAAGTGTTTAAATTAAGTGGGAAAATTATCATATTTCATTGGTTCATTCATTCATTTGTTTATCTTAAGGGCAATATTTAATAATCACTTGCAAAATAAATAAAACAGAAATTAACTTTTTTTTTTAAATATTTAGATTTATGTTGGTGAATTAGAACTTGGCATTAACGAGTAACAACTTGCAGAGCACTTCAGATCTAAGTATTCTAGTGTAATTGGCTCTAAGATTATTACTGAACCTACCAGCAAGATGAGCAAAGGTTACGGCTTTGTAAAGTTTTCTAATCCTATTGAAGGACAACGTGCTATTCATGAAATGAATGGCTCTCTTTTTAAGGGCAAATTCATTAAGGTTTCTCAAGCTGTTTCAAGGTAATAATAACAGGCTTAAGCTTAAGCTGCTGGAACACCTGGATTCCCTTAACCCGCAGGTTATGGTGCTGCTACAGGTGCAGCTGATTATAACGGTTACGGCTATTATCCTTAACAACCTTCTTAAGATCCTTATTATTAATACTAATAATAGTATGCTGGCTATGCTTCTACTTAAAATACACAATATTAATATCCCTATTCATATTCTTCTTCTTACTATTAAAACGGAGTTTATGGTACAGACCCTTCTTAAATGTATGGCCAACCTGCTTAGGCAAGCAATATGCATGGATATCAATATCCCGCCACTGCTAGTACCTAAAATGCATAGGGATAAGCTCAATAGTACTCATAACAATATCCATAGTAAGGTTAAGTTCCTCAAGTACCTACTGCAACTACAGCTACTAATCCTGCTGCTATTTAATAATAGTATTATAATTAAACTGCTTAAACTCCTCAAGCTGCAAACAGCTAATAAGTAGCCTCTACTCATGATAAATATTCTTAAAATAATTATTAATCCCAATAATAATCTGCTAGCAATGCTCACTACTCTCAATAGTAATAGTATTCTCATTAATAGCAGTAATCTTAAGTTCAATCACAAGCATCCAGCCAATCATAAACTGCTCAACAACAATAGCTCTCAACTTAATAGTAATTGAACTAAACTGAAAAGAAGTCTGATGCTAACTCTATACCCACTCCCTCTGTTAAGGAATCATCTTTATTCCAAAAGGTAACTTTATTAATTTAAACTAATAAAATATGATATTTATTTTAGATCGATTTTAAATTTAAATAAACTCTTATTATTGATCGACAACAAATATTAAATAAATCAAATATTTAATAAAAAAATAAATTAAATTTTAATAATATAAATAGCCTAGCTCTGATTTCATCGGATATTAAACTGAATACGTAAGCATGACTGGCGAGCTTGAATTCATTTTGAAGCACAACATATGCTGAGAACGCTCCAAATATTAATTAATCTCCTCTAAGAAATATACAAAGAATGAGTGAATATTGATCTCCATAAATCTACCTATCAACCTACCTATCTATCTATCTGTCAATCAATCAATAGTTCTAGGAAAACTGCAAGCAAACTAAATAAAAGGTGTTGTTATTATTCCTAATTTCACAACTTCTCTTCAAATAGAATATTTTTTCAGCAGGAGAAAAGAAAGAAGAAAATTATTATTATTATTTAATTAATTAATTTCTTTAATTTAGGATTTCTTTTCTTACTACTATTATCATCATCATCATTATTATTATTTACTTTACATTTGTTTTAACATTTCTATTTATATTTTATTTAGTTTCCTTTATTATATTTTTTCAAAATCATATTATTACTTCTTTCCCCTCTAACAAAGTGACTTACTTATATAGCCACTATAAACAGTATTCAAATATATTTTGTTTTTTATATTTATCTATCTAAAATTATTTACAATATGAGTGTATTGAATGTGTGAAACTATGAAAGAGCAAATATTATCCAACCATCTTAGGGACAATGATAAATTAGCTGATTAATAAACAAACAAACACATTTTCTTATTTAAAAAGCTCAATTATTAACAAGCAACTACTAAATAAGTAATAAAAAAGTCATTGAATACTACCTAATTACTTGGAAATTAACGGGAAGCAAATGCCATATCAAAATATAAGTACGATAAGTAAATGAATGGATGAATAATGAGTCAAATTAATAATGATAAATTTTCCATTTATTCCTTAATTTAGTTTTTTATTTATCAGGATAGTTTAAAAGAATATTCTTTAAAAGAAATTTTTACTAAATAATGCTCTCTTTTAAAAGTTTTAGATGCAATAATAACATTGGATATTGTTTTTACTAAAGCTGGATGAAGCTCAGGGACTATCCCAAAAGATTCTATTCTAATGAAGTAACTCAAAAGAACCATTTTTTTTTTAAAGTTAATTTGTCAAAAAATCATTTCTATTTATTACTTTTTGTTATTATGATGTGGCATATTTTATTGGTGTTTTAGTTGAACAAGTGATGTTGTTGTTGTTGTTAAATGCTTTTCTAAACTTTTTTTGTATTAATTGTTTAAATGTTAAAATGCATTTTATCGATTTTTGTTTAATTAATTAAATAAATAAGTAAAATAAACTTGAGAAACTAAATTTAAATTTATTATCTGCTAAAATAAATTAAATTGTTGATAGATAAATTTACATCTAACTTAAATAATTCAATTATTTTTCTTCAAATAAAATTTATATTTTTAATTTTTTATTGGTTAAAGATAGAAAAATGATTTAAAAATTTATTGTTTTTAAATTTATTTACACTTTTAATTAATTATTTTTCTTATCGAAAAATGATTCTTTACTAAGCTTAATATTTTAAATTCAGTAACAAGCTGAAAAAATAAATATTTAAGGGCAATATAATTAATTGTTAGTTAGTTAGAAAAACATTTTACACAATTTATCAATTTGATTTTATTTACTTTTTATACAAAAATAAATTTAAATAAAATAATATATTTTATTTGAATATAAAGAGACATTTATTTTTTTATTTATTTAATATAAGTAAGAGCTGATAGTTAGTTTGGAAAAACGCATTTATGTATTTAATAATATAATTTTTTCAAAATTTTATGAAAATAGAATAAAAATCAATCACTTATTCTAAAATTCTAATTTCATTATACTAAATTTTATAATTCATTTTTGATGAGTGGGGCGTTGATTGATAACTTATGTTCAAGATTGTTTGCAGGCTAATAAACATTTGTACATGCAGGTATTTTAGAATTCTTGGAAGTACTTCTCTTTTTGGATTCTGAATTCTTAATTTTTCTTTTGGCTTTAGCTTTCTTTTTCTTTGGCTACTCTTTTTTCAACTAAATAATTGTCTTTAGTTGATATAATTTTAATTTTTTCATTACACTTTTTAAATTGTTAATTGGGAAATACACTTCAAATTCTTTTATTGCAGAAAATCCTTCATCATATAGAGGAATTCTCGAACTCAAAGGATCCTTCATTAATTTACTATGCCTTTCTGAAACTGTTTACATTCTTTTCATCGAAGGCTTAGTATTTTCGTTAGCGGCATTATTCAAATTTTTATTACTTTTAGATTTTTAAACTTCTTGCATAGAATTAACTAATGCTCCTCCTGTATGAGACTTTGCTCTTATGCAGGCAGTACTACTAAAGTTTTATTACGAGGCTTTATATTACACAGGATCCATGGAGGATTAGGACTTAAAGGTTTTTTCATACTCAGATTAGTTATTTATGCTAAAATGAACACTGTTTAGATAGTCTAGGGTACCTTACTTCATGTTAATAGATAACTGCTTTGAGGAATTTCTTATACTGGACGATATTTATTGAGTCATTTTTTTCTTCATACCTAATGCTGAATTTCTGCCTCCTCCTTAGCTAATATTAGATGCTTACTTAGTAATTGAGACTATACTTCTCGTGTTATTGTTATTATATAAGGATTCTTGCTTATCCTAATAAAGACTATTCATTTCGCTTCTAGAGCCATTCTTTAATGCCTATTTATTTGATGATGTTTAAATATTTTTCTTTGAGCTAGAAGCACTGTTGCTTCTTTAAACTTAGTTTTGTTGAAGGAGTGTTAAAATATATTCTGATTTTTAATCTTTTTCGTTGTCTTAATATGAATCATATCTCTCATCATCTTCATCCTCATCCTCATCTTGGTCATAATCCTCCTCTGAAACTTTACTTTTTTCTTCGTAGATTAAATTACTATGACGTCTTTTTAAGTAACTATCATCACCTTCTCTACTTTCTCTATATTTTGTATTTTTAGATATTGAAGTGTAATTAGAATTTTTTCTCGAATCTAGTTCTCTTTTGTGGAGTGTAGGAGTATTTGTTACATGCGACTTAGGATCCATATCACTTTCATTTGTAAATGCATTATTGGTACTTATCTTTTTCTCTTAAAATGAATCTTAGTATGATCCAAGTTTTTCAGTTTGCGTTTAAGTTTAAAAGTCTGACTTTGCATCCATTTAATTTCTATCATTCTTAGAGTATATGTCTTTATGATATTCAGCTTAAAGTCTGCTATCTTCATCAGCAGCTATTCTCCTAAAGCTGCTTTTAATTTCATAATCATTATTTTCTGTATCTTTAACGGCTTCACTCATTTTACTTATTTACGATTTTTAATATTCTTCAAGTTCAAGTTCATAATCTTCGTCATCTTCATCCTCATCGTCATCCTCGTCTTCGCATTGATAGTAATCCTCATCAGAGGAAGGCATTTCAACATATTAATCACAGGAATTATCATACTTAAATTTAACCATTTATTTTGTAAATCTCTTGTCACTTACACTCTATCGAGATCCTTGAGTTTCAAAATTACTTTGATTTACTTATTGTGTTAATAATTGCATAACATCCATTCTATACTTAACTAATCTGGATCTAAACGGTTGTATTAGCTAAACAGAATTACATTTAAAGTTTCTCAATCTGACTTAAAGTTTTCTTTAGTTAGCCTCTGTTTAATCATATATGTAAAGAATTTTGCTTTATTGGAAATTTATAGGAAAATACTTAGGACATTCGTTACTAAAGTGTCCATAATTGTTACAGCTGAAGCACAGTATATCATTCATCCTAGAATAAATGCTAAGATTGTCTTTAATTTTGCATAGTGCTTCCTTTAAAATAAGCCAAAGTTTAAAATAATTTATTGAATCTTTGAAATAAAATTTTACATAATCCAAAGGATATTCTTACAAAACTTATTTAAAGTCTTCATAAGAAACATAGCATAAACTTGTAGCTGTCTTAGCTGCTCTAGCATTTGAAGAAGTTGTAAAATTACAAAAAAATCCCATTTAATTAAAAATTGATCCATTTTAATAATGCTTTTATTAAAATTAATTATTACTTTTTTATATTTGATAATTAATTTCAAAAAAAATGGTTTAAACTTTTAGTTTGTTTGTTTAACTTATTTGATAATTATTTTTCAAATAGAATTTTTTAATATTTCTCAGCTCAAAAAGTGTGAACACAAATAAAAAAAATTTATCTGAAAAAATAAATATTTTTCTTTGTTACATTTATTATTTATTGCTTGTAAATTTAATTGATTGAAATAAAAATTTACTTTGATTGATGATAAAATATGAGATTTTTTACTATTTTTATTTTCAAAATAAAATTCGATTTATCCATTAATTAGGAAATAAATATTTCCATTAAAAGTATTTTCTTTATAGATTATTTCTCCTGGCGATATAAGCTACTCTCTCATTTTTAAGGCTAACTTTTTCAAACAATCACGAGAAAAATTTAAGCGAAATAGCTTAGCTTCGTTTAAAATTTTAAAGAAATACTCCTCTTTTACATCATTTTTTAATTATTCATTCAATGTGTTTAAAATTTATTCTCCATTCAAATCCCCACATGTTTCAATTTAATTTTTATATTCCAAATTCTTAAGTACCAAATGTTACAAATTTCTTGAAATGTTTCTTTTTCTCATATAATTAGTAATACTAAACTTTATGCTTCTATATTAAATAAATAGTTTTAAAATTGTTTTTTGTTTATTTAAAAATTAATTAAGTAATTATTTTACCTAAAATTTTATTCTCTTCTTGATTTTTCTTAGAAAATAGAACCAATAGTATTTATTGAATATCCAAAAAGTCCGCAACTAAAAAAAATGATATTAATTATTTATTACATGATTAAATATAAAGATAAAAATATACCTTAATGAAATAACAACTGTAACATATATCTTTTCATAGTTCGTTTTTGGTGTTATATCTCCATATCCAACAGTAATCATAGTGATAAATGAAAAATAAATACTATTAATATAGCGTGTGTAATAATCATTGGGGTTACTAAGTTGCAGCGAATCAATCCAAGTACCACTTTATCCACTTTTTATTTCCTATACAGCAACATAATGAAAACCACAACAAATGTAATGAGCCATAAAAAAATTGAGTATAAATAGCTTTGCTAGTTAGAATATTGTGTTAAACCTTTATTCTAATTAAAAGTGCTCGTCAATTTTGTTCAAATAATCAGGAATTTACACTAAATAAAAAAAATAAAAATAAGAGAATAGTTAAACTTAAATTTATTTACGAATTTTGATCATGAATATCCAGTCAACTAAAAAAAATGATTGGTTAGTTACAATCAGAACAAATGAAAAGTTTGTAACAAAATCTATCCAAAATTACATTCTAATTTTATAGTAGAATAATTTTATATGAAAATATTAAATAATATAAAATTAATCAATCAATTTTATGATTAAAACTAATAAATATATCAATAATAAATAATAAATCCCAAATAATTTAAAGAGAAATAGATAATTTGGTAGAATATAAATCAAAAAAAAAAAGTTTGTGTATTGAGATAAAAAATATTAATATTATTTTTTAGAATGTAATTTAATCTATTCTAAGCTTTAATTGAAGATTCATTCTTTCTGCTAAAAAGTTTATGATAAAATTTTAAACTTAATTATTTTATTTTAAAATAAATTTTATTAACTTTTTAAATATTGCTTTTAGCTTTCATTTTATTTTAAAAGAAAGCTTTCTTCTTTGTATAAAAAATTTAAATTTAAAACATTTAATTTATAAAAGCAAGTCTTAATTAATTAATTAATTAATTAATTAAATAAATAAATAAATTTCTTGAAATTTACTAAAAATAGTTTTTCATGATCTTCTTCTTGTTTGTTACTAAGACACCTTGGTCATAGAAAGCTGTAAAAAAATTGAGAATTAAATCTAAGTTCATAATAATAGAAGGTATAAGATAGAGAATGTAGAAATTAATCTCATGCATATAATCTAAACCAAACGACATTCTAAGAGGAATACAAATGTTTTACATAGTAATAGTGAAAAATAGTACTATGTTCCATATCAGGGCGAAATTTGTATTTGGAGTTATTACAGAAAATGAAGAGAAAATATTTAATACTTTCAAGCCTTAAAAAAAACACACAAAAAACTTAAGGAACTTTGCTTGGTGAGTATTTAGAATCATAGATTACTTTCTTTTAGTTAGGAATTATTAAGTATCATAGCTTTAATCACCAATGCATTTGAGCTAAGTTGTGTTGAGATTGCTAAATTTACTGAACATTTAATATTATTTTATTTTGTAAACAAATTTTTTTACCCTACTTAAAATTAAAAGTTCTTTCCATTATTTATTAGCACCTTCTTTAGTTGTCAAAGTAGAAGCTTTTTTAAGTTCAGTGTTTGTTTCTGTCTTTTTTTATTATTCATTATTGAAAGTCATCATTGCGCTAGTATTTTATAAAGCATATTTTGACTTTTTACCACGTTTTTTTATATTTGATTGTAGATCTAATAATTTTTCTATTTGCTGAATCTGTTTCTATTAATCCTCACTCATTGCAGCATATGAATCTTCTTCGTCTTCTTCCTCCTCTGAATCTTCAAATGTTTCATTATCACCTTCTTGGTCTTACACATTACTATTTGATTTTGAATTTCTTTTGTGCGTTTCTTCTATTGATACATCATCATTTTTACTATTTTCTAGTTCAGATCTAGAGTATTACGAGCTATAATTCTACTTTTCACTTTATGCTTTTTGTTTATTGTGATTAATATTTTTTTTCTCCTCTTATTTAAGTAAAGCATCATCATCAATCTTCTATAATTAAATGTTTTTCAAGGAGGCTTTTATTATATGTTATGACATTTCTAGATTTGCTTAGGAGTTTGAAATGGATCTTTTTGAACCTTCTTTTAATATCTTGCTTTCTTATTAATCAGATTAAATATCAATTTCTGTTTGTTTTAAGTTCCTTTTCTCCAATTCAAATCTATCCTCATCCATGGAAAATAGCTTACGTCTCTTTTTAACTCCTTATAAAGGCATCTCATCAAAGTTTTTAATGAATGGAACTCCTTCTCTGGAACAATTTGCAGACTCTTCTAATCCTGTTATGCTTTGAATAAATTTACTTTAATCATTATTTTTCTTTTCCATATTCTTTTAAATTTACTCTTAACTCATCATAATCAAAATTTAACCAAAATTTCTGGTATTTAATTCCTATCGCTTAGTGAGTAGGATTATTTTGTAAAAAATGAAAGTCCCTAGTTGTTAGATTAAATAATATTTGTGTATTTATTTATTCTACTTCTTTCTCAAATATTGCTATTTATTTAGCTTAATAATTAATTGGTTTTATAATTGTAAATTAAACTAAAAATTTGTGATAATTAACTAAATGACAATCAATGTAGCTCTAATTCTTATTATTTGCTACTTAACATAAAACTCTGGTTCTACCATTCATTTGTTAGAAATCTCTTTACAAAATATAATGATTCCAAAATTTAATATTCCTCAGTCTACTTTAACTTTTCATTTTAATTAATATCAATCAATTTCTTCACAATTGCTTAATATAAACCTCAAAATGCACATATTCACTTAAGTATACCATCAAGTTATTTATGCAGCAAAATATTTAAATTATATATATACTTTAAATTAATAAACTTTAAATTTCTTAAAACTAAATGCAATAATTCCATAAAAAACTGATAGAAAATTAAATTTTTATTGGCAAAGAAGTAAAATTTAATAGTTCAAAATATAAATTACAACAATTTGCAATTTCAAATTTTTTGTTTTTTTATTATTTAGAGATAGCCAAACTCAAAACAATTTTACATCTTTTTCTGAAAATGAGATAATCATGTTTAGATTTATATAATTTATTACTCATTACAGATTTAAGCAATATTTAATAAAAACCAATATTACTTTTTAAACAACTAATGCAATTTAAAGTATTAGAAAACTTTGAAATCACAGCTTTTTTTACATTTACATAGATAAGAACCATTCTCAAATAGATATTTTAAGATAATTATGTATTTTAGATTAAAAATTATTAAAATTTATATTAAATAAATAAATTCTTAAAACTTTTTATCAAAAAATTTAAGAAATTGCAAATTAAAATAATTATTTAAAAAATTTGTATTTATTGGTATTTATTTATTCTAAATTTTAGGATTAATTCTAAAATTAAACAAATCACTTTAAATTATTAAATTATAGATGAAACTATATTAAAATTTAACTTTTCTAAAAATAATTAACTTACTTTATCATTTTCATACTTAATTTAATTTTTAAAATTATTTTCATAAAGTGAAATTTATTGTAATATTTTATTTACTTAAAATATAATTAAATAAACATTAATTTGCCTTAATAAAAAATATATTTTCCTTTAATTAGATCACGCCAAAACATATTTGATAATCAAAAGTACTTTCACAATTTAATAATTTTATAGTTAAGCAAATAGATATTTAATATTTATTGTTTTTAACAGATAAAATAAATAGAAAAATATACTAACAGATTTATTTACTTGTGTTATTCTTTTTTGTATTTCTTTTTATTTGTTGTAAAATTTTAATTTAAAACTTAAATGTGTATAAATAATTATATATACTCATATATGTATTATTAGTATAACTTACTTACTTACTTAATATGATGATGAAGTATGTATGTATGAAGACTAACTAACAGAGTTAACTTAATTTCGAACTAACTAACTAACTGTAAATCAATCCTAACTAGTTTATAATACTGCAAAAGAAAACAACACGCAATATATATATAAATAAATAGATATAAAAATTAATTTCTTACTTTTTCCATTACACTCATTCATTCATTCATTGAACCAATCAATCAATAATTTCTTAATCTATCATTCTGAATTCTTGTTTTTCAAATCAAAAATCACATTTATATCTATCTACTGTTTAAAATATTCTAATAAATTTATTTTATATTTACTCGACTTTTTTATTATAATTTTTATTTATTGTTTTATTAAAGGTTCTCATCTTCTGCCTCCTTTTTTGTCTTTTCCTCTTGAACTGCTTCTCTTCTTGTTCCTTTATTTTAATTATTTTAATTTACATAAATTAAAATGCTTTATTTATATTTTTCTTACTTTCTACTAGATCCTGATCTATCACGAGATCTGTCTCTTCTTGATTTACCAGATGATCTATCTCTTTCTCTATCTCTATCTTTTTCCCTTTTTCTATCTTTAGATTTGCTTTTAGATGATCTCTATTTATTTATTATTAAAATATTATTATTACATGAATTGTGAAATTAATAAATAACCTTCTTTTTCTCTTTTTCTTTGTCCAATCTTTTCAAAAGTTATTTTAAGCTTTCTTTTTTATTCTTCAAGCGAATAAGCTCATCTCTTAGCAATTAGAAACCTATTTTTATAAAGTTGTATTTTATTGTAAATTAAAATTCAACTAATAAATTTTACCTTAGTGAATCTTTCCTTCTAAATGTGTTTAAGCTCTTTTATCCTTATCATTTGTAATTTTCCAAGCACCACAGATATCACAAACTTCTTTCTATGCAAGACCACTGTTTGAAGGATTGTTATCGTGACTGTTAATAAGTAAATCTCTTTGAATTCTATATTATTCAGCTTCATCAGAAAGCTTTTCAGCTTATTCGATTTCTCCCTAGTCACCTAGTTCTTTACTCAATTCAATTTTTTGCTTAATTAAAGCTTCATACGAATCTATTCTATGATAAAATAATTTTTTTCAATATAAAGACTTGTTTTGTTAAAATAAATGAATTTAAAATTAACTAAACATATTAAAAATAAATGTAATATTTGCAATAAACTTACTTGTCTTAGATTTCCTTTGGACGCTCGATATCAGAAGTATTTTTCTTTTCTGAAAATTATTTATTTTTCTAAACTTTATGATCGATATCGTCTATTTTCTTCTAAATATAATCTATGTTTTATTTATTTTTTAAATTAAAAAACACCACACCATTTTTAACCTTTTAATTTAAATTTACAATAAAGTAACTATAAATTACCTATAACTTACTTAGTAATTGTATATTCGAATTCAGCTCTTTTCTCTTCAGAATCATCTTAAAATTAACGCTTAAAAAATTCATCATGTCTAGACTTGCAACTACATATTTAATACCAATTATTTATTAAGTTTTCAATATAAAAGTAATGTTTAAAATAGCTCAAATTTTTGGTAAATTTTATTTTTATAAATAATTTAATTGTTGAATGCTTTATTTTCTTACGGACCATCGTCATAGGGAGTGTTTGGGAAGATGTCTTTGTAGCAAATATCCTAACTAACTAAATAGAAAATGCATACCTGTTTGTTTAATTAATAAAATATTTAAAATCATAAAAATGAAATAAAATAAATTATTTGCTTTGCAAAGTTAAAATTACTTCTTTATCACTGTAATGCTCCTTCTTTTTATTTCTTTCATTTTTAGAAAGATTTCTATCAACACCAAAAAATTAATCTAAAAGTAGTTTTTATTGATCCATTTTTTTTATCTTTTTAACTATTTTATCTTTGATAAAGATTTTTTTCTAAATTAATAATTTATAAATTTTAGTAAAGCTTAATATTTCTTAAACAATTAATTTCAAAATTCTTTGTTTTTGCATTCATTCAAAAGATTTCTGGCTTTAAATTCTAGATTATAATCTTTTGTTTCTATTTGCTATAAAAAAACTATTAAAACATATTTTTTATTTGTATTATTTCTTTATTATTGCTCCAAGATGTGAATCCGTTCTTAAGTTCGAACATAATCTTTGTTGTAATCAAACATTAGAAAAAAACTAAGCATCGTTGCAAAATATTTTTACAATAATTTATAAAATTCTTTTTTGTTGATCTCCTTTATCTTTCTTTACCCACTTGAAAAACGATTTTAATTATTAATTCAATATCTGTCTAAAGTATTTATTTTATTTTTTTTTGATAATAAATAATCCTAAAAAAAATAGTTTAAAATATCAACAATTTATTTTATTAAATTCTCTTATTAAATTTCTTTTACTTAAAAATAGATATAAAATATAATTTAAAATTAAAACTGCAAAATATTTTTGTTGCTATTTATAAATTTCATCTTGGTATTCATTATCAAAATAACTTTTAATTATTTAATAAATGACTGGCTTCAAAGTTTATTTATTTTTCATAATAAACTATTCCTTAAAAAAAAAAGTCTAAAATATAAATAATTTAATTTATTAAATCACTTATTAAATAATTTAAAAATAATGTTCTATTTAGTTAATTATAAAGGTTAGTTTTGATTGAAAGTAAAAAAACACAAAAAGTCAAATGGTGAATTTTTAACTTTACTTCGATTAGATAATTAAATATATTATAAAATAATTTATTAAAATTTTAAAAAAGATAGGTTAGAATTTATATTATTTGAACGCTAGCATAAATTGATAGTCCAAGTTTTAAGAAGATTTAATTTAAAATATAAGTAATTAAAAAATTAAATTGTATTAATAAAATCTTACACAATTTTTAGTATTTATTTGATAGCAAATTAAAAGATTATTCATTTATTTATTCAGCAACTATAGAAAGCTAATGTCTAAAGAAATTGAAAAGCTTATAAATTAATAGGCGAAAAGATAAAATCTTCCTATATAATATTTAAGAGATAAGATATATCCTGAATTATATCAGGCTTTGGTTTAGGTAATGCCTTTAATATTTTATTTATTAAGTATTAGATAGTTCGTTTAGTATTGTAATAATAATCAATCCTATTTAAATAAAGCTTATTGACCATATTATTAAAACTGATGAAATAAGGAAACATTAGGAAAGGCTAAAGAGAAAAAAAGTTTTTGATAAACTAGAATAAAAGAAAGTAGAAAAGGAAAAGTTGAAAGCAGATTTAGGTAAATACATTTTCGATTATTAATAAAATAACTTCTCAATAATGCAAGAGCTATAAAATGAGAGTTATGGTTTTAAACTCTTTAATATAATAACCAAGCGATTTACAAAATTAAGTAATAATTCAATCAATCTAAATTAAAGGTAGTGATTATGTTAGTAGTGAAGACGATAGCTTGGATTTTGAAGATTTAGGATTAGAAAAAGAAGAATTAGAGAAAATTTTAAACGAAAGAAAAAAGGCAAAGGAAGATTAAGATGGTGATGATAAATAAGAAGATGGAGAAGACTCAGAGTCTTACAATAAATCCAAGAATAATATATAGTCTGATTCATAAGATTTAAATGGTGATAAATAAAAAGATAAAGGCAATAAAGAGAATTTGGTTTTAATAGAAGAAAATGAAGAAAAAGATGTAACTTAATCACTTCTTAATTTAAAAAAAACTTTTTCAAATATAAATATTTAAAAACAAACTAAAGCATTTATTATAACTTAAATCTATTACTAAAAGGAAGAAAATGAAAAAGATATAACAGCTGAAAGGGAAAAAATTACAAAAGAGCTCAAACAATAAAGAGAGGATTTAGGATTTAATCCACTAAAATTTTTAGCAGAAAAGTTAAAAGAAATTCATAGTTAATAAAATTGATAAAAATAAATTAATAAATAAATATCTTAAACAAAACATTTTTTTATATTTCATTCGTAATAGATTTAAAATCAATATTTTAATTAAATAAATCATTGAATTTTAAAAATTTAATTTTAAATAATTCTAAATACAATTTTTAATCATGAAATATATTTTCTGAGATATTTTTATTATTCTGAAAAAATTAACAAGACTATGAATACATTTAATTGCTTATATTAGTAAATTTTAAATACAACTTCATTTTTAAAAATAAAAGTTAAACAAAATTTTTAATATAATTTTAAATTTAAAAATAATAAAATTAAGAAAAAAATATTTTAATTTATTTATTTTTTATTAAATTTAATTTCTTAATCTGGCTGGATTTTATTTGAGTTAATATTGAAATTGAATATCTAAAAATTAATATTGATAGAGAATATTAAAAAATAAGTTTTTGTATATAAATAGTTAAATGAAACTTATTAAAGGTTTAACTATAAAATCGAATGAAACACATACGTACATCTTTAAACTAAATAGAAATAAATTTTAATTGATAAATATTTCGAATTATTTAGAAAAATAAAAAAAACTGATTAAAATGTTTGGGTTATTAATTAAAATTAAAATATTTTTTACTTAAATAAAAGAAAGGATTCTTTCTTTAAATAAAAAAATAATTAGAATAATTTAAAATAAAGTAATATAAAAAAAAAAAATTAGAAATTTATAAAAAATTTGAATAAAATAATAATTTATTGATAAATTAAAGAATTTTTATGCTATTATAATTAATTAATTAATGAAGGAAAAATATTTAACTTAAATTTTTAACTAATCAATATGAAATGAAAATATTTTTCAACTAATTTATCACATATTTTGTTTAATTTTGCTAATAAGGTTTTGTCTCTTTTATAATTCTTGTTGAGATAAATTTTCAGTATTAGCAGGTTAATTCTCTGTTAATAAAACGCTTTATTGAGAAGAAATAGCCTTCTTAGTTTCTTCCTATTATTTAAATTATAAATTTTCTAAATACTTTTTATTGAATTAATGAATTAATTAATTACACCGCCTTCCTTGTAGTCTTTGAGTTCTTACTCTCTTTGTTGTTATTTCTTCTTACGTAAAAGTTCTCTTTGAGCCAACAAACGTTTCTTTCTTTCTTCTAATGATTCTTCCTTTTCTCCTTCTTCTTCTTACTTTTCAGGAACCTATTGGCTTTTAAGTTTTTCTTCTACTGCCTTATAATTGTCTAATTGTTGCAATAAGGTAGCTCTATCAGCTAATAAATCGTCAATAGGCTTTTCATATTTCTTATTTACTAAAGGAGGTAAATTTGAAGGAGCCTTAAGGACAGGTAATTTATTCAAAGGCTTGAATTAAGGTTCTTGTTACTTAACTTCTTCAACTTCAGGTTCCTTTTCTTAAGGTTTAGGGGCTTCTTTTGGCTTATCCTATTTGACAGGAGATACTTCTTTTTTGTTTTATTGAACTTGTTCAACTTTTTGAGGAGCTTATTCAACATGAGTTTAAGGCTAATATTATATCATTAATTAATTAATTAATTTTTTGTAATCGCTTTTCTAAAATTTATTTACTAATTAGAAATCGGTAACTTTTGATTAATCGGGAACAGGAGTTTGTTCTTACTATTATTTTTGTATTTGGCTTCTTGTTTAAGCTTCCTTTTCGTATGTTATTTTTGACATTTCTAATACCTTTTTTAATTCCTCATCTTCAACATCATGAAGCTTTTTGATTTCTTCTTCAGCAGCTAAGCTCATTTATATAGCGTGCTCAATTTCCTAAAGTTTAATAAATACAAAATTTTCATCATATTCTAAAATTTTATCAAATTTAAGTAAAAAATCGCTTATTTAAAATAAATTTTAATAAGTTTTATGTTGAAAAAAAATTGTTTAGGTTATTCTTAAAAAATATTTATCAATGTATAAAAGAAGATTCTATTTTAAACTATTTTATTAAAGCTTTTATAACAATAATATTACTGCACGTTCAGCTTCCATAGAAGCTAGCTTCAATTTTTCTTCGTCTTCTGGAACAGGCTCTTCTTATTCGTTTTTCATCATTTCCTTTAGAGCTTCTAGTTCTAATTCTTTGTTTCTCTTGACCATGAGCTTCTTAAAAACTAAGAAATTGTCGACGATAAGGAGTTATTCAAATACTTTTTTATGATGAGGACTCTTTAAACCTATTTCGATGTATTATAATAACTTTTGTTCATCAATACCGATTTCTGCCATCAAAGTTTCAATCATTCCTTCAATTAACTTTTTGAATTTCTATTTTTTTAAGATATTTAAATTAAAGCACGAATTATTATTAAACTTAGGCTAAAATGGGAATTCTTTCATAATTGTGAAGAAATCTTACGTTGTGAATTTCAGTGTAGCTATATTTATTTAAAAAAAGAAGTATGTTAGGATATGTTTATTTTTTCTATAATTTTAAAACTTAATAAATGATTAAAAACTTACGAGAACTTATTTTCTTCTTCGTCATCAAAAACGATGCAATTTTCATCAAGAAACTCATAAATAGGAACCTTCCAAAGAGGTGAAGTCAAATACTAAAGGAGATATTCATAAATCCAAGACTTTAGTTGTTAATAGTTAAAAATATAAAAGGATATTCAATTTAAAACTGTATTTATTTTTACATCTTCTAATAATTGATCGGACTATTGAGTGTTATTGTGAGGCTTTGACTGTTTTTGTTAGGCCTACTACTTTTATGCTTATTACTATTGTGCATTTGCATTCTATTGCTATTATTAAGAATCAGTCTTTTTCTTACCAAATAACCACCCGAAAACCATTTTATATTCTTCAGCTATTACTTGTTTTACCTATATCTTTTGAATCAGAAGAATTTTTTTCTTTCTTTTAATTATAAATCAACTTTATCAGTCACCTTACTATTTATATTCACTAAATTCAAGAAAAGAAACAAACACTTTTTATTTTTATTATTAGAAATGACAAAATATATCTTTAATTTTTTTGTTTGTTTGCTTGATTGATTGCTTGCTCGTCAATTCAGAATAGTTAGTTTTTATTTATTATCTATACTTTTTCTGCGAATATCATTTATTATTTAGAACTAATAAATTTATGGTTATCCTTAAAAAAATATTATTACGTTGAAACGTAATATTTTTATCCAGAAAATTATTCAATAAAATATGATGATATCTATCTATCATGAAATAATAAATCAGTGTTGGTGATATATAAGCTTTGGTTGGAGAATAACAAATATATCAATCAATTCATATCTTAAAAGCTTTTGGTAAAAATAAAATTTTAATAAATATCAAAAAAAAACCTTACTTCCTACTAAATATTTTTTAATATTAATCATTTATTTTTTATTAAGATATTTAAGTGATGCAAATACCATTAAAATATCTTCTTAGACTACATAAGTATCAATTGCACAAAATGCAAAAATGCAATACTAAATGAAATTAAATGAATCACAATGAATAAAGTTAAAATAAATGCTAAATGTTACTTAAACAAATTTTTTTAATTTTTAATTTTTTTTCTTATAAATATTGTAGTTAAATTGTACTAGTAGTAACAAAGTATTACTAATGACTCAAAATATTACTTATATATTGCTTTTCATACTATTTACCGTAAACTTTCATGTACTACCATTCTGATTTTATATACCCACATTAAAACTTAAGCACATTAATTTGATTTTATTAAAAATTTATTTATTTAAAATAGGTACTATGAATCTAATAAAATTAAAGTATTTATTTTGTAATCAGTTTGAAAATAGAAAAATTTGATAGATTTTTACATTAATTATAAAAAAATAATTAAATAATGATGTCTTTTAAAAAAATTTATTCAGAAAAATCTTAATTTATCAGCTTTTTTAAAATATAAAATAGCACATTATTATTAATTTATTTTTTTTATTGGTTTAAAAGCTGAAATCAACTAAAAAATATTGTATTTAATTTTTTTTAATTAACTTAGATTCATTTTTACTGATTTCTTGAATATTTTTTTATTCAAAATAAACTAAAGCTGTTTTATTTTGCTGAATAATTCAAACATTAAAATAGGGATCCTATTTATTTTAAAAAATCTAAAATCGTAAATTGCCATTAAGAACTTATATAATTGTAATTTTTTGAGCCTCTTTGCAATTTTTATTTGAATTAATGATATATCATATTTTAAAAATTAATATAAATAAAATCATATTGCCTAATCTTATTTTAGAGCTTAGATTAATATATATATAATAAATACCTAAACTAGAAAAATTGTTTATTAAGATTGCTAAATTAATTAATTAATTAGAATTTTTAAGTATAGTATTAGAGTTAATATGTAAATAATTTATTTAATAATTTAGTTAATTAATTAATTAAGCCTAATTTTTAAAATATTTTCAGATTTTAATTAAAAATAAATATCAATGTATGTGAGTAAGTAAGTAAGATATCAGCATTGACAATAAGATTACTATTCTTATTAACTATCACCGCCATTATTTTCTATATCTTTTTTTTATTTTTACAATAAATTCTAATCTTTATTTTATTATTTATTTTTATAATCATTTAGTGGAGCAGTTTTCTTTGAACCAACTTTGATGCCACTACTCTATTTAAAATAAATCAATTCATTATTTACATTAGCTATCAAAAAGAAATACTTACTTCATTTGTGAAGTCAATTAGATTTTACTGTATTTTACTTAAAATTTCTTAGGCCATAATGTTAAAAATTTTATTCACATTATCACCGCTTTTTGCAGAAACTTCAACATAATTAAAACCTTATTATTCTGCAAATTCTGATGCTTCCTGTTAAGATACTTCTCTCCTGTAATTTAAAAAAATAATGTTTTATTTTATTTTAATTAGCATAAAATCTTTAATAAGCTGATTTAAAGGAGAAAATAAATATATCAATCAGACTGTTTGTTTAGTATTTAATTTTAAATAATCAGGAATACAATTGAATATATTCTGAAATATTCAACAACTAATTTGCCTTAATTCAATCCATAACTAAAATTAATTTATTACTGCAACATTTAATCAAACTTATTTCCCACTATTAACACAAAAGTTTCTTCCTTTCCTTATTCTTTTATATCATGCAACCACTTGGGTAAATTATCAAAAGAACTTCTTTTTGTAATGTCAAAAACAACTACAGCACCTATTGCACTTTTATTAAAATTAAATATGTAGGTAATATTTTATTTAGATAAGAATACCCTTTATAATAGGAGCGTGTAATTGATCTAAATGACTCCTATCCTGCCTTTAAATATTTTGAAATTTTTGTAAGCTTAGTTGAAATTTTGAATGAAAGAAAGAATGCTTAAACTTAATTTTACTGTATCCCAAATCTAAATCTTTATAGCTAAATTGGCAACATCTATAATTTTAGAACCAAATTCTACTCCAATAGTTGCATCATAATCTTCCCTAAATCTATCATCTACAAATCTCAGTAACATGCACGATTTTCCTACACCTTTTAATAATTTTTAATAAGTAAAAATCTGATTGATAGATAGATATATAATAAGTATTTCAGATGAATCTGTAACAATTAAATTGCTATTCACTTCTAACTATTATTGCTATATAATATGTAGCTATTTAATATATTTAATCTTAATACCTGTATCTCCTATCATAATAAATTTAAACAGATAATCATATTGATTCATTTCTTGGGATCTAACTATTTATATTTTTACTTACTTAATTATTAAGGTATTTTATTAATTTCTTATTTCTTATTCTAACTAGATAAAAATTTAGTTTAAGAATTTTTACAAAAATAAAGATAAGATAAATAGATTGATAGATAGATAGATAAATAGATAGATATTAGCACTCAAGAAGTAAAAAATTATCTTCGTTTGAAATAGGAATTTATCTATACTCAAATTTTTTTTGAAGAATATTTTTAAGGATAGCCGATAATTAAATTACAAACAGAAAATTTACATGTTTCTCAAAGGTTTATTGACTATTTTCTGATCAGATTAAAATTAAAAAAAATAGTATAGAATTCGAACATATTTAGCAGTAATCAGTCAACTAAAAAATTATGATAAGGTAGAGTAGAATAGGTAAATTCATTAATTTTTCTAATACAAAAAGATGAATTTAATATCTTAGAAAGAATAAAAATTACAAACAAAAATAAAAACTTTTAAAAATTATAATTATTTAGAACAAAATAGAAAAAAATTTAATTAGTTAACAAGCATATAATATTTATTTATATATCGATCCAAAATAATTTTTAAATTAATTGATTGATTAAAATGAGTTGGTTAGTTAAATATTTTTAGTAAATGTCTTGAAATCAATTTTAACAATTTATTTTTACTTCAGATTATAGGTTTATTTATAATTAATTATCTAGTTTGAAATATTTATAAAAAATATAATTTGTTGATATTCTAAATTAATAATCATGAAAAATAACCATCCAAAAAATCTTTATCATCTAATCCCATTAAAAGAGATTCTTCTTCTTCACCTATTGAAGATTGTTATTAGTTTGTATTGTTTTAGCTGCAAAATTCGTTTATATCTTCTAATGATGATTAAACATTTATAGTAATTTCATTGAGAGATTCATTTTAAGTTTAATTTTATTCTCCTGTTTCAATCAAAGCTTTATTAAGGTCACAGTCTTAATTTTCATTTTAGTTACAATTTTAATTATTACTTTCCATTTTTTATTATTGATATTATTAATTTTGTTTTTCAAATTCTGGTTTAATTTCATTTATGATTAAATTTAAGTTTAATTCTCTTTAATTTTAATGGGGATCTTCTTCGATCATTTCTTACACTTTTTCTTCAGGTTTTTCATCTGTTTCTGCTATTGATTCATCTAAAATGGTCTTATCATTATCTGAAGTTAGAATTTATTCATAGTCTTCTTTTAACTTTTTGTAAGGTTCTTCATTTAACTCTTCCAAAAAGCAAAATTCTTTAATTTTTGAACTTTTCTTCTTTGATTTGGCTGATATTACTGAAGATTTTATGACTGACTTCTTTTTGCTTTAAGGAGTTTATTTTTTTGAACCATTTACCTTATAACTCATTTCTTATTTTAAATTTTAATTCACCTTGTTTGATTTATGCTCCTATGAATCGAACTCTAATGAATCAGATGAAGAATTATCAGCATCACAAGACTTATCAAGCTGATCTAAAATATATATGGAATCCTTTTATCTTCTTTCTAAATTTTAACTCTGATTCTATTTTGTATCAGAATCAGTAGATACATTTAATGTTATGTGATTTTAAGAGTTATTAAGGGAAATCTACAAATGGGTTTTATTTAAGTCTTCAATTTGATAATGGTTGATAGAAGAACCCTCATCTGATGATGAACATGACGAAGAAGATATCTAAATAGATTGAGAATTAAATCCAATGTCATAAATATTTTTGTCATTAAGTTACTACTAGCTTTCTTCACTCACTTCTTAGCTACATATTTGTTCTTTTTTGCTATTAGCTTCTTGAGTATCTTCATCTTCTACAGGATATTAAGCAGCTTTCAGGTTTTCTATCTAATTTTTATGCCTTTCTTGCATTTTAAAGGCGTATTTACAGAGCTTATTTTGAGATTTTTTAGTAATCTCTAAAAGTTTAGATCTGTCAATATATTTATACATCTTGCATGAATTACACATTGATGATTTACTATAGTTGATTGTCCTACAACACTTACAGACCCAAATAAAATCATTTAAAATTATTTATCTTTGTACACTAATAAATTCATCTTATGTAGGAGGGGGAGCTATTGTAGAATCAATATTCATAAGCTGCTTCTCAAATTAATCTAATTGCTAAGTGATTTCTGCATTTTAAGTATACTGATACTTTGGCTTAACAACAAAGCATTTATTGCAAGTATTTCTATGTTAAAAATTGAGATTCCCGCATTGACAAAGCCAATCACCATCTCTAGCATATCTAGGAACCACAGTTCGGGTTTCGCTATATTCCAAAACACTTTGAACTGCTCCTTTGATAATCTATTTTGCGTTATTACGTTGATTCTAAATCATTTATTACTACTACTAATAAGATTGTAAAGAATTAGGATGATAGTTATTGACATTATTGTTTTACAATAAAGTAGATAGATTATAATTATTCTTTTTTAAGTGATCTGCTGCTTTATCTTAAATAGCATAATACAATTTCTCAGTATATAAATCCAAATTAGCCATCAAATCTAAGTAATCCTCTCTCAGGCTTTTATTCGCATTGTTATCTATTTTGAATTACTTCAAGTACTCAAAGGGAGAGCAATTATCCTATTCACTTATGTCAACCTAGTAATGCACTATATTACCTTTGTCCAATTTTGAAGTAGATTCTTCAAGCTAAATTTAAAGCTGCTAATTATAAAAATCTGTCTAAATAATATCATTTTTCTGCTCTAAATCAAGTAAGTAATTTTGATTAGAATTCTGATTCAGTATAGATGCCCAACTAGAATAGTTTCTATTCTTTTAATCTTCTTTATATTCATCAAGTTACTATTAAATTTAGTTATCTAATTCTTTAGTACTACATTAAGTACTAGAGTTTAATAGGACACCAATTCCTCCACTATTTTTTCTAATACTCTGATTCAGTTAATTGGTACTCAAAGAACCTTCTGCTTAATTGATACTTTAGAGAATCTTTAATGAAGATAGCTAATTCAAAGAAGAATTCCCAAACTAATTCTAATTTATCTGCTAAATCACAGTATTTTTTGGAGGTAATCCTGGTTACGGAGGATAAGGAATTTTAGGAGGATTATTTTAAATTGTAGGAAATAAAGGATTCAATAAATTTAATTATGGAATACCATTATTCTGCACATTGAAAAGGTTTAATTAATTACTTGCATTATCATTAGAGAATGCTTATAAGTTTTAATTTATCTGATAGTTCATGAATTTTTGAGGTACAGGCGGTTGATTGATGGAATTTTAAAAATTGCTAAATTTATTATATCTCCAATTCTTTCTTCTTTACTAATCATTTTAGTATTGATGATTTGATTGCCATTTCTCTTATTATTAAAACCTACTACTATTATTGTTATTATTATTTGAATTATGCTTGTAATTATATTAAGATTGAGATTCATTTTAGTAGTAATTATCACTTTTAATTCTTCTCACTTGTTCAGTATTTTAAAACTCCTCACCGGCACTAAAACTGGTGTTTGCACTTTGAGTCTTTTATATTTTATAATCCTAGACTTTTAAGTCAATATGGACTTCATTTTTTAATTATTTTTAAGGCGATTAAGTAGGTTTAATATCTTCAGGATCAATCATATTCAGAAAGAAAATAATTTTAGATGTATTTAGTTAAAAGGCAAATTAAATATCAAAGTAATAAGCAGATATTCGTCCCTTCGAATTATAACAGTTTTTTTGGTATATTCTATTGTGCTATTTAAATTTTGCTTGCTTAAATTGAGAGAAAGTCACAAATAAATAATGAAATTAAGAGATTTGGTGTGTTTTAATTAATCTTATGAATGAAATATTGTTTTGTATTAATCACTAATTTTTACTAAAGATTTGTCAGAATTATTAATCTCAAAATATTGTTTGCTCCTAATTTAGTTATTTAATCTTTCTTTTTATTGATTTTTAAATAATAGAAACAAATTTCTGTCTTTTTATTCGTTAAATTTATAACAAGTATTTTGTAGCAACTATATTTTTCTTCTGCAAAAGTGTTTGAATATTATAAACAAACATCTTTGGTAAAGAAAAATAAACATATGAATGAAGATATTCATTCATTGGCTCTTTAAATGAATTTTTCTTAACGTTAAAATTTTATAAAATTCAAAATTGGCGCTATTTTATTATTATAATTTATTTTCTTATGAAGGGAGAAATAATAAAAAAAATATTGATCAAATTTATCAGAATTATTTTCCATTTTTTCATTCAATAATTTTTTAAATATATTTTTTCAAACAAAAATGAAATAAAATATAAATTAAATATTTTAAAAAAGGTCATTCATTTTAAGTCAATTTATTTATTTCGTTTATTAAATCTAAATTTAATCTTTAGTGATAGAATATTTATAATTTAAATGAAAATAATAGTTGATAAAAGAATATTCTAAATTTTACATTTATGTTTTGAATATAACATTTTATAATATATTTCTTTTGTGAGATTAATGACTCAAGAAAATAAACAAACAAATCTCATTTTATTTTAAGGAAATTAAATAAACTTTAGAGTTAGTTAAATTTAATTAAATATTTTAAAAAGAGAAGTTATATTATAATAAAAATATCATCAAAATTAAATAAAACTTATTATATAATAAATTTAAAATTTAAAATGAGATAAATTATAACAATATATTTAAACTTTTATTAGATTTAGACAAAGTTACCTATAATTCTTAATTAAATATATTAAATTTTTGCATCTGAGATTTATGCATACTATTGCTATTATTATTTTTAGTAAATTTTATTTTAACATTTTAAATAATTATTTGATTATTTCTTCCATATTTCATATTTAAGATAATTCATTAATAATAAAAATAGTTTTCAGTTTTTACAATTTTGAAAAATTATAGAATTTTTTAAGTTTTTTGATTTCATGACAATCCTTTCTTGTTTTGTTTTTTACATACACTTTCTACTCATAAATTTGAGATGAAAAATATAAAAAACATTTTTTAGGGAATTGTTAATGTTTCTTTATTAAAATTCCTTTATTTATATTGCAATTTATATAATCCCTATAAAATAATTTTAATTGTTATTTTTGATGAAAAAAACTTATAGACTAAGAATAAATAAAAACTTTTAAATTCATTACAAAAATAATTTAAAAATAAATCTTAATTAAAAAGATTTATTAAAAAAATGTATCTATGAATTAAATTAATTGTCTAATCATTTTTTATCTATCATGCTTTTGTACACTAATCCAAATTTAAATCTTTTAGTTAGTTAGAAATAAAAATTAATTTTTTAAATGGTTGAATTTAGGTTTAAGAAAATTAAAAAATTTTCTATTGATAAAATAATTAAACTGAAATAATTCAAAATAACATGCTTTAAAGGTTTTAAAGAATCAATGAGTATTGTTTTATGATAAATTAATATATTTTAATTAAAACTAATTATAAACAATATTAATATAAAAAATCGTACTAAAAAGCAGAAAATATAATAATTTTAATATAATTTAAGGTTTTTGAAGTATTTATTTATTTAACTATTTCAGTTTTGAAGTTGATTTTTCAATTCTTTTCTTTACTAAATTAAATCCTATTCTTGCATATTCAAATCAGACATTTACATAATCGATTCTTATAAGGAATCTTTTAATTGCTTATTAATTTCATCTTCTTGTTTAGCTGCTAAGCTTTTTTTACTTAAAAGGACTGTATTTAATTGGTTGATTTTGTTTTTAATAATTTGATTGCTTTCTTAAACTTATTTAATTTCTTTGCTTAACTATTCATGTGAATTTATATCTCCCTTTGAATTATTTATTGTAAGCTCTATATTTTGCTATACTTACAAGCACTAATCTCTCTTTGTTTAAAGTTACTCTAATTCTTATTATAATTTAGATATTTGTGCTTTTAAGCCATTATGATATTTTAATTTTTATTCTGTTTGAATAACAAACTCTTCATTTTATGCATTAGAAAAGCTTTTTTCTTGTTCCAATTTTTCTTTTTACTATTTTAATTCTTATTTTAATTTTTTTTAGATCAATTTTTCTTTCAATAACTCATTTTGATAATCTGAGGAATCTAAATTTTAATCATCTATTTCTTCAAAATCATCGTTTTCTTCAAGAGTATTCTCTAATTGAATTTTCTTATTTTATATATCTTTTTTAAGCAACTTGTTAGTTTGCTATAAAATCTGTAATTCTTACTAAAGTTTCTCTGTTTAAGGTTTTATAGAAACTTATTATTTTTAAGCAAACAAATTTAAAACTTCTTATTTCTTTTTAATATCATTTTCCAAGTTAGTCTTCTCAAAATTATTCAGGCTCACCTTCGATCTTAACTCCTTTCTCATTTAATTTAACTCTGCTTCAAGTTTTTAGTTTAGCTAATTTTTTTTCTTCTAAAGCTCTTGAATTTAAATTTAATTCTTTGATATTATTTAATTGTGTTCTAAGGCCGTTTCTTCTTTTTTAGATTTAATCTAGTTAAGCTGTTGATATAGCTACTCTTTAGCTTTACTTAGTTCACTTTTCTTCTTAGAGACACGTCTATTAAATTCATCCAAAGTGAGTTCTAAACTCTTTTTTTCTTAATCTAATTTCTCCAAATATTAGTCAATATCTTTTTGTTATTACTCCATGCTGTTAATTCCACTTAAAATTCCAGACATTTGATTTATCTACCTAATTTTATTAAATTTTATAAATAAATTATTAAAAATAATAAAAAACCTAATAAAAATTTAACAAATTAATTCTAAAAAATCTCATTTAAATTTTATATTTTAATTTTAAAAAAATAAGAAAATAAAAATAAAATTGGCTACTCTTGCAGTCTTTGATTTTCTTGCTTTAAACTTTAAATATCCTACTAAAATTGCTATATTTTTATTTTATGAGGTTCATTAATTTAGAGAGAAGCCAAACGCTAGTTTAATAATTTCTGAGTCTAAATGTACTGCATAAAATAAGATTCGTTTTCTTCAAGTATTTAATTAGATATGATTTCATCTTATTCTAATGAATTCTTATTCAAATCTATTGATTGTTGTTCTGAAAGTTAGTCTTCTTCTTCGTCTTCTAAAATGGATTTATTATTATTTGCTTTGCTATCTGAAAATGTGGAAGAAGAAGGCATCCCACCTAGCTTTGTTTTATTTTAAATTTCTATTTTTAAATTAACTTCATCCTTAGAGTTATTCAATTTATCTAATACAGATACTTCTCCTTTGCTTAATCTAGCACTACTTTTTAGAGCTGATTAGAGGTTCTTTTCTGTTAAAAGCTAACTGTTTCTTACTTATTTGGCAGCTTTTGATTTAATAGAATATGTGCTATTTTCGCATGCCTGAATTTCTTGCAAGACTTATAAATATTCTTTAATTTATGAATTCAAATAATTTTTTGTCTCTAATAGTGATAGCTTAACTGAATCAAACTCTTTTTATTCTTTCTATGATTTTAGAGCTAAATTAAGTTGTTAATTTTTATAATCTCTTAGCTTAGTGCTTAAATCAATGATTTCTAGATCTTTGTTGCATATTTCTATATTTAAATCCTCAATATTCTTTCTAAGTTCATCTAATTCTTAATGGCTTTCAATTAACTATAAAGTTTTCTTTTGCTAACTAAAAAATTACTATTATTATTAGCTTTTTTCTGCTACACTTTTGGTCGACTAAGGAAATTAAAAGGCACTTTTACTTAAATTTAAAGGACTCTTTTAGCTACTTATTGATTTGGAAAATTCTTCATTCAAAGCTAAATATCCTTTTGGTGACTTATAATTGATTGGTGATTCTTAGAAACTTTGTATTGTTTATTCGGGGCTCAGAGAATTTGTTGGTTAAAGATTAATTATTTTCTTAGAAAGAGCAAAATTATCAGAATTATCTGAATCTTTAGAACTCTATCTAATCCCTCTTTCATTAAAATCTTCATTTTATAAATACCTCTACTTTTCTTAGATAAATTGATACTACCGTTCAGGGCTACTCTTGGAAAGTAATTAAAGGACTCTAAGCTATTTGTTCTGCTATCTTGTTTCTTCAGAATCGTCTCTTAATTACTAAGTTTATTAAATTTTATTCAACTCCATCAATGTCTACTCATCTCTTGATGAATTAGTATTATATCTCCTACCTAATTATTCTTTCCTCTTTTGATTTTATTATGCATATGACTGTTATTCATAGCTTTATCTCATCTGAGAAAAAGGAGAAATTTATAATTATTTGATTATCTACAAAGAGGATGGAGCCATCTAAACATTTTATCCCTAGTTTCTTTATTCATTACTTTATTTACTATTTAATTCTTTATATGGAAGATCAATTCTCTCTTTTTGCAGTTAATTTTCTGAAATTTTAGATTCTTTGTTTTATTAAATTAATTAATCTATTTCTTCAAAGCCATGAAGAAAGAAATTTTATTTGCTTTAACTTGCCTTAGAAAAGAACTCTTAACTTTCTTGTAAGATGTCATTAGTTTTTGATGGAAATAAATCTTCTTTGTTATTATTTTAATCCGCATATTATTAAATTTAATCACCTCCAATCATCAATTCTGGGTTATCAGAAAGAAATCTATTATTATTGTAACCCATCTATTTCTGACTAAATGATGCTGAATTTTGTAAATATTAAGAACTTTTTTAGCTATTACCAACGCTATTTTGCTAAAAAGCATTTTATTGTTGCTGTTGTTATTGCTATTAATTAAATGAATAATTATCTTTCTCTTCATTTATTTTTATTCCTGTTTATAATTGATTATTTGATTGAATACTAAATTTATCTCCTTGTTCAAATTTGCTAATTTATATATTTTGTTGAGACTAATTTTAACTACTTTAAGCTAGTTAGTTTTAAGGTTCTTCTTACTTATTGCTTTGAAGCAAATTATTTTATTAATCAACATCTTAGACTACGATTTCTCTTAAAAAATGAGGTACTTTTTGCTTTTCTAAAGTAGGACTTTGTTAGCATTAAATATTCCTAATCGCTGAAATGAGGCTTTCCATAGGCATTTCAAGTATTTGAGACAATTCATTAAATTCCTTTTGAACCTATTCATTGAGCTTTATCTTTTAAGAGTAATAATTATCTAAAATATTTTTATATTTAAATTGCAGTTAGTCTCTCATTAGCTGTAATTATTGTTATTTTTATAAGTCCATTTAACTATCATATTCTTAAGCTTAATTGCTTTCCATTATATTCTACTAAAAGGTATTTTGTTTTTATTGGTTATTTTGCACATTTCTACCTCTTTAATCGTTTGATAACTATCTATTTTAATCTGGCCTAATCATTACAAATTCAAATTAATTCCAAATAATGATTCAAAAGAATTATTGTTGCCAACACAATTATTTATGTATTTGATTGCTTTTTATAATTGTCTTCCTATAATTTTAAGTTAAACTTATTACGATTCTTAAAACTAATGCTTTATCTCTCTCCCTCCTACTTCAAGCTGTTAAACCTACCTTTTCTAAATTATAAAAGATCTCTATAGCTATAAATTTACTAAAAAAAATCTATTGAATGAAATATTAATTTTTCTTTTTATTATTTAATCCAATATGCAAAAAAATTAACAAATTAATGAACAACATAATCCAATGAAAAAATTGATTACTCACTCAAATAAAGGTGAAATGAACTTAAAATTTTGGCAAAATACCTTTAATATATTGAAATATTTATAATTTTGAGAATAGTTCAAGATAATATTTTTTTTTAGAGTAAATTGGTCTAATGTTTACATTTATCACTTAAATATTTATATGGAAAATCAGAAACTATACTGAAAAAAATTGAAAATATTCATAATAGTAAATCTTACAACACCAATAAATATTTATTCATTAGTTTTGAAAAAATAAAAAATAAAATTATGTTCATCAATTTAATTTTAAAATTAGCACATTTTAAATACATAAAAATCAGGTTTTAATAATTAATTAATTAATTAATTAATTAAATATATCTTAATTAGAAGTAATATTTAATAATAAATAATAGTAAAAAGGTATTTTGTAAATATCATTTTTTTAAATGAAAATTATTTCATTTGAGATTTTCAATTAAAATTAATAGTTATTTTTATAAAAATTTAGGTTAAAATTTTTAAACTCTATCATAAATATCAATAAGTTAAAAACTAAAAGTTAATATTTAAATTAAAATACTTAATCAAGTAATTTTAAGTAAAATAGCTAAAGTATTTTTATCAAATAACTATACTATGTAAAAATTAATTTCTTTGTTTTTGAAAATTATTAAAAATAAAATAATAAATGAGCAAAAATAATTATAAAAAGAAAATAAAATTGTTTTTTTTAAATAAATAAATGAATTTATGAAAATGAAATTGATATTTTTCTCTTGTTTATGTTTTTGAAAATTAATTTATATTTTTATAATAATTATTTTTTAGATAGATTATCATTTCTTTTCTATTTTTAAAAAAAAGCTAAATTAAAGTGATAAGAATAAAAAATAAAATTAGAATTTTTTCAATTTCTAAATTTTAAAATCATGTTCAAAAATAATTTAATCAATAAATAAAAATATATCTTATTTGTCTAAATATTTGCTTATCTGTTTAAGAAATTTAAATGAAAATTCTTTCCTTTTTAATATATTTAAGAAATAAAAAATATATTTTAGAATGTTTAAAAAAAACAAATAAATAATTTGATTTTAACTTTTTTCTTTTCAAAAAAATATTTTTGTATTTTAATTTATAAAATAAATAATTGAAAATTTTAGTTTAATTAATTGTTTGTTTTTTAAGTAAAAAAATAAAATTATTGTTAAGCTATTTTCTTGTTATTAAAAGTAATATTTAAAAAAGAAGAGCTATTCTTGAAAATGAGAAATAGTTGCTTTCTTGCTCCTTATAAAAAATAATAGTTTGGAGGAAAAAATATTAAGAATGAAGTTTACAAAATTAATTACAAAAACAGAATAAAAGTTGGAAGAATAAATTTAGATTTATTAATGTGAAAATCTTTTTGTAAATTTGTAAATAAATACGAACATAGAGAAGATAAAAATTTTGGGTTAATTGATTAATAAATTAAACTTTTAAACAGTTTAGTTAAATTTTGTAATTTAAATAAGCATAATGTTCGCTTTCTTAAATGCAAAGCAAATTTATTTTATCTCTTAAATTATTTTTGGAATATTGGTCTATTTTTCAAGCATTTTGGTTTATTATTTTTGATGAGAAAATGTTAATTATTTATTGAAATGTTTTAAATTTTTGCTTTTAAACATAAATGATGAATTATCTTTAATTATTTTGAATTATAGACTGTAAAAGATTATAAAATATGATGTGGCGATTAAGATCGAGTAAGTATCAGACAAATAATTTAAAAATATTGATTAATCTTATTAGAAGTGTGTATTTTAAGGTTATGAAGAGTAGTTTCATTAATTATTAAATTGTAAGGGGTATTTGAAATTAGAAAAAAATTTAAATACATTAATCTAATCAAATTTGTTTGATATTAAAGTTACAGAAAACTTAGAAATTGAAAGATACTCAAGATGTATAAATAATTTTTTGATTACAACAGTTTTTCAAACTATTAATTTTTCCCTGATAAGAAAAAGATGCGAAAAGGAAGAGCTTATTCATTTGGAATTCTTATGGTAATATTTTTGAGTTTTGAGAGAAGAAAACAAATACTTTGGCAAATGAGTGTAATATATTTTAAAAATAAGAAAACAAAATAAAAGAAATATTTATCCTTTAGATGGAAAAGGAGAAAATCTTTAAACCAAACATACAAACATGTAATTTATTTGATTAATATCTAAAATTTAATTAAAAGCCACAATAAAGAACATCAAAAGAAACTTACTTTTTTAACATTTAATTTACTGAGTGGAAAAAAAAAATATTACAATCAATTATTATATTTTTCTATATAAAGAATTTTTGTGATTTAATTACAAAAAGTTTTTTTTTATTTTTGTTAAATTTTTGTAGCCAAAAAAAATAATTTTTAAAAAGAAATAATTAAAGTTTCATTTTTTACATTTTACAAAAAGAATATAAATATCTTAATTTATGCGTAGCTTAAATAAATATTTGAGGTAAAAGCAAATGGATTGCTGTATAGACTATATTTAATTATTATATAAATATTAATATCAAGCATATCTTGAATAATCAAATAAGATTATCTAATACTTGTAAGCGATAGGTATTTTTAATTAAAATATGGTAACTAACACTTAACATTAATTATAATTGATCTATTAAAAATTAAATTCGAGCAAGGGTAAATATATAAATATTTTTCTTTACTACCTTAATATTTTAATTTTATATGAAGCAGTAAGCTTTCAAGAGTATTTTTTCCACAAAAAAGAATGATGATAATTTAATCAAAGTCTATAAAGTTTTAAATCTAAGTGTAGACTAGAAAAGCTATTAATTGCAAGAATCTTCACTGAAATTAAAAAATGATGTGATCATTTTCTTTATAATAATTTGGAGTGTAAAGTTATATACAATTAATTAAATAAATCACACAGATATAAAAATTAAACAGATATCAATAATAACATTTTTTTCCATCATATTAAAGTTGATATTAAAATTTACCACAACTTTTGCAATAAAATCTGTAATTTATAACTAATTATTTTTTTAATTAACTTTTTCTATAGATTATTAAACGTGTATTATCTATTTAGTAATAAAGTAATTTAACTTACAACATTATTGGATAAGATCCTTGTTTTACAAAAAAATGAATACATATGCAATAACTTATTGTTAAAAAATAGAAAAATATTCCATTATTATCATTTAATAAGGAATCTACTGTTTAAAAAAAAATATTTATTGAGCTGAAATTTGATATTTCGACTAAAAAAATTCAGAAAGAACGTTTATCCATCAAAATTTTCCACAAAGATTTTTAAAAATTGAGAAGTGAGCTGTCAAATTATTTGGATTAATAAATACTATTAATTAATTGATTATTAAAGCTAAAAAGTCTTTTGATTTAATTGTGATTTCAACAAGCATGAAAATTATCTGCTTAGTTTTATTACTCACTATTATTTAAATTCATATGATTTCTACTTTTAGTAATTTATGATCTCAATGTTATTTTTAAAAACACAAATAAATAGTTGACTAAAATTATGTAATCGTAATAATTTAGGTGATTTTTGAAATGTAAAATAAGAAAGAAAAAAGAAAAATATAAATAAATAATTTTACAGTGAGAAGGAATAAAGAAAGTACAGATAGTTAGTTATTAATAAATAAATAGATATATTTGTTTGGTTTTTGTTTTTTTTAAAAATTTAAAACTATATTAATTTTTATTACTTATATTTATATTAATTATAACAATTTTTTATTGTTTTTTGTTATTTAGATAACAAAATCAATGACTTATATGTATGAGCTCCTTTCAAAAATTTGTTTGGCTTCCTGAATTTTTGGAAAATAAAGTTAGCTAGTTTTTTTTCACTTAGAAAAAGCTAGAAATCTTTTAAAATTCAATTAAATTGAAAGGCTTTAGTTACTATGTTAATTAATTGTATTTAAAATATTAGCTAGTAAATTTTTCACTCACACAAATTACAAATGATGTGTAAATAAGTTTTTGAGTTAGTAAGTGCTATTTTGTTTATCAAATTAATTTTATTAGAAAAGAGCTCAAGTGATCAATAATGAAACTTAACAAACTCTAGATTGAAAAGTCACCTCTAAAGCATTAAGTATGTAATTTTATTATAATTTAGTATGAAAAAATATTATTAATGATTTTATCACTATTTATTCTTATAAATTTATATATTTTAATCAGAAAGGATTGGGATGTTACAACCTAAAATTTTTTTATTTGTTTGTTATTATATTTGTTTATTGTTCAGACTTATATTTATTTATTACTTGAATATCAAATAAATTTGTTTTAAATTCATTTCTTTTTCTCTTTTTCTATCAATTATAGAAGCGAAACATTAAGAATAGAAAAAGAATAGGAAAATCTATTTATTTAGTTAGCTAATTGAGTTTAGGAAAATTTACAAATTGTTTATTCAAACAGCCTGCCTTTTACTTTTTAAAAATGTATAATTATTCAGCGTTTAAGCAAGTTAGATAAACTAAACCATTTTCAGAAAAGTTTATAATGTTGATAATAATTGACTTTACTTCATTTATCAAATAATAAATAAATAAATAAATTAATTAATTAGTAGTTAAAATTTAAGAATTCGAAAACAATAAACTAAGCTTAAACACTGTTTTTTTCTAATCTGACTAATCTTTTATCGATACTCTTGTAAATGAAAGCAATTTTATGGTAAATATTCAATCTAGCAAAAGTTTCTATTTAAATTAGAGAAAGTATTTCATAGAAAACTAATTAATATTAATCAACCAAATGCTTAAAATTACTATGCAAATATGCAAAGATATTTTTCTTTGATTAAAATTTTGGGAAACGAGGAATCTAGATTTATTTAATTAAAAGTCTCTAGAAAACATTCAAGTTTTAGTCTTATATTTGTAAATTAGCTAATCAATATAATTGAACGATAAAGGATATTCCTAATTTTTTTTTTCTCCAGAGTAATCAAATATCTAAAATTTTCTTACTAAAATTCATGAATTATTTACAGGATCTTTCATAACTATTTAGTAAATTATTTTTTAATACCACTAAAACGGCTTCAATAATTATCGTTCAATGTAAAGATTAAGAAGTTGTTAGGACTGGGACAAGATCTTGAATGGTTTTCACCTAATTTGTTTGATTCTCAGAAGCAAGTGGAATCTAATCTGCTATTTTGACAAAAGGAGAGAACTGTTCCTTACAGATGTTGAGTTCTTCAATAAGTTCGGTATTTGCATTAGAGTAGAGCTCCTTTTAAGAGCATTTCTTGATTAAAACTTCTAATTTTTATGAAATGTCTTTGATGTTTTTTGAAAAATCAATTAATTCATTTGGTTAGATAAGATTTCTGTAGTAGCATTCACTAAAAAGTTTATCTATAGTCAGACTTTTATATTACTTATAGTGCTCCATTCTTGAAAGAAGCTGCTCTTTTAATATATCAATCTAAAATTTTATAGCTTTGAATTATCCTAGCCATTAATTAATCAAGTTATTCTGCTCTTTTTTTTAACTTATTAGCTGTTTTTAGCTTTTAATTTTATACTTAAACTGCTTTTTTGATACCTCCCTTTGAGATTGAGATTCTGATGTAGAAGGTTATGATGTTGTTTGACAGTGATTTGCAATACAGCCTCCCATTTTAGTTTTTAAAGCGCAAAAAAAGGAAGCAATGTTAAATAAAATTCCAAATTAAAGTAGTACTATTTGTCCTTATTTTTTGTTTGGAAAAATGAAAATAAGACAGACTCTCAAAAAAAGAAATTGATACCAATTTCGTTAAATAGTCTTTCTTTCTTTTATTTCTTTTTTATTGTTTATTTTGATTAGTTATCAGCAATTAATTAATTATTTAACTAAAAATCAATCTTAAAACAATTAATGATATTTGGTTTTTATCTTATTTTTTTATCTATTTTCTTGATTTTAATTTATAAGCGATTTGATTTTTTTGAAATATTTGTTATTAAAAGATAAGCTAATTTATATTCTCTTTATTACATTCGACAGAAATATTACAATTTCGATCGGGTAGTAAATTTAATTACGCATTTCAAAAAAAAATTGGCATTTCAGAAAATTAAAATGCAAATTTAATAAATTCACTGATTCCCATTATCAAAATCTAATTAAAAATTTGTTAGATCAAATGAATCATTTGGCTTTTATCTATTATTTAAGAGCATAAATATATAATTTAATTAATTAATATTGTACGATTTGCATTTTTAAAATAACAAAACTAACTTACATAAGATTCTTTTAATTTCTTTACATTCATCTAAATTATGTAATATTAATAATATTACGTTCCTTTATTTTCTTGTAATTAATTTGGCATGATCTCAATTCAAATTAATAACATAAAGAAATCATTTAAGTTAATTACACATAAATAGTAACATGAGACCTCACTCAAATTAAAAATATTTTTGATAATCATTGTGATCAAAATATAAACTATTCAAGTATAATTGTAAAATGATTTTTCAATTACCAATAAGTGTGATCTACCAAAAAACTTAAATATTAAAAGATTTCCATTTTAAAGCATCAAAAAACAAATAAATAAATATTCATATTTAGAATTAAATAATATTAACAATAAAGAAAAACTTATTTAAAAAACACATATTATTAGCTCTTATTAAATAATGCGTAAATTTTTTAATTTATTTGAGAATAAATCAACTCATAAACCAATTATTTATTTCTAATTATTATAACAAATTTTTTAGATCTGATTTAAACTAATAAAAATTAATCTATTTAATTTTGAAAGTTTTTAAAAAAAATAAAATCCTTGATTCATCTTTTTAAGATAAGAAATAAATAAATAAATTATATATTTATTTGACAGATAAAAATTTATTTAAAAACTTTAATCATGAAACTTAAAGTAGAATATTATAAGTATATTTTGATAGAAGAAAAGTTGTTTTCATTAAAAAATAATATAAACATTTACATTTCATTAATTGATTGTATTTTTTCTAAATTGCTTAGTAAAATAAATAAATAAATCTAATCAAATTACAGCTAAATTGACAACTTTTACAAAAAAAAATATTTAAAACGATTATATTTTGATGCCAAGTAAATAATAAGGCAGGTTAATTTACACAAACAAGTGTAAAATTGATAAAAAATATAATTTTTGTTTTTTGATTTTGTATACTAACAATATTAATTATACCTTTTTGGTAATAATTGATCTTACTTAGCTTAGGTAAGAACTATTATCTATTAATAGATATAAAGCAATATAAATAATAGTAAAAGAATCAACTCTTCTAGAAAATATACAATTTAAAGTAAAATAAGAAACTTGTAAGCTATTTATCTATTATATAATATTCATCCACTTAATTTTATATTAACACCACGATCATACTCTTCACACTGAGTAAAAATATATTAGAAAAATAAATTTTTTTATTTCTGTTAATGTACCATAACTTCACTTAATAGAAAAATATTTGGTAAATTATAGAGGATTAAAAATGTAAAGAATTTTTCTAATAAATTTTAATAATATGAAATGGAGTTAGCTAACATTTTATGAGGTAAGATTGAGCTGTTATTAAATATTTTTGAAGATATTTCCTTAAAAAAAGTTGTAGTCTTTCCATTTTAAATTTTCAAAAAATATTAACTGTAAAGAATTCTTTGATAATCATTAAATTTTTAAAGAATATTTTCACTTTTTCAATGGATGAAAAATCTTAAAATGAATAGCTGTCAAAATGAACCCACTTAGCACCAAATAATTAATAATTCTATTTAATATCATTTTTAAAAATTAAATAAGTGAAGATTGTGCATATTTATTTATTTATATTATAAATATTTCATACAAAGGTGACGTAAATTTACAAACAAAAATAAAGCTGATGATAAAAATTCATTAGATTTATCAACTCTACTTAATTAAATACATAGAAAATTTTAAACAAAAATACTTTTCTCTGATTCTATTAATGAAGATATCTTCAGCTTAAATACCCCAAATGCATACGTTTGGATCAATCACAAAAAAAAATACTTAAAATCTAAATATTAAATCAATCTACATATAATTTGTTAAATTTTTTAATTTTATTCTGACTTAATCAATAAAAAATAGTGATAAATTTATAATTTTATTATCTATTTTAACTGCACTAAATATATTAATTATTATTTATGTAATAATCTATTCATAGCACTAGATTAATTACTTCATTTAGTTATATTATTTTTAAAGACTAAATTAAAAAATATTTATTCTCCATCCATACAAATTAAATGCTTGAGAACTATTTATTAAAGACTACCTGCTTTATGTAAAAATATTTAAGCAATCTAAAGATGAAAATATATAAAATTCTTTCCTATAAATCTACATAAAATAATGATCATTTTTATATTTTGTATTAAACATAAAAAATATTAAAATTTTATTTTTATTTTATTTAAAAAAATATATTTTTTACCTTTTTTATCTATTCTCTTAACCATTACTTTATAACATTGAATAAAATAATAAAGTCATCTAATAAAAATTCAAGAAAATAAAAGTAATAAATGATTTGTTTTCAAAACAAAATATATTCAAAACTCAAAAACCTTAATTAACTTAATTATATATAACTTGATTTAAATGAGCATTATATATTTTTTAAATACATTTTTATTTCAATACCAATAAATAAAGAAACAATATCCCCTTTACCATTTATTTATATTTTATGTATTTTTTTATCTTTTTAAATTAAGAAATCATGCTCTATCTGGTTCGAGTAATATATAAGATTAGATTACATTAAATTGTGGAAATTTAGTATTTAAAATAAAAAAATCAATTAAAAATTTTTTTTTTATAAAAAGTTTAGATGAAAAATCATCAATAAATCTTAAAGGTTTATACTATTTAATAGGTTGAATTGCGAGTGATTAATACTTATACAAAGAATAAATATTTATTAGTGTATTTAGTATACAATATTTATTTATTTTTTTATCACAAACGCCTAATTTTATTTCTTTCGTTTGCAAGAATATTTTCTGTTATAACTTTGGCAAGATCTGTTTCACTTAAGTTGGAACCTAAATGAGCTAAGTAGTTGTTTTAATCATCCATTAAATATGTTAATACAGTATGATCGATTGTATAGTTATTTTTCATTTTTCCTTTGCTGTCCTTACCTCTATTAATTAAAATATATTAATTTACTGAAATCAAATAAATAAAAATAAATAGATTTATTTACCTATCATCTTCAATATCTTCGTATTCCATCTTGGTTGAATAAATTCTGAATTTCTTCATCATTTCTTTAAGATCTTTATCGTTATTATGCTTGCCAGTTACACCAATGATATCTTTATCAAAGATGTTTAAGAATGCTTCGATTTTTTCATTAGTATCTCTGTCAGGATCAACACTAACAAAAACTGTCTTAATTTTAAGGTATTTACCTTCAGGAGAGGCTCTAACTTTTTACAAACCCTTAACTAATTTAATTAAAGAGTTAGGGCAAATATCAGGACAGTTACAGAACCCGAAGTATATTAGGTAATAGGTACCTTTCAAATTTTCACTTCCGAATGGTTTACCTTTGGTATCAGTTAATTACCAATCACCACCAATGAGTGCCTATATGAAAAAATAATAAATTTTTTTAAATTTGAGCACAATTTAATTAAAATCAGAATTAAAAATTTTAATTATTAAAAATCTTTAAAAATTCGAATGTAACTAATTTAATTCTAAAAATAAATGTAATTTGCCTAATATAAATATTTATTTTTTAATCTATAAAAATTCAACATAGAAAAATAATTTAAACTCAGCATTTTCTAAACTTAAATTTGATAATCTTGCAAAGCAAGAATAAATTTCTAATTCTTCTACTTTTTGAAATTGGAATTTAAAAATAATAGGTAATAATTATATTCATTTTCTCTTTTATTTCTACTGTATTAAAGCTTTACAGGTAAACTTTGATTATTAATTTATTTCAAATCAATAAAATTTTATTTTTACTGTGTTTTGTGCTATTTTCATATTAATGTAATTGAAATGATAATGATCATTTCTAAAATATCTTTTTATTTTTTTATAAGACATTATTTTTTTTTGTTTTGCTTGGTGATTTTAATCTTAGAAATAGATCATTTTTAATATTTTTAAATAAATAAATTTCTTTAAATTGGCATTTTCTAGATTACTGCTAGCTTTATTTTCTTATTAAAAATAAAGGTATTTGTCTAACTCTTTATATAAACTTTATGGATTTCATATTGACATTTTGTTGTTTTTTAAATAAAATAAATATATGCATATCTCATTTTTTTTAAAATAAGCACAATAGCTCTAAATTTTCCATAGTTTTTTAAATCTCTAAAGAAATTTTTGATAAAATATCTCCTTTTGAAAAGATGGATTTATTTTGAGTAAGATCTAACTGGTTTAAATATAAATTATGTCTTATTAACATAAATTACCTGTCCCTAAACGTTTGTTTTGATGGATTGAGGATTAGTTTAGCTAGTTTTCTTTTAATGACGCATGGTATTTACTTGCATTACCAAATATCCAACAAGAAGACCTAAACTACCAACCAAAAATATGTATAATGAGTTAGCACCAGGTCTATCAAAGGAGCTATCATCTTCTAAATCGGGATCCTTTTTTTCAGAGGCCTTAAGAGCTTCATCAATTTTAGCGATTTGCTCATCTCTTGATAGATTAGAGAAAGATTTCTTATCTATTTTAGTAAGATCAAGGAACTCTCTGTATTTTTCATCTTCAGGCTAATTTGCAAAGGTGTTAATTGATTAGTTAGTTAACTATCTAGCTCTTATGAGTCCCTAATATGAGCTTCTATTCATAGAAATAGCTCTAGAGAATATAGATTTAACAGAATTTTTCATTAAGAACATTTTATTATGGTATTTTTGAGTTTGAATACACTAGATTTAATATAGTTAGGTAAAATGGATGCTTTTGCTCTCTTTACTTAATCTAATAATACTGATAAATTTAATAGCTCTTTTTTGATAAAAAATCTTTATATTTAATAAATTTCAAATCTTTTTCTAGAAAGACTCATTGGTTATTTATAAACTTACTAATTTTTATTAAATTTAAAATTTTAATGATAGACAAAACACAAATAATATTATTATTTTATTATAAAATGTATTTTTGGTTATTATTTTAATTAACTATTTTTCTACTGAAAGCAACAATAAAATGTATTTAACTTTGTTTCATTTTATGCTAAGATGATAGCAAAGATATATTTTTATGCAATCAGCCTAAAAACTATTGATTTTTAACAAACAAATATAATTTGTAATTATAAAATTTACTTATTAAGTTAATTTCTAAATAGTCAAGGTTTTTTATTTAATAGGTTTTAGTTTCAAAATTTCACATAAAACACAAAATTTAGCTTTCTTAATATTAAAATATAAATGAACGCAGGTCGTTTCTTCTTTAAACATGCTACGTAAAGCAATAAATTATATTAATTTTAGCTTAGCTAGATTTTTATAATAGATAAAGCACTTTTTTTAAAATAATTGTCTTTCAGAAAAAATGAGAAAATTCTAAAATTAATTCTAATCTAAAAAATAGAAAGGGCATCTAAATATAAAAATCTATGTAACATAAATAATCTTGGTCTATGTCAAGCACTTCTTTCATGAAGTAAGCTTTGCCTGCTCCTACTTATTCAAATTATCTTGAGTAAATATAAATTATTTCTATCAAAGTAGAAGATTAATTTTCAAAATAAAATATCATCAATTAGGAATGCTTTTGCAAAAAGTGAAATCATGCGCAAGACAGCATTGATTAACATGAATACCAATAGAATTTTCTTAGAGAATGTTCACGAAATGGGCTGCTTCATTGATCAAGATGACTGTAAATATTATTTTTTTGAATAAGCAATACTTGAAAAAAAAAATGAATGAGATTTTATTAAAACTTTAAATTAAAGCATATCTGAGTAGATCTTTATTTAGATCATAATTTTAAAATATTATAATGATAATTTATTAATTTATTTTATATTTTATTAATTAAAGCTGAAGACAATGATGATGACCAGCTGTAATTTTATAAATACTCTTACATATATTTTTTAATTTTATTTAAAATAATTTTTATAATTTAGATCAACAATACGAAAGTTGGGCCTTCTCATTTGAATTAGCTAAATAAAAAAGCCTTCAATGAATTTAATTAATTGAATACTTGCATAATCTATCTAGAATATTTGATAAATCTAAATAACTATTGTTTAATTTATAGTGAGGGCAAATATAAAATTTATAATAATTAGTAGTGATAATGTATAAAATATGCATAATAAATATTTTTTTTTGTTTAAAATGGAATTTCTATTTAAATATTTATTCTAGTTAAAATAAATAAATAAAATAACAACTTGAAAATAAAATAATTTAGTTAGATAATTAAATAATTAGTTAGCTAGTAGGATTATAAAAGTTAATAAAAATGTATGTATTTAGTATATTCATATCAAGAGAAAAGATTGATGAAGCTAATGTAGCAAAATAAGAATAAATAGCTAATTTTATCCTAATAATATGAAAGAAATCAAAATTAAATGATATTAAAAATAGAATGAAAATATAAAAAGATCAATCAAAAGGTATGTTAAAAACAAACATGCATATAAACAAGCAAACAAACAAATAAATAAATAATTTAGATTGTGCTTGCTTTTATTTATTATTGAAAGTTAATTTTTTATATATAATTCTTTGTTTTTATTTGATAACTCTTAATAAAATAGTCATTATTAAAATAAAACAAGTAGAATAACAAAATAAATAGATAGATATTAGGCATATCTCTCACTTCAAAATCTAACAAACATAAATAAAAATAGGAAAACCAAAAAAAAAACCAAACAATATTAAAGAATTAAGCAAGCAAGCAAACCAAGCGAATTACTTAAATCAATCAAGGTTTCCATATTGAAAGCATAAAATGGTCAAATTTATTCCCACAAAAAGAACAACAAAGAATTTGTCAGTCGAGGAATTCTGGCAAGTCAAACAAAAATTAAAACCCAGAGATGCTGAAAAATTAAAAAGACGTGTTTAAGTAGACTTATCAGGTCGTTATAAATTTAAGTCTTTCAAGAAAGAAATTCAAAACATAGATGTTAGCTTGACTCATTTTATAGACGAAATCAAGCAATAGCCTTATAGTTAAACTGATGATAATTTAGGTTCCTACTTTTTGGATGAGCTAGAACTTTAACATGCCAAGTGCAAAACACCATATTATAAAAAATTCTATACATAGGTAGTAGATCTTTCTTAAAGTTTACCTTTAGTCCTCCATAACTTGGATTATATAATAAGTCTTATTGTAGACAATTTAAATCTCCCTGAAGTCTCATTACAAGATGTCAAAAAAAATATCAAAGGAGGCAAAAGTAAATAAGTTGTTTAATTAGAAGCATCTTTTGATGATGATGATGAAGATGAAGAAGGATAAATGGATGTGGCATAAATTGCATTTGATGAAGAAGAATAAGATGATGATGAAGATGACTTAGACGATGCCATAAAGTTAAATTAAGACATGCAAGCATAAGCTAAGTAGCAAATGGAATCTGAAGAAGATCCTGACGTTGCAAAAGTAAGAAGAAGACTAATGACACCTTATATGCTATAATTACTTCCTGAGATTATCAGAGATTGTTAAGATTTGGCTTACAAGGTATTTATTGATAAGGTCTTCTTCAGAATCACTGACTTAATTGATTTAAAGAACCTTCCTTAGCTCTAATTAATTTATAAAGTATTAGCTTATTCATTAAAATATTTCTACAGAGAAATTTTAAGTAAGTTATTTTATTATCTCATTTTTATTTCAAATACTCTCTAAATTTTATATGATTATCTACTAGCAAGTGAAAGATAAAAGATTTGCATGATCATAAACAACAACAATAAAAAAATAATGCAATAATAAAATGATCAGATTAAAAATATTAAAATTAATCAAATAAATATTTGAAAATGTTTTTTTGTTAATAATTAGTTTGAATTTTTTTAAATCAAAAGATATTTATTGATTTTATTTATCAATTTATTTTTAAATTAATAGATAACTTTGAAGAATTTTTGGGTTTGTATTTCAACAAGCTATTTTTACATAAAAATAAATATGTAAGATAATTTTCTAGTGAGTCCTTCTCGTATATTATTAAAAAAATGACTTAAAAAGAAAGATTGTAAAAGGTTCCTAAGATTTTCGAAATGATTAGAAATAAATGTGTAGAACTTAGGTAAGAGACTGAATAAGACTAAACATTATAAAAATATAAAGTTCTTTAGGAGTAGTATTTAAAAGATAGCGTTAGTCATATGTTATTCAGTTGTTTAATTGGTATGCATAGATTCATGACTTATAGAGGCATGGACTAATTCAAAGAAATTATTGAAATCATTTTAAGCCAAGGAAAGGACAATAATGATATCCAGTATGTTTTAGGCTAATATCTCGAATATTCATACAAGCATTTTACAATTGAGTAACAAGCAGATAAATTGTGCTTTAACCTAACTGATCTTTTTAATGCATTGAGTTTAATTCTTTCTAAAAATGTTACTGTTGATTAAGAAGGATTTTCTCTTATATTAAGAAATATTTGCTCAAAGATTATCGATTTCCTTGATTATAAAGACGCTATTAATTTGGATGAAAAGAATGCTCCTCACATTATTGAAATGCTTAGAGTTATGATTGATTATCAAAATAAGTATCCAGATCAATAGTTAAAAAATAGTATTTCTGGTTCTATTGGTAGACTTTTTAAGAGGGGATTCAGCTCTTATTCTTCAAGCATTCTTACACCAGAAGTCAATGATTTCTTACTTGAAAAGTTAAGCATTTTAGAGACATTTGAGTTCTTTAAATTACTCATTTTCCCCTATGAAGGTAAAAAAGAAGACGTTGACAGAGCTTATACTTTCGAAGAAGGCATCTACGACTATTGTTTGATTTTAGCTTTCCGTCATATTGACAAGTTATTCGAAAGACGAGCTGCTGATGATAAAGAAGATGTCCAAAAAACTCTCCACTGCATGTTCTTTATGATGACTATGATACATGAATAAAGTTTTTCTTATAAAAAATTATAGCTTAAAAGTTCTTAAGTTCTTTTAAATGTTGCATTAAATAAACTTTAAAACTTACTTGAAAATTATATTTCCTATTTAAATAACCCAAGTCCTGCTAAAGAATAAATTACTGAAGCCAAAAGATGTTACAGAGAAATGATCATCTTTACAAAATTATCACAATTTTCTGATTTCAAGAGCCAAGAATTAATTAATAAGTATGAATAGTTAATTAAAATAATAAATACTTAACTTCAATAGAAGAGTGAAGAGTTAGGCACATAGGATTTTGAAGAAGACAAATTTATTGATTCAAACGAATTATATAATTTCCGTGAAAGTATAGTTAAGAAGTACGAGTTGAAGAGCTCAATAGTTAACTCTACCTAAAAACTTTCACTCTTAAAAAGCGAAATGCTCATATATGTCAGCTCTAATCTTTAGGAAAAAACAAATGAATAATTAATTGCATTTGAAATTTCATATTTAAATAAATATGTTGAAAATCCTAATTACTTAAAGAACTTCGCAATTTTCTTGTAAAACACAAAGAGAAAATTAACAGTCGATGAGCATGAGTAGTTCTTCTATCAACTTTGTCGTAACTTAAGAAGCAAATACACCGAAACAAGACTCGCTTCACTTTAAGTTTTAAATTTATTCTAAAAATTAGAGTATCTGCAAGTTAATGTTTAATCTAATAATGAAACTATTCCTTCTGTTTTAAGAGGAGAGATCAATATGATTGAAATGCTGCTCTATATATAAAACTAAATTCCTTCTATTGACAACGAAAGAAACATCAAGTTAGAACTAATGAGAATGAAAACAAACGCATACGCTTATCCACCTATTTATCATTATTTATTATTTAACTTCTGTCTTGGTTATATGTTTGTTAGATTTGCTCTCTTATGGCCTATTACTAAAGAAATTATTACCCACTTATTCAATCTTAGGAAGCACCCTCATATTCCTTATATCTTCTTGAATATGTTGGCATATTACAACTATTAATTATCTCCATAATTCATAAGCAAATATAATAATGCTGATTAGCTCTTTGAAGACATTGAAGAAAACGAGGAAGAGGAGGATGATGAAGAAGAAGAAAATGAAGATGAATAAGGTGATAATTAGTAAAACAATAACAAAATGGAAATCGAATTACAATAAGGAGAATCTGACTTCTTTGATAGTCTTTTTAACGATTATTATTTATTTGAAGGAGATGTTATTGAAAATAAACTAGTGTTTGAGAATGTGTTCAAGGCTTTGAGTGAAAGTAAAAGGGAATCAATTGATGCAATAGTAAAATAATAAATAATTTGCCTCATGAAACAATTCTTTGAAAATGAACACCGTGAAATCGAGTTCATAATATAAGATTACTAATAATTAACTGAATTATAAATTGTATCACGCTAGTTAGATAACTAGATAGCAATTAACAAGAATTTATATGTCAAATACACTCATTTTTTATAAATTTTTATCAACTTCATTAGTGTTAAAGACATTGAAAAATAACACTTCTATGAAATATTCCTTGAATTATTACGTAAGAACAAGGAAAATATTTAATAATTAGCACTTGACTGCATTTTGAAATTTGAAAAGGCTTCATTACATAAATACCAATAAAGTCTTAAGTAATTAACAAAGAAGGAAAACTTGCGTAGAGAAATGCTCAACCTTAATTTAAATAGAGACTCTAAGTAAATAGAAGATAGTCACAGAGTTGATGTTATTCCTGTTATTATCAACATTTTGTATCCTCACTTATTTACCAAAAAAGGCAGTCATCATAAATCAAAGAAACATAGTGAATTATAACGTAATGTAATTTACGGTTTCTTTTCTTCCCTCTAGCCTAATGAATTAGGGTATGTCATCGATTTAGTATTTAAGAATTTCCATATTCCTGACTTCACAAATGATTCAGTTATTCTTACTAACTAAAAAGAGCTTTTACAACTTCATTTGAATAAAATTTCTCAATTCAATATCAACATTAAGAATATGATGTAAAAGTTAGGTTTGTTGCTTAAACCTTTCTTCAATCGTATTTTTAATTATCTTTTGTCTCTATTCAGCTCTTGTCAAACCTTAAAGAGTTAGATTAAGTAGGCTAAAAATAATCAATAAATGTTTGAATCTGAAGAAAACAAAGTAAATCGTATTTATAAATCAGTCAAGAAATTACAAAAGCAAGCCCTCGAAAGATATAGTGAGATTTGCCGCAGATATCGCAATCAATTGAGTGGATCATAAGATTTTGTTGAAAATTTCTTGTAAATTATGGATAATAAGATTTAAATGCTTCGTTAAGACACTGTAACTAGTGTGCCAGGTGTTCTAAAAATTATGAGTATTTGGTCATAAGACTCTTAATTCTATTAATACTTCTTGAAATACGAATATATTATCCCAATTTTGATATCTCTTTACAATAGAGAAAAAATAAATGTTTAAATTATTTAGCTTGTACACAATATCTTTTCTCAGCTTTTAGGCATTCAATCAAGCATCGATAAGAAAAATAAATCTGAAGAAGAAATGGAAGAAGAGGAAGAAGATGAAGAAAATGGTATTGAAGATGATGATGAAGATATTGATAGTGAAGATTAAGATGAAATGGATGTCGAAGAAGATGAAGATTTTGATGAAAAAAATAATTAGTAATTAAAGATTACTAAATCCATTATGAAAACTACAAAGGGAGCCTCTGCTGACCAAGATGTGAAATAGAAAATCAGCGAATTTATGAAATAACATTACAACTCTTTGTTAGAAAGCATGTATTCTTATCTTGAATTTAATCTTGCTCCTAGTTAATTGATCAAAAGAAACAAACAAAAGAAAATTGATTCATTGAGTCTTGAAATCATTGATCATATCAGTTCTAATATTGAGTCAATTGAAGAAAGTTTGAGTTTTAAGTATTTAAATTACTTCATCAAATTCCTTGATGCTGCAAATGTCAAAAAACTTAAAGATGTTGCATCTACTCCTTCTACATCAAGTACCGAAGAAAATAGTAATAAGAAAGGAAAAACTAGACAATAAGAGTTAGGCGATAAGTTTAATATTTTCTACAAAGTTTTAAGCATAAATAATAACTTTTTAAGACTAAATAAAGACAATACATCCTTTTATAAACCATTTATTAGCATTTTACCTTTCACTTAGTCTGAAGAATTCAAAAAACTTGCAGTCAAGTGTATTACTTCTCTCAAGCTACCTTTCCACAATGATTAAATCATTGAAGTACTTTAAGATATGTCAGTATTTGAAAGAACGATGAAACAAACCTTGAACTACGATAAATTCCTTGACGCTGTCTATAAGGTAATATACTTTTTAATTTTAATTTCAATATTTACTATTTAATAATTTAGGTTAATACTGAGTACATGAAAGAATGGTTTAAAGGAGATTTAAGATGTGTAGAGACTTACTTTATGATGTTAATGAGTTCATGTGCTGACTCAGAAATGAGTGTCAGAATGGCCATTAATAGCTCATTTGATACTCTATTCAAGCTAATTACTGAAAATCAAGAAAACCTCTCAGAAGAAAATATTCAAACAATAAAAGCCTATTTATTCTTCAAGCTTTTACCTTTTGTCGCTAAAGAACTTAGAAAAACAAAGGATGAATATGTTGTCAAAAATGTTATTCAAATACTCAAGCTTTATTTGTAATTCATTCCCTCAATCAAGGTAATTTTAATTATTTAATAATTTTAGATGTATTTCCACCTTATCCTTTATATACATATTTATTTATTCAAAACTTTGATAAAAAATCAAATTACAATAAATCATTATTCTTTATTAAAAAATAGATTGAAAACTTCTTCTAAACTGATAGTTTTAATTATATCGAATTACGTGCTTTGATACACACCGATGAAAATCAAGATTTCTTTGAATGTATTACTCATATTTAAATGAATAAGAGAATTAAAGGTATGAATATTCTCATGAAGACTGTAGAGTAAATTAATGACTAATCAAACGTTTGGAATATTGTATTACCTATTATTGAATGGATTATCCTTTACAAATGCTAAGAAATATATAAGGCTAACAATAAAACCAAATTAACTGATATTACTTTGTAACACTACAAGTTACTTTTATAATCTGCTATCAATACTATTGGCATAATATCAAAAAATTTATCTGTAGCTAAGGTCAAAAAAATCCTTAAGAAATATGTTTAATTCCTTAGTAACAAGAAATTTGATTAGAAGATTACTATTAAAGTACTTGGATCTGTATTAGAAACTTTGAACCTACCTTATAATATTGTTAGCGAAGTCAATAGAGAAATGGAAAATATTTAGGAGAAGAAAATGGAAAATACTTTGCTTTATGATATGATTCAAAAGAACAAAGAATATGATAACCCTAATTAAGATTTGTAAGAAGACGAAGAACCAGTAGAAAACAATGATTTAGCTGAAGTCTAGCCCTATGATTTAGTTCTGGATGGTAAACTTAATTAAATAATATTTGAAAGATTATATTAATTTATTTTTATAAAATAGAAAAATTAGACACAAACATTAAGGAGAAATGGATTGAAAATTTGGAAAGAGAGAAGTTTTACATTAAAAATCAAGAACTCGAATTAGATTAGATTGCAAGCAAAGATAGCGATATGTCTAATTATTACAGATTCTTAAGATTATAAGTCTTCTTGCCAATGAAATAACTACTATTCGATTAATACTCAAAGGCTTATAACAAATTTGCTAAAGTCACTTTAGATGACAAATAAAAAAATAAATAAGATGAAAAGATCAGAATTTTCATGACCATAGCTCTTATTAAGCTTTTAATTAAGTTCCCTAAAGAAATTTTCAGAATCGAATTCCCTAAGCTTGTAAATAAAGTTGTTAAAAATTTACGTACTAAGGATAATGATGAACGTAACTTCACTCGTAAAGTCCTCTTAGAAATCGTAAGAATGACTGGTCCTTACTTTTTCCATTACATCGTAAAAGAATTAAAGTTCTTCCTCAAAAATGGATGGGAGTCTCATATTCTTAACTACACAATTTACACTTTGCTTACTGAATTAGACAACAAGAAGATACCTATTGGTAGTTTGGATTATTGTCACAGTGAAATATTCCCTCTCTTGGTTGATGAAATATTCGGAAAGCTCATGGAAGAAAAAGACTTATAAATGACTAAGATTCCTGAATAAAAGAAAAATAAAGCAAATGCTACTTTCTAATTATTTGCTAAAAATTTAGATTTCAGAAATGTTATCAATTTCTTAGCATTTGTTAGACAATAGCTTGTAGAAAATTTGGATGGTTCTAAAAACCTTGGTAAGTTTGAAGAATTGTTTAACTTTATTTTGGAAGGTTTTGTTAAAAACGAGAGTGTTTAGCATACTGAATTAGTTACTGTCAGTTATAGTTTGATTAAGGATGCTTTAGATTTGATTGAAAGCACCAAGAAAAAAGACAGACTAAATGATACAACAATAGCAGATTAAGTTATAGATAAGAAGTAGCTTACAAAGCACAATTTAGCTAAGACTTATGAAATTTTGGAAGTCACTGCTCAAAACAAATCCATTTTCTAATCTATTCAAGACTCAAAGAAAAAGAATAAATTTAAAATCGGATGCTGCATGTGTAACTTTGGTTTAAAGATGTGTTTGATGGGTATTAAGAAGTCCATTTTCGCACCAGAATAAATTTCTAATTAGATCCAATTCGAGCAACTAATTAAGTAAAAATTTTTTTTTTAATTTTTTAATTTAACTTAATTATATTCAATTTTAGGGTTATTGTTGAGTGTCTCAAGTCAACAGATAATACTATGATTATTAGCAGTTTGAGAATTTTAAAAACTGTCATTACTAGGAAAGAAGCTAAGGGAATTCGTAAAGCTACTGTATCAGCAGTACTTGCTATCTTGGAGAAATTAACTAACACAGACATTGAGATGATTGGTGAAACATTTAAACTCATAAACACTATTATTGATCACTCTCAAAACTCATTAAAGAATTCTTAATATAAAGGTAAAATAAAAATTTCAAAAGTAAGTTAAAAATAATTTATAATTATTAAATGTAAAAGCATTACTTTTGTATATCAAATAATTTTTGGATGTCAGCGATTACTGTTCAGAACCATTAAATACTTTGAATACTATTATTGAAAAGAAACTTATTTATGAAGAAGTTTATGATTTGGTTAATTAAAAAGTAAGAGAAGCTATGATCCAATCTTATGCGCAAAACATAAATTCTATTTGCAAATAAATTTACTTGAATTTCTTGGTAAAGTATCCTATTTCTGATACAATCATGCAATCTTCGATAAATTTCTTAATTAAAAATACCGAATATACTTACGACTAAGGTAGAATTATAGTTTATGACATCCTTAAAATCATTATCAAGAGTTTCCCTGATAAAGTACTCACTTACTTTGGTGAAATCATTTATGTATCATACTTGGTAAACTTAATCAAAGAAGAAAACAAAGAAATCAGAGAAACTATTAAGCTTTCTTAACAACTGTTAATCAACAGACTTTCTAATGAATAAAAATAAAGATTGATTACTAACAATCTTCAATGGATAACTTAACATAATAATCCTAAAATTTAAGTAATAATTATCATTTTTAATAAATTTTTAATTTACAGTAATATTTTTAACAATAGCAAAGCGGTTTTATTGGATTGCGCTTGTTTTTAGAAGACAAACAAGACTTCCTTACTAAAGAAGAAGAAATTGTAAAATAATTTGCATGATAAAACAATAAATAAATAATGAACTTTTATTTAATTTTTTTATAGAAATTGTAAATAAGTCAAATTTTTGACAGCAGAGAAGAGAGAATGAATATCTTTTGGGAAATTATTAAACAAAAGAAAGAAAAGAAAGAAGCTCTTAAGAATTCAGAATGGAAAAACTTTATTGATACTGAAATAGAAGTAGAAGAAAAATAAAATGAAAACGAATTGACTAATGATACTTTGTTAAATAGTGTTTTAGAATTTGTTTTAGCTTATAATAAATATTTGAAGGAAAGAGAATTGCCTAATACATTGATTTTTGAAGGCAAAAGAAAGTTAATCTGCAATATTATTTAATATATCAATTTCCCTAATTAAGACACTTCTAATTTAACTATGAATTGTTTGATGGAGTTAACTGAAACTAACTAAAGTATGGCATAGTAAGCCTTTAAGGATGGTATGCAAGTTGTTGTTTCACTGCTTCCTAAAGTTTTGAAATATTTATATTTCTCTAAACTTAAAAATAACTTTGTTATTTCTAATACTCAAAACTCTCATAAATTCTTCATATTTGTAATGAAGTTCTTCTTAAACTGTGATCAAGAAACGATTGCCATTGCTTTGTTTGAAAATATCCTCAAAATCTTCTTAAGATCTTACATAAAAGCATATTACAATAAATCTTAAATAGAATATATTGTAGAATTGATTCTTCACTTGGCTCAAAACATGTCTTAAGATGAAGATAAAGAACTTGTTAATGAAATTAAAAACTATATGTTGAAGAATGAAAGAGCATTAGAAATTGTTTTGGAAATTTTGATTAAGGTTAAGACTTTTGATAACAATAACAAGATTTCTAACTAAGAGACTATTGAAAAAGCTGAATTGGTAAATTTTTTATTTGTAAAATAATTGACTATATTAATAATTATTTATTCATCTTAAAGGCTATTGAGGAATTGAAGAAATCAATAGAGTTGAATAACTTCTTCCAAATGTACTCAAAGGTAAAATCAGGAATTGAATCAATAAGATAAGAAAGAAAGCAACAATAAAAACAAGATATAATTACTAATCCAGAGGTTGCCTTTGAAAAGAAGCAAGAGCAAAATCTTAAAAAGAGAAAAGCAAAACAAAATAAAATTAGAAATAGTAAAAGATCTGAAAACATAGGCAGAAAGATTCTAAAAAAAGATTGATTAATTGATGATAAGTTTATAAAATAATTAATTAATTAGATAAAAACAAATTAACGAATGTAGAATATTATATTTATATATATGTAAGTAATCATTTTCAATTTTTTATTAAATATTTGTTTGTTTTATTTATTTTTCAGTTTACAAATTAACAATTCAAATAAATAAATATTTTTATTTGTCTTCAAAAGTAGAGAACAGAGGTAAAAATAAATTAATATGTTTAGAATATTATATTTACATATCTATTCAAACTTAAAGAGACTATTTATTAAGCAATTATTAATTTAAAGAGAAATTTTTTGGAAAAATTATACTTAAATTATATTAGATTTTATTATCAAAGATAATCAAAATAAAATTATTAATTATATTTTATTAAACAAATATTACTAAAATCATATTTATTTATGATATAAAAGCATCTCCAGATTAAATTTATTTCATTACATTAAATAATTTTTATTTTATGAAATTGATTTAAAAAATTGTATTTTATAGAAACCAGTTTAAAATATAATTTTTTTTTTTCTAATTTAATTAATTTATTTTATTTAAGGAGTTTTAAATTAAGGAGATTAGTTTTAATAATAATTATTTAAAACTTAAGTGAATATATATAAATTAATATAAGTAATAGTTTTCAACTTTTTATTATAAGTATTTGTGTTTTTTATTTCAGCTTACAGGCTAACAAACAAAATGCATTTGTGCTTCAAAATATAAGAACCGAGGTTGCAAAAAAATAATTGAGCAATAATTAAAATTAAAATTGTGTTATCTACATAAAGCATTAAAATAAATTGAAGTGAAATTAATCTAATTTGTTTAGAATAATTCAATAAAATAAATATTTATAATATATCTTTTAACACTGATAAAATTGATTAATCGGTTGATCATAGTAATATAAAATGAAAACAAAGGTTATACTAATAATAATTGATATGTATTCAAAATTTGTTTAGTAACATATTTTTTGTAAGCAACGATTTAATGATAATGCAAATTAAAATCAGAATATTAACTAATTTAAATAAATTAATTTCATTCACTTGATTAGATACTTTTTATTTGATATAAAGCTGTAAATTTACTTTGTACTATTCACCAAAAAAGAAATTTGCAGTCAAAAAGTAAAGGTTAATATATTAAAAATTAATTATTATCAAGATAACTTCTTGCCTAAGTTCAGTTGAAAATATGTAAGGCAACCCTTTTTTACTAACTAATTTTTTGACACCAAGTTAGCCTAATGAAGATATTTTGAATGATTCGCATTAAAATAACCTAACAAAACCCATACTAGAAATGTAGCAGATTAATTAAGTACCTTCTAATGAAATTAAAATATTTCAATACAATCTTGATAAATATTAAATTGAAAAAAGAGGAAATAATTAAATGGGATATGAATTAGATGAAGTTTAAGATACCATAAAATCTGAATAAAATGATACTTAGTAAGATTTCTTAAACAACTATAAATCAGTCAGGAAGAATCCTGTTTTTTTGAGCTAATTTATTGAGAAAAAAGCATTTTAAACTAATGTGAATGATAATTGTGAGATTAATACCTAGTAGTAGTAATATGATTAATCTTCTACTTAAATATAATACAATACTAATTAACTTAAAAGTGGTAATTTAAACTCTGTAAATAGTTAATCGAGTAATTCCAATCCTAAAAAAAATAGCAGCTCCCCTTCTGCTTAAGACTTTTCTATAAGCTTTCCTTAGCTCTCTGCGACTTAAAGCATATCCTAAACATCTATATAAAGATTAGACATTAGTCCAACTAAAATTAGTAATAATATTTATAGTCATATTAAAAATAAAAAAAGTTCATTCTCAAAAAGACCAAGCTATATTTAATAAGCAGATTAAAGTTAAAATAGTTGCAGTAGCAGCTAAAGTGATGACTCAAAGGATAGTGAGAAGAGAGATACTCTTCCTTCATAGCTATTTACTTTGGGAAAAGAAAAGGAACTAAAGCCTAAAAAAGAAAAAAGTTCAGTTGATAATGACTCTAATTATGATTCTTTTACAATTAAAATGAATTCTCTAAGCAAATTTAAAAAGAATAATTCTACGGCTCTTGGTAATCTCCTCAGTAATGGGGAAATAACTCAAATAAAAATAAGTAAAGATGCATTTTCTTCTACTTCATCAATTTCAAACTAAGGATAAGAAAAGAGTGTAAATTAGGATGGATATGATTTTAATATGAGGTCTTCCAGCTAGTCAATTAAATAGAGTGGCCTTTTAGGAAATTCAATAATATCAGGCAGCTAAGGCTTTATTGATTTAATAAAAAGAGTAAAAATAAGAAATGCAATCCAAAGAATGGCAAGTAAAACATCTTGCAGAAGGCTTAAGCAACTATCAGAAATTCACTTGAGCTTCATAGGTGATTTATCAATCTAAAAGAAAAGTGATGAAAAAGTACATAAGGAATAATAAAGATGGTATTTTAAATTTATTAGGGATTACTTAACCTTTCCAACATTTAATCCTTATTCGATTTATAAAATGATGTGGGATTTATTTATGCTTTTTGTAGTGCTTTTTTTTTTCGTTTCTATTCCTCTAATTCTTTCAACGGGCGAGGAATTTGAGGACTTGTTTGGGGAATTCCCATACTTTGTCCTTTCAATAATTTTAGTTATAGATGCTTTTATTAATATGAACACTGGATACTACAGAAATGGAGCACTTGTTCAAACGAAATATTTTGTTTTTAGGAATTATGCTAAAAAGTTGCTAGTAATTGATGTAGTTGGAATTGTACCAATTTTCATTTATACAATAACACCTTCATAAACATTGAAAGGGTTTTTATTTTTGTATTTGATAAAATATAAGTCTATTACAAAAATTTTTAAAAGATTAGAACTTCGGCTAGATCTAAAATCTTCTTTGCTTAATTTAATTGCCTTACTCAAATTATTGCTTACTGTATTATTTATTGCCCATATATTTGCTAATTTTTGGTTATTCTTAGCAAGAATGAATCCAAATTAAAATTGGCTAACTTAGACAAAATTAAAAACTGAAAGTTGGTCTGAGCAATATGTTGTAGCATATTATTATATCACTGTTACAATGGTTACAGTAGGTTATGGAGACATTACTCCTGCAAATTTAACAGAGGTATTTTTTGCTGTTGTTACTATCCTTTTAGCATGTGGTGTGTTTGCATATAGGTAAAATTTCAACTTTATTTAACTAAATTTTATAAAAAATATTAGATATTATAGTTAATTATAATTTAATCTTCCAATTTATAAAATTTTCATTAGTTTGTTATTGAAATAAATAAAAATAATTTAAATAAAAATAGTGTCAATGCTATAGGTTTTATATTAGATGAGATTAATAGAGAACAGAAATAACTTAATAAAAATATGTAAATAATAAATTAATATATGAATAAAAAGAATATAAGCAGAGAATTGAGATTCTAAATTAGAGAATACTTAGAATTCTTTTGGAGATAGTAAAATATCAGTAATGTAGAATAAGAATAAAAAATTATATAGTAATTAGCCCATAATCTCAAAGAAAAATTAAATTTGGAAGCAAACAAATTAATTTTAAAGGATAATAAAGTATTTTCTAATAAATTCTCTGAAAGACTACTTAAAAAAACTCTTAATATAGTCAAAGAATACAGATTTACTCCTTAATAACTCATTATATAAAGAAATTAGCATGATGATTCTGCTATTTATTTTATTGAAAGTGGCTCAGTTGAGGTATTTATCGACAATGATAAAAATCACTAAATCATATAAATTTAAAGTAGACTTTTTTTGGTTTTTGTTAAAATTTTTAATTTTCGATTATTATTTTAATTTTTAATAAAAAATTGCTAATTTATTTTTATTTTTTTATTGTGGAATGCTAAAAAAATAATTTTAATAAAATCGTTTCAGCTAAAGTTATGATTTAAAAAAAAGTGTCCAACTAAAATTTATAAGGGATAATTTAAACTCTTTTATATGAATGATTTTATTTCTTTTTATTTAGTAATTAATTTAAACTTAAGGAATAATATAGCGAATATTATAACAATTAAATTTATAACAAATTTTTTGATTAATTTTAGTAATTTATAAAAATTATCTTAATTAAATTTTAGAACTGAGCAAGGGTTAGTACTTTGGTGAAATAAGCTTTTATACTGGTCTAGAAAGATCACTTAGTGTAAGGAGTATAGACTTTGCTACTCTCCTTAAGATTGAGAGAGATGATTTCTTAAACTTATTAAAAATGTTCCCAAGAGATTAAGAGATGTTTCACTTAATTAAAGATTAAGTATAGTACAGTCGTGATTTTGGAACTATAGGAGTTAATTGTTATAGTTGTAGTAGTCCAGAGCATTTAGTAGCTAGTTGTCCTATGGTTTAATTTATACCTAATAAATTACAATGTTTTAAAAAATATAATTACAATCCTGGATAATAAAGAACTCATTTTAAAAGAATTTTGAAAGAAAAATACTCTACACTAAGAGATATTGAATTACTAAAAGAGGCAGCAGAAGATATTCAAGAAGAATATGAAGAATTAATGCCTGAAACCAATTCATCTGTTTCGGAACTTTCTTGCATTGAAGATGTTGAAGAAGAAGATGACGATGATGATGAAGAATTTTACAAGCAGACTCCTAGGCATAGAGTGTTTATTACTGATGAAAAATTGTCCTTTTAAAATTAAGTAGCATAAATTTAACATGAAACTGAAAAAGAATCAGATAAAAATCAAGAATTTACTTTGAAAGGAAGTTTAAAAGATTTATCTCCAAAAACACCTTAAACAAGAGGATAGTAAAATAGCTAAAGTTCTTTAAAATCTCCTTCAAATAATGTAATACACGAAGATTCTGGTGAAAGTGATAGTTAATAATCTAACCACAGAATTAGCTTAGATTCTAAAAAAGAAGAGAAGCTAAATACCCCACCATTACTCATAGCTGATAAAAGAATTAAATTTTCTGAATAAGATTTTATATTAGACACATCTAATTCTTCAACCAGCAATGGTGATCGTCGATTATCTACTATCCATTCAAATTTAGAATCATAAACAGAGCCAAACAATTTTAAACAAATGCTAACAAATTAAACTATAAAATAATCAAAATTTAGTCAAAAGCCTAATATAAAATAAAGAAAAAGCGCCATTGATTTTAGAACTTACGATAATAATACAAGTAAAAATTAAAGTGATGAGAAATATAGTAATTATTAAAAACCAAATTATGATATCCTTCACACAGAATCAGATTTAAATTACCGTAAAGAAAGTATGTAGAGCGCAAAAAGCTAAAAATCTCCTAGCGATATAAAAACACTTTTGAGTAATGTTTAATCTTCGAGCCTATTTTAGAGGAGATCTTAGTCTTAAGAAAGTAAGCTGCCTTAGTTAACATTTTCATCTTAGATTGCATAAGCATCTATATAAAAAAAAGAATTTCCTAGAATAGCTTAGCTTAAATAAAGATAATCAATTTCTTCACCTAAAAACCATCCTAATAATTCATAAAACAGTAGTAGTAATAGTAGTAGCTATTATATGAATATAGGAGGTGTGAGTTCTACCCAAATATGTAGCCAATGCTAATGCTAGCTAGATCACTAATAAACTCCTAAAGCGTCTGCTTCAAAAGTTTCATATGATAATATTAATTCTACAAATAAAAACGATAATAGTCATTTACAATACGGTTCTTTATTGGTAAGTAGATCAAGAGCAAGTTCATAAAATAACTCCAATAACTTACCTCATTCTTAAAATTTATATAATAAATCTGCTTTTTAAAATTTCAATTTACCATAGCCTAATTAATAATCCAATATAAATAATATGACTTTTTAGTAATCACATTTAAGTTCTCACAGAAGTAGTATTAGTAGAGGAGTAAATGGTATACAAATACCTTAAAATCATCTTTCTGTTTACTAATAAGCTATGCATTTGATAAGACGCTAAGACTCATTTTCAAGCAGTAATTCACCAAGGAGTAGAAGACATTAATCAACAAGCTCTAGCAAATTCAATAGAGTAGAAATGAATTATAATTTAGATTAGATCACAAAGAAAGTAAATGCCATTTATGATAAACTATATGTCTAAGTTTCTTAAGATAACGAATTATCGATTCTTGAGTTTGATAAATCAAAAGATTATGAAATATATTTTCCTAAATACAACTTAACAAATGTTTTAAAAAAAATCAAAGATAAAAAGAAAAACACTTAAATTAATAAATTTATCTAAGCATTTAACATTTCTCGTGCTTATAATCAATTAGATTAAACGGAAAGGTCTAAATCTAACACTCTAAACGTCCCTTTCCTTGGTCGTAGTGCATCCGAAAATTTCTCAGAAACTTAAGTGAATGGATTTTTGCCAGCATCACCATTGAAAAATAGATCAGCAAGAAGTTCTATTTTTATCCCATAAAATGGATAAGTTGGAAATTAAGTTAGAGGACTTAAACTTAGGCATAGTATCAATTCAGAAGGTCAATGGGAAATTAAAAGTGCTACCTTTCCTAGAAAATCTTATTTTTGATTTCAAGGAATCAATAAATAAATAAATTAATTAATTATTCAATAATAATACTAATTAATGTTTATATTATATAAATAAAATTTAAATTAGTTTATTTCTTTTGGTAAACAAAAATTTTATAAAATTCAAAAAATTGGTTTTAAATTTTTAATTATTAAAAAGAGATTGAAAAATTTTTTAATTAATCATTAATATTTATAAATTAGAACTTAAATAAATATTTTAATAGCCTATTCTAAAATATAAATATCAAAAAACTTAAACTAATTAGGAATTTGTTAAAAAAGGATTATTTACAATTTTAATTACTTAAATTTATTTTTATTATATTTTAAAGTAACTAAGTTTCTTTTAATATGCTTTAAATAAAAAATACTTTCACGAAATAAATAATTAATTAATTAATAAAATATAAAAAAGTAAAAAAAAACTAAATTAAACAAAAAAAAGCAAAATAAATAAATAGGATTGAAAAATGAAATTTATATCTCTTATTTTAATTGTACTAATTGCCTCCAACTCTGTCAATGCTGCTAGTAGCTAAAATAATCTTAGTTCTTGCATTTTAAGCATAAACAGCCCTTGTACTGCTTCAGTTGTTTCCTCTGATCCTCAATGTTCCGCTAATTTAGCTTACTATGGAGTATGTATCGGAGCATGCGGAGTTACTGATAGTATTTCTGACTATTAGAATTGTACTTCTTCATGTAGTAGTAGTGATCCTAATTTGTCAAGCTATGTTTAATCTGTTTAAACATGTATCAGTAAAGCATCTGGTTCACATTTAATAATATCAGTTATTATATTAATTTCTATTTTTATTTTATATTGATATGTTATTTTTGTTTGTATCTATATCATAAAATAAAGTAATTGATGCATGATTATAAACTGAAAGATTTCTTAAAGTATTCTGCGTATTTTACAATATATTTCATTACAAATATTAAATAAATTAAAATGATTGATAAATATGTAAAACTATTGATGCACACTTTGAAAAAGATATATTTAAAAAACAAAATCTAAATTTTTTTAATTACTACTTTTTGATCATCTAAATTGGATAATATTTATTAAACTTCTTAAATTTTGTGTCCTGTCCTCATTTATAAATGAAAGAAAAATCTACAATAAATAGATTGAAAATAAATCTATTAAATTAAAATATATTTAAAAATACTACCAAAATCAGAGTGTATTAAAAATAAAATACTCAATAAAATCAATTTATAATTCTTAATTGTATTTATTTATGAATTCTTACTATAAAAACCATTTTTTCTGTTTCATATTTATTTATTTGTTACTCTTTTTTGTAAATCATGTTTTTAACAACCAATTAATCTAATCATATTAATTTAATGATTTCCTCAAGATCTTTATTTTTTAAAAATATTATGCAAGAAGTTTTCATTATTAAAAAATATAGAATGAAATTTGTAGGATTAAATTATTTTTAATATTTAAGTTGGATTATTATCTTTACTTGCTATTTTAAAATAATTTTAATAACACTTTAAAAATGTGTAAGCTTAGATTTTTTTTATTACAATATTAACTTTATTAATAAAACAACTTTCTTAATCTAAAACCAAGTAAATTTTAATTTCTCACAATTAAATTACTAAAGTGTGATTAAGCTAAATAAATTCTTTTTGCAAAAAAATTTTTTGTAAAAATACATAAAAAATAATTTTAATAGAGTATCATCAACAAAACATTTCCCTTATGATATTTATGTTTAAGTTTATGAAGAAGACATTTAATTGCAAATAGCAATATATGTCTTAAAAACTTAGTATTTTTCAAATAGTTAGACATTTAATTTAAACTTTATAATGAGGTTAATATTCATTTAGAATAAAAGACAAAACATACTTAATTAATCAATTTATTAACTTTTGATTTCTTTTTGAAATTAGTTTATCACCAAATTCAGTTAAGCTAATATAAATCACTAAATAAAACATGAATTCAAGCTACGTCACAATAATAAACTAATAAATTCAAAAAAGCCACAAAAAATTTTAAAAAAATGAAATAGACTCTTTGTATTATCAAAATTGCACCATTTAATTTTTATTAATCCTTAAAATATTAAATTAATTTATATCTATTTATTTTATTCAATATAACAAAAATTATTTTAAAACACTGCTTAGAATAAATGGAAACTTCTTTATTACTTTTAAGTATGTATTACAACTAGAATTTTCAATTTATAACCCATTTTAATTGTCTGTAATAAATAACTGAAAGACTTTGTAAATTTATACCTAAGATTTGGTAGTTACAGTATGGATAACAAAACTTTATTTTTAGAACTAATAAATTCAAACGAATCACTAACTTAAATATCAGATTTTTAATTAAAAAAAAATACTCAGGGTGGAAAAAAAGAATCAAAAAGAGATAGACATCTAAAAATGAAATATATTTTCGTGTTATTGCTTGTGCTTATTGCTAACAGTGCTGTTTATTCTGCATCATCTTGTAGTCCATTACCTGCAACTAATGCTGTAAATTATATGAGTTGTTGTTTTTAAAATGTTCCAAATCCTTGTGCTACTGGTTAAGCTGGTGCTGCTGATCCAAATTGTGCACCTTTTTTAGCAATTTATTCTGCTTGTATAAACACATGTGGTTTCACAAATTCTTTAGCCCAATACTAGACTTGTGCTAAAGCATGTACAGTTACAAGTGGTTAAAGCTTTACTACATACATATAGGGAATCTAATAATGCTTAACAAATGCTACTAGTTGATATAAAACAGTTTGATTAATAAAAATAAAATCAATACTTTTTAATTTATTGATAAAAATAATTTGTAATTTAATGTTGCATATGATTTTTAAAATTTTCATAGATGACAAACATTTCCACAACTTTTATTATTTTTATACCATAAAGTTACAATTTTTGCAATATCCAAATTTGTTTATTTCATTTTATTTTATTTTTCCTTATAAAGATAAATGTCAAAAAACAATGACCTAATAATTTACCTTCTAAAAAAAGCAATTTACATTATTTAAAATTGTATGAACAATTAATGAGACTATAAAATTGTCTTTTGATGAAATAAAAATTTTGAAAATAAAAAGAAATTTTTACTTACAGTCATATTTATATTTTAAAGCCATATAAATACGATACAAAATATGAAATAAATTATTGTCGATTTAATAATTTTTTTAGAATATTTATTAAAAAAATACAATATTAATTGATAAAATCAAAAAAAAAAAAATAAACTTAATCAAATGAAATTTCAAGCAATTTTTATACTAATTTTAATTGGATTATGCTCTATAAAAGCAGATGCTACCACAAGCTCAGTTTCATTTATTAGTAGCTTTATTTCATCATAACCTAATCCTTGTGGTAGTGATGCTAGTTGTGCAGCTAGTATTACTATGTATGCTCTTTGTCTAGGAGCATGTGCAACTGGTAGCACTCTACCTAGTTTCTAATCTTGTGCCTCATCTTGCACAAGTAATAATAGCGCTAGTACTTCTTTTATCAATGCTGTTAATGCTTAAATTGCAAAAGCCACAACTAGTTGATAAATTTTATATAGTTATTTACAAGATTAATGATTCTTAAATTGTTAAATAATAATATATTATTGTATACCTTTAAACATAAAAAAAGTTATATTTCTTCATAAAATTAAGTATTTATTCATATATTTTTTATAATTAAAAGTTAATTATATTTGATGATTATACTATTGTTGTTAAATATGACTATTTTTATTCTTAAACATCTAAATCAGTGTTTAAAATAAATAAAAAACATACTTTTATTTTGAAAACTTTCTTTCAATTTAATTGAATAACAAAAATAAATAACTAAAAAAGTTTATTCACTTTCAATATTTAATATTTATTTTTTATTTCTTTTTGTTTGATAGAATAAAAAAATAATTTATCTTCTTAATTAGTCTTATCATCTTTAAAAAATATTTTCAAATTAATCATTGAAAATATAGTATAAAAAAAATAAAAAATATAATTTTATTTTTCTAAAAGTATTCATTGTAAATAGAAAGCTAATCAAAGCACATAAAAAAACCCAGAAATTTTAGGAAAACACTAGATAGTCTAAAACTTTAGTTAAAATTATACGTTAGGTAGATAGATATAAATAGAAAAATAGATATAATCATTTAAAAATTTTTTTTTTTTTTGAAGAAATTATTTCCCTTTATTATCAAATTTCTAAAGCTGAAAAAAAGTAAAATAAAATTTAAATTTTCTTATATATCAACTTAAAATATGACATAAACACTGATATGTGGGAATGTGCACAAAAACAGATGAATCTTATGCCTAAGAAATCGTAATGCTTTTTGTGCACAGATGAAGTTGTAGATTGTCTTTTCAAAATTTTTTTTATTTTGAATAATGTCTAAGAAAAAAATTAATATGATTTTTCAATATATCATAGTATAAATTACAAAATAAAATTTACTCATATTGTTAATTATTTTTAAATGTATTATAATTTGTCACACATATGTGGTTGCTCTTCGTGCTGCAGGCACAACTTTTATCATCCCTTGCACACAAAATCTTTTTGTTTTTTGCAAAAATGATGCCTTGTGCAGGATTTCAGGAATTTAAAAAAACACTACTGCAAATAATTAAAAAGATAAAAAATTTAAACTCTCTATTAATTAATTGATTATTTATTTAATTTTAGTTAAATTAAAATTTATTCATTACAAAATCTATGATTATTTCTTTTTTATATTTTCTAACTCTTATAAGCATTCTTAATCCTTTGGATTAATTTCTAATTATCTTTAATATGAAATAATTGCTTCATCAATCATACCATTAAGTAAGTAAGCTTTAGCTAAATTGTGATTACAATGTTCATTCTTAGGATTTAGCTCCAAGCATTTTTTAAATTATTCAATACCTTAATCAAATTTTTCTATACAGCAAAAAGCGTAACCTAAACTTCGATAGCAACTATCGAATTATGGGTTTAGCTCTATAGATTTTTAATATGATTTTATAGCCTCGTTATACATTTCTTTTCTTAAAAAGGCATTACCCATATTTTCATAACAACTATCTTTTTTTGGATTGATATTCAGGCATTTTTAAAAAGCACTTATTGCTTCATCCAACATATTTTTTTCTAATAAAGCGTTTCCAAGATTGTAATAGCATGACTCATGTTAAGGATTAAGAATTATGCATTTTTGATAATTTTAAATGGCTTCATCAAACATATTTTTGTTTCTAAAACAAACCCCTAAATTATAGTAGCATTTACTATATTCTGGATTTAAATTTATACAATTTTAATAATGTTTAATTGCTTCTTCAAGCAATCCCTTTCTATCATAAATTACTCCAATATTATAATTGATTTGATCTTAGTTAGGATTTATTTCAAGTGATTTCTTAAAATAATTTAATGCCTCATCATTCATATTTTTTTCAATAAAAATGAAACCTAAATTATTGTAGTAATTGATATTTTTTGGATTAATTTATATGCATCTTAAATTTTTTTCTATGCATTCATCAAACATATTTTTTTAAAAATAAACAGCTCCAATCTTCTATAAACAAGACTCATCGTTTGGGTTTAGATTTAAGCATTTTTTATACCATTTTATGCTTTCATCTAGCTATCCTTTTTATTGATAAACAAGCCCTAAATTGTAGTAAACATCATTATCATCTGCTTCTAACTATGCATACAATTTGTAGGATTCAATAGCTTAATCAAGCATGCCATTCATATGAAATTTCATACCATCAGCCATATGCTATTGTGCTATTATTTCATGTTTTTAATTATTATTTGAATTCATTTTTTTTTTTCTTTATTATTTTTTATTTTTATATTTATTATGCCTTCTTATTAATATAATAAATTCTTCTAGATAATTATTTTTAATTTAATCTAATTACAAATAGATTTTATAAATTGAAGTCAAAAAATTAATAAAGAGTAGTGAGATCAAACAAAATTTTATTTTAAAAAGATTATTATAAATTCTTATTTAAACATGAAATCAGAAACTTTTAGGCATCTTTATTTTTTCTAAATAGTCTAAATAAAAAATTTTATATCAGGAGTAATTAATTCTTCTAGATAATTATTTTTAATTTGATCTATTTAAAAAAGGATTGTATAAATTAAAATCCAAAATTAATAAAGAGTTGTTAGATCAAATCAAATTTTATTTAAATAAATAGAAATAAAATAAAATTTTATATTAATATTAATAAATTTATTTTTTTATCATAAGTATATACCATATTTCCTTTAAATATCAGTAGAAGAAAATTTAATTATTTTTTACAAAGGGAAGTAATTTTTTTTAAGTTTACATCAAATTAAATTTAGATATTTAAAGATAAATTTAAATATTTAATGGTATTTATATTTTAGTATAAAATATTATAATAATCATATTTTTACAATTTTGTTATAAATTATCAATTAAAGAACAAATATTCAAATTTAAAATATTAATAATTTTTTTATTGATTTTCCATTTGTCAAGAAGTTTTTTTTATTCAAATTACTTAAAGATTTTTAAATTTTTAAAAAAAAATTATTTTTTCTAATTAGAAATAAGTTTCAATGTTTCTTCTTAACTTCTTGATCAGGTTGAGTCAAAAATGATCTTCTATTATTTTGATTCTTGTTATTATTTCTTTCAAGTTTTTCTTATAAAAGCTTCTATTTGGATATAATTTCCTCTTTTTCAAGCTTTGAGTATTGTTGGCTACTTTCAGATAACCCATCAAATTCTACAATTTTTTAGTCTTCTCTAGAATAATGAGACATTTAAGATCTAGCCCTTTATTTAGGCCTACTATGAGTTTAATCTGTGTTAACAAATATTTTTATTTGTTTTTATTCGTTATTAATAGGTGATATCGGATCACTGTTGTTATTTTTGTTAGCCTTTAAAGCAGAATTATTAGATTAAGCAGATTATTTATGAGATAAAATACTTGCTGCTTTTTACTCTTCTTATACTTACTACTAAATATTCCTTGATTTTTAAGAAAGGTTTACTTTGCTGTCATTCAAGAGCTATTAACAAGTTATATCTTTTTGTTAAATATTTATTTTATTTGACTATTATTCTTTAGTTTGATTGCTGTAATGAGATGTTTATGAGATGCTTCTTAGCCTTTTGTTTGAAGAAGGAGGTATAATTACATCTCCATTCATATATTCTTTGCTATTTTCTTAGTTATTTAATTTTATATTTACAGAATTTCTGCTATTTTCTTCTTTCTTATCTTAATTACTCATCTATTTTTGAATTATAACAATATTTTATTGGATTTAGTCGCTTTTTACAGATGAACTCTCTTCTTTTTATTGGCTTATTTTTTTATTTATTACATTATTTTAATTTTGTATTATTTAATCCTCTTCTGTTTTGCTTTATTAACTACTTCTTCTCACCTTATTTTACTGATTATTAGACACAAAGCTCTAATTTTACTAAGATCTATTATCTTTGTCTTCATTATCATCATTGCAAATTGATTATTTTTAAATAGATTTTTAATGTTTAAATGATTCAATTTAGTTCTGCGTTTGATCCAGTTAAACCCTTAAATTTTCCTATATTACTTTTTATTGATACTAAAATTCATTATATGCTTTCTCTTAAATGTCAATTTTTTATTTCAACTCTTTGTTACAGCTTTTTTCTTACTCATAGAGCTTTTTAAGATTATCAATATCACTTTTTAGTTTTTCTAGAGACTAAGTATCCATGGCAAGTTTCTTATTTTTTGTGGTAAGATCGTTAATTTTATCTTCAAGTTCTTAAATTCTCTTTGAGTTATCAGTAGCCATCCTTTCAAAATCTTCTTTAGTATATGTAACACTTGCCAAATCTCTTTGTTTTTTTTTTACTGCATCAACTTCTTCTTATAATTATTCATTTTCTTTTCTCAAATTAGCTATTTTATTTTCATAGTATTATTTTTCTATTTCTAAATCTTTTTAAACTTGAGCAGATATTTTTTACTAAGTTTCTTATAAAGCCTATGCATTAGTTCCATTTTTAATGGCCTCTTCTTCTAACTACTTTTATTTCGCCTTGGTTATTTTATATTCTTTGATTAAAATTTAATACTCTCTAGTTATCTTCTCATTTTCAATAGTGAGATCTTTAATTCTATGATCTAATTCTAATTTTAAATTAATATTATCTTCTTTTAGTTTTGAAATATCTCCAACTTTATGTTTTAGCTCATAATATTTTCTTTCAAAATCAGATTTTTATGATTTTAAATTATCAATCTCTTACTATACTAATAAATTAGTAGTCCCATATTCTTCTATTTTCTTTAATTCTTTCATCCTCTTTTACATTTTTCTATTTTACTCCTGTTATTGATCATTTAGCTATTAAGCCTCCTTTAATTTGTACTATAATGAGTGAATTTCTTTTGAAAGTGATTAAACATCAGCATCTGAAACTTTTAAAGCTTTATGTAATTCCTAAATAACCTTCTCCTTCTCGAGCATTTTTAGTTAAAAACCTTCTTTCTCTTTTTAAAGCTCGGACAATGTAGATTGATTTTTTTGCTTTATAAAAATTAAAATATTTTTTATTTTATTAGGCTTTTTCAATCATTAATTAGTAAAATGTTTTTATTTTAAAAATAAATAAAATTTTTTTTAAGGATATTTTTCTGAATTAATTCTAAAATCGAATTTACCTTTTCTTACTAAACAACCTTGAGTTCAAATTCTTGCATCGATTTATTTACATCTTAATTTTTTTACATATATTGCTCAATACATAATTCTAAGGCACAGTACTCTTTGTCAAATGAATTCTTAGAATTTTCATTTGGGCTTTAAAAATAATTAGTAAATAAAAAAAATTTGCTAAACATTTTATTTTACTCTATAAAATAAGCTTCGCTTTCACCAAAGTATTTTATTCTTAACTCTTTAATTTTTTGAATACATCCTAAAAATATTAATCTTTCTTTCTCTAACTCTTCATTTCTTTCTTCTAGAATATCTCTAAGTTTTTCATATCTGGCTTTTATAGAAGTTCCCATAGTCTTCTTCTTGATGGAGTTTTTTTTCTAAATAAATAATAAATGTTAAATAAGAAATAAAAAAATTTTAGTTTACTGCTGTTCCGCCTGGAGAATTTGAATACACTCGAGCAGCTTTCTTAACTGTTGATTCATAATTATCATTCTGTTAGTTATATGACCAATTATTTATTATTTCAAATATTCTTTGCAAATTTATATTACCATTAGTGAATTTCCTCTCTCAGGAGTTATGTCCTACTAAATTTATATATTTATTTGTTGATAAATCAATGAAAATATCATAAAATAAAATTTAATAAATTAAAATCAAATGTTAATAATAAAATAGTCACTTTAATTTGTAAAAAAAGTCTAATGCATTACAAACAATTATTTATTTTATTTAAATTAAAATTAATTTTTTCATGAAAACATTATTTAAATGTATTATATAAATTATTGCTTACGTGAGTATTGTATTTCATAACACTAGACTATTCAAACTCTTCATTATTATTTGTAAGATTGAATTAATTATTCCCTACAGACCTATTTTTATGCCTATTACATAGTTATAATTGAAATATAGCTAAGAAAAACAAAATATTATTTTTGATTAAATATTATACATTAGTAAATAATCCTTTTCACCGCTTCTATTGACTCTATTTTATTATTAAACATATTAAAGCTTATAAATATTTTATATCTCTAAATGTAGAAATTAAGATATTAATCAATTTTACTCATGATTGTAATGAGGTTCAAATGGTAGTTTAGGTGCTTATTTACTTACATAATTACTTTTAGCTCTAGCTCCTCTCCTTTTTAATAATAATAGTTATTATTTTCTTAAAAATTTATTAGATTGTTAGGAAATTATTGTACAAATTTCCATTTAATTTAAAATTAATCAATATTAGATTACAATCCTAAAACTTAGTTGTGCTAATCAGAAATAAAGTTTTGATATTTGTGAACTAATTCTTCTTTTTTTAAGTTATCATGAATTAAGTACATATATGGACTTAATTTCTTATTGTAATTCTATTTAATATATTCAAAGAAAAATATTATAAATTTATTTATTGCTCATTGAATAAAGTCTTCATTAAAATATTGATAGCAAATATTAAAAGAATAAAATCAAAATCAACTTCATGTATACAAAATGGTAAAAATAATTTATTACCTTAGATTTGTTATAAATTGCGCTCATAGTTGCTAGAAAGCAATGATATAAAATAAATATTTATATTAATAGTCTGTTTTTATGTACAATTTGGCCTGTAAAAAAACCTAAATAATAATCCTTATTATAGTTGATTGTATTTGTTTATTCAATTATTTCAATATACTTTTTTTGTTATTAATTTATTAATTAATCTTTGTTTTATTAACCTTGCACAGTTAAGCTAGTTTGTAATATTTGTTGTTTGCGAAATTATGTTTTTAAAATATTTATTTGATTGATATCCAACCAACCAAAATTGTTAGCTTTAGATGTCCATCCAAATAAAAAAAATAATATTTACTTTATTCGCAATAACTATATTTTATTAATTTATTTATTTCTTGTATTTTACTGTATAGGAGCTATTTCATTTTCCAATGTTTTTTATTGAGTTATTCACTTTTATATTCTTCATATTTTGATAGAAAAATCTTAATTGTAAGGGTATCCATGAATATTTCTGTAATTAAATTTTTTTTGTAAAAATTTTTATTTAATCCTTTAGATTTTTTAATATTTTTATTTAAAATAAAATTTATCATTTTAAAATTTCTAAATTAATATTTTATTTTTAAAAAACGTATTAAACTTTTTATTTTACAAAATAAATAATTTAATTTTATTTTTAAAATTTATTCTTCTCTTTAATTAAATTAATAAATAACCCTCATTATTTAATTAATTTATAGATATTATATTTAAATCTAATAAAAGTTACACAATTTTTAATGAATATATATTTAAAAAATTAAAAAATTTTCATTTAGACTTTTTACCAAATATAAAAAAAATAATATTTTTATTGAATTTATTTAAAAAGAAAAGAATATATTTAATTTAAAAAATAATAAAGTTATTAAATTATATTATAAATTTTATTATTGATTATGATTTAAAATATGTAGTTTTAATTTCTTAATTTATTTTTAGTAATATAAAAAGTCTTTTGATAAAAAGAATTAATTATATAAAATTAATCATCAGAAAAAGTAAAACCAGTAAATAATTTTAGTAAAAATACGAAAATAAAATTCATTAATATAAAATAATACTTGGGGTATTTTATTTGCATTAAAAATGATCCTCAAGAGTTATAACCAGCGAAGAATTAATTCTTGTAGTTACATGCCTTATCATTGGATACTTACCATATGAAGAAGCCAGGGATAGTATAGTTAAGTTAATTTTTAGCTTATTTAACAAGCTAACCAAGTTATTTAGGATCAATATAACCTGTATTCATAGCATCAGCAGTTGAAGCGGGTTTACCTAAAACAAGCTTGCTTAAAGGAATGCCATCTAATTGGATTATTTCTTGATATGAAGTACCAAAGAAATATTATCCACTTTAGATAAATAACTTCTAGTAGTTATCATATGTGTTGTCTCCTTAATTGTAGAACTAAATATTGTACCAATTGATTAAATTACCTACTTCTTAATCAATCTTATAATAAGCGCCAGAGGTATAATATTGACGAGAGAAATATGGAGCTTAAGGAGCATGAGTCAAAATCAAATTCTTGTTTGTGAGTTTTTATCTAAGTACCTTAGTGAAAGTGATTAACCATGTTACTCCTGTGCCATCAACAATAGCATTATTATCTTCGTAGTCAATATCTATACCATCTAAATAGGGTAATCCATTCACAAAATTAGCTAAATCAGTAGCTACCTAAGATGGGTCTTTAGTAGTAGGGAAATCTGTGCTACCAAAAGCACTGATAAAAAGCTTCTTTCCTTGGCTAGCAAATTAATTGTGAAGGTATTATTAGACTTCTTAATTATTCTTACCAAATTAATCAGTACCTAAGTAACTGTAGATATTTTGATATAACAATACAGAATCAGCAGGACCAGTTGATAACCAGAAAGAGAGAATTAGGATATCATAACAAGTATTAAACTATTAAATAACAGAAGGACCCCACCAAGCAGTTATAGTATCCATGTAGGCGATACTTAATATCTTACCATTAGTTGTAGTGTTACCTGGAGTAGTGTTATTGTTATTATTAGTACTATTGTTATTATTGTTGTTATTATTATTAGTACTGTTATTGTTGTTATTATTATTATTATTGTTGTTATTGTTATTGTTGTTGTTGTTATTATTGTTGTTGTTGTTATTATTATTGTTGTTATTGTTATTTGTAGAATTAGAACTACCATTATAACCACTTAAGAAATTATTACCGAAATTGCAATTACCGTCGTTCTTCAATTACCATATAAAGAAACCAGGAACATTTAATCCTAAGGTTTTTTATGCTTAACTAACTAGAGAACCTAATTTAGAGGGATCAATATAACCTGTGTTTGATAAATCAGCAGTGGTAGCGGGTTTACCAAGATATAATTTAGAAATAGGAATTCCATCGTTTTTAATGATTTCAGAATAAGAAGTTCCGACAAATGGTGTGCCACTTTAAACAAAAAGTTTTGTTAAAGAATCATATGAGTTGTCTCCTTGGTTATAGAATTACACATTATACCAATTAATAAGATTACCAACTTATTGATCGAGCTTGTAATAACCTCCATCATTATAGTAAGTTCTTGAGAAGTAAGGAGCTTAAGGAGCATGAGTTATAATGTAATTGTTTCCAATTCTAGCTCTAAGTTACTTTTAGAATGCTATCAACCAAGTAATACCTGAACCATTTAAAACAGCAGCATTATCTTCATAATCGATATCAATACCGTCTATATAAGGATTCTATTTGACCCAATCAGCTAAAGAGTTAGCAACTGCTACAGGGTCTTTTGAAGTTGGCATATCGGTAGAGCCAAAAGCAGCAACAAAGAGTTATTTTCCTTTTTAATGGAAAAGGTTGGCTATGTTCTTTTAGACTTCTTAGTTAGATTTACCATATTAGTCAGTTCCAAGATTAGCATAAATATTTTCATATATATTAACAGCATCAGCACTTCCAGTAGTGAGCCAGAAAGAAAGGATGATTACATCGTAACAAGAATTCAAACCAAAACTATTTGTAATAATAGATGGTCCATACCAGCTTACCATTGTATCTACATAGGCAATTTTTTTGAATGTAGATGAATTAGTATTTGTGGAATTACCATTATTATTGTTGTTACTGTTGTTGTTATTATTAGTACTGTTATTATTGCTATTATTATTAGTATTAGTACTATTATTGTTATTGTTATTGTTATTGTTATTGTTATTGTTGTTGTTGTTATTGTTGTTGTTGTTGTTATTATTGTTATTGTTAGAAGGATTACAAGTACAATTGCAAGAGCAAGACCCATTAACTGTGTTGGTAGAAGTCGTCACATTGTTATTGCTATTTTAACTGTTATTGTTGCTGCCATTAGAAGGATTACAAGTACAACTACAAGAGCAAGATCCGTTAACCGAGTTAGTAGAAGTTGTCACATTGTATTAAGCAGTAATAATCTGTGCTAAGATTAAGATTAGTAAAAGGTATTTTTGAACTTTCATTTTTGATGAATTAGTATTTCTTATTTTTTAATTAAGATATTTTTTATAATTTTTTGAATAAAAGTCAATTAGTTTTTGAACAAATTGTAAAATAAAGTAACTTCAGCTTAATTATATTTTTTAAAAGATATTTTAAAAATTCTAGATGAATGTTTATTTAGTTAATGGAGCGTCTTATGTTCAATTGAAATGCTACTGGTAAAAAATTATTCCATTAATTAATAATTCAAGCTTGTATTCTTAATTTATATTAATTAACTCCACCAAAGCAATTAATACTTACAAATTAGGATGGATAAAATTTAATTTATAACCTAAATTAATCTATTTGCTCTAAATTCACTCAATAATATTTGATAAGTACGATAAATATTATTTTTGCAATAATAATAATCTATTTACTATTATTTTAAGTATTAATATTATTTTTAATTTCTAAAATAAATTTTCAATCCAAAATATATTTTATAGCATCCTTAAAGTTAGTAAACTTAAAGATATATTTTAAAAACATACTATTATACAATATATTTATAGTTTAAAAAATAAGATCTTAGAAGGAATCTAATTATCAAGTGATTAATGAACTGATTTTTTAAAAAATTACATACTTTTAGAAAAAATAATGTTATGAGATAATGTCTAAATATTTAATTTTTAATATTATGTGTGTAATTTTGATTCATGCTTTTAATCTATATTTAAGATAAATATAGTGATATTTTTTTATTTAATAAATTCTACTTTAACTTTTTCATAAAAAGCAAAAATAGTGAATAAGAATCAAGAATTTAAAGCTAAAAAATTATTTATTATTAAACAATATTTAATAAAAGTAGATTTTAGCTCAAATTTATAAATGGATTTCAAAAGTATTATGTTTATTAGATACAAACGAAATATATCTTTAATATCTAATAAAAATTTATCAATCATACTTTAATACTCAATAACTTTAAAGTAATCAAATAATAGAATTCATAAGAATCGCTTATTTGATGTATTTTTGAAAGCAATTACATTAAATAAAAGAAGTTACGGCTTAAAATTGCTCTTACTTTTAATGCTAATTAACTTTATTCAAAACCAGCTTTTCGTTGGCTAGCTGATCTCAGTAAAATTTTATCTTTAAATTAAATTCATATATCAAAAAGTAAACTATAATTAATGGTTGGCAAATATATCATTTTTAAATAGGAAAACCTTTAACTCAATCAATATATGAACATTTTTCAATAATTATAAACACGCAAAAGTGTTTTTATTTGAGTCCAATACAACTATACATAAATAAAAAACATAAATTACTAAACCAATTTCTCAAAGATATATTTATAAACTTATTAAGTAAATTAAATCTTTTCATGTCATTTATCTTTTAAATTTACATTTAATATAATAAAATCAATCTTGCTAAAAGATTTAAACAAGTGTTTTTATTAAAATTATACTCGATTGAAAAACTTCATTTTTGATTATAAGAATAACATCAATAAATTTACTAATATATTCATTTTGATCAGATAATAAAGAGTTATACTTACAAATCCAACAAATGCTAATGTTTAACATCAATTATATTTTAACCATACAATTATAATTGATTATTAATTATGCAAATTTTATTTTTTCATTTTTTTGAAGAAAATACCACAAAAATAACCTCAAATTTCTTAAATGTTATTGTGGTAATTTAAGTGCTTATAAATATAAATTAAAATTAAAATAATTAAATTCTGTGATTATTAGCATAAATTAAAATTAAGTAAAATTTTTATTTTTTATCAAATTAAAATGGAGAGGAGATGAAATAAAAATGGGTATATTCAACAAAGAATGGGATATTTTTACAAGTTTGTATATAAAATAATGTAAAACATTATATAATTTTAAATTTTATGTTTATAAATATGTATAATCATCTATGAATACCTTTATTACATTGTCCAAATTTTCATAATGATATATTTAGATTATATTAGTGGAAAATGAACCTTTAATAATAATAAAAGTTAATATCAATTTTCTTCCATAAATTGTTCACAATATATCTGTAAATGAACCAAAAAAAACCAAAAATTCTTGAAGTAAGGATTATAATATAAATTAAATTTATAGGCAATATATAATCTAAATTGTGTAAGTACCTCTATTAAATAAGTAAGATAGCTAATTTTTTTGTAATAAATGATTAAAATAGCTATTTAGCTATTTTTTACACAAAACAAAAACAACAATTTTAATGAGGAAATTTTATTTTTTAATAAAAAAATATATCAGTTTCTTTAATTTTTGACTGTCCTCAATAATGTAGTAGTATATTAAATAAATTAATTAATTTAAAATTTTATGTTTTAAAAACTACAGAATCATTTCTAAAATATATTTTTTATTGTTTGGTTTTTATATCAAATTAAAATTATAGTACTTAGAAACAAAACATAAAATACATATTGTACATACAAATATTATGACTATTATAAATATTATTCAAATATATTTTAAATGCTCTAAAAATAAATAAACAGATATTAAGAGCAAAATTTTTTAAAGAATTTATTATTCTATTTTTAAGAGTGTAATATTTTCATAATTCAAATAGAGAATAAAATAAAATGAATATTCTTTAAAATTTAGAAAATAAAATTTTTTTTGAAAAATTGATAATAAAAATAAATAAATAAAATATTATAATTGTTTTTAATATTTCAGAATAACAGATTTTTGTACAAAAAAAATATTTTCTTAATTATTTTTACCTATTGCTAAATATTACAATTTCTAAAATATAATATTAAAAAATATGCATAAATTAAATATAATCTAAGCACAACTTAAATTCCTCAATTAATATTCAATAAATTTGTTTTTTCTTTTAATTTATATCTTAATTTTGAAAAGGAGTTGGATTTATTGAAAATAATTTATTACTTTTAAAGTGAAAATTTTTAATGTGATTGATTATTATATTTACATTAATTCTTTATTAATTGTTGCAGTATTTTTTAGCAGTTCAGCTTACTAAATTTTATTTTAATAACTATTTATTAGTAAGCTACAAGAATTAGTAAATAATTAATTTTAAAATTCAAAATGACTTTTTAAATTTTTTTGTAATTTTATAATAATTTTTAAATTTTGAATCCTCTTTTTTAAATCTAAAATTTTCTTGAAATATCCTAAATTTTTATAAAATTTCATATTTTAAAACTTTTTATTTAAGGTTAATTTTTAAGATTTTTTAAAAATTCAGTAATGTTATTTTACTGAATTATATTTTTATTTTAATAAATTTTAATTAGTGTTAGTTCCTGTAATCTACAAAAAAGATACTTAAAATTAAATTATGGCAAATATATATTCACGATAAATATACATTTTATATTCGCTAATTGAAATATTAAATTTTTGCAAATAGTATCGATAATATAATAGCATGTAATTAAACTTTGACTATTAATTTATACTGTCAAATTAAAAATTCAATTTTTAGCAAATATCATTTCGTGAATGCTTAATAACATCTTTCTCTATAATTTACATTGATTGTATATGACTTACCATATTATAATAATTTTATATAATTTCATAAATACAATTAATACATACATAAATTAAAAAAATATTTGAGCTCTAAAATTTGAAGAGATGGGTTAGTGCTATTAAAGTTATATATATTAAGAGTTTCATTCAAATTCTTAGTTTCATTGTGAATATATTAAAAAAATTTTTACCTTTTTTAAAGAATTAAAATATGCATACATAGGTAATATCTAAATAAATACACTCGAATTTTCAGAATATTAACATTTTATATTTTATACTATTACAAATTAGAATTCAATATTAACTAATCTCGATTTAAATAAATAAATTATTAGCCTATCTATATATATTTGGATAAAGCTTTTACTATTTATTAATCAAATTACTACTTTAAAAAGTAAAAAATATTCATATTTTAAATAGATTCTTTCATAAAATAATAATGATACATTTTTATTATAATTTAAAAACTTTTTTGAATAATCCTTATTCATTTCATTTATTTATCTTAAATATTTAAATTTATTTAATAATATTTAGCATAAAAGTTAATTTTATAAAAGAATTGAGATGTAACAAAATTGTCAAAGTTCAATACCTAAGTACTTCCTCAGGTGAAACTATCTCAATAGATTCATATACTTTTGGAAAAAATAATGTCTGTTATATTATATTTTAACTTATTTAAAAACAAGTTTTAAAATAGATATTAAATTTAAATGTATTTGTGCTGATTTTTTGATTTTTTTTCGTTAAACTTTTTTAAAATAGTATTTCTTAAAATATAAGAATGTTGCATTCAAAGTGTCTAAATTTAAGTATCAATTATAAAAGAATAATTTTTATAAGCTAATATGTTGAGAAAATCTATAAATTCTTTAATATACTAAATTTGATTATCAAAAAGCAATTCTTCTAAGAATCATTTAAAGATATCAATTAATTTATTAAGATAAATAGTAAAAACTTGTTCATAAAATAAGAAATGAATAAATTAATAATATTGGCAATTGTTTTAGGCTTAACAGTTTCTTAAACCTATAACAGTAATTTGAAATAATACACATTCGATTAATATATCCAAGACTTCAACAAGGGATATTAATATGGATCTTCAGAATACTTCATGAGAAAAGCTATATTTGAATAGAAATTAGCTGAAATCATTGCTTTCAACGAATAAACTAATTAATCATACAAAAAGGGTGTTAACAGATTTACTGACTTAACAGACAGCGAATTCAAGTAAAATAGCTTAGGATACAGCAAAAACATGAGTAATGTTAGAGCTTTCCGTAACTTATCTGTTAAGAATTTGGAAGTTACTGAATAATAATTAAAGGAATTACCCGTTAATGTTGATTGGAGATAAAAAGGAGTTGTTACCCCAGTTAAAGGTATTATTTTATTTACAATTATATAATTCATTTAAAGTTAAATCATATTTTTTTAAACTAATAGATTAAGGTCACTGCGGTTCTTGTTGGGCTTTTGCTTCAACTGCTACTATTGAATCCTATGCAGCCATTAACTCTGGTTAATTGAAAACTTTATCTACTCAATAACTCGTAAGTTGTGTTCCTAACCCTTACTAATGTGGTGGTACTGGTGGTTGCAATGGTGCTATTTCCGAATTAGCATTTAACTATGTCTAATTATACGGTTTAACCTCTGAATTCAAATATCCTTATCAAAGTTATGTATCTGGTGTTACTGGTAACTGTACATTCGATTCAACTTAATAAACCCCTGAAGTAGCTTTAGATGGTTATGTCAAATTATAGGCTAACGACTACGATGCTTTACTTTATGCTCTTGCCAATATTGGTCCTTTGGCTGTTGCTGTAGATGCTAGTCAATGGCGTAATTACCAATCTGGTGTCTTCAACGGATGCAGTTACACAGACAACATTGATGTAAACCACGTTGTAGTCCTTGTTGGTTACGGTACTGATCCTGAATTAGGTGACTATTGGTTGATTAGAAACTCATGGGGTACCAAATTCGGTGAAAATGGTTATATCAGATTAGCTAGAGAATCTAAGGTTACTTGTGGTACTGACTATACTCCTTTAGATGGATAAGCTTGTGCTGGCCAAAATGTCCCTACTAAGGTTTGTGGTTAATGTGGTGTTGCTTATGATGCCGCTTATCCTACAAATGTTAGAGTAATTGGTTGAAGATATACTAATTAATATAAAACTAAAATATTACTTTTATAAATATATTTTTTTATAATTGTTTTAAGCAATAACTTAATAATTGACTTAAATGTTTAAAATAAAAAAATTAAGGATTGAAAAGATATGCATGCATATTTTATTAGTAATTTAATTACTTAATTTAAATTAAAATAAAAATTTTAATTAAATTCTTTTTTAATTTTCCTATTTTTATTCAATGTGTTTTTTTTTATTAATAATTTTCTTTTATTAAACTATTTCTAATAGTAATAATGAGGTAAAAAATTTATTAATAAATCTAAAAAAATATGATGGAAAAAGATTTAAATGAATAGGAATAATAATTTTATTAACAGGATATAAACTTAAACTTTTTAAGGTCAAAAGTAAGCTTCTAAACTTTATAAATATGATAATTTTATATCAGCTTGAATTTTTATCAAATATTAATAAACAAACTAAAATATTAGATAAATAATAAACAACCAACAATAAATATTTTTATGGATTTAATTTAAATTTTAAAATTATTTATTTTAATTTAATTTATAATTAAATAATTAATTGATTTGATGGTAGATTTTTATCTTTAGTAAGGAATTGTAGTTTAAAACATAATTTGATATCTCTAAAAGCAAATAGTTATTTATTTAAACGTTTAGGAATTTTATTTTATTTTATATCTTATACTCCAAAAATTAAGTAATTTGAATAAAAGCTTTAAAATATATAAGTATTTATGACTTAAACTTATAATTTTGATAATACATTTATTTAATTGTAATTTCTCATATTATTTTAAAGGTCATTTTCATTTTCTTAAAACAGTAATCTACTTTTAATCTTTTTGTAATTGATTTTGATAAAAACAAAATTTAAAATAAATGACTTAAAAATACAATTTAGTGTTTATTATTGAGAGCAAATATGTACAACAAAATGCATCTACTTAAAATTATTCGATGAAAAAAAGATGATTACTTATTTTGTTATAGATAATTATGCATATCAAATATCTAAATCTTAGCAACCTTTAAAATAAAATGTACATATTAAAAAAAAATATGTTTAAATATTTTTAAGTGTATGTTGTTTATTTGAATTAATGAAAAGATTAATGTAAATTTAGGTGATAATAATTGTAAAAAAGCTGTATTTTTACTAGATAAATTTTGAGTTACCTTGCCAAACGTATTAAACTGTAATTAGAAAGTCTTTTAATTTATGCAATTTTGTTTGACAATTCAAGTGATAAATAATTTTAAGTAGATTTTTGACTTTAAAAAATAATGAGAAATAATAGAAGCGATGGTAGCATAATGAGTAATACTCTAAACAGAAATGCAAATAGCAATTTAGGGTTATTAAGACCAAGTTCTCGTATTCAATTAAATACAGTAACTTAAACTGAAAACTTGCCCTATAGCAATGGACATCCTATAAGATCTATTAGAGGTAGAATAGAAAACAATAATTTAAATTAGCATCATTCGAGTACAGTGAATACATAAGGCACTAATCGTAGGCTGATTAATAGCGCATTAAGAGAAATATAGTCAGAATAAAATAGTTTTTAATAACCTTCTTCTGTAAATGAGATGCAGCAAGAGAATTTTCTATAACAGGTAAATGATAAGTTGCACCGCAATACCATTTAACAGAGGAGTTAATCCTTACAAAAAATTAAAAATATGAGAGAAAGCCAAGGAGAATCACCTCTCAAAAAGATAACAAGTTGGAATAATAATTAGTAACAAAATGGAACCAATAATAAAAGTTATTCGGCTATTATTAATTAAAATAACAATTATGCTTTGCAAAGAGGGAGCTACAAAGATGCTACAGATATCTTAAAACTGAACAATTCTTAGGTTTACTAGCATATACCTAAATTGTAAGATGTAAGAGAAAGCAATAACAATTTTAAATTAGGCTCTCTTCCTTTAGCAGCAGCATAGAATAATTAGAATGTCCACATAGGAATAAACAGTAATATGATAAACTGCAATCAAATAGAATTTAAATACAACATCGATTAATCCAAAAGATCTAATCGCTCTTATGGAATTATAAAGGCTTATGCAGCCAACACAAATATGGGAATATTTAGAAACTATAATGAAGATAGAGTATCAATAATTTTATCTATTTCTAAACCCTTCAATAAGAATGCTGACTATTGGCCAAAAACATCATTTTTCGCTATTTATGATGGTCATGGAGGATCTAACTGCTCTGATTTCCTGAGAGATAACCTGCATTTATTCGTAAGCATTAAATTTTAATTAAGTATATTAACAACTCACATGTAAAAGAAATAGAGATAGTAATTCACAAACATTCAAAATTATTACAAAAAAATACAAATAGTAGTGTAATTAAAAGCCTACTCCGATAATCAAAAATTAATAAATTATTTAGGTGATTGTATTATTTTATTTTTTTTCAGATTTATCATCTCTAATACTCAAATTAATATATAATTTTGTTTTTTCATTACGTTTGCCAGTTTAAAAAACTAAATTTTAATTATTATATTAATTAGATAGTAAGAGATGAATTCTTCCCAAGTAATCCAACTGAAGCTATTAAGAGAGGAATTCAATTTGCTGAACAGTCTTTCTTGTAGACAGCAGAATCTAATATGGATAGGTCAGGCTCTTGTGCTATAATTGTTATGATATTAGGTAAATTCATTGATTAAAAGTGAATATTAAAAAAAATCAAACAATTTTAAGAAATTTAATACAATAAAACATGATCAAAAATATCTATTTGAATTGAAAAACTTTAATAGAAAATTTAACAATAATTAGTTTCTAAATGTGAGCGAAGTATCATTCTAGCTTTGAAATATATAAATAAATTAATCAAAAATTTGTTAAATAAGTCCTACTAAATTTTTCTAAATTTACTGAAAAAAATAAATAATTCACTATAACAAGTTTTGATATATTTGATTCATTGTAAGCCAAATTTAATACAAAAAAATAGAAATGTATTTTATTGTTTTTGGTCAAACTCAATTCAAAAGAATAAAATAATAGATTAGAAAATAACAATTTATTGTAATAAAAATAAGATGATGTCGCATACACAGTAAATATTGGTGATAGTAGAGCTATCGTGAGTTTGAGAAACGGTCAATCAATAGAAAGTCTTTCAATTGATCACAAACCAGAAGATGAAAGATAACGTATTGAAGCAGCTGGGGGAAAAGTCTATCAGTAAAATATATTAAAATTGAAAATTTAATTTTATTTATTTATTTATTTTTTAAAAATAAAATAGAGCTACTGTAAACACATAAAATCTCATGTTTTAGGGTGTAAAAATAAATCCTCCACACAGGGTATTCCCAGGAAAATTATCAGTAAGTACAAATATTAAATATATATATATATATCTAAATTCTATTAAAATGATTTAGGTATCCAGGACAATAGGAGACTATGAAGCGAAGAGCTAAAAATACGGAGGAAACCCTAAAGTAATAATTAGTGATCCAGACATAGTGGTCACTAAAATTACATAAGATCATGATTTTATTTTATTAGGATGTAAACAAATTATCGATAAAGTTCTAGTATTAAAAAAACTTTTGTATATAAATAGGTGATGGTGTTTTCGACAGGCTAAGCACTTAGGAGGTTGGTAAAATTTTTTGGACCAGCGCATAATAATCTGATTTGACAGATCAAAGCGGTGATGTAGATATTCATAAGCAATGTGGTATTGGAATTGAAGCAGTTATGAGAGAAACTTTTGAAAGAAAAAGTTTAGACAATATTACTTTAGTAGCTATTTCATTTGATGGCTTTGCAAGCGAATTTAGTAAAATTTAAGAAAAAAAATAAAAGGAATAAGCAAACTAACCAAGTAATAATTTACCATAAGCTTAGTTGTTAACTATGCCCCCAGTAAACTAGAATTAGATATCTAACACTTACTCATCTTAAAATACAAGTAGTAGAGTCAAGTAAAAACAGATTCAACGAAACCTAAACAACAATTTGTAAAATTCTAACTCTTAGTAATAAATGCATTTATTCCCAAAAGTTTCTCCTACAAATATGGTATAGACAAATCCCAACTATAATACAGATCCTCTAAATACCAATACAATTAATAATGATCAGTAACAATAATTAGTATCACCATAAAAGCACAGATTCAATACACTTCAAAGTGAAGCAAATTTAACACCCTATACTAACGGTTACTTGTCAACTTAAAATTATTAGTATCCACAATCACACTAAAACAATTACAATAATCTATAAATTTACAACCATAAAATGACATAAAATTATGGTAATAGCAGTAGCTAAACAAATATTGCTTCTATAAACCAGAATTAATAGTATTAAAATGATTAGAATGGTTTTTATAGTGATATTGCTCCATTGCAAGAGAGTAAAAATAGCCAAAATAATCTTTAAAGTAACTCTTTAAACACAAGGCTTACTTAAAATAAATAAGATTTTGAAAATAGTTATTTCCATAAAAAGAATAGATTAAGTACACCGTCAACAATTAGAAAATACTCTAATTTGTAAACATCAATTTCAAATACATCTAACACTTAGCTTCAAATTGAAAATAGTAGGCTTGCTTTGTAATCAAATTAATCCCTTTAAACATTGAAAGCATTATAAAATGAAAAAATATTTTAGCAGCTTCAATAAATATAACAACAACAAAAAATGATATAAGCAAAAAAAAAGTGAAAACAATGTGTAAATGATTATTTTGATATATTTTTATCGATATTAACTTCAAGCAAGCAAAGATGATATTATTAAACATAAAATAAATAATATTCAAAAAAATAATAACTTAAAATTCTATAAAATTTTCGATATAAAAAGTGCCTTTAACCCTACCTATCATATATACAATTATTACTATTAAAATAACCTTGCTGAATATTAAAAGTATGTTTAGATACACTTACTAAAATTTAGAAAAATATTAATAAATAAGAGTACGTACTAATAATTATTTATTAAATACTAATATAATAACAATTATTTAATCAATTTAATCACATCAATCAATTAATAAAAAAAAATCATATTTATAAAAATAATAAATAATTATAATTAATTAATTATAAGTAAATGTATATTTATTATATAAATATTCAATTGTTTCTTTACTAATAATTCACAACTAAATACTTAAAGAAAATTCATTTTTCAAATTACAAAACACCTTAATAGCTTTAAATAATTAAGTTACTTAAAAAATTTATTTTCTAAAATTTTTCAATTTATTTTTTGTTTTTCCTATTCTTATTTATTTTAATATACAATAAATGCAAATAATAAAAATTATATTGATTTATAATAGTGCATTTATTAAACTCAATAGTTTAAGAATGATTTTAGAAAAATATAAATAAGAGCATTTAAATACCCATCATTAATTATTTATGAAAAATCACAAACTGTAATCAGTTTGTTAAATTGAATCAAATCATTCATCTAATAAAAATAATACATAATTTAATTGTATTCAGTTAATTATTTATAAGTTTGTATGTATATTGTAGAAATGTTTTATCTTTTCATATTAAGAATTAAAAATCATTTAATGTATTTTTAAAATATGTTCTTTCAAATATAAAGCCTTATTAACTTTTTAATTAATATAAATCTATTCTTATTCTTATAGTCATAAAATCAATAAACTAATTTTTTTTATAATTTTCTAAATATCTATCACACATATTGTTTGCATTCTCAATATACTTTTCTTATCTTTTCCTATTCTATTTTTTCATTTTCTAATTTACTTTTATCCATTATTCGATAGTATAAATTTCAAGTTTTTTGTACCATTAAAGTTAATTTTAAGATATAATGTAAATAATTGTCAAATTTAGAAAGTAAATTCTATTTTTACCATTTTTTTTACTAAAAATGATACCTATTTTAAATTAATAATCTAATAATTTATTCATACTAAATATAAATTACATAAATAAACATCACTCTTTGTTAGGATTTCTTTTAGGATAAGTTATTTTATGGTTATTTTAATTTTAATCAGAAATAAACTACTTCACCTATCCTTTCATAGCTACATATTCATTTTTAGTGTTATTTATTTCAATATTTGTCTTTTATCTTTCCTGTCTTGATTGATCTAGCTTTACTTTTAATCTTTTGATGATTTATAATTCATTATTTTATTCTATTTGAGTAAGCAATTCTTGCTAGCTATACTTAATAGTTTTAACTTATTTGCCACTTTTTTCTTTGCCACTTCCCATCATTCTTTGTAAATTTACTGTATTTGTGATTTCGTCTTCCATGATTATTTATAGCTGAATCTAAAAAATTTATATTTATTTGTACTTGCTTCTATCAAAATAATATAACTTTATTTTTTGGCTTATTGTCAATTTTTTTTTACAAAATTAAATTAAAAACAGGCAATTTGTTAAAAACAAAATGAATGGTGACTCTTAATAATTGATTTAAAGTAATTATAATTTTTAATTTTAATATTAATTCATAACACAATTATATTAAAATGGTTTTTTTGGATATAAAAATGTATAAAAGTCATTATCGAGTCAACAAATTTTCATAAATTTCAACTTTTAGTTTTGTTCTAAAATAAAAAAGCAATTCGTCTTTATTGTTTTAGAAATTTAATTGTTTGAAATATAATAAGTGTTTATAAGATAATATTGAGGTAAAAATGAATGAATTTTTAAAAGAAGCTAAGTGGAAGATAATAATAAGTTAGTTACAAACAAAGAATGATTATGAATGCTATTACTGGATGTGATGTGATTAATTGATTTTTAATATAAATAAAATTTGTAAATGAATGAATCAGTGAATTATCTAGATATCTATTTTTTTTATCTGAAGTGAATAGATAAATAGGAGATGCACAATAAAGTATAGTTTTATGAACTAAAAGCCTTGTCAATTTATTAATTAGTACTCATAGTATATGGTTACAAAGAGATATTTGCAACGAGTAAGAGAATGATATATTTATTAATTCATCAATCAATCAATCACTAGCTATCTAGGTAGGTGATGTTTATTTATTTATTTACTTATAGTCTTTTTAGTATCATTGAGCAAGTGTTTATTTATTTATTACTTCCATACCCAGTTTATATTAACAATATATTATTTATTATTAGATAAAATAAGTTATTGAGAAACCTCTTCAGCCTTTGATTCAGAAAATTTATATAAGGTGATATTCTCAAAAAGCCAAAAAGGTCTCTTCATTCAACTCACTCTTCCTTAGATTTTTTTTTCTTCTTCTTCTTTTCAACTTGTTCTTCAGCAACTTCTTCTTCTAATTCTTAGAGTTCAACGGAAGCTTTCTTTTTTTTCTTCTTCTTCTTTTCAACTTCTTCAACTTCCTCTTCTAATTCTTAGATTTCAACTGAAGCTTTCTTTTTTTTCTTCTTATCCTTTTTACTCTTTTTCTTTAATTGTTCTTCGCTTTCAACATACAAATTTTCTTGTTTTAATTCTTCTAAGACTTCTTGCATAGCGTCGATGTTTTTAGCAGATTCACCACCACTGGTCAAGAATTTTAATCTATCTTCAACTTAAGTTTTCATTCTTTCACCGAATCTGTTGGTGGGCTGTTCATATTAAATGGAAAAATTAATATAAATTTATATTTAGTTTTGTTTTTTTATTATTTGTATTTATTAAATTCTTACGTTAACCAAGAAGTAATCAAGTCTGGCAGCCATAGAACATTTATTAGCAAGATATCTAGAAACTTTACCTTTGTTTTTACCATCAGCCTTACCAATGAAAGTTGAGTGGAACAACAAACCGTATTTAGGAGTATTGGCCTTCTTCTTGAGAGCTTAGAACAAAGCCTTTTCAGCACCAAGAATTTAGACAGTGGAAGCGGGGTATTTAACTAAGTTAGAGAGACCACCAGCGTGAGAAATAAGCTTGGCACCAACACCTTCACCAATCAAAGAGGTCAAGTTAGGAGCGACGGCGTCCATTTTGCTCTTCAAATAAGATTAGATACCTTTTCTGAAGTCGATTAACTTGATGATTTTACCGCATAATTCCTTTAAGCAAGTCTATATTTATAAATAAAATTTTTAGTTGAAGAAATTTAGTTTAAAAATAAATTAATTACGTTATCCATTTCGGAAAGATCTTGACCAGCAGAAGTTTTAGCAGCATCGATAACCTATTAGGAGATATCAGCATCGATAACAATTTCTTCAACCTTTTCAAGCATATCTTGAGTAGCATTGGTTTTGGGTCCAAATAAATCGACTAAACGAGTGTAGACTTCGTTATCAGTGACGATCTTGGCAAGTTCGGGGAAGTGCCATCCGTACCATTCCTTAATTCTCATGCACAAAGTATTAACATCCTTATCTAATTATTCTAAGACTGCAATACAATTGATGATAGGCTTATCTTGTCTCTTGACATCGAATTAGATTCTATTTCTGGACCAGCTGTGAGCCAAACCCAATTGAGCTTTAATCAAATCTTCTTCCTTGAAGTCTAGTAGAATTAAAATTTTATTTAGTATGTTTGGTTGGATTTATAAGAAATAAAAATCAAATGTATTCAGAATTAAAATAAAATTGTTGCTCTTTCTTACAATAATAATAAAATATTAACACAACATTTTTAATATCCATTTATTTGAAGATTTCTACCTGGAATTTGAAATCAATTATTTTTCTCAAAATTTCAATAAAATAGAACTATGCATTATGTCTATCTATAAATATATCTATTTATCTAAATTTTTATCTAATTCACTCTTTTTTTAACTTTGAAATAAATATCTAAAATTTATTTGCAGCTAATATTATTGCGTATCAAGAATTATTTATCTAAAAATGATATTTCTAACTTATTTTATTTATTATTTTTCCCCTTTGTGATTTACTGAATACATTGATTATAATTTTAAGTTGATATGTTTACTTTCGTTCTTTAAGAAATTGACAAGGTGCATACGAATGCCTCTGAATAATTCGAAAACAATATCACCAGTGATAGTTTCGTATTGTAATTGGTCATTCATCTTTTAGGCTAATTTACTGTCCAAAACACCAATTTGAATTTTACCCTTCTTCTTTGATTTAGGGATATTTTCTTCAATGAAGTTTTTAAGATCTTCAGTCAATTCACCACAACCAACATTTTAAGCAGCATCTCTAGCAGAATCAGCACTGAGGAAAGGGTGGAAAGCCTATTTAATAAATAACAATTTAATATCAATTTGAATATGTTTTAAAAATTGTTTTAAAATCAAAGAAAATCCGTAATTTGCTATTGTAAATTTTAGCGCAAGTCATATTAAGATTTAATTTTGATCAAACTCTCAATGGTTGAATTTTCTCATATAATTTAATTCATCTAGATTTTTTTGGATTAACCCATATACTAGGATGTGACTTATTACTACAGATATAATGATTTTAAACAATGAATGCAGAATAGAAGGTTTTTTACCTTAAGTTGGCACATTTAGGAGAAGGAGGAGAAATCGATAATCTATTTTTAGATTTATTTAACCTTAGCTTGGGCTTCATCGAATTCCTTAACTTCGAATAAGGAAAATCCGACGGCATTATCGTGGATTAAGTATAACACCATTTGAAGTATACTATATATTTATTATATTTGTTTTTATCTGTGTTTTTAAGTATTAATATTTTGCCTATTTTATTAATTATTGCGTTTGCAATTAATATTAACTTTTTTAGCTTTAATTTTGTTTTTTATTCTTATATCAATTATTTTAGTCTCCTTTTATTCACAAGCAAACTAAAATAAAGCAAGTAGCAATTAAATACCTATAAAACAATCATTATGAGCAAAAAAATTTTTCAATGCATATTGATTCCATATTTCTTTACACAGCTTTATTTATTAATTTATTTTATTGCATTATAATTTATATTCATTATATTTTATTTATTTCTATTTATTCGTTGAAATTATTATTATTATATCTTTTCCATTTTATTATCTCTATTTCTACATATTCATCCATATTTAAATTATTTGAATGTATCCAAGTAGAAGATTTTAACGCTCTATTCAAATCATCTTATTAAAATCCATTTATTTATTTATTTATTTTTTTTAATTAATAAAATGCTGAAAAAATTCAAAATGATTTAATAAAAAAATATTTTAAATTAAATTAATTTTTTATTTCAAAAAATAAATTAAAAATAATAAAATTAAAATGAAATAAATTTATTATAAAAAAAACAACATAAATTATTCAATTAAATAGCTAATTACACGTGATATATGGATTGTATATTTTTTTATTTATTTATTTGTTTGATTGTTTGCTTGTTTATGACTATTTGTCTGACAAATGTTCATCATAAATATTTCCTTCAAAATACATGATTATTAAGATAATGAATGTTAAAAAAAGTATTATTGATATAATTAAATAGGGATTTTATAATTGTATTGATTTACATTTAATTGCATTTATCCTTTTTAGAACAATAAAAAAGATATAATTTCTTATAAAATCTTTAAATAAAAGAAAAATAATTACATATTAGCTTTTTCTTCAAAAAATTCACTAAAAAACGTTTTTGTCAGGAAAGGATTTAGATAAAGCAATATAATTAGAAGAATACTGAACCAATATAATGAATTTAAAGCTATTATTAATTTCTGTTTTCTGCATCATTTCAGTTGTCTTATGCGGAGTACGATTTTAATTATTATTTTCTTTTTTCATAAGAATAATTATTTAGCAAAAACACATTAAGCATCCTAATATGAATTAAATTTTTAATAAAGCACATTGAAACTGGTAAAGCTAAATCAGAAGCTTTAAGGGAACTTGCTAGTAAATCTCCTAATGGAATTATTCACTTTAATTCAACTGGTTATAGGTAATTGATGATTTCATAATAAAAGAAGTTTTAATGAAAATTTTTACAAAAATAGATACTTTTTACTTGAGTAGCCAAGACCTTATGAAGTTGTTTTGTTTTTCACAGCTCCTAAATGCGATTTCTGCGAGTAATTTATAAAATTTATGAATTAAATAAAAATGTTGATTTCAATACATTTCATTTGAGCTAAATAAATTGAAATACTTAAAATATTTAGTAAAGATATCAACAAAGTTATATATATGTCAGTTTAATCCTTTTATTAAAGGATTTTTAAAAGGCACCAATAAAATTTAATTTTTTGAAAATTAAAGGTAAATGCTCACTCAATACGAATTAACCTCTAATTATTATTATGCAAATAATGGACATATTCCCTTCAAGGATAGCTCCAAAAAGCTTAGAGCAGTCTACTTTGGTATGATGAGTTTCGATTAAAACACAAGAGAAACTTTCTTAGATGTAAAATTTTTTATAAAAAATATCAAATTTATTTATTTATTTGTTTAAAAATAGCTTGAATTCAAGTCAGTTCCTAATCTCCTTGTCTCAGTTCCTTAACATGCATTAGTCTCTGATTAAGAAAGGTAACTATAAGCTATTAACTAATAAAAAATATATAGGTAATTAATGATTAAATATCTTATAATAGAAATAATTTCTTAAAGGGATTCAAGTGGTCTATCAGTGGTTCTGATGGTTTAGTTACTCACCACAAGTTGTTAGAATACATCAATAAGCGTACTGGAAGAGAAGTGAATAATTTTTGCATTATTATTAATTACTCAAAAGAAATAAATATATAAATGAAAAGATTGAATACTAACCTCCTATTCATGAAGTTTTGAGAAACTTAGGTATTTTGTTGATTTTGATTATATTGACCATCGTTGTTTTCAGACTCTATAAATCATTCTTCTTGAACACTAAGCTTTGGTTTGTTGGCTCAATAGTAAAATTATTTATAAAAATAAATAAATAAATAAATTATAATTATTTCTTTTTTTAATTTAAGGTGATCTACTTTGTTTGCATAGCAGGATTTATTTATAATTAAATCCACGGTGTTCCAATGACTGTAAAATTAAAACGTTTATCTTATAATTTTGGATTTTAAAAATATCTTTTTATCAAAAGACTGTTGACAGTAAGGGAAATTTCTAATGGATGTTAGATAACTAAAGAATGTAGCTTGGAGCTGAAGGATTTGTTATGTCTGGATTAAGTAATTCGATTGTTAAAAAAGAAATATTTCTTCTTAAAATTTTCTAAATTTAATTAAAATAGTTATCCTCTCTGCTTTAACAATTATTTCTTACTAGTTAATTGCTAGATTAAATTAAAAAAATATTGTTAACTAGTTGCTCCTTATTGCAATTTTCGGTACTACTTTCATAATTGTTATCAAAATAGAAGAGCTATATAAATTTAAAGGATGGTATAATATCAACTTCTTCCCTCCTGATCACTACAATAGAGGGTAAAATATTGATTTAATTATTTATAGTAATGATTTTTTATAAATTATCAAAGACCTATTATGAAAGATCAAGGTAACAGCATTTGAAGCAGATAATAAATTTAATATTGTTAACAAATTATTTAAGTTATAAATAAATAAATTATTTGTTTTTTGTAATCAAACTTTTATGAGTTATTTCTATTCCATCAATAAATTAAATATAAAATAATACGTTTTAAAATATAGCAAAGATAAATATTAAAAACAAAAGAACTTAAAATATACTCAATAATTTCATTAATTTCTTTTTAAGTTATTTATGATTAAGAAAAACTGATTTAATAACACCTTTTTGATATATTACTCAAATTAATATTAGTTTTATTTTTATGATTAATGACTAGAACTTTAAATTTAAAAATTCTCTTTCAACACATTTTAAATTAAGAATTTATAAAAAAAATATAAAATTTCAATAGAAGAACTAACAAATAGGAGAAATGAATTCAAAAATATAGATTATATGATAAGTATATTAATTATTGTATGTTAATTAAGAATGTATTTATTACTAAATATAATTAATTACTCAATAGATTTCTGACTAATCAATTTAATTATTAAAATAGCATAAAAAGAATCCAATAATTATAAATTTATTATTAAAAATAATTTAATGTCAATAAATTAATACATATTTGATGCTTAACAATTTTAAACTGTAAAATAAAATAATTTAAAATTTACAAATAAAAATTTATATTTTAATGCATTTATTTATTTATTTTTATTAGTAATAATTTTTCATAAAATTTATTTTTTATAATGAAGTTGGATTTTTTTTCATTTTGTTTCAGTAGGGATTATAAGATGAAGGATCAGGGAATTAAACTTCTAAACTTCTTTTGAATAAATATTCAGCCTATTATTTAAATTAATTTTAATTAGAGCTTTTAATTGAAACTTTAATTTAATTTAATTACTAATTGATCAACTGGATCTTCTGGATGAGTTTTACATAATTCAATTAAACCTTCTGTTAAGAAAGGAACAACATTGTCTGCTAAATATTGACTTTAATAAAAAGAAATAAATATTTTTTTTTGTTAAATGTAGTAAATATTACCGTAAAGATTGAGATCTTTCATCTAATTTATCTCTCTCCTAATTTTTAATTTTTTCCATTTTTAATCTGTAATCTTCTTCTTAAAGTCTTCTTTATTCTTCTTCTTTTTCATTTCTTGCTTATTCCTCAGCTTACTCTCTTTTTCTTTATTCTTCAAGCTATTCGTTGAGATCTTACTCTCTTTCTATTTCTTAAACATCGTCATGAATTTGATAGTTCTTAAAATTACCATTCTATATTGAAAATATTAAAATACATTAATTTCAAAAAAGTATAATTTAAATAGCAAGCATTATTTAATTAATTTATTTTTACTCTTTCAATAAAAGAACGGAGATTATCAAATGGCTCGTTATCGTGATTTTAAGAATTTATAATTAAGGGATCTATTTAGTTTTATTTGAAGAAGTCAAATAAGATAGGTTCTCCAGTATTCTATTCATTGTGTTTTCTATAATCAGCTAGTCTTCTGTTCATCCCTTCCTCATTATAATGAGTTCCTGCTACCTTTTCTTCAGGGAGTTCTTTAACTCTTTACTTTAAAAATTCGTCAGATGCTTAAAAGAATACTACACTTTCTGGTATTAATGTATCATCGATTATTTTCTCTGCATTTTCATTATCTTCCTCGCCATCTGCTAATTTAGATTCTTTTAAATTTAAAAAAAATAATTTTTTATCTCTTCTAAGTAGCTTTATTTAGATTACTTAAGAAAACTCCTTGTGCTTATGCAAAAGTTTTGGGATATCCATCAAGGACATAACCTCTATTTTAACAATCTGTTTACTTTAAACGCCATTGGAATGCTTAAAACAGCATGGTATCAGGAAGTCTAATTACAACTGCGTTTTCATCAAAAACAGGAACAGGTTCACCTTTTAATACGTTAATAAATATTATTTAACATATGTAAAGAAAGATGTTTATTTGAAATTTATTTTTTACCTTTTTTGGGTTTTTTCTTTTTCAATTCAGCTTCAAAAACTGTTCTGGCAGCATCCACTTATGTTTACTTTAAGTTTTCAAATTCTTCTTTAGCAGCTTCATTAACTTTCAAAAATTATTCAACTACATGTTTGATAAGGATATGAGGTATATTGTAGTGTTTGGCTAATCTAAATTTATTTTAAATATTGAATTTTTTATAACAATTTTTATAAATTTATAAATAAAAATATACTTTTCACCATAATATGTCTTGCCAGAAGCAGGAGGGCCAGCTAAGAAAATACGATTAGGCTTGAGTCCATTAAAATCGTTGAATTCTTTGTTAAGCTTGGCAATATTTTAGATTAAACCTTCTTTACAGTGCCATTCTGGTCCCTTAGGAGGTTTATCAACTCCATCTTATTCATCATCTTCTTACTATTGTTCTTCTTCTTCAGCTGTAAGATCAAACACTCTAGAAGGGCGCAATCTAACATCAAGAGAGAATATATCAAAATTATTATTACTTAGAGCAGCTTAAGCAAGATCAATATGCTTGACTTTGCCAGTACCTAATCCTTTGCTTATTGCTTGGACTAAACTTAATTGAGTTGGTTTTTAATTATGATCGATAGCAAAGATATAGCTTTAATTTGGTGGTTTATCAACAATTTTCTTGGCAAACATTGCTAAATCTCTAACGTGAATAGTAGGAATTCTATTTTTGCCATCTCCAACAACTATTAATTCTTCTGGGTCCTACAACCAAGCACTCTATTTTTTTATAAAAAATTTTTAATTTTAGAAAATTGATAGATATTATTATTTCTAATTCATTAAAATATAACATTCATTTTTAAATTTTAAATATAAAAATAAGTAATTTCTTAAAAATTTTAATATCATTAAGTATACAATTTCTTTCTTTATTAATTATACTTAAATTAACATATTTTGCTATTTATTTTATTTAAATTTAAGAATTTAATTTAGAAAGCTTAAAGTTAAACTTTAGTAAACCTTCACCATTAACTTTAATTAATTTAAATAGATAAACTCAATAAATAATATCAGATAAAGTTTTAATTTTCACCATAGAACTAGGTATTAATTATTTTTTATCATAAACTTCTCCTATTTTATCTTAAATTGTTTTTTTTTTACATTTATAACTTCCTATTACTATAAATTCTATGTTTACATAATTAATTTTCTTTGATGATTAAGAAAAGCACTTTGTAAATAAAAGAACTTTATTATTTTTAAAAATTTATTTTAATTACCTAGAAATGATCATAGAAAACTTATTCACCATTACCATACTGAATACCAGAACAGAGTACATAAGATCTCAAATTTTATTTAGCATTTCCTGCAGCAATACACATAGTTTCCAATGATTTTAATACTTCATATTTTGGAAGAGGCTTTCTTTAAGTGTATTCTTTTTCAGTGTATCTTAAATAAACTTTCTGTTATAATTTTGAAAATAGAATTGAATTTTTTATTATTTCATTTAATTTTATTAGGATATAATATCATTAATTGTATTTATATAATTATTATTTTTATCAATATTATTTCTAAAGAAGTTACCTTTTGTACTTCTTCATCATCACCACCAGCATTCTATGCTTCGTCTTCATTATCGCTTTAAGGTTCTTCAAGTCCATCCTCTTCTCTTATTTCGTCATTTTCTTTCTGTTAAATTACGATTAAATTTATTAACAAACGCTTTTTGAATTTCATCTTTGTGATTTATGTTTCTAATTAAAAAAATATTAATCTATCTATCTGATTATTTACCTTTTCTCTTAAGGGAGTATTAGACCAAACCATTACACTAGAAATAAAAATGAGAATTTTCTCGTCCTTGTATTCACCCATTTTAAGTGCTATTTTAATAATAATTTTATTTATAACTTTGATATCGCTAAAAAATAGTACTTTTAATTGCAAATTCTGCTTCTTCTAAATCACAAGAATTCAAATCATATATTATAACATCTGAATCAAGAATAACTTTAGACAGAAATGTCAACTTCGAGGTCTATATTAATAATTTTAAAATAATTTATTATTTAATTAAAATTCTAAATTAGCAATTTATGATTTTATAAAATTACGTCTATCACTCTAAAGACACCTCTAGGTACATCGCTTTAATCATGAGGAGAGAGTGAACCAACTATAAAATGAGGATTTTCATCATTTATATGATCATTTCTAAGTGATTCAACTAATGCTTAGCCAACTAAAGTATTTAAAGAGCTTATAAAAAATCTCTTTTATACTAAAGGCTCCTTCTTTTAAGCTGTTTTCCTTGTTGTAACTGATTCAGTCATCTAATTGGACAAATCTTATAAAAATTTAGAAATTTTACTTTTGCTTTTTTAACTTAAACTAATTAATGTTTTACAAATGATACACTTTTTTATTAAAAAATAAATAGATTTAGAAAATAATCAAGCAATTATGCATATCAAATTCTTGTATTTTACATAAGCAGAAAGCAATACTTTTGTTTTTGTTAAGAGTTTATTTATTTATTAATTTTCATTTTCATTTTGAAATTATATTACAGTTTTAAAAATATTTGTTGACATTTTTAATCATTCATTTTGAATTTAACTTTTTTTACATAATAAATATGTTTAATTTTTTATTTTATAAAAATAATTATTTGTATTTTTTATAATAATTTATACTAAGTTTAAATTTTATACATAAAAATTATTTTTTTCTTGAGATAAACTTTAAATTTTCTATGAATTTAATAATAAAAGTAAATAAAAAAAATATTTAAACATAAAATTTATAGATTTTGACTAAAAAAATATTCATTATTTTTGTTTTAGTTTATGAAATTTTTAAAACTATAATCATAACATTTATTGGGCAAAAATTATAAAGAATTAAATTGCATAACATCTAACTAGTAAATAAACTTTTTATTTCCAAATATTACAAATTTAAATTTGTTTTGGTTAATTTTATTAGTTATTTCTTGTTAAAAATTAATCTTAACTTTTGGATAGTAAAATACATAATGGTTAAGATGTTTTGAAAGCATACAAACAATATATATTTCTTTTTAATTTTATAATTTTCAACTTAATTAAATTAAACATACATTAAAATAAATTTATCATTTGCAATTATTTATTTAATATCTTTCCTTAAAATTTATTTCAAATTTAAATAAATTCTGCATTTAAAAAGTGAAATAATTATCATAAGTAAAATTTAAAAACTATTTAATAGAGAAAAATAATATAGAAATTCAGTCATATTTATTGAAGAAAGTAGAAATTTGTTAAATTTTGCAAAATCTTTTTTCTGTATTTTATATATTTTTTGATTTTTAATTTAGATCAAAAATAAATTTTTTGATTAATTCAGATTTTTTCATAATTGTGCAAAGATTTGAAATTTATATATATATTTTTAAAGATTGAAGATAAAATCAAAAAGTTAAATAATTTATAACAGATATAATGTGGTAGATAAATAGAAAGAAAGGTAGAGAGAGAGCGACCTTATAATAGTGAAAACGATTAACTTAAGTGAACAAAACAAATAATGAATTTTAAATGCTACAGATATAATACATTTTTAAAAATTGCAAAATAATCATTTGATAGTGAATTATTTGCTAATTGAATGATTGATAGATAGTTTAATTTATTTATAAAAGAGAATAATCTAATTTATTATTATTTTATTTAGATAATTGTATATTTATTTATTGATTTAATAAAAGCTTTCCAATCTACACATCCAATAAAAATAGAATTTAGCTAATTGCAATTGTTTTTATCATTTCAGGACTGAATTTCGCATTTAAATTTTCATATTTTAGTTATGAATGCTTGTTGATTTGGAAAAAGTAGAAGATTATAAGCTAATATTATTATTTATTATTGGTTATTTTGCTCTTTTTTTATTTATTTATTAATTTAGCAAGTATGAGTGCATGAATAAGGATGGATGGATTGATGTTTGTTTTAATTCACTTAAATTAAGCAATTTTAATTACTATTATATTTTTATAATTTATTTATTATTATTAATTGCCTTTTCTGTCAGCTAAATAAATTGTTTCTAATTCAATCAGAAAGTTCATTACTTTCTTCGTCCATACCATCATTTTTAGGGACTTATTTATTCTTTTTAGCCTTTAAGCTGGCTGCTAAATTTTGCTTAACTAATTCTTGGTGCTTTTCTTTAAGTTGTTCTTCAATGGTATGCTTAACTGGACCTTCAGGGATAAGAGTAGCATGCTTTTCAAGGTCTTTCTTAATTTATTGTTATTTAACTCTTCTTGAAAGTTTTAATCTATTTTCCTTAAATATTTCTTCTCTAGTTTATTTAATCTTTTCAATTCTCTTCATGGCTCTGATTGTGTTAACATATAACTCACGATTGTATTTAACGGGCTCGTTTCTCTTCTTTTCGAAGTCAAAAACGGAGTCTTTGAGCATTTCCTTACCTATTATAATACAAAATATTTTTATTTACTATGATTATTCATTTCCTTTTAACTTAAATGTAATTTTGTAGTGATTAAAAATTTATATGATTAAAGATAAATTTAATTTGATTAAATTTCTCCTTTTTGTTTTGCAGCATTTTGGTTATTAGCTTTATATTTCTTTTTAATCCTACAATAATTTACAACAATCAGCCATTATTAAAATTGTTTCTAAGCTCGATTATAATTCAAGCCAAGCTCAACAAACTAAAATAATGAAATTGTTTATAAATTAATAAATAAATAGTTAGTCATACCATGAGCCTTTCTGTAAGCCTTTGTCCATTTCATCTTTCTAGGATTGTGTTTGGCCTTGAAATGTCTATGGCACTTTGATCTGCAGAATCTAAAGACCTATAAAATTATTAAAAAGCATGAATTAGTTAAGCAAGCAATAATAAGGTGACAAATGTGTGTGTGTATTATATAGAAGTAAATATGATTAGTAGTAGGCAAGAGGTAAATTAGTAGGATAAAATAGAATTTTAATGAAGGAAATGCAGATAACTTTAATTATTTGTATTGCTCTTGCCTAAATTAGCTAGTAAAAATGAAAAGCTCAAGTTACCTTAGAGTCGTTACGGACAAATTAAATACCATGACCAGGGTAAACTGGACTAGAGCAAAAGTAGCACTTCTCAATTCTCATGATTATTAATTAATAGAAATTAGACTAATCTAAATGTTATTTTATATATATTATTTAATTAAAAAACAAAAGTAAATATTTGTCTTTGTTTCACTTATTTTTAATTGTGATTTATAATTATTCTTTTTTGATTCATTCATATTTTTTTGCTATGAGTGAGATTCATTATTTTCATTCAAAAGATATCAAAGAGCTATCATGCAAAATTGAATGCACTTTTTAGCTCATTTTACAATACATTTATACATACACACACCTATTGCAAAATCAATTAATAATTATTTTTGTATCTTGTATTATTTTATGCAAAATTAATTCGTCCTTTCTTTTAAATTTCATTCTACTTTTTAACTCTCAGAAATAATAAATTAGAATTTTATTCATTAATTTAAAAATTATTTTTTTTCAACTCAAAAAAAACAAATTTTTTAATTTTTATTCTCAAAATATTTTATTTTCTAATTATTTTTTTTCTAAATTTTTAATTATTTATTATTAACTCCCAAAAAAAAAAATTGAATTTAAAATAAATTAAATAAAATTAATTTAAGTAAAAATTTATTTTTAGAAATTCTTTCATAAGTGTTTGATTTATTCTTTATTACTGTGAAGTAAAGACTTAAAATAATATTAAGTAATTAAATACTTAATTAATTTTTTTGCAGAGTTAATTCATTTTTAAATTGCATTAAAGCTTAATATTTATAAAAGAAAATAAAAATCAGATTCAGATTTTAATTTGTAAATTAAGATTACTGAGTTTTAAATACAACAAATAAAAGATAATCAAAATTTAAATCTTAATTATTTTAAGGAATATTACATCATTTATTTTTAAATGCTATGGGATTTTGTCAATTCTATCTTTAAATCCCAATCTTAAAAAGTCTATAAAATTTTTAAGGCACAATCATAGAATAGTAAAACTATTCAAGATAAAAAAAAAAGATGGATGGAGGAAATAACTTTAAATAAAAATAAAAATACAATAAAGAGCTTTTCATATTATAAATATCTTACTACTTTTTAAAAATATATTTTAGCTTTTTAATAAAATTTAGGAAAGATATAATAACTTTTCAGTATGCTATTTGAAAATTACTGAAAAATAGTACAAATCATCCTCATAAATGATGAATTACATAAAAAGTATTTAAATAATTAAAAAACTAGAAAATATTATACTTTTTACAAAAAAATGTGCTGGTATTACTAACAAAAAATTGATAGAGTATATCTATCTATTCCAAAATATACATAACTTAAATAATTCCTTAAATTCTTTTTAATTTCATGAATTAAAGAAAAATTTTAAGATAATATTATTAAGTCTAGAAATACTAAAAATCCATTTTCTTAATTTCAGATGAATATCTTTTAAATACACTGAGTAAATTTCTGATTTGTTTATTTCAAAAACTGTAACATAAACTTTTATAACTTAGAACAGGCAAAAATGCTTGCAAACCACTCTATAAAAAACCTAAAAATTTATTTAAAATTAATTAAAAAATATCTTTATAAAATAAAAGTTATTTTAGAACACAAAAAAACGAATGAGAAGCGTTAAGTAGGTAGCTTTTTATGCGCATTATAATGTAAAAAAGAAAAAAATTTATGGACAAGTACTATATTTAGTAAATAATTAATGGAATAAAAATAAATAAATATATTAGAGTTTTGATGGAATAACAATATATAATTCACTAAATAAATATATGTATAGAGAAATTTACCAATAAATTTTTTAAAAGCAAAAAGGGAATAAAAAAATGAGTAATTAAAAAAAGCAATCTAAATGGTAAAAACAAATATCTATGTAATATAAATTAGAGTGACAACAAATAATAAATAATATTCATATATTAAAAAATAATAAAAAATGCTTATTTAAAATAAATAATTAAATGATTTTCATGGCTGAATATTTTTTATGAGTTATGCTTTCAGCCAATCAAGAATAACTTTTAATTAAATAAAGGTTTAGTTTCTTGTTATTTTTATTACTTTTGATAGTACCCACCACCTTATGGATATGGATAAATAGATAAATAGATTCATTATTTGATTAAAAATGTGATAGCTGATCACTAAAAAGTATATTAATCAATTAATGAATGAATACAAGTGATTTATTTTGTATTAAAAAATCACTGCATAAGTAGTATTCACTCAAATAATTTAATCAATTAATTATTTATTTATTTTTTTTTTTAATATTTTAATTTATTGATCTTTTAGTTTGCCTTTGATTTTGTTTGTAATTTTTTCATGTTAATCATAAAATAATAGAGAAAAAACTACAAAAAATTAGAGGAAAGATAGTTACTACAATTTTTATCTAAAGCAAAAAGTGAGAATAACCTTAATAATATTGATTAAGAAAAAGAAAAACAAAAATTAATTAAAAGCATATTGCAAATTTACCTGTAGATCGTACTATAACTCATTCGTAGTAAACAAAAGCAGTACAAAATTTTTATTATTCCATTTTTATCTGAATAACAATAAAATAAGCAATCCGATTCCTTTACTTTAGTGGAGTTTTTTTTTTGAAAAAGGTGCTTGAATACTTGAATTTTAGCAAACTCTATTTTTTATTGACTAAGCATAGATAGATAGATATAAAGCAAAAAAGCATACAAATACAGAATAAAGAAAAATATTTATTATTGTAGGTTTGACTTACATATAAAAAATATATAAATTATTATTCAAACACATAAAAATCATAAGAAATACTTATCTATCATACATAAATATAGATAAAATAAAGGAATAGGAAATCTACTTCGGGTTATTTAAGTAAAAATAACAGTATTTTCACTGTGAAAGATAGAAAGCAAAGCTTAAATCCATAGTAGAATCTTCTTCTTTACGCATAGCTACAGATTTTTTTAAACTATTATATCTCTTCAGCTAATCTGCATTCATATATAAAGAATAAGCATTCTTAATTACTAATTAAAAAATAAATTCACTCGTATATCTGAAAGGGTTCATTTAAGTTCATCCAACTCAAGATAAGAAAAGAAATTTTAAGCTACTTTTTAATGTGGGGAAAAAATAAAAAAATCAATGAATTGATAAAGGAAATAAACCAACAATAAGAGATAGATTTGGAAGATTTAAATTATATCCAGCAAAGCTATATTACTCGTGAAGATAATATACTCCACCTTCGTATTTATTTGATGCAAATTATTGAAAATGGTTTTGGATTAAGAGGAGGCTCGGCTAGCGGAAATCAAAATTTAAACGCAGCTAACCAAAATACTCTCAATGAGCTTAGGTAAATTATTTATTCTCTCCAAAGCTTGGAAAAGTATCGTGCTGATTATGAAGACTAAGTTATTGCTAAATACTAAAACTTTTTAGCTAGTAAAAGCAATACGAATAGTAACGCAGGGATAAAAGCACTAGGATTTAAGATATTCTCCAAGATCCACAAATTGAATGTTGCCTATCTCAATAAGATTCAAGTGTTTTTTCCTAAATTGTATGATATTATTTTTTAGGATCAGCTATCTCTCAATAGTACGATGAAAGAAAGTGCAACTCAACTAATAAGCAAGTCTGGATTAACTCTTGGTAAGATTTTTGCTTTAGTAGCCAAATCAGGAAGATAAAGACTCCAAAAGGAACTTACTAAACTGCAGAACTACTCAAGCTACTATTCTCAGCTCGCTCAGGAGAGAAGTAAGAACAATAAAAACGAAAGGTTCTATTCTGATAAATACCTTTAAGGCTTTGAGTCTTTCTCGTATATAATAAGCTTACAAAAAAAATTTTATTTAAGACAGTAGCCTCCTTACAAAACATTATTGACATCTAAAAAGAAAGAAAAGGCAAACAGCAATGTCAGCTTTGCAGGTGGTATTGGAGGTCCCAACATGTACGATGACATCATGAACATTGACAAAAAAAGTAAGAATGAAATTGGTGGTGGAAATGGAGCTGTTGGATCCTCTTAAAGTTTACACTTTTAGAAGGAATATGAGTCTATTTTTGAAATAATCTTGAGTAATTATGAAAAATACATGAAAGACTACGTATCTAACAATAAATATATAAGTTTTAAGATTCGAGCTTATACTTAAAGTGTAGTCAAATTAAAACCAATCAATAAAAGAAATCCACTTTACAATAGAATAAATCACTAGAACTATTAAAAAGAGTAAGAAAATCGCTAAAAGATTATCCAACAGAACTAGTCATTAGATAATATTAGTTAAGTACAGAATAATTAATAGCAGATACAAAGGACTAATGCTGCTAGCACCAGTAATCTTGACAGATTAATGCCTCCTACTTATGACTTTAACCAACGAAATAATTAAATAAAGAATTCACCTTCAAAGAGTGTATAGAGGACATTTTAGAGTATTACTCTCAACCCAGTTAGTATGGACTCATCTTAATTTAATAACTTCAGGAAAAGAAATATAGATAGTTCTCAGTCTAATTATAATCAAAGTTAAGGAGGGTAGTACTAATAGCAATCCTACTAAATGTAAAATTATAGTAACACAAATACTAATTAATAAACTGCAGCTAAAAAATTTCAAATGCCAACAGCGCCAATCTTTTTATCAAATACTCTGAATATTAATAACAATAATAATAATAATAAGTATTCCAGTCATTCAAACAGGGATATTAGTGAAGATTGCTCATCTCAACTTAATCAAAATGAAGAAGTTCTTTCTAACAACGGCTTGCCTTCCTACACAGAAATCGCTATTGGTAATGACTAATAAAATTTAAATAATAATACAAAGAGCTACTATGATAATTAAAAAGAAAAAGAGGACTTCATTAGACCTCTCTCTTATCAGATTAAAGCTCCTAGCGAACGTTACAAGCTAAGATAGGAAAGTCCTCAGCTAGTGCAAAATCTTTTAGAACAGTAGCAAAACTAATAACCATACTTGAGGAGAGAGTCAGAAGATAGAATTTTAAATCAAAGAAGATTAAGTAAAAAGAATATAGACTATTAAGGCTCTCTAGATACAATAGATTAGGCTAGCAGCATACTATAAAACACTCTGCAATTAGCTTAAGGCTAAAGAAAGAGTATGAATAACATTTTATAAATAACAACTCAGTCAGTCTTAAACATCACCTAAGATGTAAATAAACAAATTCCTAGTATTCCTAGTATAGCAGCTGCTGTCAACGATGACTCAACTAAAAACTCCTAGAATGCCTTAGCAGATATTCAGCAGATAGCCTCTGAACCTAAAATGACAGGCTATCCAATGTCATCTCAGATTCCTCCTACACATTTTACAAGCTTAACAAGTCTAGATTTTGCACCTTAACAAAAAGATTTCTTTTTAGTTTCTTCAACTCAAGCAGCTTCTCTACAGTAGCAAACACAAGGTAATGAGCAGCCTTATTCAATCCTTCAAAATTATCGTTCATAGTTCCCCATGGCTGGAAACATCTTATTGAAAAAGAATAAAAATCCTAACAACATTGAGGAATTGTAATAAATGCAGAGGTTGTTAAACGGAGTTAATCAATAAATTGGATAACAGTAGCAACAATAAATTTAATAATAGCAGCAATAAATAGCAAATAACTTAAATAGTAATAATAATCTAAATATTACTGGCACAAATAGCAGTATAACCATGAATAACAGCAATACCTTTGCAACTCCTTCTACTGCAGTTAGTTAATAAAGGCTTATGCAATAATATCAACAATAACAACAAAGTGCTAAGCGAGCTGCTGCTCTTCTTAATTAAAACATGCCTCCAATCTAAAATGTAGTAAATTTTCCTGTACAAAATATGTTACTTACAAATAATGGGTTTTCATCAACTAAGAGTTCTACTAGATAATCCCAATAAATGCAATTTGGAATGCAGAGCTTCCCTGAAAGCAACATGCTAATTCGTTAAAGTTTAAATCTCCCACTCCAATAGCAATAACAATAACAGTAATAAGTTTCTTAAGCTAATTAAGATGATTAAAACAGCATATTAAATTCGAATGCTATGAAAATTAATCCAAGACAATCTCGCACAAACTAACTTTTAATCCAATCTTAGCAATTTTCTACCATGGTACAAAATAATATTCTCACACATTAGTTATAAATGCAATAGTTATAAAGAGATTCTCTGTAACAGAAATATATCTAGCAATAGCAGCAATAGCAAATCTTAATTTAATAGCAATAGTAGGGCTTGAATCCTGCTGCTTTTTTCTAGTCACCTACTTCAAATAATTCTATGTAATTAGGTTCCCTTACTTAATAGCCTCTACAAAAAAAGTAATTCGGCTAATCACAATTTGGTTTAGTTGGCAATTCGTAATAGTCTCCTTCACAATTGTTTATGCCTTAGTTATCTGGAGCTTAGCCTAACTAAAACTAGCAATAATATTCTCTATCACAGCATAATTTATTCTAGACTTAATCACTCTAATAACTCCCTTCTAACAACAGTAATTAAATTTTACAATACCCTAATACTAATTAGCAGCAAGGATACATTTAAGCTATGAATAGTAATGCTAATTAGTTAGCTTAAGCTTAAAGCATATTAAACCTTTAAAATATCATGAGTTAAAAATATATTTCTTAAGAGATTAACTTCAAGAAACTTAGAGGTAGCTTGAGCAACAATCCCAAGTAATTAAGTTCAAATTTACTTACACAAAATAATTTTAATGAAAGTTCAACCAAAGGCTCTCGTCATAGAAAAAAATATTTAGGTAATGCCTATCACCTAAATGGAACAAGTAATCTAACAAATGGAAACGGATTATTAGGGGAAATAACTAAAATTACTGAAGAAAATACAGGCAGCAACATACTTGAAAAAAGAGACATAAACTCTGCGAGTTCAGTATACCGCAAACAAAATGAAGGATTAGATATTAAACCAAATACTACTCGTAATCACTTAAATTTGAAACTCTCAACAATTTAAAATGAACTTGAAGATAAAAACTAAACAGAATAAGAGACTGATATGTATTCTAAAACTTATACAGCAATGAAAAATTTCGTAATATCTCCTCCAAGAAAAGTAATTGCATCAAAAGGATCAAAACGTTAGAATAACGATGGAGAGTCAAATGAGGGTTTCCAAAATAATCCAATTCTAATGAAAAAACCTTCTCTGAGTAGTGTTAGCATGGCTCCAGTTAGCCTTTCCTTACAACAAAGTTGAAAAAAGCAGAAATTAAATTGATAATAAATTTGTTCATACTAAAAGTCATAAAATAAATACTTTCATAATTTTAATCAAAAAAAGGAAGAAAATTAAAAAAACATTTTATATTAAATTAATTACCTAATAAAATTAAAAATTTTACAACTATATAAAGCAACAAAGAGCCAAACAAAAAAATAAATAAATAAAGCTATAATTTTTGATGATTCTAACTAAAAAATCTGACTAAAAGAATATATGAAAAATGAAATAAATAACTAATTAATTTAATAATAATTTAAACTAAAAGAATAAATAAGCCTTTTATAACTTAAATAAATATTTAGCAAATAAACGCTTTTATAATAACATATATAAAATAATTATATATTTATAAAACTATTATCCCTTAATTATTATTATACATATTTTTTCATGTCCCTTACTCTCGTCTTTGTATTTCTTATTTCTATGACTATCTTATCCTGTAAAACTTTTATAAAATTAATTCGTTAATTCATTTATTATTTTGTTTACTTTAACTATTTTGAGTATGTACAAAACTATTTTAAATAATTTTAAAACTTTTAATTATTTTAGTGAAATTCCAAAATAGTGCAAATAATCTTACTTATTTCTTACAAATAAATGTAAAAAATAATGGAAAATATTATTTTGCTAATCTCCTAAATGTTATTTATTTACCGAGATTGTAAAAAAGTACAATAAATTTTAAGTATATTTGTTATTTCCTCACCAATATCTCCTAATTATATCTATCTATAATTTCAAATTTAAAAATATGAATTATTTAAACAAATATTCCTTCATTTTTTAAAAAATATTTAACTATGAATTTTTATTATGACTATTACATTTAAATAATAAGGGAATTTAATGTTTTAAAAACTTATTTTAGATGAATATGTTTGTTCTTTTTGTAGATCAAATCATTTTTATTATATTCGAATTATAAAAAATTATAGATTTTAAAATAATTTTGAAAAATAATTGAAATATGTCTACAATTATAATAAAATTAAGTAACTTAATTGCACGGTATTTTTAAAGTAATAAATAATAAGAAAATTTAAAGACATTTATTCTATTTCTTTTACAACTTACTTACTTACTTTTTTTCAAGACTATATGATAAAATAAAAATTATATTTTGTTTTGAATTTTTGAGATGCTTTTTATCTTTGTTTCATTAAAAAAACTCCAAACCAAAAAATTATTTTAATATTGCTTGAATTAAAGAATATTTTTATTGATTGTTAGTTAGGATAAATGTATATCAGAGTTATTACTAGATAACAAATATTCTACTCACTGGAAGATATATTATAAAAAATTGTTTAAATTAACAAATTAATTTGTATTGACACTTAATAAATTTCAAGTGGCAATATAAAACTATAAAAATTGAATAGTTGAATATAGCTTTATTTAAAATGTAACCTCAACAGAATTAAAATTAGTAGCAATAATAATAGCAGCAATCATAGCAACAGCAGTAATAAAATTAGCAACTGCCACAGCTTCAATAATCTATGTCTTCATAGCAGTAACAAAATTAATAGTAAGAAAAATAAATTATAATAAAAAGAGGTACAACTTCAAAAAGAAACGACTACTGCTAGAATTTTGTTAATACTCATGAGCGTCCATAGAATTTTATTATGAATATCCGTCCAGAAGAGCGTTTTATAGGTAATATTTTCAAAAATGAATTTATTTTTTAAGTGTTAAATTCAAATTCTAAAAAATTAATTGATTATTGAGCAGAATGAATGTCTATTGAAAACAAATTTAAGAAATAAATGTGAATCAATCAAAATAAACTTTTCTTTTATTAAAATAGAATACCCAAAATTGCAAGATTTGATAAAATTTAAGGATGATTTAATTAAAAAGCGTAACCATCCTCCTGTATATTTAAAGGCTGATTTAAAATATTATGATTTGTCTAAGCTTGGTAAGTTTGATGTCATTATGATGGATCCACCTTGGAAGGAATATGAAGAGAGAGTACAAGGTCTTCCCATATATAGCCAGTATCCTGAGAAATTTAATTCATGGGATCTAAATGAAATTGCTGCATTACCTATTGATGAAATTTCAGATAAACCTAGCTTTTTGTTTTTATGGGTAGGCTCCGATCATTTAGATTAGGTATTTAAAAGAATTTATTAATGCATTTATTTACTTAGTAGACAGCTTAAACAATAAAAATATTAATAATTATGGGTGTTTTAATAATTAATTTTACATTTATTTTAATGTAGGGAAGAGAACTGTTTAGAAAGTGGGGATATAAAAGATGTGAAGATATAGTTTGGGTAAAAACTAATAAAGATAAAACCAAAGAATATATAGAATTACCTCATTCAAACCTTCTTGTGAGAGTTAAAGAACACTGTCTAGTAGGTTTACGTGGAGATGTAAAAAGGGCTTCTGATTCTCATTTTATTCATGCAAATATAGATACTGATGTCATAGTAGCTGAGGAGCCTCCTCTTGGAAGTAAAAAATATAGCTTTTCCTTTAATCATTTTAAGATTTCATTTATATATTTTAATTGATATTTAAAAAGGTACTTAGAAACCTGCAGAAATATATGATATTATAGAGAGATTTTGCCTTGGAAGAAAGAGGTTAGAGTTATTTGGAGAAGTTCACAATGTCAGATAAGGTTGGTTAACTATTGGAAAATTATTGGATGAAAGCAACTTTAATTAAGATGAGTATAATAGTTGGTTTGATGGAGACAAAACTTATCCCTAAATATAAACCTATAGAGGTGGTAGATATGTAGGAACAACACCTGATATAGAATAACTCAGGCCAAAATCTCCAACCAAAAATAATTAAATGAATTCAAACTAAAATATGTCTGGTTCTTAGGTTTCTGTAAATTTTTTTCATATTCATTCATAATATCAAAATAATTTATTTATTTTTTTAAGGAATTTGACTTGGGAATACAATAGAAATAGCAAAAATTAAATCAGCAGTTTTGAGTTAGATAAAAAATAAAAGTGTAAAAAATTGTAAGTGTCAACAAATTAATCAGATGTTGAATTTAAAATTAATTATTTTAAATTAAAAAACAGATTTTGTTTGTGTATTTATTTATATCATTGTAAATTTATTTATTCAAAGTAAATAAAATATTTAATTAAAATTAACTAAAAATTATTTTTATATAAATTTACTTGAAGATTAAAATTAAAATATTTAGTCTGCCTAAGTTATAATTTATAAGTAACCAATTTAATCTTTTTATGTAATTAATTTAAAATATTATGTATGATCGAAAGTTAATAATATTTAATTTGAATAAAATTGATTGATATGATAACTTTATAGATAAATAAATAAGTTAATAATTTGAACATTTAAATTAAAAGTATTTAGTGAGTTTTATTGATCTTATTAGATTAAAAATTAAAAATATTATTAAATGATCAATTCTAATTTAATTTATCTTTTTAAATTATATTATCAGAGTACCATAAATCTTCATTAACTAACACCTCACTCACTCCCATTTGTCTTAGTCTGATGCCTAAAAAGTGTTAATTAAAATTCAAAATTTTAGAAATTTTGGTATCAATTTAAGAGGATATAAAGTACTTTAAAAATTTTTTTATTTTTTACTTTTGCACCATATTTAAATATTATTACTTTTTTTTATTTATTTAGAAATATGTTTAAAATTTATTTTTTAGCTTGAAAGGAAATACTTTATCCTCAAAAGGCTAACTTAAATCTAAAGAGTTTTATTGAAAAATATTTAAATATTAATTTGACCAGCTTAAGTAGTCAGTCATTTAAAGAATTTAATTTAATTTTTATGGTTAATTAACCATAGATTAGCGAATCAAAATTTTAAGAAAAATTAAAATTTTAAAAAGATAGAATGCTATATCTAAATAGGAAGATAGTCAATCGATGAATCAACTTTTTAATTAAAATCATAAATATAAAAGTTAGTGGTAGATTTTGTTTTAATTTTTAAAGATAAGATTTAATAAATTAACTGAGGTTTAAAAAATAATTAGACGATAAAAAGTTGAGAAGTGATAAGTGATGAATGTAAAAATTATTTATGAAGTTGAGAGCGTATATAAATGATTGTAAAAATATGGAGTGTAATTTTTTATATGCAATATCTAATAAATTAAGATGGATTGTGAAATTATTAGATAATTTGCAAATAGTTTCTAAATGAAAGTGAATTATATGGTAATTATAAATGAAATCAACAAGTTAATAATAAATATAATGCAATTAATAGATTACAAAAGGATAAACAAAAAATATCATTATTAAAAAGTAATTTAAACATATATTAATAATAAATAACTCAATCACTAAAAGTAAAGAAGATATCTATCTATCAATCTATCTACCAACTCAAAATGAAAAATTAACCAAATAGGTATAGATTTTTTTGAATATAAGATGAATTATTCAGCCTTTTATATAATTAGAGCAATGACATATTCAGATATATATCAAAAGAAATATATCTAAAATCAGTAATTGTAGTCTCATCAGCAATAATAGTAGGACAAGGACTTTATCACAATTAGTGGAAAGCACAACTTTTCTCTCCAAAAAGAGCTGGTGCCTCCAAATAACTACACTTTAGCTCATAAACGTCCTCAAACGAGTCCTTTCTAAAATAATGAATAGCTTAAAGAAACCTTGAAATCTATATCTGACTTAAGAGCAAATTCTCCTACATTTGCTCTCAATAATCCTATTACCTCTGAAGGTCATTAAGAGCAGATATTTAGGTCATCAGTCAAAAAAACTATTTATTCTGATATTGACAACATTAAAAATCCAACTTCCCTATAAATAACAAGAAAATCTACAAATGCATAATGTGGTTATTTGATGGGAACAAGTGAGTAAAAGGATTGGAAACCATCTGTTAAGTAATTAATTCATTATTTTTGGCATTACATTTTTAACTTATAAATATTAAATGACTTATAATCGTTAACTATCCTTATAAAAATAAATATAATTTTATAATATTTTTAGGAAAGTTGATACAAAGGATTCCGAACACTATGAGGTATTCGAAAAAAGAGGACTAAAATAGACTAAATAATATTCAGGTACTACTTCTTCTGAAAATCCACTTTTAGGATAAGAAGAGAAGACCATCAAGCAAAGGCTATGTGGATCAGGAGTAAAAAATTGCAATATTCAAAAACATTAAAAAAATTCCAATTAATAAAATCTTCATCAAAATACTTTTCGAATATTTTTAAAAAGAGCAAATTATGTTTCTGAAGAGACATTTTTTTGCATTTCAATGAAAATCAAAACAAAAATAATAATAAAAATTATTTATTGGATATTAATCAAATTTGGCAGTATTTATTTATTTATGAATAGTTAATTTATTAAAGAGTAAAGATTATTTTATTTACATACATACATTCATAAATCCATCCATCCATCCAAACAAATAAACAAACACACCTCTTTAAAGAAAAGAAATTAATTAATTATATCTTTTTCTCAACATATTTAAATATATAAAAAAGGATTAAAAGATATCTGACCAATATTAAAAAATTGCAAACAGAAGAGACTTTGAGCCATGTGATAGATAAGCTAACAACAAGTGGAGCAAATATAAAGATTCTAACATTTTCTTCTATCAATCCCCATCTTAACAATAATCTACAAAATGTTCAGTCCCTACTAAATTTAGAGGTGATGAAGCAAAAAACCTTATAGGCTATGAATATGCTCTCCCTTTCAATAAACAAAAAGAAGTCACTGATAAAGTAAATAAAGTAAATCATTAAAGATATGTTTCATATGACTAAGCTAACGACTATGATTTTAGAAAAAGAAGTAATTTAATCTAAAATAATTTACAAATATATTTATAATAACTGAAAATTTTATCTTAAAGGTAATCGTCTTGCTAAAGAAGAGGCTTATGCATAAAAAAATCAGTAGAATTTAGAGTCTGATAATTTAAAAGTTAAATGAAACAAAACAAGTAAGCAGTCTCTAATTATATAATTTAAAATACTAAATAAACTCTATCTAGCAAGTGTTATCCTAATATATTTACTATTTTTATTTTTAATTAACACTCTCCTAATATCTAATATGTATATTAATTTTACATATTTTGTATATACCTTTTCTCAATAAAGATTTCAATCTAAATCATGTAATAATTTTTATAATTTCATATCATATTTAACCACAACTTTAATATTGCATTTAATTATATTCATTCACTTTCATTTTTATCTAATCTTAATATTTAATTTGTTTTTTTTATGATGATTTTTTCCCAGATTTAACTAAAAAATATTTATTACATTAAAATAATTTGATTGAGTATTAAAACTTTTTAATAAAAAATGTCTTAAAAAAAGATAGAACAACAACTAATAGGTATAAAATGAATAGATAGAAAAATGGTTTAGATTTTTTTATAATTTAATAACAGAAAATAAAATTAGATGAAAATAAAACTTAAATAATAAATTGAATTTTTAAAATAAAATAATAGTGAGAAATACAAAATAATATAGAATTTATAGATATATTTTTTAAAAATATCAGATATTTCATTAATTTTCAGTTTTACTATTAAGAGATTCGTTTGTTTTTTTTATTTGACTTTTATTATAGGATTATTTTTTATAAATAGAATCAACTTATTTGGCTGGATTTTTTATAAGCAAATGACCTATTACAGAAAATTAATCATTGCTATTAAATAATACTTCATTTGCTAATCTTACAGAATTATAATAGTAATATGATAATTCATTTAGAATATCTTTTACTTGATATTATTTTTTATATTTTCGTTTAGGATCTTTATCTTATGAGAGATTGACTCTGCCTTTTCTTGAAAAATACCAGCTATCATAGACAGATGTAAGGACAGAAATTATGTTTAAGAGCTAAGTAGATGATGCTGTTTAAGTATATTCTTCATTTATTTCATTTTAAAAACCATATTTTTTATTTTAAGCTAATTTAATGAGATTAATAATTATGTTATGAGTTTTATTAAAATCTTCAATCAAGGCCTATTTTGAATTTTTTTCAAACATCACTCTTGCTAACTTTTCTTTTATGTGATCAAATTATATTTTATCTTCGGCTGTAGAATCTTAACACTCTAAAAACTCTTCTGCTACTTTAAAAAATTTTTCTATGTGGCTTTCATTATCTTAAATTAATTCTATATATTATTTATGTGCTTTTTCACAGAAATACTTATATTTTGGAATAGGTGTTTCAAAAATTAAAGGTTCCATAAATATATCTAAATAATCTTTGTTAATACTACTAGAAAATCGTTGGTATTTTTTAAGGAGATCATCGTTTATTAACTTAATATAATCTTCCTGTTATATAAGCTCATTAATATTTATTGACTATAAATTATAAATAGAATTTGTAAAGGGTCTCTCAAAATTAAGCCAAGACTAGCATTTTTCTTTAAAGTCTTAAGAAATCTATGAAACCGTTAAGTATTTGCTCTTTAAATTGTATATGAATTCACTTAAATTGTAAGCTTCATCGCAGCTTTCGTAGTGTTCTTCAAAAACATTAGTTAGATAATTAACTAATTCTGAAATTCCAGTTTGGCAATTGTTATCTGTTAATCTATAAGGGCTTTCTGAATCTGTTAAAATTTAAGACCATTTCTAAAAAACTTTGAGTTCTGAAAAATATTCTTTTAAAAATTAGTAACTAATATCTTTGATCATCTAAATTGTATCAGTCTAATTCATAATCTCCTTCAAATAATAGTGTCTGACATTATTTGATAATTCTTTATTTTCATAATTATTATCCACTTAACTAAAAAATTATCCCTTTACCTTCTAAAAATATGTTTTCATTTAAGGGATTATATTGTTTTTAAAATGAGCTGCTAATTTCTCAACCCATTAATCCAAAGGAAAGAAATCAAGGACTCTTATTTTTGTGTAGTAGTAAGACAAAAATTTCTCTTTGTACTCCGTATCATAACAATTAAAAAGTGAATTTCTTGTATAAGAATAAAATTTATCCATTACTTAAATATTTATATGAAATCCTGGAGGGTATGGCATACTCTTAAATTTTTTAAATATTGCATTTAGTACTTTTTGTCTTATATTTTATGTTTTTGTCATATCTTGATTATTCAAATACACATTAACGGGCAGTAATCCATATGAGCAAATATTTTTATAGACCAAATTCTCACAATCTTCTTAAGAATTCCACATGTCAAGCTTTTTCTCTTAGTACTCTGAAGGTTAAATTTAATGTATTCCATCCTCGTCAGAGTATTTCTTTACAATAAATAGAAAATTTTCAAAATTTAACAAAAAATTTAAAGCAAATTTATGATTTGAAAAAATTTAAAGCATTAATTATTAAAAAAATAAGTAAATTAAGAAGGAAAGGAATTTATTTTTTAGGATAATAAATAAATAATTAAATTAAACTCTTATTGTAAAACAGTTTTCTTTCTGATAATTTAAATTAAAATTTTTTAAATAATCAATTTAAATTGTTTTTTATTATTGGACTGAAAATCAATCTTTAATTGTTAATTAATTATATTTATTCTTTATTTAATTTATTCAAAAATTTAATTACTTTGTCTTAAAGATCCTTAGTAAGAGATAACCTAATTGCATCCTTAATAGTGTTAAAAGTAATCTGCTTTAACCTTTCTTAAATATTAGAGAATATACTATAAGGAGAAGATTTATGGTAGTAATGCAGACGATTAGCAATCTCATTAAAGTCTGGTATGTCTTTAGCAGCAATTGCGTAATATACAAAAATAATTTATGGATTCTAATAAAAGGGAACATCGATATCCATCTCATCAATATATAAAGTATTATATTTATATTCTTTAAAAAGTATTATTTTTGTTTATCCTTATAGAGCTCTTTATATATATTCTTTATTTGAATGCAAATTTTTTAGTTCTTTTGTTTACTATTTCTATTCATAATATGTTTCCAGATCTTCAAGTTGTGAATTTAAATATGTAGAAAAGTCCTTATAGGAACCAAATTTATTCATGTTCATAAAATGGGACATGTTAATAACATTTTTTAAGTCTGGATGTTAGTGAATATCTTATTTAATTTTCTCCAATTTGTTGTCTGATTACTCATTTATCACAAGTATTAAATTATCCATGTCGACTTATTTACTTAAATCCTCTTTAAATTACTAATTATCTGCTAATTTACTCTAATGCATGTCTTATTTTTATTCTTCCTATTCTTACAGTGGATTTACTACATTGATATTATCCTTTTGTTTTCTTTTTTGTTATACAAACTCATGGATATACTCTTTATCGCTAAGCAAGTATTCTTTAAAATCCTACAACAATCTTAATTAATCCGAGTGTTTCTAAAATAATTTTTATGTGTTTTCGATATTTTCTTAATCTACTTTAAAGATTTTATCCTCCCTCTCAAACAGCCTATTTGCAAAGATGTAAACAGGTTCAAATAATGTACACTTCTACAAGTTAAATTTAGCACCTTTCCATTCAAATTTCACAAAAGAGAGACCATCAATTTGCTTTCTAATTTATTTTTCCCTAAAAGTTAAAAAATATATAAATTTAACATAAGAATTAAGCTTATTTGTATTTATTACTCTTTCACTTAACTCATTTTTAGACTTATTTGTTTTTCTTCAGCTAATTTTTAGAAAATTGTTGATTTTGAATATTTACTCCTATAATTTTTTTTAATAAACAGAACCAAATAATTAATTTTATGTAAATAAAATATGATTGATACTTTGATTAGAATATACTCATCAAATATAAAAAATTTAAAAATCATACAATAATATTGCTATTTTTAAATAATTTTTGATAAAAGAAAATCAATTAAATTCTAAGAAATGATCTATTTATTTATCAATCTATCCTTCTTGAAATTAAAATTTAAAAAAATAACCAATCAAACAATATTTAAAATAAAATGGCCAAAATATTTAAAAATGAATTATTTACTCAAAAAAATTTTAATAATTAAAAATGTAAAATGATTTGAGATAAATGTTTAAAATTAAAAATAATTAAAAATTAAAAAATAAATTTATTAATTTCTTAATAATTAAAACGAATCATCTCGGATTAAAAATTGTGTTTTATTGTTGATAAAATTATTTTATAAATAAAAAATTACTATGTAAAACAAATGTAAAAAATATTTAATGACAATTAGTTCTAATTTATTAATATAATTTTTTGTTTTGTTGTTTAAAAATAAAATCCTTCAAAATAAGAAATATTATTTATTATTATTATTAATATTATTTGACAATCAACAAGTATTTATATAAAAGGATAACAAATTTAATAAAATTTTACTTTTTCTCTTAATTATACTTTTATTTACTTTTTAAAATGAATTCTCATCAATATATATTTATATTTTTGAGATAAAATAATTTAAAATATTTTGGAAAGTGGAATAAGATAAATTGCTTTTATTTTATTAATAATAGCTAAAGTAATTAAGTATTTCTTCATTAAAAATATTATATCCAAATGTTAAAAAGGGATTATTTGTTTGGTCACTGAATACCCGAAAATTCAAAAAAATTAAATTGAAATCTATTATCATGAGCTTAGCTTTCGTTTAGCAAACAGCTTGTTCTTTTCTAAAAAGAACTGTGTTATTAGAATAGAAATATGATTTTTTACTTTGGATAAAGAAGATGCAATATTCCCTGATATTTATTATCCAAATATTTATTTTGAAGTAATAATCATATTTTTGAAAATAAATAGTAAAGTAAAGGGAATTTTTAATAAAAATATTACAGAGTACAACTTTTATTTTAAGATATAAATTATACTTTAATAATAGTAACTTGAATAATAATAAATTTTAATATAGTTAATAATTGATTGATTGATAATGGATATTTGAACATAATTAATTTAGAAATGAGTTTTATAGAGTAAGTTATTGTTAATAAAAAGCCAATAATATGAAGAAAGCTCTAAATTAATTTCAAAATTTTTACAGCAATCGGAAAAAAGCTTTTAGTTTTTATAAGATCCCTTCGGTTTATTAGCCCCTAATCAATAATTGATAAATATAAATCAGATGCCAAATGTCATTAGCTTTTTTCTTTGTTAAGCGAATTTATCTTCAACTTTAGGCTTACTTTCAACTTGATTGATCTCTTCTTTTGCAATATTTAAGAACACAGAATTGAAAGGTTTGTCTTTAGTAGTAGTTTTTAAGGAGAATTCGGACATCTAGATAAATCCTGGGTTTTTTTATGTTGACTCTACATTTGTTTGTGATTGTTTTGGTTAATCATTTTATTATGGCTTAGTGCTGTCAAATTAACCAAGTTTTTACAATAGTTCTCCATTAGAAACTTCGAGCTTTTGATGAAGAGACTTTTTAACAGAAGATTAATCTTGTTAAGCCAAAGGTTTGGCTGCTTCCTTGCTTTCTTCTTTTGTTTATTATTAGACTGGATTATCTTAGCTTTTTGTTTCTGATTTACTACTCACATCAAGAGTTTAGATATTCTTTTTTACTAATATTCCACCACCATTAACTAATTAATTCAAATTTTTCTTCTCTTCTTCTGCCTTATCAAAATCTAAATCTGAAATCTTTTAATTAACATTTCTGGTACCTTTGATAATATAAAATAATATTTTTAAATTAATGAGATAAAACAAATCTTCTTAACAAAATGATTGTGAAAATTAATTAATTACCTTCTCTTAAGCCTTTACCACTTGATCTTAAAGCAATTAGAGAAAGTTACTAAGCCGGAGTGAGAGACTTTAATCCGTTTCCTCTTGAAACAAGACGAGGGGTAACAGTTGAAGCAATATCTTCCTTATCGCCTTGCAGTTCAGTTGTTTTGAAAGTTGAATTTTTCATTATTTTATTAAAGTTTTCTAAGTTTTTGTTAAAATCATTTTTGTTTATCAGATTGTGTGTTACAATTTTTTTATCTTTTGTAGATTTTTAGAAAAGCTCTTTTATTTTATCAAAGCTCAAGTCCAGCTTTTTACATAAATCTTTTTGTTTCTCTAAAATTTCTTCTAGTTTATAGCTGCTATATCTTTTAATGTGATTTTTATACATTCTGTCTTTGATTTCGCTATTAGCTTTGAGATAATCTAAAGTAGAATTTTCACAAACTGTACCCAAATTATCTTTGTTTATTTAAAATACTTCATTCTTGCCTTCACCTATCATCATAGTTCCATAAATGCATTCTATTTGTTAATAAGATTGTTTAATTATTTTTTAGTAAGAAAATCATATTTCAATCTATTTATCTATACCTTTGTTAAATAAGCTGTAAGATTCATTAAACATCTAGTTTTCACTGATAAGACCAATTACAATAAAATCTATTCAAATGTACATAAAAAGTAATTAATATAATATCCATTATTTAATAATAACTTTAACAAACAAACAAAATAATTTCATGAAAATTTGTACTTATGAAATAAATTTATTTATTTAATACCTTCGGAGTAATCTTGATTAACTTTAGACTTTGGAACCCAGACTAATATTTTTCCCTTCGAAAGTACAAAAACATCATTAGAACCACTTGTGGTTGTAGTCATAATAGTACCTTAATCTTACTTTCCATATAATTTAAAATTCTTAGATTTAAGTCTTTGCTGTCCTTATTCTGCCTTTGCAATGTTAGGGAAAACAGCCTTAAGACAATTTATTTTTGTTTTAAATTCTTTTTCAAATCTTTCAGAGCTTGCCTTAATTATAATTTTTAAATGGGTTCAACATTTTAAAGTATATAAAAAATAAGTATGTATGTATGTGTATTTTACTTCTAATATCTTATCTAAATAGGATCTTTTGATGTAAGCAATTTAAGAATTTTCTACACAAACTAACTTATAGGTTGCATTTTCCCTTTTAATTGTAGAATTAATAAATTAATTAATCGAAAAACATAAAGTAACAAATAAATTACTTTGGACTTTGAATTAACTGTACCTATTACTATTCATCTGTGACAATCAGCTCATTTGTTTCAAACTTTTTCACTATTAATGAAATTGAAATAAATTATTTAGTGCTAATAAGTTTTATCAGGAATATGAAAGGAGAATTAATGAATGAAAATAGAGGAATTTCAATTCAAAACAAAGAGCAACTTAAAAAAAAAGAAGTTAATTTCTATTTTTACAAGATTCATTTTGTTCTTCAAAAGTTTGGATGAGCTCAATAGAACCTATAGATTAATAAAATAACATAAATATATTTTTTTCCTTCAATATGTCCAAGTTTTATAAAAAAGCTAGCTTTCTATTTAAAAATGAAGCATTAAGAATTCAATTTGAGAATTTGTTCATGTTTTGTAATAATTAGCAATTTTTTCTTCTTTAATTAATAAATGTGTAAATTAAGAATTGAGATATACCATTAATTATGAATATCAAATTTAGTTTTTAGAACTGATTGCTTTCTGAAGGGACTTCATCTCCTTACTTAAGATCGGCATACTAGAAGAGCTTTATAATCTATTTCATATATAAATAAAATTTATCTCCTTAGTATTCCTTTTTGGCAGTAAATTATTGATCAGTATTAATTCTTAAATTATCTTCATAAAAAATAGACAAATTGAATAACAAACAAAAAATACTTTATCAAATTCCTCCTTTTCTAAGATACTCTTTATCTGTTCGAGAGTATTGGATTTGATGTTGCTTTCTAAGTACTTAGAAACAAACTCGATTTCACTTTCAGTTTTATCCTCCTTTTTTAACTAATAAATAAACTATTGCTATCTCTTTTTTTCAGTGCTTTAGCCCTAAAATATACAGTTTTATTAAATATTTCGCTTATAAGTAAATAATAATTTTGCATACTAAAAGACCTCCAAATGCTCCAAGCATCTCCTTTTTATATTTTGATTAGTTTCCTTCTTTAAAATTGCTATTGCTTGAGTACTTTAAGTTTTATTATTTCAGTCGCGCTTATTTGATTGTTTGATTATTTTAGTTATTTTAGTTATTAGAGAGAACTTATTTGATTGATGAATATTTATCTAAATTAAATTCTGCAATATTTATTATCCGAACTACTATTGATTTAACTAGTAATTAATTATGTTTTGGTTTTTATTTATTTTTTTCTTGGTTTCTTATATTTTATTATTATCTACAGCCTGACTGATTTTAATTAAAGATAGTTTTTCTAATATTAATATTGCGAGTTATCAATTAAATCGTTTATTTCCTATTTTTTTTTTTTTTTTGCATATCAATAGATAAATCTTATATGCATGCTTTTTTCCTGTCCACTTCTTTCACTATCAAGATTTAATGTAAATCTTCTTTCTCTGCTTAAATTTAGAAATAAAACAAACAAACAAAAAAATCAATCAATTTATGTATGTATATATGTATCTCATTTGATGCAAAATTAATCTGCCAGCTTCACTTCACTTTAATCAAAATTTGCTTAAGATATACTCATAAAACAGTCAATCAATTTTCAATTTTTTAAATTTCTGATAAAATAATTGCTATAAAATTCCTCTTTAATTTAATCACTGGGTTAAAATTTAAAAAAAGAATGCTTTAGTCTTCCAAAAATTTCTCTTCTATTTAAAATGAATCAATCTCTTTAAACTAGATTAAAAATACTTAAAAGAATTAAATAAAATCTTAAAATTATGTGAAATATTATAAGATATAATTACAAAATGAATTTATCTTTCTATCATACTTTACTTTCTCAAACTTTACTATAGTTTTTAACTTTGTTTATTAACTACAAAAAAAATTTTTTATTAAATTTGATTGGTTGATTTATTTATTAAGATAAAATATTTTTTAATTTTTTTAATTTCATTGTTAATCATTAAAATTAAAAACTTATTTTTGCAGTTTTTAATTTTTTATTAAATTAAAATAAAAATATTTAGATAATCATATCAAAAAAATTATAAAACTAAAGAATTCTAAATAAAAATATTTTTAATTTAAATTCACCTTATTTTAAAACTAAATTGTTTTATTTAAATTTATCAAAAATAAAATTTTTAAATTATATAAAAAGGTTATCGACACTGGGACTTCCCAAGCGGTCCCCCACCTTAGTACTAACCCAGCCTTAAGGCGCTTAACTTCGGAGTTCGAATGGGATCCGGTGTATTCACCTTAGTATGGCCGATAACAAAATATATTTCAACCAATGTCTATTTATTTTTGAAAATAAACTTAATTAAAAAATTATTGTTAAATAATTTCATATTATTTAAATTTATTTATATAAAATTTAAAAAATAAAAAAGGTTATCGACACTGGGACTTCCCAAGCGGTCCCCCACCTTAGTACTAACCCAGCCTTAAGGCGCTTAACTTCGGAGTTCGAATGGGATCCGGTGTTTTCACCTTAGTATGGCCGATAACAAAATTAATAAAATTAATGTCAATTTAAAGTAATACTAATAAATTCAATACTCTATCTTAAAAATTAAGAATTTAAAGAAAATCTATTATATTTTTTATAAATATTTTTATCATAAAAATAAAAAAGGTTATCGACACTGGGACTTCCCAAGCGGTCCCCCACCTTAGTACTAACCCAGCCTTAAGGCGCTTAACTTCGGAGTTCGAATGGGATCCGGTGTTTTCACCTTAGTATGGCCGATAACAAAATATATATCAACGGATGTCTATTTATTTTTGAAAATAAACTTAATATAAAAATTATTTGTAAAATAATTTCATATTAGTTAAAGTTATTTATATAAAATTAAATAAATAAAAAAGGTTATCGACACTGGGACTTCCCAAGCGGTCCCCCACCTTAGTACTAACCCAGCCTTAAGGCGCTTAACTTCGGAGTTCGAATGGGATCCGGTGTTTTCACCTTAGTATGGCCGATAACAAAATATATATCAATGAATGTCTATTTAAATAAAATTAAAAAAAATAAATTTAATAATAAATTCTTTTTAAAATAAATTCATATTATTTATTGTTATTACGAAGATTAAATTGAAATAATAAAGTTATCTATTCTTTAAAGCATTTAAATTTGAAGTTCAATTCACATTGAATATCATTATGTATAGGTGATATAAAAAATTATTGTAATAAATTTTATTTATCTAAAATGCAAATAAATTTAATTTATAAATTCTGAAATAAAATAATTTAGTTTATTATTAAGTAAAATAAAAAAGGTTATCGACACTGGGACTTCCCAAGCGGTCCCCCACCTTAGTACTAACCCAGCCTTAAGGCGCTTAACTTCGGAGTTCGAATGGGATCCGGTGTTTTCACCTTAGTATGGCCGATAACAAAATATATATCAATGAATGTCTATTTATTTTTGAAAATAAACTTAGTAAAAAAATATTTTTAAAATAATTTCATATTAATTAAAGTTATTTATATAAAATTAAATAAATAAAAAAAGGTTATCGACACTGGGACTTCCCAAGCGGTCCCCCACCTTAGTACTAACCCAGCCTTAAGGCGCTTAACTTCGGAGTTCGAATGGGATCCGGTGTTTTCACCTTAGTATGGCCGATAACAAAATATATATGAAAGAATGTCTATTTAAAATAATATATGTTAATTTCATTTCAAAAAGAAATTAAAAAATGAATTTATATAAATTAAACATTTAAATTTGAATGAATAAGTTTTTAAAATAATAAGGAATATATGTTTAAATTTATTGAGTTTGCTTGTATATTATTAAGAAATTTATTTTTTAGATTTTGTTTTTTTTTTGGAAATAAAAAGTAGAAGATTCGAGAAAATATTTAAGACTGTTTAAGTTTATTTTCAAGCAAAAATTAAATAAAATAAATAGATTTAATTGATTTGTTCTGTTTATCAAATTTGGATTACCTAAAAAAAAAATTAGTATTTTTAATAAAAAAATAGATTAAATAGTAAGATATTACTAAAAATAAGCAAGACCTAGATATTTGACTGAAATAACGTGTCTCTAATTTTAAATTAAGAAAATACTTATTTAAAGATTATTTTTTAATTGTAATTGTTTAATTCTTAAAACTAAGCACTAAAGAAATACTTCTAAATACATAGTCACTTTATTTTCAATTTCCAATGAAAAAATTAATTTAAATATCTTAGTAGTACTTTTATTAGATATGTAGAAACTTTAATTAAAAAAGTGGCTATCGACTTAATGGTAGCTTTTGGATTTCAAAATCAGTAATATTTTAATTAAAATCAGACGAATAATAAATAAATATATATATATTAAATTATTATCTAAATTTTAATAAAGAGTTAACAGATGGGATAGAGCTAGCTAAAAGAAATTTAAATTGACCCAAAACGTCCTTGGTAATACCTTTTGTAAAAAGATATACAGTGGCATCAAGTATAACAAAAGGTAGAGTCAGCTGCATTACTTTCGCCATATATTACTCCTGCAGGTTGGTATGTTTGCCCAGCAAATACTTCATTATAAATATTAGGTGAAATAAATGATGATATGGTGTATAATTGTGAAGTTGATCTTACAGCATAATCAATAGATTCAATTATCCCTGAATTTTTTGAGTTAGTAAATCAAAGAAAAAAAGGAGATAAACTCCCAAAAATAAAATCAGTGAGTGATTAAGTTCTAAATCAAGTGAACTCGTTTTTAAAAAGCAGAGGCTCTACCACTAATTGGAGTCAAGAGCAATATGTTAAAATTTTAAATTATAACCTTTCATTAGTTTCTTCTACTTTTAGTAAAGATGCACTTCCTTCTAATGATAAAATATCTATTGAGCTAATTTATGGACTTATTGTTTCGCACTACGGAGAATTAGTTTTAGAAAACTGCCCACAGATAGCAGTTTTAATGGTATGCATTCCTTTTGTAAATGGTTTGAATGAATTTAGAAATAAAGATTTTGTTTACAGCGAACCTATTAGAAGAAAAATGCAAAGTTTGTAAGGAGTTATTCTAAAAAAAAAAAATTTACCTGTTCCATAGGAATTTTACAACAAAAAATTTGAAAACACTGAAGAATTAAATGTAGAATTAAAGAAAATAATGAATCAGATAAAAACTGAATAAGAAGAAAAAAATATTTAAGTGTGTAACAAATCTTAATTTAAGCGTTTAAGAAATTTAATTCACTAACTCGAAACTAAAGTAAGTGTGAAGCAAGAAAAATATGTAGTTAGAAAAGAAATTGTTTCAGAACATTTTTACTTCACCTCAGATTATAGAATGTATTCAGACAAAAGCTGGGAAATTATTTTTTATGAAGGTCTGAAGTAAGCTTTAAATCGTATCCCTACAGATATAGGTGTTTATAATAATGCTACTTTAAGAGATGCTTCTAAACACCTAGTAACAAGCTTTCTTAAAAATTAGAACCCTGAATTAGAGGCACATATTCTCAACAATAAATATTAAGCTGCATTAAATCTTGAAAGACTAGCTAAAATAGTTAAAAGTGCTCGTAAACTTGGTTACTTTTTATCTGATTGGTAAAATAAATTAGCAAGAAAGTGGTCAAATTTGAGAGCATAAATTTTAAATACCATAAAAATTCAATAAGAATAATAATAAGAAGAGACTGCTAAATCTATTATTGTCCCTCCTCCACTTTAATATTGCTTAGCTTTGGATCTTAATCCTGAATCGCATCCATTCAGTTTTACTTATGGCAGATAACAAGGATACTGTGTAGATTATAATAGTTCTTTATAATGGTATCTAAATTCATGCAATAGTAACGAAAAAGCATATTTTTACAGTTTATTATCAAATCCTAATGTCCATGAAAAATTCTTCTTTTTACTTGAAATTCCCGAAAACTTAAGAGTGATTCCTTACCCTTTGAACTAAGAAAAAGAAAAAGAGATAATATAAAAAATAGATGAATGGATTGTTAAGTAGGTAAATGACAAAACCTTATCATAAGTAGTTATAAAAATTAATAAATTCATTGATGATAAAATAAACTAACTCCCTGAATATTTAAAGCAAAAGACTATTGGAGCATTATCGAAAAAGACTAATGTAATTGGATTATTCGATTGCATATTCTAAATTTATCCCCCAGAAGAAATCTACTTGGATAAAGTCTAATTACCTTTCCCAAAACACGCAGATAATTAAGAAAAATTTAAAAGTGTTGGAGAACTTAACTCTCTCAATGAAAAAGCTTCCTTTGATCAACAGCTGTTAGGATTTTGGGGTCCACCAAAATATGGCGGCAAAATATGATCAATTAGTACATTATTAAATAAAATATATATATGTACTTGATAATTTATATGTTTTTGTTTATTCTTAAAATCAATTAATAAAATAAAATATTCTCTCAATTCATTATAACTTCCTAAATCACATCACTTTGAGGTGTATTTTACAAATAAATTAATTATTTGATAAACTAAAATATTCATTCATTTTAATTCACAAAGAAGTAAAATTTATTAAAAGGGTTTCTATTATTAAAGTTCTTTTAACTAGGTTTAAACTCCTAATTAGTGGAAGAACTGATAGTTAATATATATAGTAGGAGAATAGTTAAATAATGTGTATAAATAAAGACATTTAATATCTCGAATTAAAGAATGACTTAAATATTAATTCTAATATTTTTATTATTATTAATAAGAAATTCATTGTTTATTTTCAAAGATTTTTCATAAATGGGATAAAATTTATTTGATTTTAAAAATTAAGAATTATATTTAATATCAAATAAATTAATAAACTTTGTTGGTAAGCTTTTTACTTTATTTAAAGTCTAAAAAATTTTTAATTTATTAAAGTTATTGACAGAAACAATTAATGATGGACATTAAAAGATACTCGTAGAATAACAAGTGGATTTACTATAAAATTACTGAATTTAAAATAATTATGTTTATATATTAATTTTTATTTAAATAGTTGATTATTGTTTAGATAGTTATTTTTTTGCTTTTCTGTAAAATATGCTAGCTATTTTATTATATCTGTTTACCTTAAAATTGAAATTTTCATTTAAAAAATTTTGAAAATGAATGGTTGATATTTAGCTAATTAAATTTTGAGGTTCAAAATGCACTCAACTTATAACACATTTTTAATAATTAATAAAGGTATTCATAAAACAATTATATTATCAAATAATTAATTATGTATTCTGAATTATAGACAAAATATTAATTATTTCAAAGGTATTCAAGATATCAAATACTTGCAACTAAATATTATTATTAATTTCTAAAAAAAATAAAAGTGTTGCTAGTTAGTTACTTTAGATTTAATATAATTAATATTATTACTAACAACAACAATAACAATAATATCATCAAATACCTTCACTTAAAAAAGAAGATAATAAAAATTTCATCATAATTCAATCCATATTTATTATTAAAGAAAGCTCAAAATATTATTTTTCGCAGAAGGTATCATCTTATTTTGGATGGATTAAATTCTTAAGAATACATACACTAATATTCCTACTTGTATCAGTGATGCCCTCAAAGAGCTATATCTCAATTAAAAAAAACTTTAGGAGGAAACAAAAGGAGTAGTTTCACAAACTAAAAATCTACTTAGCTCTTACGAAAAGGATGTAAACTCATTAAGGAATGAAGTAAATATAAGTCAAATGAATTTTAAACTATATTGTCAGACTACAAATGATAAGTTAGAGAGCATCAAAAATAATTTATCAAATGAAGTTTATATTAACATAATAAAAAATGAAGATTGGCAAAAGAAATTAGAGAAAAGAATTTTTGAAGATAATCTTGGATGGAGCGAGGGTGCTAATCGTAAGTATACATAATTTATAAATTTTCCTGTTTTTAAAATATTTTTTAATAATTATCAAGATATTGCAGATGCTTTGAAACAAATGGAGCGTTTTTAAAGCGATTTTCGTGTTTTCAAATAAACAATTAACGAATAAAAACTTGATATTTGTTCTTTTAAAGAATATCTGCTAGATAATGTTAAAAACAATAATGATTTGATCAAATAATTATCTAAGAGCCTTAAATTAGATCAAGCAAAATAAGATAGTGATAAACAAAAGTAGTAAATTTCAGATTTATTTAGTTTGTAGGAATAAAAAAATGCAAAATTGAAAGAAATTGAGTTATCTTTTAAAGATAAATTTGAAAATTACATGGATAATGTTAAGGAATGTTCTGAAAAGCTGAATAAATATATTTTTGATAATGATAATTACGTAAGTAATCTTTATAAGCATATTTTTGATGTAAACAAAGATTTTAGATCAATAAAAGAAGAGATAGATGAGAAAAGAAGAAGTTTTGAAGTAGCTGTGTCTGAGTTTTAAAAGGGTACTATAACAAATTATAAATAGGATAAAAGCAATGATAAAAATAATCAATTTTAAAGTTAAAATTAAGTAGGAGAAGTAGATAATAAATTTTTAATTAATGAGTAAAAATAAAAAAAACTAGAACAAAAAAATTAAGAACTTTTTGATGAGTTAAAGGTTTTAAAAGAAAGCTATTAAAATTAATTTATTTCATTCAAATAGTAAATTGATTAAAAATAAGTCTCCTTTTTAGATTAAATAAGAGAAGATATAAAATAATCCTTATAAGTGCACATTTAGAATATCTAAGAAAATTATTTTGAACCACTAATAAATATACGAAATTAAATTAGCCCAATAAATATGTATTAATTTGAGAGTTAGGAAGAGAATTTAAATGCTTAAGGAAACAAAAAAAATTATAGGCTGCAAAAAAATCAAAAAACAATCGATGAAGAAGAGTAGAAATATGAATAAAAAAACAGCTTGAAGAACACAACTGATGGCTCATAAGCTTAAAATAAAGAAGACATATTTAGCACAATAAAAAGCTAACCCTAAGAAGAAGACTAGGAGGAAGAAGATGAGGAATATTTACAATAAGAAAATAACAAAAAAGGTAATAATTTATAAAAATCAATAAAAGAGCTTGAGGAAAATACTCCAAATTCTGACATAAATGGTCAACAATCATTAGAAAATAATAAGTAAAATTCAAAGAAATAAAGTATTCATAATGCCTCTTAGCAGTTATCTAAAAGAGAACTTGCTCACAAAGAAAGTATTGACTTAGTTGATGTTTATAAAGTAAAAAACACTTCTCCTGAGCCATCTCCTTTAAAAGCTAAATATTCTAATAATTAATAAAACAAAGGAAATTAATCTAATTCTTCAAAGGGAGATATGTCTAAAAATAATGTGACTGTTACAAGTTTTAAAAAGAGAAAATCTGTAGATGATTATTCCCAATACATTCAGTAGAATAGTTAGGAATCTTAAGAGAATTTTTAATAAAATTTATCCTACTTTTACACTGAATAAGAAGAAGATATTTTAAATTAAGTTAACTCAAACTATAAAAATCATTTGCATTTTTCTAAAAGGAAGTCACTTTAGACATAACAAATGTTTAGAAATACACCTAAGATGTAAGGGGGATCAACTATATTGAATAAAACACTCCCTGATTTATCTTTTGATCACTCAACAAGCCCTAATAAAAAATGGCCACCACTTGAAAATGCTGGAATTCATTAGAAAATTTAAAATATATAAGTAAAAAATATGAATAGCACAAATTATACTGTCATGTCTCATTCTAAATAGAATAAAATGAGTATTTTAAATTTGAGCTTAGACTTTATAAATCCTCAAGCAATTTAAAACTAACAAAATTTATCTTAATCTTAAGTAAACGGAATTGGAAATCTTGGTTCTTTTTCTAATCAGCTATAAAATATTCATTAACCTGTTATTTAACTTGCTAGCTATGGAAATAAAATGCCATAGTTAAGAGCTTAAAAATTTTTAAATTCTAGCAATTAAAATAAAGACTCAATTATGTAACGTCCTTTTAGCTAACAATCTCATAGAAATTCAGCTGGTGGAATATTTATTAATAAATCCTAAAATAAAATATAAAACAGGCCAAAAACTTAAGAAAGCATTCAAATAATAGGTCATAAAAAATGATTATTTCAAAATCTTCATATTTAGTTAAAGTTTTGTATTTTGTGTTTAAAATTTGATATAAAATTTTAATTTCTAACAACAAGTATAAATTTATTTATCTAAATGTTTCTTTTAATAGGGAAGAGGATTTATATATTAATATATTTTTTTATAACTTTTTTTCAAATGGGATATTTATATAGGTATTAATCTCCAAAAATTTAGCTATTTGTAAAATTTTACTTAACAATTATTAAATAAATATATTTTATTATTTACCTGATTGAAACCCTTTTAATTTTTTTAATTTCATATAATTACATTAAATGTATTTATATTTAAACCAAATATTTATTTATTACTGACTAAATAAAATTTAGAACTAGCTAAATTTTTCATCACCTTTTTTCTTGAAATTATTAGTGTAAGGTTTTTTTTCTACAGAGGAAATAGTGTATGTAAAAAAATATTTAAATTAAAAAAGTTTATTAATATAATTAAATAAAATTTTGTATTATAACATGAAGCTGAAATGAAAAAGGTTGTAACGCTCGATTAGCTCAGCTGGTTAGAGCATGCGGCTGTTAACCGCAAGGTCGTAGGTTCGATCCCTACATCGAGCGCTTTTTTATTTAAAATATCATTTTTATTAATTAATTTTAAATAATTTATTTAATTAAATAAAAATAAATTTTAATATAGAAAAATAATTTTTAGATTGTAAGAATAAGTTAATTCTATAGGAAGGAAGAATATTGATTGATTGATTGATTTATTTAAAGATTCAACTTTTATTTATTTATATTTTATAAATTTATTTACTTAATTAATGAAATACCCATATTTATTTTGAAATAAGAAAATAAAACCAAATCTTAAAATAAAAATTATTCAAATATGAACTTTTAATTTGGTGATTTAGCAACATTGAATACAGACAGAATGATTGCTATAATATTTAGACTTGTAATGCATTAGATAAATAAACAATGAGTTTTTTAGTTTATGTAAATATGTATGCAATTCTATTTATTTTCACACTAAAACTTAATAAAAGGAAATAGTATTCCATCAAATTAAATTTTAATTAATAAATAGATAATTGTTAGTAAATTTTTGAATAAATACAGTAAAGTAGTTTAAAGAAGAAAGGAGAACAAGCAATTAAGCAAATAAGCAGCATATCCTATATAATATTTAAAAAATACCATAGCAAAAATGCAATACCAGTAGACTAATGAATAGATATGTATCACTCATAACAATATTACTAACTACTTTTGTTTGAGAGAGGGTATTAATGTTGACCATTTTGAAAATCTCCTCAAAGTAGTATTCATGATTGAGGGCAATATCCTTGGCTTAAAAAGCTAAAAAAGTAACTAACGGCGCTTATTTTTTTAGACTAATAATTCAAAAAATTTTTATTTTATAAGAAGATTAAAACTCAAAATTCATAATGAACTTCGAAATATATTTGCCATATTAAATACTCAAAATTTTAACTTTATAAACTTATTATTTATACAAATTTAGCTGGTATCATTTACGATACTGGAGAATTCTGCAACTAAAATTACTTCTAGTTGAGCAATGAAACCTTCTAGCTAATATCATCTAACGCTCAGCTAGGCTCTCCTCTCAACTCAAATCCAACTCGCCAAAGTTCAAATATAAGATCATATTCTAATTTGAGTTAATCTGTTCCAAAGCAATCAAAATCTAACCACAAACCTTCCTCTAGAAATAAATCAAATGACATACCTTCTCATATTTAGCAAAAGCTTTCTCATCGCTACTCAATCAAGGTAAAAAAAACTTTAAATAACATGTGCAAGTATAAACAAAAAAAAGCTAAAGCGGTAATGTAAGAAGATTAGAATTAAAATAGATAAAAGTAAATAAAAATATTTTGAAAACATTAAAGATAAATTGATAGATAAAACTTTAATATTTTTATTAAAACAGAGAATATATTTTTTCTATAAATATTAATAACAGAGTGCAAGCAAATATAGTGATGAGCCATGCCAATTTTTCATTGAGGATTTCGAAGTCTTTATGACCCTTCCTGGTAAGGATAATCCTGAATACTTGTTCTGTTTCTTCTTGTTTGATGACACACAAACTATGAAGTAATATGGACCTCCTGTTTGTAGATCATACTCAAATAATTTTCCTTCTGTAGATTTCTACTACTCCTTGTATCCTTCTAAAAGATCAAGATCACCTTTCTAACCCTCTGATAATATTATGCTATTCAGTATATTTTTATAATCTCTTATATATTTTTTACATAAATATCAAAAGGAAAAATAAAATATTTTTTTTGCAACAATTAAACTGAATTTATTGATAAGTGAAACTCTATTTTTTAAAAAAAAAAAGACTCATTTTCTTTAAATTTGGCAATAATTATTTACTATTTTTGTTAATAGGTTTCTATCAAGGTCATAATATTATCATAGAAAGAGAGTTAGCTCTTTCATATGATGCTTCTGAGGAAATAATAAAAGCTATGAATCAGTATATTTAAAAGCATGACTTATTCCACTCAAAAAGCGATAAAAGAATGTCTAATTTCAATGAAGATAATACATACACAGAAAATAGCTTCCAAATGATCAATTAACTTGGCTCAGACTCTAACTTTCAAAGAAGAGAAGGAAGCTTTTCTGAGTAACTTAAATAAATTGTTATAAGAAAATTTAATTTAAATCATTTTTAGCATACCAACAAATTAGGATAATGTTTTCGATATCATTGAATGCTTTTCGAAGAATTAAATTAGAAAGAATTTTACTGATGACTAATTTAAAGATTTGCTCAAGCTAGTCCGCAAAAATAGCAAAAAGATAAACAATATATACGAATAGTTCAAAGTGAGTAATGATTATGAAGAGCTTCTAGGCAGTCTTCGTAGTATCTTGAATGTTCCTTTATTGTAATCCACTAACCTACTCGCTTAGAACGGAAACTTTAATATTCTACAATCTTCAAATACAAATAATATCCTAAACTGTTTAAACAGTGATAATAATAAAGTTAACAATAAGTAAATTAACCACAATAGAGCAAACTCTAAATCTTAAAAAAAAGCTGTTCCAAATGAAATGAGTTTTGATGTCTCATCTAAAGAAAAGTAAATATTATTATGATAAAAAGAAACTTATTTACTCCATTTTAATTAAATAAAAGAAAATTGGATTTATCAACTTTAAAGGGTTTAAGAGTATTCTTGAAAAAAGAAAACACATTTGAAAAACTAGGTAGTAGTGTGCTTGAAAATAGGGAAATAGGGTATTTAGTGTATGGAATAAAGTAAAATAATTAGGAATTGTTAGAGTTATTACATAACCTGAATACGTACACTAAGTAGAAAGTTATTTTAACCATTTTAAAAGCATACTGTTCTCAGTAAATGCAAAATATTTTAAGTGCAAAATTTAACAGCAGACAGCTAGATGTTATCAAAGAAAGTGAAAATGAGAAAGATTCACCTATCCAGGCTGCTTTCCTTAATTGGATGGTTCTGGGAAATTTAAATGACCTTATTTCAATTCTCGAAGAAAATGTTAAACTAAAAAAATATCCTTCAATTTTAAAAAATAAAAAAGAAGTAATTCTTTAAGAATAAATTGGAAAAAACTTTTATATTTACCTTGTTATTTATTAATTTTTAATTAGAAAATAACTATTGACGAATAAGCTTTTGGCTAGTTATAAAAAGTTGTTGAATAGTTTGACTATTCTCCATCTTAGATTGCAAGAGAATAATAATACGTAGAATTAAATGGAAGTGCTATCTCCTAGCAAACTCATTCTCTCTTTTAACAAACCAAAGAGCCAGATACTCCAACATATGTTTTTAGATATTCTTAATATGCTAATCGCCAAAAAAAACTAAGAAAACCAACTTTTACACTAAATTCAAGGTTAACATAAGAAAATGTAAATGAAGCTCTAGAAGAATAATTAGCAAAAGAGCAAGATTAAATCAATATTTAGAAATAATTAGAGCTATACTTCTCAGCATAAAAGACTTATAAAGATGAATAATATGTAAATAAATATTCCATTTTTTAAGAAATTTAATAAAACTAAACAATACCTTTTTATATAAATTAGTATAATTTATATAGAAATCTTTTGAATTAAAGTTATATTGGATAAGATATTATGAAAGAGCTTGAAGAAGCATATGATTTTAATTATGTTCCTTTTTATTTTGTCTTAGAAGCCTTTAGAAACACTTCAAATGTAGAAGAAGAATTAAAGTAAACTATTTAAATCAAGTTAAATATTTATTTATTTTTTTTAATAGAGATGCATTAAAATAGTTTACAGATTTAAAAGCAAAAATAAAACATTTAATTAACTTTGAGTCTCCAATCTGTTAAGATAAACTAACAAAATATAAAGGATTTTTAACAAATATAGCCTATCTATACGTAATTTTAATTTATTCTTAAACATGTCTAATTTATTTATTTTTTAGTGCTAAGAATTTTCAATAGGAGAGAGAACTTTCAAAATTTTAAATCATTTATTTTTGAAATAAGAAATTAATGTAATTGCTGCTTTTGAACTTTTTTGCATAGATTTAAATATTGACGATTTTTTAGAAAATGTCAAGCTAATTGAATAAGTTCACTTCTTCAAGCATACAATTGAATTATCGGAATTCGATTAAACAGAAGAAGATATGGATTTAATTAATGTCATTATTTATCTCTTAAAAAGTACTGATATTGCAAACTAAAATATTCAAGTTATTGAAAAAGTAAGTAAATTAATTTATTACTAACAGGCAAAATTTATGTTTTCAAAATCATAAAAAATTTAGGTTGTCAAAATTGGAGACAGAGATTTGTTAAAAATTTTTAACGCTTACAAGCAAAAAAAATTATCTGACATTTCTGTTTTGCTAAAACAAGTAATGAACTTTGCGGAATACAGAGCTTAGGGTATGAATTTTCATTTAAATCAATTTTAAAGCAAAAAAAATAAATAACTTAATTAATTTTTCATTAATAAATTAATTTTTGATTTTATTTAATTTCTATTTAAAATACAATGAAAAAATAGAGGTTTAGTAAATTGAAGAAAATGAGAAGAATTAAAAATAAAGAGAAGAAACATAGAAGAAGATTTAATTTTAAATTGATCACCTTTACACTATCTAACCCCTATTAAAGGAAGTCAAATATATTAAGATTATTGAAGATGTAAACAAATTTTTTAATTTTTATTCAAACTTCAACATCTATTCTATTTACTAAAAATTAGCTAGTAAATGAATAGCATAAAATAACGTAAAGCGCTTTTGAAGTCTATGAATTCTCTAAAGATAAACAAGATTTCATAGAAACTATAAGCCTAATTTACTAGGCCTATTACACAAAATAGCTAAAAGATACAGTTAAAATGTACTTATTTGATCAAAAGCAGCCCAAAGAAAAGGTAAAAAAATTTAGTTTTAAAAGATTTTCAATAAATTTTAGATTTTTTTAATCAAAATTTAACATTTATTGTGTAAAAAAAGATAACTTTCATGATGAATTTAATTAAAGAAAATGATGTACATATTATGTCTGCTTGGGAGTTATATTTAAAATTAGATGATTTGTCTGATTTCAAAGATACAATTAGTATTATATTAAAGAAGCACTATAAAATTTGAAAACAGATTTTTTGTTGCTTTTATAATTTAATTTATTTATGTAATGTGTAGTCATAGAGATTTTTATCAAAATATTTAAAAATATTTATTAATTCACTTAGTTACTTACTCTCTAATAATTACAAATTATCTCTAAAGTGTTCAAACTCAATTTAAATTTATGTTAAATTACATTAAAATTTAATATTTATTACTGGACTATTTTCATCTCAAATAAAATTTTCAATAGCTATTAGATATATTTGTGTTAAATTATTAGTAATAGCTATTATATTCTTACTAATTTATAAAATCATATAGTTTGCTTTAGCAAAACAAGCTTGTTACATATGAAAATGTTTATTTTTTTATCTATTTATTTATTAATTAGATTTTAAATAAGACTGAATTCTTCTTCATAAATTATATCATAAAAGATCTAGTTGTAAAATTAATTTTAATAGATAGATATACATATATCAAAAAAAAAAGTTAATTTACTTGGTCTTTAGTTCATTGAATTTTTTTTTTAGATGAGAACATTTCATTTCGTTTTTTAATAATATTAAAAATAATCAGATAAATTAGAAAGCATAAATCATTCAATCACTGTAAATAGCACTAATAATATATAAAATAATAAAGTTTTAAAGATTTAACTTAAATTCCATCTTTAAATATTAAAAAATAAATTTAACTCCTGCAAAGAATAGTTGCGCTACTTTTTCATAACTGATTTCAGTGATAATGAAAGGATCGCTCTTAAAAAAACCAATAATTAGCTAATTAGTAAATCAAAATATTTTCTAAGAAAAAAATAGGTGTTAAATATTTTTAAATTTAAAAAAAGAGCTGCTATGATAGCTTAGGGGCTTTGCTAGTTAAGAAAGAAAAGTCGGTCAAGGATTGCGAAGTAAATTTAAATTATTGATTATGAAAAATATTTAAAATTCTACAATAATTTGATACATTTTTGAAATACTTTTTAAATATTACGATTAGGGAATATATCAACTAATATAAAGTGTGCAAGGGTTTAATGGATTTATTGATAGCTTTTTGAAAGGGTTATCTCATGATTAGGTTATTCATGTAAAATAGAAATCACAATTATTTTATAGAATAACCAATTTTAATTTGTTTACATTAATATTTATTATGAATTAATAGCTTTGCAGCAAGTTTGAATATAGGAAATACTTAAAGGGGGATATAATATTCAGATAGGGAGATGACCATGATAATAGACTCTATTTAATATTGTAAGGAAGCGTTATGATTTTCATCAACAGAGATATGGATGATGAACAGGATGGTGATAAAAAAAATATTTTAAACAATAAAGACAAATAATAATTGGACTAAATGGAACCAGAGTCTCCTGTTATTCAAATGTCTTCTTTACTGGCAAAAATTAAAGGCATGGGTAAAAATGCTTTGTCATTTATGAATAGAAAGAGTAAGAGCGGGCAAGTACCTTACATTACTCCTGAAGAAAAAGAAATGCTTAAAAAAAAATACGGAAATACTACGAGATCAATAGGAAGTGGAAAATATTTTGGTGAGAAAGCACTATTAAATAATGATAAAAGATCTGCTACTATTGTTGTTGATTAGCATTTATCAGAAATGTTAACTCTCGAAAAGAAATACTTTAATGAATTTTTGAGTAGATTGTAAGAGATTCTAATTAGTAGGAAAAACACAATTACGCACATATTTCCAGAGATGAATACTTACACTCTGCAAAAAATGGATAATATGCTCTACTGCTTCCAAGTAAAATTACAATTTGGTCTTTGATTTCATGAAAAGTTTCATGAACTTTTTTACACCCTTGAAAGAAAGATCATTAATTTTGAGTTTACACTAAATTTTTTAATTTTTTAGAAGAATTGAGAAACCCCAAAAAAAATATGTGATTTTAATTAATTAATTTTGTATATTAAAGATTTACTCTCTTATTTTTCAGCCACTCAATAAATTTTTTATCTTACTTAATTTTTAATTTGTTTACGCCAAAAATCATATAAAATTTATAAAAAATCAGATAGGTCATTTAAAGTAAAAAAGAATTTAGAAAAAAGTGTAAATTTGAATTTTGTTTTTGCTTTTTTAATACTTTAAAGACTTAATTATCTTTTGTTAATTTGTTTGTTTCTTAAAAAGTTTTGTTTAGAAAATATTTAAAAATTATTTTTATTATAAAAATAGCCTGAAAATTACACTAAAGGAAATCATTTATGCATAGAAGGAGCTAAAGAAGATAAAGTTTTTATTGTTTAAGAAGGAGAAGTTTAACTTGAAAAATGTATAAAAATTGAAGAGGAAGTTAGGAATAATATAAAAAGAAAAAATATTTAGATTAAAGTAAGTATATTGTCTGCAGGTGGAGTTGTCGGAGAAGAACTTTTTTTGAACGAAAATTACTGCTACTTTTACACTTGCACAGTTTTATCTCCCAAAGCTATCATTTTAGTTGGTGATAAAAAAAGTATCGAAGTAAAATTTCCTAACTCAATCAAGTAAATGTTTAAAATAATGTGGGAAAATAAAGAAAAAATAAGAAAAGAAATTATTGAATAAAGAAGATCTGAGGTAGAAACAGAGGTAAGAAATAATCAATATCGATAAGAAATCAAGGTAAATCTTGAAAAAGCTTAAAATTTTTTTGTGTAGTATCAAAAAAATCAACTTGCTGTTAAATAAATCACAAAGAGAAATCAAAATACTGTTACAAAAGAAGAAGGGACAGGATAAATTTCTTCATCTAATAATTTACAATCAAAAAACTAATTGCTTAATGCCAAAAGTAATAATAGCATACCTAAAATTCTTGATTAAAATTATTCTAGCTAGTTTGAGTATTCAAAAGAGTAGCTAATCCAAACTATGTTATTTAAAAATTCTAATTCTACTAGAAATGCTGAATCGCCTAGAGATAATAAGCCAAATTAAATAGATTTAGCTAAAATCTCTTAACCTGAAAATTTTATTTATGACTTTGGAAATCAATAATAAAAAAGAATAACTCCTAAAGTAATTTTTAATTTATTTACATTTAGATTTAATTTTTATAACTTTATATGTAGAGAGAGTTTTTCAATATTTATTTTTATAATTATATTAAAATAAAATATCTATTCTTGAAATATCATAAAATTTGATATTAAACACCCCAAATTTAATCTATCAAAGTCGATATTCTAAAAATTTAATAAATAAGTTTGATGGATACAAAATCATCTAATATTTTGACAGAACTCTACTAACTCGATATTTAAGTTTTAAAAAATATATAATTTAATCATAAAATTCTTAATTTTTAATTTAAATATCCTAAATTAATTTTTTTAAATAATAAGCTGATAAAAGTTAACAGCGTTACTGAAAAACCTAAATTACCTCAAAATGGTGTAGATATTTCTAAAAAAATTGACTAATATGTGAAAAATTATAAAAATAATTATCTATTTTCAAAGGATTTAAATGACTCTAAACTGCATTAAAATAGTGAAAATAATAAAGAAATGTAAATATCTAATGAAAATATTAAGGATTTGAGTGATTCTTCAGGAACTATTCAAAGTAACCCAAAAATTCAAGTTATAAAAGAAAAAAATACTGAAGAAACCGAGAATATTGTTACAAATAATAAATCACATAGAAGGGGGTCTAAGAGCATTTAGGATTTCACGTCAATGGAAATCCTTAATAAAAGTCTTTTAAAATCATTGTCTTTGCCAAAAAAATAAAAGAGTGAGAAATTAATTTAATTAGAGTAGCTATCGTTTAGAAAGGTATCTGAGAATAGCAATGAATTATAAACACTATCACCGATTTATCATAATAAAAAAGAAAATAGTAATTACTCAGGTGACAATACTAATTCATCTGAAGTTAAAAAATCATCATTTTAAATTTTTAAATAGCTTTCTAAAATTTCATCCTCCGAGTTTGTTCTTTAAGCAAAGAAAGTACCTTCTTTGCTTCTAAGCGATTAAGATTTTTAGAAAAAAAATGAGTGTTTTACTGATCCAAACAATTTGTATTAACAAAATGTTTTAAAATATTGTTCAATGACACCCTCTGCTGCTATAAAAAGTACAGACATAAGTAAGTCAAAAATAAGCAATTAAAACAGTATTGATTTTAATGAAGCTTAATCACTTAAGTAAAATTCTTTTAGAATAAAATAAAGTATCAGGCAACATAGTTTGATACCTCTTAAATAAGTTTAATACCCCGAATAAGGCTAAGCATACTAAACCTCAAACGAAGAAGTACGCAAAAAGAAATCTTTTTTAGGTGTTTCGCCTACATCTTCATCTCATGATTTGGAATTACCAAATCTAAGATAGAATAGCGAATCATCAAAATAAGTTACATAAAAAAAGAAACAGTAAAGCTTCTAATTTCAGTTTCATAGCTAAAACGCATCTCCAGAAAGGTCTCCTTCAGAAAAAGAAAAAGAATGCTAATTAAATTAATAAAATAACATTATAAGTAGAAAAGTTAGTGAACACCAAAAGTCTCTATATTTTGAAGATTACTAAAAAGAATAAAAATCATTAAAATCTCTATCTAAATTATAAAATCTCTCAATATCTAACTTACAAATGCTCCCTGTTAAATCAAGCAATAAACAAAATTCAATCTCTCAAATAAAATTCGAAAATATTTTCTTGGATAGTAAAAATAAAAAAATGAATTTTTATTCACCACATAACAAGACAAAAAACACATTATAAGAATATGGATTTTAATAAAAATCTGAAACATCCAAATTAAACTCCTACTTCTATTTAGAAGAAACTAATAACCATTAAAACGGAGTAGAAACTTTAATCAATTTACCTACGAGCGCCTCTTTAATTCCCTAGGCTCCATTAAAAAATCCATCTCTTCATAATTTAAGATTAAAATAATTTAAAGATTAAAAGAAAAGTTTAAATCAAAAAAAAGCTTCAAGCCTCACAAAACTAAATTTTAGTACTCCCAGACTTGAATTTATTATAAATACTAACAAAAAATCTTATGAAATACAATAACAATAATAATAATCTTAATGATTAATAAATATAAAATATAATCAACAAATAAATAAATATTTATCATTTTTGTATAAAGTTTTAGTTTTATTATAAATTTCTCATAAATTTTAATTAATTTAAATTTTCAACTTTTGAAATTTAGTGAAAATTTTATTTTTTAATAAAAAAAAATAAAATTCTCATCATCTAATAAATAAAAATCATAAAAATAAAATATTTTTTCATAAATAAAGAAAGTTGATTCTTTCTTTTTTAAAAGCAAACAAACAATAAAGTTAAAACAAAAAAAATATGCGAGTTTGTAATTATTTTATTGTTATTTATGAATACCTATTAATTAAGCTTACAATAACTCATTCTTCATCATTTTAAAATTTGAGAATAATAAGCTGTAATTCAAATAATCTGTATAATAGTAGCTTACATCCAGTTAACTATTCTTTCTATGTACGAAGAAGGAAACCTGCTACATATTTTTGAATTATAGCAGAGATCATTGAGATCAACAACAAATCCATAAACAAATATAGCATGAAAGTTAAAATAGCTTTGTTTGAATATTCTTTTGTCTCGCCGCTAACAATTGATAAAATTATATAATAATATGTTAAAAGAACTGTCAAGGTGAATAGCTTACCAATCAGTCTAAAAACTAAAAATCTTGAACCATATAAAATCATTACTAATTTAATAACTGCTGAAATTAATATAGAATTAATTAGAGCTAGCATGATGTTTTATTCAAAGTTATATTACTTATCAAAAGTAACAGATATAGCTAATGAGTGAACCACTCTTACATAAAATATTAAAAATCTTAAAGAGCGACTAATATTTGGATTAAAAATTAAAAAGATGCTAAAGAAATTATGGAATATCATAATTTAAGCAATGAATGAATATTTTTAAAAATTTTGATAAAAATGTTATAGTTTATTATTTCTTTCATCGTTATCATTGTTATTAATATCTTTATTATCTGATTTATTGCTATTTCCTTAGGCATTTATATCAAATATGCTTAAAGGATTAGCTTTTTAATTTTCATTTAAACCTTACTTTAGATTGTTTGGAGTAAACTAACTCTTTTTTAAATAATCTTTGTTATTAACATTTTGATCTTCATATTTACTCATTTAAAAATCTTTATTTTAGAGCTGTTAATTTATATTTAATTTATCAAGTGGTTTAGCATATCTTTATGCAGATTATTCATCTACATAACTATTATTTTCTTATTAATCTTCTAATTCATTAGGTTGAGCATTATTTTCTACTTACTTTTGATCTGTGCTCTGTTGTAGACGAGAGCGACTTATGATGCTAAAAATACTAGTTTTACTGTATTTAAATCCTTATTTAGTAAGTTTCATAGTTGTTGGATTGAACAATTAGGCATCAGAAATTCTCATGACTGAACTTTAAGGAGTTTAGATTTATCTCTCTAACATTTAAAATTAGCTATCAGGGTTATTTTCATTATTTTTACGATCTTCTAAAATATTCAAATTGCTTATCATTAATCTTTTACTAGCTTGATCCATCATTCCAGAATTAATTAAGGGAGTATCAGGTATAGGTATACCTTCTATTTGCTATGGTACCACTTTATTGATTTATTTTTGCTTTTAATTAGCAGATTATTTTTTTTACTTAGAATCTAAGGATAAACCTTTTAAGTAAAAGATAATAAAAAGTAAGGTTGCAATAAACATTACCCATACTATATAATACTCATAAAATGTTTTGAAATGCTCAATATTATATAATCCATCACTACTAAATGCTGTTTCTAAATTACTATTTGCTATCAAGCTATCTAAATTTTCAATAATAGTTGTTGGCAATAATTCTTCACAAATGCATTAAAAAGAGTTAGATGAACTTTTAAAAACACTTTGACAATTTTTTTTATTCATACTATTATCTGAACCTAAAGACACACACATTAAATTTGAAATTCTTGATTTATTTGCAACTTTATTCTCAAATTCCAGCCTAGCCTATTATGAAATTTTTTCTATTTTATTATTTTTAATGCTGATATGTGGTGTTTAAATAGAAAAATTTGAATAATTTATCTTGTTTTTAACTAATTCTGATGTATAATTAGCAAATGAAGCTACTAATGAAAATGGATTCTGCTTATAGGCTACTATTGAGAAATTATATAGTTTAGTATCTGTAGCATTTTCTAAACTTTGATTATCACAAATGAAGTTAGAACATAAATATTTTTATGTAACTTATTTGGAAGTAATATTTATATATTGCCCTTAAAATGAAACTGGATCTTGATTTGGAATAGAATTAATTTAAAGATAATTATTTATTTTTTAAATGGCCAGGACTATTGATTCATTATTTGATATTTATTTGCTCAGATAAATATAATTTAAGATTTAATGAGAATCAAATAAAATTTACTACAATCTTTATTTTGAAATATCAAGAAATGTACTATTCAGCTAAGAAGATGATTCTAGATTATTTATTATAAAATCAAATAGATTATTTTATTCTTTTTCAGTAAATGTTATCCCTGATTATAATAGAGATGCTATCGATTTACTCACTACTGTCTAAAAAAGGGATATTTCTGATATTTATTACTACATAATTATTAGTTATTATAAAATATCCACTTTTAAAGAGTTTATTTTAGCGTTTTATTTATATTAAGTATTTATTGCAAATTAATCACACAGTATAGATAATTCAGATATTGTATCAGAAGGTGATAATTTCTTTACTTATTCTGTATAATTTTAAATTAAATCAATGTAATTTTATTCACTTAACGAAAGTAATTCTACTTTTACACTCAACGTTAAATTAGAAATAGCTTATTAGGAATTAATAGCTTATGCCAGCAGAGTAATATTACCCTAAGGAAGTCTTGAGCTAAGAAGGTGCTACTAAGTCGGATCACATAGCTAGCGACGCATAACTTAATTTGGGTTCTATTTTTCGAATTCAAAGTCTTTTTCACTTAAATAATAAAAAAACTGATATGTGATAGGCTCATTTGCATCAACACAATTTTCCATTTAAAGAAAAAATATGGTATTTATAGCCAGACCAATTTAAGGCGTAACTGAAAAATTGCAGTATGATGGAGGTAAATTTACTTAAAGCTGTATTGTGTACATACTGGGCATTACATACAATGGGTTAAAGACAGTAAATCTTAGCTAAATTTAATTGTTACTAATATTAAATGAGTTAAAATAATTCCATATTTGAAATTTCAAGCTTGTATATCCAAACTAGAGTACACCAACTATATTATCATTATATAAGATTGCTCCTGAAAATGAAAGTATATCAATATTTTTTACATTAGGATAGTCAATTTGAGCTAATATATCTTAATTAGCATTGACGCTTTTTGAAGACGGATTAAGTAAATCAATATGAACTTGAAGAGGTGGTAGTTCTAGATCTGATAGCAAGAGCATTTAAACATCGGAAGAAGTTCTATTTACTGGTTTTGTACCTGTTAAAACTAATTTTAACAAGGTATATGATTTAAATGTATATGCCATAAATTATATAGATAATGCATTTTATTAAAACTTTAGGACATTGCCGTTTTAATCTTAGCAATTACTGTCTAAAGCTAAGTCATAGCACTCCCAAACAGCTGTTATACCTTAAGGTTAATTAACATCTTTGATATCCAAATCTCTTACATTACCATTTATAGTAATATTTTTTGTTGTATCATAAAATCCACCTCCGCCAAATATCTATACATCCAATTAAGACTATGTCACTGTGATTTTTTTGGTAGAAGTCGCATTAATATTTGGATCAGAAATTAAGTAAGCAAACACCTATATAAATAAATAATATTTATAAATATTTTCTAGAACTTTTTAATTAAATTACCTAAATAGAAATATCTGTAATAGGTAAGCTGTAAGGCTGAAGAGTAATTATATAATGCGAATCGTTATATGATGAATTTGTATAGTTTAATGAGTACAACTTATCACATGTTATTTATAAATATATAGGTTCGACCTACATAACTTATTAGGTAGCTGTGCAATATTTAGTTTAAGTTGTTAGCTGAATTACACCATGACTATAACTATATTTATATATTTTTTTATATTTATTAATTTTAATTAAAAATAATAAATGTATTTTTTATTTTAAATTATAGATATTTCAAAAAAAATTATTAAAACTAAATTAAAGCATTAAACCTAAAATATTAATGATGTTTGTTAGTTTTTTTTGAAATATCTGTTTTGATGGTTAGAGACTTATTATAAATTTAACTAAATTACATATAAAAAGGCAAGGAAAAAGTAGACCTACTATACAGATCGATGAATTTTTATTATACTGTAGAAAAACTAATTATTTCAGTTGATTTCACATTTGCTAATAGTTAATATTAAAACATTATAGTTATTTACGATCCTGGAACTAAAAACCCTTATTAAAATTCTAGATTTAAAATTTTTTAAGAATTACAATTCTGCAAATAATTTTCAATCAGTTGCTTTTAATTTTTATTATCTTATGGTGATTATGAAACTAATATCCATTTAAAAGATAAAAAACCTCTATTAGCAGCGTTTTATATTGATTTAAATGTTATTTTTATATTGCTGCATGAATTATAAAGGCTTTGATATTAAAATATTACTTTAGATTCTCCTATTATTGGATCTTAAACTACATTAGTATTTAAGTATGTTTAAATAAGGATATTAGATGAAGTTTTAAAGCTCAAAATAACTGGTTTAAATATTAGATTGTCGCCATGGAAAATAGTTGATGTCTTCCCTATTTATTATTAATTTTTAACTTTTATTTATTCTTAATTATTTACCTAAATTCACAAATATGGATTTTCCTGATATTGCACATGCAGAATCACTTCCAAGCAATGGCAATGTCACATTTGTTAAAAGATATTAGCAAAGAGCCATGGAGTACTGATTTTTCTAAAATGATTATGGTACATTTAGAACTTTTCCAAAATTTATTCCTAAAACAGGATCCGAATTTGATAAAATTGCATCTAAAACAGCAACTTTTTAATAGCTACAATTAATATTTGATTACCTAGTATCCTCACTATCTTAGCAAACGCACTAACCTGATAAAACCTTTCTTGTAGCTGAGCATGAAGTGCAAGATATAGGATTACTTGTATCAGAGCCTGAGCTACAAGTCAAGCAAGTGCCATAACAATAGGTACAGTTGCCACTTGAAGAGCAAGGAACACATTCATTTTTTTTTTCTTAATAACCATTTGGACATTTTTACAGACATTAAGTTTAATATAAATAGTAACCACTTTTACAGCTAGTGCAAGCAAATTAATTAAAATATCGGGTGCATGTTTAACAAGTGCTATAACACTAACATTGATGAAATGTCAAGGATTTTGGGTTACAGTTAATGCAACTATCTGAATTTTATAAATCCCAGCCAACATTATAACATTAAACTGCAATATTAATAACACCACACTAAGCTGATTAGTAAGTATCTTGACAAGTAGTGCACTTATTTTCATTTAATTAATAATAACCTCTATCTATGCATTCATTAATAGATTTCTAATTTTCGTTGTTACCGCATTAATTTGTATTAGGATTCAAAATGACGCAATTCATACAGGATTTAGAATCAATTTTAACCCACCCAGCTTTTTAACATCTTTTCTGTATAATTGATTCTCCACAATAATCAGAATTTGAATTAGAATTCTTACAAGTTGTACAAGTAGTAAGTGTTGAATTATAAAATCCATTTAAAAAGCATGCGTCTATAGCGTCTTGTGAGTTGTCATTGCCACACTAATTATCATTATATACAGAGCATTTTACACAATAATTATCATCCTTTTAAACCCATCCAGATGAAGAGCACTTACTTGAGATTTCTTTCCTTCCACATTTGCCTGAAACCAAGTTAAGACAGGAAGCACAGCTTTTACTGTTATAGTTGAAGAAACCTTAATCCTTACATTTTTGAACTATATCATCATCTTAATCACCTCCACATTAATTTTTAACATATTTAGAGCAATTGACGCATTAAACATCATCAAGGACTATCCATCCTTATTTTTAACATTAGCTCTAAATTTAAGGGACTCCGCAACCTCCAGAAATAGAATCTGTACAGGAAGAACAATGTATATTATCGTAGGTATTATAACCTAAATCATTGCAAAAATCTATAAATTCTTGTAATTGGTCACCTCCACAATTTCCATTAATGTAATATAAACAATAAACACATGTATTACCATCTTTTAGATCATAACCATTTTAACAAGATGTGCAGGATCTAAAATCTGGTCCATTACAGGTTTGACAGTTACTGTTACATTATTCGCAAGATCCTGGGTAATTTGCTCCAGAATTTCGCTAATATGAGAAATAATACCCACTATCACATCTACATTTTCCCTTTACTTTTGATGCATTATCTATACAATCTACACAAGACTGCAACTTGTTATCATTCTAACATGACTAGCACATGGGATGGCATCTTTCTATGTATATTTTTAAAAATAACTTTAATTGATTTGATTAAAATGAAACTAAATAAATAAATTATAACGTTTCTGCTATTCAAAAATAAATAAAATTTATTTTTATTCTGCTTCACAAAAAATTATTTTGTCTTTCTTCTTGGAAAAATTTGAAGAATTTTTCTTTTAATTATTCAGAACTCTATATTAAAATTTTGTTTATTTCAGAAAAGAATGCACAATAAATAAAATCGACTAAAAAAAGACTAAAAATGGCTTACAATAGTTAACAATCATATTGTTCCATGTATAACCACACTCAGAATTTGAGCAGCTAGAATCTGAGTAAAACTTAAAATAAAAGAGATTGTTATCTAATTATTCACTTACTGTTACTGTAAAAAATGCACTATCTGGAGAATTTTTGAGTTTTTATTTTTCATCTTAATAACTATTTTTTAAGAGCAAATCCTTATCAAAGAATAAATTCAAATAGTCGTTTTTAGTTATTGAATTAAACGCAAATATATCAAGAGTAATATCAACCTAAAAATGATAGCTCCTATAGCTTTACATGAAAAGTTTTGTATACAAATATTATTAATTGCGTATTCCAAAACAATATCTAGTCAAGCAAGAAATTATTGAGCTAGTAGTATTCCAGAAATGATAGTACTCTGCTATTTAATTACTTTAAAACATTTTAAACCCATTATCATTATTTTTAATACAATATTTGCCATAAACTGTGTCTGGACTGTCGCATGTTTCTGCTTTAACACATTGACCATCTTAAATTAAATATCCTTCATCGCAGATTATGCAATCTCCAGATAAATCTTCACATTAAGTGCAGTTACTAACATTGCATTACTTGCAAGTAGAACAAGGTACATCAAAGCAATTTCCTACATCGATATATTATCCTTATGAGCATACACATTAATTTTTATTAAGCATTAAATTTGGAGCACAGCCTAAGCAATCATATATAGTGTTTCCTGATACGCATTTACTACAAGTTGGGTGACATTTATAAACTACTATTTAAATCTCTCTTACTCCCCATCCATTTTATGAGCTTTATATAGCTATGTTAAATTAAGAAGAGGTATCTCTTAGAGTAAAAGTAACATAATAGATTGATTGTTTACGATCACCACTACCTGCACAAGATACTTAATTAGAAGAAATAGTTTTAACATTATTCTACAAACTAGCCATTTTTTTATTTATTGTTACATACAAATCTTCTGGGCCTCCATTTTCATAAAAAACTACATAAAATTTTACAAATTTTTAGTAGCCTTAAGGGACTTAATCCCATGAACTACTTAAAATAGTAGAAGAAGTAAAGATTGGTCCTCCTAAAAATGAATAGAGAGTAATGGGGTTATTATCAACATTAATATAACACAAAATTAATGATTAAGAAATATTATAAGATGGCGTAACTAATATATCTGTATTATCATTAAAAATTCTGCTGCTTAGCAAAGGATTGATTAATTTGAATTAATCTTGGCTAAATGATGACACACACTATTAATTTATTTTATCAAATTTTTAACCTGAAGGACAATTATTATCACAAGGATTTTAGCGATTACATCTTACACATTTACCAGAGACTAAATTATATCCTTATCTACAGTCAGTACATTATGTCTGAGAATTACAGTTATTACAGTTACTTCCACAATTAAAGCACTGCTTTTTTGAGGAATTATAATATTTACCTTATTCAAAAGAACTGTAAATAGTATTTATTACATCAAGGTTTTAACACTGTTCTTTCAATATGCAAATACCTTCAAAAAAGGCAGATCCCGTTGAACATTTATTATATGGTGTTTTATATTCACTATTTTAGACATAGCTACTGTAGCTAAATGAAGTACTTAATATATCTGTGTTATCGATTTAAGATAGCTCATCATAAAAATAATTTCCATCTATACTATCAATATCAACATTATAAACTATCTTAACTGATGAATAATACTTTATTGGATCATTGTACATATCTATATTCAAGTAGCAGGCTAAGCAAATATCTAAATTATTTATACCTGTGGGCATTTCAAAGCTTGAAATACCACCAGAAACATTAACAGTAGAATCAAAGCTGCTTATTATTTTCACATCATTTGTGTCATAGGAATAGTATAAACCAATCATAGCTAATTAATTAGAAAAATTTTGAGTAATAGATACCTTTTTTAAATTATTTAGATACATAGCTCTTAAAACAAACTGCTAATCAACTTTTTCAGCAGTAATTGAAAGATATATTTTGTTTTAAGAAAGTTATCCAACAGCTATTAACATACATCGACTTGTGCATTACTATGGTAGTTAAAAATACCCGATAATCAAAAAATTATTATAACCTAGTTAATCTGGGCTTACAATTCTTATGGAAGAATGAGAATTGGTTGAGTTAAACCTTACAAGACTCTACATAAAATCTCCATAAATCAAAGAAATGGTACTAAGTTATCTTGATTTTATTAATTTGTTTTTAGCCATCAATCTTGGGTTAAATAATATTATTTTTGTATCTAAATTAAACAAACAGAAATCTTTATTTGATATGCTTGATTTTACTTGTATTGAGCAGTTTTAAGTTATTTATACAAAGTGATTTTTAAATAAAAAACCATTTTTATCAATAATATATTTTTCAACTATTATTTGAAAGCTCTGCCCTAGATGTAAATCAAATTTATTTACTTTAAATTGCTTAAATTCTATTTTACTAAAACACTTTATTAAAATATCTTCATCAATCTTTGAAATTTCGATAATAACAAATTGATTAAAATTTGTTATTTCTACTAATTTCCATTATTAATTATTACCATCTTGATATTTAATTTCCTTTCCATTTTGATTTTGAGAAGCAAAAATTACAATTGAGAACTAATTTATGCTTAAAATTTCTTAACTATAGTCCTACTCATAAAAGAATTGATTGGAATCAAGTATTAATAGCAATGGTAAATCAATTTCTTCTATTAATATTTTCTTGTTTTAGATTAGTTTAGTGTCTTAATTGTGCAGACACAATTTATTGAATTGCATATCATAATGGTAAAAACTAATTTAAATAAGAAAGATAAGTAAATAAATTAAACAGATGTTTTTGGATTTAAACTAAAATATGTTCAAAATATTCAAAGGTAATTAATTATTTTATTTGAAAACCCTTTATTAATTTTTTAAAAACATATTAACTAACTATTCATGTAAAGATAAATAAATTATAAAAATGAATTTATGAAAGAATAACAAAAATAATTTATAATTAACTTATAAAAATATCAATTTTCTTTTTACATGTTTCTGAATAAAAAAGGGTTTTTAAATATGATAATGTCTTTTATTAATTTAGGTTCAGTAAATTAAATTATTATACATCTATTTTAACTAGAAAAAAAATTTAATAGATTTCTATTTTAAGAATTATTATAATTATAGCTAAAATTCATTAGTGACTTGAATATTAGTGGAATTTCAATTTTATTCCTTTTTGAGTGAGTAGACTTTACTTATTTTCAGAAAATTCAAAATCAAAATAAAATAATATTATCTTTTACTTAGTTAATGGTTGAGGCAGGTAACAATTTTACTTAAGTACTGCATCTTGAAAGATAAAATTTGAAAAATCTAAATATGAAATATGTTTCTACATTAAATACAACCCAACGCTCTGAACTATAGTAGAACTAATCCATAATGACTAGTTTAAGTAATTAGACAAATCAATTACTATTTTTCCATTTGAATTTGATTAATTTTTAAAATCAAATTAGCTAACTGTTATCTCAAGCTATTTTTCAATAACAATCACAGCTAATGACCAATGACTTGTTATTTTTACATCCAATTAGTAGAAGTTTTCATTTATATCTGATAATATGAATGATTATTGGTCTTCTAAAGCCGTCTCCCAAGATATAAGATTAAGACCTTTTTAAAAAAATGATATAATAATTTGCTTAATATCATAAAAGTTAAAAATTTACCATTTTAATTCTATAAATTAACTAATATTTTGTTCTAAATATGTTACCCTTTTTAATGAAACTTTTCCATTTTATACCATAAACTGATACCAATTGACTATTTATCAGATAACAAATAAAGATCTAAAAGGTCGGTCCTTCTTAAAAAATTTGAAATGCTACCAATATCTTAAGATTTTAATTTTAATTCATAGAATTAAATTTAACAGATAACCAATTTTGTAATAAATTATATTAATATTATTCTTCTTAATATCGATAATTTCATTTTTAAGATAATAATTCTCTCTATTGTTTTCTTATAAATTAATTGTATAATTACTTTTTTACCTAAAACTTAATTATATTTATTTATTCTAAACACACTCAGCTATTAATTATTTATATAAAAATTTTAATAATTTCTTAAAAGAAAGGTAATCTTTTTTTCAAATAACAATATAATCCTATTCTAATCAAATCAGATTTTCATCAATAAATTATAATCATATTAAACTTATGTTTTTTATTAATTTGATTGATTGAAGTTAGTAGGACTAAATAACACGATAATAATAGTAGGAGTACATAGAAAATTTTAGAAAAATAGAACTTTAATAAAATAACTCATATTAAATGTTTCTATAATATTTTTTTTTCTTTGTTTTTATTATAAATTTCTGAAAAAAATTAATATTTTTTGTTTATTCTTCAAAACAAAAAGATAGTCAAATAGATAAATAGATATTGTAATGGACAACAAATTTATTAGATACTTAAAATTAAAATTAAAAGCATATAATGAAAAAATATGAAAAAAGCAAATAAATTATTTATTAAATTTGAGAATTTTATAAAAAATATTTAAACAGTATATATTGTTTGATATTTTAATTTACAAACGTTAGTAAAAATCTTAGTTTATTTATTAAAAATTTTTATTAGAAACTACAAAAATTATATTTTATAAAAAAAATATTTTTTCATAATTGTCAAAGATTATTTAAAAGCAATTTGCAAATTTAATATAAAATTAATTTACTACTTAGCTTAAGCTTCTAAGCTCTGTAAATTTCATTAATTTAAGCTATCTTGATTGAAATCTATTTAAAAATCAACCAGCAATCAGTATAATCAGTTTAATAATAAAATTTCAATTCAAGTATGTGCTATAAAATTAATATACATTTTAAATTTGTACATTACTTCTATTTTATTAAAATTAATTTTAATGCTCTTAATATCAAATAATTATCTAAGAAAATAATAATTTTATTTCTTTTTGTCCAATGCCATAATTCATAATGGAATTTGCATTTAAGTTGTCAAATTTCAACAATTATTTATTTGCTGAAATAAACGCAAACTAGCTAATATAAAAAGTAGAAGAAATGCTTGAAATAATTTAAAGATGGTATTTGGAATAGTTAACAAGGTTAGATTAAATTTTTCAAATAAATATTTTGGATTTCAAAAATCATTTAATTTATTTAAATCTAATTCATTTACTTAATAGTAAATACAAGCTATTATAATTTACTTCTATTCATGTTTATGTTCAAGTAGCAGCAATTTTAACCAATTATTTTTAATAATTAATTGTATAATAAATCATATAGCAGAGCAAGAGTATTAAAGTTTAAAAATCAATTAATTTTACGAAATAATAAATTTAGTAATACCTTATGATCTCTTAACCTCGTCCCACTGCGTTTACCGAATTTTTTGCAGACCAGAGGTTTTAAAAGACTTCAATCAAACATAAAATATTGTAGGGGGTTGGTAGTTATTTTATGGGGTTTTGTAGTATTTTAGAATTATATTATAATTTTTCAATTTTATTGATTCCTTACTTATTTTTGTGTTCATTAATATTTTTTTTAATTTTATTATTTTTCATATAAAGTCAATATATGTATATCATAAATCATATTTATACAGTTCATCAGATTTAAATTGAAGATATTAATATTTTGTATATTTACTTATTTATTGATTAACTTACTTTTTGATATTTATATCTATCTTTTGTTTAATTATTATAAAATTATTTTTAAATCAACACTAAGTATTAATTTACTTGTTTAAGATTTTATATAGTTCATTTATAAAATGAATGTAAAATAATAAAATTTTTTGGTTTTAAATAATAAAGATAAAGTTTTTTCAATTATAAATTTAAGATTAACTTTCACTTAAATTTAAAATTCTATGTTTTTTAAATATTATCATTTCATTTTTCATCTTATAAAATAAAAATGAATCAAAATTGACATAATTTATATAAGGTATTTTGTATCAGCAAACAAAAAAATTAAGTAATTTCTAACTTTACAATAAATAATTTATTGAATATGAAAACTTAATTTGTACTTTCTTTAATATATTATAAAAAAGCTTGAAATTAAATAATAATCAAATAATAAATTGTCTTATTTTTTAAATATTATTTTTGTTTTTGAATAAAAGAAAGTTTTTTTGATCTTTATGTCATATTTTTTGATAATGTGTATATTTTATGTAATCTTTTAGAAGTAACTATATTTATTAATTATAAGAATTTTATGTTCACAAATACAAAAACTTAAAATACTTATTTGTATACAAATTAGTAAAAAAATAGACCAAGTAACTAGAAGGAAAGTATTTTTTAATGTGAGAGTCAATCTGAAGGTTAAAATATTGAACAATATGGTTTATAAGAATAGCAAAAATGCTAGGATAACCATAACTTTTTGATTTCGCAAAGTAGACTTAAATAAAATATTAGAAATGAAGATACTGATGATGAAGTAAGCTGGCTTTCCTAATCAAATGTATCTTCAGCCAACTAGAGATTTTAATATTAGGAAAAAAATGAATTATATGAGGATAAATAAATAGATTTGATAAATGATGAATCTGAGATAAAATTTGGTATTTAAAATAATTCATAATTAAGTTAAGAGCATAGTAGGAATGAATTGATGTAATAATCTCCTCCTCCTCAAAAATAATTCTAAAGAAAATCAACTTTGAAAACCAAAAAGCAAAGTGATTTTATAAAATAGAAATCTGGAAATTATAACATAGAGTCAGCTGGCTGTGTAAAAAGAAGGTAACTTTTTGAGCTTGGATTTGCTTCCTCAGAAAGATAGGCAATAAAAAAAGATGGGTTAGAAGAGGAAGAAAATGATTTAGATTTTACATTTGACATAGAAGAAGCTACTACTGAAAATAAAAGAAAACACTAAGAAGATTTAATATATGATAGCAGTTAAATTAATTCTAAGAGTGTTAATAAAGATATTTCTGAGTTCAACGATGATTCTTTACTTGATAGTGAACACAATAAAAAAGAGAGTTCATAAAAAAATAAAAATAGCTAAAGTAGAAGTTAGGTAATCAACCTTAGCAATAAAAATAATCGCAGATATTCAGAGAGATTGGCAATTAATTTTATTCCAAGAAGTGAAAAAAGACAAAAAACAGATAATTCTTCTTAAAGTTAATAGTTAATTCCTTTGAATGAAACATTTGAGAATATGTAAGTTAACAACAAGACTAATATATTTAACAGAAATAATGTTTTCGAAGAAGATAATGTTTAAGAGCATTCATAAAGAAGAAAATCTAAATTCCTAGCAAATTTAAAACTAAAATAAAGCAACTCACCTGTTTTGAATAGTTAAGTTGATTAATTCTCTCCAAATGTTGACAAGTTAAATTTAAGTTTTTTTTCATCTGCTACAATATAAGATGAAATAAAGACTAATTAATTAGGAGAGCTAAATACTCCGATGGCATCTCAATTAGCTGAAAATAAAAGTCCTAATAATACTAGTGAATTAAAATGGAAGCTTGTAGGAGTGGCTTAAAAAGTAAAAAAATTTAGCAAAATTTTACTTGATCATTTGTATTACAAAAATTATAAAAATGTCAAACACATGCATTTTAAAGCAATAGATGATTAATCCTTTTTTTTCCATGGAGATTTGACAGTAAATTAGACTTTTTTTAGAAATAAACTTAGAGTTGTTGAACCGAGTGATACTTTTACTTTAATATGGAATTTTCTATTGTTGATTAGTATTTCTATTTCAATTATTCTTGTTCCTTTTAAAACATCATTTTCTATATCATTTTCACAGGGCTCTTTTGAATAAATATTTCTGGAGATATTACCTAAATCAATATTATCAATAGATATATTTTTAAATTTCTTTTAAGCTTATTACCATAAGGGATAGCTAATAGTCAATCTCAATAAGATTTTTTTTAATTATATTTAATATAAGTTCTTTTTTAACTTAATTACCACCTTGAGTTATTTAATTTAAAACGATGAATACAAGCTTATTTAATGGATATGCATGCTAAGAGTCTTTCAGCTTCCAAAATTAATAGGTATGGTTGATGAACATTTCTAGCTTTAGTAAAAATATAATACTTTCTTCGAATTAATAAAACTACTCCTATTAGTTGTTTTAATGGCTCATTTTGTTGGCTGTGGTTTTCACTATTGTGCATAATCTGAAATTTAAAGAGGAAGTTAGCATACTTGGCTGAATTAGTATGAGTTCGTTAATGAAGAGGTTTAATTTAGATACATAAATAGCATTTACTTTGCATTTATAACTATGATAACTGTCGGATATGGAGATATAGTCCCTATATCATATCTTGAAAAGCTGTATGTTATTATCATAACAGTTATAAGTAGTGGATTGTTTGGTTACTCAATAAATACAATAGGTAAACAAACTACCAAATTATTCATTTATTTAGTTAAAAAGATCAATATAATTTGGAATAAATTTTAATAGCATCTTGAGAAAAAATAACCAAAAATGATTTCATAAAATATTAAAATTTTTAATTATTCATAAATAAAATAAAAAAATTAAAATATATTTAAATAAAGGAGCGATTTTTCAAGAAATTTCGAAACGAGAGAGTGATTATAAGTATGATTAATTAGCTATTATTATTTTTAAATAAAAATGAGAAATTATTTATTATTTAAAAAGATAGCAGAAATATGACATAAATATATATTTAAGCAATCGATAGATTAGCAAAAAAGTTTAACTCCAAATTCTCAAAGCTATTGAGTATAAAAATATATCATAGGCTAATAAGCACTTGAGAGGAGAAGAAATTCTACAAAATCTATCACATAACATATAATCTGAATTTAAAAAGGAATTTTTCGGAAAAATACTTTCAAGCTGTAAAGCTTTTTAAAATAATTTTAGTCAAAAAGCTAGAGATCAATTTTGCTTGTACATGAAGGAAAATATATTTTAGCCAGGAGATTGCATATTTTCAGAAAATTAACAAACTGAAAATATTTATTTTATTTATTAAGGAGAAGTCTAAATCTTTTAAGAAATAAGCAATGAAAGAAGGATAATTGGGGTAGCTAAAGTAAATAAATAAATAATACAAATATACAAATAACTTAACTAAAATATTTTATCATTAAATAAGAATGGTGACACTTTGGGTATGTTTAGCTTCTTTACTTCTTATCATGAATAGATTGGAGCTATTAGTTCTGAAACTTCTTACTTGGCATATTGTAGTAAAAAAGATTTTTTATCTGTATTGAAGTAGCATCCTAGGGACTACGTAAAAAATAATCTATATTAGTTTTATCGACTTAAATAGTTTTAATATTTAAATCAGGAAAATTATTGCAGAATTAGGGATAATCTTACAATCTATAAACGAAGCACAGAATAAGCTTGCTTTAGTTGTGACTAAAGGGGACATGAAATACTGAAATGTCCGTTTTATGATAAGCGAAGAGATCCTCTTTTAACGATTTTCAGATATAATGTAGATAAACCACAGTAAAGGTAGAAAAAAACAAGAAGTTGTTAATAAAAATTTAACACTCTCTCTAAAAATAAAATTGTGAGGTAAAATTCACAAAAAAACATGCAAGAGATTTTTTAAATATTTTATTAATTAAAAGAAAAATATTGAGAGAAATAAGATGGCAATGTATTAATGATACAGACAATGAATTACATGACATAGATTCTGAAGCGGAAAAAGAAATCATGAATTCTAGTGATTTATATTTTTATTTGCTGGTGCCTCCATTTCGATGGGAAAACAACCAAATATAGATAATAGATGGAGAAGAAGAAGATGATACCTTTTATGAATACTATTAATAATTGATAGAGGATATCGATAGTTAAATTATTTAAGACAGCGATAAAATTAAACTGCAAAATTCTAACAAACAAGCAATTGATACTTATGATGCTAAATAACCAGTAATTGAATGTGAAGTTGAAACAAGTGACTCGGATAATGAAAATAGTAAATAAAGTGTAAATAAAACTGGAAAAATTATGACAGAAAATATTGTAACAAACACAATATCATATAAAACAATAAAAACAGAATAAAAAGAAAGCCTCAATTTTGATGAATTATCGTCAGGCTCTTCTTTGTAGTTATCTCATTAGCAGTTTTTACTAATTAGGTAAAAAGCTAAGGAGCTATAAAATTAATTGTATTAGAAAACCTGCTCATTAGATTAAAATCAAAGATAATTAAGTTTAATAAACAAAAAAGATTAATTAATTTACAAATAAACGAATGATTCAGAGCAAAGGAGTTAAAGTGAAAATAGTTCTAAGCAAAAAAATACAAATTTATCTGAATTAGTGATTGATTGTTCTAAAAGTGATCTAAGTAATCAAATTAATAGTTCTAATAGCTACTCGAATATACCATAAATCGGAATTAATAATGCATCTCAGAATACTTCCATTTCAATTATACCATTAAATTAAAAAAAAGTAAACACGGTGATGAGCTCAATTATTTAGCAAAAGTACAACTAGGTACAGCAAAAAAGGGGAAGCTAAGATAAGACCCTCATTTCAAAAATGAATTAAATTTAATAAAAAAATTTTGTTATCTCACCTCTTATTTCAATGAATTAAGATTAGTAAAAATTGGATGAATGGCAGTATTCAGAGTAAATGTAAAAAATAGACTAATTAATTAACAAAAATCAAATAATTGAATAAATAAATTAAGAGCATGAATAGTTTATTTAATTAGAATTAGATAATTATAGAGAGTATAAATCTTATTTTCCTAACAATAACGTTTCAAATGTACTAAAAGCTTTTGTAAAATTCTAAAGAAAAATATAAGCAAAACAAGATTTAAATTAAAAAATCAGAAAAATCAAAGGAAGAAAAAATGCACATAAACTTACCTTGGTTAATTTACTTAAAAAGGATTTCTAATTCAAGTCTCTTTTCTCGAATTAAAATTAATGATAAACAAATTTTCTATAAATTTTGTGAGTTGGTTCTATCCACTCAATTATAAAATAAAATATCCAACTTTAAAGTAAAAGTTAATAAAATATTTTAAAAACTGAACTAAATAAATTTACTTAATCGCATGATAAAATTATTAAATATAGTAAAAATAAATTTTTAAATCATTAACTTTAATAATTTTTTTTAAATCTTAAGATAATTTAATTTTCTTACAACCTTATATTAATTAAACTATATTTGACTTTCTTTCTTACATTTTTTTTAAAATATAAATTTCTTTTATCAATAATTCTCATTTTTTTAAATTATTCTTTAATTTTGAAGTATAAATAATTATTTATATATTTTATAATTTTAAATTTAAACCTTATTGTTTGTTTCCGTCTTAAGAGTAAAGATAAATAAGGTAATATTTTAGAATACTAGCTCACTATCCCTAAATAAAAAAGAAGAATGATCAGATAATAGGTGTTAAGCAGATATTTAATTAAAGAAAAATGGTAGAATATTATTTGAGGAAAAGTGATAAATAAAAATAATGAATGTATTTTTAATATTCCATTTTTAATAAATCATATAAAAAACTTTGATTTTAAACATCTTTCTCTAACTTACACAAATATTAATTAAATTTTGTTCACTTCATACAGCTTTTTAATTAAATTAATTACAAAAATTATTTACTCTCCATCACTATCACTTAAATAAAAAAATACAAATATTTTTTTTAATTGTAAAGAAAAATTATGAATTAATTATCTTTCTCAAACATAATAAATTAAAATTTCAGATTAGTAAATTTTGATTTTTTTAAACAATTTTATCTTTTTATCGATTAGTTTAAATTGCATAATATTTTAAACTATTAATTTAGAAGAGAGAAAAGAATAATCTAAAAGAATATTATAAATTTTCACTCAATAATTTTAATTCTTATTGCTTAGCCATTATTTGAGTATTCATAAAAATTATGAGAATAAAAATTATTTAATATTTTCTGAGTAATATTTAAAAATATTCAAGCAGTGGTTGTTTAATAAAAAATAAGTAAGCGAGTATTTTAACTTAATAGTATTTTTCTACAAAGTATATTAATTACTATTAATTCTTATATTAATTAATTGATTTGTATATTTTCTTGCTTGCAAAGAATATTCAGAAAAAACAAGATTTAAATGACTATTTAATGATGAAAAATAAAATCTAACTTTTTAAACTATTTATTTTCTTGATTAATTCAAAAATTCAAATTAACATAGCCACTTATTTAAATTAATATTTTTATATCAAAAAATTTGGAAAAAAATGTTTAGCAATTATTAACTTCGTTATTTAGTATTTAGAAACTAAAAGCAGTAATGTTTACTTGAAGAAAAGTAAATCACAAATCCACATTCATAGGAATAAATCTAAATATTAAACGTGATTTTTATTATTTATATTTATTATTAAAAAAATATGCATTAGTAAATCTAAAAATTTTTCACTTTACATTTACATTTTGTAAAAATAGTTTCTGAATTTAATTTTTAGTTTAATAAATTAATTAAGTAAAGCAAATACGAGTGGCTCAATATATTTACATATAAAAAATTAATCAATATTAAAAAATTGATTAAGAAAAGTATGCTTAGCCAAGTACTAAAGAAAAATAGCTCATCTTATTTTAAAAAGGCTGCAGCAAGCGAGTAAGTAACTCCTTAAAGTAGAAGGTTTTCAAATTCACCTTCTCTTTAAGATCATGAAAATGGAGTTAATATATTAAGGCCTGTCTCATTAAAAAGTTAGTTTTCGAAAAGAAGCATAGATAAAGCAAACGCATTTAAATATTAAAGCAAACTTTACAAATAAAATTTAGAATCAACTGCCTCCTTTTTATCAGCAATCACATTCGCATGGACAATAGAAATTTTAAAGACTGGTAGCAAGTGTATTAAATAGAGAAGAAATCTTGAACGTATTATTTTTTATTTTTCAAATTTTTTTCCATAATTATTTAGATTAGTAGGAGTATATATTTAAGAGGGTTTAAAAGGTTTATCTATGAGTGGATAGCTAGATATAAATATTTAGTAGTTTTTCATTTAGCAATTAATTTTAAGATATTTTTTATAAAAATTATTATAGCAAACGATTTATATGACTGCATAAGTGAGGAAACTCCTGAATTTGCTCACGAGTATATGAAAAAAAATTTTTTAAATTAGATGACAAAGCAAAGCAATATGTTTCTTTAGTCTAAAGTAGAACATATATAAAAAGTTACATAAACCAAAAAGGATAAGAGTTATAAATAAGCAGATATGGCAAATGAAGAAAAATCATTAGCCAAATAAAAAATTTAAATAGATAATATGCTTTATAATATCATTAAACAAATGTGCTTAAAGGAATATATCGCTGCAACACTACTTTCTCTATTAGGAAACCTCTGTTAAGTATTTTTTAATATAAATTTTATTTAAATATGATGACATTATATAATAATATTTTCTGAGCTTTTACTTATCTTTTTAGTGATTGTTTAAAATTTTAATTTAATAATTTATTTATTTAAGATTCAGCTACCTGAATTGTTTAAATCCGTATTTAAAAAATACTAAAATTCATCTTTATTTTTTATAAATATCTTAGTTTGTTGGACCTATTGTGCTAAATTATATCATCAAATTTCTTAAAAATGAAAATGAACCTGCGTGGCATGGCTATGCTTATGCAACTATTATTTTTTTTGGATATCTTTTAAGAGTATTTTTCCTTCAACATTCTCTTCATCTTACAAACAGAGTAGGAATCAAAGTATTAAATAGTTTAAACACTTCAATATACAACAAAATATTAAAATTATCTGCTTCTTCTAAAAAATATTATGATTCCGGTAAATAATTCTTTTTTTATGTAAAAACAACGCAATCTATTTGAAGATTTAATAAATTTAAATGTTAAGCTAAAAAAATTAATTAAAAAAATTTATCTATATCATTAAGAATTTTTTTTAGTAAAAATATTAACCAATTTAATTTACGTTAAATCAAAATATTAATTAATCTAGGCAAAACCATGAATTTAGTAACTGTAGACTCTTAGTCAATATTTGGATATGTTATGATGGCATAAAATATGATAACTGGTCCAATAATCGTTTTAGTTGCTGTCGCATTCATTATATATGAGCTTGGAATCATTGGTTTGGCAACTCCATTCTTTTTCTTTTTGGGTGCCTATTTACAAAAAGTAGTAAATTCCAGGGCTTTTAAGCTCAGGAGGATAATACTTCAATGGACAGATAAGCGTTCTAAGCAATTAAATGAATTTTTTGAGAATATTAGAATAATTAAAGTAAATAAATTTGTCAGTAATTAAAGATATTTTTAATTAATTAGCAATTATTTAAAAAAGTATTATGGTTGGGAGGAAATAATTAGTCAAAGAATTCAGGGTATAAGAAAAACTGAAACAGCTAATCTGATCTAAAATTAAATTATTAAGACAGTAGTAGAAGTAATAATGAATTCAACTCCAATAGCTATTAGTTTATTTATTTTTGGTCTTTATGCTGGCCTTTATGGAGATATTGAATCTAACACTGCCTATACTATTATTAGTTTATTAAATTTACTTCTTAACCCTTTAAAGATGATTGTTATAGTTTTGCTTTTGTAACAAAATGCAACTACTTCTGCAGCTAGAATAAATGAATTTCTCTCTGCAGAGGAATAAGAGTCAACAAGTGAAAGATTTGATTATGAAAACTTAGAGTTAGGTGAAATAAAAATATAAGAGGCCTCTTTTTCTTGGGATTCGTTGAAGTCAGCTGTTCATAATAGCATGAGTAAATTTAACAGAAGAATTGGATAAAAAAGCAATACAATTTAGCCAATAAATGCTAATCAACCACAAATAATAAATAATAAAAATTAAAAGTAAAATTAAGTTTTCACAGCTGAATAAGTAATGCAATTAGAGTAAAAATAATTTTAGCTTAATGCAATAGAGTAGTTTTTCTCTCGTGATTTAATGACTTTAAAAAATATCTCTCTTCAAATTTAATCAGGAGAAATAGTTGCCATTGTTGGTTAAGTAGCTTCTGGAAAAAGTAGTTTACTTCTAGCTATTTTAGGTGAAATGGTTAAAACTTCTGGAAGTTTAAAAATAAATGGATAAATAGCTTATATTCCTTAATCTGTAATAATTAATACATTTAATTATAGTTATTTAATTAATTTATTAATCACTTATTAATTTTTGCATCAAATAGCCTTGGTTATAAAATTCTTCTCTTAGAGATAATATCATATTTGGATAACCTTTTGATGAAGAAAGATATTTTAAAGTCATTGAAAAATGCCAGTTGACAGTTGATCTGCAAAATAAAGAAGTAAAACTATTTCGATTTATTTATTAAAAAATTGGCTAACTATTTACTCTTAAATAGGTTTTTCCTTTAGGTGATCTCACTGAAATAGGAGAAAGAGGAGTAAATTTATCTGGTGGATAAAAGCAAAGAATAGGTATAGCCCGTGCTGTGTATGCTAATGCTGATATATATCTTATCGATGACTGCTTAAGTGCTCTTGATGCTCATGTAGGCAAGTTGATTTTTTATGATATAATTTGTGGAGAATTAGAGGAAAAGACTGTCATTTTTGTAACTCATGCAATCCATTTTATAGAAGATATCGAAAAGAGTAAAATAAATCTTTAATATAAAAATAAATAAATAAAATAAATATATAAAATAAAATCTGAATTAAATCTTTTAAAAAAATTAGTTATTGTTTTAAAGGAAGGATAAATTGTTAATGTTGGTACACATGAATTTCTATAAAAAAACTGTTAAGAATATCAAAAATTAACATTAGTAAATGAAAAAGAAGTTAATCTAAGTGATGAAAGTAGCAGTAACTCGAGCGGGTCTTACAGTGATGATTCAGATTCTGATTCTAGCTATGAAATAAGCCCCGAAGGTTCTGAAAAAAGCTTAGAGAAAGACGAAGAAAATAAAATTAAGAGCTCTGAAAGTGCAGAATCTGATTACTAACAAGAGAGAGTAAAATTTGAAAGGAAAGATAGGAAAGTAAGAGACTAATTAGAAGATAATGCAGAACAAGTGCCAGACTGTAAGAAAACTTTTTTTAAAATATTCTTTATTTAATTTTCAGAAAATATTACTTATCTTTATTCTATATTCGCTTAAATTCCTTTTTTTTCGATTAATAAATTATTTTTTTAATAAAAAAAAGTTAATTATGTTGAATAAAAAGGAAGGATATAAAACTTTTAAAAATCAGCAAGTATTCTTTCAAAAAGAAATTCTAGATAGGTATCTAGATAGGCATCTAGGTAGATTTCAAGGTAGAATTCTAGATAAGGAAGTATTCTTAATAAAACAATATAGTCTGAGAAAAAAAAGAGTAAATTCTCAATTAGAAGATCAGAAACTAGAAAAAGCATGTTCAACCTTTCTTACTTAGTAGAAGATAAATATTTTGAAGATAGTAAATAAAATTAACTCCAGCAAATTAATTAAATAAATAAATGAATTAATTTATTTTTTTAAACAAAAAGGTTCAATTCCTGCTTCAGTTTATAAAAGATATGTAATTTCAGGTGGTAAATGTGCTACATTCAATATGTTTATGAGTTTTCTACTCTCTTAGGCGTTTAAAATTATTTCTGATTGGTAAATATTTTATTTAATTCTATAAAGGTATTTATTTAACTAAATATTTTATTTTAATTAGGTGGATTGGCCAATGGAGTGGCAATTAATATCAGCAAACAAACTTATTCTACATGATCATATACTTTATTTTTGGTTTTTTATAAGCCATATTTATCTACTTGAGGGGATATACATTTAGTTTATTCACTACAAACAGTTCAAACGTTTTTTAATCTCGTTTACTTAATAGGTTGCTACATACTCCATAATGGTGGTATGATGTAACACCAATAGGTAAAATAATAGCTAGAACAACAAAAGATCAAGATGATTTAGATAGGTAAAATATTGTTTTACTTTTATAGATGGTTAAATTTGAGTATTTTTTCTCATCAAATAGCACTCTTCCTTGGAATATGAAGTTTGCTCTTACTAATATATTCTAATTAGTTACAGTTATCGTTACAATCGGAATTATATTTCCTCACTTCATTGCACTAGGTGCAATTTGCTTTTATGTTTACTTCATAATAATTAAGTAAATAAATTAATCATATTTTGTTCGTTTGTAAATTAATTAATTTTTAATAATCAAAGGTTTTATTTAATTACTTCAAGAGAAATCAAAAAAATAGAAGCAAGCACTCGTGGTCCTGTTATTTCGCACTTTTAAGAAACAACAAATGGAATATTTATAATTAGAGCCTTTAAAAAACAAGAAGATTTTATGAATAAAATGCTTTCAAAGTACTAAATATTTTTCACAATTTTATTTTAAATATTTATATTTATATTTTTTAAATTAAAAATATTAATTAGATAGAGAGATTATATTGTTAGTTTTGTAAATTAAAATTAATGCAATAGATGGGTATCTGTTGTAACTGATTTGATGGGACTTTTTATTGTTTCAGTCTGTGCATATTTTAGTGTACTCAGCAAAACTTTTAATATCGTTTCGAATGTTTCACTCATAGGATTAGCCCTCTCTTCCAGTTTTTAAATTTCCTAAATTATCAGCTTTACACTTAAATTGTTAGCTGATACAGAATCTAATATGAACGCTTTAGTGAGAATGATATAACTGATAGACACTAATCCATAAGAAAGTAGCTGGGATGATTGCAAAGCTCCTGAAAATTGGCCAAAACAGGGTGAGATTGTATTTGATAATGTCTCATTAAAATACAGATAAGAGCTTCCTCAAGTCATTAACAATCTCAGCTTTAAAATAGAGAAAAACCAAAAGATAGGTTAGCTTTTCATTTATTTAAATCACAAAAAAATCATTTTGATTAAAAATAAATAGGTGTTGTAGGAAGAACTGGATGCGGAAAATCGACTTTAACTTTAGGTATATTGAGAATACTTGAGATTACGTTTGATTAAAATGTAAATTTTTATATGAGTTGTATGTTTTTTTCAATAATTGTTTAATTAAAGAATGAAATAGGAAGAATAATCCTAGATGGCTAAGATATTCGTGAATTAGGTTTGCATGAATTAAGATAAAAAATTATGATTATTCCTTAAGAGCCTGTACTATTTTCAGGCACTCTTAAAGAAAATGTTGACCCATTTAATCAGTATTCAGAAAAAGATGTAGTAGAAATATTAAAGAAAGTAAGTATATGGGATCAACTCGATTAAATATTAGAAAAGCAATAAGATAAAAAAGCATCAGTTATTTAGAAAAATAAACCAAATAAAATGAGTTAAATTGCATCAGAAATTAAAGATGATCATATTAGTAAATTAAATTTAACCATAGAATCTGGTGGAACTAATTTTTCTTTGGGACAGCGTTAGCTAATTTGCATAGCAAGAGCTATAATAGTAAATTATTATTTAAATTAGAGATTTAAACTAATTAATTTTTACATTTTTGAAAAGAAAAAGCCAAAAATTCTATTGATGGATGAGGCTACAGCAAGCATTGACGAAATGACAGACTCTTTAATTTAAAACCTAATAAAGTAGGAGCTAAAAGATGTAAATTTATTTTATTTTTATTATTTTGTTATTTGAAACTATTCTTTCAATAAATAATACTTACAAAAATTAAATTTAAAATCAATTTAAATTTATTTTTGTTTATCAAAAAATATTTTCATAAATTAATATTTTTAACAAATAATCTAATTTTCCTTCATTTTAAAAAGCTTAAAATTATTATTAAATTCATTTAAATTGAATAAAATAAATTAATTTGCTTTCTATAATGTAAAAAGGCTACTGTTATCACTATAGCTCATAGATTAAAAACTATAATTCAATATGATAAAATTCTAGTTTTAGATAAAGGTACTTTGAAAGAATTTGATACACCTTTGAATCTTATAAATAAGGAATAGAGTATTACAAATTGTTATTAAAAACTAATTTATTAATTTAACTATCTATTTTATAAAAATAATAAGGCTTTTTCAGAAATTTAGTGATGGAAAATGGCATGATTTTCTTAGAGGAAATGAAATAACTTGCAATTAAAAAAGAATAAGAGAGTAAAAATGCTGCTTCGGAAGAAAACAACTAAGTTGCTATAAATTATCCAACTGTTAACGAAATTTTAAACACATAAAGAACAGAGAGGGCTTTAAACTATACTTTCAGCTCAGAAGATTATAAAACTAATTATAACCTTTTTAAGTAAGGTTAAACTAGTAGATTTATGAATGTATAAAATTCTTCAGCTATAAATATTCGTTCTAAAAGAATTTAACTCCCTTCTTTGCATGAAACATCTATTATGAAAACAAACAACAATGAAACAGCTGTTCCCTCAAATGAAGTCTAATCAAGTTAAATAATACAAGATTTAAACATAACTCAAAACAAATAATAAACTAAATCTAACTTAGATTTTTAATGAACATTACATTACATTAATCTTTTTCAAATAAAATATATTTAAAATTTAAACAATTAAAACCAATAAATTATAATAAAAAATAAAATATTCAAATTTAAACACGAATTTTATTTAATAAACATTTTAGACTATTCTAAACTATTTAAACTGTAATAAATATATTTTATAAAATTCTATTTATATTGCCTGCCACCTTACTTAAACTGTTATTATTTATTATAATACATTTTAACTTTATATTCTTTAAATTTAAAAAATATTAATTTTTTTTCCCATCGTTTCTTTAATTTGATAGGAAATGTAATAAAACTAGACAATTTTTTGAAATTTTTTAAATATAATAATAATAAGAATGTCAATAAGCATAAATCTTCAATTGAAATAATTTTATTTTTTATAGTTTTAAAGCATGACAGACATAAATAAATGTCAAAATATTTATTGCTCAAAAACAATATCTAAAAACAAATAACGATATTTTAAAATATATTAATTGTATATCCTCATTTATTTAAATAAATATTTAAATATATGTAGAGCCAGTTTAAAAATTATAAAATGAATATATACATGAATCCAGAAATAAATTTTTAACATCTTAAATAATAAGAATTTAAAGCATATTAATTATTTTAATAGTCCTTCATTTTATATTTATTTTATATTTATCTATTTTATTAGTTAAAAACTAATTTTATTGATTCATAATTTTTCTCTAAATCAATCTTATTAAACTTGTAAACTGAGTTATAAATATAAAAATTTTTAATAAATTCTGATATCGCTAACTGAAGATAAGTAAATAAATAAATAATTGAATGATTATATTTAAATTGAATTGAATTTAAATTTATTTACAAAATAAGTTTTTTATTTTTCCTTCTATAAATATAATTTTCATATTAGATTTGTTTGGAAACCAAATTAAAGTATTATAAAATGGTTTTAAGATAAATTATTGTACCTCTTCAGTAAAAAGATAAATTTCCAAATAGAAAAATCTTTTGGTAGAAAACTCTGAGAAAATAAAATGAAGAGAAAGCAATATTAAAATCAGAAATTATCAGCTGATTTTACAAAAATTTATTCTTACATCAAATAATCTATAAAAATTCTTAAAATCTTCTTTTTTTTTAAATAAACAATTTTCTAAGGGCAAGTAAATTAGCGCATTCTAAAAATCTCTATTTTACAAAATAAATTCATGATAAAATTTAAAAAATTTATAAATAAAGGATTTTATAGAAGTAAAATCATTTGTACCATCAATGCATATAGTCTAAATATATCTTTAAAGCACCATTATGAAAATAATTAAATTCATTAATTTGAAAATAATTAAATAACAAATTTTGTTTATATTTATTAATCTGTTATTCTTCTAGAAATTATATTTACAAATGTAAAATATGATTCTTAAAGTTTTCTTTTTTATAAAATTTTCGAATTATTCCAGAAAAAAGTTTAACATATATATATATTTTTGATCGCAAAATTAAAATAAAAGATAAACAATTTTACAAAAAAACAACAAACAAGTAATAGTTTCCTTCTTTTTAAATATAGATCACCATATTAAAAAGAAATTTATCCAAAAAACAATTTAGTTATTAATACAATCCATCATAAGAATTTCAATCTGCTAAAGTATTGCTCAAATGCAGGTTTAATAAGATACAGATGGCGTTAAGCCTCCTATTACTCATATCGCTATCGAAATGAAATAGAAGGAATCCATCAATAACAATGTGAATAATGACTAACCTTAAAACCCCTAAAGCTTACATCATAAGAAATTTTAGTTTACATAGGAAGAATTAATAGCAAAAGGGAAAACAAAGTATCATGAAAATAATGAGGTTAAAGCTGGATTTTTCTCATTTTTGACATTTTTCTGGACTTAAGGAATTATGTCTATGGGTGCAAAGCGTGAAAAGGAAAAGAAGTATTTGCAATGTAAAGAAATTACTTTTTGCATAAAATTATTTATTCATTAAACCGATATAATAATAAAAATATAGAGGATGACTTGTATGATTGTAGACCAAAAGAGCAGCCTCTTTTCGCATACAATTTTATGGAAGAGCATTTAATTTAACAAATAAGATCATTAGGAAGATAAGATCTACACGATGAAGCTGAACACGTAAAGAAGATGGCTGAAGAAAAACTGTTTAGAAGGTAAAATGGAGAGAAGGGAACCAAGCAATAAGAAAGACCTTACAAATAAAGAAAAATAGTAGAAAAAGTATTGAAAATTTTAGGTCTAAAGACATTTATCCTTGCTTGTGTTTTGGCTACAGTAGCTAATTTACTGCAGGTATAATTAAGATTGTTTTAGTCTACTTTCTAAAATTTAAGAATTTACTTGTAAATATGTCGCGAAATATTTTCAAAACAAAAAGATATGATCGATATTTGTTTTCCTTAAAAATAATAAAAATAATTCCACAATTATTTTTTAGTTATATAAAGAAAAAATTGTTATAGTCAAAATGATTGCTTAAATTACTTATTTAACAATTAGTACTTCCTTAATTAATAAAAAAATAGAGGTTCAAAATAAATTAATTTGATTGGGTTAAGCCTAAATTTTTTTCTTTTAAATTAAATTATAATGAATGATTAGAAAATAGAGCAATCGATATTTATTTACCTCTACTTTTAATTTATAAAATTTATTTCTTTTATCTAATTAAATTCATTACAATTTACTCTTAATAAATATAGTTTTCTGGCCCACTTTTTCTTAATGAAATTCTTAAATACATTTAATCATCTAGCGATGAACCTAAATGGCATGGATATTTATGGGCAAGTTTACTTACTGTTTGCTATCTACTTAGAACATTCATTCTTTAACACTCTTTACACTTGATTAACTTCACTGGTTTGCAAGTTTTAAATGCCTTGAGCAGTTCGATTTACACAAAAATTATGAGAGTTTCTTCATCCACCAGAAAATATTTTGACACAGGTAATAAAAAATTGCCATTTTTTAATTTTCAAATGCAAATTTTCAATTAATAATATTTTAGGAAAAACTATGAATTTAATTTCAGTTGATTCTCAAGCAGTATTCTAATTAATTATGTTGGGAACCTTCTTAGTTTCTTCCCCAATCATGGTTGTTGTAAGTATGGCCTTAATTATTGTATAAATTGGCCCTATTGGTTTAGTTGCTCCTGTTTTCTTTGTTTTTGGAACATATCTTTAAAAGAAAATTAACGCCGCTGCATTTGCTTTAAGAAAAATGCTACTCACTTTTACAGATAAGAGATCTAAATCTGTGAATGAATTTTTTGAAGGAATACGTATAATTAAGGTAAAATATAAATCATAATTTTTTATTTCTTTTATTGAATTTGCTTTCATAAAAAATTATTTAAATAATTTCAAACCAAGCAATTTTACATTCTTTGAAATTAGTTAATTAATTTAAATAAAATTAAACCAATAAAAAATTTTGATAAATTAATTAACTATTTTTATAAATATTTCTCAGAAAATTCCTAAAATCATAAATTTATTGAATGTCAAATAATTGGCTTTAATAATTTAATTAATTTTAAAACAATAAAGTATTACGCATGGGAAGACATGGTTAGCGAACGTATCTTCAATATTCGTTAAAATGAATTAAAAGGATTGATGAAAAGTTAAATTTTAAAGAGTTTAATAGAAGTCACTATGAATGTTACTCCTCTTTTAATGAGTATCCTTATTTTTGGTTTGTATGCAGCTATCTATAGCGATTTCAATGCAGCAAAAGCATATACAGTTTTGAGTTTATTCAATTTACTACTTATACCTTTGAGAATGGTTACAATGGTGTTAATGATGTACTTAAATGCAAAGGCTTCTATGACTAGAATCGAATTCTACTTAATGAGTGAAGAAAGAGAAGAAGATGTTGTAATTAAAGACGACCCATCCTTATAAGTCGGAGAAATTGAAATCAATAATGGAAATTTTGCTTGGGAATCAGTAACAGCTGCCATTCACAATGAGTAAGGCATGAAGTTTATGAGATAAGGTGGTCCACCTGGAGGCTAGAAAAAACCTACACCAGGCAATAATGAGAAACCTAAAGGCCCTGGTTCATATTAATAAAATGAAACATTAGCTACCCAAAATGATTAATTGATCCAAAAAGAAGAAGATTTCAATAAACTAACTCCACTTGAAGAGCTTTCTTTGAAAAATTTGAATATTCTTAAAAACATCAATCTTAAAGTAAAGTCCGGATAAATGATGGCTATTGTTGGATAAGTAGCTGCTGGTAAATCCAGCTTACTTCTTGCAATTCTTGGTGAAATGAAAAAGAACACTGGTGAAGTCAAAGTAAAGGGAAAAATAGCTTACGTTCCTTAAACAGTAATTAAATTTTTCATAATTTGTAATATGTAAATTTTTTTTTTAAAACTAGGCTTGGTTATAAAATGCTACTTTGAGAGACAATATACTCTTCGGATAGCCTTGGGATGAAAAAAAATATAACGATGTTATTGATAGATGTTAATTGAGATCTGAAATAGAAAATGGTGAAGTAATTAATTAATTAATTAATGTTTTATAATTAGCTTATTTTTCATTTTTTATCTAAACTCAACAATAGGTTCTTCCTGGTGGAGATATGACAGAAATCGGTGAAAGAGGTATAAACCTTTCTGGTGGTTAAAAGTAAAGAGTAGCTATAGCAAGAGCTCTATACTCTGATTCTGACATATTTATTATAGACGATTGCTTAAGTGCTCTAGATGCTCATGTCGGAAAGAATGTCTTTGATCTTGTTTTAAAAGGCGCCCTTAAAAATAAAACAGTTGTTTTTGTTACTCATGCTCTTCATTATATGCCTGAAGTTGAAAGAAGTAAAATTTAAAATTAATTTACTAATTTATAAAATCAAAAATTTAATAATTTACTAAATGTTTCTAATTTAACTAACTAATTAATTAGTCATTGTAATGAAGGAGGGTGAGATCGTTGAAGATGGAACTCATGAATATTTAAAGAAAAATGGCTAAGAGTATATTAGACTAAATTAATTATAAGAAGAAAAGAAACAAGAAGAAGAGAAATCATAAAAAGAAAAGAGTAGAATATCTAATAAAGAAGATCTAGAAGTTGAAAATGATTAAGAAAATGACGAGAACAAGCTTGCCGAAGAAGAATAATCTATGAATCATGATCCAGATTTACCTTCAGGTAATTTAAAATTAATAAACTTAGAATTATCAATATTAATTTTATTTTTTATATTTAGCCGAAAGAATAGAGCTAAAAAATAGATAATCAGAAGTTCTTAGTCAAACAAATAAGGTTAGAAGAAGAACTATGGAATCAAGAAATGAATCCGAATAATAAAAGAATGAAGAAAATAAATTAGAAATTAAGAAATAAGTTGGTAAAATTGTTTAAAAAGAAGAAAGAGCTACAGGTGCAGTACCAGGCTATGTATACAAAAAATACATTAATTTCTCAGGTCTTAAAAATACCTTGGTTATGATTACATGCTTTTGCTTAGCCCAAGCTTTTAAAATGGTTTCTGATTGGTAAATTTATTTATTTATTCATTCATTCATTCATTTCTCACTAAAATTAAAATATTTTTCAATTTCATTTTTATCTAATTAATTAATTTTAGCTTTTGACTTATTTATTTATTTATTTGTACAATTTTTAAATAGGTGGATTGGTTAATGGAGTTCAGATTCATATGAACTTAAAACTGGAGCTTATATCGGAATTTATGCTATTTTAATTATATTCTCAGGTCTTTTCATTTTCCTGAGAGGTTATACATTTGGTATTTTCAGTTTAAAAAGCTCATAAAACTTTTAGCAATCTCTTCTGAGCAAACTTTTACACACTCCTCTTTGGTGGTTTGATATCACACCAACAGGTAGAATTGTTGCTAGAACAAGTAAAGATTAGGATGACTTAGATAGTAGTCTACCTTGGAATATGCAATTTGCAGTAACTAACATCATATAACTTATTGCTACTTGCATTATGATCGGCATTATTCTTCCCCTCTTCTTTATTGTTTTCTTTATTACTTTCTTCATATACGTCAGAATTATTGGGTAAATTTATTTTCGAAAGCAATTAATTAAATAAACAAACAAAAAAATATTATTAAAAATAAGATATTACCTTATCACAGCTAGAGAAATTAAGAGATTAGAAGCCAACACAAGAGCTCCAGTTATCTCTCATTATTAAGAATCTATCAATGGACTTTATGTTATTAGAGCCTTTGGCAAAGAAAAGGACTTCATTCAAAAAATGCTTCTAAAGTAACTTAAAAATTTATTTAGCTTTAAATATATTTATTAAAATTGTGAAAAAAAATATATAGTGAAAGAGATTATATTATCAGTTTTACAAATATGAACTACACTAATAGATGGATTTCTATTATTACAGAGATATTTGCTTTAGTCATAATCAGTGGTACTGCATATTTCGGTGTTTTGAGTAAATAATTCAACTATTAAAGCAATGGTTCTTTGATTGGTTTAGCTCTTACATATAGTTTCTAAATTTCAGCTATTTTATCATTTACTCTTAAGCTTATTGCAGACACTGAAAGTGGCATGAATGCTGTCGTTAGAATGCTTTAATATATTGAAAAGAACCCACAAGAAAATGACTGGAGATCATAAAAACCTATTGAGAAATGGCCTCAATAAGGTCAATATTAGCTAGATAAAATCACCTATAAATATAGAGAAGAATTGCCCACAGTTATCAATGGTATTTCTTTTGACATCAAGAATAATGAAAAAATTGGTGTTGTTGGTAGAACTGGAAGTGGTAAATCTACTTTGACTTTAGGTTTGATGAGAATTCTTGAACTAATTCAAGACAATAATGTAAATAAATTGCATTGTTTTTTTCTAAACAAAATAATAAAATAAATCAATTTAAAACAAATAAATAGGGATAACTTGGTAAAATTAGTTTAGATGGATAAAATATTAGAGATATTGGATTACATGATTTGAGAGAAAAAGTAACTATCATTCCTTAGGATCCTCTATTATTCAGTGGAACAATTAGATCAAATATCGATCCATATAAAAAATATACTGATTCGGAAATATGTGACGTTCTTTAAAAAGTGGAGATCTGGAATTAACTTGACTCCATTCTTGAGAAATAGTTAGAAAAAGAAAGTAAAGAAAAGAAATAAGGTGGCTAACTTTCAAACAATCCTAACTACTAGATGGAGTAAATATAGAAGAAAAAATTAGAAATTGTTGTAGAAGGAGGAGGTTCAAACTTTTCTTTAGGACAAAGACAATTGATATGCATTGCAAGAGCTTTGATTGTAATTATTTATTTAAGTTTTTTTAAATTAAATTAATTATTTTACTTGAAAATAGAAAAAACCTAAAGTACTCTTGATGGATGAAGCTACTGCCAGTATTGATGAAATGACTGATAGATTAATATAAAATATGATTAAAAAAGAGCTTACTTAAGTAAATAAATTATATTTTATAGAATTTAATTAATATATTTAATCTTTTTATTTAAATAGACCACAGTAGTTACTATTGCACACAGACTGAAAACAATTATTCAATACGATAGAATAGTCGTTTTAGAACTTGGTAATTTGAAGGAAATAGAAACTCCATCAACTCTCTTAGAAAATCCAAACAGCTATTTCTGTAAGCTTGTTAATTCTCATGGCAAATAATTCTATGATGAAATGAAATTGCTAGCTAAGAACAAAGAACTTGATGTCTATTGATCTTACAAATAATAATATTCTTAACATTTACTTATAATTTCTATTTCAAAAATATATCAATCAACACAAAAGTAAATTTATTTACAATATGTTGTTAAACTATCAAAATTGTAAAAAATTAAAATATTCATAAAATTATTTTTAGTAAGCTTATATATATATAAATTTATTTTGTCACTAAACATTTTAAATAAAATTTATTTTCTTTTTAAACATTAATCGTTTTTAAACAATATCTAATCTATGTTTAAAAAATATATTTTTATTATTGATAAAACATAATTTCAAAATATGGATTTGCTATATTTTAAAATTGTTTAATTACTCAATGTAATATAAATAAATATTGTTTAAAATTAAAATGAAATTTTTTATAATAAAGTCAATTAATTTATAGAAAAAATCAGAAATGGCAAAAATATTTAAAATCAAGTAAAAATATGATTACTAACTTATGAATTTATAAACTTTAAATAAAATTAATTACAAGTTATTTTAAATATTTTTTTACAATTAATTTATAATTTTTACTTTCCTTATTTAATCAATCAATCAAAAGAGTTGATTGACTTAAAATATTGTAAAATATAAAAATAATTCATGATAAAATATTTAATAATAAAATGAAGAGAATAAATTTAATAAAAAAGATAAAATTTTCCCTGGATTAAAATCATTAAATTTAATTATGACATTACTATTTTTTTACTTTTTTAAATAAAGATAAAATAAAGCATGAAATAAATAGTTTAACACTATACTTAGTAATCCAAATATCAATAATTATAATTCAAAAACCTATTAAATTTAAATAATTTATCAAGAAGCAATATAAATATCTGTTAAAGGTTTTTTGTAAATAGTTTTTTTAAAACAATAATTAAAAATACAATAAAATAATAAGGTGTAACAATTTGAAATAGGTTTAAATATTCTAAAAATAATTTTTTAAAAGTTTTATTTCATAATCATTTAATATGAAACTTTTTTATCTGCAAATATGTTATTTCTTTTCCTTTTCACTGTCCATTCATACAAAAATTCAATAGAAAATTTTATAAAACTTCCCCTTGCTTTTAAAACCTGAATCTAATATTATTTTATAACTTGAGTTTAATTTTTAAAATCATATAGAATTTAGAGAGAAACGACTTTTAATAAATTAATTTAAGATAAATAATATTAATAATCTATGCACTTTTAGATAATTTATTTTTAAAGAATATTTTTAAGGTGTTCTAAAATAAATTACCTTTTTTTATACCAAAATTTATTTTAGAAAATTTTAACATTCTATTTTTAAGCTAATTTTAAAGAATTTAACTAATTATTATAATAGAGAGCTGATAAATTTATAATTATTTATTTGATTTAGTAATAAAAAAATTATGAAATTAACCAAAATTTTCAGATTAATAAAAGAGTCTATCAAAATAATTGCATTTATCACATTCATTCAATTCTAAGAATTACAGGATAAAAGTATCTATCAAACTACCAAAAGTTTTGTTAGATTTATGTAGAAGAAGAATTATTTATAACAAATGCAAAAACTATAAATTTTAGATTTAATTAATAATCAAAAAATATTGATATTAATTTTTAATAAAAGCTAACATAGTTAATCTACTTATAAATATCATTTCAATTAATAATAAAAATGGTTAAGTTTTGTGAAACCTGCAAAGATAAAAAGGCATTTATAGTCAGACCAAAGACAGGAAAGTTAATTTGCTAAGAGTGTTTCTTCACAGCATTTGAAGAAGAAATTCATTATACAATTATTTCCAACAATCTATTCAAGAGAGTAAAGAATTATTACTAAATATAAAAATAGCAATAGAATCAAAACAAATTTTACAATAATCAAGAAAATTTGATAGCTAAATATTAATTTAAATTTAAAAAAGGGAGAAAGAATAGCTGTTGGTGCTAGTGGTGGTAAAGATAGCACAGTGCTTATCCATGTTATGAACCATTTAAATAAAAAGTATGACTATGGATTGGAACTTATTCTTTTAAGTATTGATGAAGGTATAACAGGATACAGAGATGATTCTTTAGAAACTGTTAAGGATAACTAAGTCACTTACGGTTTGCAATTAAAAATTTTAAGCTATAAAGATTTGTATGGTTGGACTATGGATGAAATAGTTAAATAAATAGGTCTTAATAACAATTGCACTTTTTGTGGTGTTTTCAGAAGATAAGCTTTAGACAGAGGTAAATAATTAATTAAATAAATATATTAAATCAAAGAAAATGTGAGTATAAATAATCGATTTTAATTTTTTTTATTTATTATCGTTTGAAAAGGTGCCTAATTATTGAATTGTGATAAGATTTTAACTGGCCATAATGCAGATGATATTGCAGAAACTATTTTAATGAACATTGCAAGAGGTGACTTCTTTAGATTGGGAAGATGTGTAAAATATAAATATTCCTAAAATATAAGCATTTAAAATTAAGTTATCAATATTTAATAAAGGTTTAAATTACAACTGGAGGAGATGGAGTTGACGATGATGATCATATTCCTAGACTAAAACCATTTAAATATACTTATGAAAAGGAAATTGTTTTATATGCCTATCATAAAAAGCTAGTCTACTTTTCAACTGAATGTATTTACTCCCCAAATGCATATAGAGGTCATGTAAGAGAATTGATTAAAGATATTGAAAAAGTTAGACCTAGTTCTATTGTAGATATTATTCACTCTGCTGAATAGATCGCTATAAATATTAATGTTAAGCTTCCAAAGAAGATGAAATGTACTTAATGCGGTTTTGTTTCTTCCAATTCAATCTGCAAAGCTTGTGGACTTTTAGATAAACTTAATAAAGGTAAACCAAAAGTTGCTCTTAAGGCTGAATGAAAAATACATAAATAAATATATGGAAAAAATATATCGATTTTAATAAATAAATAAATTGAACCATATTTAAAAATAAATACAACAAACTATATTATTTATTATATAAATAAGTGATTTTATCTTAATCTTTATTAATAAAATGAATACTTTTTCATCTATTAAAAAAATTGTAAAAATGTTTTTATTTGAATTAAAATATTTGTTTTATATGAATTTTGTATGGATTAATTTAATTATATATAAATTCATATCAAATCTACCAAGATAATTATTTCAAAGTTATTTATTATTTAATTAATTATTTCTATTACTCTTTATGACTATCTTTTAGAATTAGCAATCAATTACAAGTGTGATTGATTGATAAACAAATAAATTTGATTTTATTTTCATAGTAATTTATCAATATCTTTAATCTTTGTTTATTAATTAATTAATGTAGAAACTCATTTATTGTTATATTTAGATAATATTTATTTTAATTTTTAATTACATAGTGTTTTAATAATGGCATACAAATATTAAAAGCTTAATACTCCTTTTTCACTTCATTAGTAAGGAAATACGGTTTTTGAAAATAGTGGATTGTCTTCATTTAATGATAAAACTGCAGAGTTTTTATAAAAAGCGATGGCTTTTACTACAGGAACTAAAAAACCAAAAAATTAAGAAATATATTCTGCAAATAGTGAGATATTATTATTAATTGTTTTCAAATATTTTATCAAAAAATGAGTTATTTATAGATTTTTAAAAAAAATTAAAGGCTTCTTTATGAAATCTAGCGCATTGAGAGAAAAGATTAGAATTACTAACGATAGATTAGTAGAATTAAATAATTGTATACTTTTATAAGTGTGGTCTATAATTTTTACAAATATGGTTTTAAATAAAAGTGTAAAAAAGTTCTGGTTTATTTAATAATGAAGAAAGCAAGATTAATGATTTAATGATGTTAATTGGAGAAGTAAGTAATTTATTTATTTATTGTAGAGCTAATAAAAAGATTGAATATATTTATTTTTAGAATATTAAATAAGTTGAAGCTGGCATAAATGAATTAGAGCGTAGTAGTGCTGATGAATGCATTAGATAGTCAAGTGCAGGTCATTCTATGTATAAATCTATCATAGAAACAATTAAATTTACTCTTTTAAAGATTATGGATGAATATAAAAAAACAACTACAAAAAGAATGGAGGTAAGCATAAAATATATAAAAAAATAACATTGATTTATTCATTTAATTAATTAATAAATTAAAGGATATAGCACATAATTAATAAAAACCTTTATTTGGAGCTGCTATTCCTGGTGTTGAAAGGAGAGGACCCAGAATTCAAAAAGCTTAATTCCTTGTACAAAATAATAAGTATGTTAACAACTTTTCTGCTCATTTAGGATATTGTTTATTCTATATATATTTAATATTATTAAAGTGATGATATTGAAGGAGGTAGTTCTGGTGGACTAGGATATAAATAAGTTGATTACAAAGAAAAAGAATAGCTATAAGTTTCAGAGGCTATGAAAAAATTAAATACTCAATTATAAAGTGTGTATGAAATGTTTAAAAAAATTGGATCTATGGTACAATTTCATGAATCTATGATAGAAAGGTATAAATTTATATTATTTATTTCTTTTTAATTGATAGATTGATTTCTAAATTTTATAAATATAGCATTGCTGAAAATACAGATCAAGCAGAGGCAAATGTAAATAGAAGTAAAAAAAATATAGCTGATGCATATAGAGATGCAAGCTCTTCAAGAGGCCTAATTATAAAAGTAAAATTTATTTAATTAAAATTTAAAAAGTAAATTCACATTAAATTTTATAATTAATTTAATAGATATTTTTGATTATGATCATATTTGCTTTTATTTATATTGTATTTTTACTTTGACTTAATATGAGCTTTATTGAGTGGCATTTATATTGTAAACAGAAAATATTTTTTATTCTAAATATTATTTTGATTAAAAAAAATACCTTTGATAACTTGCTATTTTCAATTTAATAATGTATTATTTATTTTGTGGTTAAAAACATCTAAATTATTCTGTACTTATGTTAAATTTTGATTAAAGAATACGCTAAACAATTAAAAAAAATATAAAAATGGTTTATTTTTTTTATTCGTAATTGGCTACCATTACATATTTAAATACTTTTTTTAATCTAAAACTTTAATTGGAGAAATGAAATTAGAAAGATTCCAGAATAGAAAAATAAACAAATCTAAAGATTTTCATACAAATAATAAATATCAAAAAGCTAATATATATTTTTAAAATAGCATTTTTTATATAATGAAAAGTGTTATTATTTTCTCATCTAAATAGAAAAACAGAGCAACTTTTTTCAAATTCTGGAAAAATATTTTTTAAAAATAGTTTATTTTAGATAATTAATTTATCAGAGCATAAAGTCAATTTAGGTACTTCTCTTCATTCTAGGATATTTTTTTAAATTAAGTAAGGATTCTTCTTTAACTAAAAAATTGGCTTGTATTCTTTATTATGAAATTGAAAATTAAAATAGTAATTTATCTTATTTACCATAGAATTCTTAATAAATGAGTATCCAATTTTCAGATAAATCTAAAGTAAAGTAATGCATATAATTAGAATACTTCTTACTGTTTAAATAAATCTCCAGTAAAGCTACCCTAGTTATTCTATATCTTCATTAAGAATGGTATATTTTTTTCAGCATTTTAATTTTCTAAGTTATCTCCTTCTTGATCACTGTTATCATCTAAATAACTACCTTATTCTAATTTGCACTATTTTTATTTTTCTAAGCATAACTTTTTACCCTCAGGCATTTTCTAAAGACCAAATATTACAATATAGTTCTATTTTAAGATTGTCATATACATTCATATAAAATATTTCTTAAAGTAAATGAGATAACGATTCCAAAGGGATAAAGCACAAATAGAAATTTATTACCATATTTTTTATCCTTTAGGTAATTGTTTAGTTCATCTAGCATATATCTGGGAATCAAAAAATTCATTAAAAAAGATTCAATAAATCCTTTTAAAAAAGTCTTTCCTGTCAAAAATATGTAAATCTATCTTGATTAAATAAAATTTGGATTAAAAATTTAAGTATTTTTAATTTATAAATGTTTTGAAAATAATCAGAAGCCTTACAAATTTTTCTTTTTGTAAAATATATATGAAATGGATATATTGATTGATAATTAATTAATTAAATAATTAATTAATAAGATTATAGTCTATCATATTTTATATCATGTATACAAATTGAATTTAATAAATCATTCATTTCAATGACGAAATTAGGTGTAAAAGAATTAAAATTATTATCAATTTTATTGATAAATTTAAATTTTCTTAATTAAAAACATAAGCAGATTTTCACAATTTAACTTAATCAGAATTAATTCTTACAAAATTGAAACCAAAATATTATTATGAATTTAAAATTTTAATTTTCACATAAATTTGTTATTGTTAGCTAACTTTTTAATAATCCATATTTTAAAATATCAGTTTCTCTAATTTTTATACAATTTAAAATCGAAAAATTAAAAATATTTAAATTGTTAATTGCAAAATTTGCTTTTATTAAAAAAAATTATCTTATTTTTTAATAGAACAAAAATTTCTATTTATTTTTTAAAGTTTTTTTTGATGAAAATAAACAAATTCCTTTTGTTTTTGTCTCAATAAATTTTATTTCTTTTGACAAAATTTATTTTGTTTTATTTGATATACTATCAACTCTCATTAATTAAGGTTTCTTTTAAAGATTTTCTGGAGTTTATTTATATTAAGGCTTATATCCCCAATCAAGTTTAAAACCAGGGCTAGGGGGGATAGACTTTAATTAATGAGGATTGACAGTAAACAAATTTTTTATTTCTAAAGAATTTAAAATTGTTGATTAGTAACAAAGATTTTACATTTTCAACTTTAATTTATTCCTTAATTAAAATAGGAATGATGAATATGCAAATAATAAGAATACAAAAATCTCTACTAAATTAACATTTTGATAAAATAGAAATTATAATTAATAACTTATCATTAATTTGAATTTTTTAAACTGTTAATATAAGAATAGTATTTTTTGACAAGTTCTTCAGAGTTACAAGCTTGGAGGTCTAAATCTGTAACTCTACCATCCTTTACTCCATAAATCCAACCATGAATATATACCTATTAACCTCTATCCCATGCTCCCTACATGATTGTGCTGTTTCCAAGATTGTAAACCTACTCAGCAACATTAATCTCACACAATTTATCAACTTGTTCTTAGCCTTCGAACTTTTTTAAATATTCTTAATGCTTCAAGTATAAATCTCTAATATGCAAAATCCAGTTATTAATTAATCCAAGTTTGGGATTAGTGATTGAAGCAGCTACACCACCACATGAATAGTGCCCACAAACAATAACATGCTTTACTTTCAAAACGTCTACAGCAAATTGAACTACTGAAAGACAGTTTAAGTCAGTGTGGATGACTTAGTTTGCAACATTTCTATGAACAAACAATTCTCCAGGATGAGTCCCTGTTAATCTCTCAGCAGCCACTCTACTATCTGAGCAACCAATCCATAAAAATTTAGGTGTTTATTATTTGGCTAGCTCATCAAAAAATTTTGGATCTTCTTTTATGATATTTTTTGACCACTCTACATTATTTTAAATCAATCTTTGGATCTCAGAAATTCTTTTGTTCTACAAGCAATAAGAGAAGCCAGGACCTTTTAAAAGCTTTCTAAAACTATTCATCTAATGAAAAGCTAATATATTTTTTTTTAAATAAGTTATTTAGTATATTATTTTTTATTTTTTTTAAATAAATTATTATAAAGTTTTGATCTGACTTGACTATTTTTATAATGAAATTTTTTGTTTTTTTTAAGTAGAAATACGCTTATTATCAACGTTTTAAATTAATTGAAGATTACTTTCGTCTGAGTAAGAATGCAAAAAATTTTTCAGTATTATTAATTATAATTTGTAATAATTTTTTTTGAAATCTTGCTTTGAATTCATTTTGAAGTCATCCAAAATAAAAAGTAATCTTTTTTTTTACTCTATATTAAAGTAATTGTTAAGTTAACCAGCTGTTGAATTGTTTTTCATACTTTTATTTTATGTTGCAAATAAATAAAAAAATTCATCTTAAAATTAAAAAAAACAGAAAAAATAAATTTTCATGTGATTTAAATAAAGTATTTTTATTTTATTATAATTAAAAATCTAACATTCTTGTGCAAATTTTTAACTTACTTGTATATTATCTTCATTAAATTGAATGAGTATTAGAAGCGTCATCTTTAATGAAGGTTTGATTCTAAATGAATGAATAAATAAATAGTATTTTTATTTGAAAAAAGAATAATTAATTATCTCAAAATTTATTCACAATTTATTTTAAAGTTTACATGATAAAAAGTTAAAAAAGGTTATAGTTATTGTTGTAATTAAAAATAAAAAATTATTTATTGACTTTTTAACATTTACCTAAATTGTATTGAAAATTATAATCAAATTATTTATAGAAATTCTTAAATGTATTTCTAGTTTAGCTAATACCTCTTTGTATTTGAAGATCAAAGAAACTTAAAAACAAATAAGATTTAAGATAATTAACTTCACCAAATAATTTTTAAGTCACTAAAAATAATTATTTCGAGTTCATAAATTAATTTAAAAAATGATCAATTAGTTTATAAATATATAATTTATTTTTAATATTATAATTAGATAAAATTTATAATACTCAAATATTAAATAAATAAATAAATAAATAAATAAATAAATAAATAAATAAATAAATAAAAAAAATCTTTTTGAAATTAAAAATTTTATATTATCTTACAGAATAGCTTTAATTTTCTATTAGTTAAATATTTTATGGCTTTATAATAAATTACCTTTTTATTTACTATATGAGTTTACTTAGTAAGAATATATTATCAATATTTTAGGTTATAGATTATTAAACTAGTAATACTGATAATTTAATAATCTAAATTATATTTTGAAAGAAAATTATATAATCTAAAAATATTAATATCCTATTCAATATATATTTTTAACCAAAAATTTTTAATTTCTTTCTTAATCTATCCATTAATTTAGAATACATATTACTTAGTAGATCATAAAAAAATTATATTCAAATTTATAAATTTCAGTTAACTAACATTTTCAATATTTGTATATATAGCAATGGTTAATTACAGTACTTTTTCAAATTTTTCTAGAATATTTTCTTCAGATTCCATTTAGTCCTTCAATTAAGAGTTTAAATGAAAGACCAATACCAAAATAAACCGACTAATATTTTTGCCTGCTTATAAAGTTTGTACGACATAGACAGATTTTCCTGTATATATCATGGTGATTTGAATTTAAAATTGAGATTGGTTAATTTCAAAACTTTAATTTTAAAGATTAAATTTATACTGCATTATTAATTTAATCCTATTATTAATCTGAATTGAAAAAAAATTTTATTAAATTTTGAATTATTTTATAAATTTATACTAGTGTTATTATTGTTTTATCGAATAGAAATTAAAATAAAAGTAAGTTTTTATTAAAAAAAAAAATTGTATTTTATCATTTTTAAAAAAAATATTTTATTTTAAATAGTATTTATTATTTTTAAGTATTAAGTGTTGAAATTTAATTTCTTTTTCTACTAAATAAATTTATTATAAGAGCAAATGATAGAAAAATGAGCCTAACAAAGAAAAATATATCAATAACAATTAAAAAATTTTATGTATGCAATTGGTCTTTTTAAAAAATTTTTTTGTAATGTCATGAAATTAATTAAATATTTTCTATCTAATACATAAATATATGATTATAATCAACTAAAAAATAGCTAGCTGAAAGATAGATAATATCACCAGAAAAAATTAAGATTAACTATTTTAAAAGATTTGAAATGTTTTGAATTTCAATTAAAGTAGAGTTTTCAAATTGTTTGTTTTATTAAAAAGTTTTTTAATTTCAAAAAATTAGAAGAAAGTATGAACGAATGGAAGAGAGTATATGTATTTGGAGATTATAAATTGAATTAAAAATTTGTCTGTTTAAAATAGGAACATTGATGGATTTTCAAATAAAATAATAAAAAATCTTAATTAAGAGTTTAAATTTTGAATGAGATTCACTCATTAGAATAAATTTTTTCGCTAAAATTTAATTAATTTTTGAATGATTTGATTCTGTTATGAAGGAAAATACCAAATAAATGAAGAATGAGATCATATATTTAAAGACAATAAATTAAATTAGTGTGTTTGCAAAGAAAAAGGAATAATTTTAAATTATATTAACATTTGTTTGCAAATTAAATATGCGATGATTGATATTTTGTTTAGATTAGCTACATCCTTAATTGATTTTGTTTGATTATTTTATTCTTAAAAATTGAAAGAAAATCATTAAAAATTCAAAGAAAGAATAAAAATACTAATTAAAGTCAATCAAAAGCATATAATTAATATATTAATAAATATAAAAACATAGTCTAAAACAAGCAATATATAAGATATGCAAAGACGTAGAGTGCAATCTGCAGAAAACACTAAACGAATTTTTAGTCTAAAAGGAAGCATTAATGGCAATAATTAATAGCAACAGCAGAAGGGTGATTAAAAGCAAAGCTATGAAATACATATGGCTAGTTAATAGTAGATTCGACAATAAATTTTGAGGGATTCTCTTAATGAAAAAAGCAGTCAATTAAATATCAGTGGGTATAATCAAAATCACAATGATAATTCTATGAGTTTTGAAGACAGCAGAAGAATTTCTTATAACGTCGCTAATTATTATGCAGAGCCAAAATAAAAAAAATAAAACTAAAATGGTTCAATGGATGTTTTAAGGAACAACAATAATCCAAACAGCCCTCAATCAACAGGATAGTAAATATTTTTAATAAATAAATATATAATATTTGTCTTTCTAATTTAATTGATTTTTGGTGAAAATTTAATTGATTGAAATACACAGCTTAATTTTTCTATTCAAAATTGCAAATATTTACTTTGTAGTTTCTCCTAACTGATTATTAATTTACTCTACTATTAATAATAGAATTAAGCGCAAAATCATTATGAAATGTAAGGTCAGTGCCTTTCCGTAAGATTTTTTCTCCTCAACTTAAGCTGAAACAAACAAAACAGTAGGCACCAATGATTTAAGCTATTAATTGAGAGTTATAAATAAAAGCGGAAAACTATCTGATAAGCTTGAACACTCTAATAATAATATGAATACTATGAAATTCAAAGGCAAGACCAGCAACTAAAGTGGCAACGGCATTGTTAGATACAGCGTTGATAGATTAAATAGCAGTCTAGATCCAGCTAATCAAGTAATCAGAAAATCAGATACTATTGATCTTCATACAAAAGATATTTTTATTATGAATCAACCAAGAAATAGTAGTCAAGCTAGCAATTAACATTTAAGCATTTTGGGAGTAACTGCTAAAACTTATTCTTAGGCTAGCGGAATCAATAAATCATAAGCAATACCTAAGAAGCTGAATTCACATAATACTTATGCTGTAAACAACAACATAAAAAAATTTGATTAGACATAGATTTTTTAAAAAGATTAAAAAGATCCATCAAATTTTAAAATTTAAACACCAAAATTCAATATATTTGAAGGCATAAATCAAAAATCAAATAGTCTCTGCATTAGTAAAATTAATAACTAGACTTCAAATTTGAAAGATTTAATTAAAAATTCGAATGCCGTTAATAATTTTGAATTGTATATAAATCCTAATGACTTATCTATTTAAAATGATAATATTCCACCAATTGATACAAATAGATCGATTTAAAGCGAATCTGTTAGCAATTTACCAAACAAAAAAGGCTAAATGACACAGTAGATTAACAACAAGCAAAGGCCACCTAAGCCCATACAATAAACAAAAACAAATAAACCAAATTCTCAATAAAATAGTACAATATAAAAAGATACAAGATGTCTTTCAGCCTCAATAGATGTTATTCAAAAAACAGCGTGTTTCTCTGAATTAATTGATTAAAAAAGCATAGACTCTTTTTCTAAATAGCTTCTATTCGAGGACTCATGTGATCCTCAATTTTCTGATTAAAATTTTAATAATATGGAAATAGTAAAGTAAAAGTCATAGTAAAGCAACACTTTCACGGAGAATTAAAATGAATAAAATAATGAGCAATAAAGTAAAATAAAGCTAAAACAAAAAAATTCGCTTCAAAAATTTATTACATAAAATGATAAAATTCCAGCAGTGTTCAGATAGATGTTGATACCTAAAAAAACTAGACCAAATTCCCACAATAACCAGTAAATTTAGTCAAACGATCAATATAATATTATGAGTTAGTTAAAAGAAAAGCTCGAAAGCAATGCCTCTGTTACTTTAAAAGAGCTAGATTAAATGTTTGATGATTCATCTAAGTAAGATGATATAGGATCATATTCCATTCAGTCCAATAAAGAAATTATGTTAGCTCCTCCTCTTCCTATTGATAATTAGCCCTAATATTAAAGTAATAAAACAAACTAGAATATAAAAAGGCTTGAAAATACTTTGTATTAAATAAATCAAGACCCTCTTTACAATAAAATATATCGTCAAAATAATATTTATAATACTTAAGATATGAATAAAAACCCAATAAGCTAAGCAAAATGCATTATTAAAAGAAGAAGTTATAGTCTGTAAAAGCACGATAAAAGCCTTGCTCAAGCTCAAGCAAACTCAACAATATCTCACATCAATAGGAATCTTTTACATTCAAATTCAAAGAGTTAAGAACATCTACACAGTAGTTATAAAAAGAATTAGAGCAAAATGGATGAATTAGAATTTAGCTTTAGCAAAATTGGAAATAAGTAGAATATAAGAAACACTGATAAAGAAAATAGTTAATTTTCCCACTTAGATTAACCTAAATAAGAAAAAGATAATGATAAAAATGTAATTATGGATAGCACATTTAATCCAAATTACTTTAAAGATAAATCCTGGGTAGATAAAAATAATATCAAAAACAGTAATAACATAAATAAACAAAATTTAGTATCAAAAGGATAATTCTAGAAATAGAGCTTCAATAATAAAGAAAACATCTGTAGAGAGTATTAATACCAAAATCTATTAAATTCTTCTATAAATAACCAAAAAAAATAACTTCTTGGAACAAAAAGAATGATTCTTGATGCAAAAACAGTTAATTAATCTTTTCATACTTAGTTAATGAAAATTTAAATTAACTAAGAAAACTTGTTAAATAGTAACTACTTCTAAAATGTAAATAATAAATGACCAACAAAATTAAATAATATTTTCTTTCATTCTTAATAAAATTTATTAAAAAAAACTTAATAATTCTTTTTAAATTTAATAATTAACTTATTTTATCGTTCTTTATATTAAAAACTAGTTTGTAATTTCAAAATATTCTAAAATAATCTTTTTATTTTTTTTCATTCTAAAATTGTGTTTTGCCATATTTATTATTTAAATACATTTTTTAAAATTGTCAAAAAAATTTTTTTAATCTATTTTTTTTTGAAAATATACAAAAAAAATATAATTATTTATAATCTTCAGTTTCAAATAATTTTTGAATAAATTTAAGTTAAATTAATTTTTAAACAAAAGTTTATTTTTAATTTTTAGCAAATAAAAGAAAAAATAATTTTTTGAAAAACTAAAATAATTTTTCTTAAATAATTAAAAAAAATATTTTATTAAAAAATGTAAATTGAATTATTTAAATATTCTAAGATAAATGAGTTTTTTATAAATAATTGAACAAGAATATCAAATCAGTATTACTAAAATTATAATGAAGGTAAGTTTTAGATAAATACAAAAACTCATTTTGTTTAAGTTTGAAATAAAAACATCTCTTTCTAATATGTTTTTATCAATTTCTGATGGCAAATAAGCAAAAATTCCCCCTAAGCTTATTATAAAATCCTCACCTTCTTAGAGACTTCTAAAAATTTACTGGTTTATTTATAGCAATCTATTATTTGTTAATAAGTCTGTAAGATTTTAATCTCCTGATAGTGATTACTCACATTGATATTAATTGAGAAAATATTTGTTGCTCTACATTTTTTGTTTCCTTCTTTATCTAAAGGAGTGATTAAATTCTTAGAAAATGTACTTTTAATTTTAGAATTAATTTTGATTATACACTAATCATTATTTTTTATGTAAAAATTATTTAATTCATCTAGAATTATTTATAGTTTTTCTACAGTAAATATGTTAGACATGCATTTGATAGAATTTGTAGTTTCTCTTTCATAGGCTAAAACAGATTCAGGTGAAAGCTTTATTTTGCCATTTTAGAAAAAGTCACTTAATTTATCAGACCCAGTACATATTGAGCACATCATACCTCTATTTAAAGCAGCTAATGCCTTACCAAAACTCACTTTGCAGAGTTTTTTATTAATCCTCAATTTATAAAAATTTCTAAGCATTTAATTTTCAAGAATTTAATCAGGTAAAACGTCTAAAATATTTGTTTTGTTACATTCTTTATTCATCAAATTATAGTATAGCTAGGTAAATTTGTCAAAAATGTCATACTATTATTAAATCGGTTTTATCTTTAATATAGCTGCTTAATCAATTAGGTCTGCCATTTATTTATTACAGCAAGAATTTTATCCTGCATATATTTTGCAAACTCCTAAATCAGACTTTTATTTAGATTTAGGTTTTGCTTGCTTGTAAGTTTAAAAAATTTAGTCAACTTAAAGACCAAGTTAAGAGTTATTTATATTTGAGCTCTTTATCATTCTTTTAATTCTTTCAATTGCAGGGTGATTCTCACACTTTAAATTTTAAGTAGCGGTTGTTAAACTTGGTATTAGTAATAAAATTATTACTAAAAAATAAATTTTCTTCATCTTACTTTTTAAAATATCTTTAAATATTTTATAAAAAATTTATAAGATATCTAAATAACTTTATATATAAATAAACAAAATTTTAAACAGTTTTTATCTTAATGAAATCAGCTATTTAATTATTAAGTCAGATTTTATCACAAATAGATTATTTAATCTGAATTTACAAAATTTCAAATATGATAAATTAAATACAATTCCAAAATAATTAGATCTTTATATTTTGCAATCAAATTTATAAATTAAAGTTATCTAAATAATTTCTATTAATTATCTTACTTTTTATCAAAGAAGTATGAAATAATTAATGGAATTTAAAAGCTTTTAAAAATTTATAAAAACTTAGAAATAAGCTAATTACTTTTAATAGCCATGAAGATAAATTTTAATAAAAGACTAAAATATATACTAATCATAATAATATGCATATTTAATATAATTATCCCTTCATTAAAAATAGTTAAAATTTTCTTATTATAAAAAATTGAAAAGAAATCAGAATTAATCAAATTTAGCTATGAAGCTTAATTAAGTTTACTATTTTTTCAAAACAAAAAAATCATCTTTTCTACTTTCATACTTATAAATTATCTAATAAATCAATTATTTTTATAAATAATTTGTTTTATTTCTTTATATTTAAAGTATTAAATATATATTTAAAGTATTAAATATATTAGATTTAAATTATTTCATCTTAATAAATCGAATATCAAAATAAAATAAGTATATACCACAAAATTTTAAATGCTTGTGATACTAATTAATAAAAAAATTCTCAAAAAAAAATATGTTATTTATTAAATTAATTTAAAAGTTAAAATATTTAATATCTTTTTAATTTATTAAAATTATGTTAAATAAAATATAAAATAATTATGAATATTAGTAAAAAATAAATATAAAAATTAATTCTTAAATTAATGTTATCAAGTAAATAAGAATAATAAAAAAATGTAATAAAAAAATGATTAATTTTAGCCTAAAGTTATCTACTATTTTGGATCAATTGAATTTATAACTCTTTCTTATATATTTTTATCGTTTTCTGAAGGTAAAAAAGCATTAATACCTCCAATACCTATAATAATATTCTCATTTTCTTCAAGATTTCTTAAAGATTTTTAGTTTAACAAGATCAAAAGATTATTAGCTGCTTTATCAATAATATCTTTTTATACTTATAGAGATTCCTCACATTAATTATTAACTTAGAAAAAATTTGTTGCTTTACACTTTTTATTTCCTTATGCATCAAGATCGCTGAGTATGTTTTCATTAAATACACTTTTTATTTTTTAATTTATTTTAACTACACAAGTGTCATTGTTTTGTATGTAAAAATTACTAAGCTCCTATAATATGATATTTATATTTTCTTTACTTAATACGTCTTACATACATTAGATAGAATTTATTGCCTCTTTTTAAAAAGCCTCTGCAGATTAAGGTGAAATTTTTAGCTTATTATTATAAAAATAATCATTTTTTTAATCAGAACCAGAACAAATTGAACACATAATTCCTCTATTAAGAGCAGCAATAGTTTTAACAAAACTTATTTTGCATTACTTTTTTTAAATTCTTAATTAAAAAAATTTTATTATTCTTTTGTTAGCAAGAATTTAGTCTGGTATAATAACACTCATAATGTTTGCTTTTTAACAATATTTCTTCATTAAATCTACATACAATACAACTAATTAGTCAAAAGCATCTATCCTTTATTGAATAGGCATAAGTTTCGAGAAAACTGCTTGTTCAATTAACTCAGTCATTTTAAGATCGCAGCAAGATTTTTAACCAGCATAGATTTTACAAGCTCCTAAATCAGACTCCTTTTAAAATTTGGGATTGTAATTTTCATAATTTTTAAAGATTTTTTCTGCTTTATGATGTATTTCAGTTTCTGTTTGGATAGATTTTTGAATAATCTCCTTAATATTTTCATAGAAAGGTTGGCTTTTGCACTCGTTATCAGCTAAAACTAAAATAATATTTGTATTAGCTATAAAGAATATTATAAAGTATATAAGATAACTTTTTGACATTTTTTAAACTTGGATGAAAGAATTTTATATAATATTTCAATAATTTTTTAATTATTTATATTTTAAAGAAGTAAAAGTAAATATTTATTAAAAAATAATATGTATCAGATTTGATCAAAATCTTGGAGATTTATTTATTTACACTTTTAAAGACTTAAATAATGAATTAATTACTTCTTCAATCACACTCTTACTCTCTATATTTTAATAAGAAAAATACAAATTCCCAGATTATCAAATTAATTTATTAATATTTATTTATTTATTTATTTCTATATTAAACAAATTTGGTAGACTTAAAGTGCATTTTAGACTTTTTAAAGTAATTTAAATATCAATTTGAAGGTTTATAGAGATTTAACAAGTCTAAATATTTTTTAGCATTATATATATATATAATTCCTTTTAATTAACTTATTTTAATTTCTTTATCTGATGTTTTATTAAAAAATAAACTTAAAACAAATCTTTAGAATTATAAAAGTTATTTATAAATATTAAAAGGTTTACAGAATTATAAAAATTTAAACATTTTATTATAGTTTTTAGATTTACGAAAACTTCTTTTTGATTAATTAAATTCTAAAATTAAAAATCTAAAATACTTAACAACAATTTTATAATTTAATTAATAACTTTTTTTTCCAAAAATTGTTTTGAATGAAAATATTGAATTTATTCTTATATTTTAGATTAACAATTTATCTATCTATCAATTTTAAATTAGCTTGTTATTATTAATCTTTTTTTATATTTATAATAGGTAAATAAATTCAATATGACTTATGTCTTTGAGGGAGATAAGTTTAAAATTAAAAAAAAAATTTTAAATTAATAATTGGCAATTAATTGAATTCCTATTTATTTTTCTTATGTTTATAAGAAAATTGAGTTAAAAAACTGAAAATTTTTTAAAAATAGAATTTAAAATAAATATTCTTAACAAAAATAAATTCATTAAATTCGAAGAAAAAGTAGGGCCTTTAATCAATTAATAAAAAACTAGATATAAATTATTAAATAATTAAAGTGCACTTATTTATTATTATTTATTACATTAATTTTATAATAATTGAATATTTTCAATAGAAAGGTAAGAGATCTTAGTTAGTGGCATAGTAAATTTCATTAACATTGCCGTTTTCGTCATTCTTGGTTAAAAATACTACTTTATTTCTTTCTAAGAATTTAGCTACAATAGCACCATCTACCTTGTCATAAGGAATAACAACTTGTTCTCTAGACCAAGCCTTTTTTAATAAATATATTTATTTAATTATTTACTTATTAATTATATAAATTTCATTAATTTAATAGCTTATAATAATATCTTACCTTATAAGCAGGATCGGCATAAGAGAGTTCCTTAACTTAGATGGCTCTCATGAGCTTTTCAGGATAAACAGTAGAGTAAAGTTAACCCTTGACGAGAAGAGGAATACCAGGAATTCCTCTCTTGAATTCTTCTAAAGCTTCACCAACAGTCAAAGCTTCAGTATAAAGTTTCATTTTATTTAATTTTAATTGATCAACATGAACACCCTTTAGCTTGCTCTTTTCGTATTCTTCATCCTTAAGTTAATCGAATTCATAGAAGCCCTTAGCAACCATCCATTCTTTGCTTACGAACTTAGTGATGTAGTTTCTCAAGTTATCAGCTAAAACACAAACAATTCTGACACCTTCTCCTAAGTTATGTTCTTTAGCATATCTGATGGCAGCATCAACAACTTAACCACTTGAACCACCACAGAATAAGCCTTCTTCTCTGATAAGTCTTCTGGCCATTTAGAAAGTAGGAACATCAGTATTTTTTACCCAATCATCAATAACAGTTCTAATAATTAATAAATTTATTTTAAAAAATTAGTTTATATATTTATTGATAGTAAAATAAATGATTTTTATGCTTTGAAACTATAAAAATTTGGATAAAAATCTTTTAAGATTTTAATCCATCTTAATTAAATAAAACTAATTTTTAAACTCTTTTTTCCTAATATTAATAGCTAGTTTTCCTTTTTGCAAAATAAGATGGATTATTTGTCTTTAATTGCTAATATTATTTTATGTGATTTAAAGCATTAAAATATCTCTGCTCATTTATTTTTACTTATTTATTTATAAATAAAATAGTTTATTTTTTGAAAATTACCTATCGATACTTCTAGGAACGAAATCATAACCAACACCTTCAACTTAGTAAGATTCCATTCTTTCGTTTTTGGATTAGGGCATAGCAAGGATAGAGCCATAAGGGTCAACACCAACAATCTTGCAAGAAGGAAGGTGTTCCTTGATCTTTCTAGCAATACCAGTGATAGTACCACCAGTACCAGTACCAACGAAAACGTAATCAACCTTGTTATCACATTGGTAGAGGATTTCAGCTCCAGTACCGTCGTAGTGAGCCAAAGGATTAGAAGGATTAATGTATTAATCGAGGATATGGCTGTTGGGGATTTCCTTTTGTAACTTAATAGCTTAACTGATATGACTTTCTAGATTTATAAAAAATAAAAGTTAATAAAATACAAATAGAATTGCTTTTTAGATTTTTGTTTTTGAAACCTTCTTTCTTGTTTTTGTATTTTTTCTTGAAGGGCTTTTTTGTTTTTGAATGGCTAGGTTTTCATTTTTTTTGTTTATTTATTATATAAATTTAGAGTATTACCAGGGTGATCGAAATCTACTTCAGTGGGGGTTCTAACAATCTTGGCACCTAAAGCTTGTAAAACATCAGTCTTTTCAGTTGACATTTTTTCAGGAAGAGTGATGATCATGTTGTATCCCCTGATGGCAGCAGCAAGAGATAAACCGATACCAGTGTTACCTGAGGTAGCTTCAATAAGAGTATCACCAGGTTTAATTCTTCCACTGTTTTCAGCATCTAAAAGCATTCTACGTCCAATTCTGTCCTTAACAGAACCACCAGCGTTCAAGAATTCGCATTTTGCTAAGAGTTCACACTTCAATCCTTCAGCCTTCATGATGTTATTTAATCTAACCAAGGGAGTTCTTCCAATAGCATCCAAGACGCTATCCATAATTTTGGGTGGCATGGGACAGAACTTATCTTCGCTGTGAGGAGTCTTTTCTGTGGTACCTACTTTCCAAGAGCACTTAATAGTGTCAAGACTAGGATCTTATCTGGCGTACATAGTTAGTTATTTATTAAAGTTTCTAAAATTAGTTTAAAAATATCTTTTTTGTTAATTTGATTTGGTTAATCTTTTAATTAAATATTAATTATTTCAATTCGCTAGTGAAAAATTAAATTTATAATTAAGAGTACGAAATAATGCAAGTATGTGTTTATCATTTAAACAAACTCGCTTCCAATTTTCAAGAAATTTATTTATCAAATAATACGTCATTTTAATTGACAATTGGAGGATTTTCAAATCAACATTTGTATCTTAACAGTCTAGCAGCCACATATATTCGTGTTTTCAGCCTCAAATAAATTATACCCCTTCCTATCTAATAAATAATCAAAATAATAACATATTTTTGTAAGCCCCTACCAACTTTTCTCAAAAATGAAATTAAAGGGGGACTTAATCTTAAAAGTTTCTTTTATAAAACTTTAATGTATTTAACAATAAAATATCAAAGAATAATCTTTTTAATCAAGTGGCATATTTCTTAGTTTAGAGTTTTAATAATTTATTTTTAACCTTATTTGTTGGATATTTTCATTTCTTTTGTCTTTCAAAATATCTTAAATTATAAAAGAATAAATTATTGTACTTAACAATTGTCAAATGATAATTCTTTTATTATTTGAATTCTTTCTACTCTCAAGAGCAATAACTTTAGTGACTAATCATTCTTGATTTATAAGGCCATTCAGTAATTAGAACATTATTATATATTACTAAAATCTATAAATTATTATATTATAATATGTCATTAAAGAGTTTATATAGCTGACTATCTTTGTGCTAGAATTTTACTCTACGAAAAAACTTTTCGCTTTTAATTTAAAATGAATGAGCAAATATTTCTATAAATTTTCCATTTATTAGGAAGTTCTAGAGAAGGTAAAAAGAACAAATAATTAATTAACTTTTAGAAAGATTATTTTTGATATTGTTGTAAATAAATATCTTTATAGATTGCTTTGTATTTATATTAATAAAAAGAAAAAGCAAGATAATGTATAAATCAAGTAAAAAATTATTTCCAAAATATATTCTTTAAAATTGTCAATTTGAATAATTTTGGATTCATAATACAAAATATGATAAAATCAATTTTTCATATTAACTATATGATTTAAAAATTTCAGACAGACAATTTAAGAATAATAATATTAAAATTTTTCAATAATAAATTAATTAAAGCCTTTTTAATTGACTATTTTGTCATATTAAAAACAATTTAAATTTATATTATAAAGATGAAAAATTTTTTAATTTTATATTATTTTTTGTGTGTTTTTTTTTAAAATGATTTTTTAATGAAAATATGCTAAATATAATTAACATAAAATCAAATATTTTAATAATTAAAAATTAATAAAATTTTTATTTTAATATTTTCTTTTGCTGAAAAATTATAACCCTTATCTTAAAAATAATTAATAAATAAAATAAAAATTTCTTCTAAAAATTGATCACTAAGTAAAAGATGATTAAAAATTAATTTAAAATATTATAGAATTATTATCAATATTTATTAAATTTTTTTAAAGAAAAAATAAAAATTCTACTCAAAATTTTTTAGTAAGTAAGAACATTTTTTAAACAATTAAAATTGAATTTGATAAATGAGACTGAATATTTATAGTTTGATTTTCAAAATAATATAAAAAATATTAATTTATTTATTTATTTAAAATGAAGAAAGTGGGAAATATTCTGGCTTTGTGATAATATAAATAAAATAAATAAATTTGAAATTTATTTTTTAATTTAAAAGATTTATCTTTGTTTAATTTCTTTTTTAAGATTGCTTTTAATTTTCTTTCTACTTATCTATAATAATGATTTCAAACTTTTTTTAGTATTTCAAAAAATAGAAGCAGTAATTAATTAATAATAAAATATAAAAAAGAAACTTATTAAGTAGTTTTTGACATTAAGAGTCAAATAAGGTATTTAAAAGATAGGCTTATTATATAAAAACTAACAAAAGTATTTATAAGCGATTAATAAAAGAACTCTAAATATAGTCAATACATACACATAGATTCATAGATAGATAAATAGGATATATACTTTCAAATTATGGATCAAAGAAAGGAGTATTTGCTTAATTGCATTACAGCTTTGCTCAAATTGAGTGAATTTCCTGAAAAATTGAGCAATTCATCCATTTTAGATAAATTTTTAAATGATTCTGACAAGAACACACTGCCCCTTCTCTACGTTTACGGAAAAGGTTTCAAACTTTATAATTACACTGATAGTTAGCAACCTGAAAGTTTGATTATAACGTTAAGCAAAATTACAAATGAAACAATTACACCATAAAACGTAAACAGAGTAGTTAGTATCTCTTTAATGTCAAGCAATCCAGTAGATTAGCTTTATCTGCAACTATCTAATTTTTATCTTCCAGCTCTTAAAGAAAAGTCAGATCCCAGCATTACCAAGTTATTAGAAGAATTAAAGATGAATTTAAGTGGCTCAACACAAGGTATAAAATTGATCAATTTTTTTAGAATTTTACAAGCTTATTTAGAAGGCTTTAAAAAAACAATTGTCATATTAAAAGGTTTTGGCAATGGAAACTTTGATGACATGGATGAAAATAATGTCAAAGTCATTTTCAAGCCAGTAGATGAATTAGATTTTTGGATTAGAATGCAATCTGCAGCTACATCAAATTAAGTGCAAAGAAGGGCAGCCCAATATAGCGAATAACTCTCTTAAATTGACAAAATTTGGAGGTATTTTTAATTTTTGCAAAGCAATTAATGATGGCAATTTTCTTAGATAATTTCACAAATAATTATAAATTAAGTAAATAAACTTTAAATTGCACTTATAAAATAGAGATATAAACAAAGTTGAATTCAGTGGTATTAAGGAAGCAATAGACTAAACTTTAGCAGTGATGGATAAGGTAATTTTATATATTTAAAATGAGAAACGCTATTTATTGTTTATGATTTTTTAGTTTCTTCAAAGATAAGAATTGATTAGAGTGTTGAAAATTAAAATTAATCAAATTTTAAATATTGAGCTGCTAATTCTTAATTTTCTTTTTAATAATTTTTATTTATATTATTAAGATATGGAGATTAGATCCTAGTTAGCAAGGCTATCCTGAAGTCAGAATGAGAAAGTTTTTTGAGGTCTGCATGAATACTTTAGTTGCACGTTTTTAGCAAGAGTTTAATACACAGGAAATTTGGGACAGTTCTTAAAGCCAAGTTAGATTGAAACTTAATGAAGGACAATTATTTTTGAAACACTTTAATGAAAATATTACATTATACACAACTCAATTGTGGACTTAAGGAAGAAAGTGGACAAGCGGATAAATTGATCTTACACTTTCTAATAATACCATTTAAAGAATAAATGAAATCTTAGAATTAAGAGAACAATATGAAGAATTATTAAAAATGCAATAAATTAGCAACGGTAAGCTTAAAGGAGACTTTGAGTCTGCTTATAGCACTTTCAGATAAATGAATTGTTTAAATGCTTCAGATAATACCAAAGATTAATGGAATACAGCTAAAACAAAATTTAATCAATAGATGGAAGTAATAAATTTTGTTAAATAATTTACTTATTTGTTTTTCAAAAAATATTTAAAACCTTTTTTTAAAAAAATATTTTTATTTGATTTTATTAGGAAATTGATGACGAGGTAGTAAATATATTAAAAAAAGATATTCTTGCTTAAAATGTAAAAGAAAATATGATGTAAATATTTAGAGATATGCAAAGCTGGAATGGCTTGCTCAACCGTCCTAAAATAAAAAAAGACCTTTAAAATGAGAGATCAAATATTCTTTAATCTATTCGTTAAATAGTTGAATAAATATAAAATGAATTCGAAACAAAAAGTGGAGAAAATTTAGATCCAGTTTTAGGCTCTGACGCTATTCCTTCAGGTCATAATTTCTCCAAAATATTAAACTCGATAGTTTGGGGTAAATCCCTAAGTGGAAAAGTAAATAAAATTTTTAAGGAAAAATAAACTTATATTTAAACTAATTTATCTTAATTACTAGCTTAAGAGAATTATGACTATCAGCTAAACATCTTTGGGAGATTTAAGAGAATACGGAGGATTTAAATAGTATTGTGAATAACTATCTTCTTAAATAAATGAATATTAAAATGATTAATTTAACTCTTGGAAATCTGATGCTATAAACTAAATAAGTAAACCTGACAGCAAAGTAAGCTTAGAAATTACTGGTAGAATGATGGATATTAACCTATAAAATGGCTTAGTAGAAGTCAACTACTCTGAAAGGTTGGTCTTGCTCATTAGAGAAGTCAGATAACTCTTTGAGTTGGGTTTCAAAAAAGATATTCCAAAGTAAATTGTTGAAGTTGTAGAAAATGGCAAAAAGTTTTATAAAGAAGCTTTAAATCTAAAGCAAGTAATTTGTTAATTAATTCAGTAAACTTTAACAAATGTGTATTTTTTCTTAATTAAAATTAATTAGATTGCTAATTTTTATAACTCAATGTCAAGTGTGATTCCTCAATGCCTTTAGAAAATGCTTGCTGACAAAGCTATGAAGTTCGAAAACATAATTTTAAATCCTAAAGTTGGAGCTAAAAAGTAATAAGGTGGTTAAAATCAAGGAAACATTACTTGGAACAATGTAGATGAGTTAGAAGATTATATAAAAAAAGTGTAAGAAGCTGCTAATGATATTATGAATGAAAACAGAAGATTAAGAAAACTTCATATGAGTTTAATAGAACAAGTTATTTTCCTTTTTGATGTCGACCTCGTCAAGAATAAACATGTCTGGAAGGAAAAGTTAGAAGTAATAAACTTTTATTAATGTTTATACTATATATTCAAATAATAAATATTAATTTATTTTTATTTTTCTTATTAATTAAGACAATTAAAAAAACAATTGATGTTGGATGCTAAGGAAAAGATCCAAGCATTTGTAATGTATGGAAATACAATTGGGATATTTAATTATATAAAGCTTTGGAACATTAATACTAAAGAGGACTTTAAATGTTAGATTAGGTAAAAAATAAATTTGATTTGTAAATTTTATTAAATTAAACTTAAATTAAATAGAACCTTTAAGAAATGAATGCTGATATTGTTTTGAAGGGAAAAAATATTGAGTTCAGACCTCCTTTTGAAGAATTAAAGGAAAAATATTATAGAGAAATCAGAGCTTTTATTAATTGGCCTGCTAAAAATTTCTAAGGAGTAGGTGGAAGTTCAGAGGTTTATAGTGCTATGCCTAAGAACAATGCCCAATACCTTTCTGTTGTTTATGCAAAAGCTGAAAAACTATTTGAAAAATTGTAGAATCTTCTTGAAAAATTCCGTAACTGGACTGTTATTGGATACTTAGATAGCGATAAAGTTGAAGAAAAAGTACATTTTTAATCATTTTACTTAGTTTTAATATTATTTTTTTTGATTTAATAGCTCTCAGACATTGAAGACTGGGAATATAATATAAAGAATATTAGAACAAAGAGAAAAGAACTTGAAAAACTTTAAGATAGTTATAAAATAGAATGTTTTAATGTAAATCTTACTCCTTTCAAAAACAGCGCTGACGATTTACTATAAAACTTTATCGATAATTTAACTAATTCTCTCAAGAATAGTGTAAAGAGTGATTGTGAAATTTTAGAAGAATTTGTAACAAATAGTTTGGAAAAATTATCAAACAAGCCTAAGACTATGGAAGAAATGAATGCAGCTAAGAGTTCATATTTTGAATTGAAGGGTTAGAAGAAACCCATGCAGCAAAAGCTTAACAATATTCAAGTTAAAAATAAACTCTTAAGAAATCTTGTTGGCTTCGTTTAAAACACTTCTAACATCGAAAAGAGATGGGAAAATTTCGAGCTTGCAATTGGAGATTTCGATAATATATTGTCTGAATAAACTAAAACAATTAAGCAAGAAATTGGTAAAGAGTTTTTTATAAATTAAATCTAGACAAAACATAAAAAGAAATACAAAGCTCACAAATATAAATTAATAATTAAATTAAATTTCTTTTGAATTCTAATTTAGGTAAGAGAAGTGAAGGAGTCAATTAAGAAATTGATAAATTTTATGCTAAGTGGTAAAACTTAAAGCCAAAACAAACAGAAGAATTAGATAAAGAACAAGCAAGAGAATTAGCAGCAAAGATGAAAGAATGGAGAAACGATTGGGGAGAGATCGAAAAGAAAGTCGAAGGCATTTAAAAGGATTGCGACCACTTTGAGATGGATCAGCCTTCTTTTGCAAGCTTATCTCAAGTTAGAAGAGAGTTACAATCTGAAGTGAGCTTATTTAAATTAAGTTTTTTAAATTAAAATATTTTTACATTTTTCATAATAATAGGAGTCTTAATGGAAGGTATTTGATGACTTTAGTTCTGAATTAGAAACCTTTGAAAAGGAGGATTGGCTTGTAGTTAAGGGTAAGCTCTACGACTTCCAAGATTTCACCATGAAGTGGACTGATCTATTAAAGCAACAGACTAAAAGAGATGCAGTTTCATAATACATGATAGATCAAATTGATCGCTTCAAATAAATTTGGACTGGACTTAGACTTTGTATTGGTAAATAATTAGTCAAAATATAAATATCACCTTTAATCAAAATAGCAAATACATACCAATATTTATTTATACTCTAATAAATTATTAAAACTTATATAAATAATAAAGTTAAAAAAAAATTAATTTAATTTAAATATAGGCGAAGCTTTTGAAAGAGAACATTGGAGAAGCTTATTTGGAATCCTTAAATTACCTAAAGATGTTACTCTAGAAACTTTAAAGTTTGGTCATTTATTGGATGCAGATAAAGAAATTCTCTTAAAAATGAATGATTTGAAAGATTTAGCAGCTAGAGCTCAAGGTGAAGTTGCTTTAAGAGAAGCAATTTAAGAGTTAAAGCAGTGGTGCGAAACTTACGATTTTGAATTAACTGAGCATAATTCTAATGGCAGATAAACTCCTCTTATTAAAGAATGGAAAGACTTGCTAACTAAGGTATCAGATAACCAAAGTTTACTTGCTTCTATGAAAGAAAGTAAATTCTATGCTAGATTCCAAGATTAGATTGAAGGGTTTGAGCAAAAGCTTGGTGGTGTGGATGAATATTTAGGTAAATTTATTTTGTTTATTAATATATAATTTTAAATCAAATAAATAAATAATTTTATTAAAAAAAAATTAATTCAATTAAAATAGGAAAATTGCAAGTTATTTAAAGAAAATGGGTTTATCTAGAACCTATTTTCGGAAGAGGCGCTCTTCCTGCAGAATAAGGTAGATTTAAGCGTCTTGATGACGATTTTAGGTAATTAAAAAGTTTAATTTAATTTTTGAGGATATTAAGTTACTTACTTACTTAAAATTTTAAATTATTATAAATAGATCAATTATGCTTGGTATTGAAAGAGATCCTAAAGTTGTTTCTCTTTGCATGGTGGCAGGTATTAAAGATACTTTGGAAACAATTTTAGATTAACTTGAAAGATGCTAAAAGGCCTTAAATGATTTCTTAGAAGAAAAGAGAAGTAAAAAAATTAATTGATTTTGTAAATTGTTTAATAAAATATTTATTTTTAATATAGGCAAATTCCCTAGATTTTATTTCTTGGGTGATGACGATTTGTTAGAAATTCTTGGTTAAAGTTAAAATGCTTAAGTTATCTAAATGCATCTAAAGAAATTGTTTGCAGGAATCAATAAAGTTGAGTTTAACAAAGATTGCTCTCAGATTCTTGCTATGATATCATCTTAAAAAGAAACTGTTTGTAAATGAATTTTTATTTTGTTTTACAAAGATTAATTTATCAATTTAAAATAAAATTTAGAATTGAATGAGAAAGTTTAAGTGGAAGAGTAGGTAGAAAATTGGTTGAACTCTTTAAGTAGAAATATGGTTAAGACTTTACAAAAGCTATTAGTTGAATGCCTTACTGAGAATTCTCTTGAGGCTGATAAATACCCAAGTTAAATTTTATGTATTAGTGAGGAAATCAAATTTACTGAAAAAGCAGTTGGTAATTAATTAATTAATTAATTACTTAATTAATTTATATTTTATCATCTTAATCTGTAAATTTTAAATTTATTTCTTTTAATTTAGGTGCAATAAGAAATGGAAAATTATCAAATTACAAAGCAGATTTATCTAGAATGTTAGAATAGTTTACTAAACTTGTTGGCGGTGCACCATTATTGATTTAGTTAAAATTAAAAGCTTTGATCCTAGATTTGATTCACCACATTGAAGTTATTGATGTCTTAATAGACAATAATGTATAGGATGTTTAAGATTGGTTCTGGTATAAATAATTGAAATACGAAATGAATTAAAAGAAAAATGGAGAAATTATTATGTGTAGAGCTAGATTTGATTATACTTATGAATATTAAGGTAATGCACCTAAGCTTGTGCACACTCCCTTGACAGATAAATGTTATCTTACACTGACTTAAGGTTATTTATTAAATATTTATCTTAAATTTCATTTATATTATCAGATTAATTTTATTGATTTATTTATTATCTCTCTCTTATATTAAATTTGTTAATCATTTTACTAAATAGGTATGGATATGGGTTATGGTGGTAATCCTTATGGTCCTGCTGGTACAGGAAAAACAGAGTCAGTCAAGGCACTAGGTTAAGCATTTGGTAGATAGGTAACAATATATATTGAATTGATAAAGTTTTTAAATTCATTTTAATTAAAAACAGGTTTTGGTATTTAATTGTGATGAGGGATTGGATTTCAAGAGTATGGGTAGAATTTTTATTGGTTTAGTTAAATGTGGTGCTTGGGGTTGCTTTGATGAGTTCAATCGTCTTTTAGAAGAATAATTATCAGCTATCTCTCAGTAAATTTAAGTCATTTAATGGGCTATCAAAGAAGGGGAATAAACCATGCAATTGATGGGATAAACTATTGAAGTTAATAAAAATTCTGGTATTTTTGTCACTCTTAACCCTGCAGGAAAAGGTAATTAAATAAATAATATATCTTAAACTAACTTAAATATTAATAATAAAAAAAATAGGATATGGTGGTAGAAGTAAATTGCCAGATAACTTAAAGTAGTTATTCAGACCAGTAGCTATGAGTGTACCTGATAATGAGCTGATTGCTGAAACTCTTCTCTACTCTGAAGGCTTTAAATATGCAAAGGAACTGTCTTAAAAAGTTATTTCAATATTTACTCTCAGTAGATAGCTGCTTTCTCCTCAATAACATTATGATTGGGGTCTTAGAGCTCTTAAAACTATTCTCACTGTAGCTGGTTAACTTATTTAAGCAGAGAGATAAAAAACACCAAATATTTCTAGAGTATTACAATAATTTATAGTTAATTTTTTTTCAATTAAATTTTAATTATAAAAATTAGGAATAAGAAGCTGAATTATTAATTAAAGCTATTAGAATTAATACAATGTCCAAGCTGACATTTTCAGATACTCGTAAGTTCGTTGCTTTGGTTTAAGATGTTTTCCCAGGGATTAAATCAGAAGATATCGTTTATGCTGAACTCACAAAAGCAGTTGAAGAAGTACTAGCTGAAATGAAATTGGATGTCATTGAGACCTAAATTTCTAAAATATTACAATTTTATGAGGCTTGTAAGTAGAGAATGGGTGTTGTCCTAGTCGGCCCCTCTGGTTGTGGTAAAACAACTATTTGGAAAACTCTTAAAAAAGCCTATGAAAAAATGGGAACTTAAGTTAAAGTAAGAACTTATTTTTTTTTAAATTTATGATTTAAACTTAGGATTTTTCATTGCAAAATATAAATAGGCATATGTTATGAATCCTAAGAGTATGCCAAGGAGCTAACTTTTAGGTCTTATGAATAATGACACAAGAGAATTCACTGAAGGTGTTTTAACTAGCAGTGCAAGAGAAGTCATTAAAGAATCAAGTGATGTCATTAGTTGGATTATTTGTGATGGTGATATTGACCCTGAATGGATTGAATCACTTAACTCTGTCCTCGATGACAATCATTTACTCACACTACCTACTGGTAATTAATTACTTAAAATTTTATTTAATTTAATAAATAAATTTATTATCTGCTATGTATGTATTTAATTAAATATTATATTTCATATAATTCTAATAGGTGAGCGTATTAGCTTCTAAGATAATGTCAATTTTATTTTTGAAACAAATGATTTACAATACGCATCTCCAGCTACTGTTTCTAGAATGGGTATGATTTTCTTAAACTAGGAAGATATTAGCATTAAATCAGTAGTCAATAAATGGGTAAAGAGATAGAAAGAAGAATTATAAGCTAAGTTAGAAAATCTTTTAGAAGAATATTTCTATAAGATTCTTTAGTTTGTTCAACAATTTGAAGAAGAGTAAGTAGTTTAGACAACTAGAATTGGTTTAGTTATGAATGTCCTTTCTTAGCTTACTTCTATCCAAAGCAAGAGTGAATTTGTTACTTAAATGTTAAGAGGTTTTTGCAGTAATTTCTCCTTACAGATTAGAGTAAAAATTGCAAATGAAATATTTTCTTTGTCTGGAGATAAACCTCCTTGTGATCTTAATAATTCACCATTAGATTTTGTTTGCATTAACGGATCTCTAAGAGTACTTTATTTTACTTTTAAAAAAATTTAAATAAATTCATTTTTGATTTAACGTAAAGCCACTTTCTATCCTTTCTTAAGACATCAATCTGAATGACTTTGCTGATAGTGAAGAACCACCAATCATATAAACAATTGGTAAGGAAATTTGAGTCATTAGTTAAGATATTAATCACTTTTTTATATAGGTCTTCAAAGAGATTTTGAAGTTTTAAAGCCATGGATTTTAAATTGTGAACCTTTTATTGTTTGTGGTCCTGAAGGAAGTGGAAAGAGTTTGTTGATTAGGGCAGCTTTTAATGAGCTTAGAAAATAATAAAAAATTTAAGTTGCTACAATCTATTGTAACGCTTAAACTACTGCAGCATAAATAATTCAAAAGCTTAATCAAATTTGTATGAAGGGTACTTTTTCTCAAGGAAGAATTCTTAAGCCAAAGGATGCCAGTAGATTAGTTTTATACCTCAAAGATATTAACTTACCCAAACCAGATAAATATCAAACTATATAACTCATAGCTTTCTTGCAATAAATTATTACTCACAAAGGTTATTATGATGAATAATTAGAGTTTGTTTACCTTGACGAAAAAATTTAGATTGTTGCTTCTATGGCACCTTCTTCAACTATAGGTAGACATGAAATTTCTACTAGATTTACTGCTAACGCTCGTATACATTACATATAATATCCTTCAAAAGAAGAATTAATGCACACATACACTGAATATTCAAAGGCTATTTTCCAAAGCGAAAAAGTTCGCATTGAAAAAAATTAGGCAGCATAAATTGGTAAATTTTTTTAAGCAATTTCAATCAAATTTTTCATTAAAAATTCAAAAAAATTTTTTTAAATTAAATTTTTTTATTATATTTTGAATAGCTAAAAAATTCAGTTTAGTTTTAATTGATTTCTACACAAATTTCGCAAGTAAATTTAACGTTGATGAGCACAGACACTACAGCTTTACCCCTAGAAATTTAACTTAAATAGTTTTTGGTATGTTGAGATATGAAATCGGTTAGAGCAATCCAGATTCTATAGGTGAAGCCTTATATAATGAAATATCAAAGAGATTCAGAGATAGATTAGTAAACTTTGAATAATAAAATAAATTCGATGCTTTCGTTGGCTCTTTACTTCGCTCACATTTATCATATTAGGTTACTCCTAACATTTTCTTTAGCTCTGTTGGAGGGTAAAAGCAATTAACTAGATTAGAGAAAAAAGATTATATTGTTGCAATCAATTAAGGTTTGCTCATGTATGAAAGAGAATTTAAAGAGATGAAACTTCACTTATTAGATGAAGTCCTATCTCTTTTATCAAGTAATTAAACAAAAACAACTTTTATTTGAAATAAATTATATAAAATAAAATTTTAACAGGTCTTGATAGATGCTTAAGCTAAAGTGGCAGTGTTTTACTCGCTGGTAGAAGTGGTATAGGAAGAAAAAGTTGTATTAGTCTTATGGCTACTATGCTAAGAATGGAAATAGTCAGTCCTAGCACAAGCAGAGATTATAGCACAAGAGAGTTTAAAAAAGAACTTAAGATTTTCTTAGAAAAAGCAGCAGCTTAAAATAAATAAGTAATTTTATATATTGAAGATCATCATTTAGTAAAATCTGAGTTTTTGGAATTACTCAACTCATTGATTTCAAGTGGTGAAATTCCAGGTCTCTTTACTTAAGATGAAGTGGATCATTCCTTCTAAAATGCTGACGAAGTCCGTAGAGAAAACTATGGAAGATCTTTATATGATATTTTCTGTATGAGAGTTAGGTAATTAATTCATTTAAATAAACAATAAATAAATTAACAAAATCATTAATAATTTTATTAATCTTTCACAAGCTTATTTTAATAACTCTCAATTTAATTTTAATTAGATAAAATCTAAGAGTTGTTTTAAGCATGGATCATTCCGAGGAGACATTTGCAGCTAATTGTGCTTCTAATCCAGCATTCTTTACTAAATGTACAGTCATATGGTTAAATAACTGGTAAAAAATTTTTTAATTTTTATCAATTAAATATAATTTATCAGCATTTTTGATAGAATCATCATAAATAGCCAAATTATTCATGATTTTTCTATTAAATTTTTTTGGAATTTTAAAAATTTAAAGATAAATATCAAAATATGATTTTCTCTATTCATTTTTCACTTTTGGCTAGATTATATTGTCACTATTTAAAATCTAATAATATTTAATGCTTATTGATCATCTTAAGAAAATATTATAACTTTTAATTAAACTTAATTTTTAGATTCATACTTAATCATTATCATTAAATTTATTTAAATAAATGTTAAAATAACTAACTAAATTAGGAGCAAAGAATCTATGTCAGTGATTATGAAAGAAGAATTAAAAGAAATGCTTGAAAATTTCCCTGCAAAAGAAAAAGAAGATATTGCCAGTTACTTTATCAATATACACAAGTATGGTTTAGATAACTCTCGTGCTTCGCCATCTCATTTATTTGCTTTGGCTCATACTTATTCTAAAATTTATCAAAAGAAAGTTAATTCAAGAGGCAGCTAGGTAATTTTTCAAATAATTTGAAATAATCATTTATCTTATTATATTATTATTTAATATATAGAGCTCTCACTTGAAGAAGGGTTTAGGTAAACTTTAAGAAGCAAAAGAATTGGTAGATGTCTTATAAAAGCAAGCTTAAGTCAAAAAGTAAGAGTTAGCTGTAAAGCAAAAAGAAGCAGACAACGCCTTGGTATTAATTAGTAAAGCTATGTAAAATGCTGCAGAAAGAAAGGCTGAGTGTGAAAAAATTTAAGAATATTTACAAAGTGAAGAAGGAAAGATACAAGATTAAAGGATGGAAGTCCAAAGATAGCTCCAAGAAGTCGAAGTAATTTATCAAAATAAATCTTTTTTTTGATTTTACTCTAGCAAATCAGAAAATTTTGATTTAAATTTTATTTTTTTGCTAAGTTTCACTTTATTTAAAAAAAATAATGGTTTTAAAATAATATTTTTTAACCTTAAAAAAAGCCTTTAATTCAATCTGCCAAAAAATCTGTAGACAATATTAGCAAAAGTGATTTAGATTTCTTAAGAAATTTGATGATGCCTCCTCCTGTTATTCACAATATCATGAAAGGTGTCTTAAGGGTCTTCAATATTTCAGATGTTGAGAAATGGTAAACTGTTAGATAGTTTTTAAGTAATAGGTAGGTATTAGAATAAATTATTAACTTTGATCCTGATATTATTACTCCATAAGTTAGAAGAGGTGTTTAGGCCCAAATTATGGAAAGTGAATCATCTTTCAGAAAAGAAGTTTCTTATAATGCTTCAAAAGCTGCTGGTCCTATGGCTGATTGGACTATTGCAGTACTTAAGTATAGTGAAGTAAATGAAAAAGTTATTCCTCTTAAAAATAATCTTAAAGCAATTGATTCAAAGCTGAATGCTAGTAGACAAAAACTTTAAGAAAATGAAAATGAGCTTCAAAAATTAGAAGGAAAGGTAGAATAATTGAAGTAAGACTTTGCTTCAAAGACTTCTTCAGCAGAAATATTGAAAAACGAACTAAAGAAATAAGAAGAAACATTAGCTGTGGCCTCTTAACTTCTTGATAAATTAGGTGATGAAAAGGTTCGTTGGGAAGCTCAAGCTTAATCTATTGAAAAAGAATTCAAAAGTTTCCCAGTAGAGAGTTTACTTGCTGCTGGTTTTACAATCTATTTAAGTGAAAATGATGAAAATTAAAGAGAAAAGGCAATATAAGAATGGAAATAAATGACCAAATCTCAGACTTTTAATTACTTGAAATTCCTAAGTAGCGAAGGTTAAATGCTTAAGTGGAAGAGTGAGGGTTTACCTGGTGACTCTCTCAGTTTAGAAAACAGTGTTATGATCTTCCATTCTAGTAAGACTCCTTTGTTGATTGATCCTAATACTTAAGCTACTGAGTGGCTCAAGAAAAATTTAGGAACTATCGAAGTCTTAAATCAACAAGACCCTAAATTCTCTAATCAACTCGAATTATCAGTATTTACATTTTAAATTTGCAATTCCCTTTAATTAACTTAACTTAAATTCATTTTTTTAAATGCTTATTAACTAAAATTACTTAATTGAATAAAGGTTCTTTTCGGAAAAACTTTACTGATTTAAGAATTAGATAAAATAGAACCTATTTTAGTACCTATTTTGAGAAAAGATTTAGTCCACTAAGGTCCTAGATGGGTTGTTATGATTGGCGATAAATATGTTAACTATAATGAGAATTTCAAGCTTTATTTATGTACAAGAAATAGCGGTATTGAAATAAATGCAAATACAAGTGCTTTGGTAAGTATAATAAACTACACAGTCACCAAGAGTGGTTTGGAAGGTAAACTGTTGAGTATAATTATTAACCACGAATAGCCAGATCTAGAAAAAAGAAAATAAGAGCTCTTAGAGAATGAAGAAAAACTCAAAATACAACTAGAAGAGTTAGAAAAGACACTTTTAGAAGAATTGGCAAGTTCAACAGGTATTTTTTTATAAATTAATTAAATCGTTTTAGCTAAATTTTATTAATTTGTTTTTTTATTAATTTTTAGGTAACATCCTTGAAAATTCTGTGCTTATTGAGAGTTTAAATCAAACTAAGTAAAAGAGTTAGACTATTGAAGTTAGTTTAAAGGAAAGTACAAAATTATAAGAAAACCTAGATCAATAAAGAGAAGTCTATAGAAATCTTGCAGTCAAGGGTGCTTAACTTTTCATAAGTATAGGTGACTTAAAGAAAATCAATAATATGTACAGGTTCTCTTTGAATTACTTCATAAAGCTTTTCAAAATTTGCCTAAATGTTAAAGAATAATTCCCCAATATGCAAGCTAAACTCCAATTCTGTGCAGTCAATCTAAATAGAATTATCTTTAATAATGTTGCAAGCTCGCTATTTAAACACGATAGACTTATGTTTGGTCTTCATATTGTTCACGACATATATCCTGAGTATTTCTAACAAAGCGAATGGGATTTCTTGTTAGGAAACACTGGTAAAATTAATTTTATTTAAGAAAATAATATATATTTATTATTAAATTTATAAATCAGCTCTAGCAATTGAAAGCAACTTGTAATTACCTAAATGGGCTAACCCTGACTGCAAAGATCAATATGCAGTATTTGTCAATAGTTTTGGAAAACTTTGCAACAATATTAACTTCAATGATAGAGAGTGGGAATAATGGAGCAAGGAATTGCAATGTGAAAGAGTTTTCCCCTAAGCCTATGCAAGCAAATTAACTCAATTTTAGAAAGTATTGTTTGTTCAAGTTTTCAGACCTGAAAGATTGCAATCTGCTTTGAATGATTTTGTATGCTAGTCATTGCAAATATCTTCAATTAGTGGAAATCCATTCTCTTTTAATTCCATCTATTAATAGGAGACATCCACCTAAACTCCTGCCTTGTTTGTTGTTTCTCCCGGTTCTGATCCTTCTGCAGAATTAGAAGAATATGCTGAGTAATAAATTGGCAGAGAAAACTTCTAAGAAATGTCCATGGGTGGTAACCAAAATGACGTAGCTCTAGAAAAACTAAGAGAAGTAAAAAAAATCTTACATTCAATGCTAGTATTAAAAAAATTTATTAAATAAAAAAGGCTGCAAACAAAGGATATTGGCTTTGTCTTAAAAACTTACATTTAGTCACAGCATGGCTTCCAATTTTAGAAAAAGAATTAAAAACTCTAACACCTCACTAGAATTTCAGGTAAATAAAAAAAATTCCAAGGTTTTTCATAATCATCAATTAATTTTATTTAAAAAGATTATGGCTTACAACTGAAGCTCATATTAAATTCCCAGCTATCTTACTAGAAACCTGCTACAAGGTATCTTATGAATCTCCACCTGGTCTTAAAAAGAACGTTGAAAGAATCTACAGCAGTTGGAGTCCCTAATACATTGCCAAGGGTTCTGCTTAGAGAGCTTAATTGTTATTCCTTTTAGCTTGGTTCCATGCTATTTTACAAGAAAGAAGAACCTATATTCCTTAAGGTTGGTCTAAGTTCTATGAGTTTTCATATGGTGATTTGAGAGTAATTGTTTTAAATTTTTTATTAATTTTTAAATATTTTCTAGCTCCACTTAGATTTGAATTTAAAAGCTCCAAGATTAATTGTTTTTAATTTTATGGTTTCTAATAATTTGTTTTTATGTATATATAGGCTGGTACTTAAATTATTGAAGGACTTGTTTAGGACACCTAATAGAAAGGAATAAGTTGGGAAACTCTTTATGGGTTATTTGAAAATGCAATTTATGGAGGTAGAATTGATGAGGCTTTTGATATGAGAGTATTGAGATCCTACATCGAATTGTATTTCAATAATAATATTCTTAAAGGTTCTGCTAGAATACCTACTGGTGATACTCTCCCACAAAGTACTAATTTGCCTGATTACTTGGCAATAGTTAAGAAGATGAGTGAAACTGATACTCCCTCTATTTTTGGTTTACCTCTAAATATTGATAAGGCAGTTTAAAGATATAATACTTAACAGGTTATTTCTAATCTTAAGATTATCATGCAAGCAAGTGCTGAGGATCTTAAATTTGATAAGGAAAAATGGTAGAAATAACTTGGAACAATTATAAATCTTTGGAAAAATCTTTATAAGCAGTTCCGTGAAGGAAGTGGTTTACCTTAAATTAAACCTTAAAATCTAACTTCAACAGACCCTATAGAATCATTTGTTTACCTAGAAGCTTCATCAGCATACTAAATGCTTGAAAAAATTGAAAGCTCAATTGAGGGTTTGAATAAAGTAAATTAAAAATTTATTTTATCTTAAAGATTTTATTAAAATTTTTTAAATTCATAGGTTTTGTTTGGAAATGGTTTATTAACTAGCGAAATACAAGCAACAGGTATGGAACTCATGCTTGGTAATGTTCCTGAAAAATGGAGTAAAGTTTGGGAAGGACCTGATAACGCTAATAGCTGGCTTAAGGGATTCTGCTCAAGAGTTTATCAACTTAAGAAATGGGTAGAAACCTTAAGAAACGGTAGTCTTCTTGACAGTCCACTCAATTTATCTGACCTTTTCCACCCCGAAATTTTCTTAAACGCTTTAAGATAGAAAACAGCAAGAAAAATAAGCAAACCCCTTAATGACCTTAAAATAGTTACATCATTCGATTAATCAAAAATCAGCACTGCCATTACCATAAAAGTATATTTAAAGATAAAGTGATAAATAGATTATTAAATACTCTTTTTTAAAATTAGATAAAAAATCTTTTACTTTAAGGTTGCTAGATTAACTAAGGACATCTTATTGATGGAGCCTAAGATCTTCCTGAATTCGTTTAACTACCTGAATTATATATTGGATTTATCCCTAAAGATGAATAAGATCCTTACCCCTCTAATACTTTAGGAGTAATACAAATATTTTTTTAAATAATTTTAGTATTTACGTTTTTTTATCATAAATAATAGGAATTCCCAATATTCTCAAGTAGCCAAAGAGAAAAACTTGTAGCAAAAATAAAAATACCAGTACAAGGAAGTCTAAACGATAGAATAATTGCTGGTGTTGCATTTGTTTTATAAAATAATTGAAAAATAAATTCAATAAAAGTACAATAAGAAAAAAATTAATAACTAAATAATTAAAATATTTACAAAAATAATAAATAAATAAATCATATTTATAATATATAAAAATAAATTTATATCTTTCATTTTATTTTGTGAAAAATAACTAAAAATTATTACTAAATATTATTTATTTCTTAATAATATCATGAGATATGAATTGCATTTCACTCTATTCATAATTAATTAAATATAATATTACAATTATATTTGATGTTTTTTAAATTTAAAGAAGATATCATAATTTTAGTTAAGTTTTTCCCTCCATTTTTGAACTTTAAAATAATTTATTTTTTTTATTAAAGAATTAAAACTAAAAGAAAAATTTTTATTAATAATGGTCTAAAACTAAAAAATTACTCTATTTAGTTTATTTTTTTGTTTACATATGTATCAAAAAAATTTAATTTTAATGTGTTTTAAATGTTTTATAATTAATTTTTAATTTATAATTTTTTGAAATTTACAAATAAATGTACATAAATTAATTGCATGAATTAATAATTAATTAATTATTTAACTAATAAGAAGTTCTTAATTATTTAAAAAAGTATTTTATTAATTAATTTATAATCTAAAGATTTTTTTTTTTCTTTGATCATTTTTTTGTTGGGTATTCTGTTATTCTTTATGGCTTTATCAATAGATTCTTGGTTGTAATATCTTCAATAGATTAATGACTATGGTTACTTTCATAATCACCTTAGCTTGTAAAGGCACTACCTTGGTTGCTAAGATTCTTTTTAAATTCTTTCATTTTTGCTTTCAGTGGATTTACAAGGTTGCTTAATTATGTTTTGTTGGTGCTGCTTGTTGAAGAAGGAATTTTAGTGGATAGTTAGCTATTGCTTTCTGCAAGCTCTCTTTCTTCTTTTATTTCATTTATTTCACTAATATTTGAGCTATTGTAAGCACTATTTTTAGTACTACTCTTTCCTCTTCCTGGAGAAGTTTCTTATGATTTATTCAAGAGTATTTTTTAGTTAATGTTATTCAAATTTTATGCAAGATCTAAGATAAATGATGAGCTATTATTTTTGTTGCTAGTGGGATTTTATTGAGTTATTTATTCGTTATTCTAATTACTTTAGAAAGAATTGTTTCTAGAATTTGATCTCTTATCGTTGTTAGCATACTGATTAAGTGCAGAAGATGCTCTGCTTATATCATTTGTCCTGTGTGTAGCTATTGATTACTATTATTATTGCTGTTATTATTGTTGTTTGTCTCCTTAATTATAGTTATTTTAAACTATACTTGTGTTATGACTGCTAGAACCATGATGGAAGCTATTATTACTATTTATGTTTGAAGGACCTAGATTATTTAAAGATGAAGGCTTTTATGATTCAACATGGAATGATTTGTTTACAGAAGGAACATTATTTTTGTTTATATTTAGTTTTAAGTGATTTTTAGAACTGCTAATATTAGTGCTACTATTTGGATTGGAGCTATTAGATGCAGATCTATTTATCTAATTTGAGTTATTTGTATTCTCATTCATCAGAGATATTTGATCTTAAGAAATTTTTGAAATAGATTTAATTACGTTTTAATTATTATGGCTGCCATTTTGATTGTAATTTACTTGTAAAACACTTATTTAAGGGTATGCATTATGATTAGGAGTATTGTAGTTATCATTGATAATTGTATTTTACTTTTTATTAGATTGAGCTCCGTTATGAGAAGAGTTTATTACCATTGAGCTATTTGTTTTTGTTTATCTCTTTACTTCAGGAGTACATGCATACGATGAATATGAAAGATGCTTTCTGCCTAAAGGAGATACATCATAGTGCTGCTATGGCTGCTAAGAATTATTAGTCGTTTTTTTGACTTTTTTATTTGTTGAAAGAGAAGGTTGCTTAGAGAAAGAATTGTTACTATTTCTATTTTGCATTTTATTTAAAGGTGAAGGAGATTTGCTTTAAGAAATCATGTGATTATATTTATTATTGTTCTTAGATACTGGTTATTATGATAAATTCGAAGAAACAGATGGAGAATTTTCTAACATAAGATTCTCTATTTATGAAAGCTTAATTTACTGCTATTAAACATCCCAATTATCAATATTCTTAAAAAATATTTATCTGAGGAGTTCTCTTTGTTTATTTAAATTTTCATGTCTAATTTGACTATTTTGAAATTCTTACTAGTTAAGATGTTCTAACATTAACTTTTCATCATTTTAATCATCATTAAATAAAGCATTTCTTAATTCTATGCTTTTGTTGCAGTAGTTATCAAGAATCGATTTACTATCTGTTTACTATTAATTTTGTAAGACCATTGATTGTTATTATTATTACTATTATTGCATCATCAATTACTGTAATTATTCCTCTGAATTTATTGTTGAATCTATATTACTTCCTCTTTATTATTTTCCTTTCGTGACCTTCTAATTGCTAGATCTACTGTTTTACTTTAATCCTAATTTTATTTTTAAGCTATTGATTTCATCTTTAAAGATTCTCCTTGCTTTCTCTAATTTCAATTTATCCAAAGCACTAAATAATTAATTTTCAATGTTATTAATTTCTTCATTGCTAATGTCATTGATTCCTATCATATTTTCATATAAATCTAATCTCTTTAAAGCTCCTTCTGCAGCTTCTCTTAGCTCTTTATATTTTTTTTCCATGACTGTATATCTTTTTTAAACAGAATATAATTTAATTATTACTTACTTAATTTTTTAAAAGAATGAATTAATTAATTTACCTCCATTTAGAATTGTTAAGCTCCTCTTTTTAATCCATAAGCTCATTGTAGATTTATAAATAATGTTATTAAATTTAATTGAAATTTTATTCTTGGACTTTTTGTTTAAATTCATATTATTTCAACTACGAATTAAGCTTTTTGCTTATTTGAAGGGCTATTTTTCCTTCATAATCATAGAGCAAATTACAAACATCCTTATCAATTGATGCATAAATTTTATTATTTTTAAGAGTTTCAGCTGTATGAAATATTAAGCCAGCTTCTTCATGAAGTTAAACAGGAAGCATTTTTTGTTGAATTTCATTTTCTAACTCGTTTTTCTATTCTTAAATTGTTCTTTTCATGAGTTTTTTCAATTTCTCTAAAATTTCATTTTTTTCTTGCATAATTTCATTAATTATTCTTTTCAAATTATCTATTTCTTCTTTTTATTCAGCATTATCCTATTTTGATAAAAATGAATAAAAATCATAAAAATTGTCATCCTATTTACCTTAATTTTCTTATCTAAATCAATCTGCAAATTTTAATTAGAATGGAATTATTCACTATTTCTATCATAATAATTGTAGTATAAATCTCTTCTGTAATTAATTTCAATGCTATTTTTTATTTTTTTGGCATTTTATCCAAATCTCATTGTGCTTAAGCTTTATTCAAAGTGTGTACCTATTTTTTTATAATCATATAATTATATTTTAAAATTAGTATTAAACTTATTACTTGTAGGAGTAACACAAAGTATGATGAGGGTTCTAGAGTTACCTCCAAGACTTGACCTTTAAAATAAAAATTCACTTTAATAAAAAGTAATAATTTTAAATAGATAAATTACTTAAGTATTTTAGTCAATGCAGAATTTCTATATGGAATGTGGTTAGAAGATTTGTTTTAGCTTTGTAAAGATATTACTTGAGTTAAAAAAAATAAACTTTTATTGATAGATTAGCTTTCTTTTATCCTTTCTTTGACCATTTTCATAGCTGAGGTTGTTTATTCTTCATTTTAATAATTATTGACGCTTTAAAAAATAAATATTAAATAAATAAGTAACTTCTAACATAAAATGAGGTTTTGTTTATATAAAATCATCAAAGTTAAAATATTAATTAACTAATAAAATTAATATATATTTGTAAAAAGCTTTGATTCATACTTTCTCCTGATTTTTGTCAAAAGTAACAAGAAAAAATAATTTAAATTTATATTGCAACTATTAATGTTATATTGATTACTTTATATCTTTGGTAAAATCATCTGCTAATGAGTGATGGTTAGATATTTTTTCTGAACCTGCTAGATCCACAAAATTAAGACAGCTTTCAGTTATAACTGTATTAGGATGGTTGTCAGCAAATTCTAACAGTTATTAATTATTTATATTAATAGTAGATGATGAATTTTTTTATCTGTATTTTGCTATCTAGTCATTAGCATATGAGTGCACATATAATTTGAAGATTGTATGAGAACGAGAAGAAGAATGATTAAGAATAGTTTCTGCATAGTGTCTGTTTTCTTCTCCTTGGTATATTACATCTAATATATCCTCTATACTCTAAATTTCAACTTCTCTCAAACCCTTAATAACAAAATCTTTTTTTTAATGATTTTCACTTAATTATAAAGCCTCATCTAAAGAGTTTTTATTCTTCAGTAAATCATAAACATTTTCATTATAGATTTCAAAGTAACTGCATTTAACTGCGAATGTCTTCTCTTTATTCTATTTTTTTTAAATTCAATTGTTTTTCATAATTTCATCATTGATTAATGCAATTAAACTTCTTTTAGTAAATTTTTAAAAAAAGTATCTAAATAAATAAATTGATTTTTCTATGATTGCTAACTAATTTTTGCTATTTCTTTCTTTTATTTTATTCTGATTTTTTTTATCTTATTTTGAAAAAAATTACTGCTTGAATGGAATTTAGGATGTGATTCATTGCTAGTAGGAGAACACCTAAATCTCCATCATACTCCCTCTATTTCATGTTTTAAAGAGATTTCTAATAATAATAAGGATTGTTTGTATTCATTGAATCTCCTATTGGACCTAACGTGGTGTAAGTTTTACCACTACCAGTTTAACCATACATAAAAACTGTAGAATTAATTCCTTTTTTAATAATTACAAACCTATTAAACTATTGTAGTTATGATATTTTATCAGTAACGATGCAGACAGAAAAAAATATATATGTAGCAAGAAAAGCTTCTAAAAGTAACCAACCAAACTAAAATAATAAAAATTTACCATGAATTACAGACTCAGAAACGCTCAATACAGATTAACTAAATACATCTAAATTTGAAGAATCTTAATCATAACACAAATCAAATGTGTATGATATTTTTGTTGTTAGATTCATTCTTTTTGTGTTCAATAGCTCTTTAATAAATTATCTATTTACAGTAATATGTTCATTGTTTATAATATCAAAGATGTTCTCCTCTTAGCTTAGCCTCTCTGAATCGCTTAGAGGCCTTACACGAAGGGCTACTTTAATGTTTTCCATTTTCTAAAAATATTTAACTAATTATTAAATAATTGTATTTTGCTTTGTTTTTTTTGCTTTCTTGCTTGGTTAATTGATTGCTTTCTAATTATGCTAAAGCAAATTTATATAATTACAGATTAATTTATTTGATAATAACTATCTTATGTATCAATCAACCAGTTCACGACGAAACAAACAAATAAACATAAATATTAATTAAATTAATGGAAAAAAAAATAACAAAATTGATTTATTTATTTAACTGCTTTATTTTAATAAATTTCTTTAACTATCTATCCATCTAATAATTTAATAAATAGGATATAAACAACACAATTTGTTCACAGATTGATTTTAAAAAGCAAATGCATATTTACAAATAAAATAAATATATAATCAATCAATGAATTGTTTTTTTGAATTTTTTCTTATCTTACTATTTTAACATTTCCATATTTACTTATTTATTTATTTAATTTATTAACCACTTCTTTTTTTTTAACAACTGATTTATTTCTTATAAAAATATTTCATTCAATAATTTATCTTAAGATTGATTATTTGTCCATTCACCATTTTATTAACACTGATTTTAAATTAAATTTGCTAACATTTAATGAAAATTGATCTAAAATTTTGTATGCAGAAGATAGATTAGAATTTATAAATGTTTTTAAAATATTTAAATAAATTTTTACTTTTCTTTCTAACTTTTAATGATTAAAAATTTAAATATTTTATGATTATTTATCAAAGAAAGTTACATTAATAAAAATAAATGTAATTATCTTATATTATTTATTTTGTTAGTAACACAAAAATCATTTAAAATATACTATTATTTCGACACCTCCAACTATCTCATTTAAATCAATAAATTATATTTATTTTAACCATTCTTTTAATTTTATGAAAAGACTTCAGATTAGCTTAATTTGGTCTTTTTATCTTATTATTTCTATTTTAAAATTTAGTATACTTAAAATATATTAAAAAATAGTTACTTTAAATTTATAGAGATATCTAGTAAACGTTAGAGCTTTTTTAAATTTTTTAATGGTTCATTTATGATTTGCTCTTCATTTGTTATTTAATTATCTCTATTTTAAGTATATAATTTAATTAAAATATGCTTTTAATACTCAAATCATACTCTAAGTTCATATTTATAGATTTTATGTGAGAAAGATTAGTCAATTCGTAAAATAAATCCCTAGCACCAATAGATTTTATTTAATTGCTCCTTTATTTGAATAAAATCAATTTAAAAGTTGTTACTTTTATATATTTACTTTAATTCCAAGCATATAAATAAAAGATTTTTCATATTTCCAAGTGCCTTTGTAATATCTTTAGCTCCTTTTTAGTCTATTAAATTATTACTATTATTAGTAAATTATATATATAATATTTTTGGAACTAAATCGGTCTAATTTACGATAATAGTAATTTTAGATTAACAATTTTGTTTAGAGACGATAATTGGTTGCAAAAATTCCATATCCCAATAGAAGCTATACCATTATTACTATTTATTTATTTAAATTATAAAATTTGTAAAAAAATAATTAATATCATTCTAATCTTTTAAATTTCGCTGCTCTTATAAATAATAAAGATATCAATCCAACTAAAAAGTTATTATAGCATTTTACTATTATTAATTGGTTTTAATTCAAAAATATTATATACTAATTTAAGACTATGATAATAGTTTTTTATTTTTAATAAGTAAATAACCCCTAGTATTAAAATAAGGTCAATAAAAACTTCAAAAGTTTATGATTATTTGCTTCTTTTAAATAATAGTAATTATGTTAGATATTTTAAGATTGTTTTTCATTAATTTATCTTAATTTTAAATTTAAAGAATACCTTAAATTTAATGTTAGGTGATTTAATTTTTAACAATATTTGATATCTTCTACAATATATTAAGCACCCAAAACTCCTAAGTTATTCCATCTAAATTAAAAAAAGTAAAAAAATTATAATCAAAAAGGCTTAATTTTGATTACGATAAATCAATATTTAGATTTTCCATATTTTGAAGCTTTGAAAGTTGATTACCAAAGTCTTTAATTCCTCCTATTTAGCCCATATTATAATTTTCACTAAAAATAAAAGTCATTTATAAAAAATTATATTTTTTAAAATTGTTACCTGATATCAATAGATAATTTATTTAATTCATTTAGCTATTAAATGCCAAATATCAATTATGTCACCGATTAAATTGTGATCTAAGTTTATCTTTGAATATTTTAATAAAATGGGCATAATATAAATAATAAAAAAATAAAACCTTAAGTTTAACTTGATTTCTTTTATTTTTTTATAATTAGCAATAATTATTTTTAAATCCAGTAAAGCTTGTTCGCCTATATTATTAGAACTAAAAATAAATTAGCAAATTTATTAGTGACATGAGAGTATTTTTTACTAAAAAGACAGATCTAGGTATTATAAATTTGATAAATTTTTCATATTTTGACATAACCTAGAAATATCTAAGCTTTCTAAATTATTCAACCTTTTATTTTAAATAAATATTTTATTTTATCAATAAATAAATAAATAAAAACAAATAAAAATAATACCCAAAATCTATGGTTAATTGCTCTAAATTAAGTAATGTCCCAACATCACTAATAAATATATTGTTCATATCTTTAGAGAATTTTGTTTTTCTAGTTTTTTAATGAGCCAAATCAAGTTTTTCATTGCCTAAGAAAGTACTTACCTCATTATTAGCTAAAGATTCCTTAGTTTTGAAAGAGATGATAATCTCGAAATCAAATATTGAGTTCCTGTTTCATCTATTTTATTATAACTTTCACCATTTATTTTTTATTTAAAATAACTCTTATTATGAATTTAATATTTCTTACCCATAATTCAAAATGATATTTTAGAGCTGTTTGCATTTATCTAACTAAAGAGCCATTGATTTGAGTCCTTCTGAACTAATTTTATTTTATCTATTAGAAAAGGTTTATACCAGATTTATTACTTGAAATAAATATGTACTTAACAGATATATTAATTTTCTGAAGATTAGTCATCTCTGTGAATGAACTAAAAATACATTAAATTGATTTATCTTCAATTTCATTTTCTCTAATATTTATTTAGTAATTCAAATCATTAATTTTATTTTTTTAAAATCTACTCCAAATTTAATTCAATAATTGTAAGCTTCTCCAGTAAACATAGAGTATTTTGCAGGTATTCTGCACCAATTTAACTTAATGAGCATGATCTATTATATAATATTAAATAGCTTAATTAAACAACATAAACAAATATTTGTTACTTTAAATTCAGTTTTAATATTTTTAGACTAACACACTGCTCAATACCTTAACATAATATTTATAATTTTTAATCACCTAATTAACATCCTCTGGAGGAAAAAAAACTAAAATATTTAATTGAAATATGTTTATTTATTACGCGAAATCTAAGTCTAATTTAAGAATATAGTTGTTTTCTTCTATCAAATTTCTTATTTATCTTGACTCTGAAGGCGAAAGGAAAATTAATCTTTTTATGATTTTGCTAGTTATTAAATATGAGCATTAATGAATAACCATACTTAAAACTCTTCTGCAAAGTTTTATTGATGTTAACATTTTTAACTTTAAATAAGTAAATTAAGTTAAAGATAAGCGACAATTAAATCAAATAAATCTATACTTTATTCTTAAATTGATTATAAATCACTATACATTTTTTATAACAAATTTTTTTTTAATCACAAATTTTTTTTTAATTTTCAAAGAATATTTTATCTTAATAAAATGTCAAATCAAAAAAATAAAAATTTAGACTTACTAAAATTCAAGCAAATTATATGGCCAAAAATAACCTTCTAAAAAAGTTTTTTCAATCTTGATGCTTCATATAATTTAAACTATATTTCATTTTAACTTAATGTGTTTTTTGTTTTAATGTTTTAGATTAAATAATTTTTTTTAATTTACTAAAAAATTATAATATAAATTATGGAAAAAAAATAAAAATATAAATTTATAAATTTTTGAATTCAACATATTTGTATTTAGATTGAATAAATTTTAACTAAAATATTGATTGGTAATATTGAAATTTAATTATTTAAAACAAATAGAACCATTTTTTTAAAGAATGAATTAATTTATATTTATATATAAATGTGTGATTACTTACTCTTTTATTTAAAATATGAAAAAAAAGACATTGTTTATTTTTTAAAGGATGAAAAATTAAATATTAAGAAAAGAAATTTATAATCAAAATTAATTACTTTATCCCCAAATAATATAATTGATTGATTTTTTATAAATACAGTTAGACTTATTTTTATGTGCTGCATTTTCTTAGGAATAAATTTTAAAATACGACAATCAAAATCTTCCTTTGATTTGATATTATATTTTCTATTAACATCTTCTAGAATGATATTTTCAAAAATTAGATATTAGATTATAAACAAAATAGAAAATAATTACTGAATACAAAAATTAAAACCCTTTGAGATAATTATTTTAAAAAATATAGAAATCATATAGATTTTTGCAAAGTAAAAAAAATAAACTGTTTTTTGAAATAAATTTATTTCTTAATTTTTTTGATAATTTAATTGTTAAAACTTGAATTATTCCATATGTTTTATAGATCAAACTTGATTTTATATATTAATTTTTAATTTCTTCTAGCTATAGATGCATATCAATTAATTTAGCTCACAAAACAAAAAATTTAAAAAACCAAAAAGTATTAAAATCCATATAAAATAATTTATTTTATTTATTTTGTGTTAATTTTAGAAAAAATTTAATGTTAAAAACATTATGATGACAGCAATATTAAAATTAACACTCAAAGTAAATTATATTTTGGAATAAACTTAGAGCGATAATATATGTTTTTTCATCTAAATATGTCATTTTAGTTTTATATTATCGTTTTAAAATTTAGTTCTAATGAAGTAATGTAATCAAAACGGATATTTATCAAATTAGCAAATGAGCATACCTATTTGTTTATTCAGTAAAATAAACAAGATACTTATTTTCTTCTTCTTCTGCCTGATAAAAGTATAATTAATTAAAAACAGAAAAAAAGAAAAACAAACTTATCAATTAACTAAAAATGAGAAAGATCATTCTTTTGTTAGCTATCATTAGTTTGGCACTCTGCTAAGAACTTATAGTTGAAAAAGTAGCAGGATAATACAACTCAGGTTAAAAGTTCGCAAAATCCTGGTAAAATTCATAATGGAACGATTATCAAGATTTCGCTATTTATGGATGGTTTAAGATTGACTCTTCATACTAAATTGCTGAGTGGTCAACTGGTTTCCACTTTACTTCAAATTAGGACAAAGATTGGACTAACGCCTCTGCTCCTGGTGATAGAGTATTGGCATTCTGGGTTATTGGAAATACTCTCCACAATCCTACTTACTCTTTAGCAAGAGGTAATACTAATTATTACGAAAATCTTTCCTTCGCTGCTGGAGATACTAATAAATGGGCTTTTATTTATGTTACACATGGTTCTAGCTAATAAGCATAATACGTCTATTACTTACTTCCTTCCTCTGGTGTTGTAACCAAGAAAATAGCTTCAATCACTCATAAAACTTCCACCTTCTATCAAATCAATGTTGGTTAATCATTCAGCTTCAAATATTTCCCTGGTTCTTTTTGGAGACTCTCACTTATTGCTGGACCTAATGCTTACAGAGAAAGTGGTTTTGAATAGTTCTAAAACATATAACCTGACGTTGTTCCTAGCTGTCCTATTCTTTTCACTGGATGTAACTATAGTGGTAAGGGTGATTCTTTATGCTAAAGCTCTCCTTCTTATAACGTTACTGCTGTTCACTCAATCTACCTCCCTGCTAACTTCACTGCTACTTTACATGATCAAGCTAATTACGCAGGAAAGAAGATCGTTTATTCCCAAAGTATTGAATGTATTACCTAATTAAATTGGGCTTACTTACTCTCTACTCATGCCATTACTATTGAGGATGAAACTAAAACTGTTCTCAGAAGAAACAACAGAAGAAATTGAAAAGACAATTCTATTAGTATTTTAATAAATTATCCTTTTATAAAAAGAGTAAAATAAAGATATGTTTACAATTTTACATAAATATACATAATTTGTGAAAATTAATTATTATAAATAAATGATAGATCTTTTCAAATAAGTTTATTAAAATATTTTAATTAATTTTTACTTTATTTATTTTTCCTTTTCAATATAACTAACATATTAAATATCTTCTCTAATCAAATATTTATTAAATAAATTGCTGGTTTTTATTTTAATGCAATCCTCTATTATCTATGTATTTATTCATAAAAACAAATAAAATTTGTATCTAATTTACATTAAAGATTTTAAGAAATACAAATATGAATTTTTTATTAATTAATTTATATTATTGTTAAAAATACTGTAGATTCTTTTCTCTAAGGAGGGTCTAAAAATCACTTATTTTTTTACACTATTTTAAATAATAAATTAAAAAATAATGAACTTTAATACAAAGTTTCAACACCTATTTGAAGAAGTTCAGTTTACTAAAATTTGTTTAAACTAAAATTTTATTGATTTATTTATTTACTAGTTAATATAGATATAAAAATTACAATCTTAAAACAGAATAATCATACTTAAAAAAACAGTTTATTATATATATTTATCTATCATCAGTCAAAATTTTCTGCATTGTCTTCTCCTATTTCTTCAACTTTCTAGTTTAAAGAGTTAATCTTTATAAAATATTTAATAAATTTAATTTACCTTTTTGCATATGTAAATATAATGCTTCTCTGGATCTTTTTCTTCAACATTGGTAATTTACGGTTTTTTAATTACAATTTCTTGGATATCCCATTAAAATTCTGGCTTTAAGTAAATATATTTTAAAATTATTTTTTGTTATGTATTATTTAAATCTTGATAATTAAATACCTTTTAAAGATATGTTCTTCTGTATTCTGGAGAACCATGAGATATAAGAACATACACTCCTTTTGGTGTAAGTACTCTATATATTTCTGAAATGGCTTTATTTGCATTTGAAGTAGAACTTTCACCACACTTGATGGAAAATATAATAATATTTATTTTAGCAAGATTATAAATAATAAATTTACTAGTATAGAATCTAGAGTTCCTTTATCCATTACGCAATCAAATGACTTTGCTTCGAATTCCATATTTCTTACATCCATTTATAAATCTTTTTATAAAAAGAGAATGAATATTAGTCAGTTTTCTTAAATTTATAACTCGAAAGTACATTTAAAATTAGGTCCTTTGTCTTTATATTTTTCCTGCATTGATTTAGTCACTATTGAAGATATATCAATATTGGTTATATTTTGATGACCTTCATCAAACATTTCTTCACTTAATCCTAAATATTATTTATAGATTGTTCATTAAATATTTACAACCTACACAAGAAACAAATCAACTCATTACTCGAACTGCCTGATCCAACATTAAGAATTTTGCTTTCAGGGTTGATATGAGGAATAACATGATCTCTTATTCCACTGAAACGCTAATACCAATCAAAAGGCTCTGGCTCTCTATTAATTCATTCATTTTTTACAAAATTTAATATTGATTAAATCAACTATAAATTTATACTTTGCATATCTTTCTTCCCAATATTAAGGATTTCCGTATTGCTTCATTTCTAATATTATAAAGATGTATGCTAATTATGTTTGATTTGAGACAAATGTAGTTAAAAATGTTCCTATTTTTTTAACAGCTTTCTTCTATTTAGAAAAAGAGTATTCTTTAACTTTATAAAATAATATTTATCAGTTTTTTTTTAATTAATTTAAAGGCTAGATATGCATAAAATTTCAAAATAGCAAACAATTAATTGAATGATAATTATTTAGCATCAAAAATAACTTTTCAAAAATTAAACTATTCAAACAATTTATAAGTAAATAAATAAATAAAGTTAATAAATGTAAATCATTTTTTGTTTTTTAATATCTCAATTTACTTTATATAACTTCTAAGCAGAAGCTAATAAATAAACAATAAAAGCAAACACATTCAAATATTTTTGTTATGATTTAACAAAATAAATAAAAACAATACATTATATGCAGGTTCATTACAATTTGCCATATCTAATTATTTTGATGATTTTTATTGAGGTTTTGTAATAAATAACTGTTAACTTAATCTAAAATATATTATTTCATTTTTATCCTATTAATGCTGATATTTATTCTGATTATTTTGATAATAATCTTTCAATTTTAGCTTTAATCCAGTCTTAATAGGCATCTTCACCACTTTTCAAGACATCTTAACAAGCATTTTATACTAATATGTTTCCTTCCCCATCTAAAACAACTAATTATGGAATTCCTTTAACGTTAAAGTGATTTCTATAGGATTCAATTCTTTCAAGATCATAAGGAAGTGAAATCCAAGGCATTTATCTAAAATATTTTTTAAATTCATCATCGCTTTTATCGAAAGGAACTAATACTATTTCTAATGGCTTTTTATTATTTTCAATATTAATATCTTCAATATTCACTTCATTATAAAACTCAATTAGCTTTGGAGTAAAAGCCTTACTTGGGTAGCAATGACTTGCTGCAAAATACAGACAAACTATGTCATTTGCTTCAAATAAATCTTAATCTAATCTTTCCTTTTTGCCTTCAAATGTACGTCCAAATTTAAATTCAGGGACATAAACTATATTTTCTTATTACTAAGGAGCTTAAGAACTATCTTAATGTCCTAACAGTTAACTTTTATTATCTGCCATAGCTTGTTTAGTATATTTAAAATATTTAATTTAAAAATTAATAATAATGATATAAATAAGTTATTAATTTTGTAATTATAATATTTAACAAATAGAGTTAATAATTTAAAGAAAATTTTAGAAATTTAACACTAAATTTCAATCTTTTTATTCTCATAATTAGCAAATAACAATATAAATATTTATTATATTAAATAACATTTTAATTTATATTATATATAGCCTTTATATAGAATAATTCTGATTAATTTGAAAGTATTAAATAAAATTTTATTAATATTTCATATCAACTTCTTTTCAAACTTTACTCGTTATGTTGATTTTAATTTTAAAAAAATAGCTATTGTTGATTATAATATAGAAATCTTTTATAAAAAAATATTTCAAAAATCTTACTTTAAATAATTAAAGTAAATATAGTGAAAGTTTAAATACAATTGAGGTTTTTAAATTTTAAATACCCTTCTTATGGAAGAAAATGTATACTCTATGAATTTTCCCCTTTATGTAAATACTTCTTATTTTAGAGAATCTTAAAATTTTAATTTTAATAGTATTCATAAAAAAAAAATCTAGCTTAATCTAATTATTATTTTTATCCAATAATTTAATTTACAATATTTTTGAATTATTTTTTTAAAATAAAATTTATTTTATGCATTTTTTTTGAGGTAAATAAAAAAATTTACTTAAATTTAAACACTTAATTAAGTTCAATTTAAAATGATATATCATTAAAAATTTAAAGTATGATCATCAAATTTATTAAAACCAAAAATGATATTTTAAAAAATAATATTGTTTGAAAATAACAAATTCTGAATCAGCTATAATTACTAAGCAAGATAGATAGATCAAAATTAGTTTATAGAAAGAGATCAATTGTTATAAATATTTATTAATTTACATAAAGAATAAATATATAAGCTCATTAAATTCATGATTAAATTTGAAAATAAAATGGTATGATTTATAAAAACTAAAATCAAGAAGCAATTGCTTGATTAATTATATTCATCAAATCTTGGAGAGTATATTAAGATGATTCGATTTCAAACTTTTCGAAGTTAATTGTTTGATTTGTGATACAATTGTCGATCTTGAATGCTATAGCTAACATAGATGCAAGGAATAAATCTTCTTGCTTTTTTACTTAATGATACTAATTAGTAAAGTAGTCAAAGAGATTCTTTATTTGACTGTTGTAAAGCTAAGGCTGTATAATTTAGTTCAAATCCAAATTAATTATAGTTTACATTTGTTAGTATTATTGAGGGAAGTTTTACTTGATAAATAGATCCAAAAATGTTCCATATTAAAAGAATTTATTAGTTATAAAAAGCTTATCTTAATCCAAGATAGTAAATATATCAGTGTAAACAGGACTATTGATAAATTAAACCCAATCTTGAGGATCTTTTAGTTTTAAGAAGTTAGGAGCTTATCTATTCTATAAACTTAAATGAAGACCAGTCACTCCATTCAAGCATTTTCTAATTAAGTAATATATATCAAATCTACATTAGTCTAGATACTAGAATTCCAATTTTTCAGATAGCCTTATTAAAAATAACAAACCATTTCTTGTATTGATTAAAGTCTAAAAGATTTAAGTGACTCCAGGACTTGCCTATTTTTGTTCAGACATTGAAGAACCCTAAGTTATAATATAAATTTAATTTAATCTAAGAAAAGTAAATATAATTGAATTAAGAATTAATTTAAAAGGCATAAAAATGAATTTAAATTGTAAATTACTCCTTAGTTAATGAGATTTTGAATTTGAGGATCATTCTTAATAGGATCAAAGAGAGGATGATTTATCAATTGATCTGCTGTTATTCTAACAGATCTATCTTTTTCAATGCACTTTATAAGCACATCCTATGAGTTTGGGGAAATCATATTAGGACGGACTATTTTGTATGGGACATTGCATATTTTTTATGATACTTCATATTAGCTGTTACCCATAAAGTAAAGTTCATTGAAAAGCATTTCGTGATACATGATACCTAAATAATTAAAATAGAATTTAGTTATTGATCATAAGAAAATGCTATTTTATAAGAAAATAATCAAGTAAATGTTTATCATAAAATTTCTAAAATATTGTTTGAGCTCAAATTTTGTTTACACCTAGATAAAAATACACATCATTTGTTTTTCTTTAAAATAGACAGATAAAAAATAAATATGCTCAAACTTTTAATAGGATAATTAAAGTAAGTTTATCTGTAATTAATTTGCTTTTTCTTGAATTTAAAATGTAAGTTTTACTTGATAAAAATATAAAAATACTAGTTTTTACCTACTGCCCAAATATCAACTAGCTTGTCATATGAAGGATCTTTGAAAAATTCAGGAGCCATATATGGATAAGTTCCTAAAGTAGTGTAAAACATGTTCTTTTAGCTTGCAAAACCAAAATCACCTATGAAAGCATTAAAAAAATAATTTAATTTTATTTTTTTAAACAAACCCTTTGTTTAAAATTAATGAAAGAATCAAATTAAGTTTTGTCATAGAATTTTAGAATAATAATTTGGTTTTTATTTTTATTTAAATCGCTGAAAAGCTTATTTAATTTAAACAGATTTATTGAATCTCTTCTCTTTTAAATGGTAAAATTCTTGTTAGAATATAAATTTTGTTGCTTAAAATAAAATAATCTTCTATTTTAAAATATCATGAACTAAAATATTCTAATTCATTACCTATTTTGTAAACTCCATCATGAATAAATATATTTTCTGGTTTAAGATCTCTATGGACTATATCATGTTTAGCAATATAATTGATACCAGAAACAATTTGATAAAAAATCTTTATTGCTTGCTATTCAGGAATGCCTTGAGGACATTTTTTGATAATATCTAAAAGATTGCCTCCATTGCAGTATTCTAAGATGATATAGATGTTATTTGTTGTTTGGAAACAATCGAAAATTTTCACTATGAAGGGGCAAGGGTCTTTTTGAGATAAAAACGAGAGTTTCTATAAAATATTAACTTCATCACCAATTGCATTAATGATTTCTTCACCATATTTTTTCAGTTTTTGTCTGCTTATAACTTTAATTGCAACATCTGTATTGGTTTGTTTATTAATTCCTTTGAACACCTGTGCAAATGCTCCACTGCCTAATTCGTTAGACTCTGAGTATTCATAAAACCTATTTTGATTTGATATTTGCTTCATTTGCTTTTAATTGCTTTAATTAATTTTAATATTTACTATTTCTTATTTTAATAATAAAGATAAGAAAATTGATAAGCATATATTTATTACTCTAATATCTTATTTTTTTAATATTATCAAGTCCTTTCCTTATCAAGATCAAGAAATAGCTAGTGCAAAGACTTGTCTATCTATTTGCTGTGTTATTCCGATCAAGAAAATAAACAAAAAATAGATTATTAATTTATTGATCTTCATAAAGTGTTTTGCTTGATAATTCAATAACACTAACATATGTATAATCAGTTGCTTGAATAATGTTAAAGGCTTATTCGAATTACGTATTTAATTAATTTACTAATTAAAGGATTTGTCTTAAAATGATATTTGATGCAATTTTTCTATTTTTGAAAAGCATAGAATCTAATTAAAGTGATTTTTAAAATTTAAAATTAGTAATAACTTAATTAATCTATTTCATTTTTTTATATACTTTTCTGTTAAAAATAAATTAAGCACTTTAAAAGGTTCAGCTATTATAAAAATATTGAATACATAAACTAGGTGTCTATAACAAAATTAAATAGGCTTGTGACTAAAAATTAAGTTGCATAGCTTAATTTATTCAATCTTAATGTTTATGATCAAATTAAAAAAATGTAAATAATGTTTTTATTTACATTCACTAAATTTAAAATATCAATTTTTTCAATTAAAATATCAATTTTCTTAATCTTTTCTTGGCTATTTTAATGCTAAATACTCATGATATATTTTAAATTTTAGGTTTGCTTTTACATTAAATTTAACATAAAATTTACATGTCAGTATGCTTTACATATTAAAAATATTGCTCATTTGGGCTTAACCATAGATTTTTAACAATAAAAATTTTATCTTACTTCAAAAAAAATTTTTATTATTTTTAATTAAATCTGAAACAGGTTTAAACTGATAACTTTTATTTTTAAAAATGTAAGTATTATATGATGCTATAGAATAAAATACTAATTAACTTTGAAAAACTATAATTTCATTCAAATTTTCAAATTTATTCAAATAAAATAAGTAATAATTAAGTCTAAATAACAATTCTGTATTATAATGTTTTTATTTTAATAAAGAAAAATAATTATTTATCTACTAAGTAAAGTAGTTTAAATATTCCTCAATAATTTAGACTTATATTATATATAATATCATCTCAAAAAATTACACTAAAAATATTATTTTTAATAAAATTTACTTTATAAGAACACAGAACATCATAAGTAAATATTGTATATTATCTTATCATTATTTAACATATTTAAGTTTTATTTAAAAATATTTAATATAAAAATAAATAAATTTAATACAAAATATTTGAATATAAAAATTAATAATTAATTACTTCTTTAATTCAAAAATTAATTTTACATTTTTTATTTTGGTATTTTTTCTTAAAATATTAAGATTTTTATTTACAAATTATTTTAGATCTAATCAAATTTAAAAAAAAATATTCACTAAAATATATTTCATCTTGTTACTTAAAAGGAAAGGTTTATTCTAAAAGTATGGATAAAAAGCATTTGAGGTTTTTACTAATAAAATTTATGATAAAAAAATAAGAAAAATTGCATATTAGATGGTAATTTATCTACATAGAAATTAGGATTTACTAATTTTTAAAAGCCAAATTCACTTTTTGTTGTAATCTACCGTAGAAAATATGTACAAATAATAGATTTTTATTGTTTTCAGTGGTTATGAGAGAACTATTTTTCAATTATTTTGGTAAATTACTGGCATATTATTGTTAGAAGAGAACGAACATATTAGTTTGAAAAGGCAGATTTTGATAATTAATATAAAAATTGAATAAAGACTAATTGATTTGTTCCAATAATTAAAAAAACTTTCTAAAAAATAAATAACTCACTTAAAAAGAATTGAATTGAATAGAGTTATTATATATCTTCTTAAATTTCTACTTAAAAATTTTTTAAAATGTCATTGATAAGTGGTGTATTATTATTACTTATAACTTTCATTTGCTCAACATTTTAACAAAACCCCACCATACCAGGTAAAATATAACTCATTTAGCTTATTCTTTATTGTTTTATAAGTTAATTCATATCAAATATTTAATTTTTTTTATAGGATGCTTTAAGAGCACAAATGATTCGTCAGGATAGGAAATCTGCTAACTTTGCTAAAATAAAATGTATCCTCCTCCGCTTCCAACTTAATTTTCTACATAACTTTAGAACATCTGCAGTAAAAAAGTTAATTGAAAAATCTAACAATAAATAATTATTTATGTATTTAGAAACTTAGTTAAATGGGAGCCAAATTTAAAAAAAAGTTTACATTACAAACGAATTAAACGCTTGCAGGTCTAATCTTAATCCAAGCACAAATCCACAATGCTAAAAACATCCACAGCTTTAAGTATGTGCTTGTTCCAATTACCAAACTGCATGTGGTGGGTAAATGGATGGTTCGATAAACAAACCTTATGATAATTTATTTGAAGCACTTTTAATAGAAGAATAAGCTGCTTAAAACAGCTTTGATATCAATATATAATTCTTTTTTATCAATTAAAACAAATTTGATCCTTATTTGCATGAAGTCATAATAAATGAGTATTTACCTGATAGGAAGTGCATAGGAACATCATTTTACGTAGATGAAACAATACCACTTCATTTTTTTGCTAGAAAAAACGCAATCTTAAGTTTCAGGTAAACAATCTTAACTATTTCACAAGTTTTATTAAATTAAATAAACGATTTTTTTATACTTAACTTAAATATCAGCCCATTGTTCTGCGATGATTAACCCTATTGCTATAAGCAAACTGACAAAATAACTCTCTCTTTTAAAAAATTTGCTTTCCACATATCTACGTTTGGTTAAATTAATCTATCGAATATTATTATTGAAGGTAAAGATGCTATTTAAGAGTTTTTAATATCTAATTGTACTTATCAAAGAGGCTTGGAGTGTTGTATTAATAATGGAGGTACTATCACTGAAAACGACGAAGCATTTGTTACAAAGAATTAATCTGATAGTAATTTAATTTACAGTTTTAAACTAATTTAAATTTTTATTATAATGAAATAAGGATTGGGTTTATTTGCTTTTGGATTGAGTACATGCACTCCTTTGGTTTCTTTTGTAAATACTCCAAATTACCCATCTTCAGTCTTTGGTACATAATAAATACCTACCATTCAGAGCTCTAGCGATTTCAGATTGGAAAATAACAAATACTAAAATAGACAATTTGGTCTATTTAATGTTGAGTTTAATTTAGCAGGATCTGATGCTTAAAACACTCCAAATCTACCTCAAGTTATATTTACAGTAAAATATTGAATTAATTGAAATATGAAAAATATTAATATTTGATAAAAGCTTGTTATAGTTGTTAAAACATTTAATTAATTTTCATATCATTTTGAGTTTCAAATATATTAAAATTATTTAATTAAATAATATTTATTTTAATTTTAGAATGTTGAGATAAGAAACATACATATTCTACCAGGTATATATACAATAGTAAACTCATAAGTGACAAATTACGGATTTAATACTATTCGTAGCATTATTAATATTTACTTCTCTGCTTAGATACAAATTATAGGAACTATATTCTAAAAAAATTATCTATCTGATGGATTTCTAACTAATTTGTTTGATTACAACGGGGATTACACATCTTTGAATCCTTCTTAATCTCCTAATCAATAGGATTGCACTCAAAAAATTCCTTGTGCTTCAATTTTAATTTAAGATAGTGTTTTCTCAGATTTTAATGATTTGATGTGGTATATAGGAAATGATGTCGATTAATAAAGTCTTTTATAATCAACCAGTCGCTCTCTCTATCCATACTCTATATTATTGGTTGGTTATCAAGGATAGTTAAAAATTTAAGGTAGTAATTTCTAAAATGCTTTGCCTTGCATGTCAACTGATTATCTTTTTTGTCCGAAGCTTAATACTATGGTAATTAATTAGTTTATTTATTCATTTGTTACAAATTTAGAAGAAAAGTATTTATTAATTGAAATAAAAAGAAATTTTAACTGCAAATTTGAAACTAAATTTTATTATTAACTTGTTAAATTTTATGAAGGATTTTTTGAAAAAAATTTTAACTTAAAAAGTAAGACTATGTTGAATAGGATTCTTAGAAAAAGCTATGGTTTCCTGGCTACAGCTATCAATTATTTGAATATTCATAAATGATGAATTCTCACATAATTTTAGTGGATTTTCTTGGAAAATTAGATGTATAAACTTCTACATTTCAAAATAACACAAGTAATTTAAATTTTTTTCTTAGATCAGCTCTTCATAATTTTTAAATATAAATAAAATAGGTTGGGGAGCTCCTGCTATTTCGATAAGAGATATAACATATACTGGTTATAAACCATCCAATACTTTAAGATCTAAAAAAGAAATCTACTTTTATAAAAATAATTTTATCAATAATGTTGGAATATTCTATGGCTCAGCAATTCGTATTGTTAGATATTCATATGATTATTAAGAAAATTTTTGTGGTCCTATTCTTTTTGATACAAACAAATTTACACAAAATCTAGGATGCAGAAGCAACTATGGCACAGTAAACATACATTGTCTCTTTGGTAGTACTGCTTAAATTTAACAAGGAATAACTAAAATGCAGGATCTTTAACTAGATTAAGTAGGTGGTTCAGATTTTAAAACATTTGCTAAGTAAGGAGTTTAGTCACCTTCAGCTAGTAACTATAACTATATCACTGTTCCTAGCATGAAAAATCAACTCCCTCATGAGATTATATTTACAGGAAACATTTTCTAAAATAACATGGCCTAATTGTCAAACTGTATTTATGTTTTAGGTTCATTGAGCATATAAATAACTTAAAATTAATTTTTATCAAACGGAGTTCTGCACACTGATTTGTATTTCTTAATGAGAAATACTAACTATAATCTCCTAATGAATACGATAGCAGGTTCTATTTTGTATTAGACTTTAAACTAAGGTTTTATAATTGACGATGGTACAAAATTTCTCAAAGAAACTACTTCAATTTTTTTAGATCTCTGCGATAAAATTACATTAACCAACAATAACTTCTTTTCTAACTGGGGTAATTAATTAAATATTTTATAATAATTATTATTTTATTTATAATAAATTTAAGTTTTATTTCAGTTAAGGATAAAAAGTTTTTTCTACCAATTTATTTTTTTAATTAACTACTTATTAACTCAAATATTAGGAATTAATACTGGAGATGGCTATATAGGCAGTAGCATTAATATCTTTAGAACAGTGAGCTTTCATGGATTTGTGATTTAAGGAAATAGTTTCAAGAATCACACTGGTATTCCTTTTGATATACTTAGACAAAATATAGCATCTAAGCTTTCAAATAATAAACACACTACTTCAATTATTAGTTTAAATGTCTTGTCATTTGCTCAATATATGGGAACTTTTAATATTGAAGTTGATATCTTATAAAACACTTTTTAATTTAATACTTATTATTTTGATTATAATTATATTGTTTAATAATCTCCTAAAAATTTGAAATATCAATCATACATAATTCCATATCCAGAAATAAATAAAGTTTAATTAATTAAATTTTATTACAATTTTGATGTCTCAGGATCTGGTCCAAATGCTTAAGATCCCTAAAATTAAATATCTGCTGATTATATTGTTAACATCAATTAAAATACATTCACAAATAATGTAAATTTAAATGGACTATGTAAATTTTTTAATATTTTAGTTAAATCTGTATTTTATTGATGATAAAATAATTGAAGGTATGATTCACTTAATTGGCGGAGATTAAATAACATTTTAAAAGAATATTTATACATACAACGATAATGATTATCCTAATGCTAGTTCTAGTATAAAATATGGACTTTAAGGCTAAATATGTACAACTGACAAGCTTGGAATACTAGGAAAAACAAACTCCTATAATTAAATTTAGATTAGTAGCTCTACTTTTAGTAACAACAAGGGGAAAATAATTACTCATTTGTCATCAGGTAAATTAATCTGGAAAAATAGAGATAAAAAATATTTATTTAATAAAAGTTTCTCTACTTTCTTCAAAAGATCTAACTTTTAATATAAACTCTAGCTCTGAGAGTTTAGTTGATATAATTACAGTGACAAACTCTTTAAACCCGACAGTTTTAACAACAGTTACAGGAACTGGAAACATAGGAATGACACATGGAATAATAAATATAATGGATTCTTAATATATTAATATAGTAGGGTCAACATTTAGTTAAAATAAAGCAAACTCAGTTAATGCAATAACTATTTTAGATTCCCATGATATTCAAATATAAGGATCTTCATTTCTTAGCAATAGCTTTAATGAAACATTAATTAATCCTTATTTAGGTCTAAAGCCAACTGGATAGTACTTTTCTACTTAAATACTTGCTAATTCTTCGAATGTTATAATTTCAGACTGCAAATTCTAAAATAATAATGTAAAATAATTATTCATTTCAATTTTTTAATTGTGATTGAAAATTTTAATCAATTTTTATATTACTCTAATATTTAAAGGCTACTCATGGAGGAGCTATCTTTTTAAGTAGCTTTAGCACTATTACTGTATAAAGAGGATAGTGCATATCAAATCAAGCTTTTACAGCAGGATGTTTTTATATTTAAAAAAATAGTAATATGAACACATAAAATGTATTATTGTAAAGTAATAGTGCTTAATTAGCTGGTGGGGCAGTAGCTGCATTCGATTAAAGTTAGTATACTGATTAAAGCGATAATTAATAAACTCCCCCATAATCTTAATTTATTGAAAATAACTCAGAAAACGGTGGTGCTATTTATAGTCAAACTTCTACAATAGCAGTTTATTACACTCAAATAATTTAAAATAAAGCACAAATCCTTGGTAGTGGAGTAAGTTTATACATATCGACGTTTACAGCCGAAAATATATTGGTAAAATAAAACTTTTGCCAAGGTAACTTTATTAATTTTTTTTTAACTGAACTGAGTGAATAGTTTTATTATCACTAATACATTTTTGGAAATGCGATTTAAATATCATAATTTTTTTAACAAGGTTCTGCATCAATATCTATGATGGAGAGTATAGCAACTATCAACGAATCAACATTCTAAGATAATGAATCAACATCATAAACTTACGGCATAAGAAGCGATAGATCTAAGTTAACCATTACCTTATGTTCATTTTCATAAGGTATTATTAATACTTCTGATCTTTATTACATAAATGGAGGCTATATTAATCTTTCAGAAGGCTAAGCAACAGTAAATTACAAAAAGTTAATAATCCAACAATATTTATCTAAATTGTTTATTTTTTATTAGATAAGCAACACTAATTTTACAAAAGGAGCAGGATTTTTGGGAGGTGCTATTTATAGCGGTTTCGATACAGTATTAACTTTAAATAGCTGCTTTTTTGAAGAAAACTCTTCTTTGAACATTGGAGGTAGTATCTACTCATTTATAAGTAGTCAAGTAAATGTTAATCAATGCAAATTTGATAAATCATCCAGTCTACTTAGTGGTAGTGATATTTATGGAGATGGCACTAATTAAATTAATATTTTAGAGACTGTCTTTGGCAATATCACAGGGACATCTGTTTATGGTCTTAGTGTTAATCTGCTCAGTATCTATAATTCCACATTCCAAAACCAAGAAACACCTGTTGTGTTTGATGAAATTGTTATTGAAACGAGAGGAGCATAATGCGAGCTATGCAACTAAGTTAAAATTGATGGGTTTACTTATTTTAAATTTTTAAAGGCTCAAAAAGGTTCAGGATTTTATATTGATAATACTTATAAAACATATCCAACATAAGTAATAATTAGGAACACTCTCTTCTTCAAGAACTAAGCTTATTAAGTAATTTAATTACTTCAAAAATAATTTAATATTTTCAAAATTGAAATAATTTTATTTATTTTTTGCTGTTAATCTAATCTAGTTTTTATTTACTAAAATAAAAATTAATAATTTTTAAGGGAGCAGGTGCATATATGAGTGGAAATATAACTAGTGTTATTGAAAATGTCATTTTTGATAGTAATTATGCATATCAGCCTAAAGGTAATACTTATTTAAATAGAACAAGCGGCAAAGGTGGAGGTCTTGTGTATGATTGCTCAAGAATAAATCCTTCATGTACTATTTTATTTAAAAATGGTACTTTTGTTAATAATACTGCTACTATGTAAGGAGGTGGATTTTAATGGAATGATAGAATATTTGATATAAATAGTGTCTTCACTTTTTCTAACAACAAAGCTTTATATGGAGCAGATATAGCTAGCTATGCGGTTTGTATCATAAAAGTTACAACTCTAAATGATTAATACCCAGATTCACTGTGTTACAATAAAGAAGTAGATAAAGGAACAGAAATTGTTACTCGTTTTTCAGTTGATAATATAGCTAGTGGATAAAATGTGGATAATGCCAACTACTTTTATAACACAACTGTTTTGCAATTTATGGCATTTGCTTTAGTAGATCACTTAAATCTAAGAATAAAGAGCGATGACTATTCTAAAATTACAATCCTTCCAGTAGCCAAACTTACTTCAGATGATACAGGTTGGAACAGTATTTTTGTGTAAAATAATGAGTGCTTTGCATAATAAGGATTTTTCAATTTGAAATAACTGATTTTAGCAACTGTCCCAGGAAGTATAATTGAGTTATCAGCAGTTACGAATGGTATCCCATACAGATTAGATAGGCAAACTATGAGAAGAAGAAATTTATAATCAGGTTAAACAATTTTTGAAATATAAGGCGATGAAGAACATTAAAACAATTAAATAGAATCTTAAAATCCTTAAGAAAATAGAAACTATAAGTACTTAAAAGAAGATAGGTTTTTAGCAAGCAGTATATTTGTACAGAAAGATTAGACTCAGATTACTTAAACTTCAGATGCAACAATATAAGTTTAGTTAAGATAATGTGTTAGAGGAGAAATTATGATGTCTGATTATACCTGTTATTTATGTCCAGCTTATAAATTCAGTTTGTTAGATACGAAAGATATATAAATAGGAGGTTCCTGCAGTAAATGTGACAATATAAAATCAATATGTATAGGTGGATATTATATAGCTCCTAAAGCTGAGTATTGGCGTTTGGATTCTTATAAGAGCACTTTTTATGAATGTCCAAAGCAAGGTGCTTGTTTAGGCTATAAAGATAATACATTTTCATAGTAAAAAACAGAAGATTTCATAGGTTATTGCAAAGAAGGTCATATGGGTAATTTATGTGACTCTTGCATCAGTGGATGGGCTATGTATTAAAATTAATACTGCGTACCTTGCAACAATAATATTACATATTGGATAAGAGTTGGATTTACTATAATTATAGCTTTTGCATAAATAGTTATGGCTGTAAGAAGTACCTTGCTTTAAAACCAGTAACCTTTACAAAAGAATGCAATTCTAATGAAAATGATTATGAATTTTGTTTAATCTGTATTCATTTTTACCTCTTTCGGAATTAAACTTCCAAGTTTAGTTTCATCTGGACTAAGCTAAACCAACTAAATTTTAGCAGCTCCTTTGTAGGTTTTTAACTTTGAATGCATCTACACTTACTGTAATACTCTAGTTCATTTACAAAATTATTTTAGTTATCTTTTATTTTTAATCAAGATAAATTATTTTCTCATTTTATTCCTTTTTTTTGTTAAACATTTTATTTTAAACAATGTTGATACCAGCCAGCCTTGCATGATTGTTTGTATTGACTAACTATTTACTTTATAAATTGATCAAGCATAAAGTAATATTTTTTTTAATATTTGATAAAGCTCTGTTTGTTGATCATGGTATCAGAAGTTACTTTGCCTAAACTATAATTGTTAGCTTAATTCCTATCATATTTTCATTTTTAGCAGTTCTATATTGGTGCTTAGCTTACTATGCAGAGTATGGAAGGGAAGCTTTTGTGGATTAATTTTATAAAAGAGAAATAGCTAATAAATTAACTGTTTCAATTATTATTATGCTTTTCACATTGTTACCTCAAATTCTTAATCTTACTTTATAAGCATATAAATGTGTAAATCTCTCTGATGATAGCAACCCAATATATTATCTTAAAGCTGATTATGATATTGTTTGCTGGGAGTCTTAGCATTGGTATAATATTTTATTTTTTAAATCATTGAAACAAATGTTTGATTCTTTATTAAACAGGTACTTTATTATATTTGTAGCAGGTCCAAGTCTTATAATATGGGGTATTGTATGCCCTATGCAACTGTTCCACTTCTTCCATGAAAAGAAAGAAAGACTATTTGAAAAAGAATATATTGAAGCTTACGGCTTTCTTTTGAGAGGTTATACAAAAAAATCAATATCAAACGAATTTATTATTTTCTATAGAAAGCTGATATTAATTGTTATAGGTATTTATGTTGACTTTTCCTCATAAACATAAGTACTGTTGGCATTTGGTGTTTTGGTTATATCATTGACATATCACAATTCTAAATAGCCTTACTAAGATGTTATTTTTAATAACCTAGAAACGAAAAGTCTTTTATGTTAATCTATCATCTTAATATCCTTGCTTTATATAGCATCAAGTAATAAACGAATTAAATGGTTAATTTTTTTTAAGCTTACTTTTTAAAAAAATAGCTGCTGACTACGGAGCATAACTATTATTCCTTCTAATATTATTTATAAGTTATTCCTTCTATGTAGGAAATGCTGTATATTACTATTTAAAAGAAACCATCTTAAACGTTTTCTAAGGATTTTACAATAATGTAGCCTTGTATAATTTAATAAAAATGTTGGCAGAAAAAACAAAAATTAAACTCCTTCAAAAACTTTAAATAATCTTTAAAGAGAAATTTCTTCCATTAGACTACGATCATTAAAAGGTAAAATTTATTATAATCCTTAATGATTTTCTTAAAATTTAATTAATTTATCAATTTAGGAAATCAATCGTATGTTCTCATACCTGGAATAAAACTCAAATTTAATGGATGAAAACTTTGCGAAAAGAGATGAGTTTATTCATCTGAAAAGAGAATCAAAATTAAAATACATTTTCAAGTAAAAAGCAAAAGAACAGAGAGAAATCAAAAAGAAAATAGAAAAGTAGAAGAAAATAGAAAAGAAGAAAGAAAAACAAGCTAAGAAATCTATTCTAGTTGATTAAAAATCTTAATTAGAATAATAAAGTAAATTATAGAAGTCACCTTTAGGTGTAACTATTGAAATGGAGAGTATCAAGCATAATTGACTTTAGTTTTTAATATCTTTAAATAATTTTGAAGCCAAAATATATAATTATGAGTTTTATAAATATTTTTCGTAAAAAAATAAACTTATTAATTAACTTTCCACTAATAACATATTGAATAAATAACAAATTCAAATTACTATAAAAACTTCAAAAAAACGTTTTTGTTTTTAATTTAATTAAATTTGATGAACAAAATGAAATAAATTTTTAATAAAAAATAGAAAATATTAATAGCATTAAATTTTTAATGATTGCTTATGTTTATTTATTTAATAATAACCAAATGCTTTAAAATATATTTAATTATAAATTATATTCATTTTATATGGATAAAATCAAACATATTAAATTTTGAATAATTTCTTTTTAACCTTAAAATAAATAAATGAATTTTGATTCAAAAAAATATATCTTTATCTTAGACAACAGTCTCTTGTATAATAATTGATTTAAATTTATTTTATTTAAAATATTTATTAGGTAAGATTATCTTTCTTTTATTAATTTCAATTAAACTAAGATACGTTATTAATCCTGACCATAAAAAGTAATAGGAATTTTTGCATTAAAAAAATATATTAATAATATATGTATTGTAAATTATTTTCATAAATCAGTTCTGCCTATGTAAGCATTATCGCAATCTTCTTAGCAATTGTTATATTCTGATTCACATGCACCAGGATTTCTTTTAGCTCTCTGGCATTTTTCAAGCTCTATCGAGCAGTGATCATTGCAAATAGCATTAGGACATTCATCTAAGCATTTTTTTACTTGAGTTTAACAAGTTATGTAACATTTTGAAGGACCATCGTTTCCGCATCTCATAACACAGTCTTACCAATCTAGTGTGCAGTCTGCCTTGCATTAGTCTATTGTTTTTAACTTAGGCAAAGGTTATTCGACTTCTTATTCTTCTACTTCTTCTGATTCTTCTTAATTCTATTTAATTTATTCATCTTTTTGATCTTAGTGAGCATGTACCACCAAAATAGAAACAAATATTAAAAGTAATATCAAAGAAAACAAATTTTTATTATATCTCAAAGCCATTTTTTATATTTCAACTTGTAATTTTTAATCCTTTATTTTTTCTGCCTTATTCAAACAATAATTATTTATTATTTTTGATCTTTTTGTAATGATTTTTTACTAAATTATATGATAACAAATGTACAGAAAATACAACTTGGTTTCTTAAACTAAATTTAATTAATTATTGAATGATCAATCATTTTAATTTGTGCTTCTACCCAAATAAATTATGAAATTTGTAAACACAGTCAACAAATGAGAAGTATATACAATTTTAACATTTAATTAAAAAAAATAATTAATTACTTGTGGCAAGTTTTTATTTGATTAATCATATATTAATATCAACCTTTTATCAAATTTAAAACTAAAATTTTTATCAAGGCATCTTAATTTTTTTTAATTTTTACTATCTATTAAAATAAATTTCAGAAAAAAATTTTTCATTTAAAATAATTAAAAAAAAAAATATTTAGATTCCTCGTTTTTTTCAAAAATCGCATTAAAATATATAGCCTTTTACTAAAATGTTAAATCCTTTTTCAATAAGAATTTTTTTGGATATGAGTCCACTTTCAATTTCATCAATTTTTTTGACAGCTATTCCTGAATAGAAACTTTGGTCATTGTGAGTAGCCTATAAAACCCAAGCTTTATCTTAATAGGATATACAACAGTGAGAGGTATTTCTAATTGTGTGGTTTTCATCTTAAACTCTAATTTAATTATCTTTGTCAGAACCTATTTTTATCATAATAGAATCCTATTCATTTATATTATTGTATTGGAATATATAGTCTTCTTTTTCTGTTTCTATATTTGACCATAGTACTCTTAATTATAATAAAGCTTCATTAGAATTCTGATTATCCTCTTCAAGCTCTTAAAATGATGGACCTACAAAACTATAAATACTTTAATTCATTTAATTAAATGTAGATTAAAGCATAATTCTAGATGTGCTAATGTTCATTCCATTCATAAGAGTTGATTACTAAACTGTATTTTAAATAGACTACTTATCAAAAGAACTTTAAGTTTATCTTTTGAAATCTTGAGTTTACTCATCGTTATTTTCTTTTGATTATTTAACTGATTCAGTATTAAAGCTCATATTTGATTGCACAGAATCTTATTTTTAAAAAACAACGTCATTTTCTATTTGTATACTCTCTCTAGGATTATCCCTACTTACACGTTATCTAGTTTAGCTATCTTGGGTGGTATTATATTGATTTATTTAAGTAGATTCAGCAGTGTTGTTATTATCACTAACAGTGTTTATGGTTTGAGAAACTGTACTAGATTTTCTTGAGTTTTAACGTCTCATTTAACTAATAAAACTATGCTTTTTTTAATTAACTGAAGCCCTCTTTTCTTAATTAAAATACATTTAATTACAAGCAATTTAACTCAATGATGAAATAGATGCTAGAGAAGAATTCATACTATAATTTTCATTTTCTAAGGAATTTTAAAGATCATCTTTTACTTCATTCTCAAAAGATTAATCAGAGTTTGATTATTCACTTGTCAAATTTTTTTTATCTGTGTCCTAATTTTTTATTTAATCACTCTAAGCATACTGAGACTCATTATCTTCAAAAAGTTAAGAGTTCTTATATGAAAGTCTTTAAGTTTTACTTTTATTATTTTTAAAAAATTAAATTTTAGATTGTTTATCCATAGGACTTCTTGGGCTTGAATTTTATTAATTTGCAACTTTGTTTGTAAACACCTTCTAATTATTGCTTTATTAAACACCTTAATTTGTATTCTGTGAAAAAGTTTTTACAGCAACTACTTCAAAGGCTATAAGATCTTATATGATAAAAACAGACCCAACTTATAATTCAAAGCCAGCATCATCGACTAAAATTTGAGTCAAAGCAGACTGACTAATACATTACACATAATACTAATTTGATTAATCCTCATAAGTAATTTTAAATTACTGTCTAGAAATCTAAAATTCATTTTCTTCAAAACAGAAATCAGGTTTGAAAATAGAATTTTTAGCTTTTCTACCAAAAATTAGCTCTCTTTTATTGAATAAGAATGGGTATTCATTTCCATCTTGATCCTGATATTATTCTAGGTCTTTAGTTTAAACAGTAGATTCTGATAGCAAATTCATTTAGTTTTCTATCATTGTTTTTTAAAAATCATCTGCAAATTAAGCAATCAAATGATTATTATTTTAGATGCTTATACTTTATGACCTTCTGCAATTAGTAATCTCAGTTGATATTTTTTCTTGCAACGCCTAAATCTCAAGTTTTTGTTTAACATACTAACAAGAGACGTCTTAGCTTTTAAGTTCTGTTTTCTTTTCTATTCTTGGAATCAACGAAAAGAAATTAGATTAATGAGGACAAAGGGTCAAAACCTGACCAAGTTTAAAAGATCCACTTGACAAGCTATTCAGTTATATATTTTCAAGCTTTTCATCACTTTACTTTTATAAACTTTAAAGAGAGCTAATCGAGCCCTAGTTAAAATGAAATAATTAATTCTTTTCCTTTCTCTGGATAGGAGATTGAGTTATAGGCACAGGCAAATGATTGAAACCACTTCTTATAAGCTTTATTTGAAGGTCTTTAAGATTATTGTATTAGTAGTTATTTAAATATTTAACAATCTGATGCCCTGTAAGTGTCATTATATCTGCATTATAAAATATTAATCTACAAAATAAATTTAGTTTTTCAAAGCTATGAATTTTGCTTAAGATATAAGATATTTTTTCACATGTAAGCTAGTCAAATAATAGCTAATAGTACTTATTAAACACTAATTAGTAGTTTTATGGATTATGACATGAATTAAAATCTATAAGGATAGCTAGTTCTGAGAGGAATTCTTCTTCTGAAATCAACTTCTTGTACTCGATAAGTAAATCCTTCAGCTACTGTTTAGTGTAATTAGCTTTTTCTTAATTTAATTTTTCCTTGAATTTCACTATATTAATATTGTAATTTATTTTTTTTGCAGACTTTTGATTGTCGCTCAAGCTGCTGCTGTATTAGCGAGAAAGTTCTGGTATTCTATTTCCAGGTAAATTTTTTGGAGTACCATCTTCTTTGCTAATATTGGTATATTCTTAGCTAGAAGTAATGTCCTTTGATAAAGAATTTTCTTCCTACTTTTATGAACTAGTTTTGTTATCACTCAGCTATAATCCTAACTTTTGAATTATTGCTTGCTCATAAAATTCATCTAAAAGAAATAATTTTATTGGATCACATTAAAAAAGTAACCAATTGACATTAAAAGAATTAAATATATGAAGTAATGGGCCAACAAATGAATCAAATGTGCTTTCTAATTAACTAAAAAGATCTTCGCACATCTTATTATTGCCTAAATTATTAAAGTATTTTCTTTTGCATAATTCTGAAACAAATTCTACAATTTCATTGATGCCTTTTTCGATTTTTTGTAATTAAGTTAAGTAATACATTTCTTCTTGATAATGGATGCGGTAAAGGTTGCAACTTGTGAGAGCTGTTAATAAATTATTGCAATTGTTTAATATCTGTTGAATTTAATGTTTTTATATTCTTTAACTCTCAAATTGCATTTATCTCATTGCTCTCTTTAAGTCCTTTACACATTTTTATATACTTTTTACACATTTTAATGAAAAGTTTTGTTATTAAGTCATTTTATTAGAGCTTCTTAGTTAACGACTCATTTTTATATGTTTTTGTATAAAATTTATATATTGCCTAGCTTGAAAAATGTGATCTTTTTATTAGTTCTAACCTATTTTTAAATAATTGATTGATTAGTACCTAATAGTTATTTGAAGATTTTTACTATTTATTATTAAAAAGCTTAATTTATATAAAATATTAATCTACAGTGAGCTAGTAATTTTTAACAACATTTATCTTATAAACTTTCCTCAAAATTCAAAATATATTTAAAATGTTTTATTAAATTCATTTGTGGAATTAGTGGAATCAATTATTGTTATATTAATAATTTTATCCTATTTTTTAATTTGAACAAGGTAATTGGTTAAAAGTTTTAGATGGAAAGCAAATAAATGATAAAAAAAATTAATTTATTTAAAATTTAAAATTTACATAAAAATTCATTTTCTTATAATTAAATTTATTTGGTGTAAATATTCTTAAATTTAAATATTTTTTTTTAAAAATATATTTTTTAGAAAATTTGTTTGTAAAAATAATAAAATTTTAAAATTAAAGAAACTATGCTAAATTTTTAATCTTGGCTATGGTAGATAATGAAATGTTAGTTTTTGAATTTAAATGTTAACAACAAATAAAAATTATGTATTTATATAATGCACATTTTGGTAAAAATAATCTATTTATTAGCAATAGTGTTTTATTTATTTTTATTAATTGAATTTTATTTATTTACAATTTATTATTATTAATTTATTTAAAAGCTATTTTGCTAATCGTTAAATTAATAAAATAAATCTGAACTAATTTTATTTCATTATTTTGCAAAGTAAAGGATCAGTATAGTTTTTTTAACAATATGTACTCATTATTTATTTTAAAATTACTTTATTATTTATTTGTAAGGGTGAATTAACATATTTTATTATAATAAAGTAGATTTTGTAATTATTTATGATTTTATAAAATCTTTTATTTAACTAAGATAATATCAATTTTCTTTTGAACATATAAAATAAAATGAATCTATTTTAAAACTTTTAAAATATTTTTGAATTTAGATTTTTATTTGCTTTTATAAAAATAATTAATTATATTCTTTATAAAAAATACATAAAATTTAATGGTATGTATTTGGAACCATAAAGATCAACAGTATTACTCGATTTTTAAGGAATAAGAAATAAATAAGTGTTACAATGACACAATATGCTAGATAGTGGTGAAAAATGGCCTTATGATATCCATAAAATGTTCAAACAAGTAAAAATACCACTCAATTAAAACTAATTAATAATAGAAGTTATTAAATAATTATTCAAATTAGGTTAAGTGGATAATTAAAAACCAAGTTAAAAATTAATTTAGAAATATTCATAAAAGATATAATAAAAGTGTAATATTTAAAAATTATGAAGAGTTCTATTTAGGGTCTTAATATAGCTGGTTTTTGTGAGTTGGATAAATAGAATTATAATGCTAAAAATATTTTGATCAATTTAAATAAATGCTAGGTTTAAGAAGCAAGCAAGATAGAAGGTTGCTAACTGAAAAATATACAACTTCAGAGTAATCTAAGTACTAATTAAGATAATAATTATTCTAAGAGGTTTCAAATACCAAGTGATGACACTTTGAAGTAGTATGTACATAGAAAGGTTAGGTAAGAATTGTCTTATCTACTTAATTCCTGCGAATAGACTCAATCAAATAAAGCTGGATAGAAGAAGTAATAAGAACTTCATAGCGATTTATATGGTGATAAATATTTCAAAAATTAGTAGAGAGATTATGCTGAATAAAATGAAGGAGTGAGAGTTAAGGCAATAACAGATTTTTAAATTTAAAGTCCCAGCTTAGAAAAATATGGGCAAAATAGCGGTGTTTGTTTAACTGAAGTGAACCTAAGCAGCTAAGTGTACACAAAGTATTAAAAAAATAAACAAAAGTACTTTTAATTGCAAAAATCTTAATAATCACCACTACTCATTCCTTGTAATAATCCTACTTTTGAAAATAGGTAAAGCTTTTAAAAAGCAGAAAATTAGAGGTATGAAGAAATTAAAAAAGTCTAATAATAAAATTTAGCTAGTATTAGCTAGTTCAATAATTAAGAAATGAACTTTTAATAAATTTAAAGCTAATCTTTTGTATAAGAGAAGCCATTCTTGGTAAAGAGTCGTCTTAGATAATACTCATAAGCCTCTCCTATGAGTTGGGATGAATTTTATTAAAACGACTAATAAGATTTGAATTTTTATAATTAAAGTTAATATGACTTATAAAGAAGTCAAATGAAAACAAGAATTTCACCAAGAAAAAAAATCAATTAAGATAAAATATAAAACGATAGCGTCCTTTTAGATTCAAAAGAAGACACCTGCTTAACTAAACAAAGGCTTCCTTGCAATAAAGTAAAAAGAGGGTTTTCAGTAGATTAAGCATAATAAAAATCTTCAGACATGATAAATGCATCTTATTTACTAAATTGCAGAAGCAACTTAATATCCTATTCTACAGATCTTCCTTCTGATTCGAATGACAACAACTCATCTATTGACCAAAATAATTAATCTAAATGTTAAAAGGAAATAGTAAAAAGAGATTTAAATTTCATAAATTAAGATATGACTGATTATCCACAAAAACTTGAAGCTAATGATTTGATTTTATCTAAAAGTATGGTTAATTAAAGCTCAAAGTCTCCAAATTCTAAAAGTTAATTACAAAATTAATAATAAAAAATAAACTAAAGTTATATTTTTAAAGATAATTCATTCAATCTCCTCGATAAATAATAAAGCAATAAGATTAATAACTTATTTACAAATAAATAAAGTTAATATTTAGGAGATCAAGTCTCTTTTCCATCTTTAAATAACAATTAAATGATGATTAAATATTAACCTTCAATGTTAGCTAATTTTAAAAAAAAATTTAATTATTAGTTATATAAAAATAAAGTTTTAGAGTAGAGAAACTAGAAGTGGGAAAATAATAAGTTAAGAAGTAATTCTTTAATATATTTCGATGAAAATCAAAGTATGTAAAAGTAATCATATTCTAATTAGCCTCCATCAAAAAATTTGGAAAATTTAATTAACCGTGAAAGTAAACTTGTCTAAAATTAATAATAATAAACTTGTAGCTATAAAAATAAAAACGACATAAATAATTTTTATTGTAATCTTGGCGATATAATAATAGAGAAAAAAAATAGCCCTAAAAAGAGTAACAACATACAATATGATAATATTAAAACAATAGATGAGGAAGAAACACTAATAAATAGCCTAGATAAAAGCTAGAGTTAATTCAATTAACTGAGAAAGTACTACTATAAAAAATACTCAAACATTTATATTTGATAGCTTAAATAGACTAATTAATTACTAAAAATTTTCATTTGATAAAATAAAAAACTAACAACTTACTTATTTATTTACTATTTTATTTATTACTTCTTACTATTTTTAATAAAAGCTAACTAAATTTAACACTATTAAATAAAGACTTTTAATATAAAAAAAATTTATTTCTATTTTACTTATTTCTTGTAAAAAGTATACAAAATCATTTTAAAATTAGCTTTCTAAATAAAATAATTTTGATTCAAAATATTTGTAAAAAAAAAGTATTAATAATCATTCACTTTTAAGTTTATATTGATTAAAATTTAATGAAAAATGTGCTAAAAAAATTAACATTTATTTATCTTAGGCACGAAAAAGTTTTTTAATTTAAAAATAATATACTAAATAAACTATTTTGAAAAATAAAATTTTTAAAAAATTAATTAGTATTATTTTATCTTAAAATATTTATATAAATACAGATTAATGTTTAGATCAAATTAAATGTATGTAAATATTGTCAGTTGCAAAATATCAATAATTTTTACTAGTTAAATTTTTATTTATTTTTAATATTTCTTGATTGTAAATATATATATTTATATATACTATAGTTAGAGACAAAAAACATAAATATGATATTATCAATTCATTAGAAATAATCAATACTGCAATTTTTTTGGGTCACACTATATTTTTTACTTGCTTACTTCTTTACTTATTAACTTACCTACTTAGTTATGTATTTATTTTTACTTACTTACTTACTGACTTATAAATTGATATTTTTTAAATAAATATTAAAAGTATGAAAATGATAAAGAAGCTGTTTACTTGAATAAATAAATAATGATTTTATATTTATTTAGTTAGAATTTTTATGAATATATTTAAACTAAATTAAGGCATAATATTTTAGGAGAATGAATGAAACAAATTAATAGCTCAAGTGAATATTAATTTCACTGGTTTTTTTTAATGTTTTAATAATTGATTTTTTATTTAATTGGTAGAGCAGAAAGTTATTAAACTTATTATTTATTTTTATTTCACATAAATTCTAAAAATAATTAATAATGCTAAAAAAATTTTAAATGTTAGCCTTTTTTAAATAATTTCATTTCTCATCCTCATCATCCTTATCACCCTTATCTTCTTCTTCATCTTCATCTTCATCTTCTCCAAGAATACCTTAACAAATAAAACTTAATGGTTAGGCATTATTAGTTTTTCCAGTTCCAGTTTAAATTTTTTCGAAAGATAAATTATTTTCTTCAATTTATTAGATTTATTTTTAATCTTAGCTATTTTAAGTAGCTTTATTATCTTTATCCGTATTTGATTCTTTAATTTCTTTAATTTTGTTTGAATTTTATATTTTTGTTGTTTTGGTTTTATTTTTAAAAACTTATTTTTGGCATGAATTTTATTATTCCAGTTAATTATTTAGAAGAGTATTCTTAATAGTAAGATAATTATTATTTTTATTATTTGTGACCTAACTTATATTATTTTGCTTATCTATTTTCCTTAATTATACAAAAAGTTCTCCTTAAGTTGTGCCTTTGAGAATCACACTATCTGATGATTTTTAATACTTTATTTCAGTGGCTTAATTGGGTAAATAATTTTCATCTTAAGGTTATGGATTATTTGAGGTTGGTTAGATGGCATTATCAAAAAGGTCGTTGAAGTTATTAATATCTGTAAAATTTTCTGCTTAAATTTATTGCTATTCATAAGTTTCATAAATGTTATTTACATATTTTGCGAACGCTTACTACTTTCTTTAAGGGTGTTAGGAGTTTTAAAATTATTCACTAATAAATTAGGAATTTTGTATTTTTTCATTCAATTCTTTTAAATATTAGTAATCTGACTTTTACTCTGTGCATTTTTACAAGTTTATATTTATGAATTAATCGACACCATTATTTATAAAATCTATATTATCTAAAAAGAATTATAATGATTAGCTGTTCTAATAATTTGATATTTCTTAAAGAGATTTTTCAAATATTGTATAAAATACATTTTAAAGGGATTTTTCTCCTAGATTTTTTAAAAATATTTTGGTGAAATCTTAAAAGAGTTAATAAACTTCATTTAAATTTAGGCTTTGATCATGATTTTCAGAGATAATATCTATATTATTTAGGTAAACTAGATTGCATTTTAGTTCAACCATTAAGTTGTAATATTTCTTTGAATTTGAGTATAAAAATATGAGTTTAACTTAACTAATAGAATCTTTTTTTTTTTTGAGTTCATAAATCATTTATTCTTCTTACTCGTCTATTAATTCAAATGATAACTCTTTACCACTTTAAACCTAAAATTTATTTTTTTAAGAACAGAAAGCATCAATAATCAATATAGTTGGAATAATTTCATATCCCTCAAAATCTAAAAAGGTATTTTATTTTATTATAGAAAATTGATACAGAGAGCTAATTTATTGTTCTTATTCAATGAATTTATCGAGTTATATTACAGTTTAGAGAGTATTTTAGAATCTATCTATATTATGAAATGTAAAATAATATTTTATTAAGCATATTTTTTAAATTAATTTATCTAATTAATGTTAGGATGCTTCATAGTCTTATTTTTCTAACTTTAAAATATAATAACTATATAATTCAATTATATCCTTTATACTTAAATTTATATAATTTTAAACTTTCATTTTTTAAATAGCATCTTCGTAATATATTTCAACTAAAAAATTTAATTTTTAGACTTTATTAACAAAATCTCTTTGTTCCTCTTTAAATTATTTATTTTTCATAAATTTGCTGTAATTTTTTCTAGTAATATTAATAAGTTTGAGAATTTGATTAGAAAATTCCTTAATCATTTTTTACAAGCCTATTGTTTTTTAGTTTTCTTAGCGTATTATAATTTGATTCCTTAGATTCAATCTTTCAAAATTACAGTAAAGCAATATGTAAGTATTTAAATTGTTATTTGAACTATTTGAAAAATCGAAATATTTTAAGTCAATTAAAAAGTTATTCTTTAAATATTTATTTGATAAAATTTTTATGTATTCATCTCTACTCTTACTATAATTTATAGCAGCCTTTTCTACTTAGCATTTAATTAATTTTTTAAAAATCATCTATGTTTTATCGAGTTCGTCTAGCTCTTTATCATCTTTATTTTCATACACAAATTTGAAAAATAAGTAGTTAAAAATATTAGGATTTTCTTAGGATGCCTTCAACATTCTATCTACCCTTATAAACATTAAGATTGTGTCAAGATTTTTCATATTTTTTTTGTCGTTTTGGCTTAAGTTAAATTAAATGTAGTCAAGGATCTTCTCGAATTTCAGACTTTTAATCTATTTATATTACATAAGTAAGATATTTGATAAAAGCAAAAAAATTAATTGTTCCATTTAATCTAAATTATTTCTAAGATCATTCTTGTATTTTAATATCTAAAAGAAGACCAAAATCTCATCTTTAGATAACACTTTAAATTAGAAGCTGGGATCATTTAAATTAAAATAAATTTTTAAAAATAAGAAGCTAAAGTCCTACTCTTTTTGTTTAAACTTATCTTTTTAAATTTTAATGAGATCTTTCCTTGCAAAAATCTTTATAATTTCTTTTTTAACATATTTATTGTTAAAATTAATTTAATTAATTTCTTTAAGTTATTAATGCTGCCTAGAATTTAATTTATCAATAGTTTGTTTTATAAATTCTTCATATTCAGCTGAACTCATATATTTTATAAATTCGCTTTTAATATCTTAAAAATTGTTTTTTTCTACATACTGCAATAATTAGAAGAGTTATTCAATATCTATTTTTTAAGAATCATTAGTTTAAATTTATTTCTGTTGCATATTCTCTATCAATATGATAGCACGAATTTCATCTGGAAGCTCAAGTTTTTTTTAAATGAAATCATTAAGTTCACTAAACAAGTTATCTATCTATTTATATAATTTAAATACAAAAACATAGAAAAACTATTTCTAACCTTTCAATTTTTTAGAAATCTAACATGTTATAATTTTACTCTTAATATATTAATAAATGTATTCATAAATGTCTTAAGCATTAAGTTAAATTTCTAGAGTAGGTAAAAACTCCACCAATGATTAATTTTAATATAAGTCCTCGTAAATATATCTTAGAGATGCTAATATTTATTATTTCATTCGAAACCTGTACTATAAATTTAAAATTAAAATTGGCATTTTGGTAATAGAATTTTTAATTTAATCTTTGTCTTTGTAATTAGCTTCTAAATATTCTTCAATTTTAATATCGTATTTGATTGAGTCTTACAATAGATTTAGAGAAATAAATCCATTTTTTATATGAGAAAATCCAGGCCTAAATGTAAACTTTATCTCTTCTTTTTCTTAAGGCTGATACAAAATGTATCTAAAGAATTAGCAATATTATTTCAAATAAATTAATAAAATTTGGTTCATTTATTCTTCGATTTTGTTATTTTTTATTTCATTTATTGATTTAATTAGTCTTTTTTACTATAAGGAATTTTTTTTTTCTATTAATTCGAAAATAAAATAATATCTTTCATGCTTTTTACTCATAAAATTTTTTTCAATTTTTTTCTCAGAAAATTCATTTTCATCTATCTAAAAATTACATTTTTCATTCATTTTATCATGAAATTATATAAATTTAGTTACGAATTCTAATAAAATTTACATACTTTATTTATTTTTATCAGATTCCTTTTCATATTGCTTTTCTAAGATTTATTTAATTAGCTGTTATATGCATTCACAGTTTATAAATTTTGTATTAGGTTAACTACTTTTTTTATCTTCAGTTTATTAGCTTTTAATATGTTAAATGCATAAATCTAATTGTACATCCTGAAAAAGCTATTTTAAATTTATTCCATTTTACTCATTTTACTATTTCTATTCTGAAAAAAGTTTAGTATAAAATTTCTTAGCAAATTTAATTGAAATATCATCATTAATTTAGAAATCTTTGTCAATAAGAATCCAATTAATTTAGTTATTGTATCTGTTCATATAATTAAAAATTATTTCGCTATAACAACAATTTAAGAAGACAACTTTAGGCTTATGATTACTACTTTAAAAAAGCTTTCCCAGTTCTGAAAGCTTTTTAATAAAATGATAAATATTTAATAAAATTAAATTAAAAAATATTTTATTTTATCTTTCAAACATAAATATGAAATAAATGCTCATCTATTATTTTAATTTAGCAATACCGTATATTTATAAATAAATTCATATATTTCAAAACAGTAAAAGTGTATATTTAATTTACTTTGATTTTTATTTTAACATAGTTTTCATCTTCCAAAGTAATGGAATCACCTTCTTTATCATCTCGCTCTATATGTGTTGAAAAGTGGATAAATTCTATTTTATTAGTTTTAAGAGACTTCTTTATTTGATTAAATTGTGTTGAAATCAATATATCTGCTTTCTTAGTCATAGAATCCTTTATTACTCTTAGTTCGCTATATGTCTATAAATGTGTATCCAAATTTTTTGGTTTAGCTGTCACAAACAAAAATGATTCACTTTCACTTTCATCTTCCTATTTTTCATCCATTTTTTATTTCTACACAGAAAGATTTTACTCCTCTACCTACTATTCATCTTTATACTATTTATATTTTCTATTTAATTAATATTTTAGGTTTTATGAAATATGATTTGTATAAAAATTACAATTTTATTTATGGCTACAATATTTAAAGGTAGAAATAAAAATTTCCGTCATTATTTTAGTTTAATATAAAAGATCCATTTTTTTCAATAATGATAGGTTTTTCACTGTTCTATTCAGCTATTTCAATTTTTTCATCATAAAATTCTATATTCTAGCTGTGAATCATGTCTATTACAACATCAAAAGTAATTTTAACTTATTTCCTACTAATCTTATAGGTGCTATCTACTTCGTGTTAGTAATAAAAATCATCTACTTTATTATTCTCAACTAGCTAAAATTTTCCCTCTTTTTTAATATATTTTTTTGGCTAAAACTCTCTAACTTAAAAATAAACCTAAGTCATTTTTTAGTAATATATTTTCTTAATACAAATCTAATTAATCAAATTTTTATTCTAACAAAGAGTAAAAAATTTAATTAATAATAAATTAATATGAATTAAATTACTTAGAAGATACAAATTAAACCTTTATAAAAAATGTGTTTATTCATTTTATAATCCAAAAAAAAAAACACACAATTTATTTATTCAAAATAATACTAAATTCATTTGATTATATAAAGCAAATTCTTTATAAATGTAAATGTTGTGATGATATGTAATAAATTCTTTGAAATTAATTACACATCTCAAATACTAATTAAAAAATAAATTAATAGATTAAAAACAATGTTGCTGATCCTTTAAATAATGATTTTAAATCTTTTAATTAAAAATTCAACGTTTTTTTTTAAAATAAAATATTATTGAAGACACTGCTTTAAAATTAAAAATTTTAAATTAATTAAAAAATACATAAATTATAATATAATCAGATACATGATTTAACTTCATTTTTTCCTACCTAATTTTATCCAAAATTAAAAAAATAATTTACATTACTTTTTTAAAAATTCTAATTTTATAAAAAAAAGCTTTCAACTTATTTAACTTATTTGATTAAAAAAATAAATTATTTAATAAAAATAAAAATTAAAAAAAACATTTTAAAAATAAATAAAAAAATGATATCCTTAATTTATTTTAATAATTATTTAATTCATCAACTTAACCAAGATCTTATAAAATATTAAATATAATAATAAGAAATATTTCATTACTTCGATATATTCTATTACTACATACGATTTGTTCTTGAAAAATTACAAATTAAAAATGGCTTGTATCTATCTATACAGATGATTTGATTTTAGAAAATAGTTTTAAAAATAAATAAATTATTGTATGAACTATTTTTTATTTGATCAAAATTTATTTGTATTTCAAAATCAAATAAGCTTTTATTCAATAATGAATTAATATTGATCATCATCTAAATCTATTCTTCCTTTAAGAGTTGAAATTTGAGTGATTAATAAATTTAGATGTGTAAAAAAATTAATGATTTCTAGGTTAAAAAGTAAGGATAGATATGTAAATATTTAAATTATAGATTTATTTAACTTCTTAGAATTATAAGAATAATAATGATAAATTTGAAAACGAATCTTGGTATTATTTCATAAACTAAATTAATTTGATTTTATACAGAATATTATTTGAAGTTAAATATTAAAAATTTTAGATCTTTCTATTTTTCTTTATTATTAATTTTAATTCTGATGAAAAATGTTATCAAAAAGCTAAATATGAAATATTCAAAAAGTTATATTATCACAGCAATTTTCTTAGTTTTATAAAATTCAACAGAAATATCTAGCTTGATTTTGAGGAATTTATGATTTGTATCTAAGAATAAAATATTTTTCATGATAGCAATCTTAGTAGAATATTTATAGAATATTTTTATGATAAAAAATTAGCTAATTAAATAATTATAATAATCAAGCAATTCAATTAATTCGTCAGGTTTACATCATTATTATCTAAATAATTTCTTCTATACTGATTTTTATGTTTTTATTAAATATGACTGACTGTTCAAGTCAATTTAAATACTTGTTTGTTGTTTCATGTTAAAATTAAATTAAATATAATTAATTCTAAAACAAAATTAAAATAATAATTTATCATAGAAAATCTAATTAAAAAAACATGGCTAGTAGTAAGAAAGCAGAAGGAATTGCTATAGGTATCGATCTTGGTACCACATATTCTTGTGTCGGTATATTCTAAAACGAAAGAGTAGAAATTATTGCAAATGATTAAGGTAATAGAACTACTCCATCATATGTTGCTTTTACTGATACTGAAAGACTAATTGGAGATGCTGCAAAGAACTAGGTAGCTAGAAATCCCATTAACACTGTCTTCGATGCTAAGAGACTAATTGGTAGAAAGTACAATGATCCTGTTGTTTAAAAAGATATCAAGCTATGGCCCTTTAAAGTAGAGAATGGCCCTGAAGATAAGCCTCTTATTGTTGTCAAATTCAAAGGAGAGATAAAGAAATTTCATGCTGAAGAAATCTCATCAATGGTTCTTATTAAGATGAAAGAAACAGCTGAAGCTTTCGTCTCAAAGCCAGTCAAGAATGCTGTCATTACTGTTCCTGCTTACTTTAATGATTCATAAAGATAAGCAACCAAAGACGCTGGTATTATTGCTGGCCTCAATGTACTCAGAATCATAAATGAGCCAACAGCTGCTGCTATTGCTTATGGCCTTGATCAAAAGGGCAAAGGAGAGAAGAATATTTTAATCTTCGATCTTGGTGGTGGTACTTTTGATGTATCTCTCTTGACTATTGATAACGGCTTCTTTGAAGTGAAAGCCACTGCTGGTGATACCCATTTAGGAGGTGAAGACTTTGATAATAAGATGGTAGAATATTGTGCTGGTGAATTTTTGAAGAAAAAAGGTATTGATATTAAAGGTAATCCTCGTGCTATGAGAAGACTAAGAACTTAGTGTGAAAAAGCTAAGAGAATATTATCATCCTCTTCTTAAGCAACAATTGAAGTTGATGCCCTTGCTGATTCAGAGGATTTCAATATCGTAATGTCACGTCCTAAATTTGAAGAACTGTGTCTTCCTTACTTCTAATAGTGTGTTCCTCCTATTGAAAAAGTTATTAGGGACTCTGGATTATCAAAGAACTAAATTGATGAAGTAATCCTTGTTGGTGGTTCTTCACGTATTCCTAAAGTCATTTAGCTAGTTACTGAATTTTTTAATGGTAAAGAGCTTAATCGCTCTATAAATCCAGATGAGGCTGTTGCTTATGGAGCTTCAGTTTAGGCTGCTATTCTCACAGGTTAAGGCTCTTAATCTATTTAAGATGTAATATTAGTTGATGTTGCTCCTCTTTCGCTTGGTATTGAGACTTCAGGTGAAATAATGACAGTCCTAATTCCTAGAAATACTACTATTCCTATAAAAAAATCACAAATATTTACTACCTACGCTGATAACTAGCCTGGTGTATTAATTCAAGTTTTTGAAGGTGAAAGACCAATGACAAAAGACAATCATTTACTTGGAAAATTTGGATTAGAAGGAATTGCCCCTGCTCCAAGAGGAGTCCCTCAAATCGAAGTATCGTTTGACATTGATGAGAACGGTATATTAAATGTCTCAGCTGTAGACAAAGCCACAAACAAATCTAATAAAATTACAATTACCAATTAAAAAGGTAGATTCTCTCAAAGCGAGATAGAAAAGTTAGTAAAAGAAGCAGAGAAATACAAAGACGAAGATGAGAGGTAAAAGAAGAAAATAGAAGCCAAGAATTCATTTGAAAACTACATTTACCATGTTAGGAATAGTATGAAAGATGAAAAACTTAAAGACATATTCACATCTGATGAAAAGGATAAACTAAATAATTTGATCGAAAAGAGCTAATCGTGGTTGGAAACTCATCATGGTGAGAACCCTGATGACTATGAATCAAAACAAAAAGAGATTGAAAATGTATTTAATCCAATTATGATGAGAGTTTACTAACAAACAGGTGCTCAGCCCTAAGATAATTCAGAAGGTAGCAGAAGAAATCAATACTAGAATAGCAGCACTGCTAATGCTGATGAAGTTGATTGAAAAATAATTAATTAGTAGCAAGCAAATTTTTGATAAACAAAATTTTAGTTAAAAACGCCACATAATAAATTAAACTATAATTATAAAATATATCAATAAATTTTGTTGTAAATTGTGTGTTCTATCTTTATGTAAATTTTCAACAATAACTTTACTAATTTTAATCATATCCTTTATAGCTAATATTCTACTTTCTATCTTCTTAAAAGATACCACTAATTTCTTCATAAATCATAATTTAAATATAAAAAAAAATACAAATTATTTAAAAAAAAAGATTTTTCTTTTTTTAAAATTATTTTAGAAAATTTTCTAATAATTGATAAAAAAATTATTTAGGAAAAGAGTTTTTTATATTGTAAAAGGCAAGTAGATATGTAAATTGATATTAATAAAAAAACAAATCAAATGAACCTCTTTACTTTAAGAATGTCATCGAAGATGAAGTGGCCGAGCGGTCTAAGGCGGTAGATTAAGGCTCTATTCCGAAAGGGCGCGAGTTCGAATCTCGCCTTCATCAGATTTTTTTACAATTTTGGTTTTTAATTAAAATTTTTTAAATGATATTATGAGTGAATTACTATTTAAATTAATGCTGGAAAATAAATATTGGTTTAGTTGTATTGGTAATATTGAATGTATAATAATTTTGTGGAAAGAAGATATAGGCTTATTTTTAATTATCTATCATATATTTCTGTTGCAAGCAAGCAAGCATTTGTTTTTAATTTCTATTTGAATTAACAAAAAAATTTAAATTAATTCAATTTTTATAAAATCAATTATCAAATATAGAACTATTTAGCGAAATACCAAACTAAATAAAAATAGCAATATAACATATTACAAAAAAAGGAAAGGCTTAAACAAAAGGCAATGACTGAAGTTGTAACTACTGCAAATCAAAGCAATTTTTTATCTAGATAAGAAATGCTCTAATGGATCAATGATAGTTTAAAAGTATTAATTTAATTTATAAAGTATTGCTTTAAATCTATTCATTTTCAAAAAGCTTAATGAGAAGAAGATAGAAAATTTAGGCACTGGAGCTATTTACTGTCAATTATTTGATTTGGTGTACCCTGGAAAGGTGCAGAGTATTGATTGCTTCATTAATACTTGTTTAATAACATTTTTTTCAAATTTAAAATCAATAGTGGTAAAGGTTAACTGGAAAGCAAAGTATGAAAATGAATATGTTTCAAATTTCAAGATTTTATAGTAAGCATTTGACAAGATGAGTGTTAATAAGCCCATTGATGTAAATTACTTATTAAGATAAAACAATTTTATTAAACGAAAGAACTAATTAGGTGAATAAGTTAATTAAATGTAAATACTAAGATAATCTTGAATTTTTACAGTGGATGAAAAAATATCATGATCAATTTCGTAAAAATTAAGATAAGCCTTACGATGCTATAGGTAGAAGAAATGGATAAGTTTTGATTGATAGAGAATACCCAAATGATAAAATTCCTACTCATCCTCACTTCTAAGCAATTAAAGAATAAGCAAGCAATATTTTAGATAACAGTGTGAATCATTCATCAAAGCATAATTTTTCAAGGCATTCTAATAAAAAGAGCTAAACTCATTTTGTACCTTCTGATTAAGGAAAGCAAATGAGTCATTCTTGCTAATCTTCGATATCCAATTTATCTATTGATAATGAATTTAATCACCTAGACGAAGCAGATGCAGTTAAACCTTATCCATCTACTAATAAAATATAATCTGACTCTCTAATAGAAAGACTTAAAGATGAACGAAATTTTTATTTTTCTAAGATACAGAGTATTGATTAAATGCTAGATAATATTTCAGACAAGAATCCAATGACTATTAACGATATTAAAAAATATATTAAAACCATTCTATACAGTACATAAGATTAAATTTTAACTATATTGGATGATGGAACTGTAACTTTGGCTGACAAATAGCTTAATAACGTATCTATTAATTAATTTGAGTCAATGGAAGGTCTTGAGTAGCTCAAAAAAGAAATACTCAGTACTGATTAATAAATCAAAAGTAGTGCCAAGAAAAACAAAAAGAAAAACACAAAAACATATGATAACAATTAAGAAAATAAAAACACACTTTTAGTGCCTTAACATTAATAAAGCGAAACATTTTCAAATAGATCAAATTAAGGTTTTAAGACCCCAAAAAGTAGTAAATACTCTTATGAGCAATCTCTATAGCTTGATGATTTCACCACATCAATAAATTAAAATTCCAATAATAACTTTATAACATTTAACTAAAACAATAATAAATCTCAGTCAATACAATCAAATTTTGCTCATAATAAAAAAGATTCAGAACCATTATATGAAATTTTTATAAATGAAGAATAAAATTAAAAAAATAAATAAAACGAAAATTTAAAAAACTAATCTCAAAGCTCATATGGAGATTTAATAAAAATACAACAAGTATCAGAAATATAATTACCAAATAACGATGTGTTTGAACTAAATTAAAATCTTCTTGAAAGCTAAGACGAAGACTTACTAGGAAATTTAGAGTGAGAATCTCATTAACTCTGTATTTATGTATTTTATGTTATATTATTTAGATAAATAATTAACTTAAATTGCGTATCAAAACTAATTAGTTTCATATCATTTATTTCTTATTCATGTTAATGTAAATTTAAAATGTTAAAAAATAAATATAATAATTGAATAAAATAATTTTCATTTAATGCATTAATTATTTTATGTTGATTTAAATTGTTAAATTTATTAGTGAAATTTAGTAAGAGAATTTCTTTTAAATGTGTTATTTAGATTGTCTTTTTATGTATGTATGTATGTTTATGTGTTACTTTGTATTATTTAATAATTAATATAAATATTTTATGAAAGTTAATCAATAAGATGCGATTCATAACAAATTTATCATTACTAAATATATATTAAATTTAAAATAATCAAATTAAGCTATTCAATACACTATTGAAAACTAGTTTGAGAAATTCATTAACTTGAGTTTTTGAATATATGTGTGTTTTTTAAACTATTTATCAAAAAATTAGCCCAAATATTATTAATGCTAATAAATTTTATGTGATTGAATACTTATTTATGTTAGTAAGATATATTTATATTAAATTAAATAAATTAAAACTAATTTATTTAACAATTATGATATTTTGTAATAGAATCTCATTGAATTTTTTTGACTGAGTGCATTTATTTATGTTTATAAATATTTCTTTATATATTAACCCATAAATTTAATCTGATTCACAACTAATTCATATATAAAAATTTATACAAGTAAAAAAATTATTAAATCTAATTAAATTAATATATAAAATGAATAGATTAAAATTATTTTTTATTTTTTTTTCTATTAATATTAATAAATCACAAGATAGATAATGAAATACTTTTTAAATTAAAATTTAAAGGACTTAAAAATTGAATGAAAAAAAAACAATTATAAAATTTACAAAAAGTGCGCCTGAAATCTTTTTTATTTTAAATCAATAATAACTAATTTATATGTTTTTTGACTAGTTAATTATCAATGATTATGCTAATTTCAATTATTTTCTTAGACAACTAATTATGATACAAATATTAATTATTATAAGATATTGTTTAACTTATAATTGCGCTAAAAATTAGAAATTAAAGTATATAGAATAAGCAAGCAAACAAGCATAATTAGCAATTATCAAGCAATTTTATTTAGACCATAAAGTAATAAAACAAGGTAAATATGGAAATAGAAAGGGAAATTAGCATTACTAGGTAAAATTATCTTTTAATATTCTAAAATAACTTTTGCATTATTGATGGTCTTTGGTAAATTACAATATATTTTTTAAAATATATTTTGATGTTAGAGAGAAGAAAGAGGCTCGGCTTATTGAGGAATATGAAGAGGGCCTTAAGGATTTTGAAAAGAGAAATTTTGATTAAGGTGTTTAGAAAATGAGAAAATTATTGCAAAATAAAATGATTAGAGAAGATGATTTTAGAGATTTGAGACACGCTTGCTTTATCTCACTAGGAGAAGTTTATGAAAATGAATTAAAGTTAATGAATGAAAGCATACACTACCTTTACAAAGCAATTACTTTAAAAGAGAATGATTTTAAAACATGGTTTAAGTTAGCTAAGATATGTAGATATTAAGGATATTTTGCCTAGGCAGAAAAATGCTTTTTCATGGCATAAAAATACATGCCAGGCACTTCTTATTAGAATATCATTTACTAGAGTCTGACATATATTAGCTTTTTATAGGAAAATATTTCAGTTTTTATTTAAAGAGTAGATTACTTGATAGCTAATTCTTTTAACAAACAACATAACTTATGTTTGAAAGTACATGCACTGAGGATTTCAGGGTATAAATAAATAAATATTTATTGTGTCTAAAATATATACTAAACAATTAATTACTTTGAGCAATTTTACTCTAATAATTGCATATCAAGAAAGCATCAAGTTTAATATGACTTTATTATATTATTTATTTATATTTAAAAGCTAAGAAGAAAAGGCAAATGAACTGATTGAATCTAATGGATTGTCTGATGCTCTCTAAAGTGAAATATCTGATATCATTAAAGAAAAAGAAGAAATTAAAATGAGACAGAAGTCAAATCCGATTTTTTAAAGATTACCTGTTTCTCTTACTAGATAGAATGAATTTACTATTTATGTTGATAAATTGACTTGGTCTAATTTTCTCAAAATAGTCAATATAGTTAGCAAAATGTTCATATGTGCGAAAAGAGGTGACAGCACTTTTAAAAAAGATAAAAAACTCAATAACATATACACTGTCATTAAGTAAAATCACAGTATATTAAATACTCTTATTTGGATTGTAATAAATAAATCTACTTTATTTTACTTAATAATTTAAAATTTATTATAATATTAAGAAAGAAAAACGTGAAGCTCCTCCCACTGAGGCTGATAATTGGAATCTTTCTAAAAAATAAGAAAAGTAAGCAGCAGGAACTGCTTTAAGTTCTACAAGCCAGATATCTGCAAAAGATGATTAGAGTCTTTCAAGTAGCGTTAGTGGCAGTAGCAAGAAAAAAGATATTAAAACAATATAGATGATAAAATCCCTTCAAAGTGGTACTAAGAAGAGCAATAGAATAAAAGAAAACACAAAAAACTAAAATTAAAATGTGATTAACATTTCAGTTGAGCAGCATATCAAAGAAGTTGCTGAGAAAAATAAATTTGATATAAAATAAAAGTTATAAAATTTGAATACAGAATTTTATGCTAAAATAGATGACTTAAATCCTGAGTAGTCCAATTAATTATTTATCTCAACATTTAAAAGACTTACACTTGATGAATCTGATTAGGAATCTTAAGAAATAAGTAAATAAATATGTTAAATAAAAATTTATCTTTTATTTTTAAAATTAAGTTGATTATTTTTTTTATTAAAAAATATTTAAATTTATCAAGTTAAAAAAAACTAAATGGAAGAAGAACTCAAACAAGAGTAAAGGGAACTTAATTTGTTAAAGTAAGCTGAAGACAAAGAAGCTAAGCAGCAAAAATTAGATTAATATTGCAATGAAGATTTTATGAAATTCTTTACAAGAATAAAGCATAAACCTTTTATAAATATGCAGGATTTAGTAGAAGAAATATTAAAACACTTTTTAATCAACAAAAATAGAAATGATGAAAGAGAAGAAATTAAGAGTTTTTTAAGTGAAGACTATGTAGATGATTTAGGGGGAACACAAGCATTTAATTATTGTCCAAACCTTCTGTTGAATAATATAGAATCAAGCAGAAAATATAAGAATGAGATAGCTAAACTGCTTTACAAAACCCATGCTTTCTATAATTTTAAGCTATTCAAAGGAGATAATAATTTGTTGCTTACAGTATTTGAGTTGCTCATAGAAGAATATATTTATATTAAGCAAGAAAAGTAAGACAAAGAGCTCAATCAAAAAAAGAAAGAAAAACTTAAATAAATAAAAGAAATGCTTAGATGGATTCACTTTGAATTCTTAAGCAGCTATGATGTTAAATCTTCTAACGAAATAGAGTAAATTAGAATATATCACTCCTTAGCTATTTACTACAGTGATCGTGACTTTGAGTCAACTTCATTTGCTAAAGTGGCAGTTTAAAAGATTAATGAAATTTTATCTTCTCTAAACATTACAAATGAATAAGCAGAAGCTTAGAGCGCCTAGAATTTAGAAAATAAATAAGGAGATAAAAAGTAAAAAAAAAAAGTTATGCTGAATTTTTTCTGGTTGTATTAAAAATATTTGAGTTCAAACTTTTCTGAATTCATTCAAGATAGGATCGTTGAAAATAAATTTAAAAAAGAGATAACTAAAACAAATAAAAAACAAGGTCCTATTATTGAAAAGGATGATGACTTAATTATTCTTGATCAAGATGGTAAAATATTTTAACAATAAGTTGAGTAAATAGTTTTTTTAAATATGTTTAACTTATTATAGAGGGTTAAGGAAGCTTAAAGGAACACTTAGAGGAATTTTTACAAATATTTGAGTCAAGATTAACTGAGAGAGGATTAGATGATGGAAATGATTTGTATTACAGAAACATTTTTGAAATTCTACAAAATTAGAAGCTAGAGAATAGTGTTTTTCTAGATAAAGTAAATAAAATATTAAATATTTACTTCGATTTTCATGATTTCAAGCTTGTTGAGTATAAAAAAAACATCTAATCTCTCGATAGACTTTTTAGATTTGAAAACCTTTGTGAAGAGTTTTTAAAAAGATATTAAGTGAAGAATATCTAAGGTATTTCAAGACATATGAAATAGCATTTGCTGAAAACTAACATGCTATTCTTGAAAGCTCTTGTTTATAAGGTATTTGTAAATTTGCAACAAAACGACTAATAAATGCTGTTTGTTAAGTAAATCAAGTTAAACATTTTATTTATTTTATTAATAAAAATATATTTTAAATAAATAGGCTATTTGCTTCTTTCATTACCAGTTGTCTATATCTTTCTAACGTAGAGAGATAACATTAAAAGATTTCTTACATCACATTTTTAACTCATGACCTAATTTAACAACTTAATCCTAATATGCACTAAGAAATTTATAAGTCTTGGAATGAATATTCCTACTTTACTTTACTAATAAATCAAATTTTTATCTACCTAAACGAGTAAAATTTTTTATATAAATTAAATAAATATTTTAAAATTTAAAATCTTTTATGGCTTTTAATTTTTTTCACTTATTTTTGTATATTTCAAATGGTTTATTAATTTTTATTACCAATATTATAGGAGAGAGGAAATCAGAAAATAAGAGGAACTTGAAGAAGAGAGAAAGGAATAAGAAGAAGAAAAAAGTAAAAAAATGGAGATTGAAAGTCAACAAAAAGAATAATAATCAAAGACTGATGAAATGATTGATGAGTCAGAAGATAAGAAAAAAGCTATCTAATCATAAGAAAAAAATTAGAATTAAGAGGAATAATAGTAAGAAGGCAAAAAATCGCCTTCAAGAGAGAAATCATAAGAAAGTGATTAAAAGAAAAAGGATTCACCAAATGTTAAAGATTAATAAATAAGTGAGAAGGAACAGAAAGATTCTGATGCTGCAAAGGAATAGGCAGATGATAAAAACAAAGAAGAGGGGAAATTAGTTGCTGAAAATTCGAATCAGACAATTGTTAATAATCAAAATAAGAATGAAAAACAATCATAAGAAATGATAGATGAAGAGGCCAATACTCAATCTTAAATAAAATAAGATTCTTCCAAATTAAATTTATAGAAAAAGCTATCTAATGTAGATAGTGAAGATGAGGATGATGAAGAAGAGGAAAACGATGATATCGATGACTTTTTAGATGATTAATATATATTTGATGTCTTAAAGAGTATCTACAGATGCTTTTATGGCATCAAAATTAGATCAGGCAAGAAAGTCTCCACTCAAAAATATGCAAATATATCTGAAAATAATGTATGCAGATTTAATAGCATGGAAGAAATCAGATTATTTGTTAAGTTTACAAAGAAAGTTTTCCCTCACTATTTTACCAATTTAGTCTGCCAACTTAATTCTTAATACATATTTATTTTGATCGGTGCTTTCGATTACATCAAAAAAAATGATGATTAATGGGCACTTTGCCCTAATCTTGCTGTCAAGAAAGATGAGTTTTAAAATTATATGAAAGATAAAAAGGTGTCATCAGACACTAATATATTAGAATATCTCTAACAGAGGTCGAAGAAAAGCCAAATAAATTGCTTTTGTGAAAAGCAGGACTGTTTCCATCCTGTTCTCTAAGAGGATTTCCTACTTAATTTATTCCTCTTAATAGGTCGTGCATTAAGTTAATATGATCCAAATGCTGATATGCAAAATGAAAATTCTAAACCTAAATTTAAGGCAAGAAGACAATCATTGAAAAATGTAAAATAATTTATTTATTGAATTATTTTTAAGAATAAATCTATTTAATATTTAATAAAGGCTGAAAAGATGTTCAACTTCTTAATTCTGTTGAAGCCAAGCGAGTTTTTAGGATGGTACAGCTTAGGCGATGTATTTAGTGGATTATGTTTCATGTATTTTGATGCCAGTGTTTTTGAGCCAATGGGAAGCAAGATATCAGAGTTAAAGGATATTTACTTAAGTGCTAAGAGAGTATACAATTATATTTTGGATAACTTTACAACAAGTAAAACTCTCAACAAGAGATACATTGAAGAAGTGAAGGAAGATATTTTAATCCTAAACATTGTTAAGATGTACGAAAGAAAAAGCATTTATTTAATGAGCTTAAGTCCTTAGTATACCGACTATGACTACATTAGAGAAAGTGTAGTCAAAAAATAAAGAATTACTTCTATCTTCGATAAAATACACACATTTGATTATGACAGCTCTTCCCCAAGAATGATTATCCTTATGGAGGTTTTTGTTACGAGATCACATTATTAAAAATATCATTCCTCTACATTTGAGAGTCACTTTAAGAAATTAAAGCTAATTTAAGAATTCACAGAACCCACCGAAGTACAAAAAAATATCAAAGGTAAAAGAAGTGTTAAAGATTCAAACAAAGTAGCCTAAGGTAATAATATAATTTTAATAGAGAAGAAAGGGTTAATTAATAGTATTTACAAATAAAGAAAAAGCAGAGGAGCAATTATAATTTAAAGGAGAATTTTATGATTAAGAAGGATTATGTGAATTTTCCATTAGTATCTGGAAAATATTCAAAAGATATCTTTAGTTGCTTAAGGTTATTTATTAATTATCAAATAAAATCATATTTTATAATTTTATTTTAATAAAAAGGTTATTGATGGTTAATGTATTAAAAAAGATGAAAATGTTCAAAAAATTATTCAAGATATTAACAAAAAATAAAAAATTACTGAGTTAAACGAAATAATGTCAATTGTTTTGGACGATGTTGAAGAAACTATAAGCGTATTAAAAAAGATAGAACCAAAACTTTTCTCTCCAGATTGCCCAAGTGAGATTTCAGTCACTTAGTATTTCTACGATAAGGAGAGATTAGATTTAAAAATGAATGTTGCTCTAAAGCTAAGCTAAATTGCTTGCAGCATTTTGACTAAAAGAATTGTTTTGGAATTAGAAATAGAAGATTACTAGGCTAGACTTAAGTAAGTGATTGAGCAAATCTAGCTAATCTTAAATAACAACTTCGCTGTTTTCTAGTAACTTACATCAAAGCATGGAAATAAAAAATTCAAATATAAAAGATTTGTTATCAGAAGTTTCTATTATTCCTCACAAATGATCCACGAAATAAACAATAACTATGATCGTGCTTCAACTTTGCTAGGAGAAATTTTTAATTTAAAATTAGATGAGATAGTTAATTATTACACTCATTTTGAAAATCAGCCAATCGAAAAAGATCCTAAACTTTCCATATTATTTACTAAAGACTTGTGCTTTATGCTTGAAAAGTAGCAATTATTTTTTTAAAACAAGTAGTTAAATTGTAAATTTATAAATAGATACAAATACGTGAAGCTTATGAGCACATTACTAAGAAAGTAATAAGATGTATAAAGAATGAGAAACCTTAACAAAAAAGTGAACAAAGTAAAAAATTTAGTTTTTCGTTTAATTCTTAAAGTATTTAAAATAAAAAAGGTAATGATTTAGTAACATGAGGAAGAGTCTGTAAAGCTTAATAAAATATTTAAATAGCTCTACTTAATTACATTAAACGATTTGATGGTATTAATGGATAATAAGTTGACAAGTGGAAATGAAACAATTGCAACTTTGAAATAATGGATCTAAGATCTATACAATATGAATATTAAAAATAAATAAACATATAAATACATAGAAAATGATTCTGATTTAGTTTAAAAAATTAAAAATTATATGATAAAAGGATATTGCAAGTTTGAGAATATAGAATAATCATAATCAGTAATTAAATTTTTTATAAAAGAATAATTCTTTATTTAATCAATTTAATTATTTATTAATATATTTAGGGAGAAAAAGAATCCTTTGATAATCTTTATTCCAAGAGTGTAAAATATTTTGAAGATCTTTGCAAGAAGAAGAAACCAAAACCAAATGCTACTAATTCTCAAAATGCTGCATCCAAAGAATTCTCTGATGATGTTACATAATAAAATAAGAAAAAAGGAAGCATTCAAATAGATTTAGAAAATGACAATAAAGATACAGGTGGTGGTGATGAAGATGACAATAAGTAGACAGATAAAAGTAAAATAAATTAATTTAAAAAGTTTTTAAAATTTATATTTAATTTTAATAAATAAGTAAAAGAAAATGTAATCGAAGAAGATGATGATAAAAAAAATAAAAGCAAAATCATGGAAATTGAAAACTGAAAAGTTTTTAAAAATCATTGATCTCTTTGATTTTAAATATAAAATAATTTAATTTATAAATTGTGTAAATTGTAGTTTAATAAGTAATCTTTTTTATATTTGTAAGCAAAAAATATCCTTTGAATCAATCCTATTAATTTTTTTATTAAATCTTCATAATTTTTATCAAAAACATCCTATTTTTTATTTTTTAAGTTCAACTTTGAGTAATTTTAATAAATAAATAAATTAATAGATTTGATTTATTTCAAAAATTTTTCTGATTTGGTTGCATTGAATTGTAAAAAATTTTAATTCTGATGAATTCAGATTACTTATGATAAGGATTCTATTTAATTTGATTTGAATTTAAAACAAATACTGTAAAAATGTATAAATGTAATCCAATTTTTGACAATTTTTTATGCTTTTCTTTCAAATATTGAGTTCATTTTCATTCTTTTTTATCATATTTTATTGAACCTATTTAACATATTAGTAAGTAATTTATTTAAAACATTTTCTCTATTTATAGATCTACAATTAAGTCAGAAAGAAGAGAATTCCGAAATTAAAGTAAAATCAATGATACCGAATAAATACATGCTTTCTCATATAAATTTTTATATGGATTTATCATAAATAAGCTGTGCAATCACTTAATGTTCGGATAAATTCAAAAAAAATGATTAAGAATGTTAAAAACTTGAGTTTTTTTAGAAATCACTCATTTTTTAACATCTAGATCAGAAAAGATTATTATCTATTAATGTATATTTTTTATGAAATAAGAATACGTCATAATTACTTTTAAAGAAATTAGTTACTAAAAATTGTGGATTTTATGACAAAAAGCAGATATTCAATTCGTCATCTATTTTTTTATAATTTCAGAATAAAAAAATCTTATTTTCAAAATCTTATCTAATTTGTTTGGTATGTGATTTAAATTGAATGAATAAAAAAATAATAATTATAATCTTAATAATCAACATAATTATTTAAATTATTTAATTCATACTAGTAAAGTAAATTAACAAAAAAAAATGGGCTTGTTTCCTGAATTCTCAGACTTTTTTATAGGATATGCATCATATCACTGGAATCCAGTGTAAAGCTTTTACAAATTTTAATCATTAACAAAAATATTTTATAAAAAGAAATAAATTTATTCACATAATTTGCATTCCTATGATTCTTTCTTCTTCTCTTGGTTTGATGAATCATTTAGGAATTCATATTCCAAATCCTTTCATTGATAATCCTCTCTTCAATTTAAATCCTTCATTCTTATTGATATTATGTATCAGCTTAGCTTACTTAAGCATCGATTTCGCTACTGGAGTAAAAGATTTTTTTACTTTTTTGAATATTATAATTTATTACTTTTTTGATTCCATTATAACTTGCAATAATTTAAATAATGTTAATCTTTCTGTTAATTTTCAATTAGTTCATTTCTACATGCTTTTACTTTGGCCATTGGTTAGCTAATAACTATCTCTATTAGTATTCTATCTAAAACAATTTAACAAATATGCATTTCAAGGTTGCTCTTGGTATTCACATTGTTTGCTGGATCGCTCAATTCGTTGGACATGGATTCTTCGAAAGTAAACGATATTATTATAGCATCATTGTTTAAAAATATTATAACAATTTAATAATAATAGGAAGAGCTCCTGCTTTGCTAGATAACTTATTGTACACTTTGGTTGCTCCTAACTTTGTCATTATTGAAGTAAAGCTCAATAAAAATAAATAATTGTTAAGTAGAAATAATATTTTTTATATATATAAAATAGATCTTCTTTGATTTAGGATACAAGAAAGACGTTTATAAGAAATGCAAAAAGTAGGTTTTAAAAAATATTGAAGAATTCTAAAACAAAAGAAAATCAGCTGCTAAGAAGACTTCATGAAAAATTAAATTTATTAAAATTAATGCAAATAAAATTAAAAATAGTTATATATGTAATATTTATGAAATTTTGTAATTGATTATGCTACTTTTAAGAACATTAAAAAAAATAATTTACTTTAATTAGAATTTATATTATAATTAAATTTATTTTTGATAAAAATACAGGGTTGAGTATTAATAACAGCTAACTAGCAGCTAAAAATATTTGTTTAAAAAATAAATATTAATTTTATAAAATGAGTTTATAGATCTTAATTAAATGGGTTATAGTTAATGAAATTGTGCTGTATATAATAAATTGAATGTAAATATTTATTTTGTGGTTCTAATTTTAGTATTAATTTTTTATTTTATAATGTCTATTTATAATATAATGAATAAATAAATAAAATGGATTAGTAGATTTAATTAAGTAAAAAGTACCAAAAATTGTAAATAAATAAATAAATTGGTAAAATAATAAAAAGAATATTTAATTAAGTACTATCATACATATAAATTATATTTTACATTATTCAGAATATACAAATTTTAATCACAGTAGATTGGTAGGAAGGTTATAAATATATTGAATGACTCTATTAACAAATAATTTTCTGATGGTTTATTAAGAATGCATATTTATCATGTACATTGATTGATTGATTTATTGATTGAATTATTATTGAATTAAGGTTATTTTAAATTGAGATAAATTTATTTTTTTGCAATTTAAGTTATCTCCAAATATTTATTTATTTATTTATGAATGTTATTATTTATGAATTTGATGACTCTCCTCATTTAAAACATATTTATATTTTTCACTAATTTGATTTTTTGTTTGTTTACTTTCAAAAAATGTTAAAATTTGAGTCAATTATTGATTTTTTTTGGATAGATAGTTAATTAATATTTGAAGATAATAAAATGATCAACAAAAAAATATTACTTAGTTGAAATTAACACTTTCCTTCATTTTGTTCGTTCGTACCTGTATTAATTTTCTGCTTATAAACAGAGTAGTAATTAACAAATCAGAAAAACTAATTAAAAGCTTTACAACAACTAAGAAAATTAAAAGAGCAACTAATTGTATTTTGTAGAAGGTATTCAAGAGAATGCTCTTCAATAATGGTTATTACTGTTGTAATTCTTTTTATAGTTATTATGATTAATATGATTATTGTTATTATTTTAATTATTATGATGCTATGAATGGTGGTTGTTGTTGTTATTGTTATGATGGTTGTAACCATTATTGTTGTTACTGTTATTATTGTAATTGTTGTTGTTATTATTATTGCTATTATTATTCATAGGCCCACTATTATTATTGTTATTCATATTTTAATTTTGTATGTTGCCTACATTTTGCTAAATTTGATTCATAGGGATATCTACTCTGTGCTTTTCAATATAGCTAAGAACATGTTTTCCTATTAATTTTAATTAATAATAATCACAATCAAATTTATTATCTTAAATATTTTTAATTCAATAAAATCAAAATAATTATTCTCATAGCTTTTTATTTTATATTAAAAAATGCATACCAAAACTATTTGAGATTACTTCGTTGTAAACATCATTATTTTATAACAAATATTAGCAAACCCTTAGTTTTGTCTCATGTTATGCTTTTTCATACAGCCTTTGCACAACATAGTTACCAAAGGCATTTTTTGTCAACCTAACTATACCTGTACTATTTTTTATTAAATTTTTAAATTTAATTTAACACTGTAGCAAATAAGTTAAAAAGTTATATTTATAATTAATTACTCTAAATGGTTTTGATTGTTTGGCCTTAATAAAACATCCAATACTCCAGCTTTGAATTCTTCATCAGAATAAACAATAGATTTTTCTGTTACGTTTCTTTTTTTTATTTCAGCATTAATATAAAACAATTAAAAATAATAAAATTTTACGAGGCAAATTTATTGAGAGAAAGATCTACGAAATGGACTTTTACTACCTAAAGAATTTCGTCTTTTTCGAGTTTTTATCCTTTTTCAATGATGTACTGAATGATATAATTTCCATATTGGCATTCGCATAATCTAATTAAGTTGGTCATAAGTTTTTCGTATATTTTCTTAGTCTATTAAGAAATAAATGCCTTTAACTTCAAAATGTTTAGTTTATGAATAAATTACCTCAGGATTGCTACAGAATTCTAAAATTCTTTGAATGACTCTACATCCATATGGATGGAATGCTAACTCTTCTATCTTTTAATAAAATTTATTTTTATTGAAGAGATATTTATTTTATAATTCTAAGTTTACATTTTGAATGACTTCATTAATAATTGTTGTCAATTTTGAAGAACTTAAGGTTTCAAAGCATTTTTAAATAACATGGTTTCCATTTTAATCTTGAATGCAAGTCATAATCTTGTTATTTAGCTCTTAAATCAATCCTTCTTGCATTTATGGTCTTTCTTTAAGTTCCTCTAAAGCCTTTTATATAACTCTGCAACCATAAGTATGAAGGGATAGTTACTCTACATTTCCTTTTATAATATAGTAGAGCTTCTCTTTATGTTCAATAGTTCCTATTTCAATATAAAACAAATTCAATATTAATTTTTTCTTTTAGTCATATTAATGTAAATTTCTATCACAAATTTAAACATTAAAAGAACTTTAAGCTTTTGTTTTAAAATCAATAATTAAATTTCTTAATTAAAATTGTTAGTTTTAAGTTATTTTATTATTTTTAAACAAAATATACAAACTTTAGCTATTCTTTAAAATATACTTATTTAAGCTTTGCTCATTTTAATCTGATTTTATATTAACATTTTATTAATAACTTATAACTTAAAAATAAACTATAATCTTCTTTATTAAATAAATACATAATAATAAAAAATATTTCTTTCTTACCTTTTTCAAATAGCTTTTAAATGACATAATTTCCAAATTAATCCTTCATTAAATTCAATGCTTCTGGTTAGATTCTTTCAAATATTTTATTTTTTTCTTCAATTGTAGAATTTTCAAACTGCTTTTGTATTGTCCTTGAGCTATTTTAATCTTTACAAGACTCAATTAAATCTGGAAATAGCTAATTAAAATTCTAATTTGAACTATCTGTTGAGGAACTCTTTCCCAAATTCTAAACTTAATTTGGATTGTTATTGCTGACATTTTGATTGCTTTACATGAATTGGTTTTAAATAATATGCCCATTTGGTTAATTTAACTGTTTCTTTTTACCACCCAAATTCATACCTTGCTAATTTCTGTTATTATTTTACATGTTGTAATTTTATGAATTGTTTTTATTTCCCATGTTTTAGCTCATAATATTATTGTTACCCACATTTATGTTATTTTAATTGTTTTAATTATTGTTAATTCCACCACCATTAATCTAGTTATTATTGTTATTTCCAGGGCTATTGCTTAAATTATTGTTGTTGTTACTATTATTGTTGATATTTGGATTCTAGGGGTTTATAATGTTGTTTTGCATACCGTTATTTCCTATATTTTAATTCTATGGGTAGCTCATGCTCATTTAATTTTAATAGTTCATGTTGGGATAATTAGGTCCATATCCTTATTGCTAAAACATCCTAATTATATTTTAATATAAGATTATTTATTAAGTAAGCTAATAAAATTTACTTACATGTTTTATTGGTATGGGAATTACTGAATAGGTTGCTACATTCCTAGAGGAATAAATTGTTGCATTTGATTTGGAGCTCCTAAATTAGGAGGAGGAGCTTAAAACATCATAGGGAAGCTTTAATTTAAGAATTAAGGAGGTTACTAAAAGGGTTAACCATTATTATGATGCATATTTTACTAGCTTGATCCTTAAAATCCTTATTATTGATAAGATTTAGTCTTCTTTATTCTAATTTTATAAAATTGATAATATTATTTCAATGTCTATTTAAAATTAAATAAAATTAGTGAAAGAAATTTTATTTAAAAATTTAAAAACACTCTTTTGAATGTAAGATATAACCTTTAAATCAATAAGATATTATAAATAAATAAATAAATATAAAGCATATGAATCAATCAAACTAAAGGTTAGGAAGGAGAATAATAAAAACAAACTTGACAATTTTTTGATTGACCTATTTGCTGATTATTTAATAGTCTATCTTGAAAAAATAATAGATAGATAGATATCTATTTATTTATTTATTTATAATAAATATAGAAAGTGAGGATGGATTTCAATTCAGTTTAAAGGTAATCAATTATTATAAAATATTGAAGAAAAGAAATCTTCTTTATTGACTTTTATTTATTTATCAAATTTTTTTTTATAAAAACTTCATCCAAAAATAGTTAATTAATTAATTAAATGAATAAATAATTATTTTTTTAAACAAAAACCATTTTTTTAAAACTGTAAGCTTTGATTTATGAATATATTAATTAATTACCCTTGTTAATGTTGCATGTTTCCTTGATTATATTTATTGTATTAGTTTTGGGGACGCGGCTGCTATAAAAACTGATGATTTGGTGGGTTCTTAAAATTTTAAGCTACAGTAGGAGGAGGCTATTAAAGGTTAATAGGAGGTTGTATCATTTGGTTGGGAGGCATCATAATCATTGGTGCAGGGCTTCCTGATCCTTAGATTGGTGGTATTTCATTTGCTTATCCCATAATAATTTACTATTGTTAAGGGTATATCATTTATGGTACTTGTTAATAAGGTGGAGGGGTTGAATTTCCTATGCTTTAAATCAATTCCGCGTTGGTTATAGATTGTTTGTATTGAGTTGAATCGTCTATACTTAATTTGTTCATCTACTTATTTAAGCTTTTTATATCCAACTGATCATGTCTATAAAGTGGTTTTTGAAGACGCGGATTATTTGATTGTTTGTAATAGTCAAAGTAATCCTTTGTGTATAAATAATCATTCTCTTACTATTTTTTTAATAAACGAATTGAATTTAGTAAATAATATGCGTTATTTTGGAATGCTTTTTGCAGCAGTTGCAACATAGCGCAGGACACGCTTTATAAAATAAAGATTTTTGTGAATTTATAAATTTGCTTGCAATGAGAAGAGTATAATATATCTTTTATACTCTTTATAAGGCTTTCATTCTTTTAAATCTGCTTGTATTTATTTATTTAGTGAGAAAAGAGAAATGAATAAATGAGTTAGTTATTGTACCTATTATAGAGAAGCTTTCTACTGCAAATACAAATCAGGTGGGGCTGATTTTGCACTATTCCTAAGAGCTAATATATCATCCTCTCCATCTCCTATTAAAAAAAGAAAGGTTAAATTGATGCTTGTAGTTTCAAAAAAATAAATCCACTCAATATTTCATTAATATAAAGTCTTGTCAAAAAACTAAATAATTTAGGGTTTTTATTAGAAAGATAAAGAGTGTTTTTATGAGAAAAAATAGAAGAAGAAGAAGAAGAAAAAAAATAAAAAATAAAAACCATCTAATATTCCTCCCATCAAAAGCTCACCCTCTTCGGGTTTTTTCTGAATCCCATTGAAGAGTTCGGCATGCTAGTAGACTTTAAATTGCGGCTACTTTAATAAGAAGCTTTGCTTATCTTTATCGTCCATGGCTATTATTTATTTGTCATTAAAAGTAATTTAATATTCTTTTGCTTCAGCTAGATCTTAAAAATAATGCGAAATGACTACAATTAAATTACGCTCTTTATTTATTTATGTAGCTATCTCTTTCTTTTTACTTTAACTTTATTTTTTTTTTACTTATTAATTATCTTTTTATTTTTTTCTTATCTTAATTCACTTCTCAAAATTTGCTGACTTGTCAAAATAGCAAGAGAGTCTTATTCCATTTTTTTATAGATTGATCTAATTAATAGTTAGTTAATTAAAACAATATTTAATTTCTTCTCTAATAGTAAAGCTATTATTGACCAACATTTATTTTTCCTTCCTGATGCGATATTATATTATAATATAATATAATAAACTAAGCCATCTTTTTTGCTCTTAAATCTTATAGCAATAGATTAATTACCATTTAAAAAACACTCTAACTCTATAACATAATTTATTATAAAAATACTAATACTCCCATTGATATTTTTTTATTATTCTCCACCATTTTATTGATATAAAAATTATTTTAACATATAACCAAATTCATAAAATAAACAAAATATAACTCTTTTCATAAAATCTATCTAAAATATAAAAATAAGTAAAATAATATTTTATTTAATGGTTATAAAATTATTTAAAACTAAATTAAGTAATTTATTTAGCATTTATTGTTTTAAATTAGAAATATTAACATATTTTAAAGTGCCAAATTGTCATAATAAATTTTTAATGTAAATTTAAATCTATATTTAGCCAAATTGAAAAAGAAGAATGAATGATTTATAAAATGATTAGCCCATGGTCATCAATATTAAAGCCAAAAATTTTATGCTTATACAAATTATGAATATGTTTATCCAAAAATAAATAAATCTCTAAGTATTTTAAAATTGTATCAATTTAATACTTTAAAATAATACATTATTTAAATTTATTCATATTTTATAAAAAGATTCATCATATATCAGTTTAATATTTAACTAAAAATCAAGATATTTTTTAGAATATGTTTGTATTTTTTGTTACATTTTTAGCAATTTTAACTTTTATTATTTTGTATTATAAGTATTATTTATTCTGATGCAAAAATAACATTCCAAGTATTTTAAAATTGTATAATTTAATATTTTAAAATAATAAATTATTTAAATTTATTCATATTTTATAAGATTCATCATATATCAATTTAATATTTAACTAAAAATCATGATATTTTTTAGAATACGTTTGTATATTTTGTTAAATTTTTAGGAATTTTAACTTTTATTATTTAAATTTATGAGAATTAATTATTCTTATACAAAAATAACATTCCAAGTATTTTAAAATTTTTAAAATTTAATACTTTAAAATAAATATATCATTTAAATTTATTTATATTTTATAAAAAGATTCATCATTTATCATTTTAATATTTAACTAAAAATCATGATATTTTTTAGAATACGTTTGTATATTTTGTTAAATTTTTAGGAATTTTAACATTTATTATTTTAATTTATGAGAATTAATTATTCTTATACAAAAATAACATTCCAAGTATTTTAAAATTTTTAAAATTTAATACTTTAAAATAAATACATCATTTAAATTTATTCATATTTTATAAAAAGATTCATCATTTATCAGTTTTATATTTAACTAAAAATCAAAATATTTTTTATAATACGTTTGTATATTTTGTTACATTTTTAGCAATTATAACTTTATTATTTTATATTATGAGCATTATTAATTCTATTGCAAAAATAACATTTTAAAAAAGAAATTTTTATTTTTTCATTTACATTCACAATTAAAAAATAATAATCGAATAAATAAAAGTTTACTTGAATATGCTAAAATAAATTTTCTACATAAATCGATTTATAAATAAAATATATATACAATATATGTTAAATCATTAGTATACTAAAGCAGTAATTTTTTCTAATTACTCAACATCAAAAGGAGTAAATCTATTTAAAGTTGTTGAATCTATATCAAAAACTGCTACTACTTCATTAGTAGTTTTATTGAATACAGGGATGACAACTTCACTTAAGGTTTCGTTATCACATGCAATGTAATTTTTGCATTCTTTTACATTGTTAACAACTTGAGTTTTGGCTTCTTACCATGCTGTACCACAAACACCTTTACCTATTTGTTAATTATTTGGTTTATTATTATATCAAAATAATTTCAAATTGTAAGAAATAAGCTTCATAGTTCATTGAATCAGTTATTTAATTTACCTATGGCGATTCTAGGAGTTGCTAATATAGTTGATTGATAAGGACCAACTTCTAGAACTTTGTTTCCAGTTTTATTTCCTTATGAGTCTAATTCATCAACAACAACATAGAATCCAACAAAGAAGAAATCTGGAATCAAATTTTTTACTACAGATGCAATAGAGGTAAGCTTAGCTTCGAAGGTTAATTTATTCTTAGTATTGTAGTATTCTAAAAAGTCTTAAAGCTATTTAAAAGCCTTTTCATAAATTATCTTATTAGCCTCTTGGTCGATAGTTGACATTTTATGATATATTTTTAATTTTAAAGATATGTGGTAAGATTATTTTTTTGATTAGATTATTTTGTTATATTTTTTGATCAATCAAAGTAATTTAATAACTAAAAATCTATGGATATGTTCCAGATTTATTCTATGTAAATTCTTTTATGAAATAAAGGAAAGATCTAAGTTATACATACTATGATACTAATTTGCAAATTGCATAAGATTGCACTCATTAAATAGTGAAATATTGATAGTAAAGAGTTAGTAATAATTTAGTAATTTATTATTTCTAATTAATGTAATCAAACTATATCTTCCATATACAAATTCAATCATACATCCACCACTCCATTTGTATGTTATATTAATTGTTCACGTAAAAAGAAATATTCTAGAAATACATCAATTTATTAAATATTCCTAATTAATTATCTAAAAAGATATCTCCTCATAAATTAATTATTCAAGTAAATGTAAATTAAAAGATTAGGTCATATAATTTTAAAATGTCAACTTTAAATAGTTAATTGAATTGATGAATTAAATTCATTTTCTTTTAAATGTGCAACAGGCTTAAAAATTTTTATGATTTTACTATTTAAGATATATTCCTGCTCATAAAATTAACTTTATCAAATGCTTCAAAGTGCTTTAAATTGTTGGTTAATTTTACAACTTAGCTAATTAATTTCAATTGATTTTGTCTTTTCTAATTGAAAAATCTTTTATAAAAAAAGAAGTAACATTCAATTTACCCTTATTTTTTATTGAGAATCAATTAATATAAATAATTTATTTTTTAAACCATTTAGCTATTGATTATTTTAAAATATTTAGATTTAAAATTGAATTTTAGAGCCAAGCAAGATATACATAATCATATTCTTTTATTTCTAATAATTAATTATATACTGTAAAATTACTTCTTAACTATTATTGTGCCTTTATTTGCTATATAATGAAATGGTTAAAAATTTTTCAACAACATATTAAATAAAATTTAAACTAATTTTTATTGTTTTATGAGGATTTATGGAGGTTTCTTATAACTTTTAGAAAATTTTCTATAAAATTAATTTTAATTGTATCATTTTTCCAGTCAAAAAAAATATATTTATATATTTACTCAAAATTAAATTTATCTTTAAATATTTTTTATAAATAAGAAATAAAAATTGTTTTCTTTTGATTTAGGCTTAATAAAACACAAAAATGTGTAAACTGAATTTGCTGTAATTTAGAAATTTCTGAAAGAAATATTTAAATAATGTTCCTTTTTTCTTTCTAGATTTAGTATATTACTAATTTATAAATTATTCTATTATTTTTTCATTTAAAATAAAAAATTAATAATGCAATAAATTTGTAAATTGTTGATAATTAAATTTTTAATATAAATTTATTTGAAATTCTTTTTATATTCATTCATATACATATCCTTTTTAATTATTTCTACTTTTTTAAACAATCAAAAAAAAAAATTTTGATTAATTTAGATAAAATAAATTATGATTACCAAACTTATTAATAAAAACTCCTTTAGCATAACTTTCTTTTATAGAGTAAAAGTTAAATTTTGAGTACGAATAAAATAATTTTAATCTTAATACAAAAAAAGATGAATGATCTCTTTTATATATTTATTAAGATTATTCATTTTTATTACTTGATATTATTTATTCATTTTTCCCTTCTAACATTTTTAATTGAATAAAACAGTTAATTTGTTTTGGGTTGAGATATTTTTAATTACAAAAATGAAATAAAAACAATAAAATTCTTTAAATTTATTTATTAGCTTTTTATTTTATTTCATTTTCTTTTTCTTATTTAGATAAGAAAAATTAAATCTGAAAAAACACTTTACATATATTTTAAAACTCAAATAAGCATTTAAATAAAATTTCTACAAAAAATTTTTAGGAATACCTAAGAATTAATTAGTTATAATTGAATATATTTGAATTCAATATGTATTTAAGACATGATGTTATTTTTTATAAAATTAAAAAAAACAAAAACTGGCTATCTTAATTGTTTTAACCTTTTATTCAATATCTTTACTATTAAAAATATTTAGCACCTGATTCAAAATATATTAGTAATATATTCTCTGGAGACTAAATTATACATTTATCTATTTTTTGATTGCAATAAAGTGTTTTGAAAATATCATTTTAGTTTCTGTTGTAAATTATTACTTAAAGTAATATTTAATTAAAAAATTTAAAAGAAAATAAAATGGAATATAAGAAAAACTAGTATTAGTTATTTAGATAAAAATTTAATTATGTTATATTTTAAGGGAAAACTAAAATTAAAACTCAATTATTTCTATTTTTAATATCTAATTAGTAGTAAATAGCTTTTGAGTTTTATTAGAAATCTATCAAACTACAAGAAATAAAGTTCTACTTTTTAAATAATAAAAAATTTAGTAAGATAATTTAATGAATTTCAATTTTATCATAAATTAGTAAATTTTATTTCACCAAAAAAATATTTGAAAAGCTGATGATTATGATGTAGCTTTTATTTTTAGATCATGAATTAATGTTTTAATATATTTATGATGTTAAGTCGAGTTTGTAACTTGGATTAACTTTTTAAAAATTAAATTAAAAACACGTCAGGATGTTAAATCATTCAAAGTGGTTTTTTTATCATTAGTGTGGTAATTAATTAATGCATGACATCATTACACTTTTCCATCAATTAAAAATTCAATAATATGAAGAATTTTTAATCAAAACTTAACTCTTTATTAATAAATTAAGAAATAAATAAATAAATCCTTCACAATAAAACTGAAATCTTCATTTTTTTTATTACTATTTTTCAAAACATTTTTGTATTACATTTAATTTTTTCATTACTTATATATTTGATTTTGTTTTTATTTTTTTAAAAAATTAAAATTAATAAGCTAAATTATTGAGGTAAAAATAAAAATCTACTAGATATATATTTTAAATAAATATTTTTTTGGTTTTATTAGAATTTTTAGATTATTAAATTACAATAACTTTCAAAGTAAATTAACTAATTTTAGCTAAATAATAAATTATATTTCATTCAATTAAGAAAAAATAATTTTGAGCTTTTTAAAAAATAAATTAGCATTTATATTATTAACTGTAAAATAATGTTTAGAAATTAAAATGTTTTAAGGTTATTTTTATAAATTAAATAGTTTTGAGTTGAAGTATTACTTAATTTTTGTTTTCAAAACTAAAATATATATCAATTTTGCTTATCTTGAATAAAAGGTAATTTATGTTTTTTTTCTATACATAATGAAATTAATAAATAGACAGATAAAAATAAATAAATTAAATAGTGTAGTTTTAGATAAAATTAATAAACCAAATTCTGTCAAATGTAATAGAAAAACTTAATTTATCTCTATCAATCAGTCTAAGAAACAAAAAAACAAATTTATCTCAATTAATAAAAAATCTTAATTAATTAATTATATGTATCTATCTATGAGTGAATTTATATTTTGGTTATGAAATATTAAGCTCTAATTTTAATTACCATTCATCAATTTTATTTGATTTGATTGATAAATTGTATTTCAAATTACATAGTAAACATAAATTTAAGATATGTGGTAAATATATATCAATATAAATCATTTGTTAATTTAATTAATAGTTTGTTTACAAAAACAAGAACTTTGAATATAGAAAACAAACTAACTTTTATATTTTTAATATTTAGTTTAGATTCATTCTAATTAATATTTTAATATTTACTTTAGACTATATTTGTTAAAGATATTTACAAAATTTTATGGTAATTTATTATTAAATGTCTAGAGCAAGATACCTAAATACATAGATACCTCTTTCAAAGATTTTAGATATTTCAGCTTGAATAGCAAAACTAACTTTAAGTGCTTGTTTTGCTGCTTAAGCTTTGATGGCTTGAGTTAAGAATTTCTTTTTAAAGATCTTTATTATTTATTATGTTATTAATTATTACATTGAAAGCTTCCTTTACGTTTATGTCTTTTTATGATGAAGTTTCGAAAAATAATATCCCTAATTAGTCGGCTAATTATTTTCCTTCTTTATAACTAACTTATCTTTAATCCTCTTAATCACATTTTGTTCCAATTAATATTAATTCTATGTCTTCTCTACTATACTGCTTTATTTAATCGATCCATTTTTATACATTATTAAAAGACTATCTATCATCGATAGCATAGCATATTATTATCCCTTGAGCTTTCCTATAAATGAAGGCTTATTAAATATATCTACTCACTTCATGATTATAGTGCCAAGTTTGAATTTCAATGTCCTTTTAGCCTATGGTTATATTCCTGCTATAATAGTCTAATGCTTTATTTAATATTAAAACAAAAATCAATACAAAATTTCTTTGTTTTGCCTTTCAAAGTAAAATAAATAAATAAATAAGCTAAAATAGAATTAATTTAATCTTGAAAGAATCAATAGTAAAGCTGCTAAATCAAAGAGTTAAATATATATTTACGATAATCGCAAGCATTAGAGCCTGGTTCAGCATTCAAAGAATATCTCAAATTTAAACTTAATTTTCCAACTTTTTAATCACCAACAAGAACAAGTTTCAACATTTATTTTTGAGGGGTATTTATTTATTTATATTTTATCTGTATTGTTTATTCAGGTTAAAAAAGTTCTACTTTTTTAATTTTTTTTAAAGTTAATTGTTTTAATATGTAAATTATTATTAATTGAAGAGGAGTGAGAGATTTAATTGATTAGTCAAATTTGGATAAATTTAGTAATTTATTTAAAGCAAGGGAAGATTTTTTATTTCATAAGGAATATAAGCAAAATATATATGAGTTATTAATTTAAAGTACCAATAATTAAATTCAGTCATCAAATATCAAATCAATATTTGAATTAATTTACAGTTAACAATTGATTTTGTTACTTGAATTACCTGTTTAAAATCAGATTAGAAAGACGTCAAAATAATATATCATCCAAAGCTATTATTTTCAATCCATGACATCATTAATCATAACAATAGTCATAACTTCATAACTTAGCTTATATTTAAATCAAGTTAGGACTATTTTTAAATGAAATTAATTTCTTTTTCATAACAAAATAATCAACCAATCATCTTATTTTTTTGCATTTTTTAGAACAAAATTTTTATTTTTTTATTGTACTTGAGTTCATTTTTTTTCTATTTTTATTAAGAAAGTAATTTATTTAAATGATTGATTTTTATTTAAATGAAATGTAAAATATTTTTTCAAAAAATAATAATTTAAAAACAAAGAAATAAAATTATTTAAAATAATAGATAAGATATAATAGGTAGTTATTCTTTTCATATTTGCTCATTAAATAAATAAGTATCAAACAAACAAACATTTCTTTTATAATACCTTATCGATCATATAATTTCTTTTATAATTTATATTATTTCAAATTTGATCATTAAAAAACAAACAACCAATCTATTCTCAAAAATTTATAATATAATTCTATTGATATTTATTTGGCTCTCATAGCATATAAAAAAACAATAACAATTTTTAACAAATAAAAGACAAATAATTAAATTTGTTAAAGTATTCACTCATTAAAAATATTGTAACTATTAATCAATTAGCTTTTAAAAATTAATCAAAAAATTAAAACTAAGCAAATAAATAAATTAGAAACAAAATAAATTATTTTTATTTGTTACCCAAAATTAATTTTATTTTATATAGCTATGGAATATATTTTTAATTTTACTGCAAAAAGTTAAGAAAAGACTGTTTCTTATATTAATGAAGGGTTTATTATAAAATATTTATATGATTTAAACAATTCAATTTGATTTATGTAAATAAATTTATTTAAATTCTTGCATGTATTTTAATTCAATTTTCATATAATGAATTTTATTAGATTAATTTAATTGAGAAATAAAAAGTTTATCAAAATACTTTAAAAATAATTCTCAAACCTAAAAAGATAGATGAAAAGGATTGGTGATAATGAATGATAAGAATATACGCTATTAACCAAAATATTACAAATTTTTGATAAATTAAATAAAAAATATAAATTAAAATTTACTATCGAAATTATTTTTTTTAACTTAATTAAATATTTTAATAATTTTAAATAGTTTGCTCAATTAATTTTAACAAAAAATAAATTAAAAATATTTCAAATAGGATCTTTAATATAAATATTAGATTTTTTCATTCGTTTTGTTATGCTCTACATAGCAATTTATCTATAAACGTTTTTTTTAAAAAGTATAACTTATTTTGAGGACCTATTGTTTTTATTTTCTTAGCTTATTACTTAAAGATGGTTATAATTTGGATAATAATAAATATAATCTTTTATTTCTTCAAAGTCGTAAATATAAAGTTGTAAATCTTAAGCTGTGAACTATTAAGCTATGAATTTTGATTATATAGTCATCGCATCGTGTTTTTTCATTATAGTTTATCGTCTTTTTTTATCAATGCGATTTAATGAATGTAATCTTTATTCAAGTAGACTTTCAATCAATTAGTTAATTTAATTCTCGATCTTAGATGATTTTTTTGTACTTATTTTAAAAATAAATTAATACAGAATTTAAACAAACAGTAACTTTGATAAGAAAGTTAAAATTACCTTTATGTTTTATTTTCTTCATTTTATTATTAACTTGTAGCAAGAATAGAAGATCTTTTTTTAGTTAGACTTTGAATGTGCTTTAAACTTTTAGAAGTTTATAGTTCTTTTTTTTCTTATCCACCTTTTTAAAATTTTTTAATGAGTTAGAATTTTAAATTTAAAAGTTAAATTAATTACTATAAAAGGATTAATCGCTGCTATTTAAATTTTCACACACTTATACGGTTTTTCTGCTTAAATTAAAAGTTGCTTTTTTCTATACTACTTAAGAATCTAGCTATTATTTTTCTGTACCCTCTATTTTATTTGCTTGCTTCAAAGATTCAGCCCTTTCGATGGCACTTTAAATAATTGAACTTTCATCACTCAAGCTATTGGCTTTTGAAAATGTTTTCTAAGATTTTTGACTTTTAAAACTTGCTAAACTTTTAGAATTTGTAGAAGCATTTTGTAACTTTTATTCTTCTTCTTCTTATTATTATACCTCATCTTCATTTTCATCTTCACTTTCATTTTCAGATTCTTAAATTTATTGGTTTGAGTCCTCGAAATCTAAATTTGAAGATAAATCTGATAAATTATTTTAGTTTTATTATTCTATAAATTATATCTGTTAATCTTTAATAAATTTTATATCATTTATAGCTTAAAATTTCTTTCTTTTTGTATTTCTTTTTAGGTTTTTTATTTGTTCTTGGATATTCCTAAAATAATTTTTTAAGATTGATTTGTTTCTTCCCTCATAAAAAATAAATGGACATTGCTTAAGAGTGTGTGTCTTCAAGTTACATGACTCACAGCTTATATTAACAGCTTTTAGATTTTAATTAAACTTGACCTCATCTCTTAAATAGCAATATTTTTCATACTCTTCTTCATTTTTTTTAATTTCTTACAAAAATTCACTCAATTAAATTTACAGGACACAGCATATTCCCTTACTCTTGAAGTTGAATTCTTCATAATAATTTTCTGTGATGAAATTCTCAAACCCAAAAAACTATCCTTCTTGATAATTCTTATTTTAAAAATAAAATCAATAATAAATTATTTTTCATGGATAAAAAAATTACATACATATAATTCTTTGACTTTTTTTGTATTTAAGTTGAATGTATATTTAGTCACTTCTCCAGAATGAATAATGTATAGAAATGGTTCATCATGAGATATAGAAATTATATCTTAGTCATGGGATAATATTTTTTCCTTCATTTTTAAAGCTATCCTGCTTAGTGTTTCATCAGAAAATAAATCTTTAAATATTTAAATCTTTTTAAGTCTTTTCGTATATACATTAACTTTTATTTCATCTTGCAAGTATTCTGTCAGATTTGATAGCTAGTCAATTGAACAGAGTAAATCCTCCTTTTTATCTGTATAAATGTAATCTAAATATTTTCTAGCTCTTGCTTGTAACTCTAAATCCACATCATATTGTCTAAAATATTTATTTATCATAGCCAAACCCTACAGATAAATATTTTTCTTTTGTTTAAAGTCATATAAAATACTTCCTATTTTAAATATATTTTCTTTTTTATTATTTTAAGTAATTAAAAAAACTATTCATTTTTTGAATTTTAAAAAATTTAATATATCCAATAAAATAAATAAATAAAAATGATATTTAGTTAGTTGTCAATTTAACCATAATAGATCAAATAATCTAAAAGAAATTAATAGAATAATTTAAATTTCATTTTTTAAAATAAATGAAAAAATACCTATCGAGTTAATAGAATATCCAAAGACACCACATGAAATTAAAGCAACAAAAATCACTGTGAGCATTTCAAGATCAGATTGTGGTGTTATATCCCCGTAGCCTATAGTTGTCATTGTAATTACTGAGTAATAAAAGCTATACAGATATCTTATTTATAATTAAACATTTTATACATTATACTTTATAAGCCATCCATAGTTATATTGAGATTCATAAGTTCCTACTGCATTCCATACACAACAAATTAAATGTGCAAAATAAATAGCTTAAGCAGCTAAAAAAGTTAATGATATTATTCCTTATTTTATTTTAATAAAAAATTATTATTATTATATAAATTAATTAATCAATCAATTGCTATATTTTAAAAATAAGTTATTTTTGTTATTTTACATAAGTAATTTTTTAGATTATAATTTTTAGAAAAATCATAAATAATCAATTATCATAGGCTCATAAATTTTTATTTTTAATTTTAGTGTTAAATTTATTTTTTTAAAGCTAATTTCAAATAATTCAATTTATTTTTTATACTTTTGTATGTAATGGGGTAGTGTTTTTAATTTATAAAGTATATGGTTTTTTTATTACCTGATATTTTCATCCTTAATAAAAACTGCTCTTTAAAAATGTCTAATATTCTAAATGATTTGGATACTCTGTAGAAGAAAAAGAAATAGGTAGCTTAAATATTATTAATCTGGTAGTTTAATGAAAGAATGCTTAAAATATCTGGAATCATTTCTGTCTTGAAGTATTGCTTAAAAATCTAGATGTGATTTTCAACTAAATTGCCTGTTTCTGTTGATTTGGTGTTTGCTCTTATGAAAACATCTATTGAATATACCACAGGGCATATTTTTGAAAAGTAAATTTGAAAGACATCACTCCTAGCTGACAAGAAAGAATATTCAAAAGGAATATATATGAATAAGATTGTTGATGCAATGAATATGATTGTTTCCCAAACAATATAACTATAAGAGAGGTAGTGAAATAAAGGAATGTTTGAAAAAATTAACTAGACTATTAAAATATATAATTCATAAATCTTTTAGCATATTTAAAATAGCCAGCCGAAATATTTTACTATAAATTTAATCATTTTCCTATAATTACGAAAACTCATAAATTTGCTAAAGTTTTAAAAAGTGAATTATCTGCTTAATTCTAGCTTTGGGATATGAGACAAAGATGATTTATGCTTTTAGTCACTAGCTAGATCATTTATCATACGAACTTACTTTTTCGTAAGCATATGTGGTCTAAAAAGTAGAGCTACTTATCTAGCTATGGTTCTAAATTTAGCCAAGTAGTAAAAAATCTACATCCATTTTTGTTTCCAAACATCCTTTTTTAAGAGAAATTCTCCTTAAAATAAATTTCCTCTTCTCTTTCTTTCCATCTTTTAGAAATCATACTATATACTAAAATTTTTAGTTCCTTTAATCTATTCTAAAGGCAATTCTTTGATTTATAAAGTTGAATTGTCATTTAGTTATTCAATTATTTTTCTAGTTGAGTTTTCGTCCACACTATCTTTTGCTGAAACTTTTGAGATTAATGATTGGATCAAATGGAGAAAATAAAAAAGCATAAATTGTTACTTATGTATCTGTCTTGATCTTGAGGTTAGAGTTCTTCAAATTTTGGTGAGGAAATCTAACCATTATGCTTTTCAATAAAACTGGATGCAAAAGCAGAGATATTAAGTAAGCTACAATCAAAGTCTCCTTAGTTTTAGTTCTACTATTAGATGTTACTTATTTTAATACCTACCTAATTATCATACTACATCGAATGCTAACTTATATCGTTGTTTTACCTATTGGCAAATTGCAAAGACTAATCAAAATCGCCATCTTATATTTTTTTAATGCTAGTTTAATTTAAATCAGAATAGTCTAAATTTTTTTAGGATTATGCAAGCATGCTAACTATTATCTGATTTTAATAGCTCTCTTTAATAAAAATTTAATTAAAAATTGATTGATATATTCCTAATATCAAATCAATTTGGTTACAAAAAGTGCTAAAGAACAACCAAATCAATAATTCACTATATTTTAGGTAAATTTATTAATTACTGTTAATAATTATTTTTAACATATAAAATTTTGTAATTTTTTTTCATTTTTAAATTTATTAACACTATCTTGTTATTAATATAATTATTAATCAATATTACCATAAATTCTTTATCAATAAACCTATTATAAGAACATAAATATAATTTTTAATTATTAAAAACTAAAAAATGTTTTTGGAACAAAAAAGTAATTTTAGATAATTGTAAAAAATAAAATACAATTTAATTTAATTTAAGCTAATTTTGAAAAAACATAAATAAACTTAAATGAATTAATTAAATATATTTAAAACCTTTTCAGTTTTTTAAATTATGAATACATTTAGATTATTTTCTATTTTTCTTAAAATTTTATAATTTTATATTCATTTATTAGAAAAATTTTATATTAGCTTTAGCTATGACTTATTCATAATTATAATTTGGAAAATAATATTAAAATTATTTTATCTAATCAAACTCATAATAAAATAATTTATTTTCCTAACTGTTTTGATGAGCTTTTGAGGTGCGTTTAAAGTTGTTGCTTATCTATCTATCAAAAACAAAGTTTTATTTTTTTTTAACTTTATCTTTTATTGATCTGTCGCTATCAAAATAATTTATATACGATCCGTAGTTTTAGATTTGGTGAAAAAGTTTAGAATTCTTGCTTTATATATCCATTTAATTTCTAAAAATTATTATTTTAATTAAACATTTTTATTAGCAATAAATAAATATATTCATGTAATTAATTTACTTTTGTTGCTATAAGAACTGTAAAATCATATCTATTTGCTTTTTATTGTGCTCTTTTTAAATTTTATTGTTAATTCCATCTTTATTTATTTCATTTTATTTTATTACAGATTTATTTTCAGCTTCTTTTTAATATAATAATAATAATAATATAGTATAATATTTTGTTTTATTATATTTTTATTTTACATAGGTGTTCTTATTCCAATTTGCTTATCACTTCTAATGCAGTTAGATTTTTCTAACTTTTTTCATAAATTGATTTTGCACTCATATTACTGTTTAAACCGTTAAGTTCACTTTATATCATTCCTGTAGCTTATTCACTTGTTTAGAGCGTTAATTCCTCTCCGAAGCTAGGTTATTGTTAGTTTTAATGCAGCTAGCTTAGAGATTAGCATGATTTGAATCTGACAGCTTTATTTTTATCATACTCAATATTATCTTATTAGCTAACGGCTTCTTTATTTACTTTATCGTGGTGTTCTAGCTGAGACAAATTAATAGCATCATCATCGATATACATTTTTTAATTTTCTATTGAAGGATTTAAAAGTTATGAAACTCCTGAATATGAACTATATAGTAAAAATTTCTCTATATTTTCTTTAACATTAACTTGATTGATTAGTGTTTAAAATTTGAACTATCTTGGATTTCTTATGAAATTTTTTTTACTTTTATTAAAATCATTCAAATGCTTATTTATTATTCTAGTCTTTCTACAAGTATAAAAAATAAAAGGACATTCCATGAGTTGGTGATTTTTTTGTTAGCAAGAAAGACAAGACATTTTAGCTGCTCCAAAATTTTAGTTATAAATAACTTAGTCTTTAATTTACATAAATTTTTCATATTCAATTTCATTTTTCCTTATAGTATCTAAGAATACATCTAATTATAACTACAAAATTGAACTTATTCCAACACTTTTGTATTAATATTAGCAGCTTTAACTATTTGTTAAGAACCTATCTAAATTAAAAAATGCTCCTTCACATAATTTCTATTTAAATTATTAAAATTTATCTTATTTTCCAATATTTTAAAATATTTTATTCAATAATTTTTAATAAAATCATGATTTTATATAAATGCTTAAAATTAAAGTTCTTTCAATTACTTGAATTTCTTTAGCATTTGCATTTGTTTAAGAATGGGTTTGTTTAACCACAGCACCTGAATGAATAATGTAGAGCATATTTTCTTTGCTGTTTATATCAATAATGCTTTAATCAGGCGAATAAATAATTTCTTTCATCAGAACTGCTATCTATTGAAGAGTTTCATTTGAGAATATTTCATCAAATAAGCTTATATTCTTCAGTCTTTTTGTAAAAACATTCATTTTAATTTCTCCTTGCAAGTTAACAGAAAGTGTTGATAGTTGTTCAATTGTTTAAATAGTATGTTCTTTATTATCGGAGAATATATAGTCTAAATATTGCCTTGATCTTGCCTAAATTTCTAGATCTACTGTATACTGCTTGAAATATTTGTTTATTTTTGCTACTTCTTGTAGATAAACATCGTTTTTTGTCTTAAAAACTGATAAAATACTCCCTTTCGGATAAAAATTATAATTTTAATGTATCATTATTATAAAATAATTATTTGAATACCTATTTAGTTAATTGAGTATTAAAACACGAATGAAGATATTAAAACGATGAAAATAGTCATCAACATCTCAATATCTGTTTGAGGTACTAAATCACCAAATCCTATTGTGGACATAGTTATTACTGAATAATAAAAGCTATATAGGTACTTCACAAATATAGATTTTTCTATTAATCCATATCTGTAGATCCATCCTTCTTGAAATTAAAGGCCATAATTCCCTATAGTAAACCAGGCACAAGACATGAGGTGAGTATAATACAAAACTTAGAACAATAGAAAAAGAAGCGATATAAATCCTATTTAAAAAAAATATTTATTAGGTAATGTAGTAAGAATATACCGTAGTATACTCGTTAAATCGCAATCGGTTAAGTTTTAAAGTTTGAAAGTAAAATATCTCTAAGGCCATTTTTTTTCAAAAAACTTTGGGGGGCAAGTGGCCTTAATTAATGAGGAATTAATGTATATTATTTTCGAAATTGTGAATTGCTGGTAAGTCTCAACATTTTTTGACAAAATAAGAAAAATTCGGACTTTTTTATTTGCAATTTAACTGTTATTGTATGGTAAATTTAATAAATTAATTAATTACCTGATATTTTTAAATTCAACAAAAATTTTTCTCTGAGTAAAGTCATCACCCTAAAAGATTTGGTAATTCTGATAAAAAAGAAAAAATAACTTGCTTAAAGCTAAAAAATTTGTTTATTTAAGCAAATCAAACTTATGATGTCAACGATCAAATCAGATTTCAAATATTTGTGAAAAATTTCAATATGATTCTCAATGAACGATTTGCTCTAAGTAGTCTTAGTGTTAGCCCTCACAAATATGTTAAATCCAAACAAAAAAGGGCAAAGATATGAAAAAAAGAATATAAAAAATTAGTTTCTAGTGATCTAAAAAGAATATTCTAAGGGAATATAAAAAAATAATATTCCAGAGCAGATAAACAAAATAATTTCCCATAATATGTAAAGCTTAGAGTAGTAATGAAATAAAGGAAAATGCTTTAATATAGCAGATAAAAAATTTATGTAGAGCTAAGATACAATTGGTATTATTGAAAAAATCCAGTAAAAGTTATTGATAATACACTTTACAATTTTCCTGTATTGCCTGTAATTTAAGTAAACTTTAAAGTTAGAAAAGGAGAGCTATCTGCCTAATTCATATTTTTCTTGATTACTTAAAGAGAAATATTATTAATTACTTGCTATATCATTAATTAAACTGACTTAAAATTTATTTAAAAGTTGAGGCTTAAATATAACAGAGCACTAAACTGCAAATTTTCTTACTTTTGAAATAATAAAAATAATACTCATCCATTTTCTCTTCCAAACAGTATTTTAATTTAATCTAGAGCTATTATCATATTTAAATGTTGATATTTTGGCACTTTCATTAATTTTGTTAAACTCATCAAGCTTAAAATATGTTGATTTCCTTGATTTAGAAATCAACATTCTGCTCTCCAAAGTTTAATTGTTATTCATATTGGTTTTAGATATTAATTTATTATCGAATCCTTCATATTAATCTGAATCATTTTTATTTGTACTCGTGTTAATGTCGCTCTTTTTTAAAGGAAATCTTTTTTGGAAACTTTACTAACTTTTTCTACTAATTACTTCAGCTATAAGTTAAAAATAAAATGAATATTTCCAAATATTATTAGGTACAATACATTTTTGAGTAGGAGCAATCGATAGATTGGACCTCAAACTTCTTTTTTCAGGGTTATTAAAATATTCTTCTAAAGATAGCTCATAAATTGATTAATTTGCTAAAGAGGAATCATAATCACCCAATTTTTAATTCTACTATTCAGAATATGTCTTAAAACCAAAATATTTCTATTATGTGTTATACTGCTCATCAGATAAAAAACTATTGCAATCAAATTTAGACTCTACTTTATCTGACATATTAAATTTGCAGTCATCATTTTAAATATTATGAGAATTTCTAGATATTCTTGCATATGTAGTCATTTATATTATTTCTTAATTAAATTTTTTAAAGCTATTTTTGCTTTGAAAAATTATAATAACTCATTTGTTTTAAAAAATCAATAAAATAATAAAATATTTAAAAAGTAAAAAAACTTAAAAAATATATTTTCATGGTAAAAAAGTAAGTATTTATAAAACAATAGTCCACTTAATTATTTTAATGATGTTTTAAATTAATATCAATAAAATATTATCATTTTTAATTTTATTTTTCAATCATAAATCAAAATAGCATTTATAATAATAAATTAATTTAATCTCAAAGCATAAAAAAAACAAGAAATTCAATACATAAAATGACAAAATATAGAAGATTATTAAAATTTCAACTATTATTAACCTATTCAATTAAAAAGCTCCCAATTTTTATTTTAATTATTATTATCAAAATTAATTTTTAAGAGTATGAAAATTTTATTTAATATTTGAAACATTTTACTAATTAAGTGTATTATCAAAATTATTTTTAATAAAGACACTAGCAATCTAAACAACTATTTTATTTATTTATTTAATTATTTTATTTTTAAAAATAAATTGAAAAATAATCTAACAAATGATCTATATGTAGAGATATCTTATTTATATTATTAGAAAATAAAAAATTATTTTTGAGAAATTTTCATTTAAAGTATATTAAAATGCAAAATTATTTTTTAAAACAAACAAACAAACAAAAATGATGATGCAAATAAACATTTTAAATTAAATAATGATAAAACTTTGGTTATTGGTATAATATTACTTATATTTTTTTAATAAATATTATTTAGATTTCTTATTAATTTAATTTGTAGTAAAAAAACTGACTTTAAAGTATTTTAATTTAATTAATATTTAAAAATACAAAATGATTATAAAAAAACATACAAAAAATTAAAAAGAAACAAATGTTTTAAATAAAATAATGCTTTGTATCTAAAAACTAAAAACTATTTTTATTTAGTTGTTTATTTAATTTTATAAATAATTTGAAAAATAATCTAACAAATGATCTATATAGAGAGATATCTTATTTATATTATAAGAAAATAAAAAATTATTTTTGAGAAATTTTCATTAAAATTATTTTTTAAAACAAACAAACAAAAATGATGATGCAAATAAACATTTTAAATTAAATAATGCTAAAATTTAGTTTATTGGTATAATACAACTTTTATTTTTTTAAATAAACATTATTTAGATTTCATATTAATTAAATTTGTAGTAAAAAAACTGACTTTAAAGTATTTTAATTTATATTTAAAAATACAAAATGATTATATAAAATACATACAAAAAATTAAAAAGAAACAAATGTTTTAAATTAAATAATGCTTTGTATCTAAAAACAAGCTCAGTAATTTAAAAATAAAAAATACAGTTTACAAATAAATTGATTAAATTAAAATATTTTAAATAAATAATCCAATGTATTTATTTTCAAACATCGTGCATGGCATTGATAAATTACTCATAATATTCTTTTGGCACATAATTTTGGAAGTGTCTTTTGGGTGTCCACAAATATTCTTGATAGACTTCAGGATTAATCCAAGGAATACCTTGAACATGAGTGGCGATGAAGTAAAATGTTTTAACACCCTTTAAATTTCTATTCATAGGATTGCTTAATTCATGTTCATAAAAATCTCTTCTGGCAGCAAAATTAGGAATAACAGCAGTGTGACTGACTTGGAATTTTAAGTTTGAAATCTTTTCCCAAAGAAGCAACTTAGCTTCGTTCAAGACTTCACGATCAAGAACGGGACGAGTGGGGAAAACATATTAATTGATAGTAGGGTCTTTCATGAGCAAGTAAGTTCTATGGCAGGGAGCATATTAAAGAGATCTGGCATCAGATACTTCAGGATCTACTTTTCTGTAATATTTAGAAGATTCGCAATATTCAATTTTCTCACCAGCACCCAAATCTATGAAGTGAGTAGCAATATTATCAATATTTGTTTCTTCAGCTTCCATCTAAGGATCCTTAAAGTTAAAGTCAGTTAAATCTTCAGGAATTTCCATATGACGCTTATATTTCTTTTAGTAGAAAGTACGATATTTCATTCTATCCAATTCATATTTTTCTAAATTTAAGAAAATAGGATAACGGTTGATCACTAAACCGACATCTACTCTAAATCCGTCCTTAGTTTAAGCATAACGAGTGGTCTTTCTTTATTTAAACTTGTCCAACAATAATTATTGGTTATCTTCTAATCTCTTTTTATCATCATTTGCGTTGTCTGACTTTTTCTTTTTCTTGATAATTGAGAATGAAGCCATTGATTTTTCACTCATGTTTACAGAACCAATAAGATTTTTATTGGTAGAATTTAATAATTGTAATCCGATTCTTGCGATCATCTTTATTATAACTTCCTTTATTACTTTCTAAACTTCTTTAAAATTATTTTATTTTTTTTTGCTAACTAAATCCTTTAATTCTACTCTTCAGCTTAGCTTGATTGTTTATTTGTTTGTTTGTTAGTTTATTGCAAATGCAGAAGATCAATCAATCAATATTTCAATTAAACAAATTCTTTAATTGTTTTTATTTAAAAGTATCTAATATTTAGACTCTTCTTAAGATATATATTTAATTAAGAAAAACTAAGCACATTCTATCAATATTTCTAAAAACCTCGCTCTTTAATATCTCCTTATTTATTTTTTCCAAATCTTTTCCCAAATTTTCTAATTATTTTAAAGGCATTCATTCAATATTTCATTCAATTATTCTTTATCCTGTACAGTCATTGTTGGCCCTAAATTAAATTATATTTAAAATCAATTTAACCTTCTAGGAGACCTTTGAATTTATAAAGAAATAAACTGTTTTAACTAATTGAAATAATTAGTAAAATAAATATGAAGTATAACTTGGGTTGATCATTTTACTTTTATTAATTTTAATTTGATTAAATTTTCAATTACTAAAATTTAAATTCTTAGAGATATATTTTTCAAACTTTATGTTAATATAAAATTTTAAGCATAACTTTATCTAATATAACTTTAATTAATATTGATGAAAACATAGTTATTAGATTAAAATTAATTAAATAATTTAGTATGATGATTTGAATGAATTAATTAACTAAAATTACTTATTTTTTTTTAATAAATTTAAATAAAGAACAAAAAATGTTTGTTTTTAAAAAAATTATTTTCTTTTTAGAATGAATAATATATTTTTGATGGTAATTTGATTTTGCTTTTATTAAATAAAACATGACGAAATAAATTTATAAGTGAAAATTTAAATAGATTCGAATGAATGATGTTAAAAATATAAATAGTAAGTTAATAATAAATTTGTGATTTGCCTTTAAAGGATAATTCATATTTACTAATATTATTACAATTTTGTTGGCTTGTGTTTGTTAAATTAGTTGTAAAAATACAGAAAAGAAAGATTACATATTTAAGGCATAATATCAAAAATTTTAGATACTAATTAAGGATTGGTCATAATAAAACACTATTAATTATATTTTACTAAAATCTAAATTATTTGCTTTAAAATTTAACTGTATCTCATTTTTTGTAAACTCTTTCGCTATAATTTGAGATAATCCTAAATTTTCTAAATATTATACACTAGTTCTCATTAAAATGTCTTCTCACTCTACAAGGAAATAGGCAAATAATAGCTTTATGAAAGACAAAAAGCAAGTACAATATGAACCTTACAATAAAAAAAAATCTAATAATGAAATTGACTAAAGTGCATTTTTTAACAATAAAAATGATGATGAAACAACGATCGACTAAAATAAATCTTTATACTCACTTAAAAACTCACAGTATTCATTTGAAAAAACTCAATACAAAAAAGGTTCCATTTTAGTAGAAGAAAAACAGATTGACTTTTTTAATGCAAATGTAATCATAAATCACACATAGTTTATATTATTTATTTGAGTTTTAACATTTATAACTAAAATAACAGCTTATCTTTTAATTTTAAAACAGAATGTTAGAAATATTATATAAAAAGAAAGGAAAACTCCAACAGATCTAATCAACCTTGGCAATGCCCTTAAAAACTACTGGTTTTTTGATGACTACAAAAAAACCCTCCCTTTTAGTAACTACCTTTCTCTTCTCAAAAGTATTGAGTACCAGTTTGTGAAAAAGGGTGAAATAGTTTATTCCATAGGCCAAAAAAGCACAGAAATGTTTGTAATATTAGAAGGATCATTCTTTGTGCTGATTAGAAACCCGAAATCTTTGATAGTTTACAACACTCCAAAAGCAGCTTAACAAGTAACAAACAACCTTCGCATAAAAAAAATATTTAATATTCTAAACTTAAGTAATTAGAGCTAAACCAATAGACTTAAGCAAACAATTAAAATAATTAAAACTAATAATAACCACCTTAATAAGGTTAATTTGTAGAGAATGGGACTAAGGGGACTCATTAATTAGAAAACGATGGGAAGAATGTCAATTTTTCTTAAGCATGGGAATATATTGAGTAATAAACTTTGCAGGACGAAATCAACAAAAAAATGCAAGCAAGTATGTATCATTTACATTAAATTTTTCTTAAAATGAAATGTATAAAGTAAAAAATAAGGATGGACCATTGGAGTGGTTTGAAATTAGCGATGAGCTTAGTGATACAATTTTAGTTGATTCATTGAAATTGGGAAATAACTTCGGAGAATTCGAACTTATGTATAATAAACTAAGATCATAAATTATTATAGCAAGAGAAGATTCTCACTTAATAAAAATTAGCTAATAGCAATACGAATTGCTTCCAAAAGAGAAAAATCAGAAGTAATACAATTCCTCTCTTGATTTCCTTTATAGTTTTGACTTTTTTCATGACTGGGGAAGATAAATGATGAATCTTTTGGTTTGCTTTGAAATAGTTGACTGTTATTTAAATCAGATCATCTACAAAGAATAGGAAGAATCTGATTATCTTTATTTCGTTTACCAAGGAGAATTTGAAGTAATTTATTAATTTTGATCGAATAAAAAATTTATATCTTATTTTTTAATAGATTACAAAGAAAATAAAAGCTGATGAAAACCATTAAAAAGTTCTTGAACTAGCTAATATTCCGCTTTTTAATTATAAGAAAAATATAAAATCTTAAATTAAAAATTATGCTGACTATTCTGAAAGAGTGAGGATATGCATTTATGGACCTAACACTTACTTTGGAGATGATGAGTTGCTTCATCTAGAAAAACGTAAAACTCAAGCAACTTGCATCTCTGAAGTTGGAGTTTTATATAAGCTATCTTTAAAGGTAAAAATACTTCCTTAAAATTCAAATTATATACATAATTTTATTAGAAATTAGTAAAAATTGTTTGCAATTAAAATAATATTTGGGAAATGTTGCAAAATAATCTGAGAGTAAAAAGAAAGTGGCAGAAGTAGTTTTTTGCTTAGCTAAATCCTGAAAATAAATAGAATTAAATTCCAAAAATGCCAGAGCAAAAAAATATATAAAGTTAAATATTTGAAGGCTAAAAGCTTTTATATATTCCAAGCGAGAAATTTCAAGCAAGATCATACTATAAGGGCTTTAAAGATAACTATATTAATAATATTCAAAATGCTTACTCTGAAGCTGCTAACAATATTATAAATCTTCACCAAAGAAAGTCTTCCTCTTCTCAAATTGAATGTCCTTCTATTTTACTTGATAAAAAAGATATTCATGATAGTTTTACATAATATATGAAAAATATATCTGAAGGTAATAAATTAAATATGAATTAATTGAATTACAATGACTAATATGTCACTCAAAATTCTCCAATACAAACAACAAAATATTTTAATTTAAAGTAAGAATTGCTTAATAAGTAATTCTTTTAAGAAAGATCAAAAGATCTAATACAAATTTAATAAAATATGGTACTTTTAAAACGATTCAAAGACCACTAGAAATAACTAAATAAAATAGATTCTAATGAATAATAATAACAAGAATAATTAGAGGAGCAAATTCTTAATTTAAATCAACAGAGTAAGCAATAAAATTCCAAATCAAAGTCTTCACAGAATTCAAAATCTAAGTCTCCTTAATCTACTAATAAAGTAAAAGAAGTAGGAGTTAGATCTAATAAAACATAGCAAGGTTAGAGAAATAAATAACATAATTTAAGCCATAAGAATAGCTTTAGCATCTCAGATAATAAAGATATGACATCAACAGATAATTAAACAAAGGAAAAAGAAATAATAGTAGATAGAAATTCCATAATAAGAAAAGAAGATTTACCTGAGTTAAACTTAGAAAGTCAAGATAAAAACAAAAAGAGCTCTGAGAAAGGGATTTAAATTGATTTAAGGATTTTCCATGAAAATACAAATGAAGAAAATTTTGAGAAAAAAAAACATTTTTGGTATCACATCACCAATTCAAAAGAAAAAATAACAAGCTAAGAGTTTTATGACAAACTTATAGATGCTGTAGGTGGTGGAGTTAAAAGGCCATAAACAAAAACAGATTTAAGATCAAAAACACAATATAAAAGAAAGATATTCGAAGCAAAAAATATGAATTAAAGCCTGAATTAGAGCTAAGTATCTTATAATTTAGATGAGAGTAGCATTTAGCAAGAAAAGAATAATTCTAATTTAGGAGCTTTGTCTCCATTTATTCCTCAAGCTATTGAAGGAAACTCTTTTAGAAAATATTACCATCAAAATAAAGATAAAAAATAAATTCTAGATAAGCTCAGATTCTAAAGACTTATGAAGCCATAAATTGATGAAAAAATTAACCAAGAGTAGCAAGAGCTTTAGCAAGGATCTACCTTTTTTACAACTTAGTAAAATTTTTAAAAATGCTTTTATCTTTAAATTTATTTTAAAAAAGAATATAGCTTTCGCCTCTTAAAGTTAATAAAAGAGGAAGCCAAACAAGCAGAGATAATTATAGAAGCAAATCTAGTTATAACTAATCCTTAAATAGCTCAAGAAGGAACTCTTAGATACTTGAACTGTAGCAAGAGCTCTTTGGAAATATTCTTAAAACATCAGTCTTGAAGCAATAATAGTTTTTGTGTTTGGGATAGACACAAAAATAAAACTAAAATATAAGTTAAAGTATCAACTTAGATGCCAATACTAACAACAATAACAGTTCATTTGGGATATAAAACTAAACTATTTTACAATCTATCATTCCTTTTGGGGAAAGGGAAGAATCAAGTATTTCTTCTGAAAACAAAAGGGATTCTTTGTTATTTAGTTCTCCTAAAAAAAGCATTTAATACTATGATGAAAAACTGCATTAGTAAAAATTAGAAGTTCAAATTAATCATAAATTAAATATACCAACTCATAATAAAATATTTAAAGAAGGCGATAATATATACATTAAAACTGGGGGATTTCCAATCAAAAAGCCTTGCCCAATTAGATTTATTAAATAAAATTGAAATGCTCCTCTAAAACAAAGATATTTTACTAAATACAGCATTCAAAGCAAAAAAGATAAATTTGCTTATTTTTTATAACTCAAAAGTTTCAAAATATAATTAAAAACTGAATTATAATAAAATTATATTAAAATTACTAAACAATGTTATATAATTTTAATAAAGTAAGTAAGTAAGTAAGTAGCTTTTTAAGTTTTAAAATAAAAATGTAAAAAACTCAATTAAATTACAATTTCAACAAAGATCAAAAATCTTTGCTTGAAATATAAAGGAATACAAATATTATTTTTATTTTAAGAACAAATTGAATGTAAAATTCTAAAATAGCAGTTTATTAAATCAATTATTGTCTCATTTTTAGTTTTTCTTATTTTTGAACTATCTTTTATGATTTCAATCTCTGTTTAATTCAATAATTATAATAATTATATGATTTCTTTACAACTTGATGTAATATTTCTTTAAAATAATGAACCTATAAATTGACTATAAATATATTTTTTAACCTTATTTTTAATTTAATAAAGGTTAGTATTATTTTGCTTATTTATCATTATTTCTCTTTATATTTCAGTATTTTATATAAAAAAACATTAATTATTAATAAAAATCTATTAAAAATGGAAATTTTTTAAAGATTTTCACAATAATTTTTACTTTTAAGTTTTTTATAACTTTGTAAAATGACTAAAATTTTAATAAAATCAAGTAAAAAAAAAATAAAAGTTAATTTATTTTTTTTTTTGTTTAATTTATTATTATTTTATACATCTTTCTTGTTAAAATTATCACATCTTATATTTTGATTGAATAATAGTTTTAAGATACAAATTGCTTATTTTTTGATTGAAATATAATAATTATATAAAACAATTTAATATTTAAATAAAAAGTGAGTTTTTTGATATATTATTTAAAAATGAGACGTAAATAAAGGATATAAAATATTTACTGGTCATTGCTGTTAATATTAATACTATCTTGAATACTATGATTATTGAGCCTTGTTATTTTTTAATTTTGCTTCAAATCTTTCAATTTAGTCAAACTGAGAATCTGACCTTTCACTCTACTTCATACTAGAAGGACTTGGAATATCATCATATTCTTAAGAAACTCTTATATTATTATTTATAGGTTTTCTCATTTGATTGTTTGAAAATACTTTTTTATTTTAACATTGTTGTTCCCTCCAAGCGACTTCATCAGGAGATTATTCATTATTTTATTAGGTTAATTATTTTACTATTACATCATCATCAATATCAGATGGTTCTTACTATCTTTCTCTTGGATTTTACCTAAATTACTAATATTGATTTCCTATAGCTCCTCTTTCTTATGACTATTACTAAACATGATTTTAAAATTACTCTTATTATTGCTTTTAAGAAATAGGCGTGAATGTTTAACCAATGGGATATATATAATTGTCTTTAGGAGCATTTTTTTACTATTCGATTTACTTTTCATTTTATCTATCAAATTCTCTGTTTCTAAAATTTAATTCTCTGAGTTTTTCCTGAGTTAAATTTGATCTTTCTTATTAAGCTTTAACTAAGTAATTATTTTAATTTAAGTAAAAACTTTATTTTATTTTCTTAAATAAAAAATATAATTTTAATAATTTTCTTTTTGTTTAAATATTCAAGTTTAGGAAAGATAAATTACTTGATTCTTAAGGTGGTATATCAGTTTTAGGTGGATTTTAGAGTTATTTCTATATAGCAAAAAGATCATTCTTACTTCTATAAAATCTATCATAATTTCCTTAATCATTTTAATTTTAATCATAATTTTTAAATTGCAAGTTGTTAAAAGTTCCTCCTACACTACTCAAAGGTAATTTGTTTTAAGTATCATAAAATTGCATAGATTTTACTTTAAGTTATTATTATTTTTCTTATTCTGGTGAAAACTATTAATTATTGTAAAATCCTTTGGGTTCGATTATACGGCTTGTCTCTTTGCTTGATTAAATAATTTTCATTTAATAAAATTATCTTGAAAGAAAATTTACTCTTTGATTGAATTTCTTCCAGTTTTAGGAACTCCTTGCTTCTAGAAATAGTTAGTACCTATCTAAATGCTTCTTGTTGATAGATTTACACTGATATCATCTTAGGGTTTTTTTTCTTTTTCTCTGTAGTCTTCATTATTTGTTTGATCATTGTTATTATTGTTGTCGTTGTTAGCATAAATATTATCTTCAAGTAAATTTTCTTTGCTTAATTTTAAAATTAAATTAAATTTTTTATAAAATTAAAACGCAAATATTTTACGGTGCTAAATAAATTGGGAAATCTCTCCAAAAATCTTCTTTTACTTTCATTTAATCTAAAACTTCAAATATATTTTCTCTCACTTCTTAACAAGTTGACCACAATGAAAGAATACCAGTGTTACTACCTAAATATTGTAAAAAACTTAAATAAACTGCTTGTAGCAAAAATATAATTAACCTATGCACAAGAATTTGCCCTCGTCAGAAAATTATATACATTCAATGTTAAATAGACTTGGTATTTCACCAACTAAATTTCCTGTTCCGATTTCATATAATACTACTCTATTTGGCTCTAACGATTAAAATTAGTTCAAATTAGATAAAAAAATTAAGTTTATTTACTGACATCAGGTTTTTTTTTAAAGAATAAATCAACTTCTTTCTGAGGATTGTAAATAGTAAGTGTAGATTTATCTGTTCTCATTACTGAATTATAACTGCTATTGAAAATATTAGCGTTTAAATATTACTCTTTATCCTCTCCCAAAGAACTAAACGCTGTAATACTAAAATACAGTCCACTTGGATCAATACTTATTCCTAAATAATTAATTAATAAAAAACCAATTAAAATCAAACTAAAAGTCTAGGATTAAATTAATTTACTTTAGGAATGTCTAGGTACATCAATTTTGCCTCTAAGTTCAGAACTCTTAATATTAAAAACATAAACATAGCCAATATTTGAAAGAATAAGCACATACTAGTTACTTGGATGTATAGCAAAAGATTGTATTAATCCTTTTTATTTAGAAATAAAATAAAAAAAATGGTTTGTTTTAATTAGAAATTAGCTTCAAAAATATTCAAATCATTTCATTTTTATTTACCTTCAACTGAAAAATTTGCAATAACTATAGAGTTCATTTAATTGATATCAGTTTAAGAGATAGAATGCAGCCTTAGCGAGTTTTGGCTATGTACTGTTATTGCTAAGAATTTATTATCACTTTTACTTGAATGATAATACTGCTTTGATTTATTATTAGTTCCATGCAATATGGATAAAAAGCTCTTGTCTACATTATTGATAGTATTTAAACTAAAGCTATCTTTGAAAGACTATTTTGCATTTGTTGAATCTTCAAGTAAAATTATACCTTTACAATATATTAAAATTAATATTCAAGTTTTTTATTATATTAAATTAAATAAAATTAACCTGGATTAATGGAATATGCTTGTTTTTCTTAAGAATCTTCCAATTTTATCTATAGCTAAAATCTATTTGTACAATCAAAGAGTAATGTTAGTCCTGTCACCAAATATACTCCCAAATATTTAAAACCTGGAGAAATTGACATTTAGCAGATTTTAAATCCTGATAGATTGTATTTATTAATATATTTGCCACTTGTTTGGTCTAGTATATATAAATTTCCTTTATTATCCCCACAATATATTTCTTCTTTTAGCGAATTCAAGCAGATACTTTTTATTTAGATGGCTTTTTGCTTACTGTTGTTAGTTTCTCCTTCATCTGATTTTTCTCTTAAATGGTACTCGGAAAAGATTTGTTAGTTTGTTTTACTGAAGCTATTTATTGAGCTTTTTTTAAAATAAATTTATCATTTTTAAAATCATAACTTAGTTTATTAATTTACTTATCAAATGCTTATGATAAATCAACCATTTTAGGTAACCATCTATCTCCATTAAAATCCCAAAGTGATAAAAAGCCATCATCGGCTACTGCATAAAATCTTTTTTTATTCATCCTATCCCATGCTATTTAATTTATCCTTCCTGTATGTCCTACTTACTTATGAATGATTGATTAGCTCTTTGAGTCCATTACAATTGTTGTGCCATCTGAGTAAATTACAACCAATAAATTTCCATCACCTTTATAAAATTGATAAAAGAATTTAAATTAGAATAAAGTACATCAATTTGCATTGAATATTTGTTTTCTTGTTCAATTACTTGAGTTTTTAAGGCTGCAGATAGGAGGACCAAAGTTTTTTTTCTTGATTTCGTTATTTCTAACTTTGTAGTCAAAACTTGAACCAAATGATTTTCTTTGAGAGTTTGAGGAAATTAAAATATCATTTTAAGGTTTGACATTTATAGTTGCGCTTTTCCTGATAGAGAAATCATAAAGAATTTCTTATACTATTTTGCAAGTACTAATATCATAAACACATATATTTCCATTACTTGCTCCACAAAAGACTAAATTTTCTGAAGTCGAAATGCTGTTGAATATATATTGATCATGTCTAATTTAGCTAACTAGTTCACCCTTATTATAAAAAAATCTTAAATATTCTAACGTTTTAATTTCGTAGGATGATATTTGTTGCATTTTATTTAATATTTCTCTATTTGCTAACTAAATCAAAATTTAATTTATTAAGTAATTTAAAGGAATTACCATTTAATCAATTAAAATAACTTTTCCAGAATGAAGAAGGGCGACAACTATGTTATACGTTTAATTAATGTGCATGTTGATAACATTTTCTTTAAGGTGGACTCTGTTTGTCAGAATGACCTAATTTTATTCTAAAATTTTGAAGTATTTCACACAATTTTTTTCTGCAATAGCAATTTATGTTGAAGATGAATGAGTTTAGTCTACAATATTGAAACTATCAATAAACAACCCGCAGCTATTATTATCTATGTCACTGATAAATTAAAGTGACAGTTTTTCGTTTTTAAATTCCCACACTGATAAACGATAGCCTCCATTATCTTCATTTTCTAATACGAGGATTAAACTGTTTTTCTTGTCATAATTAGCAATCACACTTTTTACTGGTTTCTTCCTATTTTTTTGTGGAACATAAATCTAATGAACTCTTCGAAGAGAATCCCATTCGCTGATAAAAATGCTAACTTTAAATTATCCATCTAAACTAATAATATATTTATCATCTAAACTTCCTCCAAAAAAGACTGCTTATACTTAACTCTCATGGTTATGAAGTTTAACTTTCTTATCAACTTCTAAATCCCACAACAATATGCCGTTTCCTAAAGTTATAAACAAAGATAATTATTAAATCTAAGATAGCATTAGACTTTTTTCAACTGTAATCAAAACAGCATCTAAATTTTGCTTTTAATTTTTCATTTTCCTCTCAATTTTTTATTAGATGCTCCTTTAAAATAATATTTTTAATACCTGATTCATACGCCACAATATTTTATTAGCTATGGATGTCAAAAACTCTGGGGCCTATATTTTATATATAATTTAAAGTAAAATTAAAGCGACATGGTTGCTCATAATAGTAAGAAGAATGCTTACTCCCAATGTTGTCTAAAATTTCAAAAGGATTAACTAAGGACATGCTAACTAGCTAATTTATTTTGTTTATATTATAAGTATTAATGTTTCCTAATATATTAATAAATGCTATATTATGATAATATTATTGGGTTATCTTTTAATAAATTACAAACTAAAGTTAGATTTTTTTTTTTTAATAAAAATAAATTAAGCGATAGATAATAAATTAATTGAAATTTAGATTAAATAAAAGATATTTTATATTAGCCATCTCTTTTTAACACTGTTTGTTTGAAGTAATAAATATTTCTATGAAAAATTCAATAATTTTTTACACATATATAAATTGAAAGTTTATGCATGAAATTACAAATTAATTAAAAAAAATTATAGTTTTTTTTTAATCTTTTAAACAAACATTCAAAAATAATTAATCAACCTAAAAAAGTTATAAAATTTATGCAAGTATTTTATGAGTGCTTGTATTTAAATATATTCTAATTATTGCTTACCAAAAAATCTTTTATTTAAAAATTTAAATACTTTAAGATAAGTGGTAGCCACATTTTATGTTATAATTTCTCTATTCAGTTTTTAATTTTCTATAAATTAAAATTAATTAATCTAAATAGAAAGTATTAATTCCAATTAACTATTTGAAATACATTAAATATTTCGTAATTCTTATGATATAGAAATAAGCTAAATGAAATCATATGCATGCATGCTTTTCAACTCAATTACGGTCAAAAAGTATTGTCCTAAAAATAAATAATATTGTCACATTTATTTTAAGTTCTAATTTTTATTTATTTATTTCAAAAACTTAACAAGGCAAAACATAAAATAATAGATATAACATTTTATAGGATATTCTTGATGAAATGACGTTTTATGCATGAAATTGCAAATTAATTAATTAATTTAGAAAAAGTCAAACAAAGTTTTTAATCTTCCAAACGTTGAAATATAATTAATCAACAGAAAAAGGTTGTAAAATTTATGCATATATATTATGATTGATAATATTTAAATATATTCCTACGTATTATCAACAAAATGAATTTTTATTTAAAAGCTTAAATACTTTTAGATGAATAACAGCCATATTTTGTGTCTTAATTGCTCTGTTTAGTTTAAAATTTACTATAGAATTAAAATAATTAATATATAAAAATTTATTCTAATTAACTTTTTTAAATAAATTAAGTATTTCGTAATGGTTAATAAGTAAATATCAGCTGTATCAAATGAACTGTATTTATTACTATTAAATTATAGCAATAAAGATTCTTAAAAATAAATAATATTGACACATTGGCTTTAAATTCCATTTCGTTATTTATTTGCTTCTCATCTTTACGAAAGTAAAATGTAAAAATACAGATTTATAATTTTATAGGCGCTTCTTAGATGAAGTGGGGTTAGCATCATGTAATTTAATTAAATCCCTTTTGTATTAAATTTTAGTAATATATGAAAGAAAAATCTATTTTTTTTTGTATCCAAAATTTTTAAAGTTTTTCTTGCCTTTCTACTATTTATTTTTGACTTGATGAACTATTTAATTGCTTATTTTATTAACAAAAATTTTAATTAATTAGAGTTGATTTAAACTAATTACTTTTTTTGCAAACATAAAAATTGAAAACACAAATAAATAAGTTCAAATGAATTACATACTAATAGGTTTTAATATAAATACAGAGATAAAATGTTATTAATTATAACTTAAATGGGTATAATGAAAAGTAATAATAGGTCTTTCATTTGTGTGTACTTCATTTTTTTTTATGTTTTTTGTAATAAGATATTCCATAAGATAGAATTCTATAATTATACGCTTTTAAAAATAAATTGATAAATTCTTAATATTAATTTATGTTCTTTATTTTGCTGCTATCAAGCCACATTGAATTTGCATTCTTTAGAAAATGGATGAATATTCTTTTTAAATTTTTATTTTTCACAAGATTCCTTACTTTGAGTCCTAGCCGATCACAATTATCTAAATTTTTGTTAACTCTGTATTATATGTGATCAAAATCCCATTTATCTATTGTCATAGATTCATATAAGTTGATTAACTAAGGCTCTTTGAGTAGTTTAATGTGTCGATTAAATGCATAAAGTAAATTCTTATAGAAGTTGTCTTTATTGAGTTTTACAAATTGAGTTATTTCTTGAATTTCTTGGTATTGTTGAGAAGTCTCCGATATACTTAGCATTTAGCTATAATTCAACATATATTCATTATAGTTTTATTCATTGATAGATATCACCATGCAATCATCTGTATCACTTTGAGGTAAATATTCAAACTTACACCTTTTTATTTCGCTAGATATTACTTATATAATAGGATAACTTTAACTCGAACATTTTTCTATCAGTCTAAAATTAGCAATTTTCATATTAACAATAAACTTTAGAAACCTAATCCTTCTTCAACTTGTTTTACAAATTATACTTTTCGCAAAATTAATTTATGAAATTAAGGTATTTATATAATTAGTATTCTTATCAAAATTGTGATTAGATTGAATTTCACTACTCTCTTTTTATCTATAAGAACTTAATAAATCAATGCAATATGTTAATTATCTATAATCTTTACAATTGTTTATCAACTCAACAAAATAATTCAATTAATATTCAGTTATTTTAATTATAATTTTAAAATAGTATTATTTATTTGTAAATTAATAAATAAACAATAAATATTCCCACATTTTATGTTATAAATTATTTAATGTGATAATTTATTTTTATTTTTTGTTTAAAGTAGTTAATTTAATAAAAATATGATTTTAGTGTAACACAAAACTAATACTATTTTATAATAATACAAAATTAGAAAAATACTTATATGTCTTGTGTATAGACTATATTTATGAACAAAAATGTATTTGATCATTCTTCATTATTTCTGAAATGGTTGGGTCTATTCATTATATTTCAAGCAAATATATCTCACAAATAAGACTGAGTGTCTAAATTATAAATGTTTGTTGATAGATAGTTAGTGAGTCCCACTAAAATATAAGCATCACTTATTTAAAATTGACTATTTATTATTAAAAAAAAAATACTTTGAATGGATTTAATATGAGTGTAAATACAATTGAAAGATAATAAAGTATTCAAAGTAATCTTATATTTTGTTGTATTTGCTTGTAGATTTCTTTTATTTTTCTATTTGTATTTTACTTCTCAAATTATAATAATAGATATTGCAGGTAATCAATTTTTGTTTTAATAATTGATGATGTATGTGATGTATCTTAAATTATGTTTACATAAAAAACAATAATAACAATATATAGATTTAAAATATTCTCCATTTTAAATATAATATCATAATAAAATATTAGGAGAATTCTTTTTGAAAAATATGTAAATTAGCTAATAGATTTTAGCTTTTTACTCTTTCTTTAACTTATAAAAACAAAAATAATTATTATTACTAATAACAAAATTTAATTTTCTTAATTTCTAAAATTTATAATAAAAGCTAAAAAGTTAAACAATAAGAAATTGCTTATATTTTCTATAATAAATGATAAATATGTAAAATAAAATAAATAGATATTTTTCTATTAAATTTGATAAATTTGATTAAATGCATAGTAATACACTTAAATAAAGCTGAACAATTCCGAAATTGCTACCTAAGATTTGATGTGTTATTGTATTAAGGATTTTCCCCTTTACTAGCTAATATGACTCAATTAGATGAGACTCCATACATCCAAAATATTAGTGAATTAATTTAAAGCTACATTAATAGCACCTGTCTGGGATATACAAAAATATTATTTTCTTATCCAAAAAGTACAAACATAGAGAATTCTTGATTTAAAAAATAATTACTTTGCTAAAATATATTAAAAATTTAATCTTTCCCTTAAATTAAAAATAGAAAAATTGAAGATAATAAATTTATAAACAATATATTGATTGATTTTTCTTAATTAAATAATGCATAATTTTATCAAATTATTTTATTTTACTTAAATCAAGTATTAAGCATAATATAAATCAACTCATATTATAATAAATTTATCTATTTTCTTAATTAATTATATATTTTTTTTCAAATTTTCAAAAAATTTTAAATGATTTTTTTTGACCTATTATTATCTATTATTTTAAACTAAATATTTAAAAATTGTTTTATTTATTACATTTGCTTCTTAAATCTTTTTAGTGTCATTTCAAATCTTTGTTTTTTTAGATAAAATTAAGAAATAAATAATAAATATTTTAAATTAAAATAATTATTTAAATAAAATTAATAATTGGCTAAATTAATAAAAATAAAAAGTTTATTAAGCTTAAATTAAGCTTTTTTTTGAGATTTTTAATATTTTAAATTGTATTAAAATAAGTATCTATTTTATTTATTATTTTATATTTGCATATTCATTACTTCTATCTGATTTATGAAAACTTAAATAATTTTGAGCAGCTTTTTTAACATAAAATTAATGTATTTAAACTAATCTAAATTGAAAAAGATGATATTAGTTGAAAATATTTTCATATTTATTCAATTGGAATTTATAAAAATTAATTAAATTTGAACTTTTGCAAAAATAGGTTTATAAATTTTTTAAAAATTTTATTTTATTATTAATTATTTTAATTAATTTTATATATTTAAAAAATATTTTTATTGACAATTTGAATGAAATACAAAAAATCTTAATTGAATATTTGAATGAATTTTAATTATTAATAAACTCAATAGGCTTTAGAATATTTTATTTTTATAACATATTTTGTTTTATTCTAGATTTATTAAAAATATTTTTTAGATAAATTTAATTTAAATAAATGAATATTTTAAAATAATTAATTTTTAGTTATTTCTAACAAGCTTTTCGATATAAATTGTGACATTTTTATACAAAATTACTAAAATAATTAGTAGATAAACATAATGGTTTAGGATTTATAATAAAAAAAGTTTACATATTATTTTAAATTTTACTTTAAATTAAACAAACTTATCATTAGTTACTTCAAATAATTAGTAAATGTTATCAAATTCAGAAGTAAATTACTAAATGCGGAGTTTTTCTAATCTGATTATTAATTTTAGATTGGTTTATTTGAAGATGATTCATTGAAAGATTTAAATTAAAACTATAGAGTTAATTTAGAGTTCTAAAAAGTTTTGGAATATTGTTCCCATCTTCATGCCTCAAGCTATTTCTCCTTTAATTTTGTAAATTAGTTATTTTTAAAGCTATAAATATCAAATTTCTAAAAATATCACTCTAAATCTAAAACTAGATGTCTCAATTGTTTCATTTTTGCAAGTTATTCAAGCAACAATTAAGCTCCTTAATTTTGTATCATGCAATGACTTTATTTAAAAATAAAACATTTAAATGAGCTTAGAATGCTAAATTTACCTCATAAATAAAACTAATTTTTCTAGTTTATGTAATCCTTGAAGTATTTCTATCAATTTTTCTACCATTGTACTTGATAGAGTGTTATAGCTCATTTTAAAATTAAAATAAAACAAAAGTTTCAAATTATTGTATATTACCCTAATCTCAAATTTAGATATTTTAAATTTTAATGGCGAACAAGTAGCTGTTGGAGACTTACAAATGATTCATTTTAAAGCTAATTCCCTCTATAAAGTAAAATGTTCATTATTTTTATATAACTAAATGAAATTACTATAATTTAAGTTCTAAACCAATGAGTTATGGTAAATATAAAACTTTAGACAAACGATTCATTCCTTCATCTCCAATCTAACAGCAACTTTAATATTAGTTATTTAGTTATATTCAAAAAAAAATATTTTAGGATCGTTTATATATATAAAAATTACTATAAATTAATAGTTAGGAGCTATATTTATTTGCAATCTTAAATTAATTCGAATATTTTAAAATCGAAATCAGTAGTTTCTTGTAAGTTTTAGCTAGTTATTAAATTATTAGATTTTATATTAAGCTTAGATGAATCTAATTAATTGCTGTACATACTTAAAAACGATTATTTCTAAATTATAGATTTCAAAACTAATATCGTCGTAAAAACCATCAATTAGCGCATCTTATGACTCTAGCCTGTTAGAAAAAATCAATAAAATATTTATTCAATATTTTTAATATATTTCTTTACTTAGCAGAAAAGTTTAAGCTTAACCAATCAAGATTTTTAAATTTCTAGAGACTTTAAACAAATTTTTTGGAATTTGTGGCATTTTCTCCAATTAGAAATTGAGTGCTAAAACGAGAAAAAGTAAATCGTATTACATTTTTTTAAAAGAATAAAAATTTACTAAATTCTACAATCTAACTCAGGCTTAAATGAGTAATGCTCATAGCGTTAGAGACAGTTCATTGGGTTCAAAACTAACTTAACCATTTACACAGCTTAAATATTTATTTTAATTAAATTAATTTCTGACTATTTATGAATAGTAATATCTTAATTAAATGATATTTAATTTAGGTTATAAATCTTTATAGAATATTTACTAAATATTGATCATTAAAGTATGCAACTAATAAATAATAAATGTAAATTTTTTTTTTAATTATTTTATAATACTTATATTATATTTTAAATGTTTTTCATAAATTTAATAAATTATTTAATATTTAAAAAACTGTTTGTGTTACTTTGTAGCTATTTATCATTGAAGGATTAAAAAATAATATTTTGATTTAAAAAATAAAAATTCAGCTTATTCAATAATATTGATAAAATAATTAATTAGTGTAAAGAAAATTTCAAAGAAATACTATTTTTGGTGCTAAATAAATAAAAAAAGATTTTTAAAAAATTATTTAATGAATGAATTAAAAAAAACAAAAATTTAATTTTAAAAAAAATTAAAACTAAAAAATATAAAATATATCAATAATAGTAAAATATAAAAAATACTACAAATATACTAACAGAATAAAAATAAATTTTTATAAATTAAAAAAAAATATTATTAAGGAGGATGCTGCCAATAATATTTACCACAAGATTTCTCTTTTTATGATTCAAATTTATTTGAATTAAATATTTGATTTTATTTAATAATTTCAAGTTGAAAAAAATACTACAAATATACTAACAGAATAAAAATAAATTTTGATAAATTTAAAAAAATATTATTAAGGAGGATGCTGCCAATAATATTTATCACAAGATTTCTCTTTTTATGATCCAAATTTATTTGAATTAAATATTTGATTTTATTTAATAATTTCAAGTTGAAGATTAACATGAAATTTTAATTATTTTAATAAGTTAATTTTTTGAGATATTAAATATTTTATTATTATTATTAAGGAATTTTCTATTAAAATGAAATTCATTTATTTATCATATTAAAAAATGATAAACAAATAATTTAAATATAAATTTTTTAACTCAAAAATTGTTTTAAATAAAAATTTTTGTTAAATAATTAAAAATTAGTTTATTCTTTAAGTGAATAAGAATTACTTCATTATTACATAAGTAGGATCTATTTAATTAAATACATAAACTTTGAATCTTTAAAAGATACTCTAACAAGTTAAAGTAGCAATTAAAATTCAGATAAATAACTAAATTTAGAAAACTATATTTGGTCTTTATATAGATAAATAAAAAGAAATATCTAAATTAGTTGTATTTGAAGAATGCATAATATGTTAAATATACATTAAATTTATGATACACTATTATATAACTGTTTAATTTATATTTGTTTTTCAAGAGATATGGCAATTAGCAAGGGATTGAGCCTTAATGAGACCTGCACTGGTCATCCACTTCTTTCCTATATTTTGAATTCTTTTAAAAATTTTTTACTTTTTGTTTTAAATTTACCTTCAAAGGTAGCATTAAGTTCTGCATCGGTCTTTAATCCAGGAACAACAGTTTCAAAAATCTTCTTCTTGGGATTAAGGACGGGTTACATTTCTTGAGGGAACTTTTCAAGTTGTCCTTCTAAGAAAACTCTTTCACCAACCTTAGCATCTAAATTATAAAAAGATTATTTAAAATTATATATAATAAATGTATTTTATTTAATTTTCGTAAATTCTAATATTTTTACCAGCAGGAGGTCTCAAGAGTTCAACTTAGGTGTGTTCAGGGTTGGAAGCACAGAGAACCATACCATTAGATTCAAATCCTAAATATTAAAATATTTTCAATCAATCTTTCAATATTATTTATCATTTTATTTATGATCAAACTATCATAAAGTGAAATATTTAATTAATTTTAAAATTTACCTGCAATCTTTCTAGCCTTAAGGTTGGCCATAACGAGAACTAATCCACTCATATTTTCAATAGGAACAAACTTTTATAATCCAGAAGCGATTTATCTAACTTCGGTACCAATATCGATCTTTTCGCAGTATAAGTTTTCACTTTCGGGATGCTAATATAAAATAAAATAATTTAAAACAAAATAATATCATTTATTTTAAATCAATTTGTATTTCAATATTGCTAATTAAAATTATTCTCTTCTTTAAAATTTAATCTACTAATCCATATTATTTTATATTTAAAATTCTGCCTTTTTTTGTCTTGCTTTAGCATAATTATCAATCAAAATAATAATTTACCTTCCAGCATTCAACGATCTTACCAACTCTAATGTCAACTTGTTAGAAGTCAGCATCAGTGGGAGGCTTAAGTTCAGACTTCTTGGCTTCAACCTTAGGCTTTTCTTCTTCGGGTTTATTTTCAACAGGCTTGGTGTCCATTGCAGGTTTTGCTTAATTAATTTCTGGAGTGGTGATTTTGCTTGAAGTGTTTTATTCTTCTGTTTATTATTTTATATCTAAAATTTATGAGAAGGGTGAAACTGAGTGAACTTTTCCGACGTTTGTTTCAAGACGATGGATTAAATTGTCTAGTTTTGTGATTGTATTCAAAAAATGAGAGAAAACCTTTCTTTGTGCCATTTTATCTTTCTTTTTACTATTTTATATTTTTTGAAATATTATCTTTTTTAAATTAATAGTTATTTATTATAAATCTTATTTAACTAAATATTTTAATCATATATTAGTGGTCTCTTTCGCAAGCAAACTCTCTATCAAAATCATCTACTTCTTTCACATTCAATTCTTTTTCTTTTTTTCCATGAGTTTCCATTTTCTCAAATGTTTTTTTTTTCTTGTTTGATTTTCTGATTTTAAAATAATTTTTATTAAATTAAATCTATTTTCTTTATTTATTGATTTTTCTATGTCGTCAATTGTATCAAAAATGTTTGAAAATTTATTTTAAATCTATCTGTTCAATTTTTATCTAATTTATTCTTTTCTAAATGTATTTAAGTAGATAGTTTGAAATTACAGCAAATATCTATAATTTAGTAAGACGATGATTCAATATCAGAGATCAGTTTATTATATTTATCATTAGTTAATAAATTCACAAGAGACATTAGCAACTCTTGACCTTTTTTTGTTAGAAAACAATATCAGAAATAAAAAATTTCTATAAAGAAAAATTAAAAAATAAGATTTTCGATAATAAGAATAATAAAAGTAGATTAAAAAATGGACGCACACTCAGATCAAAAATTAGCTTAATTCAATTAGATTTTTGACTCCTTCGAAACTTAATTCCAGGGACAAAATGCCAAGCTAAATGAATCACTTGAACTCTTGCTTAAACTCCTCAATAACATTGGCTAGAATCCTATGGATCAGAAGTATCGTAAGATAAAATCTACAAATCCAACTATTAAAGAGAAGCTATTTAGATTGACTAAAGCAGGAGAACTCTTAAAACTCATTGGATTTGTTGTACACACTGAAAATCAAGATGAATTTTATGTACTTGAAGATTAGCATCTCATGGAATTACTTCCTTACATTCAGCATTTGCGTAATCGAATTGAACTCTTCGAAGCAAAATAAGTAAGTTAGTAGGAATACGAAAGAGTTTTGAACATCCAGAAAAACCATTAGCATTTGCTCAAAAAGCACGAGGATGATATGAAGAAGGAAGAAGAGTTGAAGTAATAAATGCATTACGACAGATAAGAATACAAAACAGTTGAAATAAAAGACTCGGTTGCTGTGAATATGCAATCTGTATAGTAAAAGCGTGACCAAAGTCCTATCTAGCATATTTCTGGAGATGCCGATTTTAATACAAAAGTTCTTTCAAATAACAAACCAGTTATAGTTGATTTCTATGCAGACTGGTGTCCTCCATGCAAAAAATTAGGTGAACTTATTGAATCAGAGCTATCTAATTCAAAGACCGTTGTTGTAGCCAAGATTAACTGCGATGATCCAAATAATGCTGGTATCAAGTAGCGTCATGGTGTATCAGGAATACCTGCTGTTTTCTTCTACCACAAGGGATAATAATTATCACAATACAATTTTACAGGATTTAATCCAAATGCATTACAAAACGCTATTTAAAAGGCAAACTAATTATCTAAATGATTAATTATGAAAAAAATGTGTGATGCAAACTATTTTAATTAAGTCTTTTTTATAAATTAGCTTTTAAAATAATTTTAATAGAAAAAAAACTATATTTTCTGTTTTTGTCTTCAAAAATTTTGTTGCTTATATGTAAAATGTATCTTTCTTTACTTTGTTATTAAATTTTTGTTTTTCACTGATCCTAAAATTAATTTTATTTACTTTGAATTTTATTAAATTAAAAACTCAAATTAAAATTTACAAATAAATTAAATTACTAAGCAATCTTTGAATCAATGAAAATTTTCCTTTTAAAGCTATATTATTATTAATGAATACTTAAGGTTAATAAAAATACAAACAAATTTTAGAAATTAATTTACCAATACTGATATTTAAAATATCAGTCATTTAGCATAATCACAGATACTGAATTTAGTACAATTTAAATATGAAATAATATTCAATATCATCTATTATTAATTAGTTGAAAGTATATGAAAAGTCTTGATATTTTTTGAATATTTTATTTATATCGAAATTTATTTTTATTTGGCATCTTAAAAATTGATTTATTTTAAATTTAGATTTTATTTATGTATACAGAATTTAAAAAATCTTAAATAATTATTTTCTCAACTTTTTTCATTTTAAAGAAAAAACAGGTTTTACTTTTTTTAGTTTTTTTATATTTTATTATTTAATATAAAAAAGTAAAAACTGCCTTTATTTAATAAAAATTGACTAAATAATAATAATTAATGTTAAAAATAATTGACTTCTATTTTTAAATTTCATACATGCAATTAATTATTTTTTTAAAACAAACAATTCTTTCCTTAAGTATTAAATTGTCCACTATGTATACATTCTATACAAATAAAGATAGTATAAAATTTTTAATTTTATAAACTATGTAATATTTAGTTCTTGTTTTTGTCAGAAAAGCTAAAGGAGATAAATTAATTTTGCCATATTTTTTAATTCCTCTATTGGATATTAGTTGACAGTTAAGGTTCAATAAAATTTATTGAAGGAAATGTATCTTGGTTTTAAATGTAAAAAACTACATTAGAAAAAAAGATAAATAGTTTAAAAAAATGAATTTATATATTACAATATAGTTAAAAATTAAGCTTTTTTAGATATTTCAATTTGATATTTCATTTATCTTACAAAATTTTATTCATTTTTTCTTTAATGTATTTGGAGAGCTATAGTTAACTACTTAAAAAATTATTTATAAATTTAAATGAAGAAATTTGACAGTTGTAAATCAAACAAACAACAAATCATATATTTTTTTAATGGAATTATTGATTCTAAAACCCTTTATTTATATTTATTTTGCTTTTTCAATCATTTTCTTATAAGATTTTAAAATAATCGGCTTTTCGAAAATAATGCGATTATGCTATGAAGAGTAAAAACAATTTTATGCTAACGAATTTGAAATGCTCACTTTTATTTTACATAATTGCTATATTAATTTAAATGTTTCCATTAGAATAATAAATACTTGAGGTAAAATATTATCATATAAAACTTATTTTCATTTTAAAACCTAGTTTTCGTTTTACTTTCTCACTTGTTGTATTTTTGAATTTTGAAAGACTTTGCTTAACAAAATTTAAAATTTAAAACTAAGAATCTAAAAATATGTTTTAGTAATAGCTTTGGCAGCGAAGTCATGCTAAATGGCAATAGGCTCTAAAATTTCGTGATATAATGAGACATAGCTAGTGGCGTTAAAGATTAAGATGGTATTTATGATTCTGTTAAATGATCTAAAGTGCTAAGTTATTATAAGATGGTTGACTCTGATGGGAGAAATAAGAAATTAACAGGCAGTAATAAATTAAAATAAGAAAGAGATGTTACATAATTTTAAAGTGCAAAGCAAAAATAAAAATAAAAAACAATAAATTGTGCCTTTATTTACTAGCTAAGATTTTTTCAATTTAGTTGAAAGAATCAAATCTTAATGAAAAAAAGTTAATAATGAGTGAAGCAAATACAGGGAAAAATACTTTGCTGTGAGAGAAAATAAAAAAAGTTGATGTTAAATAAAAAAAGAGGAAAAAGAAACAAGAAAAAATAAATGTTTGAGAGAGGAAGTGAGTGAGTGAGTGAGTGAATGAATGAATGAATATAAAATAAAGAGGAGAAAGTTTATATTGAATGATATTTATAAAGATAGTGGGTAGAAAATAACAAAAAAATCAATGAAAAAAGACAGGAGGAAAGAAAGAAAGAGATATCTCGTCACCTTTTTTAATAAATTGATATGAAGAAATAAATAAATAAAAAAATAGTGGGAAGAAATAATTTGAATTTAATTAATTTGAAACGTATTAAATAAATTTAATAAAAAGGGAAACTTGCAAAAAATTTGATTTAAGAAGTGATGTGATTTAGGCAAGTAATTATAATAATTAATAAAAACAAAAAAAGCAACCTTAAAAAAAAACTCTTAAGCAGTCCCTCAAGTACTCTTAAAGATAAACCAAATCAAAAGTTAGAAATGAGAGAAGTTATTTCAATTCACGTCGGTCAAGGTGGTATCCAAGTCGGTAACGCCTGTTGGGAATTATTCTGTCTTGAACACGGTATCTAGCCTGATGGTCAAATGCCCTCTGATAAGACTATCGGTGGTGGTGATGATGCTTTCAACACCTTCTTCTCTGAAACTGGTGCCGGTAAGCACGTCCCCAGAGCTGTCTTCTTAGATCTTGAACCCACTGTCATCGATGAAGTCAGAACTGGTACCTACAGACAATTATTCCACCCTGAATAATTGATCTCCGGTAAGGAAGATGCCGCTAACAACTTCGCCAGAGGTCACTACACCATTGGTAAGGAAATCGTCGATCTCTGCTTAGACAGAATCAGAAAGTTGGCTGATAACTGTACTGGTCTCCAAGGTTTCTTAGTCTTCAACTCCGTCGGTGGTGGTACCGGTTCCGGTTTGGGTTCTCTCCTTTTGGAAAGACTCTCCGTCGATTACGGTAAGAAATCCAAGTTGGGCTTCACCATCTATCCCTCCCCCTAAGTCTCAACCGCCGTCGTTGAACCCTACAACTCCATTCTTTCTACTCACTCTTTGTTAGAACACACTGATGTCGCCGTTATGCTCGATAACGAAGCCATCTATGATATCTGCAGAAGAAACCTCGATATCGAAAGACCCACCTACACTAACTTGAACAGACTTATTGCTTAAGTTATCTCCTCTTTGACTGCCTCCCTCAGATTCGATGGTGCCCTTAACGTCGATATCACTGAATTCTAAACTAACTTGGTCCCCTATCCTAGAATTCACTTTATGCTTTCATCTTATGCTCCTATCATCTCCGCTGAAAAGGCTTATCACGAATAACTCTCCGTTGCTGAAATCACCAACTCTGCCTTCGAACCCGCTAACATGATGGCTAAGTGTGATCCCAGACACGGTAAGTACATGGCTTGCTCTATGATGTACAGAGGTGATGTCGTCCCCAAGGATGTCAACGCTTCTATTGCCACCATCAAGACCAAGAGAACCATCCAATTCGTCGACTGGTGCCCCACTGGTTTCAAGGTCGGTATTAACTATCAACCCCCCACCGTCGTTCCCGGTGGTGATCTTGCTAAGGTCATGAGAGCTGTCTGTATGATTTCCAACTCTACTGCCATCGCTGAAGTCTTCTCCAGACTTGACCACAAGTTCGATCTTATGTACGCCAAGAGAGCCTTCGTCCACTGGTACGTCGGTGAAGGTATGGAAGAAGGTGAATTCTCCGAAGCCAGAGAAGATCTTGCCGCCCTCGAAAAGGATTACGAAGAAGTCGGTATTGAAACTGCTGAAGGTGAAGGTGAAGAAGAAGGTTACTGATCTGTTTGATTCCTTACCTAATTATATTCTAACAATTAAACAAACTTTATATATATCATTAATTGCAATACATACATATAAATCTACATATAATGTGCCTGCGATTAAAAATTTAGATTCCTGCTAACACACAAAAAAAGCAGGTAATCAACAAAAAAAATCCTCATTCTATTTGTTAATTTATTTAAATCTTTTTTAAAGCATTTATTTCTTTTTTTAATGCAAAAATGAATGAAAAAGAACAAAGAAATTTTAAATTCCATACAAACAATATGAAACTAATTTTTTTAATTAAAAAAATAAGCAAAAAGCTAACAATTTAAATAAATCAATTAATTTGTTAGCTTTCTTGACAATGAAATACAAAGGATTAAGAAAAATAAAAATTATTTAAGAAATCTAAATTATCTATTTTGAACTAAATATCTTTTGTTTTTTTTGGAACGAAAAGCTTTTTATATAGAAAAATAAGGAAAAAAAGCTAAAGAATTCATTAACTAAACCAATCAACAAGCTTTTACTAATTGATTTAAAATTTATTCAAGATAAAAAATATAAATAAATTTCTGATAAATTATAATTAAATAAATATTTCATTTTTCTATATATTTTAATTAAATAAAATTAATATATTTTATTATCAAAAATTCCTTTTTTACTTCTATGAAATAATATATTTATTGATTTAATAAATTCTAATGAATCTTAATTATCACATAAAATAAAAATGTTTTTTATTAATATATTCAAATAATGAAATTAAATAAAAGTTATCCAAAAAAATAAGCATAAATCATTGATAATTTTCTTATTATTTAAAATAATTACCTTCTATTCGAAAATTTCATAATTGTGATGTTAAAAAATAATTCAGTATTTTTTCTCAATATTTATGTATTTCTGATAAAATTTTATTAAAATTAAAAAAACATTTGTTTTTTTTCTATATTTTTCTAAATAGGTTAAATTAAATTTAATATTTATTTTTGTAAACAAAATCTGATTTATCACAACTGCACAATTATTTATTTTATGATTAAAAGTTCCTATTAGAAACAAATATATTTCATATCTATCCATCTATCTATCTATTTAGTTAAAAACTATTAATTGAATATTCTAAAAAAAAATACAACAATCTTAACTTATTATTAAATTAAGTGTTATTTATTATAAAAAATTTTGATTTTAATAAATTTCTGATAAAATTTAATTAAAATAAAAGAAATATTTCATTTTTTTTTCTATATATTTTAAGCATTTGAAGTTTTTACCAAAATTTTAACCAATTTTAAGGTAAAAAATATTTTTATGCTATTATTGAAAAAAATAATAAATTGAATGCTTGTTCACATTATCTTGAATTTTTTCATAATAAATTATACAATTCTTATAATAAATTTATTTTAAAATAATACATTTTTATATAAGATAAAGTTATCTACACTATTGAACTTTCTTTTATTCCTAAATTATATATAAAATTTATTTAAAAATAAAATTTCTGATTAAATATAATAATATGAATCAAATATTTACTATCTTTTCTATATTTTTATAAATTATTAAGATTACTATTATTTTTATATTTTTTCCTCAAAATCATGTTATTTTAAATAAATTATTTTATTTATTGTGTAAATTACATTCTATAATTTAAATTATATTTAATTTTTTCTTCAAAAATAAAACTTAAAAAAATAAAATAATATTATACAATATACTTAATTTCTTAAAAATAACCTATATTAAACTAAAATAGAAATCCTAATTCTTAAAATGTATTATTTCAAAGATTTAATAATAAAATTTGATATTATTTTTATAAATTTAATCTCATTTTTGATAAAGAAAATAATGAAGAATTTTGAAAATATTTATTTTTAGAACATTTTATTTTTAATAAATACTTTATTATATTTATTATGATTTTGTTTGTTTAATTTAAAATATAATTGCTTTTAAATATTTACAATTTCAAATTTAACATATAATTTTTAGATGTATTTGTTTATAACATAATTAGGGATTATTAAATTTGTAAAATGATTTAATATTTCAAATTAATATTTGATGATAAGTATTGTTTGTTGCATTTATTCGTAATTTAATAAAAAAATATATAGAACTTATATTATTTTTAGTATATCTTTTTAAAAGTTCATAAATTTCTAAAAGTCAATACCTATAAAATAAGCAGATAAAGTTTAAGATTAAATAGTAATGAGAAGCACAAATAGAGTAGAATTTGATGATTATTCTATCGAAACTTTAGATTATGAGTGAGAATAATTTTATAGTTTTGCGAATTTGAAAATAGTTAGCTTTATAAATATAATCTTCATATTGATTAATAAATAAATGAATATAAATTAGTTTCACTTCTTCAGAAGGCGTATAGCAGTTTATGAGAGGTACACAGACTCCTGTAATATAGTATGAAGACGCCTCTACAACTACTAAATAAGAAGGAAGATCAGTTAAAGTATAATTCATTGCATTTATGAGTTTACTGATTATATCTAATATAAATAAATTTTAGATGCAAGTTAATGAAAAGATTATAAATGATTCGTAGAAGGGAAAGGGAGAAGAAAGGGAAGAAAATTAAGTTGAATATAATTAAAACGATCTTTATAGATTCTTAAAAAGAGTTTACCCAATGATTAATAATGCCTTAAATACAAATATAAAAGCATTAGAATGTAAATTAGTTTGAAAAAGTGCAGTAGATACAATAAATTATTTTATTATAAAAGATTATTAACCTAAATGGACAGATTACAGGAAAGATATTGGCTGTATTTATAACTTATCTAATGCTCTTAATAAAGTAAAAGATAAAAATTATCAAATATTTAACAAATATCATTATTAAGACAATAGAGCAAGAGAATCAGCTTGAAATCACTGATATTAGCTGGAATTGCACTGGCCTTATTATAGCAGCAGCGTATGGAAAATTTGAACATAAAGGTACTTCTAATGAAAGATCATTTGTTTGTGCTTGGAATCTCTCTAAAAGAAATTTTGCTGAAAATAAACCTTCTATTGTAATTGAAACTGAGGTATTAAATTAACTAATTTATTATACAAGTTTTAAAATTAATTTATTTGTTATTATAAAAATAAAATAAAAGAGAAATATTCTGATTTATTATTCAAAATCTATTTAATAATTGCTAAATCTATATTATATTTATAATATAGGTTAGCTTGACATGCATTTAGTTTCATCCTACAAAGCCAAATATCTTAGCAGGAGGATCTTTTAATGGTTTTGAATTTATTTGATTGTTATTTAACTTGATAAGGATTTAAAAATTATATATAGGTGAGGTTTTTGTTTGGGATTTACAAGACGAAGAAGAAAACTTAGTTTGCAAATCTAATATAGATGAGTATTTTCATAGAGAAGCAATCACGTAATTGTAATGGAATGAAACTTAAAAATAAGGATCATTGTAAGTGCAGCAGGTAAATAAAATAATTCAATAATTTCATGCAAAAACTAACCTTTATTAAAAAAAAGTAATTATTCTCTTTAAGTACTGATGGAAAAGTACTTTAATGGACAGTAAATTTGGATAGAGTTCAAAACTAATAAGAGAATTCATTAGCTTACCCTGCCAAAGGATATTTTATGGTCCGTAAGAAAGAGGGTGAAGTAGTAAGTGTTGGAGGTTTATGCTTTGCTTAGTACTAAGAAGATAAAAATAACTTCATAGTAGGTTCTGAAGCTGGCTCAGTTGTGCGTGCTCAAATAGATTTAAGTTAGAGACCAGTCTAAGAGCAATAATCAGGTATTATTTTTATGACTTCTGTTTTGTTTTTATTTGATTCAACAGAAATATATATTTTTATTAATTTTTAAATTAAAATAAATAACCCTTCAATTTATTAACTAGTTTCTCAAAAGTTAACTTGGAAACCAAGCACTTTTCCTTTTATGATGAATATTGTAAGTAAAAATTTAATGGAAATTAAAATGGGAGTTGAGTAATATTGTGGTGCTAAAGGAATAAGAGAAATATAGTTAGATCATATATTTAATTCAAAACCAGAAGTGTCCAAATTGTATCCTAATCCAGTTAAATCTGCATATGAACCTCATTTAGGTCCGGTTTATTCAATTAGTTTTTCTCCTTTTTATAAAAGCCTGTTCATAACATCTTCCCTCGATGGTTCAGTTAAACTATTCGATTTCTTTGCAGTAACTATTATTTATATTTGATGTTAAATAAATAATTAAATTATTTATAAATTAATTAGTCAAAATCAATCTACAGTGTAGAAAATTTTGGAAATTATATCTTCAGATCTGAATGGTCTCCAAAACGTCCAAGTGTATTTGGTGCTTGCATGTCAAATGGTGAAGTTATTTTTTATGATCTTATAGATAACAAAATATCACCTATAAATATAATTGAGCCTAAAGGAATGGAAATAGGTACCTAGGCTCTTTAACTTAAGTTTAATAACAAACAAACAGATTTAGTTGCTGTTACTTATTCAAAATGCCAAATAAAAATATATTAGTTATGTGATAACCTAATAACTCCTAAAAAAGATGAGCTATCTAATTTTATAAAATTAATTGAAGAAATGAAAAAGCAATGATTTACTGTTGTTATTATTTACATATAAAAAAATGATCTTTGTATGAATTAAATTATTTTTAACGGTCTTTTTAAGATTATAAAATCTCAATTTAAAAAAAAATATCTACTTGTTTGTTTATGACAAATCATATAAATAAATGAAAAAATATTAATTAATAAAACGATTTGGTTTAGATAAAAAACTTAAAAACATAAAATAACTTTTTTTAATCTTAAAAATTATTTTTTAAATTACATTTGATTTTTAAATTCTAATAAAATTTACTTCTTTCGAACTTATTTATTTATAAAAAAAAATAATTTATATATCTAATTATAATATAGCTGTTCCTGCATTTGAAATATCACGGATTATGATAGCATGATTTGTGTTAATATTAAAAGCCGATTTATTTTTTTCAAAAATTAATTTGATAAATTAAGAAATTTTTATATATAATATTATAAAACAACTACATAGAAAAATTTATAGTTCAAAAGTTTTTTAAAAAATTAGGTTGATATTTTAAGATAGATAAATTAATACATTGAAATATCAATAAAAATTTACAATTTATAAATTAATTTATTTTATTTAATAGTAAATGAAAATTATAATTTATAAATTTATGTGTTAATTTTAATAAATAGTTTCTAAAAATAAAAATAGGTTATTTATTTATCTAAATTAATAAATGTGATTAATTTTATGAAGATCTTTTAAAATAGTACGAAGTAAATTTAACAAGTAAAGCTTACATTTATTTATTTATTTTTAAAAAATTTAATATTAGTTAATTTGTAAAATTTTAGTTTTATTTTTAATCTAAAACTTTATTTGGTTCTTTAAGATTTATTCTGTCTACTTTTTTGCTTTTATTAAAGTTCTTTTTTTTTAAACTTTTGACATTTTATATTAGTTTTATTAGATTGTATAAAAATATTATTTAATTATTTTCAGTATCTGAGTGCAAGGAAAGCTGCAACACCTCCTCTAACCCATATGTCTTCTGATTTATTTGAAGGAAGTTCAATAAACATAACGAAGTTAGTACTATGTCCAGTTGTACTTAAAGTACCTCTTCTACTGACAACTTTGTATAATGGGCAATTGTAGATAACTTAAATTATTTAAATATTTAATATTTTAATATTTTTTCTAAATTATTAATTTATTTTACTTTTATCAGATTTTTGTCTGTCAACTACTGGTAACAAATGCATTACTGGAAGATCTGAGTACAATTCTTTAGGTTTAGGTTGGTTAATTACTTGCTTTTTGTAATCCCATCTTGCTCCTTCAAGGTAAATACCATAAACATAACAACCTTCTTCAGGTTTTTCTTTTACTTTGGAAGGATCTATATCAAGTACTTTATATTCAAATTACAATCTATCAATGGCAACAAATTTTCTTCTTGCATAATTTTATAGTGATCCAGTAATAAACGCTTGAGGGAAGAAGAAACCTATTATAAAATTAATTTATTAAATACAATTTTAATTTACTTATTTTAATAACTGTAAAATTTATTTAATTTTTTTAGTTGTTCAAAAATTTATTTTACCTGAAATCCAAAATATTTTAGGAGTACCATTTTATATCCAATCATTAAGGAAATTAACTCTTTAGTTCAGGTCTTCTATCCATGACATTAATGGCTTAAGGGAAAGATGTCCTTTTTCATTCCACATGTGAGGAACTTAGTTGTCATGCAAGTTATTAGCAAGTATTTCAAGCTCTTCACTCATAACAATTAAACCAACTAGAGCTTTTTTAACTTGCACAAGAGAAGTAGCCATAATTTCAAGCAATCTATTGTATCTAATTAATTCCTATACGAGTACTGTATTCATAGATTCATTGTAGTCTGTAGGATATTGTTTGGATATGCTTTCGATATCCCAAACTGGAGGAGTTTATTATTGGATGAAATTTGCTATTTCAGTAATTTTTTCTTCTCTGCTTTTTCCTTCACCACCTTGCTCACGAGGTTAAAGTGAAAGCAATGATTCAAGCAAATCTCTGGTTTCATTTTATGCATTTGTAATTTCTGCATTGTCATGCAAGCCGAAGGCTTCAGGAGCTGGATTCAAAGGTAAATTTTCAATATACTTAATATAATCTTCTTATGTGCTTGCAGGAATAGATAAATATAAACCACTTTCAGAGAATTTATGTCCATCACGTAAGACATCTTTACAGCAATAACTAGCTAATATACTTTTAATCAAACGAATATCTTTATCATCTGTGACTCTTCCACCATAATTAATTTCGGCACCCAAATAATTTAAAACCTTGTAAGGAATTTCATTATATTCATCAAGCAATAATTTAAGTTGCTTTTTGCAAACACCTAAATCTTCATTTGTAAACTCATAAGCAATATTCCAACCAATAGCACCAAATTTTCTTCTGTCTTGAATAATTGCATGGAAAAGGCAAAAGCCAAACAGTAATTTTTTAAATTCATTTGGCTTCTTACAATCACTCAGCTCTTAATCGCTGAGATTCTTATAGCTTCTTAAAAGGTTAGCTCTAAGACCTGTAGGAGGTTCAATTGTCATTTTAACACCATTTTATAAGACGCTAGAAGGGAAAGTGCTACTTGGGGCTGAAGTCAACCTTTTTATTAAAATTAAATTTTTTTTATTTTAAGCTAAAAAAAAATCATAAATTTTTAAAATTGAAATAAAAATTTTTTTAAAATTACCAAAGTCTAAAATCTTTGTGCATAGTTTCATCGAATTCCTCACAAAGTCTTTCTAATTCAGGCATCCAACTTGTAGCTAAATGGCAATTTTATAGCAAAATCCAACCACCAGCTTATTTACCTTCTACAATTAATTTCTCTGCTTTAGGACCTTATCCTTAACCTAAAGAAATCATTTTAACCTTAATGATAAATAAAATATGTTTTTTAATATTTCCAAATTTATTTGATTAAAATATTTACTTTTCTGGTCATGTTATTTTCTTCTGCGAATTTTTGGAAGTCAGAAACTGGATCAGAACCAGGTGATAAAACGAAGATGAGAGGAGTGAGAATTGTAGAATCCTTGAAGCACTTTGCTAGATCAAAAGTAGGCACAATAATGAATTCTTATCCTATTTTGTTTTTAATCCAATTTTAAATTGCTGGGATACATTTATCTGATCTGATGAACTTTAAGAAAACAATTTTTTCAAACTCATCAAGTTTTGTATTCCACTCTCCAGGTAGTTCCATCTATTTTTTATTTGTAAAAATCTTAAATTCACATATAAGTTATTGATAATTACTTCATGAGGATTTTAAGCATCATATATGTCTTTGTAGCTATCGGGGTTTTCCATGAAATGATCCTCAATACCCTAGAAATTAGGAAGCTTGTTCATGCCATAAAGTTACTTGTAAATATCTGGCCAGCTGCTGTCAGCTATCCAATTTGTGGGATTTTATTTAACATGAATAGATCCTTGTGGTCCTGATAAAAGATACTACCACTCTTCCAAATTTATTTCGTTTTTAGAAGCTAAAATTCTTTAAGTAAGCAAGAAAGAGAAAATCAACTTGTGCTTTTCGAAGAGTGATCTACAAACATTTTCATATAAAGAATAAGTGAAGTATTCATTTAAATTATGCAATCTTTATTCTAGTTCTTCACTTTACTCAGCATTTTCAACACCCATTTCAAACAAATTGATAAACCTTTGTAATTTAAAAAAAATAAATAGATTGATAATCAATAAAATAATTAACTAAAAAATAAAAAAATGAATATCTTACCATTACAAAGAATATTGATACATAGGATCAATAGTAGCTAGTTCTAAAATACAGAAGAATAAAATTGATGTTCTAAAAGCAACTGGACGATATCCTTCTCTAGCCTTATCGATTTCAATTTCAGTCTTTTTCGAATCTTTGACTCTTTAGTTTATTTCAGCTGCAAATTTCTTAGAGTTTTATAGTTGATTAATAAGTGTTTCATCTAATAAAATATCTGCAATATCTCCTTTTGTAGAAGAAAGAGAAGATAAAATCTAATCTTCAGTTGCTACTAAGTCTCTTTTATCTTATGCATTCTTACGGACGATTTCATTTTTTCTATTTTCAAGATTTGGATTTTCTTTTTCGACTACCCTTGCAAGCATCTACTCTTCTAAGCCAAAGGGTGTAATAGCAAAGTTAATAATTGTTACTTTTACACTTGTTTCTGGAGAATAGTGAGGATTACGTAAGTTAGTTGTCATATAGAAACGGAATTCTGGGCTATAGTTCAAACGTTTCTCACCAAATTAAATTAAATATTCATTTCCTTAACGGATCAATTATTAGTTTAATACAGGTTCAAGAGAGGGGTCTAAGTCTCTACCAACAGCTTCGACTAACACCCATTTACCAAATTGAAGAGCCTATTCAATGCTACGCATTAATGAAGGATCGCTTACTTTTTATACAATTATATCTCCCTTGACTTCTCTACCAAGATTCTTAATATATTTATTAGCTTAGTTTTGAGGATCAATCATCAAAGGACGTCTTCTACTTTTATCAATTAAAATACCATTTTCGATACTTGTTCCATCTTTAGGTAAGCCTATTAGTTTAAATTTAATAATATTAATTTGAATGATTATAATATTTCTTCTTTAAAAATAATAAATAAATAAGATAGATTTATTCAATAGATATTTGCTTGAATCATATTTTTTTATTGATTTTGTTAGTGTTTTTTTTTTTGCTGTTTTTATAAATAAGTTTCCAAAATTTTTATAAATTCAATGTAAAGAATAATTTAAAAAAAAAATTATCCAACTTTTAAAAAATAAATGAATTATTTACCGCAAAGATTCCAAGTCTAAATTTATACTTCATCACCAAGGAATTATCTCATAGTTATGTTATCTGTATGGAGAATCGACAAATCATTCAAGTATTTAATCCATAAATGTTCTAATTCTGATCTGTAAGATGCAACAAATGACCCACTATAAGCAAGCATAGCTGCTGCAATAGCTGCATCACCAGGGTAGAGTTTACCTATTTAAAAAATAATTAATTTAAATGATTTAATAAATTTAATTAATTCATACCTTTTTCTGACAATACTTCTATATCACTTGACCACCTTTCTTTTTCATCTTTTAAGCCATCAGTTAATTTTTGAGCTCTTTCTAATTTAATTTCACATTCTTTAATTTAGTTTGTTAAATATTCCTATTTTTTTAAAAATTAAATTTATCAAATATAAATAAATAGGATTAAATTGATCACCTTTTGTCTAATTTTTTCCTCTGACTGCTATCTTAAATTATTGATTTTTTAGTTAATCTTTTCTAAAGACTCCTTCTTTTCTTTTAATTCTTCTGTTTTTTGTTGTACAACACGCTTTACTTCATCTAATTACTTTCTTAAAGGCTCAGTATCAGTAAATACTTTGTGGAAATCATACATTGCTTTTACCCAACCAAAGAGATAACCAGTAGCTTTACTACCACCATAGGCATCAGCTTCGTTGAACTTAGGGTGAGGGAAGCATACTTTTTCCAATTTTTCAATATATTTAGGGTTAATATTTTCTCTATTATAATTCATCAAAATATTAAGAAGTTCTTTTGGATCTGTCAATAAATACTATTTAGCTGTTTAGAAGTAATTTTCTTCTTTTTTACCAAACTGATCTTTAACTGCTGTGATGATGATTTCACCAATCTTCTTTACATAGTCTGTACATAGAATAACTACACCTGCCAATGTAATTTTAACTGCCTCTGGAGGAGTTTAAAGAGATTTTACTTCAACTAAATGCTCTTTTTTAAGTTCACTGACATTTTTAAGCGTTTTGGCTAAAGAGGAATTAGCTTCAGCAACAGCTGCTTCTGCTTTTTCAGCTAATTCTAGAGCTTCTCTTTCTTGCTTTTTTGCTTCTATTTCTTCTTTTGCTACAATTTTTTAGGTCTCATCTGCGTCCTTTTATTCTACTTCTAAATATTCCATCATTTTTTATGTTTATTCTTATGCAATTTCTAGCTCAGGTCTCATCTTTGTGAGAGTTACTTTCATTTCTTCAACAGCTTTGTTTGCTCCTGCTAATTTATCAAGACCACTCTTTAATCTTGAAATCTATTCATTTAAACCCTTATTCTTTTAATCTAAGATAGACTTATACAAGTTAAGAAGCTCCAAGAAGCTTGTAGGAGTTACATAATTATATCTAATTAAATTAACAAAAGATGTTTATTATTTAACAAATAATTTCAAAAAAATTACCTTCTTAATTCCTAGAAATAACGCTAAGATATTTTTTCTACTGATTTATGACAATCTTTGAAAATAGTGACTAAATTGGTAGTGAGTCCTTGTATTTTTAGTTCTTCTTCAAAATCTACAAGTTAGCCTTTACCAACACCAAGCAAAGCTTCTTCAGGCCATTCAGTAAACCAATCTATTGTTGAACAAGAGACTAATGAAGGGAACATACGCAATCTGGTAGCAAATGCTTCTCCAATAGGAGACATAGCAATAACAATGTGTACATTTTTTTTGACTCTAATTAAATACTAAGTAAAGATGTTCATTTTGTTTGGTTATAAGCCTTTCTTAATGCAATCCATTTTACATGCATTCTAAATGTCTTCCATATCTTTTTCCTAATAAATATTTGTGACATCTCCTGAATTGAGAATATTGTTAATATCTTCAAGCATTTGCTCATTTATAATTTATGTATCAACAAATAAGAAAGTAAGAGATTTATTTTCGACACCAGCCATCATAAGACATTTTTTAATGTCATCACGCCATGATCTCATATTATAATTTTTAATAACTTCAATCTAAAAGAGTTTATAGTTTGATAAGAATGTTGCCATTCTTGCTAAACTCTATCTACCTGAACCTCCAACACCAAAAAGTAAAGCATTACCTTGAGGCTATCTAATAATTCTAGCTATTCTTGCTATATGTTCACATGCATCTAAAAACATAACAAGCTTCATTGAGCTTCTAGGTCCATTTATAACAAATGTGTTATCAGTGTTATATTCTTCTTAGAAGTAATCCATCTAAAATTAAAATAATAATTAAATATAAAATAATTTTTTTAAAATTATAATATTACCTTGTCAATAAACTAGTCTAAATCATCGACAGGAGCATAAATTCTAGGTTCTAATTCCTTTGTAATATAAAATTTAACAATTAAAATATGTAACTATTTATTTTATTAAATTACTCTTCCTTGCAAGAAATCAGTAAATATAATTCTTTAGGTAGTTAATACTTCTTCTTTTGTAATGTTGAATTTCTAAAAGAAATCTTAAAGTATTTCTTTGAGATATTGTCTATCTTAATCTGTTGTTAATCTATCGTGGAAAACTCTCATGTTCTCATGATACCAAAGTCTAATTAGAACAGGAATTTCAGAGCAAGTTTTAGTATTAGTAGTAGCAGAGCACATACCTTAAAATACTTTACTAATATCTCTCATGTTAAAGGTATAATGACTCTTTGAAGGTGTGGGCAATAATTCATTTTTCACCTAATAATTTATAGATATTATTAAAAATTGTACTTCCATGTATTTAAAAAAGTTTAATGTTGTTTTTAGAAAGAAATTTAATTTAGATATTTTGAGAGGAAATCAGAGTTAAATTTTTACATTATTCCCTCTGAATTATTATTAATAAATTCAACTCTTTTTATTTATTTAAATACTTTAAAATTTAATTTATTACCTTATAGTAAACTTCTATGACTGATTCAACCAATTAAGGTATAGCTTCTTTTATGGTAGTGTCGAATTTTTTGAAGAAGTGCTTAACTAGAGTTTAGAAAAGTTAGTTAATGATAGTTCTTTCTAATTCTGGGTATGCTAAAATGTTAAAGTGTCTAGTGCAACGAGCTGTTATGTTTGATCTACCACCACCAGGAGGACCCATAGCAGCGAGTAAAATAATATCTTAGAACCTCATAAAAACTAAATCTCTTCTATTATACCAACCTTAATGGTCTAAGAATTATCTTAAAAGTTCAATAGGAGGTTATGCACCATAAGTCTCTTTCTTAGGCATGTTCAAATCATCAACAAATATGATACACTTCTTACCAATAGGAGGCCCAAAAATACCTTTTCTTCTTTTATCCTAATTATTCATGCAGTATTAAATAAAATTATATAAATAAAAAGATATTTACCATCTTAGAATCTATGGTGTCTTAAGTTTGATTTGCACTATTTATTATGAATAAAATAATTAAAATAAAATATTTTGAAAGATAAATAAATACCTTGTTTATGCAGAGAAGGTAAGAGCAATATATTGATATTCCTCACCAAGCTAAGTTGTTAAAAGAGAATAACAATTTTATGATTTACCAGTACCAGTAGGACCTGGGCACATAACATGGTAGCCTTGGGAAACAAGTAATTTCTTCATATAGATATTTCTAGTAGAATCATTAGTAGGAATCATAATTTCATGATATTGGTACTTAGAGCTTACTTCAAAAGATGCATATTAAATTTACCAATTTTCAAATACTTTTTTTTCTTTATTCCAGAAATAATTATATACAGAATCTTCCTAAGGGAAGCCACAATCAGTTACTGTAGTAAAAAGATTTCTATAGAAATTAGAAAATTTCTCTCTCGATTCGGAATCACAAGTAGCCATAACAGACCAAATTAGTGAAAAAATAAATAGTTAATCTATCATGTTTTACAAATTGTCGATTTCTTCACTTGGAATCTTTTTTTAATAAAAAATTTAGATTATTTTTATTAAGTATTAAAAAACTTAAATAAAATTATACTCTTTTGAATTCTGTTTCTGCATATTCTGCAAAATAGCTGTTAAGAATTCTCTAAAGAGATTAAGTAAGATTATTATCTCCAGTAGCTACAATTTCTTTACATTATTTTCTTAAGAAAGTCAAACAAGGTTAAAGAAGTTTATCAAAAAGTAGTTTAAGTCTCTCTATTATTTTAGCTCTCTTTTAGATATTTGCAGGAATGCTATTCAACCATGAATCTATTAAAGGTTGTAAACCAAGAGAGATAGGCTCCATGTATACCATACCACATCTACTTACAGTAGCAGGAGAAGCCACAGCCAAATCTTCTACTTCGAACATCATAGTCATATGAGGTGTTAGAGTTAAAATCTATCCACTTTTTTTAAAGTTTTTTTATAAATTAATTAAATAAAAAGCTGAATTTACCTATTTAAACATAGTTTTTTGTTATCATCTAGAACTGTATTCATAGACTCGATCCAAATAGCATCAACTGGGCCATCAAAGAGAATCCAATGTTTTTCTGATGAAGTATCTTTAACAGTCTCTCTTATGATGTAGGCTAATATACCATCTGTCCATTCGTGAGTTTGTTCATTAAACTATCCATACAATTATCCCATTGTTATACTTTTAGGATTCATGATATGGGTGTGGACTTTGTAGAATCCTTTGTCATGTAGATTACTTAAACTTCTTTGAAGTACAAGATAATTAGAAGTTTTTCCACCTCCAGTTGGACCAACTAACATAAGACCATGTCTTACCTAAATAGTATCATATAGCTATAGTACTTTATCTGTAAAAGCTTGCACAGGTTGCAAATTTAAATCAGGATCTTTACAGACAACAGAAATTTAGCTTACTAAGTCACCATATTCATATTTAGGCCTTTCTACACCAGGGAAGAGATCACTGATAATATTTTCGAATAGAGGAATATCATCTTTTAAAAATTTAGGAACATTAACATCACGCAATGCCCTGAGTAAAAGTTGTTATTCATCCATATCAGGAGTAGCACTTTTCAACAAACCTGTTAGTTTATTTTAAATTGAGATATATTTAAACTAAAAATAAGTTATATTTTTATATTTACCTGCAGCATTAATAACTGATCTAACTGCTCTCATACCATAATCGTAGTGATCTTGAGAAGATAGTTGTTCTGAAGAAAGTTTGAATGTAACGACCATTTTTTAAGCAAGCTCTCTACCAAGCTTGAAACCAAAACTATAAAGCATAATTTCACCAATCATAGCATAATCTGGAACCATCATCGCTACACTTCTGAATAAGGCTTTTAAGTTATCAGGCAATTCAGTACGACCGGCATAACCACTTTTATTAATTATTAAAATGTATTTAAGAAAATGAAAAAAAAATATAATTTAATTACGGATTCATTGTAATGAAGACACAGAATGTAGGAAGAACTTTAATATTGGATCCTTCAAATTCAATCTATCCAATACCTTTATCTTTAGCTCCGAAAAGTTATAAGAGTTGTTAGGCAATAACGGAAAGTACTTCAATGTTAATTCTATTGAATTCATCAAAACAGCACCAAGCACCAGCACTAGCAAGACCTTTAAAGAATTTACCAACCATAATATAATCCATACTATCAGAGCAATTGAATACAACACACTACTTAGCAAGTGCTTTAGCTAAATCTTTTGTTGACTCTGTTTTACCTGTTCCAGCAGGGCCTTAATATTAAAAAATATATATTAATCTATTTGAATTAAGTTATTTTTATTAAAAAAGAAATACCTGCAGGAGCACCACCTAAATTGAGCTTTAGAGCACCCATTAAAGTCATATAACATTTATCTGTCAAAGGAGTAATAACCAATCTTAAAGTGTTTCCTTTAAATAAAATATATTTATAAAACATATTGATAGTATTCTAATATTTTTTTAAAAATTATTAAAAAAGTAATTCAGTTTACCTAAATATTCATATCCATAAGGGAAATCAGTCTGAACGCACTTTACTCTAACATCTTCGTTTTCAACATAATATCTCAATTATGAAATCCATTCGAAGGCTGATACATCCTTGACATTTTCGTTAATAAGTCTTTAAACAACATCCTTTGCATGCACATCAATGACGATTAGAGCATTGATAGTAACTTGTTATTGCTTAGTTAATTTTGTACAAACTAAATCAACCAAATCGTCTAATTATAGTTTTAATTTGTCCCAATACCCTTTGATTCCTACTTTGTCTTCTTGGCCTTCATTTTTTATGGCCTCTTCGACTTCATAAGTCCATAATACTTATGAACCGTTTAGCACACATTAACCTGGATGACTAATACACCATTTTGGTCTTGGCTTTTTATTGTAATCTTCTACTGAATTATTTAATGCACGACGGACAGAGCGTTTCATCATATTTTCTACATCACCCATCCACTCTTCTACATTTTTACGATTTGGATCTACAAATTTCTCAAAAGGTACTCTTTCATTTTCGGCAGAAAACATTGCATGAATTTTCTTTTAATCATCAAATTCTATTTTATGGATATTTTCGAATACCTTTTTTAAATGTGGCTAGACTGCTGTGGGTTCTTTTGTTTAAGATAAAATTTCAAGGAGTTCATCATTAGACAAGAAATAGAAACGAGCAAACTTTTCTCTCTTTTTTTCCAAATAATTATTTAATTCCTTTTAGATAATTTCTAAATTCTTATTAGACTCTCTTAATTTGTCATATAAACCTTCTTCTGTGCACACTTTACGGACATTAAGTATGTGCTTAGCTTAGGTAACACTTGTTTTCCAAGTTGAGTCTATAGTTCTAAATTTCTTTGTTTCGGCAGGTAATTATTTTGCAATATCTTAACTATCAAAAATAGGTTGGAGATACATCCACTGACCTTAGAATTTTGCCCATTCTTCCAACACATCTGACATAGTTGTTAATTACTTATCCCATTCAAATATTCTATTATTTACAATAATATTTATATTAACATGATTATTGATTATCATTTTAACAATACCTTTCTTCAAATTCTTTTTTGTATGGAGAAAAGAGCAAAGATTAGGTTTAGACGATATGCTCATCTAGTATAATAGAAATGTCATCATAGCCCCTAATAATGCTAGTTTGCTTATAAGGAAGAAGCTAGAAATTAATTTCTTCCCACTATGTCTCCATAGTGTCAAGTAAGGTCTTAATTTAGAATTCTTTTCCTGCTCTTTCACCAATTTAAACAATCTCATCAACATGTTTCATCAAATCCATTTATAAAATTTGATCAAAGGTAAAGCCTTCATTTTTCTTTTCTATAGTTTTACCCATAACACGTGAGATGTCTTTCCAATGCCTTTCCTTTTTAAAGTAAAATTATAAGCATTATTTAATTAAATTAATTCTTCTTTTACTTCCATGCCCTGTTTCCTAAGAGCAACCAAAAGAGGAACTTTTGGTTTGAACTCATCCATTTCAGCTTTTATTTTTTAAGCAATTTCCTAAGAGCAAATAATAAATTATTTTTAGATTAAGAAATAGTAGAATAAATAAATATTTTACATAAATCTAAGTGAGTTCTTTTTCTTTCATAACTCTCATAATACCACCTAATGTTTTAACTCCTTCTTCAACAAATTTGTCTACTTCCTCTGCATTTACTTTATCGAAGTCATCGTACATCCATTTACTAAAACCTTTCATCCAAAAGTCAACTATTTTCCACAAGTTAAAGTAAGGTGTAAATTCTTTTTGCATATTTCCAAGCTTTTTAATTTATTTTTCTTAATATTTTAATGATCAATTTAATTAAATCTTACTTTATTATACTCAGTCATGTCTTTTCCAAAAAGATGTTCACGTTGATTGAATTTTCTTGATTCGTCTTGAATGCTTAATAAAGATTCGTGAATTTCCATAACCATTTTAGCCATATCCGAATGGTTTTTAATATCGATATAGCTTGAGAAACCTTGAATGGTTTATTCAAGATTTTCATAATTTTATTTAAATTCATCTTATTATTCTTTCATTTCTTCAGCAAACTTTGTCTTTAATTTATCTAGCTTTCCTTCTCTTTCATTGATCAATTACAAAATATCTCTTGGACCTGCAAATACGTTCCATCTTTTATTCATTTCATCTGGAGTGAATTTATAATTAAAATCTTCCATAATTTTATAGACATCGAAGACTTTATTCATGTCAGATTTCAACTTTTCCAATTCAATAGGAAGCATATTTGTAATATATTCTTACAATTCAACTAATTTTTCAATATTTGTAGGATCTTCATTTAATTTAGCTTTAATCAAAGTGAATTAATTAAAAATATTTGTAGTTCCCTCCTTAGCTCTTTTGGCAATAACTGTTTTGAGATTCTTTGATAAATCAGATAGTTTTTCATCTAAATGAGCTATTACTTCCAAGCAACTTATTTAAAAACAGCTTACATGAATATACTCAGGAATGTCAATCTTGAGCTATTTCTTTTTTCTTTCTACCTAATTTTATAATTTTATTAATTTGATTTTATGCACAAATAATTTCATTTGTTACTTCAGCAATTTCATCATTAATAGATTCAATATCTCTAGGATTTTCTATTTCGTTTTCCATGGCTTTGCAATATTCTTCAGGTGTTGATTTAAGAATAGGAATGTATTTATCAAATGCCTTCAAATAATCAGCCAATGGTTCGGTAGCTTATCCTACTCTTTCTTTAAGAAGCTCAGCCATTTCCCATATCCATTTGTTTTCATCAGGGAACTTACGAGGTCTAGCATTTGGATCAGGATCTACTGGTTTTTCACGAGGTTTTTGAGGTGTCTTAATATATGTCTCTAGGTTTTAGCCTTTGTAAAGATTAGATGCAATTTTTGGTTCCAAATCTGGAATTTTAGCTAATTCTTCTAAAGCCTTGTCAAAAACATGCAAAACAACATTAACAAAAACTTCAGGATTTTTAGGAGAATAAATAAATATTTCATCATTTTGGGTTTTTAAATCTAGTTAAAACAACGCTCTTGTTCTTTTCTTTTCATCTACGTGCTCAGGGAATATATTTTCAACTTTGCTTGTATCATGTACTATAACTTTACTAGGAATGAAGCTTAATATCATGTCTCTATAATCGTTATAATTTCTTTAAACAAGACTAGTAACAGTGTCCTATTAGATTGATAGATATTAAATATTTAGTATATAATATATTTTTATTTAAATACCTGCATCATCAAACGAATAACAGTCAAAAACTTTTTCAATTTACCAAAATCATAAGTAATTCTTTCATTTTCTTTCATATTAAACCATCCTTTTCCAACATCAGCAAATTGAGTTTTGATAATTTTGACCATTCCCTCAATCCATGTTCCTATTTATTTATTTTATTAATTATTTTATTTTTTAATTTTAATTTTTGAATTCGAATTTCTCATCACAAAAGTAAGCAAGCTAAAAAATAAATAAAAAGCTAAATTAAAAAATTTTAATTGAATTTGTCTAATAATTTAAATGTTAAATACCTCTCAATTGATATATTAATGAAGAAGTAAATGATTCTTATAAATGTTTAAATTGATCTAAATGCATGGCTTCATCAATTTTTAATTAGAATATGTCCATGTCATTAATTTTATTGCATTCTACTCTAATTTCTTGAAGGGCTTTAATGACTTCTTTTTTGATGTACAGAGATGCAAAACAAAAGCTCTTAAAAGTATCGTTGAAGTCTTTGGGTTCATGAAAACTAATTTCACGATTTGAGGTGACATGCATTTCCTTAATTCCCTTTGTTCTTTCTAATTCCATAGTACCGTAATATCTAACTTCTTTTTCTTCCTCTTTGGGAGGTAAGCGTAAATGCTTTGGGAAGTATTCGGAGTCTTAGCATTCCTCTAAAAAAGTATCAAATATAATTTTATTCATAGTTCTTGAAAAATCCATGTTAACATCAGCTATTAAAGCAGTTGTATCTAAATCTTCAATTTTTGTTGTTTTTGCTAAATCTGCAATTCTCTTCTTCTATTCAGTATCAAGCTCACTCAAATCTTGAGTGGGCATATTATCAATATAAAAATTATATCTTATTATGCTATCAGTATACACCTATTAATTTAAATTAAATACATTTAACTTTTGAAATATCCTTATTACTAGAAAATATTAGAAATACTTTCATACTTAGTTGTTCAAATAAATAAATAAATCAATTTTGAATTAATTTATTTTTTAAAATAATTTTTTTTGAATAATTTAAACTTAGCCAAAGCAAAGGTAAATATTATTATTAAATTGATTTTTTATGCACTAGATAATAGATATTAAATTGGCTCATGTTTGAAAAATTAATATTCAGTTACATAAATAACTAGAATATTACTTTGTTTCAAAGATATTTCTAATATTTTAAATGAGCGAATTGAATTAATTACTCTTTGTTAAAAAGCGTTTGCTAAACGAAGCACATATTTTCTAGGATCTTCGGCATCAAAACAAACGAATATACGATGCAATTCAAAATTAATGACATCATCTGCATTAAATGTTTCTAATTTTCTGCCTTTATATTTATTAGTTTCTCTGGTGTAGCTTGTGATCTCTACTTTTTAATAATAAAATTTGTTATCTTCACTATTCTTGAAGAGAGCTCTTCCTGTCAAAGGATGAAAGTCGTTTTCTTCTTCATCACCTTTTGTTCTATCTAGCCTAATAAAATATTATTATTTTGGTAAAAAATAATTTAAAAGAATTTATTGAAACTGACCATTCAAAACTAGAGTTTTCATCAAAAGTGCTATCATCAAAAAGCTCAAGAGGAAGCCATTCGCATTAAGTATCAGGCTAATTGAAATCAACATTTAAATAAAGCATTAAATCTTCCAGTTAATAAGAAGCAAACTGCTTTTTCTTTCTATCTATGGCTACTTTTCTAGGAACTTGACCTGGAATAGGATCGTAAGGTTCCATAACCTAATAGTTTAATAATTTTAAAAAAAGTTTGTATATTTCCCTCAAAAAAGCGTTCATTTAATTTTTATTATAGATAATTTGAAAGAATATGTCTACCTTTGGATTTACTGATGAAACTATTTTTGCATTTTCTCTTAGAACTTTTCTTTATTCATTTCTGGATTGCATTCTAGAGCGTAAAATATCTCTTTCATCAGAAAATAACTTCTAACTCGAGGTGTTTGGTCTCAAGCCATTTCTTGACTATAAGCGCTAAAGCGAAATAGCTTTAGGCAGAGATGTAACTGAAATGGACTTATATATTTCTACCTTAGGACCAGCTTGAACTATTTTAGGCTTTTAAAATAAAATATGGAGATTTTAAGATTTTTCATTTCATTTTATTTAGGTTAAATAAATTAATTCAGTGCAAATTAAGACAAACGAAGAAAAATATACATCTATCTTTTAAGCATTTTCTGGATCTATAACTTCAGAATAAATACCTCTTTATCTTCTAATATTAGGATTTACAGCCATTTTATTGATTTTTCAATTTATTATATTGTGCTGTGATATAATAGCTTAATATTCTACAAATACTTGAAAGCTTTTAAGCTTGTTTGTTTGTTTGGACTAAGTTTTATATATATTTATAACTTGATGAATTCCTTGTTTTTTTACTATTAATTAAAGCCTTGTAATTCAATCAAAAAAATCAAAGACAATCTTTTCTTTTAATTAATTAATTATAAATTGAAATACTCATTATATTTAACTTTAAAATCAAAGTGTATCTTAACAAATTTTTTCTTTTCTCATTCATTTTTTTAAGAAAAATTTCTTATTTATTATCTCCACATTCATTTTACTATGAAATAACACTTAATATCAATAAATTATCACAAATAAGGCAAGTTAGGTAATAGAGCTGATTTTTACTTTTTAAATATTAGGTAAACAAAAAAAGTTATAAAATATTGATTATAAACTGTAATTAATTTTCTATATAAAAAAGATATAGAGTCTCCTCATTCTCTAAACAAGCATCCAGTATTTAAAATTAAATTCCTCATCGTTCATTTTTTTATTTATTTTAGAGTTTAAAAAATTAAAATATTTTGAAAATAAAAATAAATAAGAAAATTATTAAGAAGATAAAAAATAGAATTTGGTTAATAAAAAAATATTTTATGAAAAATAAATAAATTTCATAAATATTTTTATTTGTATTCTAAAATTATATGGATGCAATTCAAAGAATGTATTATTAATTTTAATTTAGCTAAATGATTTTTTAATACAGATATTAATTTTTGTTTTCATTTTTTATCAAAAAAAAAAAAAAATTAAATTTTGAAAATTAATAAATTAAAGATAGATATTAATAAGTTAGCAAGCTAGCATATTTGATAAATTCAGAAAACTATTATTTATTTCTATACAAGGATAAACAAAAAATATTTTAATTATTTACTTGGTTTTAACATGTTTGGGAATTTGAAGTTTATATATGATGAAGCTCCTTTATGGAATGAAAAAAAAGTAAAAGATAAAAAAGAATAAAAGCTAACAACGTATGTGAGATTTGATTAATTATATGGAGACGGAAAAAGAAAATAAATTAAGATTGATTAAGTCAAGCAAGAAAAAAAACTTGAATAGATGCTTTAAGAAATAGAATTAGAAGAGTCTAAAATGGGAATTTCTACTGTAAAAATGTTTAGTTTATCATTTATAATATTAAATTGTAAAATCATCTTCTGAAATGTAAATAAATATTAAATCAGGTATCAAAAAAATTAACGGCTAGTAGAAGACCTGACTAATTTTATGAATATAACAAGTAATGGGCTATGAAAGTAAATGAAAAAAAGTAATAACAAAGAACAGAACATTTTAACCAAGCAATTAACTAGCAAATTGAAAGTTAATAAAAATCTTAGCAAAGGACTTTCTTCCAAGAAACCATGTAAAATATAATAAAAATGAAATTAATTAGAACTTTTACAATATTTAAAGGCTGAATAATTATAATGGGCCAATTTCAGGATGGTAGCAAAGATTTGAAAATTATTTAAATACAAAAATAAAATTGTAAGAAGTTGGGGAACAATAAAATAGTATATTTTAATAGCATTTGTTATCAATTTTAATGACTTTTTCATAAATAAAATTAAGCATTTCAACCAAAAATAAATGAAAACTCTAAAAAAATGACTTCATTTAGAGATAATACTCCTATTGAAGAAAGACTCCTTAAATATGGAGAGGAATTGAAAATGAAATAAGAAATTATTAGACAATAGGTAGCTTTTAAATTATAACTTATTATAATAAATTTCAACAAAAAAATAGATGGATATTCTAGCTCAAGAAAGTGATGAATTTGGGTAAAAAAAGCCTTCAATCAATAAAAATTATGTTTATGGAGAGTCTGATGGAAGCAAAGTTCATGACAAATTATATGAATATGGTAAATATTTATATTTTAGTAAATGTTAAAAGCTTTTAAAAATAAAAAAAGCGAAAGTATATGAACAAAAAATGTAAGAGCTTAAAAGTGAGGCCTAAAATCAGTTTAACTTTAAACCTGCACTTAATTAGATGTCAGAATAATTAAAAGAAAAAATCGTAAGAATTATATAAATTAAATGATCATTTTTTATAAAATTTTTCTAGTAATAAAAAAGGAAACCACTTTATGAACCAAAAAAGAAGGAATCTTTGGAGGTAAAATATCTAATTAATTTGCTTTTATTAATTATTTCTTTCATTATTTAATTTATATAAAGGAAAAGAAACCATCAAAGCAGTTTAATGTATAGAATTTTGAGTAATTTTTAGAAAGGAATTATACATAATTTGAGAGAAAATTAGAAAGATTGCAATAAAGAGATGATTAGGTCTAGGCAAAGGAATTAGAAGAATGTTCATTTTAGCCATAAATAAATAAAAAAAGTCTGACCAAATCAGTAATAGATTCAGAAAAAACTCTTTATGAAAGAGAATAAGAAAAGCTTAGAAAGAAATAAGAGTAGCTGTAATAATTGCAAGAATAAATTACATAAGAAGATTAAAAGAATTGCACTTTTAAGCCTTAAAAAACATTTAATATTATTGAAGAAAGGAAATAAATCCAAGAATAGAATAAAAAGTTAATTGAAAAGAAAAAGAGCACACCTGCAATAAAATATCCCAAAGTTAGAAGTAAAACACTTGTAACTGATAAATAAAAAAATGGATAAAATTTATCTGAATAAGATCTTCATAATTCTTCAGATGATAACTTAAAAAGGAACAATGGCAGTAACTAATCAGATGAAGACGAAAAAGATAAATTCTAAAAGGCGTTTTAAGACAGATATTAGAATTCTAACAATTATTCCAAATCAGTAAACTTTTAAAGCATTCCTCAAAATCAATCAGTTTAAGCTGATAAGAATACAAAGAGAAGACAGAGAAGCCCTCTAAAAAGGCAAAGTCCTTCACCAAAAACAACATTTAAATTAAACTCCTCATCTAAAAAAGGAAACAACGAATTAAACTAAAGTAAAAATGATAGTGATTCAAAGAATAACTAAAGTTTCCTGAACAATTTGCTCAATAGCCAAATAAATAAAGGAAACTTCAATTTAGAATCTCTACTTAATTAGAGCATACAAAACTGGGGAGAGCATTATAATTTAAGCCCATCAAAGCTCAGCAAGAAAAAAATACTTGATGAATTTAATTAGATAGAAAAAGAAATATAAACAATTGTAAAAGAAGTTGATCAAATCAAAGAAAAAGATGACATTGATAAAAGTATTAATAGCAGCACTATTCCGAAACTAAGTAACTTTAAGACATATTCCTAAGGCAATAATGATGGGTTTGACTCTAAACATTCTTAATTTCATCCTTAAATTATAATAGAAGATCATAATAATGAAGCTTGATTATTCAACAACAGCAACAACAAATCTTGCTTTTTAAATAGTCAATTAATTAACAAAAATATTTATTTCTTCTAAAGTTTTTTCATAAAATTATTACAGTTTAATCTATGATTAATACAAAAATGGGTTGGAATTTTTATTCTCTTATGTGTAAAGTTAATTGTTATTAAAAATCCTATCTCACAATTTATTTTAATGTATTAGTAAAATAAATCTCAAAATATTTTTCAAAATAAAAAAGTTAAAAATAATTTTTAGTTTTAATGTAAGTAAATGAATTCTAAAATTTTATTATTGGCTACAATAAATTCAAGAAAATAAATACTGAGGTTTTTCTTTAAATAAGATCATTTTATGATAGTCGTTAATATCTATTTATTAAAATTTTTGATTAACTTTTTTTCATTAAACCACAGATTTATTATCAAATGCAATATTTTTATTATATTATTAACCAGATAAAAAAATTAATATCATTTATTTTAAAAAGATTTCAAGAAATTAAATTTTTACGACAAAGAATTGCTTTTAAAAAGCTTAATTTATTTTAAGATTTTAGCTATTATACAAAAAAAAAGGAGTTTTTACCATTCTTAGATTATATTAAAAAGTAGAATCATTTATACTTACTTGCAATATCTTCTGATTTAAATGTTAATTTATAAATAGTAATCTATCATCAACATTTTTATTAAAAAGCGAAAAGCTAAACATCACTTTCAAAGATTTTGAAAGCTATAATAAGTGTTGAAAATAAACTATTAAAATCATACAAATTAACACCAGTTAACTTGATTAGATAATTATTTTAATTAAATTTTTTAATTATACTTCTTAAATTCATTTTTATTTGGTTAAATATGTTGACATTTAAAATAAAACTCACAATATAATTTACTGCGCAGACATATAGACTATAGAAATTACAACAAATGTCTAATAGAAAGATAGATTTTATTAAATTTGAGTATTAATTTATTCATTCTTTCATTTTTTTGAATAAGTAAGCATAAATAACTTTAAAAAATACACTATTTTTAAAAAATTGATAAATCTATAACAAATACATCATCAAGATGCTTTTCAAAAATAAAAATAAGGCCAGCATACAATAAATTTAGCAACGTAACTATTTAACAATCAATTAAAATAATTTCTATCAAAAATTTAATCTTAAAAAGTGTTAATTTATGCAAAATTTAATAGCTTTTTAATTCATATTTAATACTAAAAATTCAAAATGAAGCCATTTTTTTTTTCATTCATCAATCAAATATTTTTTTCTTTGGTTTTGTTTCTAAATTGAAATTCACTCGCACAAATAAAAACTGAGCTGACCATAAAATTATAATTAATAAAAACAATAAACTTTGTAAAAAAATATAAAATAAGTAAAAAAAAAAGTAACTATTAATCAACTTTTAATGTCAAAACTTCTTCTTCTTCTATTTACTATATTATAAATCATATTTGCTACACCTACACCAGGCACTGCTGTCACATGTGTTAGTTAAAATGGATCAACAACTTGCTCTAATTCCTGTCCTGCTGCTCCTACTGGTTGTTAATGGATTGGAGCATCACTCACAGCATGTTAAATTTAAGATTGCACCTAATGTTCTAGTTCTCTTGTTTAATTTACTGATTTATATTGTCAATCTTGTACATCAAATAAATTTGCTAATTCAGTAGGAAATGCTTGTGTAAACCCTTTAAATACATGCAGTAGCAGTAGAACTGTTAATAGCTGGACAGATGCTGATTGTGCTGCTTGTTATGCAACTGGCTATATAGCTAATGGAAACAAATCTGCTTGTATAAATTGTAATGCTAGTTCAGGTCTTACTGATATTATTTGTGGTTTATGTTCAACTGCAAATTCTAACTCAAATAAATTTGCAAATGTAGGAGGTACTTAATGCGTAAATACCGCATTAACATGTGGTGCTTCAAGGACAGTTAACTCATGGAATAATTCAGATTGCTAATTATGTTATGGTAGCAGCACATTCATAGCACATTCAGGTAATAGTTCTTGTGTTAATTGCTCATCTCCTAGTGGCTTAAACGATGCTACTTGTGCAGACTGTGCTACAGCTAACAGCACTCAAAATATATATGCTAACAATTCTGGAACGAAATGTGTAAATTCTAAGGCTACTTGTGGGAGTTCAAGAACTTTGAATACTTGGACAACCAATGATTGTGTAGCTTGTTATGGTACAGGATATATAGCCAGCTCAAATAGCAGTACATGTATAAATTGTAAAGCATCTTAGGCTCTTACTGACTCCATTTGCAGTGCTTGTGCAACAGCAAACAGTAATTAAAATATTTATGCAAATTCTGATGGCACTGCATGTGTTAATAGTACATCTACATGTGGAAGTAATAGAACAACAAATACATGGAATGACGCTGATTGTTTGGCTTGTACGCCTGCAACTCCTGTAGCTTAAAAAGGAGGATCAATTTGTGTCTCTAGTTTTTCTTCATAATTAATATATGGAAGTTTAATTTTGCTAATTTCTTTTCTAATTTGAATTAAAACATAAAAACTATGTTGAAGAATATTTTATCTATATTAAAAATTAATTTTATTATCAAATAAAAACAATATTTACATTAATTAACTATGTAAATTTTACATGTTAGTTTCAATTTAATTTAATCATTAAAAAAAATTTCTCTAAAATTTATTAATTTTTTAATAATTATGGAAAATAAAATAAAAACTAATTTATATTTATGAGTTTTTACAAAGAGGTAGGTTATTAACGAATGAACAAACTTACAATATTTTATTTCTGTTGTTTGTTTTAAAGATTAAGTTGATATTTAACCAGTTGTATTAAGTGCAAAATAATTAATTTTAGAAATTCATTCAATATTTGTATATTATATAGCTGTCTCTGGTTTTAAAATTCCGTTGATTAGATATTTTTAAGTTATCAGCGGAGTTTGTAAATTATAGGTATAGGTGTCGATTTAAAAATATAGAAAGAGGTGTCGATTAAAGTAGATAGAAAATAGGTGTCGATTTAAATACTTAGAGTATAGGTGTCGAAATAAATATAGTTGACCGAAAATAGCAACAATTAATTGATGAATATAACTAAAAATATTCAAATATAGATTAAAAACAAAAGTGAAGCTAATTAAATAAAGAAAAATAATAAAATTTTGAAAGAGTAGATTACTTTAATGAAAAAATAACTTTATCCGAGTTACAACTATTTTATTTGAACAAAAATTATAAAAATATAGTGGTAAAATGAACAAATTTTAATCAATTTATAGCATTTTTCTACTATTGATTTTAATTATATATTTAATAGAATATTATTTCAATATTTTAGTAAAAAAATTAAGTATTTCAGATTATCAAATTTTCATAATATAAATTAAAAAATACTTTTCTATACAAAATTAAAATAAAAATTATTCTTTTTATTTTATTAGTAAACTAATACTATCTAAAATAATGAGCCTTTAACCAGTTTTTTTCCCTACCTGAAGTAAGGGATGTTATAAGATTTATATGTGTCTGCTCCAACATTTTTTTAGTTTTTATATCTACTATTTAAATATAAAAGACATTTTAATATATTCTTATTATTATTAATTCAATATTATAGTAATGTAAAAAAAAGTTACATCAAAATACTTTAATTATTTTATTAAGAAATAAATGGGTAATTAGAGTCAAAATCAAAATTTATACAATAGTAAAAATTAATTTCAAAGGATTATTTTAAATTTAAATTTATATTAATTTACTAGATCATTTATTTACTATTTTATTTCTTTTATAGTAACTACTTTATAAAATTTAAGAGGTATATTAAATTAAAGTTATTTAATATAAGAATAACTGTAATAATTCCTTTTTGACCTAATAAAATCTTATTTAAAAAATATTTAATTTTAATGAAAAGCATGATATATTAAAGAAATACTATTTTTATTTATTGCTTTAAATCAAATAGTTAGCCTGAGTATATATAATAAAGAAGATGATCAAGTATTCATTAAAAAAATAAATTTTAATTAAATGTTAACTATTTGTATGGAGAGGAATTAGGTAATAACTAAAAGACGGTATTCTTTATGCTATATTTAAAATATATTTTTTTATGTAACAAAATTTCTTAGTAAATAATATCTAATTATGAAAATTTTCAAGAATTTAAAGACAATACCAAAACAAAAAATAAAAAGATTACAATACAAATTAAATTTAATACTATTTCAGATAGTTAAGCTTGAAACAACTTTGCCTAAACCGAAAATAGCATACAATTTATAGAATATAATATTCTTTTATGAATTTTTTAATATAGTTATCTTAAAAAGTGCCAACATTGACTAAACAAAGATAAAGTCAACTCCTATTACTAAAAAGAATTAAGCATATTTTGAATTAGCATAACTTGGTTCTTCGTTACTTATTACAGCTAAAATGACATAAATATAAAATAATAATAAACATACCATAAAAAGGGTAGATAACTTTTGACCTATTCTTGTTATTTTATGCGCTATCGTTATTAAGAAAACTCCAACTTCAACTATTATTGAGCTAACTATTGAAATTATTATTTTTTAAATAGCATTATAACTTTCATCAAATACTGTTGACAGACATAAAGAGTGGACTACCCTCAAGTAAATAATATTGAATCTAATTGCTCTTGAAAGAGATGGCTCATATGTATAAATTGTATTAAAGTAGGCGTGAAACACTTTAAATTAAACTAAAAGAGACAATTTTTTAAGTTTTTCTATAGTTTAAATTTCATTTTCCTTTAATTTAAGATCTTCATTAACTAAATTAATTTTGCTACTCTAATATTAAAATGTACTAACAGTCATCTTATTTGAATTGTCTTATTATACTTCTTAAAAAGCTATTAATTAACCTTAATTTAGTTTTTCATATTAAATGTTTGGCTACTTAAACTCTTAAATCTATTCTGATTAGACATATTCCTCAAGTTAAAGTGGTTAATTTTCAAGATTTTTCAACAAGCTTGGCTACTTAGTTGATATTTAATTTTCTAATTTTAAAAGGTCCATACACTTTGATTCAATTTTTTCATTTTTAAAAACTGTTTAAGTATTTATAAACCTTTGTCTTTTTCTTCTTGTTTGATTATTAGAATTTATTATACCTTGCTAATCTTATATTTTAGCTTACTAAATAACACCATTAAATTCTTAGATACTTTATATTTGCAAACTTGGTGTCTAATTCTTTTCACTAATAGGAGGATTTTATTATTCCGATTCCATAGACGTAATCTATGAGATAGTAGTTTTGTTAAATTTTTTGTCTAGGTTTCTACCATATTTATATAAACCAAATTATAACAATGATATAGTACATAGAGTCCAAACAAGAGCATATTAATAAAATTTATCAAAATGAGTAATGTTATTTAATCCATCTGAACTAAAAGCTTCTTTTACATTTTTATTAATAAGTAATGATTCTAGATCATCAGTCACAGTTGTAGGATTTGTACTATTACAGTAGCAAAAGTATTTACTATTCTTTTTTACATAGTTACATCCATGAGAAGACCAAGCCTATGATTATTGCATTTAGAGACATGTTTAATTGTTAGGAGAGGGTTATAGGTCTTAAAATTTAAACATATAAACATTTTATTAATTATCCTTTTAATTTTCCTTAATGTTTACTAATTTTCTATAACTACGCATATGGCTCATTTGTTCAAAGTTAGAACCTTATTGGTATAATAGTCTATTTGAGCTTGCATTTACTAAATCTAAAGAATATTTTATGACTAGATTCTAAGTAATTATTATGCTTGAGTTTACTTATTTTAATTTTTTGACATAATTCTAGAATTCAGATGTTTATTCGAAGGGATTTCGAGAGTAAGTAGTCTAACCTAAATAATAGATATTTGTTGCTTGGGAATCCTAATGATCAAACATAACTTACTTAAGGTTTTTTGAAGTAATTTATTAGCAATCAAGTGATATTAAATTACCTTACAGCTATACTCCTCCTTAATTAGGTAGAGTTGCTTTGCTTAGGTAACTGCATATTTAGTCTGATATATTCATTTGTTGAGATATCAAATTATTAGAGAAAGTTTAAGTCGTCGAATTTAACACTTTAAAAGAGTCTACTAAATTTTGAAGAAAAACATTGTTGTTATTCATAAACATATTATTCTAACTAATTAAAGATTATTAATTTTATAGAATTGTATTTAGTTAATTTAAAATAGGAATGGTCTAATCTTCTTATTAATTAGTTATAGATTATTACAGTTTGGCAATTATTTTGTTTGCATATGTTGGTAGTAAAGATGAATTAGGTAGAGAATTAACTTAGCTCAATATTAATTATATGAGATCAGATTTTTTAGTATTCATTGAATCAAGGTTATAAATTGGATAGTTCTTAGATATTTCTTCTCCTATGACACACAGATTTAAGATATTTTAAGAAGTTGTTTAACTACTATCTATTTTTAAAGCTTAATCGATAATATTATTGATTTAACTTTCATTTTGAGCAAATGGTTATATGTTTACTGATATGGTGGTATTATAAACAGCTAAAAAGTTATCTATAGCCTAAACCATTAATGTTAAATTACCTGAAGGGAGGATAGTATAAAATTCGTTTTATAAGCTTTAATCCATTATTTACCTTCTTAGAATATAATTTGGGGATATTTATTCTTATTAATAATCAGTATCATTAAGGTAGTAAAAGAATTAATAAGATATAGGAGTATTAGCTGAAGTGCAACCAGACATTTTGATTTAAAAAATTGTTTATAGAGCTTATCCATTAGAAGTGTTTGCAGATAGTACACAATTTTTAGGTGGTAAATTTATATTAAAGTTAGTAATACTTAAACTAGGCATTATGTAATAAGGATTGTATGCACTGAATCTAACTTATACAATAGCATTTGAAGGAAGAATATTTACGAAATAATCCCAAATTCTAAACCTCACTTTATAGTAATCAAATTTTATAGCTCCTACTACTAAATTATTATAAAGTATTGCACCAGCATAGCTTAACAAGTCAGATGAAACATTACTTCCATATATGAGAGTTGCATCGATATCTTAATTAATGTTGACTTATATTAACTAAGATTAATCTTAAAATTTAACAATTAAAATAGGTATATCAGTTTCTGATAAGATGATTATAGTTGATTATAATTTCTAACGGGAATCTTTGGTTCCTGTAAAAGTAAATAAAAGAGATTAGTAAGGGCTAAAGGTAGAACCTGGTATCGAAATAGTAGGAACATTTTGCTGTAAAATAAGAGGGTGGTTATTGTAGTCATAGCACTTATTATCATTTTGATTAGATGTAAGGGAAACACAATCCCACTTTAAATTAATTTGTTAATCTTAGTTTTGGTCTTCTAGCTCAAAATCTCTTGCTAATCCAGTTAAATTTAAGGGCTGTTTGAAGCCAAATATTCCTTTTTAACCACCAACAATCTAAATAAATAAATCAGATATGTTAGGTGTAATAGTTTAAGTTTTTAAATTAGTAATCTATTTATCACTGACTAGAGAGGCATTTACCTTTATTATAAATTTTAAAAAAGTTAATAAATATTCAAATTAATTTTAATAATTTAGTTTACATTTAAATCAAAAACGGTTTAATGAGGAATTGAATATTTTTCGACTAAAACTAATGTCTAATTATATTTAAATTGTGTTATGTTTTAATTCAGCTTAGGTACACTATTAGAGTTTATCTGTATGTTAAGAGGTTCATTAGTAATTATTGGTCCACTCTAATCACATATTTGCACATAGAAAGATATATAAACTCGTAAATCCATGAATCTATTTTTCAAATTTTTTTTTTATTGAATTAATTTTTAATTTTATTTATTTAAATACAATATTGTGAATTCATTTTTTTTTAAATTAATAATTTTTTGTTTTTAAAACTAATTTAAATCGTTTAAATCTGAATTATCTACTCTATTTTAAGAATAAAACTAAGTATATATTACCTATAAATTGGATAGCTTTATGTTTCTAATTTAATAATTAAATCTTTTTATCTGATAAAGAGTGTTTAGAATTATTAATTTTATGAAGAATTCACTTTAAGTAAATATTAGAAAACAGCAGTAATTTTTGTGTTTGCAGGAATAAGTTGCTTTAGAATGACTAAAGAGATACTCTTTTAACTGTTAGCATTCGAGACTATGCTATCGACTGCTTAAAGACTGTTTTAATCTAAGCTAGGCGAAGATTATATACTCCAAGTGAAGCTTTTGAACCCTCTTTAAGCATCGTTTATTATATCTGCTACTGAAAAAACGATGTCATAGCAAGTATTTTGAGTTTTACTGAATTAAATAGTAACTTAAGGCTGTTGAGTATCACTCCTTTACTGCTTAACTTTGGTCAAGTAAAACGTGTCTATTTAGAAATTGTTACTAATTTAATAACTCAGAACATTTGGAATGAATGAGAGATTATCGTTTTCCATTATTTAAGCATCGTTACCTATTGATAAAATTTTTTAAATTTTTCAAAAAATTTTTGTTAAATTTACTTAGTAAAATTTTGATTTATGTATCTTGTATAGAGCAATTTGGAAGAGTGCCAAGAAGTTGAAGAGTACTATCTTGAAATATATTATTACATTAAAAGTTTTAAATTTATGTCAAAGCAACACCAAATTCAATAATCAAAGTAGGAGAATCAATAGCTAAAGTAGCTTGTAAAACAGCAATTTTATTATAACTACATTGATAGAAAATATCTCTATTATCAATACGATTTTTGCAGACACATTTACTCCCTAACATTTCCATAGAATCATAGCAGTCTAAGCATTTGCTACTTTACTTGTATTAACAAGATTTACATGTATTAGCACATGCTTAGCAATCTGGTTTTATGTATTCTTAGCATTAAACACATTACCACAAAGTTGAATCTTCTTTGTAATTATTCGGACACCACTGATAGCAATATTATCCAAGTTAATACCATCCTTAATAACAGCTACTACATTAGCTTTAAGCTGGTCCAGTGCATGATTAGCATGATGAATGACAATTTTTACATAGATAATTTTAAGTGGAATCTCTAAATTAATTTTATGAACAAACTTGCAAGCATTTATTTACTTATGAGACATACTCATGATCCTATGTACAAGTAGTACAGCTTTATCCATTAGTACAGGATACGCAATTATCAATGCAATCAGCACATAAATAGTTATTTTGTGGGTTTCTATATTAATTCTAATTGCAAATAACTAGGCACAAATTTACTTCACTAACATACTCATAATTACTTTAGCACTAACTGCAACTTTATCCATCTACACATTAAAGACAATTGTTAACACAATTAGTGCAATTATATAGAGTTGAATCTCTATATTAATTATTTTAGCATATAGCTTTACATTAATATACTTATTGAATAAATTCATAATTTACTGTACAAGTGTCACATTATTTATCTTAAAAACATGATGTGCAATTTGCTATACAGGGTTTGCACTGCTAGGCCATGGTTTACCAATTAATAAAGGTGAATTATCCTGCTGGGCAATTCATTTTGCAATATTGTTATGAATTATTATTTGGGTTTGTAGTTTAAGTATATCCACTAATGCATTGAATACAACTTAAATTTTAATCACAATTAGAACATCCTTGATAGCATTGCTTTTTGAGGGAAAATAAAATATTTGGTTAAGTAGTTAAATAAATATGAAATTATCAATTATTCAAAATAGCATTATTTAAAACAACGAAAACTATTTTAAAATTTTTATCTGAATTCTTTAAAAGAAAACTAATTAATATATATGATGTTTTTAATCTTAAACACCAAAATATTTTTGAAGTAGTTTGAAATAATAAAATTAAAATAAATGGAAATTACTGCGCATTATTATTATTGAGAATTATATCCATATCCAGTCTAGCAGTTAGTACAGTCATCAGATTTAGTACAGCTTTAGCAATTAGCAATACAAGATCTGCACTCTTACGACATGGTAGTATCATTAGTCACGAAATTGTACTATCCAATTGAGCAATTTTTTTAGCAGTACTGTAGGGTGCTATCATTTGGTTTCGTCTTCTGAGTGTATCCACTAATACATTAAGTACAGCTTTATATATTTTAGCTACAATTAGAGCATCCTTCAGTACATGCTCGCTTTTAAGTTAAAGAGAAAAATTAATTAACGAATCAAAATAGTCATGAAGTTTCTAAATTAGAAAAATAGTTAAATTAAAAACAATAAAAGTAGTTGTGAATAAATTCAATTTCAAGATAAAAATATAAATATTAATTTGATGTCATTAAATCTAATTTCAAAAATCTTGAACTCAAATTAATAAAGAATTAAATTAAATAAAAAAATAACATTACAACACACATGATTTATTGAGGATCAAATTAATATCCATCAATACATTAGATGCAAGTATTTTTATTGCCACACTATAAGCAATTGATAATACTACAAACAGCGCAATCTTATACTATAGGATCTTCAGAACGAAAACGAGTATAATATCCTTATGGGCAATTTCTATTGCAAATTTATTAATTAGCCTTGTAATAACTAGAACTCATAAATGTGAATCCAGGCACGCAAGAGTCTTTGGAACAATTTAGTAAATCACTACATTAATAACACCCTTCTTGACACTTTTATTTTAAGTAAAAGTAAGCAATTAAAAAAGATTTGAATTTTAAAAATTTCAGAAAATAGTTTTATTAAACAAAATTATGAAGGTAGAAGGGCGGTATGTCTATTTCATTATCAATCTAAAGTAATTACGATTGGTACCGCTGATTCACTTAAAAAAGTTAAATAAATATCCTTTATATTTGGCCTTCCACTTATATCAAGATAACAAATAAAAAATTTTTAAAAGTTTTTTGTAGTAAATTATTAAGCTAAATTAATGATCAATTTTTCATGATTTGAGTAAATAATTGTTTAATTTATTTAGAAAGTTAAATTTGATTTATAAAAAAATTAAAGAATTAAGTATCTAAAATACATAATAAAGATCAAGCAATATTTTAAAATCATAGATTTAAGCTCCTGTAAGTTAATCGGCATAAAGTTTAATAGTAAGCTTATTTTATGGTCCACTAAAACGTATAGGACTATCCATAGTATGTATATATTTATACTTATCTTAATCACTTTGTACTTAGCAATCACTATAAGTAGAATAATAAAGATTTCTTACAGCAGTTTCTCCATCACCGATAGCTGTAATTAATGGTTATAACATTTTATCTGATCTGAACACTATGGTGTGACGCAAATATGTAATAGAAGGACTTTTTAATAAAATAAATAAAATAGATTTTTTCAAAACAAAAAGAGTTACATTTTCGTAAGTATGGTTTCAAATTATATTGTATCAGAATTTGCAGTGATATGTTTATTGCTTCTACAAAAATAGGTTGAGTCGATAGTAAATGATGAGTAAGTAAAAACTAATGGTTGATGATTAATAAAGTCTATCACTATTTCTGCACGACCCGCTAAACTTATCAGCAAAAGTGGATCTTATGAATTAAAAATAAATTTATTAAAAATAAATAAGATATTTCATTTACAAAAAAACTTTTAAAGCAGATTGTATTTTTTAAGCTCTTTCTTTTTATGCATCTAAACTTTTTTTTATTATTACCTTTTTAATTAATTTATTTAATTAATAAATAATATATATTTAAACTGAATATATTTCAGATTTATATTTACCTCTCTAAGGCAATTTATTTCTATTAAAAACAAGTAAATATTAAATACGCACTTCTTTAAATATCCTAAGTCCTAAAACATACCAGATTTATAATCTCAAATACTAAATGATTTTTATAAGTCTTAATTTTATAACCTTGTGTACTTTACTAAGGCCATTAGTCCTTAGTAAAGGCTAAAAAAATATAACAATTACATTTATTTATTCAAATAAATATGTTTAAATTAAAATATAAACTATTTCTTATTTTTAAAATATAACCCATAGAAACTATAGTCCTTAATAGGTATTGTTTGAATCTTTAGTAGCAATATAAAAAAATAAATAATAATCTATTCATTTTATAATATTTTTTTTTAATTTTTGTTCACATGAATCGCAACTCATTATTATGTTGCTCAGTATATTTACAGTTGACTGAATTTATATAATACATCACAGATATTAAATTCCCTTTTTTAATAATTAAAATTATGAATAGTGGCTCTTTTCTTTTGCTTTACATTATTTGGTACGATCCGATTTATTAGGTGAGTGTAAATTAAAAACTCATCTTTTATTTGTATAAATAGTAAAATAAATAAATTATTAAAAGAATCTGTATTTTCCCCACTCAATAAACAGGCATTTAATAATAATAATCTCTTTTTTTACCATAATATATGGCTATTGTGATGATCAAAATTAAGATTTTTGATAAAACAAAATGATAATGACTATTTTTTACTTTTTAGACAATAAAATTTAGAAACTATTTTTTTGGATTTATTTTAAAAAAGACTATGAAATTTATACATCATATTTCACCTATATTTGGTTTTATTTTGTTTATAGTCTCAAATTGATAACTAAGATTTAAATTAATTTTATAAACATTATTTTGAAAATTTTTAACACTATTTAAATAAAATTTCTAAGTAATTAAGATCTAATTATGAAAATTATTTCAATTAAAAGTGTTTTTATAAGTAATACTTTTAAGAATTTAAAGACTATTCAAATATAAAATGTATAGATTCAAAATAAACAATATAAATATAATTTAATACTATTTCAGATAATTAAGCTTGACACAACTTTGCTTAAGCCGAAAATAACATAAAATTTATAGAATATAATATTCTTTTTTTTATTTTTTAAAATAATAATCTTAAAAAGTGCCAAAATTGACTAAAAAAAGATAAAGTCAACTCCTATTAATAGAAAAAATTTAACGTATTTTGAATAAGCATAACTTGGTTCTCCGTTGTTTATAAAAGCTAAAATGACATAAATATAAAATAATAATAAAAATACCATAAAAAAGATAAATAACTTTTGATCTATTCTTGTTATTTTATGTACTATTGTTATTAAGAAAACTCCAACTTCAACTATTATTGAGCTAACTATTGAAATAATAATTCTTTTAATAACATTATAGCTTTCATCAAATACTATTGACAGACATAAAGAGGGGGCTACCCTCAAGTAAATAATATTGAATCTAATTGGTCTTGAAGGAGATGGTTTTTATGTATAAATTATATTAAAGTAGTCATGTAAAACTTTAAATAAAACTAAAAGAGACAATTTTTTAAGTTTTTCTAAAGTTTAAATTTTATTTTCCTTTAATTTAACATCTTTATTAACTAAATTAATTTTGCTGCTCTAATCATAAAATGTACTTACAGTGACCTTATTTGAATTTATTAAGGCATTGAAATAAGAAAATCTTCCTATTAGTGAAAAAAATTAGACACCAAGTTTGCAAATATAAAGTATCTAAGACTTTAATGGTGTTATAAAGTAAACTAACTTAAGATTAGCAAGTCTATTAAATTATAATAATCAAACAAGAAGAAAAAGACAAAAGTTTATAAATACTTTAACAATTTTAAAAATGAAAAAATTGAATCAAATTAAATGGACCTTTTAAAATTAGAAAATTAAATATTAACTGAGTAGCTAAACTTGTTGAAAAATCTTGAAAATTAACCACTTTAACTTGAAGAATATGTCTAATCAGAATAGATTTAAGAGTTTAATTAGTCAAACATTTAATATGAAAAACTAAATTAAGGTTAATTAATAGCTTTTTAAGAAGTATAATAAGACAAATTAATAAATTCAAATAAGGTAAATGTTAGTACATTTTAAGATTAGAGTAGCAAAATTAATTTAGTTAATGAAGATCTTAAATTAAAGGAAAATGAAATTTAAATTATAGAAAAACTTAAAAAATTGTCTCTAAGACTTTAAATCTTAAATAATTTTCATAATTAGATCTTGTTTCCTAAGAAATTTTGTTTAAAAAATGTTAAAAAATTTCACAAAGTATGAAGCTAAATAACATTCATAAAATTAATTTAAAAACATAAAAAATATATTTTAAATATAGGATAAGGAATACCATTTTTTCGCTTTTGCCTTATTCCTCTCTATACTTTAAGTTAACATTTAATTAAAATTTATTTTTTTAATGAATATTTGATGATCTTCTTTAATATATATGATCAGGCTAGCTATTTGATTTAAAGCAATAAAAATATTATTTCTTTAAGATACCATACCTTTTTAGAACGGTTGTAGTCGTAGACTAGTAGAATGTAGAAAATATTAGGATTTATGTATGGTATATAAAAATAGATTTTAAAACAATTATTTATAAATTTAGAATATTTGATTAGATAACTCAAATTATGCAGATATTTGAGATGTGTGTATAAATTGTAATTTTTTACAAATTTAATTTGATATAAAAATTATATTTATGAATAATTAGTTATTCTTATTTACCTTTGAATTAAATGACTTAGATTGAAATAATTTGAATTGACTTTTGTATTTTGGAGCTCTTTTACTCTGTAATTTCTTTTATAAAAAGTAATTAGTAAAATTTAAATAAGATTCAAATTTATTATTAATATATTTAAGAATAATAACAATAATTCCTTTTCTATCTAATTTAATAGAAGTATAAAAATATAATTGAAATATTTAATTTAAATTAAATAAGTCGAATTCATATTTCGTAATCATCAAAAAATTTCTATATAATTTTTGACTAAAATTTTTGTCAACCGTAATTAAACTTTGGTTACAATCATAAAATTTAATTTTTATAACTATGAATTTGGTTAAATTTATTAGGAAGTTAAAAGACATGCTTATATTTGAAAACTAATAAGAATAGTATTTCAAAAACAAAATGTTTTTTTATCAACTAATAATATAATGAGATAAACTATTAAGTCATTTGTGGAAGCTTATTTTATTTTTTTTAAATTAGATAAATCAAAAGATAAAGGTTAAATTTGATAGAAATATAATATAATTTGATTTTTTGTAAAGTAAAATTGTAGATATTTTTGGAATATTTATTATATTTTTTATAATTAAAAATTTAATTTATCCTTAATTTTATTAAAATTTATTTTATGTAAAGTTAATTATTCATAAAATAATTACAAAATGATAGTTTTATTAAAATACTTTTTTAATTTTATTTGGAAGGTGATGCTGATATCATAAATTAGATTTTAATTAAATAGCTTTTTAAAAGAGAAATCGATCATAATTTTAACCTAAAAAGTAAATTAGTTTATGATATACTTACTTCAAGTTTTCAACTTTTAAAATATTTTATTTTATGTTTTGATTAAAAATTTTATAAATTTTACTGAAAAAGCTTTTTCATTAAAAAATTTTCCTACCTTTTTAATATTGGCATTTTAGATTATATTTTATAAATATAAGAGATAATAATAGATAGTTTATATTATATTTTATCATTAGTATTTTGAGTTTAGATGAATATCCAAAAGTATATTAAAATAATTTATTTAATTATATATTGTTAAAGTATATTTTCTAAAAACATTATTGTGATTGCTTATGAAAAGTTTTATTTTTTATTTTAAATTGAATTTTACTAATTAATCCTTCCTTATCAATTCTTATTTTCTATTTGATTTATTATTTCTAGATGAAAACTACTTGTTTAATTTAATAGTTGTTTTTTTGAGTAATAACTAATTTTAATTTAAATATCATCTTCTGATAAATTATGAATGTATCTGTAAAAAATCGTAGTTCTCTTTTATTATTAAATTTCAAAATATTAAAAGTAAAATCTGATTAATTATGAATGTACCTGTAAAAAATTGTATCTCTCTTTTATTATTAAAATTTCTATTAAAATATGGATTAATTTTATACTTCTAATATCTATTTTATAAGCTATTTCAAACACCACTTCTTAAAATTCTAAATGAATATTTGATTTACTTTGATTTGAAATAAAAAAATTTTTACATGAAAGATTTTTTATAATTTGTGTTATTTTACTGAAAATTCTTCAATATAAAAGCTAATAATCGAATTGTTCAATAAGTTCTTTATTGAAACTGAATAGTTCAATATTATTGATTATAAATATCTAGTTTAGCCGTTTGATTCAATAAATTTCTTAAAAATCTTTATAGAAAAAACTCAAATTCATTCAAAAACATTTATAATAGAAAATTTCTGATGATTATCTCAACTAAATTAAAAAAATATAAAAGAAATTTATATTAATGTTACAAAATTTTTAAAAAAGTCGATTAATTGCGTAAATATAATAAATTAATATTAAAAAAATAACTAATCTAATAAAATTAATGGGAAAATTAATTCTTGCATTACCACTTGCTGTCTTGCTTATTTTAGCTGGAACTATCATTTTGTAGAATAAATCAAATCTATCAACTGATTACTACACTTTTAAATACTCAACATGGGAAGATTGTGTTTAGAAGCTACCAGATTATCCTCAAAAATGCACAGATGTCAAAGGTTTCTAATCAGCTTAATCTGCAGTCAATAATTTAGTTAGCCCTTAATCTTCAAATGCTCTTCCTGGCTGTATTAAATTCGCCTAATTTTAAAAAACAGCAGGACCTGATTCCATTTTGAATTATGGTGACTACTATTTAGATTGCTTTTATGAGGATATCGTTGTAGAAGCAGCTTAAACTAATGATTGCTATTACTAATAGTATTTTTATCCTAGATATTTTAAATGCACTAAATGGTTTTGAGCTATGGTTTAGTATTAAATTTTATAATTTTAATGTAAAAGTATATATTTTTATTAAAAAACTTTACTATAAAATTATCATTCTAAATTAAGAAAATAATTTGAAACAAAATCACTTATTATTTTAAGCCATTATTCAATTTATTAGGTTCATAAAAAAAACAAATACTCTAAATTAGTTTATATTTTTTTAATTTATGATTTTAGTTCAAAAAAAACCAATAAAAATAATTAAATTTATTTATTTTATTATTTGTTGATTAATTTCATAATAATATAATATTAATTATAAGAAAAAGCAATATATTTTATTATAGGAAGTTTAATATAAATTAATAGTAAGAATTTAAAAAAAAAATTGAAACAAAATAATTTTTTATTTGTAACCATAATTTAATTTATTTAGTTCATAAAAAAACAATTAAATAAATATTCTAAATTAGTTTTTATTTTTAATTTATGATTTTAGTTAAAAAAAGCAATAAATTTGATTAATATATCTAATTATTTTTTGGCTAATTTTATATTTATAGTATTTTTACCTCATTAAGAAAGTATAGTGAGGAATAATACATTTTAAATATATATTCTATTTTTCTAAGTAATATATTAAAAATTGTCCAATTTAATTTTGAAATAAAACCAAATAAAAATAGTTAATTTAATATTCTGCAATAATTAATATTCAGCTTTAACTTAAAATCTCTCATTATTACTGTGTTTAGCAATACTTTATTACTTTTCTTTTAATACTGTATAATTATAATAAAAAATTGTGAATTTCTTCATAAAAAGTGAAACCATACCTAAATACCTTTAAACCCTTCGTATTTGAAGTTAAACTACTTTTCTACTTTTTCAGATTTTTAGGCAAAATAGGAAGCTCACAAAATGTCAATTTTTACTAATATATGCTTCTATAAAGGAATTTATTTATCTAATAAAATTTATTAGTGAGGATTTTAAGTTATCTGTTAGATGAAAAATTTCTCAAAAAATATCCGACTTCTTTTTTGAGGAATAGAAATATTAAAACATAAAATACAAAATTTATTTTTAATTAAAAAATATAAAAAGGCAAAGAATTTAAAAATAAATTATTAATAAAAATAAAGCATTCATAATTTATTTTTTTAAATTAAACAAAAAAAATTAAATAAAATAAAAATGAGGAAAAAACATAAAATTATAATAAAAAAATTATAAAATTATTATTAATATAGGTTAGTTAGATTTATTTTTAAAAGGTAAAAAAAAATCCAGTTAAAATAATATAAAAATGAATGAGTGAATTATTAATTACTTTATTTTTTATTTTAATTTTCAAAGTAGTTTTCTAGCTATATAAAAAAATAAGATAATTATTTCATTCTTTTTTGTAAGTAAAATGAAATTTATTAAATTTTTGATAAATATTTTTAAAATATTATTCAATTTTCTTAAATGATAAATCTAATAAATAAGTTTTTATAGTTTAGCTAAAATACTCTATCCAATTTTAAAAATCCATTTATTTAGAAGTTTTTAGTAAAAGTATCTTTGAATAAAAAATTTCAAATCTATACATTAATAAAAATGTATTTTGAATTTGTTATTTAGTAAAAAGTTAATTTGATAATTTTTAGCTATGTTAGTATGTTTATTTAAAATCTATTTTATTTGATTAAGGGCTAGAATTAAGAAAAAATTTTTGTTTATAAAATTTAAGATTATTTACATAAATTACTCTTAGATTTATTAATAATTAATTTTTAAAGTAAATATAATTCAGATTAGATTAAAATTTCAATTAGTGTATATGTTTATAATTTTGATTTACTTTAAGATTTATTAAGAATAATTTTTAATTTATGTAAAACTGATAAATTTCAATAAATGAATTGATAAATTCTGAATACCATTTACTATAGTTTGAGCATATTTTTATATTTATTCTTTTATGATCTTCAAATTTTTATATTTTGACTCATAAAAAGATTATATCAGAATAGATATGATAAATTACGAATTTATATGTAATAATTTACTTTATTGAAATTGAAAATGCTAAAAAAGTATAATTACTTTCGATTCTTTTTATAAATTTTATTGAATACATAATAATTGTTGTTTTAAATCTCACTTATTCACCATAATTACTTTGATGTTTTTATACATTTTATATATAAACTAAAAATTTATCTATGATAAATATTAATTTATTTAAATGAAGTCTTTTATTCTAATTATTACAGAAAATAGATTTTTATATTATAAAATATTCAAATAATGTAATCGAAAACTCAAAAGAAAATAGCTTCTATTAATATAAATTAATCCTTCAATAAAATCTTGTTAAAATGAATTTTGAAGTATTTAATGGATTCAATTTATTGTTTAAATTTGGTTTAATTTTATCTTTGCCATAAAAATAATTCTGATAAATTACAAATAGTAATGTAAAAATACTTTCTTATCAATCAATTTTCCTAATTCTTATCAAAAACAAAATTATCTTCCTTTTTAAAAATAAAAAAATAAATTGAAAAGTATTTTTGTTTTTTAAGTTAATGTTTAAAAGAAAAAATGTTTTTTTTTTATTTGAGTATTTAATTTATCAGAATAATATTTTTTATCTTTTACTTTTAAAATTCAACGTAGCAGTGCTTTTAAAATTTTATGAAAATCTTCAATTAAAATACTCTAAAAAAAATTAATTTGTTTGAATTCAAATTATATTCTTATACTAATATTTCTGAGAAATATCAAAATTAAATAGTATTAATTTTTTAAAAGTAAGAAAATAGTAAATGTTGTTGTTTTTTAGTTGATTATTCTTACTAAAATATATTCTTACTTGATTTATTCAAACATAGCATTTTAAAAATAAATATATTTGATAAAACTATCTAATTTATGACATTTAATATAAATGTCAAAAGTCATAATTTAAGTTGATAAAGAATAGAAAAGATAAGAAAACATATTATGAAATAAAATTCCATAAATAAAAATTATAAAAGAAATTATAAAAAATAAAGGTAAATGGTCAATCAAATCTTTTATTTAAAAAAGATGAATATTTATCAAAAGGTAATTATAATTAAATTAAGTAAAAAAAAATATAATAGCTAACTTTAAAAATAAAAATGGGAAAACTTATCTTTGCATTACCACTTGTTGCCTTGCTTATTGTTACAGGAGTTGTCTTGTTAAAAGACAAACAAAACTTAGAAAAAAATCCTATAACTCTCCTCCAGTGGAATGACTGCTTAAATCGTGTTTAGTATGATTAAGATTGCCTCAATCCTAATAAGAAACCTGTTCAAGCTACCTTCAGCCTAATTGACTATACTAGTGACAGTGCTCTTCCTGCCTGCAAAAGCTTTTATACCTATATTGCAAATGCCAGTGGAAAGCTTCCCTTGAACTTGAATAATTTCTATGAAGATTGTTTTTTGAATGAAAAAACATTACATGCAGCCAAAATCGATTCTAAAACCAGCTGTTTCTACAATTAATACTTCAAGCCCAAATATATTGAATGTTATTACTAATGAATGATAAATTGATTCATATTAACGTTCTTGGTTTTATAAATAAATCAAGTAAATATATACAAATAAAAAATATATATAAATATATAAAATGTATTAGTATTTAAGTAAATTTTTTAAAATTACATCTAAAATTAAAATCCTCAAAATCATTATAATTATCTTTAAAGTATTTATAATCCTGAAATTAAAATATCGTCAACTGAGTAGGTACAAATGGCGATATTTCATTTAATTTTTATAATTTTAAGGTATTTTGCTCATTCTATATTTTAATTGTTTTTATTATTCATTCTGTTATTATCAAATCTTAAAAAATTTTCAATAATATTTATATAAGGCCTTTTCTCAAATTTTCATACTAAAAAACTTTTTTATACATTTTAAAAACATTCTAAGTAATAAAATTATTCAAAAAAAAGAATTTTAAATAAAAAAAGTAAATATATGAGGATTTTCAGTAATATTATCTTATAACGAAGACTGCCATTCACTTCTACTGTAATAATTCAAATTATGCAATATTATATTAAATAGAATAATAGCTTCTATACTTTTTAATAATTTCAAATAAATTTTTATTTAATAGCTTAAATTGTTGTTTAATTTTGGTTTAATTTAATTTTTGACAAAAAATAATTCTGATAAATTATAAATGCTCATGTAAAAGCACTCTATTACATTAGTATTTCTAAACGTGTCAAAAATAAGGTTATCTTTTTTTTTTTAAAGTAATAAAGAATTGGAAATTTTTATTGCCATTTAGGTAAATATTTAAAATAAAATAATACTTAATAAAATGAAATGAATTGATTTTGAATGGATTAATTTAAAAACTTCATAAAATTTTAACAATTCTATTTTGAATTGAGAAAAATAAAAATAAAAAAATATGATCCTGATAAATTACAAAATCCTATGTAAAATTTGATTAATCTTTTATTAATATTTCTGATCACCATCAAAAATGGTATCACCTTATTTTTTTTCAAGTTTATGATTATAAAATTTGTTGTTTTTATCTTCATTTTCCTTTACAAAATAAACTCTTAATTGATTGACATATCCAGAGAAAATATTAACAAATGATTTTTATTAAATACTTTAACTAAAGATATTTAGTAAATTTTTATAATCCCTACTTTAAATTTAGAAAGAATACATAAGAGAACATATTTATGAATTAAAATTCCATAAATAAAATTATAAAAGAAATAATCAAAAATAAAAAATAAATAGTTGCTTAAATCTTTTATTTAAAAAAGATGAATTTTTATCAAAAGGCAATTATAATTAAATTAAGTAAATAAAAATCTTTAATAACTAACTTTAAAAATAAAAATGGGAAAACTTATCTTTGCATTACCACTTGTTGCCTTGCTTATTCTTACAGGAGTTGTCTTGTTAAAAGACAAAAAAAACTTAGAAAAAAATCCTATAACTCTCCTCCAGTGGACTGACTGCTTAAATCATGTTTCATATGATTAAGATTGCCTCAATCCTAATAAGAAACCTGTTCAAGCTACTTTCAGCTTAATTGACTATACTAGTGACAGTGCTCTTCCTGCCTGCAAAAGCTTTTACACCTATATTGCAAATGCCAATGGAAAGCTTCCCTTAAACTTGAATAATTTCTATGAAGATTGTTTTTTGAATGAAAAAACATTACATGCAGCCAAAATCGATTCTAAAACCAGCTGTTTCTACAGTCAATACTTCAAGCCCAAATATATTGAATGTTATTTCTAATGAAAAATTAGTTACTATAAATATATTTTTTTTTTTATAAATCTTGTAAAAAATATATATATTATTTTTTATCTTTTAAGTCAGTTTAAAAAAAATTAAGAGTAAAATTACTTCCCAATTCTATTTAAGAAAAAATTTGATTAAAACTTCAAAACAATTATTAAATATTTATTTTTAAAATAATTAGATAAAATTAAATTCAATTTTTGAAATAATTTTTTTATTATATCCTTATATATTATTTTACTCAAACTTAAAACTTATTTACTTTATAAGTTCTAGAAGAATTAATTCTATTTAAAATAAGTAATGAGTTTAAGTATTCTTAAATTATTATTATTATCTATTTTGAATCTTTTATTATAACTATATATTAATCATACTTTTCCTTTCAATACTAAAAAAAATAATTATTCTTTAATACATTTACATTAAATTAGCATAGATTTCATTTATTTCAAATATTTGATTAAGTGGCTCATTAATAACAAAAATAAAAATAAATTTTAAAAAAGAATCGTAATTATCTATTAATTAATAATAAATAGTACAGTTTATTTATTTAGATATGAGTTTTGAAAAAAGTTATTAACAAATTTTTATAAGATTAAAAGGGGTTGGGGTTGGGGTTGGGGTTGGGGTTGGGGTTGGGGTT